GAGTTTGATGGAGGGTTTGTGTCTGGATTCAATGAAATCTATTTAATGACACCCTTTTTTTGAAAAGATTTCACGTTTGGCATTACTGTATGCTCGTTTTTTTTTGAAAAGAATAAGGTTTTTATTTCGGATGATTCAGTCTATTTGTTTGGAATGAGCAAATCGAAGGAACCAGTACCAAACTTGACTGGTGTTCCCATGGCAACTCGAGCTGTTGGAGAAATTAACTGATCCGTCTCATTTCGAACAGCAGCTTTCAATAGATTTTGACAAGCTTGTTCAAATGAGGATCGGTAGAAGGTGGATGGACTGTTTTTCAAGGTATGTCGATTGCATGAGGTATAGAAACCACGTGATGTTAAATAATCAGCAATGAGTTCAATGTGGGCAGCACTCACATCCATACCATACATCTCAAACACATGTTTCACATCTCTTACAATCAGACCATAACCTGATTCAATACCATAATAGTCAGCCATAATATTGACATTATTTGTCACAAGCCGATTAAGGTCTAATAACTCGTGAGAGGAAGGTAAAGAGTGAAGTGCATGGAAGTTGAAACCTTCAATAGAAAGATCATATCCCTCATTTGTGGGCACAACAGTAACGTTTTCAATACCATCGACTTTCTGTAAATAACAATTCTTTAACACGTCTTGAATACCTTCAGCAATATACACTTTTCCAGAGTCTGATTTTTGAGAGAACACAAAATTGACAATTCCTTCATCGGTGTTAATATCGTACACTTCATAGGCACCAAGAGCATCCTTAAAAGTAGAAATAAAAAGATCGTCACCCGAAAGATTGTCATCAACACTGGCTGGCAGTGGAACATCAGAATCATTCGTCTTGCCCTTCTTTGATGTATCGTCTTCATCAAGAACTTCAGCGGCGTCTTCTTCTTCGTCATCATCGTCATCGTGCTTCTTTTTCTTCTTCTTTTGTTTTGGCTTGTCAGTGTATTGGTTATTATCCTCATCATTGACTTCTTTCAATATGGCTTCAGTGTCTTTACCAGAAAATGCATCCATTGCAGACTTGTCTTTCTTGTTGCTTGATTTTTCTTCATCTCCACTGGCATTCTCTGCTGATTCTGCTGCATCAGAAGTATTAGAAATTCCATGACCAGCAAAGCTTGCAACTTTAGCAAGCATGGATCTCATTCTAGCATATAATAACTTCTTTGGGAAAATAATCTTAGCGGTTAAGAGAATGAGCAAGGTTTTAACTTTCTTCTCAAAGAGTTCCTTAGAAATTTGATAATATTGAGTAATATCTTTCATATCAAAGTAGAGAGTCACTGAGATTTGTTTTTGTTTGACATCAGCAGTGAATTTAAATTGTTCTTGAATATCCATATCTGTCAAAACTCTGAAGAATGGTAGCTTAGATATACTATCTGCATATTGATAAATCTTTTCAACTTCGTATTGAGCACATTCTTTCTTTACAGGAACAGTCATTGTGAGCACTCGAGTAGTACCTTTCATGAACAACTCAGCCAATCTAGGAATACCGACAGTCACGTGGGCCATGTCCAAACCAGCAAAGTGGAAAGTATTCAAAGTCATTTGTGTGGAAGGCTCACCAATGGATTGAGCTGAAAGAATACCAACAGCCTCTCCTGGATTTGCCAAGCTTCTTAAATATTTCAAATAGGCTAATCTCTTAATTCTCTCTGGAGAGAATTTCTTTGTAGTGTCAGTGAGAATGGTTTTCTTTGTAGTGTCAATATACTTGTCAAGCTTGTTTTGGAATGCTTCAGACACAGCACCAAAGTAATTCCATGGATTTTCAACAGTAACGTAATCTCCCTTGTACACAGTTGATTTCATGTTCTTTGCCTTTTCTTGCCATTCTTTCACATCTTTGGTGTATTCCAATGCGGATTCTTCTCTGTATCTTTGAGCAAGCAGTTTGTCATTCATTCTCATAAAGTCAAATTGATGCATGTAGCCTGTTTTGATTGGGTCAATATTATTACCACCATACGAGAACTGGAGAACTGTCTTGTTTGAGTTTCTTACTGTACCATCATATTGAATAGAAATATCTTCCAAGTGCTTGATGAGACATCTCTGTAAATAACCACTACGAGCTGTTTTAACAGCTGTATCAATTAAACCATCTCTTCCTGCCATACAGTGGAAGAAGAATTCTTGAGGTTTAATACCTGTCAAGAATCTACTTGCTACATAGCCGTTAGCAATATTGCTAGAATCGAAGGAGTCAAAGGATGGAAGAGTTCTACCACTTTTTGGTTGAACAGAGACACGTTTACCTTCAAATTCTTGTAAACCTAAACAAACGGCAATTTGAGAAGAGTTGACCATCGAACCTTTAGCACCTGTTTCAGTCATTAGAGATAGCATATTGTATGGGAACGCTTTGTATTGACCCATTGGAATGGCATCATTGATGGCCTTTGTAGTAAATTTGTTGATACTCTTCTTAACAGTAGAGTCCAATTTACGAACAATCTTCTCGTTAATAATTTCTCCAGTTTGTTGAGTGATGGCTGGATTGAGCATGTGTTTGGCCAAAAATTCCTTCACCTTATCATGATCATATTGATTCACTTCCTTCTTCTTTGAAAGACCACAGAAAGAAGCAGTTGCATGGTGGCATGCTTCATTGGCTTGAGACAAGCTAGAGATTCTACCCTCTTCGCCCTGCTTGGAAAGAAGACAGTCATCAATACCACAACTGATGGAAAAATATTGCAAGTAGAAAGTCAGCATTCTTGATAAGCAAGAAATGAGCATATTACTGGCCTCATTGCCATAACATTCATCGAATGCGTGCAAAATACCATATTTCGAAGAACCCACTTGCGACTTGTCGAAAATACCAGTCAATAATTCATTATCTCTAATAATGACGGTACCCTCTTCTGAATGGCCTCCCCAAACTGACCCCTTAACCTTAGTTCTACAATCAAGGTTAACTCCATACACGGGCTGTCCTGCTGGAGTACATCGCTTAGCAACATGCTTCAACAGAGATGTAATCACCTGTTTTCCTGTCCAAAGTGGCTTTGGTTTCAAAATTGTTGGAGGTTCTAATTGAATAACTTCATTTACACCAAACACGTTCGCGCTGTAAAGAATTTCTTGATAATCCTCTCGTGACAAAAAGTTATCCTTAAGTGTGAGTAGGACAGCAGATGAAACGTGATCTTGAATCAAACCACGCAATGGTTCACCACTTGTTGGAGTACAGAAAGACAAGTGTGCAGCCATGAGTTGTCGAGCTTCACTCTGAGCAATTGGATTTTGTGGGAAGTGAGCATTCATTTCGTCACCATCAAAGTCTGCATTGAAAGATTTACAACTGGCATAGTGAAGACGCAAAACACGTTGATTAGCAATGACACGAGCCTTGTGAGCCATAATACTCGGTCTGTGAAGAGTAGGTTGTCTGTTCATGAGTAACATGTCTCCATCTTGCAAGTGACGATAAACGACATCTCCAATTTGCAGTTGATTGGCCAAAGCAATTCTTTGTTTCTTGGATTTGATGACTGATAATTGAATGTACAGCGGTGCTCGTGTGTAAGGACTCACAGCATTTGCTGCATCTGCTTGATTTTTGCCACTCTTGCAAATGATGTTGGCTCCAGGATATTGCTTGGCACCATTAATCACTAGTTCTCTCATTTTGTGGATGTTAAAGTTAGTGACTGTCTCCATGTATGACATCTTTTTAGCGAACATGGCGGGAAGCTAACCTCATTACAATCCATAGACACATCAGGCAAAATAACGGTACGAGCACTGTAGTTCACTCTTTTACCCATCATAGATTGTCTGATTAAACCTTCTTTCTTATCAAGCAATTGTTTCATACCACGGTTAGTAACGGTGGTGGCTTTCTTCTTCTTCAAGAGTGTGGAATAGAATCTGTTTGAACCCGAAGATGTATTACTTGTGCTATCCATCATATCGTTCACATAGCATTGCAAAGCTCTAAGTACTGCAACTGCTGTGTTGTCAGCTCTTGCCTCAACTGTTCCTACTTTAGATTCGATTTCTTCGTACAATCTCTTGGTTTTTAAGATGTTTAAATAGTGAGTATCAACATCTGTCCTAACGTAAGTGATCATAGTTCTGCCATCCTCTTTGGCTGAAACTGTAATTGGTGAAATTGGTCTAAAACGAACAGGAATGACCAACATCTTACGAATAAACACTCTTGAAGGAGAATCACCATAGAGTGAGTGTAAAATATAAGAGTCCATAAATCGAATACTATTGCTCTTGATGCATTCAATTACGGCTTCGTTTAGCTCGTTTTCTTCGTTTTCCTCATTCCTGAAAACTATTTTTTGTGTTGCTGTGTTAATTCCGTTACTATAAATTCTATCAAGCATGTCAACAATTTCATCTGTATGTAGGTAGTTGTAAAAGAGCGTTGGAGAGTCTATCTGAACTTTAGAGGTCATAGAATGAAGATTCTTTGCCAGACAGAAAGGCTTTTCAGCTCTTCTTTTTTGAATATCCGCATCCAAATCTACATCATCAAACAGTTGAGGATCTAAGTACTTTTTGTGAATGCATTTACCTAGCCACTCCTTGACTGCCTTGAAAAATTCAACATTATTAACCGTGTATTCATGGAAGCCAATAGAGTCCTTGTTGAGAATAGCGAATGGTAGCTTTGGTGCATGGCAATTTTTACACATTGTATATCTAATCTTTGAGAGAGACATTGGACAACTCTTTTGTATCTTGTCTTTGATTTGTTGCTTTAAGTCAAAACAAATTTCATCACTTTTGAATTTTTCATAAAGTTGATGTTCACAGAGAACATTTTCTTTTTCAAGTTGTTGTGCAATAAGACGATGAGTAATTTTGACAAGTTTTGGATTGTCTTCTTCGAAGGAATATTGACTCTGTTCAATTTCTTTGCTACTGTTCTTCTTTTTCTTCTTCTTCTTCTTTTTCTTTTCATTTCCTTCATCTTGTTCCTCTTCATCATCATCTTCCATGACATGTTGGTCCAAGTTATACTTTTTCAAAAACAAGAAAGGACTCTCCAATAATTCCATAGCCTCCGAGGTTAGTCCACAATCAAGAAGTCTCAGCACTAAATAATATATCGTCTTGTCTTCGGGAGCAAGATGTAACTTTTCGCAAAAAGGACAACATAATTTGAGGACATGAGAAATTTCTGATGACAATAAAACATTGAACACAGGTTGAGGAAGGACAATATGACCGAAATGACCTGGGCAAACATTATGGTTCAGACCACAGGTTTCGCACCGAGCTATCAGGCTATCATTATCTCGTAAACCCATTCGTGGGTCATATAAACCACCCCGTACAGGATTTTGGAAATCATCATGGCCTACAGGATTGTTAATCTCCAAAACTGATAATTTATCTACTTCTTCATCCGAGAAGAATCTGAATTGGAGTGATTTGGGGATGACGATCGACATTTTTTTTTCAACTCAATTTTTTGAGTACTTCAACAATTTTTGGGATATTTAAGAATGGAAAAAGTTGTACATGTGGCCAACAGTGTTGACTCTTGTTCATTCTGAATTAAAATGTGAATATATATTGTCCAATGTATTGGAGAACCTTTCTTAGTAGATTGTTTGACTATTCCCTATCTAGATGGGATGATTCAAAAAACGCAAAACAATAAAAAAATGAACATTCATCAGCAGTTGTTATTGAACCAAGAGGAGCTCCAAAATGACAAGAACCTCCTCATCGGAAATGATGAAATTGAGGAGATGATGGAAATTATTCAACAAACGAATTCCTTGTGGAGTGATATTAGCTCTGAATCGAATATTGCATCTTCTACGAATGGTGATGAAACAAACGTTTCCGATGAAAGCATTGAGGGATGTGCATGTGGATCGAGTGTTGCTAATGAATTGCTCAAATTTACTCATGGAATTTTGAAAATGAACAAACATTGGTCCGATTGTGATAATAAGAAGGAAGAAGCAGAAATCAATGAATTCTTTAATCAGACAAAATTTATTACAGATTCATGCATCACAAAAATTGCTAAACATATCAGATTGTTGGGATATGACTGTATCAGTGATTCTTCATATTCTCCGAACTATATAATTTTCAAAGCCAAAGAAGAAAAAAGAATCATCATCACTTGTTCCCCAACCATGGTTACAAAAATTAAAAAAGAAAATAAGATGATCAATGTAAAATTTCAAAACGATTATTACGATAGCAGCGAAGAGGAAGAAAGCGCACAACCTAATTCGACTGCTATCCCAATTCGATATTTATATGTGAATCCTAAAACCTCGGAATTTCATCAATCCATTACTGATATTGTGAATAATTTCAAACTTGTGTACCATCCAGCAAAGATATTCACAAGATGCCTCAAATGTAATGATCCAGTGGAATGTATTTCTCCTCAAACAGAAGATCAAGTGAATGCTCTCACCACTATCATGGGAGGCCCTCATATTTACAAAATGTATGGCGACACTGTTACAAGATGCCCTTCCTGTATGAGGTACTTTTGGGAAGGCCATTATTTCAAGAGATGTGTGAAGTTTGCCATTCAATACTCGTATAAACCTTCAAACAATGATTCCAATTCCACCACTACCACTGAACACACTCCACAGTTAGACTCGAATTGCAATTTATTCTCACTCCACACCTCAAGGACAACACAAAACTGAAAGTCTTGGTATAATGAACTTTTATTTCACAATGCTGAATTAGCTCAAATAAGTCCGTTTTGATTACCGAGGATCCTGTCATAAAGAAACGTTAGGAATTAATGTGACATTAATAAATAACTTGTACCTTAATACTCATTTGGAAATTAACCATACCAATTCATTTGCATCCCAGTAAGATTTCAGAATAAAGTGGAAGTTTGATTTGCTAATTCAAATCAAACAATGAACGAAGAGAACCAAAAGAACCATTCTGGCTATTTATTTACAATTATTAGATAACGATCGATCTTCTTTTAAAGAAGGATGTGAGGTCAAAGTCTTTTATCATACTGGCAATCATTACCCTTCTCCTGATATGCTAATAATTGGCCAGCTTCCAAATCAACTTTTGATCCAACTTTCAAAAAGTCGTATCAAAGATTGATCAATGTAGTCCTTCCTAACTTTGTGTTCAGTCATCTCTTTTTCAATTACCTTCTTTTAACTGTTGGTTCAACAGTTGTCTTAACATTCTTAAACTTTGTTGGATTGATCGCCTAGGGTCTGTTGGTTCTTCAAAATGACCAAACATCGATCAGTCTGCTTGTTTTTATTGAATGTTTCCTCTTTTTTTGGCGTTGATGTACTCTTTGTCAGATGTTCTCAAGGCATGGCTATCGTATGAGTACATGCTTACACTCAATGTTGGTTGAGATGACAACCCATAACCCAGTTCAGGAGAATGATATTGCTGTCACAATTACCAGTCACCCAATGATTTCAAATCATTCTTTGGTACCATTAACCTTTTGGACAATGACAGATGGAGAGAACACACTTTATTCCCTATTTTGTTTAGGAGTATTTGCTTTCATGTACTCATTAGATCGTTTTCAAGAAAGCAATTCTTATTGGAAATGAATCTCAAATAAAAGAGAAAAAAATGTTTCGTTCCAGCACTTTATGCGCTCGGGATTATCATCAGCCTGAAGAAGAAGCCATTCTCACTTCTCTCTATCAATACGATTCAACCCGTTTGAATAATAATACAGCATCCAACAGCGATGCACAAACAGGTGGTGAGGATATTCCGCAATACGATGATGAAAACGGAAATTCAAGAAATGATCATCGCCAAACGAATGACCTCCAAAATGTTCTCCCAAAGGAATCATCCTTTGATCCATCACTCGAATGTGAATATAAACAAATACGATATAATTTCGGAAAATATTGTCACTTCACATTATATGAAGCCTACAACAGATTTTACTTGGTTGGATGTGATAGCTCAAAAACCAAATATAAATTATTAAAGATTGACAAAATACCGAGCACTACAACTGCCGAGTGCGAAATTACGGATTACTTTAATGAAGATGCGGGAGAATATACACTAAATCAAATTAATGACTTGTTGAACATGGTCAAATTAGCCATGAAAAGTATTCAACAAGATTTAAAATTACACACGAACCATATTTATGGAATTTTAGGTTTTGTAGAATTGAAATTAAGTTACTATATGGTGATCATCACGGGAAGAGAAAAAGTTGGAACCATTGGAAATGCAAGCGTTTACGAAATCAAGGATACCAAATTAATTCACTTGGGTGTAAGCAAAACAGTACTCAAGCAAGATTATCTCATTGAAGAAAAGTACAAAGAATTGTTCAATGGTATTAATTTACATCAAGATTTTTACTTTAGTTATCATTACGATCTTTCCAAAACACTACAACAAAACTCTAAAGCTGTAGTGGTTGGAATTGAGGAAGAAGTGAACTCTACTTTTCACAGCGACATGTTTGTTTGGAATACACACTTAATGGAACCTCTGAAGCGTGCAAATCTTGTTAAATGGATGTGTCCTTGTATTCATGGCCACTTTATTCAATCCAAAATTTCCATGTCCCTAACAGATTATGAAAAACGATACAATACATCTCCAAAGAATCATCGAACTCCAACATTTAGAAATAGCCCAGCAAAAGGCAATTCCTCACATGATGATTTAAAATCCACTCCTCGAACTGGAAATAGCAACATCTCCATTGTACTCACAGTCATTGCAAGAAGAAGTCGATTTTATGCAGGAACAAGATATTTGAAAAGAGGTATTAGTGATTCAGGTCATGTTGCTAATCATGTTGAAATTGAACAAATGGTCTATGAGAGTAATCATCATTTATTTAAACATCAATCGCAAGGAGCGTTTAGCAGTTTTGTTCAGGTACGAGGAAGTATTCCCTTACATTGGTCTCAATCGACAGCCACCACAACGACCATGACTACTATGACTACCATTGTAGATGAAAATGATCAAAAGAATACCACCACAACAACAACAAAAGCTTCTACATCCAACTTGTTATCAAAACCGAATATCATTATTACCAAGTTTGATCCTCTCTATGAAACCACTTTAAAACACTTTAATATTTTGATGGAGAGACATGAAGGAATTCCAATCATGTGTTTAGATCTTGTCAAAATGAAGGAAAAGAAACCTCGTGAAATGATTCTCGGTGAAAAATTCAAAAACTCGATTGAATATCTCAATAAGAATATTTATGGCAAATTATATAGATCCAACCATCAACGACAAAATTCTAGAAATGAATCACCTATTGAATACATTCCATTTGATTTTAGAACTGCAATTAAGGATAAACCAGAGAAGGCTCTTAATGAGCTTCATGCCATCGCTGAAAATCACGTTCGAAAATGTAAATTCTTTGTAACATCGAGATATGGCAAAGTCATTCAAAAGCAGCAAGGAATATTGAGAACCAACTGTATTGATTGTTTAGATAGAACTGGTGTAGCCCAATATATTATTGCAAAATATGTACTTGGAGAGCAACTCTGTGCATTAGGCATAATTGGTATGTGAGTCAGTGTAATTATTGTTGATTTATAATGATGTTGTTGTTTTTTGAATGTGAAAATTTGATGATGAATTATTCGATTGTTATTGATGACAGAATCTCCACATTTAGTGCATCATGGTCAACTTATTTTAATTCTGCTGCAAATGTATGAACAAGTAAGCGATCACATTGCCATTCAATACAGTGGTAGTAAAACTGTGAGTGTAGATATTCACAACAGAGGAGGTGTATTGGCTGATCTCATGACCAACATGAAAAGATACTATAGTAGTAATTTCAAAGATGAATGGAAACAACATGCCATTAACATTTTTCTTGGTAACTTTAAACCAAGTTTTCACATTCGACTTTTCGGAGTTCATTTGTGGGATTTAGAAAGTGGTGATATTTATCTTCACAATGAAAATGAAACAAGATCAATCTTGATGGATCTGGAGGAAGAAGAAGAGGACACACAAAATACATATTTTGATGAAACGTATAATCCAAGACAAGTCACAAATTTGTTGGACGACGAAAATCTTGATCAACTCTCTCTCACCATTAATTCTGAAGTGGAAGAAGATATACCTGATAAGAGAGTTCAATCTGAAGAGTCCAAAAATCTCTCTCCAAATCTCAATAAGAACGGTTCTCACGAGAAAGATTTGGTAAAATTATCCTCCTCACCAAATCAAACACCAGAACAAGCTGCAAGTTTATTCAAAACAATTATGAATTCCATGAAATTAACCCCGTCGACTGACACCAAATTTCAAACATTAACAGTTCTTCCTCAAGGTGAAATATTGAGGTCTCTTGAAGGTAGAATGAGCAATGAACATACAAACATGTCACAAGAAATATTGAGAGATTTTTACAACAAGGATGCCAACTCAATCTACAATAATGTCACCAATATGAGATACATTGAAAGAAATGTGATTCAAAGCTATGATATGGATATTTATACCAACTACACAAGTGAGTTCAATAATGAATTGATTGAGGAACGTAATATGAGTACCATATCTATGGGAAGATCTCATGAATATAACCAATATATTTCACAGTACTTTAAAGAAAACATATTTGAGGACAAGAATGACTTCAACTCACTTGCTGTTTCTCTTCATAATCAAACTCTTTATGGTCAATATACCAAATACCAACATGATATTTCCTTTATGAGTAGGAAGGAGGTGTCGAAAATTAACACGTACAAACAACTAGTTTCAAATGAAAAGAAAACCAAAATCTCAACCATAGATGGCCCACTATCAGAGCTCTCATCAGTTTCACTTTTGTACAGAGATGACGTACATGTGCTAAATAAGATGAAGAAATTCTTTCCTTTGGCTTGTGAAGTGAATCAACTAGTCTCACACCTTCATTATGTGGTTTCATATTTGAAGAATAATTTGACCTTGTTGGATCGAGTTCGATATCCCAAGCAAAATGATTATTCCACTTCACTGTATCAGCTACTGAAAGGAAAAATTTATCGAAAGTGTTTTGAAGCAAAAGAAGCTGTCGATTTATTACTTGCCTTTAATGAGAATTGTTCCAATTCAGATTTACAAAAACCAATGATTTTGATACATATCGAAAGTAGAAAACAAGCAGTTGAATTTTTTGAAACTCTATTGGAATGCAATGTGATCCATCATGTGAATTATGGAATTTCTTTCATGGATGGATATTATTTGTATCGATTCAGCAGTGATAATCCAGTTCGTGTTTTGAATATGAGTTTACCACTCAGTGATGTCTTTCATTATATAGACTCTATTGAGACTATTCGAACGAGATGTGAGCCAAACCAAGTGCTTTACAAACTCATGGAATGTCTCAGGCAAATGTATCAAGAAATGTTCCCCAAATATGACAAATTCAATTTCAGATGTAACTCCTTCTTCAAGACCCTCGCCCAACACTCTCGAAAAATTGTGTGCACTAATCCAGTTTATGTAACTCGATTACTTCCATTATGTCATGAATTATCACGAATTGACTTATCATCCCTTATTGATGTGCACGAAGAGAAGAATGAACGATTAAGATTCAAAACGTTCTTTTTGAATCTCTTCTTGACGTTGTTCTATCATTCACTCTTAATTATGGGCTCAAGTAGCAAGTATAGGATTATTGGTAATAATGCAACTTATATTTTCTACAATAGAATGGCCTACAATGTGGATGGATTAATTTTCTCACTTTCTGATATTCGAGATGGAATATTGAGAGGTAATAAGAGATATGCAAATGGTATTGTTACAGATCCAGTTTCTAATCCAAACAGCAATCAACCACCTCCAGTTGGATATTGCAATCGAATTTTACTTTCACCATTCCAGATGGGAAATTCTTACCAAGTGCTGAATTACCATCGATCATCGTCAACTGAGTCGGAGAGTCATGAAAGTGTTGGTCATGATATCACAAGCAGTTCAGTCAACTCCTCTCATGAAGCAGCATTTGACAGAAGATCACGTTTCCTTTCATTCTATGCCAATTATGTCGATCTTAGACTGTTGTTTGTTATTCATCGCTATGCTGAATTATTATGGAATGAAAAGTCTCAAATATCCATTCTCCCAAATTCACAACAATTGAAAAACATGAGAATGAGAAATTGTTGTACTCTACTTCCCTACATAACACCCGAAAATTTTGAATCCTTTCTGAGAAAGGAAACTGAACTCTTCCTATTACAACATATCAAAATTATGAGCGATTTCAATACGACATCTTCACAAGCATCCAATCTCATCATTCTTCCTAGGATATTTAGAACCTATCGAGAGAGTTTTGGTTACACACTTCAAGATATTTCCCGTAATTTAATAGAAAAGTGCATGAATTATCAATCCGAGAATGAGCCACATTCCAAAGCATTCAACATGTTAAGGGAACAATTAAGGCATGTTCACAAAAACTCTCACATCTACACTGTGAAAGAAGAAGAAATTTAGTACCATGTTGTTGTTGTTGGATGGCTCGAATATATATAAATCCTCGGAACATGAAACACACACTGTATTGGAATTTACATGTCCGCCCAGTTCATGACGAGTGATGTAAAACAATATCTTAAAAAGATCCATTCCATCATCACATTCCATAAAGTTCATTCTCCCATAAAAGAAGCTCTTCCAATTTTTTCAATCCTCACGTGCAGCTTCATGATCCAATCTCCTCTTGATTCTCAGAGAGCAATGAATGCGACGAGTTGAGTCAGTGAGTGAATGGGTGGTGTGCTCCTTGCTCCGATTGGAGCGTTCCACATGCATGTTCAACAACATCCTCTATTCTCTCATCGTATACGATGTTGTTGTACTTGCAGGAATTTTCCTGGACACTTATTCCTTCTCCTTTTGAGACTCATCATCCGTTACTCATTTCATATTTTTTGAAGCGAAAAAATGTCCAACAACAACAACGATACGATTGATATTGAGCCTACTGAAGAACAATTAGCAACCGAACAACACTATTACTCTCATTTACAATTCAAAGCGGATGAGTCTACTTTGAAGGAAAAGGGAATCAGTAGAGGATCTATTTTGATGGATGTTGTCAAACAACTTCGTACCGGTGCCGATTTGTTCAGAATCTCTTTACCATCTGCTTTGTTGGCTCCTATCAGTATGCTGGAATATATTTCGTACTTTATTAGACCACAATCATACATTTTGAGGTATGTTTGATGATGAAGTGAATATTGAAGAATTGGATAATAACTTTTGATTTTTTTCTCTTCTCTTTGACATTAAAATTATGGGTTTTATTGACAATTCGCGATTACATTGGACACACGACGATGGTATGACGATACACCTCTCTGTTAAAAATTGATATTCCATCCTCTCCACTTTTTGAAATATCTCCGTGATATGATTTTGATCATCAAAACAAATTTGGCCTTCTCCATTGAATTGGTTCATTCTATACTCACAACTCATTCACATCACTACAACGATTCTTGTCTTATTTCATAATATTGACAATGACAACAATAACGATTTTCGACATTTGACATTATTCACAAAACTCAATGTGACTATCAACGAATAACATTTAGTGCCCACAAGGCATTCGATCCGGAACAACGTTTTGTTTCAGTCCTCAAATGGTGGTTGAGTAACACCAGCCACACTCCTCGTGGTGGTATTATGCAAGCAAAACCATACAACCCTGTCATTGGTGAAGTGTTTGCTTGTAAATGGATTCATAAGGATCCATCAAGCGGTGAAATCTCTAAAACAGAATTCATTACCGAACAAGTTTCTCACCATCCTCCAATGGCATCTGGAGTCTTGTTAAATCGTAAAAGCAATCTTCTTCTTAATGCCATGATAAAACCAAAGAGCAAGTTCCACGGTAACAGTGCCTCTATCGTTTTGGATGGAAACATCACAATGCGTTTTTTGAATCAACCTGAATCTGAGATCTATGATATTGTATTCCCTTGGGTTGTTGCAAAGGGATTAATTTGGGGAACTCAATGTATTGAAATTAATGAGGATTTGAAGATTACATGTGCAGGAACAGGATATTCTGCAAAAATTCAATTTAAAGCAGACAATGAAATCAAAGGTTCCATTAAGAAGGATGGAAATCGTATTTACAAGGTCAGAGGAAATATTACCGGAGAAGTTCGTATTCGCAGCGTCAAAACTAAGAAGGAAAGCGTATTCTTCGATGCTAAGGATCTTGAGCATGCTCCATGGTTTGTCAAGAAGGTTGCCAACCAAAAATCAAACGAATCTCGTAGAGTATGGCATAAAGTAACCAAAGCTTTGGCTGATGGCGAATTTGAGGAAGCGAATGTTCAAAAGAATCTTATCGAAGAGAAACAACGTGGATTAAGAAAGAAGAGAGAAGAATCTGGTCAAGCATGGAAACAAGATTTGTTCAAGTTAAAAGAGGGAACAGAGGATGAGTATTTATTTAAGTACGATCTCAACAGCGAAGAATATAAGAGCAAGAGTTTGGGTGATTTTATTGACTTCCTTAAGGAAGACGAAGAAGAAATAGTGTTTGCCAAGAAGCTCTAAATTTTGACAATCAATTTTTTAATTTATTCAGCTGTGTATCATCATTATTCATTGTAAATTCATCTTTCCCTTATTATTTTCTTTTTGGAATATTTATCAAAGAGGTCATGGGAAGATCAGGAATTTTCTAATCTCCTCGATCATGGAAGGTCACCATGTACATCATCATGATGAAAACAAAAGAAAAATTCGATCTGCTCTTTATCTTCAACTGACCATGGATTGTCTACTATTTCTTGAAACAAGTTCAATAAAAACTCTGAAACACTCTGGTCATATACTCAAAGATTTGCATGGTGGATGATGTTGATGCCGCAGCAGCTGTATAAGTTTTATCTTGCCTTGAATTTTCGTTTTCTCACTGATCAATTCTTCTCTTGTTTGATTTGCGGGAAGGTTTTGATGAAGTTTCGGAAGGGGTGGTGTTGTGCCCATGTGATGATAAGCTAAGCATTGCTACACCCTTATTAGGGTGATTTCATGAACCTGTTGAGAGATAATTAAAACCCTTAAGTTTTTTTAATGACTTTCAAGCTTTCGGAACAATTTAAAGGATCAAAACACAACCCGTTAACAAACAAAAATCTAAACAACAGGTTGACAAATTCAACGAATCCCAGAATTATAATATGAAGCCCAAATCAATGAGAATTGTGATTGTCTATCTAAGTCATTTGCTTCCGGCAATGATTACAGTGATGGAAATGTCGCTAATAGTGTGAGAGATTAGTATTCATAGTGTGAGAGATTAGTAAGAGATGCCAGATAAATTGATGCCATGCTAAATTTGGCAAAAGTGACAGCTTCTAAAAACTCGGGTGGTAGGAAGCGCTATTGTTTGGTTGATCCGTACTATTATCTCACAAGCGAAAAGTGGAACGTTTTAATGGAAAAATGTTTGGCTTGCACTAAGATTTCTTCACACAAAAAAACATGACACTTCAACACATCAGTTGGATAGAAGGTGCACTGGCATCATTTCTATTATAGTTCATACTGGTCATGAACACTCCACCCTCTCATCAATCCTCTCTCGCCTTTGATTTTTGCTCCTCATTTATCAATTCCATACTCGATGATAAATTTCGTGCACTAAACAACACCTTTCAACTTGGAATGACAGTTCCAAATTCCTACAATCCATCTCTCAATCTCGAAGCTTTTCACTACATTTATGCATATAAAACTGAATATCCCAGACTCTATCCATTGTTAAATTGTCACTTAAAGATGACCCCATATAACGCTCGACCTCGGTTGGATTCATATGACTTTTCTCGTGGACTCACCGCAGCACTCATAAAACTTCCAAAATACGAATTAGAGACCTTCAGAGGGACTGCCTTATCGACCATACCAATGGTTGGTGATTATATCACAAACACTGGATTTGTTTCGACCTCTAAAAAAGCAACTGTTGCTGCAGGATTTGCCGGTAGACAATATTTTCTTAGATTTGTCAAGTCAGGAGGACATGATATTTCTGGACTCCAAGGATTGCCTTTTCAGGGAGAAGAAGAAGTAGTTATCCCTCCAGGAAAATGTTTCAAAGTCGTTGCTTTTGGTTCTTCTCAATGGTGGCAAGATTTAAAGGGATCTATTTACGCTCTCAATAATAGGGATATTACTTTTATTGAATTATTGAAAGTGAAATGTCCAAAGAATAATGAATTTAAAATGAGAAGTGACATTTTATCGAGTCCCAGCTATTCGGAATTGGAACAGTTGAAAGGAGCACATGATATAAATATGAATCATTATGAATTTTCAAAGAGAGAACCATTCAAAATGAAACAAAATGTTGGCGTTCCATCCACATGGACCTGTCATCCTTCCTATTACAATGCAAGTGATGGATGTGATTGTGGTTGTGGTTGTGGTGCATGGGATCCAGATTGTAATGAAAAGAAAACTCTTTTGGTGGGATGTCCTTCTGCTATGCATGTTCAACCTCAACATTTAATTGCACTCCCATTGTAACCAAGCAAGGATATCAAATTCCACAAGGATGGACTTGTAGTCCTCAATCGTATGGTTCCAATGATGTGATTGTGGATGTGGAGTGGTGGATCCAGATTGTTCTTCACAAACCATTACTTCCTATGCCTTTGGATGTTTGGACTCTCAATATTGTGATACGAGTACTGGAACATGTAAAGATAAAAAGAATGTGCCATCCACATGGACCTGTGATCCTTCGTATTATAATGCCAGTGATGGATGTGATTGTGGATGTGGTGGAGTGTTGGATCCTGATTGTTTAGATCCTCAACAAGAAGTGTTGAATTGTCCTTGTTTGACCATGAATTGTACTTTGGGTTATTGCACTGGTGAATGCTTGGGAATTCAAATTGTGGCAATGAATGCCAATAATAATGATGGACCAAATCCCAATCCAGGAGATAATGCTGCTGTTGAGGGCTATTATGGAGCTGGAGTATTGGCTGGAAGTATCATTGCTTCGTTTGTCGGTGGTTTTGGTGTGAGCATGTTGTTGATTGTATTGATTTATCAGTTGGTGAGTTTGAGAAATAGAAAGATGCAAAACATCCTCACAAGTCAGAACAATCTGTCGTGGAGATGGACCGTTATTAAGGTTATTGTGTACACTTTTCACACGGCATTCAATATTATGTGAGGTTATTTACGACATTTCAATTCTTGAAGTTTTTTGACAATTTCTTAAACAAGTAAATTTCTTTTTCAAAGTGTAGAGAATGTTTTGGCTTTAGCACAGTTTTGTTGAAAGAAACAGTGAAATGCTCATCATTATGTATACATATTCACAAGCTGCTTTCTGAGAAGAGCGATAATTACTAGAGCAATAATGACCATGAACGCACACAATCCGAAAAACCAATACAATCCCTCTTGATCTTGGCCAGGAACCTTTACGTTCATTCCCCAAATTCCTGACAGCACAGAAAGTGGACCAAAAATTGATGCTTTGAAAAAGTTAGTTGTGGCATACAATTCTAATTAGACCTACATACCAAATACTGTAATTCTGTTCATAAAAGCATCTGTTTTCTGAGAATTTTGAGCTATTTCAATTTGAACTCGTGTTAGATAGTTGGTGTGAGATTGATTGAGGGAATCCCTTGCCATTTCCTATTTGAGAAATAGTAAAAAACAAAGTATAAAGTTGAGCAATACTTACAAGTCTGTCACAGCAATAAATCAAGTGGTCCAATACGTCTCTCAAAAACAATTGAACTTCTCGATCCATAAATGGCACTTCTACTCTTGGGGAAACCAAGTATGTAATCATCTTTTGCTTTGGAAGCAAAAGTTTTCTCAATACAACAGTTCTACGCTTGTTCAGAGCAATTCTCCACAACAAATCCTCCTTCTCTGAAGTGTTTAGAGACACAGTAAACTCGTCCAATGTGTCACATTCACGAGTTAAGTCGTCTACCTTTGGAATATAGACATCAATAATGGCATCCAAATATGCATAAAAAACCCACGAGGGAGAAATAATGTAGGTACTCTTTTTGGTTCGTCCTTTTCTCAATCTCAACGGGCTCTCACCACCTCCAGGTTTTGATAAAGGTTGGGCTTGCTTTTCTGCCGTATTTTCAAGAATTGAGTGAATTTCTTCGATTACTTCCTGTTGTTCTCTGAAACTATGCTTGGCCCGAATCTTTTGATTATAGTGTTGATCAAATTCAAACTCCTTTTCAATTCTGTTCATTAATAAATCCATTCCCTCAATGGGCTATAAACATGGAATTCAATCATAGAATCAATCTTAAAATAAATGAATAATATTAGCATACACACCTTGTCATGAATTGTCAAAATGCACCTGTCAAAAATTAAAATGTTCAAATAGCATGGCAAATATTCATTCATGGCTACCTTATCTGCAATCTGTCCAGTAATTGAAAAGAATAAATAATTATCAAACACTTCCCATTTTTCACCCGAATCATTGTTAATGCAATCTTCGGCAGTCAAAGGATGGAATCCAAAATACTTTTGCAACTCGTTCACTTCTTCAGGAGAACACTGTTGACAATCAATCCAAAATGCTTCGTCATCCTTATCTTCCTTAGAAATATGCCTGAGCATATCTTTAACACTATCAAATCTGTAGCAGTTAAAGCCTAGTCCTATGATGAAGAAATGTTTACCATATTCTTCAAAGCTCAACTTTCCTTTTAAAATATCTCGAATATTGCCTCCCACCTCGGATTTTTGCGAGGAGGCTTCGGATACTAAACTCTCCCTAGGCTCCTCTGGCTTTTCAGTAATGGTGGAAGGGGTTTCTTCTTCTGTCAACAATCGTTCATTGTCATCTTTAGGCAATTCAATAGAATCTCGTTTTTCCACATCCGATTTTGTTTCGTCGTCACTACTTGACGCCTCCTCTTCAACACTACGTTTGAAATCCTCAGCACCACTTGCTCTTATATGTTCACTCACAAAGGTATCTGGAGTAGTAAATAAATAGGGAAAAGTATGGGAGGTTAGCGGCGACATATACATTGCACCAACATCTTTGTTGTCGTCTTTAGTAATGGCAATATTAGGAGATTTAAAGGAGGGTCGCCTGCCTTGATTCAAGTGCTTTGAAATAGCTTCTTTTGCTTTGCTAGTCTTTCCGGTAAGAAGATGATGATGCTGGTGATGATGTGTTATTGTGGAAGGTGAGGCTTTTGATGTTTCACCTTTCCGATGGTGTGATGATTGTTCCTCTCCTTCATTCAATGAATTGTTATTATAATAATTATTATTTACATTATTCTCATTGGCGTGTGCTGATGATGTAGTCGTCAAAGATATTTCGGGAGTTGCATTATTATTTCCAGTTGTTCCGAACTGACTGGAAACATCTCCATTATTCCTTGTAGTGTTTCTTTTGTTACTTTTTTCATCATGTCCCTCTTCGTTTGAAGTTGTAGTGGTAGGGTTTTGCTGACTCGGACGCACCTCCTCGGAAAGAAGGCTTTTTTGTGGTGATAACATTTTTTGTTTGGACAATGAAAGTTCTCCAGCTTTGTTGAATTCCCTTTATTCAAAGTGTCTCTATTCGTTTTCGGAATCTCTTCCTGATGATGGCTTATGGGGCGTGATTTGATGACGGTGGGGGTGATTTTTGAAATTTTTTGAACCACAACCTCTGTCATGAATATTGAAACCATTCAGAAGCAATGAAAAGAAACCCGTTTCGCTCTTTGTGGAATAACAACCTTGCATTCGTAAAATACAAAGGCTTTCGCTTTTGTCTCTCACAGTTCATACAGTCAAAGACTGTAGCGGGAGAGTCGCCATATTCCTGGCAGGCATCCCGTCCATTTCAATCAAGAGAATGTATCCAAGTTGTCGTTTATGGTTGTCTGAAATGAACCTTCTATTTCCATCTTGAAGGCAATAATCTTCTGATTCCAACGATCCATGTGTTGAAGATCTCAGAGCAAAAAAAATTTATTGGGGTGTATGTACATCGAATCCAATTGGGATTCTAACTAAGGACCTTAGTCTTCAATCTTGTCAGAGTAATAGTATTTGTGGCATTTGCCAACGAAAAGGGCTAACAGTACTTGGATTAGAGCACAAAAAAATGCAACTATTAAAAATGGATGTTTGAAAATTATTTGCATCAACCACAAACCAACCTTGTTTGCTTCCACTAAGAACGCGATTGATTTTGTGAAAGAAGAATTTCATGTTCTTCCGTCGAAGGGTGATCGTGCTACTCCGATGATCTTGATCGGATCCAGAGCCATGATCTCTCATTATACCATGTTCGGATGTCATGAATGAAAGCGGTGAAGAAAGAGACCAGGAATCTGACCTCTGTGTTGTGGAGTGGTTGTCGGAACGAGATTTGAACAATAGCAAGTCTGATTGGGATTTAATTGCTTTAAATGCTTCGAGCTTGATTGCATGGATCCAAAGAATCGAAAAATCAATTCACAAAATCACATTGAATTACTTCACAAAATATTGTGATGTGAAAAAATCGATCAAAGATGAAATCGCGTTAGAAAGAGCACAATTTATTTCTGACCAAGACTGGCAAGAATTATCCTTTAAATTAGAAATGAAGGATGGATCAATTATTGAAATTGAATTGAGCAGTGACATGGACTACTTGAAAGAGTTTTTACAGTTGCAACAACAAACACTTTCCAATGATATCACACCAACACCACCTCAATATTTTGAAAAGGACGAACTCGTGCTTGCTCCTTTGATTTTATTACAAACAATTAAGGAAAGTCATATTATATTTCCTGTTGGAGACGTTCAAAAGCATTTGAAAGATTTGCAAATTCTCAAATATCTAGCAAGATCTTACAATTTGAGCACTTTTGAAAGAGGAGATTTCTTTGAACATCTCGATACGGATGATCCACTCATGAAATTCTTCTATAATAGATTCGTAAAGACACTTTGGGCAAGCTTAATTCCAGAGAAAATTCGTGCTTGTACAAACATGGACTTGCTCCAACAAGACAAACCTCTCGATGAATCTGATTTTGAGAATGCAATTCTTGATATTGATGAAATGGTGAAATTTAAAGATGATCATCTCATCACCCTCAAGGGTGATGTTGCAGATATATATGAAATGCAGGAAACAACGAACTTTGAGGGTTATTACTCCACCAACGCCATTTCCTATGGTGATTCCTCAGTTGCGGATTGGCTTAGCGAAGAAGTTATGCTCGTGGCCTTGGCAGAATTTATTGTTCCAAAAGTCATGGGTTTCGACATGATTTCAGAAATTGTTTTAAAAAGTATTCAATTTTTATGGAACAAGTATTCCAGAACCAATGTGGCATGGAGCATTGCCGATCACATGGCATTTGTATATTCAGAGTCTCTTTCTAAATTGAAAGCATCTGAAGAAATGGTCATGGAAAAATTCGATGAAAACAAAAATTCCACAGATATGTATCTCACCAAGTCGGATTACTGTGGAATTCATGAATTAATACCCTCCACATCCGAATATCACAATGAGGGTCTTTCATTGTTTTCCTCACGTTTTTTTCTCAACTCGGATGTTCTTTTCCATATTTTTGAATACATTCCTCAATTTGAAACCTTAAAGAATTTACAATTATTGAATAAGGAATGTTATCAATTTATGAATGGTTCAATATTTTGGAAGAAAATATTTTTTCATCATTGGCCAGTTGCTTCACATTATGTGAGCTCGATTTCTGAACAAATGACTGACGACGACGACACTTCAATAACATTCATGCCATTTGCTGCACCTTTTGAGACCAATCTTCATTCTTGCAGAGATTATGGAGGATACAGGCCAGGAGATAGCAAATGTTGGGGTTATCAATCAGTCCTTGATTTTTCCATTCATATCGACAGCATTCAATTAATCTCTACCTCTGAAAAATCAAAGTTGTGGAATGCATCTGTCACAGAATGCTCCTTTGGTGGAATAGGTGATCGACAGTCATTGAATGATGAGAAATATAAGGCAATAGTTGGACCCTTTTACGCCTCAAAGATTGATCAACGCGATGCCTTGTCTGTTCTCTCCTTGCTATTGTCTTTTATGGGTACTGCTGGATCTGGCTCGATTCTGATAGACATGGTTTCACTTATGAATAATTACGCGGATGAGAGATCATATTGGAATTAAGCTTGTTTTATAAATGTCTAACCATCTGTGTTGAATCTTTCATGAATGAGGCCCACTACAAGATGAAACAAATGTTGCTAACCAAGCTTAAAGGGCTTCACTTTCACTACATTGACGTTTGGCCAATTTCTCTTAAAGTGGACAATATCTTTCATGTTGTTTAATTATCCTCAAATCATGAATCATGTTCTTAAGAGACCTCGAAGACTCCCATCATTTAGAAAAAGAAAAATGAGATTCTTTACAGGGTTCGCCATTTCGTTATTCCTTCTCCCTTCTGTGGTGTTTATGGAGGATTTGGGAAGAGCATTCATTGATTGGAGAGATAAAAGTGTATGTGTTTAGTGAATTTATTTTACGAATGCAATTCTAATGATACCGCCGCAAAACCAATGATAATCGGAGGTGATGATGAAATTTTAAATGATGATATATTGAAAATAATAATGATTGTGATGACTATGAAAATGATTTAAATGATGATGAACAATGAATTGTAATTAACAAATACTCGTTTTAATAATTAAATAGAAAGCCAAACAAAACGATGCAATGAAGAAATACCAAGCTGAATACCAAGCTTGGGAACAAAACGTGAGAGCTCTTGCTGAAAAATACCAAAAGTAACACGATTCCAAAATATATCCCATCATTCTAGTATACTACTTACAGCACCAATAACAGTGGATTTTAATAAACATCATCAACGACCATTATTTATTCCGAAGATGTCCATCCTCTTAGAATTCATCACCAAAAGAAAAGAATAAAAATGGATGAAGGCTCCACAAGCGCCATTGTGCTGCAAGTTTCTTCCTATGCCATTCGGTACGATTGGAACGATCTGGAATCCATTGAGCCAAGAAGCTTGATCAATTGTATGGCAATTCCGAAACGACTGGTTGAACCACAACTAGCATTGTTGAATCAAGAAGGAATGGGTGTAACATCCTCTTCATCCACAAGCAATACTCACCCGAACACATCGGGTCATCATGATGGAGGAGGCTCACAACATGCAAAATCATTTCTCGCCTCATCATGTGAGAAGCAGGTCATGATGATGAGAGGAAAAATACTAGTTGAAAGAAAGACCATCCATCAAGACAAGATGGACAAGGAGAATTTCTTGGAAGGTGTAACTGTTGAATTTGATAGCCATTACACTAATGTGTTAGGAAATGTAAATAGTTCACCTTCATCACAGTTGTTAACTAATTTAGCAGTGGGAAATGAAGCTCTTGAATTGAAGAGAAAACATCCCAATGACTATTTTTTATATTTTCCAATAAGATATGGAATATTGAACACAGAATTGAGTGATTCGAATGTACATATTAACGAGAATACTGCCTTGGAAATTTTGGTAATTTTAATAAGCAAATGCCTGCGAGACTTGATTTCAAATGACAACACAAAACAGTCTGTTTTATTAATGTTCAGTGACTTATTTATTAATCAGCAACAATATCATTTGAAGTTTGTGATTAATCAAATGCTTTTAACGTTTCCTAATATTGTCCATCTATCAGTACAAAAGGACAGTATTATGTCACTTTATGGAAGCGGAATCATGCACCACCAAACAGAGTTATACACCATTGATATGGGATTCACAAAGACGTCCGTTTATTCATACCATCATAATGGTAGATTAGCAAATATAATTACATTCCCTTATGGTGGAATAGACATTTACAATTTGATTATTGGAATACTTCAAATGTCCAATCTAGATCACAATATTGACATCTCTTCTAATTTAAAAGAGTTTGATGAAAATATTCGAAAATACTTTCTGACACTTAAATATAGTGCCCATCAAGAAACGTTTCAACACGTGCATAATATAATGGTGGACGATTCTCAGAAATTAGCAAAAACCTTGACCATCTCTAGTGATGTATTCTATATTGCTACAAATATGTATTTTAATACTAAATTATTACCTACCCCAAAGAAGAAAATATTTAGCGCCCTCAATCCATCATCACATTCAAAGGTTACCTCTATCGATAAATATTTAACCAAGTCATTTAAGGGTGGACTAGGTGGAGTTACTATTTGTCTAACAGGAGGGTTCTCAAACGTTCAACACTTACCTGAACATTTGAAGGAAGTATTGAAAAAGAAAAGAATCAAAATTTTATACAGTAACGAACGAGATAAATTAGTTCCAGTTTATGCAGTTACTTGGAAAGGAGGGGTTATTATTACCCATGTAATGGAGGCATCATCAGATCAGGATGAAGATACTGCCAATAAGGACAAGACAAATTTGTTTGACAAACTTTTTGCGCGTAGAGAAGAATTGCTTGCAAAGAATGGCCTTAACATGTCACCAATTCTAGATAAAATCATCTAATCAAGTTTCTCTCGATAAATAATGTCATTGGCATTTATATTTACACTTGAGAAGGATCGTCTATGTGTTGGTCCATGTATGGGTCTATGTCTGTGTTGAGTGAATCGATGTAAGCTTTGTACTGGCGTTTCTCTTTCTCCTTCTTTTGGAAATATTCTCGTTTAAGGCTGAAAAACTCGTCTTGATACTTTTTGTTTTCAAATTCTAAATCTCGAGCTTTGATCATGTAAACCTCCAACTCCTTGACCATCTCTTCGTACTTTTTAGTTTTCTCTTTCAGAGTTTGCTGATAAGCATTATATTGTTCCACAACCTCAGGCCCTGGCTGTCGAGTAAGGATTGATTTAAGTTCAGCATAAAGTTTCTCCTTCTCTTGAATCAGTAAATCCTTTTCCATGACTTCCTCTGTCTTGGCAATGAGTTGTTTTTGAAGTTTTTGAATTTTCATGATCATATCATAGGAATTTGGATCGCTTCCTTGAATTCTCCTCCATCGATGAACATTCATTGGAGTTTGAAGCTCTTCTTCTAGCGCCTTAACTCTTGATTGCTCTTGAAGGAATTGTCTTCTTAATGAATGTACTTCATTCTCCTTCTCATCATAATCCTGAAGGCGCTCTTCCAATCTTTTATATTCTTGATTCACTTGAATGATCTTTTCCTTCAAAGCAGCAATGTCATTAATTCGTTGCTGATATTGAACAGCCCCTTTGCTGATTAAACTTTGCTGACTCTTAATTCTTTCATAGAGACTTGCCAATTCATTATTTCTCTTAATTAATTGCGATCCGAGTATGTCTCTATCGTTGACTACAACCTCAAGCTCTTTTTCTTGTCGATTTCTTTCCTGCTCTGCCTCTTTGATTATTTCATTCAGTTTGTTAATTTCTTTTTCGTATTGTTTGTTAACATCAGATTGTTCCTCAATGCTCTTTTCCAAGCTCTTAAGCTGATCTGTTAACAGTTCCCTCTTTGAGCATAATTTACTATATTCAGCCTTTTGATGTAAAAACTCTGCTTCCTTGTTCTGTATATCCTCTCGAATTTTATCGATTTGTTGTGTCATTATTTTAAACTTTTGTTTTTCTGATTGAATTTCAGAGTCAGCATCAATTAGCTTCTTGCTGTAACTGTTTCGTTCAGCTTTAACAGCATCATACAGAGCCTATTCAACATTCAATTTTGAATAGGATTCGCAATTCAATGAAAATACTTACGGTTTGTTGACGATGTTTTTCTCTACTTTCTCGAATTTTCTTTTTTAGTTCGTCAGACTCAAGTTTTTTGATTTTGATTTCTTCTTGTGACTGATCATATTTTTGCTTGGCATCTAGGTAAGCTTTTTCGTACTTATCGATTTCTTTTTTGAGTCGATAAATGTCCTGTCTCTTTTTTTCAACCATTTCTACATAGGCTTTAAATTTCAAGTGGACATTCCTCCTCTTACTTTCGACAACCTTTAGAGAATTTTCTTCTTCCTCCAGGTTTTTATCAGCTTTCAAAATGCTTTTATCCAACAAGCTCTTCTGATGGCTGAGATCTTCAATTTTAGACTTCTCAAACTCTAACATTCTTTTCATTTCAACAATACTATCTTTTAAGTTTCTGACCTCATGTTCCATTTGTCGTTTGGTAGACTCCATAGCCATTTTCTTCTCCTCTCGTTTTTTCTTTTCTTTCATTTTTTGAGCAACATTCTTGACAATTTCTTGCTGTTCTGTCTTTGTGGCAGCTATGGACTCTTCTTTTGTGTGAATAAGAGAGCGAAGTTTTTCATTGTCAGCGCTGAGTTTTGACGTCTGTTTAGCAACCTCTTTGAATTCTCGTTCCAACTTTTCCAACTTCATTTTCAGCTCTTCTACATGTTTTTGAGACTTGATGGTTTTTTGACTTTGCTCTGCTGCCTTTTGTTCGTATTTTTGTAGCTCAATCTCTCCGTGTTCGAGTTTCATCTTTTTTTCCTCAATATCTTTGAGTTTGCTCTTCAATAAAGCCTTCGCCTCATCCAACTCAAATTTTGCCTTATCTCTTTCTATTTGCTCCTCTTTTGTGAGTTTTTCAATATCAGTAATTTGTCGGGTCATGTTTTCAATATTACTTAAAAGTTGTTCTCTTTGTTTGATCAAGTCGTCATACTGTGTTTGAAGTCGTGTTACAGTATTAATAAGTCCTATTTTCATATTCTGCTCCAGATCGTAGTCTTTTTTCAATTTTTGTTCTGTCTCTTCAAGTTGTTCAATCAGTTTCTTTCTGTCGTCATTCACAACTCCCAGTTGAATTTCCTTTTGTAATAAATTACATTTCTCTTGAAGCTCATCAAGCCTAGTCTGCGTCTCCTTGTCTTTTTGCTTTGCAGCGTCATAAATACTCCATTGTTTTTCAATTTCTTTTTTGATGAGTGACATTTGCTGTTGATCTTCGGCAACCAATTTTTGTGCAGTTTTTACTTTGGTGGCCATGATGAGAATGTCTTGGTTGAGTTGCTCACATTTTTTCGAAAGACGCTCCACATTCGTGTAGGAGGAGATGAGAGCATTCAGAGTACTCTCATACTTCCGATAAAAAGCTTCCATCTCAGGTCTCTTTTTCAATTGTTGCAAGACATAATGACCCTCAAATGCAGGCGATGTAGGATTGATCATCATTTGGGCATTGGTTGTTCCCTCCGAAGAGGATGTCCCTCCAGTCGCAGTCGATGGTTGCTTGTTGTCGTTCCCGACGATCGTTGCTGAGGTTGTTGTTGCTGATGTTGTTGGAGGAGGCATTTTATTCTGTCGTAGTGGTTCATGTGATTTGACGTTTTGTTTTTGGCGGGGAATGTTGAGATAGTAAGGAACTTTGACTTTAATAAGCTCTTTATCTATACCACCGGTAACTAAAGGTCATTCTCGAGAATAGCTACTCTTGGTTACATTTAATGAATGAGCATGGAACATCACTCCTATTTATCCAATCATGGATTTCTTTCTTCCTCTCTGTCGAACTTGGTCCAACTTTTTGAGAACTGTTTTCGATTGATTGAGGTCAGCTTCTTTATAACCTTCCGTTAATTGATCAAACTAAATCAAGTCGATCGATATATTTAAAAGTTCGTCATGTACGACAATGTCAGCTGATGCAAAAGGACACACAAAAACACATACCAATCGCTCAGAATTTGGATGGGTTGAAAGTAAAGCTCTTTCTAAAACATACAAATCCACAGCCTTATCTTCGTCTAGTGTTGTTGTAAAACTCAATCCAAAGTCAATCATCACAATATTGTTAATATTTCCGTTTCTTAGCATCATGTTTGAAGTCGTCAAATCTCCATGAACAAGTTTGTTTTTGTGTAACAATCCAATAATCTTTCCAACTGAATGAAATATTTCTAAACAGGATTGGTCCCATATATGTTCTTCTGAACTATTGGCTTGCACTTCAAATTTTCTTAAATATTCCTTGATGGAACATCCTTCAATATACTCCATATATATTTGATTATTTGTTTTATCAACATTATAAATTGTAGGAACTTGAATTCCGATTTGTCTACATTTTGAAACATTCTTTGCCTCCTTGACAAGCCTTTGTTTTGTTAATTTTACATCCAGTGTTGGATGTCGATACTTTTTACTAAATCTTTCCTTTAAAATTGCTCGCTTTCCAAAATAATCATTTAACAAGAAAACTCTCTACAGAGGTGATTGAATTAACAAGATGATGATGATGAATATGATGATGGTGAGAGTTTCATTGCAGATATCGGAGATGACACACCGAAAATTATTGATAAATCCACTCTTCACCATGAGGTACAACCATTCCGTCTACATACCCCTTCAGCACCTTGTCCCAATAATACTCTTCCCTCTTGAGAAGAGGAAGATTGGACTGATTCATCATTCATCTTCGCGAAATCAGTGGTGTGCACTGGACTGCAGTCAAAATTTTTGTAAGCAATTTTAAAATTAGACTCTGAAAGCAAGTTCAAAAGCAAAAAAATTCTTCAATTCTTCTGATCATCATCACAGAAAATGTTGTCTGGAAAGGACGCCCAAAAACAATGGGAAGCTGAGAACAAAATCAAGGAATTGACCGATGAACAATTGTATAAATACGATGAAGAGAAGGAACAAAAGATCCGTCAAGAAAGACCTTGGGAAAGAGAGTAAGTGTCTACTGCTTTGAGTCGTCCGCGATCTCAATACATACATAAATCTTCACCATGATGTTTCTGAATCTTTCACTATGATTATTCATATATCACTCGACTAAATTTAATGGATGATCATTGAAACTTTTTGACCCGATCTGATGACGATGATAATTCCAGTCCAAAATACTTCAAGAAGGTGAAAATCTCTGCTCTAGCCTTGTTGAAGATGGCCATGCACACTACAAAGGGACAACCTCTTGAAGTTATGGGTTTGATGCAAGGTAAAATTGATGGTGATTCTTTCATTGTCATGGACGCCTTTGCTCTTCCTGTTGAAGGTACCGAAACTCGTGTAAACGCTGGTAATGAAGCTATCGAATACATGGGTAGATATATGGATTTGAGCCAACTTGTCGGAAGATCAGAAAACGTTGTTGGTTGGTATCACTCTCACCCTGGTTACGGATGTTGGTTGTCTGGTATTGACGTCAACACTCAATTAACCAATCAGCAATATCAAGATCCATTCGTGGCTATTGTCGTTGATCCTGTTAGAACTGTATCTGCTGGAAGAGTAGAAATTGGTGCTTTCAGAACTTATCCTGAAGGTTATTCACCAGGTGCATCATCAAGCTCTGAATATCAATCCATTCCTATGGACAAAATTGAAGATTATGGTGTCTATCATGACAAGTATTATCAATTAGAGATTGAATTTTTCAAGTCATCAACAGATACAAAGTTATTGAATGTACTTTGGAATAAGTATTGGATCAACATTTTGTCTTCATCAGCAGCTATTAAGAATAGAAATTACACCAACGATTCTATTAATGATATTGCAAGAAAGATGGATAAGGCTGAACACGAAATTGGACGTGGCGGAAAAATGTCTGGATTTATGATGGAAGGCAAAGAGTCAAAGAAAAAAGAAGAAACACAATTAGACAAATTGACAAAAGATTCCATCAAGTTGAGTACAGAGGTTTTGCAAGGAATAATTTCTCAAGCTGTCAAAGATTCGCTATTTAACAAACATTAAACCATCATGTACAATTTTGTGTATTCTTTCGTTTATTCTGAACAGAACCCATTAATATTCAAATGGTCTCTCACCTGCATGTTGTGTTGGAATCTTTTTTCTTGCTGATATTTCAACTCGTTCAAGATGTCATCTCCGTCATGAACATCATGCACAAGATTCTTGTAGTGGCGCATGGAAATTACATCGCCAAAGTCAAACTTGTCGAGCTTCTCAAGCTTTTTCCTTCTTGTCATATTTGCATTATGTGATCTAAACCTCTCATCTGTGTCAATGCTGCTTGAAGGAATGCTGAAAAGCACATATGGAGTCGTGTCATGCAAATCTTTTTCGAGCTGTTTGTCTGGCATTTCGTGAAATTCGCTTCTTCGGACAAACTCTGAAGGGTGGTCTGAGTTGCTTTTGTTGGTCGTTTGGCTTGTAGAGGGCAGGCTTGTTTGTTTGATTTTAACTCTTTTCTCTGAGGAGCAAGTTTTTTCTGCTTCAACTCTCACACAACTCTTTTTGTGTTCCTTTTTTGATGAAGGATCTTCAAGCCTGTTTAAATGTGTGTTATCCACAAACTTGGTTTCCTTAAAGGTCACTTTAATGGGTAAGGGAGTATACTCAACGATCGTATGTCCTCCAAATCGTGCAACAAATTTTCTAATATCGTCATCGATCTGGTGCTTTAGTTGAATCAAACACTCTGCTGCTTGGTCTTGGTCAAAACTATTTTTTCGAATTCTTGTCCTCTGACCTATGGAATAAGGTACAACATTCAAATATTCGTGTAGTTTAAATTCCATCTTATTGTGGTGTTTGTCGTCATGCTCTGAGCAATACCACCCTCCTGGCCATTGTTCTCTTGGTACTTTCATCATCCACGATTCCATACAAGGTGGAAATGGCGACATAATACTTACATTTTGTCATGGATTTTAGTTTGCATTGAAATTCAGCAATCCATTGATGAAGTTTACGATAGTTTCTAAACGCACTATCAAGAGCATGTCTGAACTTTTCTTGCATGTTTGATAAAAACTGTTTGAGATGATGCAAATGTCTAAGAAAGGTATGATCTGGAATCGATCTAAGAAACGACATTGACTCGTTCAAAACGAACCCGTAGGATTCATGCTCTTTTAACTTGTTGGACCATGTTTTCATGGTTTCGTTCCATCTCAAATTAATATGAAGAGAATATAACTGAAAGGGACATCCCTTAAACTTTGAAAGAAATCGTCTGTAGGCCTTGCATGATGATCCGAAAACACTCAATTCCTTGTAATGTTGAGATAATAATTGCTTGATTTGATCAATAATCAAAGGACGCGATGAAGCATCGGTGTTGATCAGCTCATGACTCATCATTTTTTTTTAAAGTTGTAACGAAAAAACACTTTTATTGGCGGGGTGAGGTGTTGTTGGAACTGTCAACAACTTTGACAAAGAGAGTTGGATTTCTTGCATTTCCATGGAAGCCACCTCGGGAGTTTGAGCCCCTAGGTCTGTTACTGTGTGGCTTTTCATAATTATGTTGGCCATTGTTGTAAGTTCTTGAGGCTGGATGGTAGTGTGGGTTGTTGGAATGAGGAGTATGTTGACCTCTCTTGTAGTCTTTTGGATTTCTTGAGGATGAAGGTCTTGATGCATCAGAGTGATCACCTTCTTGTTCAGCAGATGCAATGTTGGAAGTTGTGGATGGTCGATGAGGAGGAGCTTCTCCATTGGATTGAGGTTGTTGATGTTCAGTCTCCTTATGGTGTTGACTGATGGTCGCTGTGTTTGAATCGTGAACTTTCCTGAAGGGTACAGAGGCTGCATCCTCGCTATTGTGTCTATTATTGTATCCGCTGCGACCATGGTGGTGGTGGTGTTGACTTGGAGAAGGTCTGTGGCCACTTGTTGGTAGTGCTGATGGTTGTGAATAAGGTCTTTCCCTTCTTGGTTTAAATGGTTTTCCGTTGTTATTGTCGTGTGAAATATTTTCTGTGTTCATTTGGGAAGGGGCAACATCCATCTGACTATTTTGAGCTGATAATGATGCTGATGGAGGCTGTTGAATAACATGTTCATTGCTTAGTGCTTTAACAGCGGGTTTAGAATCATCAGCAAATAATCCGAAGGAAATCTTTGCTTCATTAGGATTAATATTTTTGAGAACGTTGCTAAGATCAATAGTAGCAAGCTGATTTGATTTTTCTGTAATTTCATTTTGTGAGCTTGCATTACCAACTTTCTCCTGATCGTTCTTGTTGTTATGGCGAGAATGGTGACCGTTTGCATTATGATAATTTCCTCTGCCTCTCGCATGGCCTCCTCTGGTTGGCTCTTTGTTAACATTTGAGCCTCTTCCAACACCTGCATGACGTGTGACTTCTCCTTCATGATGCTTTTCGCGTGTAGCATGAGGAACATGTTCAACTTCTGGTTTTTTAGATTTTTGGAAGGATTCAACAAATGCATTAGGAATCTTCACAGATGAGTCTCTCCAATTGTTATCAAGTTCCGTAGGATTGGTTGGAGGTTGTTTCTCCTCTTTCGAAAAGTTTTGATTTGTTGAGCTAGATGTGTCGGTGTTTCTATGTTGGCGAATTCCTCCTCTCCCATGTTGTTGATTTGCTCTATTAGATTTAAGAATTTTCACCTCTCCATATTGTTGTTGATGGGGCTGAGGTGAAGAAGGCTGAGGTGAAGAAGGTGAAGATGGTTGAGGCTGTGATTCATTTGCATTAGGTGTTATAGTTGGTTTTTGTGAATCAGTCTCGGCCGGTTGTTGGAGAGCCTTCTTGGCTTGTAGTTTTCTTTCAAGTTCAAGAAGTTTGGCTTGGGCTTTTTCTTTTCTCTCTCGTTCCAATCTTTCTTCTTCTTCCATTTTCTCTTTTCTTCTTCTTTCAGCTGCTTCGTTCATCGTTGCTTCTTGTTCTAAAATACTTTTAATAATTTCTTCTTTTGGAATCTCCTTACGAGGTGACGCTCGCGGCTGATGAGTATGAGAGGTTCGTGATGGTTGTGTTGTGTTTGAAGGTCGAGATGTTGAGAAAAAGGAAGGAATAGTACTTGGTTTGTGGGTGTCTTGTACTGGTGGTGTTACAACACTAGATGACATTGGAGGAAATGATTGTAATGAAGAAATCGATGTAGAAGGATTGTTTGGCTGAGGAGGTGATTGAGAAAAGAATTTTTGGTTTTGTGACTCTGTTGAAAGTGATGGAGGTGAAGGAGGTGGGGAATCATTTTGGACTGATGGAGAAGTGATAATGGCCTTAGTTGACGATTCAGAATCTGATTTTGGAGTTGAAGTAACTGATGCATTTTGCTTCTCAGCATTCAATCTCTCCTGTTCACGTAATAGTTTTTTCTTTTCCAGATACTTTTGTTTTTTCGACTTTACCGGAGGCGTAGCTGATGATTTGTTTTCCTTTTCAATGAGTTCCTCCAACTCCTTGTCGTAAATTTCATCGTCATCAGATATCTCGCTCCAGTTACTATCCCCAGGTAATATTTGTGGTGTTGATTTCTTATCCGAGCGGGGTTCAGAATCAGAAGGAGTTGTAGCATTTGTTGAGGAGCCTTTGCGATTACTTGTAATAATTTCATCATCGTCATCATTTCGAGCAGGAGAGGATATTACTGGTGTTCTAGTGGATCGTACAGGGAGGGAAAGAGGAGTGTTAACAACCTTGGTTTCGATTTGATGAGGAATACTTGGATCTGCAGATTGATGTGATGATTCTGATGTGTTTGATTGAAGCAATGGAAATGTTTTACTGGCCCAAGCATTACTAGTTGATGATGTATTACTGGAAACATTCGACGACACAGATGATGCAATGCTTGTTCCAGAAGTAGCAGATCCTGTTGAAACAGTATTGGGAGTTCCATTAAAACTGCTACCAGATGTGTTTACAGAAGCACTGGATGATATTGGAAGGTTAACTGGTTTAGGCACATTTACTTTAAAACTCTTTCTACTTCCACTACTACTAGAAATTCCAATGCTTCCTGATGCAATTGTAGGATTCAAATTGTTAGTGTTATTGCGATGTTTCATACGGTTATTAAAAATTGATGTTTGTATCGCGAATGCGAAGTTCTTGATGCCGTCGTGGTTGCTATTACTGTATGCCTGTTGTATTATAGTTTCAAACAATTGTACAAACAAAAGAAGATGGTTATTATTAAACAATCACTGGTTATGCTCGGCTGATGGTTGTTGTTGATGAGAGTAACTAATAAATTAAAAGTATGCTGATGACGAAGATGATGGACAACTTCCGCAGTGATGATGAGTATTTATCGGAAGAGTTTTTTTTTGTAATGATTGCAAAAACAACATGTCTTCCATCGATTCAAAAGATGAATGTGACAATTGTACAGGTCACATAATAGAGATGAGTGGTATTATATCATATGTTTGGACACTGTCATATTTATTGGCGAAGAAAGTCTTCAAGTTTTTTCTTGAAAATAGCAAAATCGAATTGTTCAGGAAGTGAAGCATCGAAATGAATTGTGGTAATTCCAAGTTGTTGAGCGGCCTCAATATTTCTGTCCTTGTCATCAATGAAGCAAACTTGCGATGGATGAATGTCGCTGTTTACATGCTTTCGGATTCGTTCGAGCAGGATTTCATAAATTTCCTTTTCTGGTTTTGCATGGTTGACATCACAAGACCAAACAATCAAGTCTTCACAATGTGTACCTTTTTTCACTAAATTCTTTTCGAATAACTTGGCGAGTTCTCCTCCTTCCAAATCATGATAAATGAAGTGAGACCATTCCTTGGAATGATTAGACAAAATACCTATCGCTTCCAAGGTTGGATATTTCGAGATGTCTTCAAAAATTGATTCAATTAAATCAAGTGTATTTCTGAAGAGAGTTAAGTGGTCTCGCAAGTATTTTGATAGATATTTCATCAGATTTGATTTTACAATTGCTTCATCGTGTAAATTTTCTTTTGGAAATCCATGTAGACAATCCAAGTATTCCATGATGATGGAAAAGTTTGGATCAATGACAGATTGCCAAAATTGCTGCTCGTTGATTGCCCCATATTTATATATTTTCCAAGCGTCATTTCCGGATTTCATAATTTTTGAATATTTATCAGCAGGAATGATGTCATTCCCGAAGAGTCTGTAAATAACTTCATTGTATCCATCACTCGCTAAAACGCCTCCAATGTCGAATATTACTACTTTAGCCATTTTTTAAAAGTGTGGTAATGATTGGTGATCACTTGTGTCAACATTCTGTCATCCATTTATTGCTGCATAAGGTTGAAGAAAAATTCAACTTCCAGAACACCATCGTCTTCGAGGTCAGTGCAATGCACTGCATTTCTTATTTTATCAACTCCATATTTCGCTCTGATTGTGTCGGGTCTAATAGCTTTTGCTAACTCTGGATCTGGAGGGCCACATACATTTCTAAGTGTGGTGACAACGTCTATTGGCTGCTTTGAGCTCACTTCCAATGCAATTACTGGTCCAGAACACAAATTTAGAACCATTTTCTGAAAATCTGGAGCTACTCCTCGATAGACTTCCAAAAAATCAGACGCGTCTGTTTTTCCTAAAGAGACAAGTTCAAGAGCTGTAATGTCGAGACCTGCCCTTTGAATGTCCAAAATAATTTGACCAATTGAAGCTTTGTCTGAAACAATATGAGGAAGAAGAATTGCAAGTGAACAATTTTCAAAAGTAGCAGTGGTAGGAATTTCCTCTTTGCCACCAAAGAAAAATTGAGATTCAATTGTTGCATTTTCATCAGAATCTGATCCATGAACTGCATTGTGAGTTTTGTCTGTTGCATAAAGAGCTCTGATAGAGTTAGGAGCGACTTGTCTTGCTTGCACACAGTCTGTAGGACCAATGAGCTCTCGCCATTTCGTTACAGCGTCTTCAGCTACAAGTTCCAATGCAATAATAGGATCACTAGTCATATAGGCCACCAAAGTACTGCGAGGTTGAGTAAAACACGTGAATTTTGTGAAACTTACTCATAAAATGATTTTTCTTTGTGAATCGCATAAAACTTTTGGGCTAGTTCAATACTCAACTGTGTCATTTTCATCTTCGAAATTTGAAATCCTTCTTTGCATATTCTGTCAATTATTTCTCCCATATGAACTACTCCATCAGGTTTTATCATTGCCAATGTGCTTTAAAATGACGAACATGTCAATGATTCCAATGATATTATTTAGAATACATACTGTTTCTTTCTACTTCCAAAATTATTCCGAGTAAATTCATCACTATAATCTTTTACCTTGAGTTGACGACTATTAATGGTGACTATCGCACCCTTATAGAGGTCTTTTAATGCCACCTCGGGATACTTGCTTCGTTTGAGGAATACTCTTTTAGTTTTTGTATCATACTATTCGTTGTAAATCTATTCATACTGAACGTTCGTTTGAATCAAACTTACCATTTCGATCGTTTCATCGAAAGTGTAATACAACAAATGATATTCTCTGTCAAATCCTGCTAGCGAATCATAATAAGTTACCATGAAAGCATATCTTTCCGATTCTTTTCCAAACTTTGACTTGAAATTATGTGTTATATTATCATGAGAAAAGCGCAAGCAGACAACCTACAGGATCCATTTCCGATGATCTCTATTTTTTTAAGTTTTGTTTTGAAATGTTCGTACAACTGTTGGCGGGAATTGACCACCACAAGAGGAGCAAGCAATTGATGATTGTTCGTGATCAAAAATGTTATAAAATTGATTGCATAATGCTCTTCTGTGATAATGTCATACCTGACTATACATGACTCTATTATTTTTATTTCATTCAACAAAAAATGTTAAGATTAGAAACTGAGTTTATTTGTTCCGATTTAAAATTTTCAAAATATGATGAAAAAGGCTTGATAGGAATTGCATCTGATACATTCGAAACCAAATTGTATGTGTGTAAATAATGGAGCAATATATTGTTACGAATTCATTATTACAGTGTTGGACAACTAAATTATTGGAGATTATCAAGCGTAGGACAACTAGATGAAGTTCAGAGTGTTGGACTCGATACAGGAGGTACCTGTGTCTCGGAAACATCTCATCATGACTCCTTTTTAATCACGGGACATACAGATCCTATTTTGAGGCTGTGGACATTGAATGAATTACGAAGGCCTATCAAAAGATATACACATCATAACATGAGCATTGAAGATGTTAGTGTTTCACCGTTTGATGGGAATGAATTTGCATCTTGCAGCAAGGACAGTAGTTTTGCACTGTGGGACATTTCTCAAAGCGAGCCAATATTTTCTGAAAACAATGAATCATCCTTCCCTGTTTTGGGTGTCACTTATCATTCACAAAATCCATCTTTAATGTTGGTTGCACCGCTGTACGTTTCAATTTTTATTTAATTATTCTAACAAAATTGAAATTGCAATGCTATTAGAGATACACGAATTGAATTATGGAATAAGCAGGAGCAAAAACGACTCTATACTATTACACCTCCTGATGACATAATTTTTTCTTGCATGTCTGTAAACCCTTACAATGAATTCATGCTTTCAGTTGGTGACGAACAAGGAATGGCATATATTTGGGATCTACGATCATTGAAAAAACCAATTCACAGCTTCCAAGCTCATGGACTTGCCATTTCTCAAATCAAGTTCAATCCGCACGATGAAAAAATTCTTGGAACATCGAGTACAGATAATTATTTCCATTTGTGGCATGTAAACGGAGGAAAAGAAGAAAAGGGGCCAGTCTCATGTATTAAATCTTATAGAACTCACTCACTACCAATTACAACATTCGATTGGAGTCTTCATGAAATTGGGTTAGCATGTGATGCCTCCAGTGATTACAGTATTTTTCTTTGGAATATTATTCAAGATGAAGAAAATAATTCACTCATTCATTCGGACAGTATCTCCCAAAAATAATCTCAACAATATTTTTCAATAATTGGGACATGCAAATTAATTGCTTTTCCGAAGAAAGAAAGCCAGCTGTAGATATAATTCCTAGGAGTAGTATTCATGCAAATGGTTTCCATTAAGGAATGGGTTTCACATGGATGAATATAATAGAATATTGTTTGCAGAATCGGATGTTCTCCTTGTGTGATAAAATTATATGGATTAAAATTATTAACAGGTATGTAGCCTCTGCTTTGACCTATCCGTTGGAACAAGTCAACCACCTGTTGAGGTTGCAACAGCTGATCTGTGGAATCATAAATATTAAAGTAGAGAGCAGGACATTGAAATACTTCATTAAATACCACATGATATTTAATGAGAAATAATTCATTGATACCTTCGACAACACTTTTCGTAATATTGCTCACTTGGATGTTCAAATCCTCTACTTCTTCATTTATTTCACAAGAATTCAACTCTTGATCATCACCATAAGAAACCATTTCGTAATTCCGACTACAATTTAAAAATTGGTGAGTCGTCATTAATGCATACTCTCCATTCCATATCCATCCGTTTCTCTTCATTTCATCACAGGACATCAACTCCTCACACAATATATTAAAATCTTGTTGGCGCATTTTTTTACTCAAAGCAACGCGCATGATATGAAAAGAGAATGAACCATTCAACTTGAAGAGTATGAATAGATAAGAGGAAGAATCAATGTTAGTTTCTATGAAATTCAATGAAATCACTCTAAAGTCGCCTCTACAAGTGGTACTGTGCTACGAGGTTATTAACCTCATAATCGTTTCATGTAAATTTGGGCGCCAAAATTTCAAAAACAAATCAAACAAGGTCAAACCAAGATCCGTAGCGATAGAACAATGAAAAGGGCCAGAATTAAATCAAAAACAGTATCTCATAGAGTTGATGATGATCATAAAGTGGATCGGAGTCATGATTCCATTAATTCCAAGCTCGGCTCAGAAGACCAAAATACATCTCTCAAAACACTTTCCAATGATCGCAAAGCTGAATACTCGGAAAATGGGCTTCATTCAGGATTAGAAAAAGAGTCCGAAGCAATGGTAGGTTGCAAATATTTATTCTTAATAGTGTTGTAGTGAATAATAATATTGTGTTGGTACATTAAAAAGGATCGAAAATTAAAAAAGTTTCTTGATGACGATGACTTGATGAATTCTTACTTGAGAGAGGAACAAATCTCGTCATCACAAAGTCGAAGTAGAAAAAAGATTTCTCCTGCAATATTGGAATTATTAGAAGCAAAGAAAAGAATTCTGACAACTTTGTGGGAAGATTCTGAAACCAATTGGGCTCACAGGGAAACATTCATGCACTCTCATTTCAATGAAGACGCCCATAAAAATTTTGAGCAAATTTCAAAAGAGACCATGAGAGTTTTTGAGATTAGATGGTTAGATTTAAGAATTAAGGGTCTCATAGAACAACGAGAAAACAGCCTCAGAAGTTTGCGGAATATTTGTGAAAAAAATTCCCTTCATCCAAAAGAATCAGGTTATATTGATTCCAAGCTTTTTGAAAAATTGGTTGGAGATGAGATTGTTCTGTTCAGAACTATTAGTCTCTATATCATTGAGTATATTGGTATGTTTTAAAAATCACAAGTGAAAATATAATTGACATAAATGATCAGAAACATGGAAATCCAAGCAAACTGAGACAGATCGAGACGTATATTTATTTGAAGATAATGATTATATTTTAAAAATGTCATCAGACCTAAAACCACTTGTGGAGCGATTTTCTCAATTGTACAATTATCTAGAAGAAAAAGAGTTGAACTTTCAATCTCCATTATTCCTTCCAAAAAATCCAAGAATGTACTTCAAATATTATGGACAAAGATTGGACGCCTTAGAAAACTCAGACTTTGAAGAAAACCAGTCAATAATTTCCAAGACTACATCTGGAACGCTAGATGAGGGCTCCTCGTTTTTTTTAACTTCTGTAAAAAAGAACTCTGATGATTTCAGTGATGACGAAGAACTTGAGATCAAACCTACAAGGGATACTGCCACAAACAGATCCATGAGAAGTGCAACATCTCAAAACACAATTAATATGCTGATAGCTTTAAATCAAGAAATTGCACGTAAAGCACCTCAAACAGGATCCTTCGGAAAAGTGCAGCATTTTAATGAAGAAACAACATTACTTGAAGAAGATCCAGATGATTTGGATGATGATGAAAACCGCCTTGTATATAATAGAGTAATGTCAGCAGACAAACAAAGTGATATTTCACAGCCTAAAGATCTATTAGAACAAATCCAAGTGCAAATGCAATTGCCCCCTTTGTTGGTAAACCAAGCATACTCTGACCGAACCAAGCGTCACAAAAAGTATACAGAACCACTCATTTCAATCAGACATGAAGACTTGTTAGAACAATTGGAAAGAAGAAATCCTCTCCATTACAAAGATTTGATGGAAAAGGATCTTATTGAATTTTCCTCTGATTTGCAAAACACCTTCAATCAAGAACATTCATCTTCAAAACGAGACAAGGATCTCCTAAGGTCGCTACTCTCTGACAGCGAGTCAAACACGATGGAAATGATCCAAACGTTAGACGAGCAAACCAAGGTGCATAATATTGACTTGGCAAGCACCAAAAAGGTACTCCTAAAGAAAGACAAGCTTATCCAAAAGTTTAAACAGCAAGAGGAAAAGAATCAGATCAATGAAATGTATGAAAAGATGTTGGAGGAGCAACATGCAGCCAAAACAAAGTTAGAAATTTTGAGAAAGCGACACATTGCTTCTACGTTTGCCAATGCCAAATCTCCTCAAGCAACGTCAACAACCATAAACACTCTTAGGCTCAAGTTTGCTCCTCCAGATCCAGTAAGAGAAATGAGACGATTAGCTTTGGCAGAAAAACATATTGCAGCTCATGAAAGGGCAACAAGCACTCATTATTATCATATTTAATAAATAATTCTTTATTCATGCAATAGAATATTAGTCACACGAATTAGTTAAGTCCTAAAATATAGGATAATGCTTTTGTCGTGGTACTTGTTGAATTGTTCGTAGAATTTTGTGTGCCAAAGTAGTCTCTTGCAGGTATTGGGGCTGGAATTGTGCTTGGATCTCTTGTTTTGTAAGTAATAAAGGTGAAAGGCATCATCTCCGATCCAATACTCATGTAGGCAATAAAGCATCCAACAACGAAGACATAGAGGAAAAGAAGGAAGAAGAGTTGAGAACACCAGAATCCGCATGTGTTGAAACAAAAGTAACTTCTACCTTTAGTTCTATGGAAGATTGCATATTTTGTTTGCTTTCTCACTCTCTTCATATATTTAACTGCTCTCTCACGAAATGGTACTCTTGTATCAACTTCTTCATCGGAAGTATCATCATCATCATGAGGAGCGTTAGGGTTGTCCTTTTTTGGTTGAGCTTCCACATCTACTGGTGGTCTTTCTTCAACGGTGGTGCTCATTTTGTTTTATATTGTTGTTGTAGTGGTGTTGTTGTGTTGGATAATAGGGATGATGAAGCCGGATCTAGTCAGTAGATGATGACGGCACTATGAGACTCGTTATTTTTTAATATTATTATTATTATTTGAAAAACGTTCTTTTTGGAATCCCTATCATTGATTTAGAAAAACATCCAATTCGAAAAATGCTTCAACCACTGAACAAAACCAGCCTCTACGGTGGTGCTATAAGGAGGATTTGGCAGCAGGAACATCATGGCTCGACTTTATTGCTGCGAACCCATGTTCGTTTTCCTTTTTCATCTTCTTCAAAATTGTTCATACCGAACAATTACAATATTTCTTCGTTTTCGGGAATTAATTGGAGGCTATCATCTTCGGAACGAACTTTCAGCACGAATCATCATGTTTTAAATAATAATGACGATGAAGGCAATCATGAACAATCGTTCACAGAGGAAGAAGAAGAAAATGATAATATTTTCAAAGCTCATAATATTAAAACGAGTGATGAAGCCTTTGCTCGGAAATGCATGTTGTTCAATAACTTTTTTGAGACGGAACACATAGCACAGAACACCAACACAGAAGATATCACTTCCTATTTTAATGATCACTCATTTGTAGCATCTTATGATAAGGTTCCTGCTCTGTCAAACAAGAAATTTGAAATTGCAATTATTGGAAGATCTAACGTAGGAAAAAGTTCATTAGTTTCTGCAATTTTTAAAGGAAAATCTACTCAAGTCAAAGTTAGTAAGACACCAGGACGCACTCAAACGTTAAACTATTTTCTATTGAAAAAATTAAACCTTTATCTAGTGGATATGCCTGGATATGGCTTTGCAAGAGTTCCAAAATCTCTTCTAAGAGGATGGCATGTGCTTATTAGAGATTATTTTGTGAATAGAAAAGGAGTAGATAAATATTTAATGACTTTGTGGTTATTGGATGTGAGAAGATTAAAGGAGTATATGGACGCTGTCAAACAGAATCCATTGAACGCTAAAAATCCAAAGCTTGGCTTGAAAAAGTCTGACATTGATTTTTTCCATTTTGCTGTAAAAAACAATATCCCATATACCGTGGTTGTCACCAAAGTTGATAGTACAAATCCTAAAATATTGAATGAAATAGCTATCACATTGAGACATTTATTATTGAGAGAGCTCAAAGAATTGAAATTGGCTAAATCTGTTCACATCGCTCCCACAATATTTTTCACAAGTTCAAAGAAAAGAAAGGGTATTTCAGAAATACGGAACTATATTGCTTCACTAGCCCTTAATTTTGAATCTAGCAATTATGCAAGCTCAGGCGTGCAAATACAACCTACAACAACCTCTCCTTCTGATAACGGTGAAAACATGCTCGTATTTGAAGAAGATGAAGAAGATGAAGAAGATGATGTGCCCGCAATTCCTCCTTCCGAATCAATATCAAAAGATACAAAGAAAACAAAGGACAAAGATGACAAATCGTCAGAGGATACAACAAATGAAGTTTCTCCAAAAACCCCTGCAAAGAAAAAGTCTGTAAAAATTGCAGATATCCCAATTGGTGCTCTTGCACAAAAGAACAAATACGTTCAAAGAACTAAACACCTTGATGACAGTGTAAAAAGAGATGCAAGACAACTCAAGTCTTATGGTGACATTGTCAAGTACAAACTTCGTATGAAGAATAGAAAGAAAAAGTAGTAAAAAGGTTGTTTGTGTGAAATTGAAAAAAATGTCATCCTCTACTGTTCATTTCATCAATTCTGTTGTGGCTGGTTTTTTTGCTTGCCTTTCATCGGTGTGTGGTAAAATGATGAGCGATTCTTCGAGTTGGACGATTTTTGCGTTGTATTTTGTGTTGAATATTGCTTTGACAGCGTTCGCAATTGTTTTTCAGACTAGGTAAGAATATAAATTCGGAATCAAAACAAATTAATAACATTAAATTTTCCAATGAAGAGCTCTACGCCACTTATCTACTCTATCAGCAACAGCAACTAATTTAGCCTCTAATTTTATATTTACTTCAGTGTTTGGAGTGCTCGTTTTTGGTGAAATTTTAACTATACGGTGGTACATTGGATATGCTGTCATCATGTTTGGATTGACCATGATCATGAGAGGAGATTCTTAATATGGCCTATCATGGCTCATAACAAGACGAAAAGTCACGACTGTTCAATTGTATTTCATTTATTTGAAGAGTTTAGAACATTTTCACTACTACTACCTGCAGAGGATGAGGAAGCGTTGGTTGAAGGAGGATTTTCTGTGCTCATCAATTTCTTTAACAATTGAATTCGGTCCTGAATCATGTAATTCACTTCTTTTCTTTTGCCTTTCAATTCTTGAGTTGAAATCTTATCGAGAGATTTGTCTTGAATTAATTCAAACAACAATTCTATCTGTTTTAAATTTGTTTCACTATTTGCATTCATAATATTTGGATTAAAGTTTCTCAAAATATTCACACAATGTAGGATATTCAAGTACTTGTTCATAATGTCACTTTCGATTTGTTTGAATTGTTTTACTGCCCACTCAATGAGTTGAGAGTCATTTCCGCTACCATTTGGACTCATGTTCTTTGTTTGAAAGGATAATCTGTCTGTCAAATCACTCAATTGCACCTGTAAAATAGATTTAAACTTTTTTGTATCATTGTTGCGTTTGGTTTCTTGTTCCATGAAAAATTTATCCAAGTCAGAAATGCCAACAGTTGAAGAGGTGGAATCAAATTGAATTTTTCCAGTTTTGATGTAATTGCTTATTACTGCCATATTAATACATTCAAATAATTTATCTTTGTAATTCTCTAGCATTTCCGATTGAGTTTCTTTAGTTTCCTTAAAAGTAGTATTAAAAATTAATGTATTCATCTCTTTAATCACAATATGAGTCAATGTAGATGGCAATAATTCCACTTGAAGAACATGATTGAATTTATCCAGAGTTCCATAGTATTTATCATTGATATAAATAATACTGGTAACATTCGGAACAATATTATTAATATTCATAAAATAGATGGTTATATGTTGATGTAATTTCTTGCTGAATAATTTGTCATTGAAATTTAATTCATTGATGATTATGGAATTTTGAATTGTTTGTTTGAACGGATAAATTTGTTTGTCAATGATGCAGGCATATCTTGCCGAGAGGGTAGAATTATTCAACATGAGAGAGGCTGCCGAAGAGGTGCTTTTGAACATTTTGTGTGTTTTGAATTTTTTTTTGATTTGAACCATTCAATGAAACGGATTAGGCAACACTCTCGAGTCTTGCAACTTAATTATTTTCATTAATCCTTAATGATTCAAAGTATTGAAATCTGAAATTTCCCACTTTATAATGGTGGTGTTGTGAACATTCTTTATTCACTGACAAGGAATCATTACTGTCTTGAATTAGCTTCTTGACGTTTCACTTCTTTTAGTACACGATCAATATCACCATCACTGATACATGACATTCCAGTACATATATATTTACCATTTGTTTTTTCTGGTTTGAGTTTGGTGTAAATATGTTCTGCTAGTTCCATTTGTGCACGTTTCTGGATAAGCCTTACGGAAGACTTGTTGTTTCTGGACAATAGAAAGAAAGTTGTGTAGTCGAGACCATACCAAGTTCTTGTGTCGTTTTCTTTTGTGAAAATTATCTTTTTAGCATCATTGACAGGGATTCTTTCCATTCTTCCGTGTCTTTCAATTTTCAGAATAGATTTGTAATAGCTTCCTTTGTGTGTATAAAAGAATTCGCACTTCAGAAATTCCTTTTCAAGAGCTAGTTTTACAAAGAATTGGTGATTGGTCGTTTCAATTGTGGTAGGATCAGCCCATATTTCAAGGTTGGTGAATCGAATGAACTCGGTGACACCAACATGTTCATAATTGTCCTCTGTGATCACATCAATTGTTGATGTGTCAATTAAATTGCTGAATTTCAAGATGTAAATCTCAAAATCTTGTATTGAATACATGTCATAAATGTTGCTTAAAAGCCTGATAGAATAGGTTTTAGTCTGTTCGTCATATTGTAGCAAACCTGGGCAATAATCTTCCACATTGGAATGTTTGCACTCAATTTGAGTAGGTATAGATATGTTAGAAATAGCAGATGTTTCAATCATAGAATGTGCTCCTTCTAATAGCACACTAGTACATGCAGATTCACAGGAAAACTCAAAATTTGAAATTTGTGCATTTTTGTACTCTGGTTTGAAATGTTGTGACATTCTGCGAATAATTTTGTCCATCCTGTGTTTTGACATTAATTTACAAAGAGTATTAGAGAAGTATGTCACATTGGTGATGGCTCCAGCTAGATGAATGTTTTTGACTTTCATTTGGAATTCCATCAAAAGAAGGCGGGTTGTTATACTTTTGAGACAATTCATAATTTCTTTTTCTATTTTGCCAAGTCGGGTGGGAAGGCATGTACTTTCTTTGTTTTTAAATATTTCATTCATGGTATTTTGTGGGTTAAATCCATGTCTTTTTAAAAGATCGTGTATGATCGACATTCCTCCTACATCAGCGTTTCAAAGTTACACAAGTCGTACCATCCTCTAATGTTGCAACAACTACAATATCCACAGTCAAATGCCCTATATCCACATACATGGTAGGGCTTTCATAATTCTTCTCCTGTTTCAAATTAGAGAATAAGGTAACAATAAATTTGAACTTTCAACTCACCATATCGCAATAGTATTTTAAAAAATTAAATTCTTCAACGACATGGACATTTGATTCTTGAATGGTACAATTAAAGAGAGAATTGTAAGCATGGACGATGCAATTTCTAAAAATTTTCTTAGTAATTTCAGAGGTAGCTGTAGGACAAGTGACGAAAATAGCAGCATATGGCATGGATGGTACCAATGTTCCTTCCTCACATCTAGTTTTGGTGTGAACAAGTTTTCTAAGAAGTCCTTTCACCAACTCACACATCAACTCACTAACTCTAAAAGGTTGATCATTGATTTTGATGTGCACAAGCTCTTGTACCATAAATATTTTCTTAATGTTTTCTAACACAATCCAGCCCAATCTTTTATCCTCATTATTACCAACGTCAAACTTCTTGCTTGTAACATTGTAGTTGAGGGTAGTGGAGAAAACATTTGAATTGCCATCAGATTTGAGCGATAATGAAAGGCAACGTTTGGCGTTTTCTGACTTGGGTACTTCAATAGACATGGCTTTTGCAAAACTTGACCCAATGTCAAGAGCGAAAATTTTCTTTCCCTTGTAATTGCTTGCTTCGAACATACCATGAATTGGAGGTTTGATGTCAACATCTTCCAAAGATCCCTTCTTAATCTCGACGGGATTAAGGAGAGTTCTGGCTTTTTCACATATTTCCTGTTCTTCTTGGTTGGAAGATTCTTCGTTATTTTTCTGTTTCTTTTTGTCCTCTTCAAAGTCTTCTTCTTCGTTGGTGTCATCAAAGTAATATTTTCTTTTATGGGCTGGTGAAGTCATACTACGAGTGACACGTTTGAGTGACGAATCGGAAAAGTTGTGATCATTGGTGGAGACTATTGGAAGTAGTTGTGATGTACCTTTTTCTTTAACGTCGTTCGTTTCGCACGAGAAGGACGTGAATCTCTTTTTAGCATGATTGAAGCTATTCTTGTTGTGTTTTTTTTGTTTGTGAGTTTGTGGCAAATGCTTCTCTCTTGCTTTCCAATTTGTACACTTCCACACACAAATTTTTTTGTGTCATCAACATTTCTGATTGAAAAGGATTTTGTGTAAATCTCAAACTCAATTTCATTGTAAACAACAAATACAATTCGTTCCAAATCGAAAACGTCCTTACAATGATCTTTCAACCATTGAATACAACTATTCAAAGCAACATGGCAAGCTTCCTCCATTGGATAACCTTTTAAATTATCGATCAATGAAAATTTAGAGAGCTCTCTGAATTAGCGTTGTCAACGTTGAACATACCATAAAAGCCTGTCGATATGCATGGGAATGCAATTGATCAAAGTCCATTCTGCATCATCAAATCTAAAGACAACTTTTCATAACAACCTTTCAAGAGTGTTGGTTGAGGCACTGCCTTTCAGTATTTGAAGTTTTACGATTTTATGAATGTTGTTGTGGTGGTCATGATGAAAGGATATTCCAATTCATCATCATCATCATCATGAAGGATAAGACCATCTCTCAGACAAGAAGAAGAAGAATTTTGAATGAGTCTTTGAAGAGCTCTCTCATTCAATTGTTTCAATTCATTGGAATGATCTTTGCGAGCTTGATTGGAGTGTTGTTTTGATTCTTCATCTCTTCCGAAATGAAACGATTGGAGTTCATGGTTCATGATGATTTTTTGTGGTTGTCTTTTCTTGTGTAATTATTAAATGGATCATTTGGATCAATACGAGGAAACATCAAGCACTAACGCGTTTCAGCTGTGTCACAACTAGGAGAAACCAATCATCACCTTTGGCTCATTGGTGCTCTTTTGGAAATTGAACCTAATTATGAGGTGCAAGCAAGAGGCGATCAGCTGTCATTTGTCTCACAACAAAAAATGTCAGAAAAGTCCAAAGATCCTCCCTACGACTTTCATAAAGCAGCCTATGAAGTCGCACAAGCACCCAATGTCATTTGTTCGGGTATGATGAGTAAACAAGATCGTAAAATGGGAGTTGTGTGGAGAAAACGATTTTTCGTCTTGCTTGAAAATCCATCATCATCATTAGGGATCATCACTACAAACACCTCCACTTTGAATACTCCTTCATCACCAAGAAATCAACAACTTTTGAGTAGTTCTTCTTCAACTCCCACCGTAATTACAACAACAACAACAACAGCACCAACAACGATTGGATCCTCCTTCTCTCCTTCTTTGGGTGGCATTCCATCATCCCCTTTGACCAGTTTATCATCTTCTTCTTCTAGATCGAATCGACACTATTCAATGAATATGAGTGGATTGCAAGCTTCACAACAATCGCTCTTTACCAATGCATCTGTGACTTCTTCTTATAATGATATCATTTTGTATTATTTCAAGAGTCCAACCGATACCGTGTCGATTAGTAGCATTAATGTTCGTCATGGTGTTGAGAGTGTAGAGGCCATTCAATACACCAAAGTTAGAAAATATGGACTCAAAATTGTCACTAAAAATCAACGAGAATATTTATTGTGTTGTGATGAAGAGTCTGAACAAACGAAATGGTTGAATCATTTAACATTGGCCAAAAAGGGATCATCATTGAGCAAGTCAAGTGAAAATTTGTCACAACCAATTTCAGTTTCAACTCCATTATTGACTGGATCACCAAAAGTGATTCATCGTCATATTCAAGCGAATACTCCACTTGGAATTCAATCCAATGCAGTCAATTCATCACCAACAACAAGTTTGAAAAAAGATGAAAGTTATCATCGTTGGCATGATTGGTGTTTGACTCAATGTCAAATCGGATGTAAAATCATTAAATTGCCATATCTTGCCAATGGTTCGGGTGTGGAAAAGAAGAGATTCTTACAATTATCCAAAGATGGAAAAGTCATTCGATGGGGTACAACAACCATTCATAAGAGTACTTCAAAAATATCTCAGGAAGAAGATGCTCGCATTCATCAATCTTTGGATCGACATGTCAATATGTCACAAGTGACAGCAGTTCATTATGGTGTCTCAAGTAATACTTTCCAACGTTTTTTAGAAAAGGTCATGACCAGTTATGAAGCTACTAATTGTCTTTCATTGGTGGTAAAAACTAACAGTGGAACAAATAGAACCATTGATTTGATCTTTTTGAATGCAGATGACGCCATGGCATGGTATTTATTATTAACAATTTTCAAGCCAACGAATAGTACGACATCTCAATCGACCGATCAAGTCATTGCAGACTACAAGTGGTCTCGATTGAGATTAAGTGTACAACAACGATGTTTATTGAACCAAACATCATTGGTCAATTTTATGGAAGAACAAGTTTATTTGCTTCAATAAACTGAACATGCACATCATCAGATGATTGAACAACCATGATGCACCATGGAAAATGATTACAAGAACGAGATTGAATATTCACAAGCTCACTTTTACAGTTGTGAAAATTTGGAAATTCCATGAACGAGAATTGACGAGTGATGATCAATACAACTTGAATGTTCAAGAGAATTATTTGAACATTATTGAAATGACAAGAGCTAGAAGGATCAAGATCAACAGAGCAGACAGGCCAACCATAAAATCTCGTTCCTTAATCAGATTGGCAGCTGTTTCATCCAATAGAAAGATGGAATACTCTTGATTCCATGTCAATACTTTCAATTCGCATTCTACTTCGTAATGCATTGTGTTAAATAAACCAAAATAGAGTTTTCCCTTCTTTTCTTCTGAGGCTGTGCTGTTCGATACCACAAGAAGAGGACCATCAAAATAATTTTCTTTACAGTGAGCCTTATCATAATTATCAATTGTTGGAATGTCACCACGTTTGGTAAAAAGACAAAGTTTTGATGTTGGCTTGGAGACAGTATCGTATTTGTAATCAAATGCATTCAAAGGTTGGCCTTCTTTTTTCCTTAATTTTGGTCTCCAATCAACTTGAATGGTTGTAATGGCCATTAAATTTTGTAAATGAATTCCACCGTAATAAATTTCTTGCTGTTTCAACACAATGGGATCATTAGGATCGGTTTCATATCCTACTGGAATGGTTTTAACAGTATTTTCACAGGTCTCTCCAATATATCCCTTATTACAAGTACAATACCCGTGATTACAAATTCCATGGCCATTGCAATTTTTAAGAATTGTTTCACAAATTAATTGTTGACTCTGACATGGAATTCTGTGATCATTTGTTTTGTTATCATAGAGATATTTGAGAAAAGTAGAGGGTGTCAATGTTTTAAATCGTACAGGAATAGATTCATCCTTGGAACAAAATGAGAGATGTGTGGATGAAGTTTGTTCAATGAATCTTCTCAATAATTCTCTCATGGACTCTCTCTGATTATGAACAAAATGTCCATTTCCAAATATGGTAACAAATGAAAAATTACCAAATGATTTTTCATATCCTGCCACTTTGTTGTTCACAAACAACAAATTCCTTGGAGATTCTTTCCATTTATGCATAATAGGATAATATTCACTCATGGTTAATAAAAATCTCTCAATTGGTTGAGGTCCATCTTGTAAATCAAAATTTCCACCATACAATAAAACTTTTGTTTTTTCAGCGAGAAGTGGAATTAAATCTCTCAAATCCACAAAGATATCTGCACGAAGTTTGTCATAGACTGGATTAAGTCTGGATGGCACAAAATGAATATCATCTGGTTTGTTTGAACATGATTCATCTAAAATGTGAATTGCTTTTTTCACTTCAGGTTGATTCAAATACGCTTCCAAACGAATCTTATCCGTCGATGGAGCAAAGGTTCTAATATCATAAATATTAATGACACCAGATGCAATTAAGAGATAGGATTTAACATCTTCACATGCTGATCCAGATTCCACAGTATTTCCAGTTTGAATATGTCGAATACATTCTCTTTGAAGTGTTTTCAATTGTTGTCGTTGTTGATATCCCAATAATCCACTCCAATAGGCTTGGTCAGCTTTTAGAACTCTCTGTACAATTGGTGCAGTAAATCCATCACCAATAATGATACCTAAAAGTCTCTTGTGAATATTATGATGTTGAATTTTAGGATAGGGTAAATGTTGAGCAGAATCAGCAATGCGATGATTTTGGATCAAATAAACTCTCTCTCCTAATGAAGGGAGATATTTTCCTGCATAGCTTTCTCCTGAAAATATTAAATCACGTTCTCTAAATTGTGGATACTTGTCAAAAAAGTTTAACAAGACACTGTACAAGTCATTGGATACTTGGTGACGAGTCGTGGCATAATCTTTTTCACTTTCTGCATAACCAAATCCAGTTCCAACAGGTTGGTCAATAAATAACAAGTCACAATAAGAAATCCATGATTGATTGTTATAGTGAAGAGTTAAACCTTGATTTTCAGTCAAGTTTTGAATGTAAAATGGTGAAATGTATTCTTCAAATGCTCCAATCATTGAAGATGCTGAAGGTCCACCTTGTAACCAAAGCAAAATTGGTCGTTTTGACTCATCTTGACTTGTTCTTCCAAAAAACCAATAAAACATTGCACCTTTTCGATCCTTATTGGTGTCCTCTCGATAGATAGAAATGTGGCCTGCATAGGAATACAATAAAGCATCATCCTTATTCACTGGACCATATCCAGGGAGACTCTGAACCGAATGATCACCTGTACAATTGTAGTGATAAAATTTGAAATTTACATTTTGAGAAGTGAACTCATCTCTAACAGTATTACTACTATCAGTACTACTATCAGTACTACCACTAATACTACCACTAGTACTAACACTAGTACTACTTTTATCACTTGAAGTGGCACTTTGTTGCCAATACACATTTTTATGATAGATCGAAGAAACACTACGAGAATCGTTGTTACCCATCCATAAATTCTTGGAAAAATAGTCTTCTACCATGTTATGAATGATTGGAATACCATCAAAGTGATAAATGTATGCCGAGAGTATCAAAATAATGATGATTGAAAAAACCCATCGAGAATCGAATCGACACGATGAATTTCTCTTATTGGATGATGAATTTGTTGAACTTTTTCGTCGTCGAGTCGAGCGTTCACTACCTCCAGCATCGTCATCATCGGAGCTGAATGATGGTTGTAGTGAGGGAGTGGTGGATCGTGGTGGTTCATGTTCAGCAACACCCGAAGAAGGAGTTGGGTGTTGTTTGCTTCCTGTCATTTTTTTTTCTTTCAATTTTTATTTTTTTGGGTTTGAGATGATAATATTAAAAGGGCGTCTTTTTAGGAGAGATGGAATCCAAGATGATAAAGGGCGATATTTTAAATGGAAAACCTTACTCTTTGTTGTCGATCTAGATCTCTCTCTCTCGAAGGGTACCCTTCTATGAAATTGACTACAAATGATTCTGTTGTGTCAAAAGTAATTAAACTTTGCATTTTAATATTTCCAACTTTCTACCTTGGATAATGTGTGGTTTTCTTGATTTCATAGTTTTCAAGAGAGTTTCTGCAGTTTCCTTGTCTTTAAATTGAACATAGCCAAAGCCTTTGCATTTACCAGAGATTGGATCTCTCACAATACGAATCCTATAAATTGGAAATTCACTTCCAATGGTTTCCCAAATTTCTTCATCGTCAATTTCAAATGGCAAATTTTGAATGAAAACGGAACGTTCCTTATCTTCTTTGGTAATTGAGGTATGATTTGCATCATCAACATTGAGATGTCTTCCATTTAGAATTTTACCATTCAAATCAGAAATGATCTTTTCCATGGGTGTATTCATCTCTTCAAAGTGAATATATACATTTCCATAATCTTTAGTTCTCAAACCAGAAGCCAAGTGGCCTTTTCTAGTAGGAATTTTTGATTTTTCATAGCACAGAGATCTAAATCGAACGCTTTCAATGGTACCATATACTGAAAATAATTTTGTGACTAATTGTTTGGACTTTTTCAAATTCTTATCTTCAAGAGGAATTGGAAAATTAGAAACAAATACAGTATTGTCATCCTTTTTTCTTATTTCTTTCTTTTCCTTCTTGGTTAATCTTTTTCTCTTTGATTTGAATGTATCATCATCCTTATCTTCTTTTTCTGAGTCATGGATCTCGTCTTCTATCTCTATTTCACCCTCTCTTGCATCATATTTGGTTTTTTGCTCAGTTTGGTTTTCTTCTTCATTGTCGGACTCTTCAGATTCTTCCTTTTCTTTTCGCTTCTCTTCCTTTCTCTTTTTCTTACTTGGCTCAACTTTTGTTTTTTTCTTCTTTGGCTTTTTCTTTGTTTCTTTATCGGAAGAAGCAGAATCATCATCATCTTGGTCTTCATTATCGATTGCTCTCTTTTTCAGGTTCGATATAAAATCATCATCTTCAGTTTTCTTTGGTTGATTAGGTACAACAATGAGCGATGATGATGAGGCTTCTTCATCATTGCTGGTTCCGAAGAGCTTGGATACATCTCCGACTTGATAGGTTGAGCTCATTTTTTTTATTGAATATAAAAGCGTCTCGAATATTGACTCATCTTCAAACGATGTGTCTCTCACGTTTCACAACGCTGCTCTCCAAAGTGATATGAATACGTATCACTCCAAAAAAAATGATGGACAACGACACCAAGGAAACACTCAAGAAAATTCCATTGCTGAAAGAAAAAGCTGGGCCAAGAGAAACTGAAGATTGGGAAAAACGATTAAAAGAAGAATATGGTGCCCTTATTCAATATGTGAAAATGACCAAGGAAAATGATAGTGCATGGTTTTCAATTCAAAGTAATAAGAGTGGAACAAAGTTAGTATCAATTCAATCATCAAATTATGTTATTCAATTATATTTAAAACATAACTTTAATCGGAATATTTTAAATATTGATGATTTAATTAGGTGGTTCGGAAAGTGTTGGTTTATTCATAATTTGCTAAAATATGAATTTAAAGTCGAGTTTGAAGTAGGTTTGGAAATTGTTCATCTTTAAAATTCTAAATTTGGAAAATATTTTGATGATTATTCGTGATCAATCTTATTTACGTAGATTCCTGTAACATATCCAACAACTCCACCTGAATTCAAAATTCCTGAACTCATCGGAAAGACGGCCAAAATGTATCATGATGGACGAATTTGTCAAACTCTTCACTTCCATCCTTTGTGGGCTCGAAACGTTCCTCATTTTGGTATTGCTCATGCACTCGCTTTAGGTTTAGGACCATGGCTGGCAAGTGAGGTTCCCGATCTTGTCTCCAAAGATTTAATTCAACCAAAGGATGCATCTGCTGAAGAGAAATAATTTTGAAACTTGTTGAAATTTTCAACTCGTAGTAACTACGCGCATCACCATATGATGGACATCATGTATACTATAAACAATTCTAAATTATTGTTTATAAAAAGAAGTAAGAAATTAATAAATTTCCTGACGACGAAAAAAAGAAATCATTCTCCAAAGTTCTCATGGTGGAGCCACCACAAATATAGTTAAATAAAATTATTAAGATTAATCTAAAGGAATGCTGAGTTTCTGACTCTTGAGCAATTCATTTCATTTTCACTTACTTGAGTAAATTTTCCTTGTCACTCCTAAATCCCTTAGAAAAGAGGTTGTGGTAAAAGTTTTTGGCCGAAATGATGAGAATAAACAAAATCTAATAATTCCAATGAGGTCGGTCAGCATTAAACAGATGATCAGCATTACCACTTACATTATCAATCATACGATAGATTTGATGATTAGAAGGAGTGAGATTTTTCATCTTGAAATAAGAATATCCAACCAATGATAGAAATAATAAAATTTTAAAATTTGTGTGACTCATGAATGGGAAATAATTATTTATCACTTGATTAAATTTAGGATTTTTCATGATTCGAAATCCTTTCAAAATAATCCATTTGTGTATTCTGTGCATGTATTTAGTCTTACATGATTGCGATAATACATGCAAAAGTGGTGTTTCATCATCGGAAGGTCTTGCTTCAATGAGTTGGAAGAATCGTTGATTGTCATTCAGCGTTTGTTGTTCCTCCGCTTTTCCTCGTGGCTCGTGAGCACCAGCAGTTACAATCCTTGGAGTCGAAGATTCCATTTCTTTGTCCATTTCATTCATTTTTTGTGTGTTGCCAAAGAGAGGTTAAGAGCAGCTGTGGAACCTCAATCGATTGAAGATTGTCTTCTTCTCAATTCAGTGTTCTCATTCCTTAAAAATTTTACACTCTCTTCCAGACGTTCACACTTCGGAACCAGTAATGCGAATTCCTTCTTTAGTCGATCTAAATTTTTCTTGTACTTGATGCAATGTTTGTAAATTCGATCGTAATCATTTGCCTTTTTTTCACTCACGTCCTTCGCATGCTGAAGCTCAATAATGTCGTTCTTGAGTTCCTCAATTCTGTTTTTAAATGATTGATTCAGTTGTTCTAACTTCTTACACTGAATGTCTTCCTTGAGAGATTTTTCTTCTAATTGTGTTATTCTTTCTCTCATTTCATCAATTTGCTTGTTTTTGTCCTTGTAAATTCTTTCACATTCACTTCGTATTGCGATCTCTTTATCCTTTGACATTTGTTGTCGAAGATTAAGAAGAGCTTTGTTTTTGTCGTTGATCATCTCTTCAATTTCTTTTTCCTTTCTTTCCAATTGCTCTTTAAGTTGGTTCGTGAAAACCATTAACTCAGCATTTTTCTGTTCTAAGGATGAAACTTGATTTTTAAGAGAGCTGATTGTGTTTTCATGATTTCCTTCAATCATTCCAATATTAGTGCTTAAAGTTTCAATCTCTAAATATTTTTCAGCAAGTATTCTCTGTTTTTCCATTTCAAACTCGTGTTTTTCTTTTTCAAGGGTGTGGACTAGGTCAGAGTTTTCCAATTCCAACTTGGAGCATTTTGAACATAATCTTTTGACTTCTTCGACAAGCTTTTGAAGCTATCATGAAAACTTTTTTAAATAATTACTGGAGAAATGTTTTCAACTTACCTCTTTCTTTTGAGTGTCATTCAGAGGAAAATCAGATGTTTGAGAAGAGTTGTCAACTGTTATAGTCATCGCTTGGGCTCCCATGTCAAATGTAATCTTTTTTTCATGTGACTTTTCTTGAAGAAGGGCTCTAAGATTTTGGATCGTTTCTTCATACTCGGCACAGGTTCTTGACATTTCCTCTTCATGCTGTTTTCTTAATTTTTGTAACTTAAATTGGAAGGATTCAGAAACAGATCTAGAATAGTCTTCAATAACAACTTTGCTCTGAGATGCATCTTCGACTCGCTTTAGTCTCTCTTGGTAGTCTTCGAGTGAAGCTTTGAGTTCAAAGAAGTTTTTCTCGATCTGAGATTTTTCTTTCTTAACAATATTTAAATCCTCAACAGCTCCTTTGGCTCTTTTTTCGAGCTCTACTTTTTCTCTTTTTAGCTGTTCTATCATTCGTTCCAGAGAATTAACTTTTTCTTGAGATTTTGAGGTAAATCCATCAAATTCGTCAATCTTATTTTGATTAATTAAATATTTTGACTTCATAGCTGAGAGTTTTTCTTCAAGATTTCTGATAGTGTTATTTCTCGAAGACAGCAGTGTTTCTGATTGAGATAATAGCTGTGACAGTCTTTGTACCTCATTTGTCAAAGATTTGATTTTGATATTTTTCTGAGATTTGAGATCTTCATGTTCCTTTGTCAATGCATTATACTGGTCGTGCATACTCCTTAATTCGTTTCTACTCATTTCTAATTCTTGAGATTTTTGTTGCAGCAATTCTCCTCTCAACTGTTCTAATGATGTATTCGATCTAGAGAGAGCAAAAAATTCTTCGTATTTTCTCACTCTTTCTTTGTAATTAATCAGTTGATTATTCAAATCTCGTATGGTTGATGTGTATTCTTCCTGCTTCTCAAGTAATGAGTTTCTTACTCGAACGGATTCTTCGTAGTCAATTTTAAGAGATGACAAATATTGCATTAATCTTTCATTATCTACAGAAGGGCAAATTGGAAGGGCATGCTCAGGCACAATATTTTCGGAGGGTAACTCCGAGTCATGACCTTCTTTTTCATCACGTATATCGACTTTACTGATTGGAGATGGTCGTGATGCAACAAATTCCTCTGAAAAACCACTTTTAGAATTTCCAGAGGATGGTAAAGCATTGCCCATCCCCGACGAAGTTTTTGGCTCTTGAATGCTCGGAAACTCGTCAATAGCTGGATCTTCAATCATGTCAATCATCTCTCTAAGCTCATTCTCTCTCTCTGTATCGAGCTCGTTGAGCACGGAAAAAAGTTTATGTTGTGGCGACAAGGAACGAAAACTTGCGTTCATTTCCACTTTGCTTGAGGTTGATTTTGTTGGTGAAGATAGTGTGGTGTGTTCCAATGAATTATGATGAGGGTGATGTCTTTGAAACGATGACTGCCGTTGATGATTTTTGTATGATGACGGCGAAGAAGAAAATAACTGATTTGGAATCGAAGAAGGCTTCTTCTCTACAAATACTCGGTTGAGAGTGGCTGTGGATGGGTTTGTAGTGAGAGAAGACATTTGTGCATTTTTTTTTTGGAAAATGTAAGCATTTTGGAGGGATTTTCTCTTCACATTGGTATGGTTCAATGTTGTCTAGGCAAATATTTGTTGGGCGTTGACACCCTCACTCCGACTTGATGATGTTCGTGTCTTTGATGAATGTTCATGTTGGGTTGAAACAACTGAATTCGATTCCGAATGAAAAAAATGCATCGCACCACAAGTCTTTGTTCGAAGGCTTTCAAGTCTTTTTCTTCCAAAATTCAAATTCATACCAATCTCGGAATACAACAACACGTTCGACTCTTCCATTCCAATCACTTCCAAAGGATGACTTCAACAACCATTGAACCTCAAGTTCTATTTCATGATCGTTCATCAGAACCATCCGTACAAGTCATCACGTTAAACAGACCCAAAGCCTTGAATTCATTGAATTTAGAGATGGTTCGGGAACTTACACCACGATACGAACAATTATCATCATCCAATGATCCATGCAAGATGATCATTTTGAAAGGAACAGGAGACAAGGCTTTCTGTGCTGGTGGTGATATTAAAGCAATTTATGAAAGCAAGGATCCGAAATTCTTTGCAGAAGAATATCAATTGAATTACCTGATTGGATCTCTCTATGAAAAACACAAGAAGGTTCAAATTGCATTGTTGAATGGTATCACCATGGGTGGAGGAGTTGGATTGAGCGTTCAACCTGATACAATTAGAGTTGCTACTGAGAAGACTGTTTTTGCAATGCCAGAAACAGCCATTGGTTTCTTTTGTGATGTTGGTGGAAGTTATTTCCTTCCTAGAATTCCAATTAAAGGACTTGGAATGTATTTGGCATTGACAGGAGCAAGATTAAAGGGAGAGCAATGTGTTGTTGCTGGTATTGCAACTCATTTTGTTCCATCTGACAAGTTGGGAGAATTAGAAGAACTTCTTGTCAAACTCAGTAGAGAACACAATGGATTGCTTTCTCCACAAATTATCGGAAGTGAAATTACAAAGCATTTCCCTCAAGACCAATATCTTAACACCTCTCATGCTAAATCATTCTTGCAACATGAAAAGGAAATTTCATTATTTGACCCATCTGTGAACCCAACCGTTCATGACATTATTGAAAGTTTAAAAAAGTTGAACACTCACCATGCTGAGCACACTCTTAAAACATTGGAGCAAATGTCACCAACTAGTTTAAGGGTAGTCCACAGACAATTAAGGATGGGAGCTGTATTAGGTTATAAGGAATGTTTTGACATGGAGTTGGGCATTGCAAAACACATGATGTTTGGTCATGACTTCTTTGAAGGTGTTAGAGCATTACTTGTTGACAAGGACAAGAATCCAAAATGGAATCCTCCTACCTTAGACCAGGTCAAGAAAAAAGAGATAGATGCTTACTTTGAAGCATTCCTTACCACCAGTGCCAAGATTACTCAACACAATGAAAATGCATAATTTATGAACGTTCCGTTAACATTTAATAATTAGATTTCTTATTTACACTCAAAATTACTCGTTGTCTTCAGCGTGTTCATCTCTTGATGTATGTCTACGGTGTAACTCCGTTGGACTGATTCCTTGATTGTTTGATAAGTTATCGTTATGAGGTGTTTCGTCCTCAACATTTTCATCATTATTAGAAGCAGCATTACCTTCTGCATTTTCCCTGTTTTCTGCAATTTGTTCACGCATTCGCTCTTCCTCCTCATTTCTGTTCACATCAAAGAAATTTGGAGGATCCCTAAATACTGGAGCATGCTCAATTTCTTGATGATCTCCAGGAAATAATTTACAAAGAAATGATGGCGTTTTCATGGGATCAACACCTGGAAACTCTCCAGGAATAACATCTTTCAAGTAAAAGTAAACATGTCCAACAGCAATTCCAACTAGATCCACAACGGGACTCATTCCCATCAATAATCCAACTCCTAACAGCACCCATGAAAGGTATCCAGCAGCGACAGTAAATATTCCATAAATACGAAACTGTTCATGAGGATTTCTTCGACTCCAAATATAAAGTAACATGATTACTAGAGAATGACTCATGAAAGGAAGTTGAAGAAGAGGAGAAATACAAATCATTGCAACTGATCCGAATAATATTAAATAAAAGAAATCCGCTGTTTTTCTATGAAATGAATGCTCCTCAAGCCTCCTACAATAGAAATAGAGGAAATACAAATGAAGTATAAAATTAATACTGAATTTATCAAAGAATAAAAAGTTGGTGATTAATCGCCATAGCTATTTGAACGATATGTAATCATCGGAGAATCAAATCATTGATGATACCGATCGTCATCATCAAACCGAAACGTACCTGATATTGATAAAATACACTGTGGAAATTTAAATAGAGTTGAAGTGGACTCAATAAGTCAAATGTAACAGCAAAGCTTGTGATCGTGGAAAGTGTGAGGAATGTCCGAGTAATGACAGGTATCGAGAAGTACCATTGTTCGAGGTTCATATTTTTTTAAGCAAAAAATCGATCGTGGAGCAACACGTGTTGTTATTGTTTTCGAATTTCGATGGATCAAAAATTGTGAACAATGATCACGAGAGTCGACTCAGCAGACGTCTTGTGGCCACTACAAATTAACAGGCTGGGGCATTGAAAAAATGGTTTTCTGAAGAGATTCAATTCTACCCTTCGATTCTTGCACACCCAAAATTTGGGAGAAAAAACCATTTTGTCCTCCTAATTTAACAAACTTTTTACTACTGAGGATTGGTCTCGAGAGGTTAAGGCATAATTCTTATGAGGGATCCTGTTTACTCTGACCTAACATATCGGTCATTTCGATTATGATGTGTGGTCCTATTGTTCACAAAATCTCTGACTTGTCATCTAAGAAAGACATTCAAGTGGCATCTTGATTAGAACCACAACAAAAGCAATTTTCTCGAATCGAGAATTGTCTGATTCTACAATGCCAAGCGTGTGTGTGTGTGGATCTACTTGTCATTCGACTGTTTTTTGCTTTCACAAATGTTAGATGTATTCCACATTGTTGTTCTCTTCGAATTGTGGAGTTTCTTTCGAGGGTGTCTTGGATGAGTGGTTTGTGGATGCTTTCATTGATGCGTGATTCGTTGTTGGAAGAAGAAGAGGAGAGGAGGTTTGAGAAGTGTTGTTGTTGTTGACTTGTTGTTGTTGCATGGAGGGGTCAGTGGTGATCGTTGTTGTAGTAATAGGAGTGATTGTTGTAGTGGTTGTTGCCATGACTGTCTGTCCAGAATCCTCCTTACAACCACCATTGACCTCTTTTCCAATGTCAATGGTGGTCATGGTGATAGAATCATCATCATCATCACGATGATGAGGATTATTATTCTCTTCTTCCTCTTTCCACTCCCTTAGAATGTTACGAACTTGTTTACTCTGACTTTTCAATCGTTCAAACACATCTGTCATGTCTTGCAAACAATGCAATTGAATGTCATCAAATAAATTTGGAGGAATGGAAGTGGGTGATGAGGATTGACTATTATTACTCATCATGACTGATGCAGAGGGTAAATTTGAATTCGAATTGGCATCGACAATTATACTTTTCATAATTTCATCATGAATTTGATCAAGTTTGGGATAATTCAATTCCAAAGGTGAATTTGGTTTCAAATAAGTTTTCAAAATGTGAAGAGAAATGGTTTTTCGATGTTTCAATGATGTTTTAAATCTTTCAATATCTTTGTAACACAATACACTTTCAGGACAATAAGATCTCTTTGCAAAATCAAGTAATAATTCAAAGGTTTTTCTATTTTCCAAAAATCTTTCCAAATCGGAACGTAAGGTATTCTTTCGAGTACCAGTATTGGTGATTTTGGAAGAGATGTGTTGTTGTTGGTGTTGGTGTAGTTTCATTCTCTTATCGGATATGAAATGGTTTCCATTTTTGGAATCAAGAACAATTTGATAAATAATTGGCATGAATACACTCAACACAACCTCACTAAATGAATAACTCATGAGAACAAATCCATAAGGGATGAAAAAATCAGTAATTTTTGTAAACACTGGAACAAATCCACAAATGGCAAATAATAGAATGGCGCCAAATTGAATGGCCACCAAGATTAAGGATTCACGTTTGATAAACCATGTATCTTTTTCAATTCTAAAACATAGAATTAACAATACAATGGCAATGATAATGTAAAAGAGAGATTCACAAGCCACCAGAATCACAATATTATTCGTCATGACACATCCTCGATCGTAGATGAAAAGCCCGCCATCTTGAAGTGTGTGTGTTGGTGTGTGTTGGTGTGTGTGGTTGTTGTTATTCATGATGCATCATGAACAATAAAGTGAGATAAAAGTCATCATAGTGAATTCAACGAGAATTGGATTCATTCAATAAATAATAAATTAAATATAATATTAAATTGGATCATATGAATATAAAAACATTTACCACATATATGGATCCATGTGGACCTCTCATGCAAGGATACTACTTACTTGAACCCATCATAAATCTACCTGAACTACTACTAGTTGCATTACTCTGATAAATTCCTTCCTCGATGGCTCCAAAAAAGATGTAAAGCAAAATGTGAAATAAAAAGCAAACAAAATACACACAAACAATGAATCGGTTTGAAACAAACCAAGTATAAAGTTTGTGTCTCTTTTGTTGAGAAGGTGTAAATTCAGTAGTCACAACAGTGGAATTCCACCAAAGAGCATCCATAGTGTCATCTTTTTGAATGGTATTATTATGAGTATTATTGGTATTCATGAGTGCACTCGTCATTGTGTCAGGATTACCATTATGATTGTTACTACTATTAGTCATACTCATAGTATTGTTGTTACTAATATTAGTCATACTAATCGTATGGTTACTGCGAGGAGATTCATTCAATTCCATATTCAGTGTACTGATGATAGGTGAAGAGGAATGTTGTGTGTGATTCGAAAGATATTTCTTCGGATCGAAAGATGAATCTAAAACCTTGTGTTGTGGAGGAGCATGACGACAAGTCTTCAATGCATTCAATCGATTCATAAAAATCAATCTCCACAATCTCAGCATGGAAGGAAGTAGAATTGCTGGTGGTAACACAAAATAACTAATAATATATAATCCACATGGATATAAACGACGTCCAATAATGAATCTCAAACAAATGAGAATGATGAAAGACGAGTCAGCAATCAAGGTCATGACAATATTCACGAGACCTCTCGATTTCAAATGTCCTCCATTCCTCTTCAAGTAAACACCTAAACTACACAGAAATAGAACCACTACATAACCAATCATAAAGGTCATGCTGAAAGAAAAGACAAGCCAAGTGTCGGGACATATTCCATTAAATACTGTTGGACCATCACGCGAAAAGTTACCTAATTGAAAAAGAAGGGGATTGCATCCACCATAAATGTCGACGATGGTCAGGGTTTGATTGTTGTCGATACTCGAGTATGGAGTGGTAGTAGTAGTAGTAGTAGTAGTAGTGGTGGTGGTGAGAGTTATTGGAGATGATGAATGATGATTCTCTTGTTGTTGATGAATTGAGAAGGATGATGATGACGATGACCACAATGAACTTTCGAAAAGCATTTTTCTCCTCAGATCTCAGTGGGCCAAAGCTTTGAATCACGCGTGATGTCACAGCGTGTGTGTCTGATTGTTGTATCGTCTCGAATATAGAGATAAGAATGACGAGAATGGAAGGTAATGGTGGCTACGCGATGACCAATTTTTTACTTCAATGTTTGAAAGACATGAGATGTATACATGTCTTTCTATAATGCCATCATCAACATCATCATGCCATCATATGATGCACAGTGTATTGGCCAAATCGTTTTCCATCAAATCAGCAAATGGTAAGTCTTACTTCAATTTTACTTTTTCTTAAAAGAACTACTTCCTCCCGCACTACTCTTATCTGTAATCTTCTTAATGAGATTCTTCTTACAAAAGTGACAAGTTTCAGATAAACCTTGTTCATGAGAACAATAACCACAAATCATCTTTTTGGCCATTTGCTCTGATACAGCTGCCTCACATTCCTTTTCATGACAAATGTCACATGGATAGGCTCTTCCACAACAGTCAAATCGAAACCATCTCTTTGAATTTTTGTAATGTTCACACGTTCCAAACAATGGCAGAGGAGCACCTGGATGAATGCCTTTCAAAGCTTTGTGTTTCTTTTTCTTGACGACTGCACTTGATTTGGAATCGTCGTCATACTTTTGTCCAGCATTGTGAGTGATCATGGCAAGATATTCTCCAACAGTTTTCTTTTGAATTTGAAGTAATTGAATGGAAATCAAATGATGACAATAGGCACAATGCATTTCATTGGGACTCTTAATTTTCAAATTTTTCATTTGATTTCCATGACTACAATTAAAACACAACACTTCCAAAATATTTCCTTTAGGGATGATATCCAAAAATGTGCAATTTGTTGTTTCCAAATAGACAAAAGGACATCCTGCTTGAATCTCATTCCCTTTTTTACCCTCAGTAGAAAGACTTGATTCTGTCATTCCAAATGGTTTCATACAGACGGACAACGTTTTTGCACATTTTGGGCATGATTTTTCAACACCTTGTCCAGCTTTTAATTCTCTCATTTCACAATCGTTTTGGCATCGGTCGCATTTGACAATGAAGCTTAATTGTTTCATTTCAAAAATAGAAGCGTTTTTAAGCTCACATCCGGCTGGTAATAACAATAAAGTATCGGAGCTGTTAGATTCTAATAATTCAGGTGGAGGATAATCCAATGAATAAAAGTCTAATTCTGGTATTTCATCATCTTGATCTTCTGAGTTGATGCTCTCTTTTGGATATTTACTAAAATCTATTTGATATCTTCTTTCTGATATGCCATGCATACCTTCCGCTAAATAGGAAGTAAAATATTCCATATTTCCATTCAAAATAATGGTCGTAATGTTCGCATTTTCCCAATTCATAAACTTGGTGATCATTTCACTGGTATTCGAAATAATAATTTTTGTGAGTTGTTTTTGACATGTCTGAATCATGTTCTGGAGCATCACCGGAGCTAATTTGGGTGATTTTTCAGTTGGTGTATAATTTTCAATTCTTATCAATTTACAAGAGTCAAAGTCCGATTTCGTTGGATACATTTCAGTGATTTCAAATACAAATATTAAGCCATCCATCGATGGATCTATTTTAATATCAATATCTGGAATGTGTAATAGAGAGAATTGTAAGGGCCATTTTCCCTTCTCACTCAAAACTTTGAATTTGTATTTCGATCGGAGTTGTAACAATTCATCTTTGGCGAGTGATGAGGCTTGTGGAGAAGAAGAAGAGGAGTGATGATGGTTGCTAATGTTCATTATTTTTTTTTTAAGAATAAATGATTTTATTTTTAAAACATACTCAGCACCAAACGAGTGAACTGCCATTGAAGCACACACCTGTCGAACCACCATCACCATCGCACTCTCTGCTCACCAAAACCACCATCACACTCACACTGCTCACCCCTCCTCACAACTGAGCTGCAATCTTTTGTGAAGATGCTTGATGCGCGCGTTGTTGTTGTTTCATTTCTTGTTCAACACTCTCCAATTCTTCACCATGATACACATACTTGACATTTCGAATATCCACAGGTGCAACATATTTATCAAAACCATGTCGATAGTCATGAATTGGTTTCTCTCCATTTCTAGTAATATAATTAGGATATCTAAAAGGTGGACAACACAAATACTTTTGAATGAAATTCGTTCCAGTGGTCATCCAATGAATTACTACAAAGATTAAATACAATAAAAAGGCAGAAAAGAAACAAATATGATAGGGTGTAATAATACTCAACACTGGTTGATTTGTTGTGGATGGATCATAATTCAAACTGATTGTGAAATAAATTCGAGTGATGGACATTAAAATATATCTCAATAACATGGCCAAGCATAAAAAGTTAATGGCTGTTGGAGATAATAAATCCACTTCTTTGCCTTCTGCTCTGTATACTTTGAGAATGTTAAATTTGTCAATAAAGTAACAAATGATGAGACCTAAAGTGATCATCATGAGAGAGAGTGGAAAGAGACCACTAAATAGAATTCCAATGAACATGTTTTTGAGTTGATAAGAGTAACGATCTTCAAATGTGAGGAGTTTTAAAACAAGTTCAATAGGATAGGATTTCAATAGGATTTCAATAGGATAGGATTTCAATCAATCGGATGAATATCATCATTCTAACTAACACTCACTTACATTCATAGGAATATCTTGGTGGTTCAACAGCTTTCATTAAATCACTACATGAGAATGAGGATTAGGATGACAACATGGAATGTGTGTTAACAACAACAACAACAACAACAACACTCAAACTTACCTTTGAGTCACAGAGGTTGCCACTTTGTACTTTTTCAAAAAGTGATGATAGACCACCAGTAAGGCATCTTTGATGGCATTGGAAGCGATACTTGTACAAGTTATAAAGAAGATGGAACTGTAAAATGCAGAGGACTGTTGTTGTGGTGATTATTGAACATGAAAACATGTTCACGATTTTACATTCCAATAATATTCCAGCATTCACAATAATAATATTATTCCATCATAAATATATACAATTCAATTTTACATTATTCCAATAATATTCAATCATTCACATGTATATATTCCAATAATATTCCAGCATTCACAATAATAATATTATTCCATCATAAATACAAACAATTCATCATTCACATGTATATGCACGCACGTATACAATCCATCATTCCATCATTCACAACTGATTCACTGATAGATGTGTCTATTCATGATGACTTACCTCCACAATGATGGGAATAAAAGTTCTTCCAAAATTAATAGCTCCTTTTGGTATAATCACACTATTGTCAGTAATTTCAGAATAATAAGTTCCTGGAGTAGGTGATTGTAAATAAACAAATAAATAGGCAATCGTTGTGAGGAAGGAACCAAAAGTCACTTTCATCATTAAGCTTTGTTTGGCATTCAAGATGAATCTGTGTTTTTCAAAATTAGAGAATACTATTGAAATGGTGCAAGTGATGATCATATTTGTGACAATTCAAGTCATCCAGATCATATATTTTTGAAAAATGTGACAATTCAAGTCATCCATTAACGAAGTAAATTTGATCATATATATTTGTGACAATGCAGTATTCAAGTCATCATCCATTCGTGTAGTCACATGAGTATTTCCAAAAAAGGATCATAATAGTATTCACACAAAGGTATAGATAATAATAAAGGAATAGATAAAGGTGTCTACCAACATTTCGTAAACTAAAAACATCAATTACATACAGTATAGAGTGTAGGTCAATATTTGAACCAAAATAAAAACTAAAATTGACATTCCGATACTTGCAAATATCTGCCAATTTTGGAAAGATGGATTTTTGATCCACTCAGTGATACTTTTTCAAATTCTCTCAAAATTCAATTTTTTATAACAACAACAACACTTACCTTGTGTCTGCAAATTTATCCTTTTTCACAACTTCTAAAACCACAGCAACAGCAACGACTGCAGCAGAGAATAGAATGGTGAAAAGGGATGATACAGATCTTCGACTATATTTGGAGATGACCGAGTACTCTCTACATATATGGATCATGATAAACACACACAACAAATCAAGTGAAAGATAGAATAATACACAACAAAACAAGTATTAGAGAATAATTTAGAAAACACATCAATATTGACAACACTTACAAATTTTCTATAGAGAGAGAGCGAATAGGTATGTCAATATCCTCAAAATTCTATTGAAATATATATTAAAATAACATACCCCAAATGATATCATGTGGTTCATGAGCTGGTTCTACTCGAATTCGATGTCTCTTCTTTGAATAAGTTCCTTTTTTGGAACAAAGTTTCTGGATGTGAGGTTTGTTGAATGCATGAAGACATTGAAATCTTGCTTTTTCATTCACAAATGCTATGTTTAAGAGTGAATCATGTCGTTCGTTGTTAAACATCATCATTTGTGAGATTAACATTGTCATTCAATCATCATCATCATGAGTGAATCAATCACAACAACATTCATGAACATCATCATGAGTGAATCACAACAACAACATGATCACTTACTAATAAAAGCATCACCAGTGCATCGATAGGCCTTCTTTCTCATAGAATGTGAAATTTCCTTTCTTGTCCAATTCAACATTTGTGTGAAATAAGATCTCTTAATTCTTTCAATCAAGTTTGAAAAGCATCCTCCTCTCTGAATGACAATATCACACTTTTCAATATCTTTAATTAATTCTTCTTTTCTCTTTATGGATTTACTTAAATTACCACTATCAAGAGCAAGAGCAATGTTGTCAATTTGTCCAAATTTAGAAAAGTGTTTGTAGAGTCTCTTTGTGCCATGAACTGCCTCAGTGGATGGTAAATCACGAACATGAACACTGTGTGATAGAATAGATTTAAATTCCAAAAAAAAAACAATACACATTCATCAACACCACCACCACAACATTCAATTGGAATATTTTTACAATTCAATTCACACATCAATTCACACAATTCACACAATTCAATTCACACATAACATAGACACATGTTCAAATGAATGGATGAATATATAGATATATATAAATGAACATGTATCTCAGAACATTCACTTACGAATAATCTGCAACTGAAATAGTTCTCTTTGCTACCTTATCATTCATTCTCTTTGAAAACCACCATAAAAATCTCAAATAGACAATTGAAAAGATACTAATAGCAATTTCAATAGCACCAAATGCAATATTGATAGCACCACTCGAACCTAGACTGAAATTGGCCATACTTGTTTGAAAGAAAAAGGAAGGATTGGATTTCTATGTATCATCATATAATTATTGAATATTCATGATTGTCATCAAAAGAATACAAGTCAGAATAATATTCATATGAATGGATGACATGAATATTCATTTTTAGAATATTCATAAGAATCATAAAAGATATATTACAATGTGAATCTCTGAGCAAAAGAACTCACCTGATAATAAAAATACAAATAAGGAGCATGCAAGGCAGACAAGACCACAAAGAAAATGATGGCCATTAAACTAAAGTATAAATACAACATACTCGATCTACCCAATTGAACAAATTGAGTAAATGGAGTGCAAAAGAAGGAATATTTGTGATTGGTTTTAGGTTTGGTCTATGATGATGGTTGTTATTATTGGTTGTTATTATTGGTTGATGATTGTTGTGGTGTTTCATGTGGTGGTGGTTGTTATTGAATAGGAATCATTCATCAAGAATGTGTGAGAGTATTGTGAGAGTATTGTGAGAGTATTGTGAGAGTATGTGTAATAAATATCATCAAGTAGGAGGTTGATATTCCGAAAAGTTATTTTCAATGTGGGGAATACTCACATAGTACATGCGAGAAGCGTGTTGTCTCGCTGCTGTCAAATTCAAACCATCACTGACAGTTGTCATTTTTTTTTCAGGATTGGAAAACGTTGAGTGTTCGGTTCTGTGGAACTATATGAGACCTAGTTCCTTCCTGTTTCTAATTCAGAAAGAACCATGTTAGTTAACAATAAGTTTCAATATGGTTTGTGTCTAATTAGACTGATGAGAATTCATTATTTCATTAAATTCATTTAAACAACAATTATAAAATATTATAATTAACAATATTAATATTGTAAATTCATTTAAACAATTATATAAACACCTTGTTGTTTCAATAAATACGTTCAATCATCTCGAACTAGTTGTTGCCATCTCGATACCCGTATGTCAAAAGATTCGGAATTTATTGAGAGAATCTTTTAATTTTTTTTGATTTTGATTTCAATTACCTGATAATTTCACAAACTTTGAGTATGGATGGCAGGTAATGGCTGGTTATTCAAACACTAAAAACAACAGCACAATGCTGTAAATGCTCTCAAGTATTGGATTCCATGGGGTCTCTCGGGATCTCTTTTAATTCATCAAGATAATAGGCTATTTTGTTCAGTAGTAAAATATTATTATTTTTAAACAATCCAAGAATTTCAAACAAACAAAATGCCTGAATTGCTATCATCATCATCAACCAAAAGTCGGAAACGGTTGAAAGGAAAAGTTTGTTGTGTCTGTGATTCACAACATGAAAAGTGGACCAAAGGATTTTTGTTAAACAATGAAGGAGCTAAAGTGGCTTCACTTTATTTCCAAAAGCCCAGTATTAGAGCTGATGAGTATTGTTGCAATATAAAGTATTTGAAATTGAAAAAGCATTACCAAAGTGAGATTTCAAAGAAAACAGGAAGGCCAATAAACGAAACTACCAGTTCGAAGAAGAGAAAAGAAACTAATGATAGTGCAATGCAAACAGTGCCTCTACAACAAAGTCTTCAACAATTTCAAGATAATCCAAACCAAACAGTAGAAATTCACTTTCCAGAAAATGGTATTAAAAGTACACTAGTCGTTCATCACAGCAAATAAAAACCGCTGAATCATTCGAGGCTTTTTTTTTGAATATTTTATTGTGATTTTGTTGTTTGCTGGTTTGTGTGACCTGGAGCCGCACAACAAGACATACAAAAATCGAGATGAATTCATGTTCAACAATAAAATTTTTTAAAAAAAAACGCACTACCTGAAAAGGCTTCACTTTTTTCGAGTAATCTGAAAGTTATACACCTCACTGATTGTAATCATCATCCCGACCACATCCACACCACCACCAATATAAAATGGCAGAACGTAAAGTCATTAACAAGTATTATCCACCTACTTTTGATCCAAAACTCATTCCGAGGAGGAAAATTGCAACCACTAATCAAGTCAAAATCCGAATGATGTTACCAATGACCATTCAATGTACTGTATGTGGTGAGTTCATGTATCAAGGAAAGAAATTTAATTCTCGGAAAGAGACTGTTCATGGCGAAGATTATTTAGGCTTGAAAGTATTTAGATTTTATATTCGATGCACAAGATGTGCAAGTGAAGTTACGTTTAAAACAGACCCAAAGAATAGTGATTATGTTGCTGAACATAATTGTGTTCGATCGTATCCATCTCATGCTCGTGTTCATGAGGATATCAATGCTCAACTTCACGATCATGGAGAAGATGCGATGAAAAAATTGGAAAACAAAACTTTGGATTCGAAGCAAGAAATTGAAGATTTGGATATTTTGGATTCTATTAAAACAATTAAACAATTACACAATAAGATATCTGCGGATTCTTTACTTGAAAAATTACAAATTGAACAACAATTTGAGGAAGAGGAAGCAAAATCGTCTGCAGAGCATGAATTTAATGAGGACGAATTGAGGGAAATTCAGGAATTTTCGAGAGGTCATAAGAGAGTGCAGGTGGAGGATGATGATGACTTGGAAGATGGTATTCCATCTCAACAAAATAACACAGCTGATATTCAGTCCGTATCAGAAACAAGTAGTTCATCGTCACCTGAATTATCGTCCCAATCGTCGACGACGAAGAAGAGAGACCAGATTGAAAATAATGGAATGACTAGCAGTAGTTCAGAAGAACTGACCGACATGTCGAACTCTAAAAAAAGAGATAGTTCATTCTTGAAAGATTTGGAAGTACAAACCGTTCAAAAGAAAAAGAAGAAAAAATCAAAGAAAGAAGACTCAAAATCTGCACTTGGTGCTCTTTCGTCTTACTGACATTTTAAGTTCTGGTGATATATCAATCCTATTATAAACTAAAAACATCACTAACGTGCCAATAATATTTTGTTGTAAATATATTAAATTTTAGAAAATTCCACTGCCTTCCTTAATGTCTCTTTCTGTCACAACACCACCAATTTGCTTCTTTTCAGCATCAAAAATAGAAAGAGGGAAGTTATCCTTGTAGTATGGAACATTATTCTTGCCAACCTTCAACACTTCCAAAATGTTCTTCAGTGGTCCTTTTTTGAGAACTTTTTCAGGTTTAAAGGCAGTACCCTTTGGATAAACTTGTGATCCAAGAGGAACATCTACAGATGGTATCACAAGTGAGACAAGTCCGCCATCTTGTTTGGATGCTAAAAGCATACCTTCACTTTCAACATCTTTAAGCTTGGCAACAACTAAATTGCATGCAACCACAACTTTCTTTCCAATCAAAGATTGAGGATCTGGATAAGCTTCTCTCAATCCACCAACAATATTTCTCTTAATATTATCAGCAATCTTCACAGTGAAAACATATAACTTGTCTGCCTTTGGATGCTCCTCAACGGTTTCAATTTGACCAACTCTCAAATCTAATTGGAAAATTTCTTCTTCACCTCCACCAAAGCGTTTCTTCCATTCTTTCACCTCAGTATCTTCAATCTTTTTGAACAAACCAGTTGGTTCTCCAATAACATGTCCAGCAGGAACTCTATTCAAATCTAATTCATCTAAAATAGAATTTGTTCCAGTATAGTTCAGTTGTTCATTCAATTTTCTGCAAAAACCAGGAATAAATGGTTCCAAGAGAGCAGAAAGTGTCGCAACAATTTGAACACCCAAATTAACAACAGTTGCACATCTGGAAGTATCTTTCTTTGCCAATTCCCATGGCTTTTGATCTTGAAGATATTGATTACCAATCTTACTGATGAGCATGGTTGTTTGTAAACCTTCCTTCAATCTCACATTTTCTAAACTTTCAATATATTCCTTAATTTTGGTATTGATAGAAGAAATTACATGTTTGTCTTCCTCAGTATATTCTCCTTCCTTTGCTGGAACAGTGCTGTTGAAAGTATTTTGAACAAACTTCAAAACACGGTTGGTAAAGTTACCGAGATTGGCAAGAAGCTCATTATTGTTCTTAGTTTGCAATTCAGACCATTCGAAACGAGTGTCAGAGTGTTCTGGTCTCATAGCAATAAGATAATATCTCCAAACTTCAGATGGAATTCCAGTATCTTTTGCTTGATCTCCAAAAACACCAGTTCCATTGGTCTTTGAGAACTTTAAGTGTTCATAATTCAAATATTCAGTACTGGAGAGTACATCTACCAACTTCCAATTCTCACCTGTGCCTAACAAACTGGATGGGAAAATCACAGAGTGGAATGGAACATTGTCTTTACCCATGAATTGATAGTACTTGACGTTGGAAGGATCTTTCCACCACTTTTCCCAAGCAGATTCATCTCCTAATGAATTAAAGAAAGCAGCAGTAATGGAAATGTAACCAATTGGTGCATCAAACCAAACATAAAAGACCTTATCTATGAATTTTTCAAGCGGAACAGGAGTTCCCCATTTCAAGTCTCTTGTGATGCATCGCTCTTCAAGACCTTTTTCAAACCAAGATTCAGTAATTGTACGAGCAACTGTTGTCCACAACGAAGTATCCTTGTTATTTTCGAACCAATCTTTTGTCTTTGATTGCAACTCTTGTAATTTGATGAAAATGTGGTCAGTCTCCTTGAGAACAGGCTCAGAATTGCTAATTACTGAACGTGGATTGATTAATTCAGTAGGGTTCAATAATTTTCCACACTTATCACATTGATCTCCACGAGCATCTTCATAACCACAGCTTGGACAAGTTCCTTTAACAAATCGATCAGCCAAAAATTTGCCACTTTGCTCGTCATACAATTGTTGAATTGTCTTTTCACTCAAATAACCATTGCGATAGAGTTTCAAGAAAATATCTTGAGCAATTTTGGTTTGTTGCTCCGTACTAGTTCTTCCAAAGTAGTCAAAGGCAATATCAAACCACTCATAGACTTCCTTATGGAGTTTGTAGTACTTGGTACAAATTTCTTGAGGGGTTAATCCTTCTTGATAGGCTTTTGTTTCGGTCGCAGTACCATACTCATCAGTACCACAAATATAAATTGTATTGTATCCGCGTTGTTTACAATATCTGGAGAAGACATCAGCACTGAGAACAGCACCAATAATATTACCCAAGTGAGGATAGTTATTTACATAGGGTAACGCGCTTGTAATCATGATGTTTCTCTTTCCTGGTTCAGGGATTGGAATTTTAGTTTCGGATGAAGAGAGCATTTTAGCGGAGGGTGATGATGGTGGAAAAAGGCTTTGAGTATTTTTTTCTCGTTTCGAAAATGGTGGAGAGAAGCCTCGCTACTCGCTTTTTTATGGGTGTCTTTTCAAAGATCTATCAGGATCGAGTTGTGGTTGTGTTTAACGTGCAATCTGATTCAAGTTTGTATTTTTAGAACTACATTCCAAAATTCATTTGGTCATGATTGGAATGGTCACCAAGTCCTTGTCAAGTTCGTTCCTTCAACTCTCTCTGTCACAATTCATTAAATATCTTTGGATAGCATTTCATTCTCGATACTCCAACAAGAGAATTTGAATTTTACAAAAAATTACAAGTTTCAAATATCAGTTCAAAACCTTGATTCAAAGAAAACATTGTTCTTGTTGCACAAAGCTATATATGGTAAATATGGATTTTATAGAGTGATTCATGGAGGTACTTGAGAGGATGAAGTGTTAATGTGTTGTCAATGTACACCTTTTCCAAATCAATCCTTACCCTTCTCCTGAGTTGCTAATATTTTGTCTACTTCCAACTTTCAAAGTCGAAAAAGAACTCTTAACAAAAACGAGGCTTATTCAAGAGTCTTGACAACTCATCATTTCTTCCTTAATAATTCGAGGCATGAACCAAATTATGTGTTTTGATGAAAGTGAGTCTCTATATTGAATCTCAAAGAGCTCTGAATTCCTATAAAATATATAAAATAGTTCTTATTAGCTTGAACCTCTTTCATTGGACTTGCATCGTTTATATAAAGTCAACAAGAACAACAACAGCAATACTACTACTACTCGTAATAATGATTTCTCTAAAATTTATTTGAAGAAGAACGCAACATGATCGTATTTCCATATCGACATTTCACACTTGCTTGTTGTGTCCATTCTTCCAATTGATCATCGAATGGATATTCCAATTCAGATACTTGACTCAATTCAATCGAAACAGATCCAATGGGTGTCTTTGAAATGATTGCTTTCACTAAATGATAATTATTTCTACTTGTGAAGAGTGAAATTTCAGTATCAAATTCACGTCCAAATAATTCTCTTGTTTTAATGAACCACTCTTCACAGTGAACTCCATTCACAATAGCAAATCCTTTGAATGTGATTTGATAGATGGGATGATTAGATACTTGTTGTAATTTCAATTCAAGTGGAATTTGAGAGAGATGAAGTTGACTTGTTAAGAATAAACATTTTGAATCAACCAATAAATAGACACTTAAAAATTTTGTAAAATAATTTGGAATGACTACTAATTCATAGGTTCGATTGGAGTTCATTTGTGATTGTGCTTTGGCATAGACTTTTCTTTTCAAATAATCAAATAATAAAAATCCAGAAAATTCATGAATGACTCCAGTATTAGCATCTTGATTTTCAATTCGAATCTTTGAATAGAATCGAGACTTGACTGTTGGATTAACAGTAAATGTTAAATCTTGTTTGATTTCATTGGATTCACATGTTCTATGTTCGAGGGTTAATTTTGGATTTAAATTCGAAGGTGCAATTCCAAGTGTTCCCCATGCAAGTAATTGTTTTGATTGTTTAAGTGAAATGGAGAAGGCTCTTCCTGCAATTTGTTTTAGAGAATTGAATTGAGGAGAGGAAAATGTAAATTGTTGAGAATTGATGATAGATTGGGGTGGATGATAGTCCATCTCCATGATGGGTACTCCTAATTTAGAAATATCTCCACCCTCATGAATAGAAATGACCATATTCGATAAAGATGTGTCGTGCAATAGTGCCGAATTCAAATGACACATTTTCAAGTACATGTTGAATGAAGAGGAGGAGGACAATGAATCTTGCTGATCTTTTTGAGGAATATTCACAGATTCAATAATCACTGTTCCATTCACTGGTTGTGAGAATGGATTTGTACCTTTCACATGAGCCACAAGTTTGTTGAAGGACGTTGTTGAACTCTCCATTGAGGAGGACTTCGACGACCATTGAGGTGAAAGGTGATCAATGGCATTGCCACTGCTGAGGGTGGTGGTGGAAATGCTACTACTACTGTCACTTGTTGTTGTGCTACTACTCCTACTGGTGGTAGTACTGGTGGTGGTGGAAATGCTACTACTACTTGTTGTTGTTGGTAGGACTGCAATGACACATTGTCCAATTCTCATGGTACCATTATTTTCAAAGTGATGTACAATCATGGATCTTCCAATAATATCCTCCAAGGAGAGTACTGAACTTGCATGAGAATATTGTTGAAAACTTAGAATATAATTCACTTTCAATGTATCTTGAATTGAGAGAGGTGAAAGAGTAGCACCAACATCTTTTGAATTCATTTCTAAATGTCCACCCACACTCATCCCATCATTTTCCAAAATATTTCCAAATTCATGAATGTGAAGTGGTAGAGAACGTTTAGAAAATTCCAAAGTGTTAAAACCAATAATACTTCCATTAATGTAGAGAAGAAATTGTGAAGTATCACCGCTACTACTACCACTATTGAATTGTTGTTGTTGTTGTCGAGAGGAGGTCCATGGTACAGTAAAATAAAAAGTTCCATGAAGTGATGGTAAATGAAGGGTGCCACGCATTCGACAAATGGCCATTGAAATTGGTTCGGAATTGGTAGTAGTAGTAGTTGGAGTGGTGGTGATGGTGGTAGTAGGAGTGGCCAATGATGATGATGATTCTGAATAAACATGATCACGAGACAAGAAGAATGTGAGGAGAGTGACAATAAGGATCGATCGTGTGATGATGGTCAATAAATGATGATGAGATTGGATAGGATGCAGCATGGATCGTTTTGGTCTTGTTGGGTGCGACATTGTATTTCACTAGCAGTAGTAGTTGTAGTTGTAGTATGACGAACGATCGGGTCGTGATGATCACTGGCCACTCAACAAGTGGTGGTGGTGTTCACAAATGAGAATCGGAATGAGAAATTTTAGTATTTTTTAAGACGTTGTTGTGGTATTGCAATGAAATCTTGATGTGTGTGTTGGAATGGCCAATAGTGACCTGACAGGTCTAACGATGCGTATCATTATCATTTTCACATTCCAAATTCACACAAAATACTCGAAATATTCACTCTTCTTCATAATATTCGTCACATCGAACACCTACACCTGCCACTTGATTCGACATGAAATATTCAAATCCTTCCTTTTCCAAATCAGATTTCAATAATTCTTCCACTTCATCCATAGGTGGATTGGGCAATAAGATGAATCCACAACCACCACCACCTGCACCTGTCAATTTTGCATGTAAACCATATTTAGATGCAATTTCACATATTTTATCCAATTTGGGATGACCTGTTCCAATCTCATTCAATAGCACGTGATTTCGATCAATGAATTGTTCCATTTTATCTCTCAGTTCAGTAGAGAAGGAACACTCGGAAGTATTTTGTTGATAATTCTTTTTCAATAATTCCAAATAGTCTTGAGAAATTTGTTGAATTTCATTCAATCTATTTTCAATACTTTCAAAATCTTTTTCTCTTCTTTCTCTCACTCCTGCAACAATTAATTTGGTATTTCTTTCAACACGTGTATTCACAATCAATATACGCATATTCGGTAACATTTGAGGTGATAAATGTTCTTGAACTTTTCCTTTTGAAAAACTCAAAATACCTCCAAAGGTAGAAACTGAATTATCAATACCTGATGGAGTACCATGAATTAATTGTTCAACAAAATAGGCCCATTTGTTAATGAGTTCTAACTCGACAGTGTTTTTCTCTTGTTTCTTATCACTGTTGTGATATTGAATGGATGAAACAGAAATTTTCTTAAATAAAAGTAAAAATGCAGAAACCAAACACACAGAAAAAGAGGCAGAAGAGCCCAAGCCAGCACCAATCGGAAGATTTGTACTTGATAAATCAATTCGAATCGAGTAGTCTTTGGGAGAATTTAAGAAACGCATTCTTGTATCATCTTGGAGTAGCAGTAGTAACAGGTACACATAGAGAACGGATACAATCGATATCATCTTGTTATACTCCATAGCAGCAACACTTGTAGTGATTGAACTAGTTTGAATACATTGTTTGGTGAATTCTACTAATTTATCAACCATTCCACGATCGGGCTTATCGGGTAATACGGTTGTTGAGGTTGCCGTAGATGAAACAATTGTTGTTGGCGGTATTAATTGATGAATAGACTCGAGAGGAATGACAAGTTCTTCTTGAAATCCAATCGAAGGAGCATTAAAAATAAGACTAGGAGGTTTCGTATGGATGTTGTTATTGGATGATGATTCAGCCACTTTCAACAATTCCAATGTAATACTTGTTCGGAGATCACTCAAAGATGTTGCAATAGCATTCTTTCCGTACACAACAGCATGCTCTCCGAAAAGAATTAATTTACCAGGTGCAGAACACACAATTTTGGTGTGAATGGGTGAATGAAACGAAGAAGGAGGCTTATGATCGTTGAGATTCATTTTTTATGATTTTATGATTCAAGCTGGAAGGTTGAAAATGCTGTTGAGCCTTGAGAAAAATCAGACGATCAGCGAGGAACAACACCCTGATCGTTCACAGGTGGAGCTCATCATCACTATCAACATAATTATTAGGAACGATGATGATCTAGATGACGGTGATGGAGTCCTTGCACATCCTGCAGTCCCTTCTTCTTTCAAATTACCCAAATTTGATCCTTACGTGCTTCAACCCATTCCTTCGCATGGCAACATCATGTTGAACAATTTTAGATAAAAGAATCACCCAATATTCGCAACGAACGCAAAATCAAAACCACCTGAACACGCACTCCATTCACCATTTAGCATTAGGATCCTCCTCTCGCAAAAAGCATAAAAAAATGTCTCAAAAGCTCATTCGTACTACTTGTGTTTTTCTTTCCAAGAGAAATGTACGATCTTCTCCAACCACCACTCTCTTCTCTCAATTTGTAAATAATCAACAACAAGTGAGAACAAAATACAGCGAGAAAGTGATTGATCATCACAAGAATCCAAGAAATGCCGGATCATTGGATTCCTCAAATGAGAATGTAGGAAGTGCTTTGGTTGGTGCGTAAGTATTCCGATTTGTTGATGGAAGAATTTTAATCTTTTTGCTTCTTTTCAATCCTATCATACAAAATGATTCTTGAATGCCATTTGACATTATTATGATGATACGATTGATTTTATAATGATTTACAATAATATTTGTGTCCTGAACATTGCATTTCTATGAATTTATTTTGAAAATTCATTTACGGTCGAAATTCTTAATGTGGAAATGATCTTTGAAATCTTGTATTAACCTGTGTCATGTTGCATCCATGATGAACTGACTTTCGCGTGTGTGTTATATGCTGATGGATGGAAATACTTGCGTGGAAATGATTTCTAACCTGCGTAGTCCATCATGTGGAGATGTCTTAAAATTCCAAATTCTTGTAGATGACAATGGTCGAGTCATTGATGCTAAATTCAAAGCCTTTGGTTGTGGAAGTGCAATTGCATCTTCGAGTTATGCCACAGAACTTGTAAAAGGTAAAACTATTGAGGATTGTATGATGATTACAAACAATGATATTGCCAGTCATTTGAGTTTACCACCTGTCAAGAAACATTGCAGTTTATTAGCAGAAGAGGCAATTCGAAAGGCCACTGAAGATTACATGAAAAAGAAACAAGCAAAGAAAGAACAACAAACAAGCACCACTGGCACCACTAGCACCACCACAACAAATACCTCTAACGACTCTTCATAATAAAGAATTTAAATCTCTCCTATTAGGCTGTGATTTGAAACTCAACATGTTCAACACTTTCACTGAACACACACCACTCGCATCAACACCCACAACAAAAAAAATGACCATTCTCTCCTCCAACCACACACCACACACTCCCTCCAGCAAAAAGAAAACTTCTCTTCAACAACCAGGGATGTTATTGAAGGAAAAGTCAAACAATACCAATAGTAGTAGTAGTACTCCCATCAACACAGCTACCACCACAACAATAACAAATAACTCTCCCAATCATCCCAGAAACAAGACCACCACAATGACCACTCCGAGCCATCATTCCATTCAATATCAAATTGGAGGATCTTTCAATTCACGTCCTCTTCTGTTGGATGATGAAAACATCTTTTGTGTTCCACTCTCACAGAATATTGCTGTCTATTCAAATAGCACTGGTAAACACATTCATACCATTACATTCCATAAAAAGAAAGTAACACAAATTATTAGAGATCATTCTGACAGCAATGATTGTTCATTATTCAGTGTCTCTGAAGATGGATATTTGTGTCATTGGAATATCATGGTTGAAAAAAATCAATCTCAATTACTAAAACAAGTGAATATTGGAAAACCAATTTATGGAATTCAACAAGACAAGTCAAATGCTCAAATTTTATATTTGTGTGTGTTGGACCATTTTTATAGTTTTATCAAATTGAATATTCATCAAGGGGTTCTTACACAAGAAAAACCATCATTACACCTCGAGGGTCATACTTTTATGACATCTACAACTAGTTCTGTGACTCCTTCTTCCATGACATCTTCCTATCTCTTACAAATGTATCAATTCACACAAATGAACATTTCAAAGACTCATTTGTTTGCTATTGGTGGTGTTGATCTCTATATTTACAATTTAAAGAAACAAGAATTAGAAACAACACAAACCAATGAAGGAATTCCTTTAACAGCAATGGCATTTTGTGAAGAAAATGAAATTCTTGCAACAGCAGATGCACGTGGTGTCATTTCATTGTGGTTTTCAGATGGAACAAGATCTTCTCATCACTGGCATCCATCTATTGTTACATGTTTACAATTTAGTGAAGAAGGTGATTATTTATATTCGAGTGGTGTGGAAGGAGTGGTGGTGTGTTGGAGATTACCATCACAAAAGAAGGATAAATTTCTAGTGACTGATACAGCCATTCAACAATTTACATTGAGGTAAGTGGAATGATGTCATTCATTGAGCAGCACTGTATTCTTTGAACGATACGATTCATGCATGACTCATTCTCGTGATATTACAACGACTTGCCATGTATTTGATCATTTTTCATAACCCTTACATAACCCTTATATACCCTTGTCCTATGACACCACCATCACCACCATCACCACCATCATCAATCCCTCATCAATCCCTCACACAGTTCCTCACAAGATGTCATTCTCGTATTAGGAAAAGATAACATTATTCGAAAATATGAATTTGCTAGATTCTCTCTTCTCTATAGAATATTTGGTATGAATACAAATTTAGATCAAAAACAAGTCGATCAAATTCAAGTCACTTTAGAACCTCATTCTTCAAACATACTTGTGAGTGGTACTGACTCTCTTCAATGGTATAATATTAATGATGGAAGTGTGAAACATTATGAATGTGTTCAATTTAGAGATGTGAAATATGATCCATCTCGTTTTCAAGAGACTCTTCCTGTAAGAACCATCATTGAACACATTGCCTACAGTTCTGATGGTCAATTTATGGCACATGTGGAGAGTTTTGGATCTTACAAACAAAATTTAAAATTCTGGCAATGTTCAGGAATCAAGTCATCCAATAATATTCATTTAAAGCCTCAATTAGTGACTGTGATTGACTCCCCTCACCAACAACGGATGACGCGTTTACTATTTGTTCCATCCAAGAAGAATTCCTTCGTGAACCGCCAAAACCAACCGTATCATAACCGCCAAAACCACCACTACAATAGTAGCTGCTGTTGTTTGACCTCTTCACTGGATGGTAAAATTAGAATTTGGAAATTATCCGCCAACACTCAATTATTCTCTTGCAGTGCCATTATTGAATACAAGAACTTGAGTGCAACATCCTTTGATGTGTCGAGCGATGGTACCTTATTAGCAGCATGTTTTGGGTGTGAAATTACACTTTGGGATTTACAATCATTGGAATTAATTGAATCATTTTCATATCCCTATTCATTAAGTGATTGTAAATTTGTCAATGATGATTCCATTGCTGTGATCTCTGATCGATACATTTCACTCTTCTCAATTGCATTTGAATCAAAGAATGTATGGAGTATTGATGCTGGACATGTAGAAGGATTAGTTTCAAATGGTGGTTGTGGTAAATTTGCCGTCATTATGAATGGAAGTGATATTTGTCAATTTGATTTGAAGAGTACAAAAGATGCAACAACTCTTCCTCCCTTGAGGATGCATCTCGAGACAGATCACTTTGTGAATGCCTTATTCTACTACAAGAAGAAGAGTGATTCAATCAACCAACAAGATCATGACAACCATGAGGAGGAGGAGGATGAATTGTATTTTTTGAATAAGCAATTCGAAGTGTATCGAGTGGTCAAAGTAGAAGAAGCAGCAGAGGAGTCATCTGATGGAGTTAGGAAAGGAGCATCATCATTCTCTTCGACTGCAACCCATGATGTCATGGATCAAGACACGTCCATGAGTCGTTGTGAGGAGGATGAGAAAGATACTGCTGATAGTGCAAGTACTACTACTACTTCGAATTCCTCTTCCATCTATGAAAAGAAATGGCCATCCAAAGAGAGTTTCAACAAGATATCACTCATGGACATTCAAAAAGTCATTACTACTCCATTCTCTACTGAAAAAGGTAATAAGACATGGAAAGAAATTTTCAGTGCACCTTCGCATTCACTCATTTCTATGAGCAGTTGCTACACCACTTTTATGAATAGTTTTGTGTTGAGAGGCTCACAACAACATTCTGTTGAGCATAAGAAGAAGAAGAACAACAACAACAACACTGAGATGACAGATTCGTCCACGAACTCTAGTTTGGCTCACTATGCCACAAGTGTTACCACCACTACTACATCACAGATACCATCACTTGCACAACCATCCTCAACATCCTCAACAACGAATGAGAAACATCATCAATTACACCAACACACCACTACTAGTAGTAGTAGCAATTCCATGTCCTTACCACATGATGATCATGTTGAACTTCCTAGTGCTGATTTAATTCGTTTCCTCAAATCCTACGCTGCTACACACAACAAGCAATAAAAGCACTCGAGAGAGCACACGGACAGTGGTTTATTTTCTCTTACTCTCGAATTACATACACATCATCAATTCATGATTATTGTTTACCATTGGAAACCCTTGGGTTTATGAGATCCACATGCATTGAGAAGCCTCTTTTCCAATTCATCGACTTTAATATCCTCCACGCTTGTAATCTCCATGGTTACATGTACATTCAAACCACTCTTCACGGCATTGGTGATGGCATTTCGCAATGAATTCAAATCTCTTCTCAACAAAGGCTTTACATTCACTCCAACAAATGGTAATTGTACATAGTAGGTTCTTTGAGTCTCAACAGAGTCATCTTTATCAATGGATTTTACAGCAAAGAGGGCAAGCATGACTTTAGAAGCATCAAGATGAGCCCGTACATCATCCAACCCACTTTTCATTTAATTGTACAATGAATATGATGATGATGTGTGGTCCATACATGTGCGGTGGTACATTCATTATTAAGGAGAGTTGTTCAGTAAGAAATGAATCAAGGATGATGATGAGGTAGACAAGTCTTCAACATGCACACTTACTTTACTCCTTCATGTGTAATGATGGCTACTTTGTTCTTATGGTCCCATTCGAACACGACGGATTTTGTATCGTCTTTATGAGAGAAGAGTTTCTTAAGGGCTTCCTCAATGTTGGACATTTTTTTGAAAAATGTTTAACGTTCGAGATGAGCCTGAGGCTCGAACGTTTTGGAAAGTGAATGAGGTTAATGAGAGAAATATATGTATTCAGCCGCTGAATTGAAAAATTAGGAGGTGATTCTTTTCATGTTTACGATCGATGGTCAAATTGTGTTGATTGATCGATCTTTCATCGAGTGATCACTTTACAAGAGATGATGTGTCTCTCCGTGTTTCACCACCAGAGTAGTCCATCGTCTCTCCATTCCCGCCAACATCATTACTGGTTTACTCATCTCCCGAAATTACAACTCAAAAAAAAAGATTATTGGCAATCATCATCATCATCATGGGTAATACCTGTGCCGTAAATCAAAACAACAACCTTGCCGAGGAAGACGACTTTGCAGAAAATGGAAGATTCAATTCCTATCTAGCAACACTTCCCAAGTTGTTTACCGAAACAACCGTTCAAGGAGATAAATACTTGTGTACTGCCTATGTAACTTCGAATTTTAAATCGGTGGTCTTTGCTGTCGCTGACATTAAGAAAAACTTCTATATGAAACAAGTTTCTCGAAAGAAATTGGCTGAAATTGTAAGTTCCAAGTTGAAATGTTGAATAATGACCTTTTTCTTGATTCAGAGAGACCGATTAGACGTAAATAATACAATTGGATGGATGAACTTCTTTACTGCTCTCAAGTATGCCTTCCTCAACAGAAAAGTATCTCTCAAAATGCACGTGAATGAAGAGGAATGTCTTTTTAATATTGATTTGAATTTTGCCGTCATTGGACGAACAAGCCTCTCATTGCCATTAAAGAGAGATAATGAGGCTTTGCAACATTTGTCGCTCTACTTTGTCAATCCACTTTATGACTTTTATAGTGTCAGAACGGAGTCAGCTCCTTTAGAAAAATTGGAACAATTGGAGAAACAAATTAAACTTTATAAAGACAAGATTGCAGAAGTGGAGAGAGAAATTAAGGAAAAGTATCCTGATTCCTCAACTCCTGAAGAAGATGATGATGTTTTGGATGAACTTGTTGACGAGGATGCTCCAGCCAAAGCAGAACCGATGAAACAGCAGGAAAAGCAACCACCACAAAAAGAAGAGCCAACTCCTCCACCAGAACAAAGTATCACTAGTACCGTAGATAAAGAAGAATATGTCAATTTTGAACAAGAAAAGGTCATTCGATTCCTCTCTGATATTATGAAGAAACTATCAGATAATAACTCGATCACAATGAAAGAAAAACAAAGCTTTGAACGCATTATATCCATCCTCTCTCACGACAGTCAATACAGTGTGCATTTTAACAAGGACCTTCTCAATGAAATGGATATGGATGTACTTGAATGGGCAAAGATTAAGTTTGCAACGAATGAACGACCAATTGTGTTACGGGGAGAGGACAAACCCATTGAATTTATGAACGTTGAGGATGCAAAAAGATATCTAGAGAGCTCACAAAAATTGTTGACTGAACCTAGGGAGCAAATACTTGCTATTTTTGACAAACTTGATTCTTGGAGCTTTGATGCAGTTGAGTTGTTCAATGCTACTGGAGGAAATCCATTGTTTGCAACATGCTTTACACTTTTCTTGAAATACGATTTTATGCGCAAATTTAACATTCAAGAGGAACTTCTTATTAACTTTTTAAGAGAACTTGAAGCTGGATATCATCCTAATCCTTATCACAACAATGCTCACGCAGCTGATGTGTTACAAGCAACTCACTTTATCATCAAAGAAGGAGGATTATCCGAACGATTAACTGATGAGGACTGTTTTGCTGCCCTTTTATCTGCAACAATTCACGACTATGATCATCCTGGTTTGAACAATGCATTCCAAGTCAACACTAGAAGTTATTTGGCAACTCTTTACAATGACAGAGCAGTCTTAGAGAACCACCACTGCGCTCAATCTTTTGAATTGATGAGACAAGAAAAATTCAACATTCTGAGTGGATTGTCAACTGAACAACGAAAAGATATTCGAGAAACAGTCGTCGAAATGCTTTTAGCAACAGATATGGGTCAACACGCAAAAATTGTTGGAAAATTCAAAGGAAGATTGGAAGCGAAAGCAGACTTTAAAGCAAAAGACGACATTAGATTGGCTTTACAAATTGCAATCAAGATGGCAGACGTGAGTAATCCTGCTAGACCAATTGGTATTGCTTTGAAATGGACTGAAAGAATTACTGAAGAGTTTTTCGCTCAAGGAGATTTAGAAAGAAATTCTGGTTTAGCCATTTCTCCAATGATGGACAGAGCAACTCAGCATGTCGGAAAGGGCCAAATTGCATTCATCAATTATCTCGTGACACCAATGTACGAGGCATTCTTTACCATTGCTCCTAAAATGGCATTCTGCAAGAAATATATTGATAATAACAAGTCGTACTGGGAATGCCACGCCGTTGGAGACAAGAATGACTATGGCAAATTGTGGTGGGATCCTCCAGCAGCAGAGGAAAAGAAGGAATAACTCGGCAATAAATTTTTATGTAAATATGGTGACTTTATAACACTCAAGTAATCATTGCATAGTAATACCCGAACACTTCAAATTCCCTGTGTGTTGTTGATTGTTGGTAGCATTAATTGATTACATTGAGGACATGATTTTCGATAAGAATTCTTGGAATGCAACTTGAATTTCATTGTGACATGTTGGTGCTGAATTGAAAATAACAATTTCGTAGAGCATAAAGGAAATGACAATCAGTATAGATTGGTTGCAAATGGAGTTAAGCATCACATTTCCTTGAATGTCACTCATCATTCCAGTATTATTGTTTTTCTGCCCTTCCTTAGCTGGTGTGAACAATTTTCCAAAGAGCTGTTGGGAGAGTTTTGCAACAAATTGAGCAATCTTTCCGTACATGTCCAACAACAGCGCCTTTACAGTGTCAATGCCAAGCGAGTTGGATGGACTTTCATTTTCAATAATCTGAGCACTCTTCTGTAACATGAGTTCTGTTTGGCTGCTTTGTAATGCAGTTGTTTTAATTTCTTCATCCATCAAGAACATGGTGTTGGTGCCATAAAATTGTTTTCCTTCAAATCTGTTGACATTTAGAGTCGCAGATTTGAAATTGCAATTTTCGGAAGGCTTTTCTGTACTCTTGTCAACATTCCTACTGGTAGAAGAAGGAGATGAAATTCGTGACACACTCGTTTTGTTTGTTGTTAGAGAACCGCTTGTTGTTGCAATGATATGACTTGTATTACCACCACTGCCACTGCTACTACTATTACACACTTTAGTTTGATGGGTTTTGAGCATTGATTCATTCATATGCTGTAGAATAATTTCCATTATCCTTGGTCCCATCTCCACAAGCACTTGTTTACCAACTTTGGACACTACAGAATTGGATGAGACAAGTTGATTGTTGGAACAGAATTGATCGAATTGATGGACATCAAGAATGTTGTTATTATTAGGTGCTGTTAAAATCACATGATGTGATGGTAGAATGGAAGTGGTATGATGTTGATCTGCAATGAGAATAAGTGTTGTTGTTGTTGTTGATTGTTGTTGTTGTTGATCATCGGAAGAAGAAGAAGACGATGTTGTCTCTCTCTTTATACCATAAGAGACTTGTTTCAAGCCATTGATCAAGGCCTGATTATTAACGATACGTTTGAACATGATGATAGTGAAGGTGGTATTTGATATTTACAGGGAGTGATAAATGTACATTCAGTAATATATAAATATATATAATATGATACTAATAATCTAAAGGACTAGAGAAAAAAGATTCGGTTGGAATCAATCAACCATTAAGAGAGGGCAGAGAGAGGGTTCACAGTGATTGCCAATCACGTTAACGATCGATCGTGACGTACGTACGAGCAGCAGCTGCTATCGAGACACGTTTCTCACTCTAGTGCTGCTGAAAAAGATTTCAACCGAATTTTTGTTGATGATTCAAAAAGCGCACACGATGAGAGTTTGCATTCTGAAATGGCGGGACATCCCGATTTGGTCAACGTCCAATTTAATTTAGTGACTCGTTCGATCACCATTCCATAGTATATACTACTCTACTCATCATCCTTCAGGTTGTGCCTGTCATTTCGTTTAAATTAGAAAGAGTTTATTGCTATTACTACTAGTGATGTGACACAAAGTGGTCTTGTATCATTCTTAATAGGTAGTAGGTGCATCCAGACTCACCGCGTGTCTTTAAAAAACAATTTGATTCATTAGGAACAAACAAATCAATATCACAATTCCACCATAATTGAAGGACATGGCAACTGGAGCAGCAGAAAATCGAGCATTTCTAACAGTCAAAATAGCCTTTTGTCCTCTATTGGAGAAGTTATTGTTTCTGGTGGACATGTAATAGAATTTACCAGAAGCATACATCTTGACCAAACCAGCATCAAAGTATGGTCCATAAGGAGTATTAGCAAGTTTACCACAATTTTGATCATCCAATTCAGCTGCAGCAGTGTTTTGGTTATTCTTTGCCAAGAGTTGAGCCTTAGAGAGACAAGCCTTTGGATTCGTGGTTGAGTTATCGTAAATATTTTGACCTAAAAAGGCTAATTTGTGAACCAAATCCTTATCGACTTTACCATCTTCAGTCAAGAACATGGTAATACCACTGAATGGACGAGGAGTATTCAAACCAGCAACATCCATTTGAACAATGTTAGAACGATCAGCACGATAACCACCTTGAGCTGGATCCTCTGGACCTCCTTCTGCATTGTTTGGAGTACGATTAGGATTGTAATCAGAACCAGTCCATTGCATGTGAATCAAATCATCTCCATTGACTTCCAAATTAGTTGGTACAAAGTCATACTCCACACTTGGATACACATTGACAATGTTACCTCTCTTACCACGAACATTCAAATTGTGAATGGTCACATAGGATGGAACATTTTGTGGTCGTTCCTTAATGGCAAAGACATAACTTCGATCTTGGAAAGTTCTACCATATTGATTGGTATTGACAGCAAGATGGAGAGGATGATCATAACCAAATTCAGTCCATGGATCTTGACGGATTGGAGTCATGGATGGAGTCTTGGAAGTGACACCAAGATAATTATATCTCCAATCCAAGAAGAAGGGAATTTCAGTGGTGGTAATATTGTAACGGAATCTCAAGACACAATTGTTGTGATGAACCTTATTGGTGAATGGATCCTTTGGCATATCCTTCACGAATGGAATCTTCCACTTGTAAGAGGCCATTTCACCACTTCCATCTGCAGCATTACCCAAGTGATTGTCACGTGAAGCAATCAAAGAAGTGGAGAGACATTCAGGTGGAGGAACACCCCAAGCAGGAACAGTGACCCACTTGTTGTTCATGTTGACACCTTTGGCATCTGTGGCACTCAAACAATCCTTAATATTGTTATATCTCAGATAGGTGGTTTTGGTAGAGTCCCAACATTCACCACGTCCAACTACGTTTTGAGAGTTCTCTTGATACCATTGACACATGGAGGTATTTGAAGTAAAAATAGCAATATCCACCCAAGGAGAGAAGTGCCAATAAGGATAATAGTCATGTTCTTCAGTACATTCGAAACCAAATCTTTCACCACCGTTGTTTTGACGAGTGAAGATGGCACTGTTACCACCCAAACCACGATCAGCAATGTAGAGACCCTTATTACGATCACGAATGGTGCACTTTTTGTAGTTGTCAAATGGTTCATGTTGACCAAATCTCAAATCATTTTGAGTGGATTCCGAAATGGTATCAGTGGCATCGTCATTGGAATCGGTTGGAATACCATCTCTCACAGAGTAATAGTTACCATAGACTTTGTCAGTACCAACCACAGTGTCATTACACATGTATTGAATCACTAATTGACAATAATTGTTATGAGTACCACAAGAGTGTTGGTTTGTCCATTGCAAATACAATTCAGAACCTTCATAATAGTACATGGTTGGAGTTTTCACTTCAGGTCCACCAACTGCACGTGGACAAGCATAGCCACCAGCGGCATTGTTTTCAGAGTTGAAGAGTCTGAGATGTCAAGTGGTGGTGGTAAATGTGTCAAGTGGTGATAATAGTAGTGGTGGTGGCAAGTAAGAGACACGAGCAAGCGACCAAGGTAGGAGTGATGGAAGATGGTCAATAAATATTGACGTATCATTAATCGAACAACAACAATCGAGAATAAAAACGAAGACAACCACAACGACGGACATCAGGTTCACATCCAAAGGAGAAGGGTGTGTGCGGTGAGTGACCACAACACGACCAACAACAACAACACCACAGTCATCGCGGTGAGAGAATCATCCAATAACAGTTGTGTTGATTCGAAATGGTATAAAAAAACAAGTCAAGTAATAACAAGTCCAAAGTTAATGTTCATCATGTGTGATGAATGGTTAATTACAACAAGAACATTCGCATCATCGTTCACTGTTCAGAACACTCACCTGTTACCATTTCTACGGTTAGCATCTCTTTCGCAATTTCTGTCATTGCTTCCTCTTGGGTTATGAACGTATAGATCGCACTTGACAAGTGAGAGGATGGCCAATGTCAATGCGAGTGCAGCAATAACCGCAATCTTTGAAGTTGACTGTGTCATCTTCGTTGTTTTTGTGATTTTTTTTGTGCTGGATGGTGATAGCAAATGTCTTCCTTGTTGCACTTGCAGTGTTGTCTGTCTGTCTGTCTGTCTGTTTGATCATCAGCGAATCACGATGATCGACATGTGATTTAATCAAAGAAACCGATTGGATGCTTTCACACCTCAAGGGTGAGGATCAAATGATTGGGATAAATCAGGTGAATATTGCGCACATAAAAGCTCATCTATTGACTGTTAACAAATAACAACAACAACAACAGGATTTCCCTCACCCTTGTCATGAACTCTTCACCATTAACTACAGTTGTTGCAGTGGTGGTGGTGGTGGTGGTATTATTGAATTGACTGACTCTTTAAGATCAAGTGAGAGCAATCTTCTCTGTGATCATCAACAACGGAAAGACAAGCTTGGAACAGTCGAACAGTCCACATGTGTCTCATATGGTCGAGTATCTCTGAAATATTTAATGATGATCTGAAGAAAGAAGACAAGAAATATCCAAAAATGAAATCTTCACAGCCTAATTTGTTTGTGGTAGTGTTGGTGAACTGTCTGTGGCAATTTATTTTCATTCTCAACCGTACAAGGTGGAAAATACAGGTTCAAAAATTGCGCAGATCCCTTAATGCAATAGTAAAGTGTAAGAGTAGAACACTGAGTCGCCTCATGGGCTCATCACTTGTCAAGTTCAAAAGGATAAATTTAATGATTCGTGGAAATTATGAAGTTGGCCAACAGCAACACGACAACCTTGTGTATTGCTGGTTGGGAATTGAATGACAATTCAATGCTGAATGACAGGTGTGTGAAATCAAAGGATGAGTTGAAATCTTGTTAGAATCGGTTCGCCATCTCAACTTGTGTATCTTCTTCTTCACCCAGTGATGATGACTCCACATAGAAAGCACTCCTTCTGAAATTCTCCAACATGTTCAACCTTTAAATCTCATCATCATCATCACGATGATGATTGAATATTCAAACCATTGTTATTCCTTTTTCTTTCGAGATGATTTGATAAACAATTCCTCATTCACTAAAAATCTTTTAGGCTTCATCATGGCAAAGATATAGGGAAGAATTAACCATGGAATTGAAATGAGACACCAATAGGATGGAATTTCATGAATAATACCACCCACTTGAAGAGTAATGACAAGAGCTACTAACCATCCCATCACCACAGAACTTGCAACCACCCAATTCTTACCAAGGAAATCATTATTTGGAACTGAATGTCTAAATAAGTGTGGAGTGACTGTTTGAATGAGCCACACATACCAACTAATACCATGACCCCACAAGGGATGATAGGGAAACATCCAGTAGAGATGATTAGGACCTTGATAGGAACACAGAACAGGATGAACATTTTGAATTTCAATACCCAATAAATGACCACCAATGCCACCGGTACGATTACAACTACGATTACAACTACTGCTACTACTACAACTGCTACAACTACTACTACTACTACTGGTGAATGTCGAAAACGACTCTTCTTCCTTCATCATCATGGACTCCAAACCAAAACCTCCCACATGATAATATCCCAACAGTAACGAGATGGTTGCTACAAGAAATGTTACAAATGAAGAAAAGAGAGCATATCTCATGGCAGATCTTCCTTTTCTTGTATTCTTCAAACACCAATAATTATGAGCGATGGGTTGAGTCCAAATCAATACATGTGCAAGAATGGTTAATATCACATTGTGACTGGTACCACAAGTACCTTCAATACCAAACACATATTGCATGAATTGCAACAACTCCATGAGTGTGTAAGACAAGTACAACAATACTTGAGAGAACATGCGTCCACGATGTTCTTTTTGTTGAATGTTATGCATTCTTCTCACTTGATCAAGAGTCATGACCAATCCTATCAAGAAGAAGGAACAAGAGCTTGTTTTTGACCAACACATTTTTTTAGGATTGAGAAAGAATATATCCCATGATGATCATGAGGAGGATAATATTCGGTGGTTCTGTTGGTGATAATGCAAGAGAATATTCGGAGAGAATCTTTTTGTGAGAGTTCTCAAAGTTGTTGAACCCAGAGAAAGTATCTTTTTCTCCATATAGCTCTTGGCTAACAAAAAGATAGACCTTTTTCATCTCAGTCTTGACAACAATATCCACCGCAAATGCATCATCAAAACAGATCTCATAAGAGCAAAGAAAGAACTAATGATTAAACATCTATGCTTTCTCCAGGTGACCATTATTTGTCGAGTCTTTGTTCGTTCATTAACTAATCATTACTGGGTTATATAACAGAATTGGAATCACAAAACGCGAGATAATTAAAGCTACTAAAGCAAAACGCATTAACACGAAATTTGATATATTGGAACAACCATTATTCCAGGGACTTATCATCTGTAACTATCTAATTATCCTTAGCTATCTTATTCATTAACCAAATTCTTGATTCATTTCCCTTGAGTTTATTTTAATCACTTAATTCATTTTTATATAATGTAATTATAAAACATTATAATTTTCTTCCAGCATAACTTGTCATTTATAGCAGTAAAATGACTTTAAATATATGAACTAATAATCAATAGAATTTATTATCGGTCGTAAAATGTTAGAAATATACTGTATATTCTTTTACTGCACTAATGGTTTATTAAATAATATATTTAAATCGGATTGATTATTACATATTTGTTGTATTATCAACTTTCAAAAATTAATACAAATCTTTTAAATTAGTTTACTACTTAGTTATATTGGCAGAAAGTTGTATTAATTTTTAAAACAAACTACAATGTATTTAAATTTTTCTCTTTTGTTTATCTTAACATCTTTTGAACTTCCTATTTGTTTTTTATTACAAGAACGTCATTATAACCAACACAATTTTTTCGCCCAGATAGTCGTGTTTTCAAAAATTGAATTTATGGAAAGTTATCATCCTCATCTCATTCCAGATAATATCGGAACTAAAGGAAATAGATATATTTGAAATGTACTTCATGATTGGAACAACAGCTCAAGACTCTCATCAAAGGATTGACAGATATTTGAACGCCAATATTTGGAACATTGTCTCTTGTACGTCCAAGAAATATTGACATGCTGGAAATAAGGGAAAAGTGGTTCACGGATGGCTTCTTCCTCTTTAAAAAAATGTTCTTTCACGAATTTCATGTGATCCTTGTGGCGATGGTGGTGCTTTTGGCCATTCAGTGCTCTCTCACCAACCTTCCATTATCATTAACCTTCCATCATCCTCATCATCCTCATCACCACCACTCCTCATTCATACAAGCCGCCAAGATTGATTACCATCAAGTCCTTGATGATTACATGAAACAACCAACTCCTTCCTATTCCTATCAATATCTCTATCAATATACCAATTCCTATGCCACGATTCATGTTCTCAACATGACAAGTGTGTTTTGGTTAACAAGTAAAGAGATTGGAAGGAGACACGAGTGGTTTCATTACATTGAAATTGCAATTCCACATTCATTAGATAAAAACAAAAAAGAGGGTTTGTTAATGATTACTGGTGGATCACAACAATCATCACCACCACGTGGAGATAGTGAACTTTCCATCATGTCATTTCTCACTCAATCGATATGCTCTGCCATTCATCAAATTCCAAATCAACCCATTGTATTTGAATCAGGTATGATCCTATCATTTTCATTATCTATATTGTGAAATCATTTTTCATATCATTTTTTAAATCATTTTCATTATAAATATTGTGAATGATTAATCAACAATGATTTTTTTAAATCATTTTCATTATATATATATATATTGTGAAATCATATGTGATCACATATGAATGGTCAAATGACATGTACCACAACAGATCCATTGAAAAAGTCACGTGTTGAAGATGGAATTCTTGCATTTGCTTGGGCACACTTTTTAAATCATACCGATGAAACCAATTGGATCCCTCGATTACCAATGGTAAGTTCAATAGTCGTGTTGTTGTTGTTGTCAACACCATTCAATATTATCCATTCAATATTATCCATTCAATATTATCCATTCAATTGGATAAAATTAAAATTATTATTGACAATCTCAAAAGGTCAAATCTTCACTTCTTGCTATGGATACCATTCAAGATTACACTTCTAATCAGATTCCAAATGTCCATATTGAACAATTCACCATTGCTGGTGCTTCTAAAAGAGGATGGACCACATGGTTGGTGGGTGTTGCAGATTTGAAACATCGTGTCAAATCCATCATTCCAATTGTAATTCCTGTTGTAAAAACAAGACAAGTATTAGAACATACTTTTAATTCAATTTGTGGATGGCCAGAAGCAATGAATGATTATGTTCAAGAAGGTATTACTGCACAATTGAATTCTGATGCATTTAAGAAATTGACAGAGGTAAGGAGTTTGAGTGTTTAAGTGTTTGATATTGTAATTTGACATCGACATAAAAATCGATATCAATTGTGTGAATTCTATCCTTCACCATTTCACTTGATCCAACATTTCATTTCACTTGATCCAACATTTCATTTCACTTGATCCAACATTTCATTTGACACTTTGTGAATATGATGAATCTAAAATATCATCATGTGTTTATTATAATATCATATGGTCTTTGACAAAGGTCATTGATCCATTTGAATACAATTCAAGACTCTCCAAAACTAACAAATACATGGTCAATGCAGTTGGTGATCAATTCTTTTGGCCAGATTTATCTCAATTCAGTTACAATGAATTGGATGGTGGTGATGAATATAGACATTTGAGATATGTTCCCAATGCAGATCACTCTCTTGCTGGTACTGATGCATTCATGACCATTGCTGCTTATTATTATGGTGTTTTGAATCGTATTGAAATGCCCATCTATAATTTTACAGCTCAATACGATTCCAATGGTATGCGATTAACTTTAAATATTCGAAATGGAAAGAAACCTACCAGTGTCTTGTTATGGCAAGCATTTAATCCAAAAGCAAGAGATTTTAGAGTTCAAACCATTGGTAACTCGGCATGGAAATCGACACCATTGGTGGTGGATGAAAATTCATTGTCATGGCGTGTCTACATGAAGAATCCTCCAAAGAGTAGTAATAGTAATAATAATAATAATGGTGATGGTGGTACGAGTGGTGGTGGTTATACGGCCTTCATGATTGAAATGACCTTTGATGATTATTTCAAGTTGCCAATACCAGCACCACTCAAATTTACCACAAGTGCCTATATTTTACCACAAACATTTCCATGCAAGTATTGAATGAGCATGAGAACACAGAATTCTGTTGTTGATGGATAAAATTGAGTTTTCAAGTATGGAATCATTCTCTTTTATTTCTTTGGCTTTAGAAATTTGTACTTGAGATTTTCAACATAAAATTCTTCATCATGTAAAAATGGTTCTGGATCAATCATGTTCGAAATGGCCACATACAATCCAGATTCAATCACAGGTTGCAATAGTGAGCATGACCATGAGGAGGATGAGGAGGAGGATGAGGACAATTTAAATGTCATGTATTCTCTCGCATGATTATCCATCTTCATGATTGTATAGAGTGCTTTGGCTAAATATTTGATCGTATCACTGGTAATGATTGAGAGTGGTGGTGATGAGGATGATTGTTGTTGGCGATGTTTCAAATAAATTCGATCCAAACACATCACAATGGCATCTAATAATTGTTTTGAACACTTCTCAGCTTGAACATCTCGATCAAAGAATGGATGTTGAAATTTCAAACACAAATCTTTCAATTTTTGAGAGAGAATTGGTCCATATTGATCTCCAATTCTATAAATATCAAATCTCATATTAAAGACTACACTGGATGCACTGTAGAAACACTTTTCTTCTGAATTGATAAATGTAAAACATTGAATTAAAAAGTTCACCAATGTGCAATAATGTTGTGGTTTGAAATTGACAAAATAATTACAACCATGATTGGTTTTCATGATATGTGAGAGACAAGAATTAATGACAGTAATAGAAAATGTATCGACGGGTGGTGGTGTTGTTGTTGAGGAGGATGAGGAAGATGAGGAGGATCCATGACTACTTGTACACAATTTCACAAATTGATTCATTCGATTCATCAATTCATCCAATAATTTCATTCCACTCACTGTCTTGAATAAATGTTGAACTGCATTCTCATCCAATAAGATTAATCTCAAGACATCAAATGGTGCAATTTTGAACTTGTCAGGTAATGTTTGTACAAGTAAATATAATATATCATAAATGGTTGTAAGGAATGATGGAGAGTGAAGTTTCTCAAAGCAGTCAAAACTATTAGTTCCAGTTGTAGTAGTACCAGCAGTACTAGTCGTAGTAGTAGTACCAGTAGTAGTTGTAGTACTAGTAGTACTAGTGTAATATTCTTCAATTTCATCCAATACGTTGGATACTTCTGAGAGAGGTGGAAGAGCATTGTTGACGGTGGTGTTAGAGACAATCTTTGAATATTCTTCTTTCAACTTTTTGATACATCCTTTCAAATTATTGGTAGCTTTCCATACATGATATTGATCAGTGTTATTATTACTACTACTACTACTACAATAGCTCGTACTATTATTAGTGCTATTATGATGACCACCAGAACTATTACCACTCATAGAAAAATCCAATGTTGTTCTTGTCAATGCTGGAACGAGAGTAGGATGAGCATATGTTTGAATCAATCTCTCCACCAATTTCACTTCTGTACTCAATTGTTGTGTCATTAAATCATCCAATACTTGTGATTGAATGACCTCATTAGTACATCTCTTTACGACTTGATACAAATTCTTCATGGTGGGTCGATCTCTAATACACTCTGAACAACATGCTGCAAGGATTGACTCTAAATCTTTAAATAAAGGATTCACACTTGAACTCATGTCTTTCTCACCATATTTATGATCAAAGAATAATTCATAAAAGATGGCACCCAATGAATAGATATCACTCTCTTCACACAGAGCATCATAACCATACTGTTTAACTTCAGGTGATGTGTAGTAATCATCATCATCGTGGTTGTCATCATCATTCTTTGAGTGAGGTTGTTGAGGTTGTTGATTCTTTGAGTTATTATTCTTTGAGTGAAGTTGTTGAGGTTGTTGATTCTCATGATCATTCTTAAATCTATTCAATAATGGAAATGCATAATCTAATACAAGGCATGTTTTAGTAGGCTCTTTAAATCTACTTGTGATTGGTCTTATATTACCATGAACAATACCACATGAGTGGAGAATGTAAATGGAAGAGATTAATTTCAATGCTGTTCCAAATTTCATTTGAATGCCACGTGTCAAACGCCTATCCATAAAAAATTTAAGAGAATTCGTTTCAATATATTCAACATTGGAGGATACTATGAGTCGAATCTTATTGGATGATTCTAATTCAAAATCAATCATTTTACAAAACATGTCATGTCGATGTGGATTATTTTTGAACTTGTTACAATTCAACATGTAAGCCGATGGTAAATATTTTTTCAAATGATAAAATCTTTGATAGAATTTGATGAGATTATTTTTAGAGAATTCACTCATGTGATGGTGGTCCATGTGGTGATGGTGTGGATAGGGTTGGTTCATAATAGTAGTAGTACCATTCTTATTGTCCATAGTAGTAGTCATGGATGTTGAATTATGACTCTTGTTCCTTGTACTCATAGTAATCATTGGAATGACATTTTTAAATGTAAATCTCAATACTTCATGTTGAAGATAGTATCCAATTTGTATTTTTGGTAATAATACCATTGAATGACTTCTTGAATCTAATTTAAAACACATCGTTTTGTGTTTCTTTGCTTTCATTTCATTACAATAGATAGATCCTATCAAATCACACACGTGTTGAGCACTCACTCCACTCACATCACACAATGTTGCATCACAATTAGGATGATTCATTAATAATTTAGATAAATGATGAGTACCACATAGATTTGAAAGATAGAGTGGTGTTCTTCCAAATACATCTTGTGCATTGACATTGAAAGATGGTACTTTTAACAATTCTCTAAACATGGCAACTAATTTTAAATTCTGTGAATCAGTGAGATAGTATTGTTCAATAATGAAATGAGCACATGTTCTACCCGTATAGATACATGATTGATTGGCATTGATATTCGGATGAGAAAGTAATTTCATAAATAATTCCATATTTAGAGCATAGACACAATCAAGTAATGGAAATGATAAACAATGTGCTTGAAGTCCACCTCTAATTTGTAAATGTTGAATATTGAGATTGACATTTGCTCCAGAATCAATGAGTAGTTGAAAGATTTGACTCATAATGAGATGAGCAGAATTGGATAATGACTTGTCATGATGACTACTAATATTACGCATGATTAATTCCATCACAGGAGAAGAAGATTCATGTACTCGTACACGATGATGACGAGTATTATTATTATTAGTACTACTCATGTCATCATGGTCTTCATCGTCTTCAAAGGATGGATCAGTGCTATCACCATCAATACCACCACCAATATCACCACTACTACTACTACCATAGATACATAATTGAAGAGGTGTCATATTTAAGAGTGGACTTGAGTGAACTTTGGTTTCAGAACCACTAGAACTATTATTAGGACTACCATAAATGGTAGTAGTATCCGTGGAACTATTTAAATGATACACACTCGTTTCATCATACATGGTTACTCCTCGATAATCAGGTGACATTCCTGCTCTCAACAAGTATTGTATGGTTTTTTGATCACCTTGTAATACTCCTCTAATTAAATAATTCACTTGATAATCCAATGTATAATCAGCTCCATAATTCAATAATAGAGAAATACATTCATGATGTGAAAATAGACATGCATAGAAGAGTGGTGTTAAATTCTTTTCATCCTTTTCATTGACATTAAATAAATTGGATTTCAATAAGAGTTCACATGTTTGATAAGCATTCTCTTTTGCTGCTACAATGAGTGCATTCTGAGAAAATCGATTCTTCAAATGAATGTCCATAATTGAGACATAACATTGATTAGGATCTAAAATTGTAGAAACAATGGAATGTCTATTCTTTCTACATGCCATAAGAAATGCAGTCTCTTGATCATTGTTTTTAGTGTTACACCATGATTTGTAACGTTCTTCATCTTCATCCAATTTCAAAGCACATGCAATAAAGTAAGATTCAAATATTGCCTTATTACCCCTTCCCATAGCAATGGCATGAAGAATTGTTTCTGAATTGTTATTCTTTTCAAAAAGAGAAATATCATCTTGTTGAATGAGTAAATCAAAACAATCCACACTATCTCCCATTGCTGCATAGAAGAGTGGAGTATTACCCAAGTGATCATTTTGATTCAATAAAGAGTTTGATATCTTTCGGTGATGATGTGGTGATTCACCACCTGTACAAGGAGTCGTACTACTTCTATGAATGGTAGTCGATACTCCTCCAGGAGTGGTACCATTACTATATTTAGAACCCACAGGACCCTCCTCCTCATCATCATCCATTGCTGAATTGAAATAATTCAATAAAAGATTCAAACATGCCAATTGAGAGTGTAGTGCTGCCAAATGCAAAACATTCATACCCATGTTATTGACTGTATCTATACTAAATGCATAGGGAATGGTCAAGAGTGCTTGTAACTTTTCAACTTGACCTAATTTGGCACTTGAAAGAAAGGTTGTTTCGAGACTCACTTTACGCGATGAGTTCGACTCGACTCGATGATTCATTGGTTGAGCCATAAAATAACTCTTCAAGGCTTCACCAAGTTCATAATTTGAGGCTTCCAAATAAAATTGAGCCTCTTGCTCATTGCTCTCTGTAATGATACAAAATCTACGAATCATACTACTTTCATTCTGTTTTTGAGTACGCATTCGAATATAGACTGGATCATGTTCAGGTTTGATTAAATACTTGTCTCTTGTACAAACAAAATAACATTCTGTCTTTTTCAATTCATGTCTTTCTAATTCAATAGTATCTATAATCACATGATTGGGATAGGACATGAAATTAATACCATTATGAACACATTCTTTGAAAGTTGGAACATGATAGTAGAAGAGAGACAAGTCATTGGGTAGACCACTCCATTGTCTGACTTTGAATTCATCGAGAGGAAGTGGGAATTCTCTCCATTTACGACGAATGATGGGTCCATGAGGATGATCCATGTTGGTGTTGGTGGTGTTGCCATCATCTTCCTCATCATCAATAATACTTTTAAGTGTGGCTGCTGTTCGTGTCCTGTTACTACTAGTAGTAGTAGTAGTAGAGTGAGAGTGAGATGATGATGGATGAGGAGAAGCCTCATAGCACACCACCAATACCACAAAATTTGAATGTCTATTTTTGATCTGAGTGAAGGAGTTTCTGGAAGTGGAGGATGATCGGGTTGGTGGTGTGGACCATGCTGCACTCGTACTCTTCAGAGAGGAGGAGGAGGAGGAGGAGGATGGTAATTCAAGTATTGGATGGTTATTATTTTGGTGATTCATTGATCTCTCAGTGGTGATGATGATGATGGAAATGTAATAATTTGGAAAGGTATAATATGGATTCAATTATAATATAAATAATATTGAATGCTATCACAATGAGGGTGAGTTGTAGGTGTCGTCAATGAACAGTTGTTTTGTCGTATCAACGTTGTTTTGTGAAGAATAAAAGATTTAAATCGGCCAATGAGAAATATTTCAATCGTCGTGAGTGATGGAGTTTCAATGATTTCAATATTGTGATGATAGTAGCACGCACTACTAGTACTGCTCTCTACGGTGGTGGTGATCTTGGGAATTGAGTGATACAGCTCTCTCTTCAAAAGATTGTACCAAGTGAATGTGAGATTGATCACGTTCGAAGAGCCAACAGAAGAGTTTCAATTTTGAATTTTTTCAAGTTCATTGTGACATCAGGAATAAATTTAGATGTTGGTGGTGGTGTCCAACAGCTGTGGTGGAGAATTCTTGTTCACTGGATAATCATTTTCGGGTTTTCTTGATATTCACCAGACAACGAGTTACCTAGTTAAACTTTTGATTTACAGTTCTTGTTTCATGTATGGATGGGAAGTTGGAACAGTTTCAGGCACTCTACACCCAATTGTGTTGGCATTGTGTTTCAGTTTTTCACTAATAGTATTCCTGGAAACACGTGTTTGCAATATTCTTTCCACCAACAAAAAAATACTTGTGCTCTCTCAGCACTCTCAATTCCCGATCGGATCCAATCAATTGATTTTCAAAGCCGTTCTTTTCTTCCCTGTCTATATATAATTGATCATTATCTTTTCATGTTTTTTATTCAACAGTAATAACACTTTAATCATCCCTTACTATTATCCAATAATAATCACAAAAACAAAATGGCTTCCTCTCTTATGGATTTAAAAACCATTACAGCATTATCTATATTTCTAACCACCATTCTCATTGCTCATACAGCAAATCAATACTCTCAATTTTATCTTATTGTCGTTAATTTAATATCATCCAAATTAGGAAAAATAATACTCATCACCGATTTAATTTTATTAATAATATATTTTGGAATGGGATTAGTGAAAATATTTTTCGGATCATTGAGAATTTACGAGCAAGAAATTGTATGGGAGAAGGGATATTTTGCATTAATTGAAACATGTTTAGCAATGACTATATTTAGAGAAGAATTATCAACCAGAATGTTAGCCATGATGATTACATCATTATTTTTAAAGATCTTTCATTGGATTTGTGAATTACGTGTCAAACATGTAAGTTGTAACAATTCCGATGATTGATCATTTTGTATGACTTAATTGTACAATTGACCACTTCATCACTTGACTACTTTTACTACCACCACCACTACAACTACTTTGCAAATCATACCGATACCGCCTTGACAATCACTTGACTACTTCTTCATGATACCTACCTCTACATCAACCATCACTTGACTACTTTTCACATTCATCACCCACCATCACTCACCATTCACTTCAGCTTGAATCTCTTCCACAAACATCCACTTCCACTTTTGCAAGAATCTATTCATGTCTTTTACTTTTACTTTCATGTGATGCATATTTTGCTACTACTCTCTCTATGCATTATCTCAAAGAAGGTGTCACACTTCGTGTTTTGTTTTTGAGTGATTTTTTAATTCTCTCAATCATTGCAATCACTGTGAGTGTGAGATTATGTTTCCATGCATATAATTTATCAAAACAAGATGCAGAAGGAAATAGTGAATGGGAATCAAGAGATGTTTCTGTATTCTATTTAGAGATTACATCCGAGTTATTACAATCGATGGTCTATCTGTCATTCTTTTTAGTCATCATGTCCAAATATGGACTACCTTTCCACTTGTTAAGAAATATTTACATTACCATTGGAAATGTTCGTAAAAAGATTACAGATTTAATTAATTATAGAAGAGCAGCATATACATTGGATCAAAAATTTGAAAATGCAACTCAATCTCAATTAGATGAATATGATGGTGTTTGTGTGGTGTGTCGAGAAGAAATGATCACAAATACTCCACAGAATCCAATTAAGATTTTACCATGTGGACATTTATTCCATTCCAAATGTTTGAGAGGATGTTTAGAGAGATCACAAGAATGTCCAACTTGTCGAAGACCTATTGATGTCTTGTTGAAGGAACAAGAAGAGAGAAGAAATAGAACGAGTAGTAGTGGTACTAATAATGGTAGTAGTACTAATACGACTAATGGTAGACCAAATGTTACTACCACTACTGCCACCATGACTTCTAGTGGTGATGCTAGTGCATCTCTACCCAGTGGTGGTCACACATTGACTACTTCTGCTATTAATAATGGTCTCACATCCAACTTGTTGATGGAGATGAACACTTCTTCTTTAATGATGAATCACCAACAATTACTCAATCACTTGATGAGTGGATTAAATTCCTCTCCTTTGACAACTGATCATGGCACGAATGCAACAAACTCACTCATCAACAACAATGAACAAGTTCAACAAATAATGATTGACATGTATGTGAGATATCTTGAATCAATGAGAGACAATATTAATATTACATTGGAACAATTGAAATCTCTCTCAACTGTGGTTCATCAAGAGTAAAAACTTTTTCAATACTACCATGATGATGATGTTTTCTACTGACGACGACGACGACGACAACAACTAACAGTTCTCTACAAGTTTCGAGAACATTCAATGATGACGTAAGGTGTGTCACACCACACTTTCTTTTATTCATGATTCAAATATTCCATCATTTTATAAGCCAACTCATAAGCATAAAAAGTGACAGCATTTACAGGAAATGCACGAATCACAGTGGGCTTTTGTGAATGAACAACATATTGTGGATGAACCATCACCCATCGCCATCATCATAGTCACAAATATCAACAACAACAACATGTTAATCACCAATCTTGTAACAGAAAAAAGCAAGAATACACTTACCTGAAAACCTCTATACAAATCCCTCAATGAATACTTTTTCAATACCATTCTCATGTTCATATTTCGATCATATCTCACAATGGATTGAATCGAGTCTGTCGGATAGACTAATGCCCAACTTAATGTTCCACTCACACCACCTGAAATGAGTAATGTGAATGCATTGTGTTCAAATTTCAAATCATTCTTTTTTGAGGAGTAGTAATGAGCGAATTGTCTCTTACACCATTCATAAATAAGAAAATAGGAAGAATAAAAAGTCAATTGATGATTCAAACAAGAGACATAACCATGGAACATTCCTCTTGTTTTCCATAACTCTTTCACACAATTCATCACCGTTTGACTTTCACTTCCATTTTTGGTCTGCATTTGGATTTTAATCATTTCAGTTGGAGCTACCACAAAACTAATGGCCAAACCAGAGAATGCACCTGATGCAAATATGGCAGCATATTCTTTCCATGGGCTATATTCATCTCGTAAATTCTCATTCAATGAATAGTTTGAAATCCAATCTTTACAAATTCCAAACGATCCAAATAATACGAAATTACTTGCAAGTTCTCCAATGAGTGGACTTGTTAAACCTCTATAAAGTCCTCTAAAATAATCCCATTTGGTTTTAAATGTTTCATTGAATTGATGATGATTCTCTTGAAATATTTGCACTTTTTCGGAAAATGTTTTCATTGGTCAACCAACCAAACACACCATCATTACCATCCATACAATTATTGTCAAACAACAACAACAGAGAGTCGTTTTTTGAATCAACAACAGCATAGAAAAAGTACAAATAGTTTGAATAATAGAAATCAACGAAAAAGTACAAATAGATCGTTTTTTGAATTTGTTCAACAAGAATGATCGTACCGAATGAAAATTTTGAATGTTGAACAACCAAAACATCAACTATTTGAATTAATGAACCTACTTCTTGTTTTGATGGTATCTAATGGATATCCAACACAAATACCAGCCAATCCTCCAAATGCTCCCGCAACAAATTCTGCAATGGCATGAATTTTCTTTCGTTGTTGTTGAAGAGTGTCCATCGTCACGGAAGTTGTGCCATTATTATTATTATTGTTGTTGTTCATCACTTCATAATGATGAGGAAGAATATGATGATTCACTGCTGTATTCATGTGAGCATCCAAATGATGATGATGATGATGAGAAGGAGGAAGGGAATGATGTGAGGATATTTGTTGTTGTCCTTCTGATGTTGTTGTTGTCACATTTGTGATACTGTGATGGACTTGAGACATTGAACGAACTTGAACAAATGGGTAACAATAAGGAAGAATTGTTGTTATTGTGATGGGGTGATGGGTTGATGTGTTTTTTGTTTGGCGACACAAATTTCTTGTTTGTGACTCAGTGGCGAGACTCATGTGACTCAGTCGGAAAGATTCACTTTCGGAGAATTTGGATAAACAAGTTCAAATGGACATTTCAAAGCACAGACTGTCTTCACTTTGTGTGTGTTGGACTCTGTGGATGATGATTGTGGTGGTAATCACCATGGTGGAGGCTCTTCTTCTCCAAATCTTGGACCAACAATATATGCATTGCCCCAACACCTCATCAACACACGTTAAAATCTTTCAAAAAAAAATTTATGATTAAGGCATTTAATCATGAGCAACCCAACATTAGGCTCCACCATCAATCCAAATACTCCAACCTCTCAAATATCTAAAACTAGTTCAAAATCATTCCTTCCTCCACCCCAACTAATTCCGATTGATTATTATAAAACCCTTGATATTGTAAATAATTTTACAATCCAAATGGTGCAAACGATGAATTCTTTTGCTTTTAGTTGCGAAAGCAAATTATCAAAGGTTTCTTCTCAGATACATCACGTCGAAATTATTTTAGCGTTGTTAGAGAAGAAATTGCATTCTGTGGACGGAATGAAAGAACGGATGGAGCAATGGATGTCTGGAATGAATCATGCCGTACAAGGTTGTAGCAGTAATACTTGTTCTGCTAATGTCACTACACAGCCTACTCCTCCTCCCTCAGCAAGTAACACGACTTGCAATAACATTCCTCCACCACCCTTAACTTCCAATACAGGTGTTCCACCCCCTCCGCCTCCAACATTTTCCAGCAGTATTCCACCTCCTCCACCTGGATCATTATTAATGAGCAATACGGTTCCACCTCCTCCATCTCCTTCATCTGCCACAAACGGGGTTCCACCACCACCAAATCCTTCGACGGTCATGACTGTTCCTATCCCATCCGAAGATTCAAGTGGGGGCAATACTGACATTCCAACCTGCGAGCAAGATCCAAGACTTGCAAATTACTTTCGTCTCCTTAACAAGATTGGTGTACCAAAACCTCAAATTGCAAGAAAGATGGAAATGGATGGTTTGGATCCTAGTCTATTGGACACTCCAAATGCTCCGTCACCACTGGGTGTGTATGTTCCTCCACCAAAGAGCGAATCTGAGAGTGACAACGATGATTCCGATTAAACAAACAAATTATAGAAATTGTGAAATTTTTATGATTTATTGCTTGAGCGCATTTACAACATCTTCTTGACAAGTTGGTTAATGTATTCTTCTCTGTTACCAAATGAACCACCCAAGATGAAGTGCTTCTTGATGGTTTCATAACCACCCTTTGGATGTTGCAACTTGAAAGGCCACAAGAAGTTAGAAGCAGCCTTGAAGTTTGGTCCGACAGTGTAAATTTCGTGAATCAAATCTTCAACGCAGACAATATCTTTAGAACCCAACTTCTCTTCAATTTGAACGTTGCTAGTGATTGGCTTTCTGTCACCATTGATGTTCAAACAACCTCTCTTGTAAATGAGTTGCTTGACAGTGGACAAGGATGGATATCCCCAAGCAACGAATGGCTCGACGAGCTTCAACAAGTTGAGAGTTGCCTTGTTCAATCTAACAAAGACACCATTGTTAATTTGTCTGAGTCTCAAAAGTTGGAGAGCCTTCTTGACCTTTGGAGCAACACTCTTAATACCTCTGATTCTAATGACAAAGGCCAATTTAGCTTGTGGTTCAACGTACAAAGAACCAATCTTGGCAGCTTGGTCGTGAGCAGCTTTAATGTTAGCTTCCTTTTGTTTATATTCCTTGGCGAACTTTTCAGCTCTCTTCAAAGCCTTCTTTCTCAAAGCGAGGAGCTTCTTCTTTCTTTCGAAAGCGAGCTTGGATCTTTCCTCAGTGTGAGCTTGGAGTCTCTTTCTTCTCTTCAAAACAGTTTCTGGAGCAGGTTTTGAAGTACGAACGTTCTCGATACTGACGACCATTGTTTTTCTACTTAATGTCAGCAAATGAATATTTTTGAAGATGAATCAAACGAGAATGACTTACGATGTGATTTTGGCGTATTTTTTTTTCGACAAAATTTTTCAATAAATTGGTCAACCGAAACGTCTTGATTACAATGAAGGGCAACACTAGCTGGGAGTAACCGATAAAGGCAAGTTCTTGTTTGAAATGAGCATTTATTAATGAACGAGAATCATGATAGTACGGTACCAACATTCACTTTCTTTGTTTGAAGGGTGTGGAGTGTCTTCTCCATTGGTTCGCCACACACTTCAAATTTTTAGTGCACCATCGTCCTTTCCTTGTCTCAGCATCATCCTCTCAAAAACCGAATTCAAAAAAATGATGCATCATCATCAGACACAACGACATCGAGTCTCATCATCAAGAAACTCAACCACATCTCCGATCGCAACAATGGCATCTAACAGACCAAGTGATGCACTTGAAACATCTTTGAATCATGATCACATGGAGGATGAACATCAAGAAACTCCCGAAGAACGTATCAACAATAGAATTAAATCCATTCTCAAAAAGTTACCCTCTAAGAAGGAGGATAACCCAATTAAATTTAAATCATTCTATGAATGTATCAAGGATGTTAAAATTATTTCTGATGTTCAATATGACACTCGGAGAAGAGAAGATTCCAAAGATGAGACCGATACGACCACATTCTTCTATGACAAAATGTTAGAATGGGATGAATTGAATTTAACGGTTCGTATATTGTTTTTTGACTTTTCACCTTTTTTTACTCTCTTTTTGAAAAACACTTTCTCTTACACTGGAATGCATCACTTTCACTCTATTTTTCAATTGAATTCACTTACTAATATTTAGAAACATTACATTATGTTTAGAAGCAATGTTCAAAATTTTGTTCGAACTCTTCCAGAAATGCTTCATCACAAGGAAAAGATTTGTGATATTTTTATTCATCACTTGAGAATTAAGGATTCACTTGCATTTCAACCTTTATTAGAGTAAGTTTCATTCATTGGTTCATGAAATTATTGTGCGTGCTAACATTCATATATGACCGTGTGTTCTATATATGAATCCATCCATCCACGACACTCCAACATGATTCACTCAACAACATCTCACTTTCAATAACAAATTCTCTCAACCGAATACCCAACACCTTCACTTCGCATCACCTTCACTTTACACTCCATTCACACCTTCACAAAGTCTCGTGACCATCTTTGCCAAAGATCTCAGACAAGAATTCTATCCATTACTTCCTCGTCTATTCTATCCTATTGTCTATAACATTTCATCGACTAATACTGAATTGAATGCTCTCATTTTCAAATGTTTAGCATTTCTATTTAAATATTTACAAAAATATATTCTAAAAGACATTTCTTTATGGTTTGAAAAGTATTCCAAGATTCTTTCCCATAAAAAGTGGTACATTCGAAAATTTGCAGCAGAAAGTTTTTCATTTCTCATTAACAAACTCTCAGATTCTGAATTGAAAGAATATGTGAGAAGAACATTTGAATTACTCATTTCAAAACCCTCTCAAAATATGTATGATGGAACAAGTCAAATGTTTTTTGAAGCCATGAAAGGAGTACTTGGAAATTATCATTCAAAAATGTCAAGATTATTACCTCTCTTGTTTAGACAATTGGATTGGAATGAACATTCAACAGATACTGTAAAGAAACAATTATCAGATATTGGAAATAAGTTTACACTTGTTGAAAAGTGTTTAATACTATTAAGAGATTATTCAAAGAATAAGCAAGTAGCAAAACAAGTTTGGGATTTACTTGTTAAGGAATTTGAATATTTAGTGAACATTTGGAGTAGAGTTGAGTCGAATCATGATGATGGTATTACTACTAGTAGTAGTGGTGGTGTTGAAAGTACAACTCGTACAACTTCTCTTGATAAACTCTCTCTCCAAATTGGACATGTCCTTCAATGGATTCGAGTATTCACCACGACCGTTGAACGTTGTGATGAAGAATCCATTCTCAAACTATTGAAATGTATCAATCGCAAAGAATTAATCTCTGAAATGCCACCACAAACAGCACAAGCATTATTTTCATTCATTACTGACATTGTGGATACCATGCAGAGATCTGATTTGATTGAAAATTCTCACAATTTACTCTATAATTGCTTCTTTGTTAAGGACAAACAAACTGTTTATACTTTTTACAAAAAGTTAATGACTAGTGTTGGTACTGAAGAAGAATCCAATACCATTGTGAAAGAATTTTTAAGATTTGTGAATAGCGATATTGAAGACAATATGGAAAGTACCATTTCATTCCTATTGAATTTTATTCATACAAATTTAACCGATGAACATTCATTCTTGGAATATTCACAACTCTCTGAAAAGAATTCTAAATTTGTTTCAGTCATTCAACAGCAACTCTCAGAACGATTGAATCATTTAATGAAAATGAATCCAGAGGAAGTGATGAATTACTTTTCACATCATCATTCACATGCACTGATCACTTGGGGAATGCTCAATGTTCTCTCAACCTATGGAAAGAAATCTGAACCATACGCCAAACAAGTATATCAAATGTGTATGACATTTTTGAATCAATTTATTCCTCTTATTGAAAAGACCAAAACAATCCACAATTGGCCAACTCCACAGAGAATCCATTCGACTATGATTCCTACTAGTTTGACTAGTTCAATTCCAACAACAACAACAACGATTACTACTACTCCTGCTACTAGTTCAACTCCAACGACTTTCAACTCTACAAGTGAAGGAAAAGACTTGACTAAAAAGGCAAAGAAAATCATTCAATGTATTCTCTCTCAAACAATGATTGTACTCATTCAAGTCATTCCATACACCAAGAATGCACTCTCTAAATTGTTAGAATCTTTTATGAATATGGTCTGTAAATTTGGAAGAGATTCTCTTCATGTGTTGATGGCATTTAATTTATATTTAGAAAAATTAAAACAAGAAGAAGAGAACCATGCTGCCACCAATACTACTACTAAGACTACCAATACTTCCACCACTACTGCTACCAATACCACTACTTCCATCGAAGTCACTCACCCATTCTCCAATGCAAGATTTAAACAATTAGCAAAAGCATTGAAATATAATTTACAAAGCAAATCAGATAGATTGAGATTGGAAACTCTCAAACTTTTAACACATTTTGATCAAGATGAAATTCAAAAGGGAATGACTTTGAATAAGATTGAAACTACAAAATGTGTCATTTTAGAATATTTGAAAGATTCAGAAGAGTGTGGATTTGATTTTGATCAATCTCGAACTCGAGTAGTTTTATTAGAAAAGGCAAATGAATATTTAAAGAGATATCATTCATCCATTCCTCAATTATACAAATCTCTACTTTCTCATTACGTATTTGGTGCTTACTATACCAAATATAGTATTGTGTGGGAACCAGCTCATCATTTGGCACAAAGTGTGAGTCGAATGAATTTCACTGAATTTTGGGAATTACTCATTTCAAATCTATTACATGCCTATGATAAATATGGACAGAATAGAAAATCTTGGCAATCTGAGAAATCCATGATTTATCGATCTAAAAAACATTCTTCTGATCAATATACCATTAATTTTGAAACTTATTCAAGAAATGTAAAGAAAATTGAAAAGATTTCAGATATTGAAACAATATTTGATCAAGTCATGAAAGATGACTCGAAAGAACACACTCATTATGAAACCTATCTTCCAATGATATTCAAAGATTTTTCAAATTGTGCCAAAGACAATGTTTCTCATTGCCAATCCGATATTATCAAAGTATTTCATGCATTCTATGAAAATGAATTTAAAGATCATGATGTTGAGAATGTAGTGATGAATTTCCCATCGAGAAATCCAATGACTGAACGATTAGAAACACTCATTGCTCTCATTTCAGAATTCAAATCTGATTTTTATTCGAGTTCACATGAAGAATGTGTGAAAATTAGACAAGTTCTTTTTCGATTATTCTCCACAAGTACTCCATCCATTCAATCTCTTGTATTGAAATGTCTCTCCAAATTTGAAAATTTACCTTATTTAACTCATAGTGTGGTGAGATGTCTTTCCAAAGTGATTAATTCCAATCGAAGTGTTCAAGCTCTCTCTAAATTGAATTTCACACTTCCAACTCATGTTCCAGAGCATTATCAATCTGATTATGTGAACATGTTGTTGAAAGTTATTGAACCTTATCTATTAATGTATGACATGCCAAAGAAGAAGGGAAAGAGTGGAAAGGATAAGGTCATTAAAAAGTGGAAAACTCGTGTGCATCAAGTGATTGAATTTTTAGGAGAATTACCACCAAATGTATTGAAATATTTCATTGATTCACTTTTTACAAGATTTAAGAATAAGGATGAAGGTCATTTTTCAGAGGATTTGCTAAAAACAAATACATTCCAATTGAGATGGTTGTTGGATATCATTGAAGAAATTCTCACCTGTATGACTGGAAATTATCATTATTTTTATAATGAAGTGTTAGAATTACTTGTCACAATTATTGAAATGAGAATTGAGGTACAAGAGGTGGAAGTGGAGGAAGATGAGGATGATGAAGATCAAGAAGAAGAGGAAGAGAATTCAAAAGACAAGAAAAAGACTCCCATTCATGATAAAGAGAGTCATGATCACAATAGGATGAAATCAACTTCTACTGAGAATAACAAGATGGATATTGATGATGATGAGAATGCCATGCTTGATGAAGAAAATTTCGAGAATGAAAGTTCTAAAGAGGAAGAGGAGGAATCCATGACTACCAATGATGATGATGAAGAAGAAGAAGAGGAGTCTCTCGAGAAGGAAACTTCACAAGAAGATTCTCTTGGACCAAATTCAAACAAGGAACATTCCATTGGAGCAAATTCAAATAACAAAAAAGATTCCATTGGAACACAACATTCTCAATCCTCTCTCCTCTACCTGAATCAATCCTCTCAATTCAAATCCTCCAAACAAAAAGTATCTCTCACACTCACATTCAGAAGAGCAGTTGATTTATTGACTCTATTCTTTGAGAGAAAACAAGAATATGAATTCTCTGTCAATTTCACCAATCATGTTGTCTCTATTTTCACAAATTTCTTCAACAAGATTCATGATAAGAAGAATATTGTGATTGAAGAATTACCAGCCTATTTTAGTATTATTTATTCATGGTTCGATATTCCTAAATTATACTATTTAATCAAATACTATGAAAAGGAATTAATTTACAAATTTATAGAATTAATTGATGAATATAATGTATCACCACAAGTCTTTCACACTTGTCTCAACATTTTAGAAAAGATGATCAACCATCGAGATGAAATATTCATGAATTTGAATGTAAAGAATTTTCCAACCATTTCCACAGACATTGAAAATGGACTCACCATTGGCACTAAAATATTTGAACCTCCATTAGTGAATCGAATTTTGAATGCATTCCATCATTTGTATCATGAACCAGTGAATTCAAGAAATTCCTATAACAGAAGATGTTTCAAAATTATTGACAAATTGAAGGCATACTTTGATGAATCATCACCTGCTGATATTATTCTCAATTTTTATGGTGGATCGATTCGAGATGGTGTAACACTTGAAGAAGATGAAGCACATGTCTTGTTACATCTCTTTAAAAAGTATCTTTTATATTCCAGTGAAGAAGTGAAAAGAACTTATATCATTTACTTTTCTAAAATGTTTATTAACAATAGTGAAACTATATTTAGAAGATCACTTTGTGAAATTATTGAACAATTAGCTCATGGATTTAATATGAGTGAAACATTGAAATTCACTTCAAGAATTATTAATGGTTTAAATGCTCAAGAAGATTCTCATCTCACTCAAATGGACTCTTCCAGTCGTGTGAAAATATTTAATGAAATTTTAGATCGAAAGTCATACATTCAATCACAATTAGGAGAAATTGAATTGTATCCCATTGTTGGTAATTTACTCTTCTTTTTGAATCATAAGGAATGGATTCTTAGAGATGGAGCATGTAAAGCACTCACTCATGTTCTCATTGATGCCATTGTGATGGGAAGAAGAAATTGTTCGACCAGTCTTGTTCAAGAAATTGGTGGAAAAAAGGATTCAAATGTTTTACCATTTTCAGAAATTTCAAAAACACTTCTCTTCTATGTGAAGAGAGGAGCATTTTCTTCTAAATTATTAGATCGAAATGAAATGATGATTGTCTTTGCCAAATTAGTGGACTGTATGGATGAATTGAAAGATGCAAAACCATTTTCAAATGCTTTGAATTTAATCTCTGATCAGAATATGAATAAGAAATTACAAGGAGTTCAAATGATTTGTTCATTAATTACTCCCTTAGAATCATGTTCCATTCCACAATCATGTATTTATGAGATTGTTGCTCCACTTGTTTATGAATTAATGGTCATTGATGATTCGAATATTCAAGAAATGATTCGAGGTCTCTCTGTCTATCTTGTTACACATATGGATTGGAATTATTCACATTCCATTCTCAATCAATTTGTAACCATGATGGGTGGATATGGTATGAAAATACTCTCCAAGAGAAAAAAAGATGGCATTGGATATTATTTGTCAAATTGTGGATGTCTTTCCATTTGAAAAGATGCATCTCGATGAATTAGAAGATGAACAACCACAGGATGAACAAGAGAATGAACAGAAAGAGGATGAGAATGAACAACAACAAGATGAACAACAAGATGAACATGTACAATTAGATCATTCACTACAAAAATTCTCTTCTTCTCAATCCAAAGGCAAGCGAATGAAAAGATACTTTTTAAGAGATTTTGTTCCCAAAGTTACCAAATTCTTATGGGATAAGAAGATGGAAATTTATGTCATGCGTATGCAAGTGTGTTTCTTAATTATTAAGGTATTAAGAAGATGTGATAAAAGACAATTAGATGCTCAACTCTCTAAAATGGTATTAGACGTATTAGGAAAATTGAAGAGCAAAGATGAAGAACAACAAAATGTTGCTGGAAAGGCACTCATTGACATGTTCAAAGAATTGGGATCAAGTTACTTTAATTTCATGTTAGAAAAGATGAAATCTGTTCTCTCTGAAGAAGGTTATCAAACAGATACTTTATATATTGTATTGGAAAATTTATTGAAAGTCATGTCCTATCAAATGATGACTACTACTAGTAGTAATCAAAAGAGTAATCCTATTCATAATACTACTAGTAATATAAATAATAATAATAATACTAGTAGTAGTAGTAGTAGTAGTAGTAGTACAACTCACACTCCTCCCATCATCATGTCCACACAAACCATTCACAATGTCAATGTTATTCTATTGAGTGAAATTAATTATCCACCTTTGAAAACCTACAAGAAACGAAAAGTCTCTCGATTTGATACTGAAAAACTTGAAGAGATGGAAGACAATTCAGAACAACAACCAAATTCCAAACATTTCAAATCCAAACATCAAAATACTCTCTTCAATTGTTTTGAATTACTTGGATCTATTATTGATATCAAACGTTGTCTCAGTACCATTATTGAAGATATTCATTTCAAACTTCGACGAGTACATAATGCAGAGATTTTAAAGAGATTTGAATTTGTATTGAAATTCCTTCTCAAAGGTATTATGAGAAATCGAACATTGAGAGATCATTCTGAAGTGTCAGTCAGTAGTGGTTATAGTGGTACTAATAGTAGTGGCAGTAGTGGTACTAATAGTAGTGTCAACAATTTGAGTGACAATAAGTATACTCCAATCAATGCCATGGATTGTATCATTCAAGCATTGAATCAATATCGTCTCTATAAGAAAACTTTCAAATCTCTCACCGACAATAATCGTTATCACTCTGTGAAAATGACTAAAAATAGACTTGAAGAGAATTTCCTAGTTCAAAAAGAACCAGGACGACAAGGTGCCATCGATCAAGCAGATGATATGAAAATGAGATTACTCGCTGGTCTCATTGATAATTCTCATATTATTGTTCAATTCTATTTGAAATTCTTTGAAAAGTGTATGAAAACTGGAAAGATTCATTTAGAGCAACACATTTCATCGATTGATAGTGTCATTCCATTACTCATCAAATATGTGAGTGGAAATCATTTATCAGTTGCATTGGTAGCATTTAGAATATTAATCGAATGTGCAAAAAGACTTCCAAAAGCATTTAAATCTTTGAATGAGAACAAACAAATGTTATTAGATGCAACATTTGATATATTAACCAATTCAGGAATTGATTCTACCAATACAGAGACATGGGAAACTATTTTCACTGGATTGAAATACTTTTTACAAAGTGATGTTTCACAAAAATTCCCATTAACAAGTGGACAATTAGACATTTTATTAGACATGTTGAAAATTGAAATCTCTTCAACAAGAAAAACCTATTCCATTCAAACCTTCCAAGTTCTCAAGACTCTGATTGATCGAAAGATTCAATCTCCACAAATTTATGATTTAATGGACAAGTCTAAAACAATTCTATTGACAACATTGAATGTTGAAATTCGAACACTCATTGTTGAAATGTTAGTGAACTTTTATTTGAACTATCCATTCACAAATGAAGTGTTACAAGAGAAACTCAATTATCTCTTCAAGAATGTATTGAATGAACACATGTCACAAGAATCAAAATCAGCCATTTTGAGTGTCATTCAAACCATTGTTAAGAAATTCCCAAATTCATTTTTAAATGATAAGACTGAATTGGTTTATTATCCACTTATTTTGGAATTAGAAAAACAATGCAAGAAGAGAGGACTCTCCGGTGAAAATCAATCCATTTCACAAATCATTCAACAATTAAGAGAAATTCTTCAACACTTTGTCAAAGTATTGAATGATGAAAACTTTTCAAGAATTATTTCAATCACTGTTACATGGTTAACTTCACAAGACAAGTTGAAAGGTGTTGCATTGAATTCCATTCTTGTACTCTCTCAAGTGAGCAATGGAACTCGATTGAAATCAAAGAGTGAATTTTATCAAGTCATGTTACCAGAAATTACTCATGTGATTGAACATGGTGAACAATATATTGAGAAACACTCTTCTCTCTTGTTAGAATGTTTGGAATGTATTTATAGTTTGTTTAACAATTCTCTAATTGGAATGACTCAATTGGATGAGATTTATGAATTTTTGTTGAATTTAATTTGCAGCAATCATGAAGCAATGAAGAATGAAGTGAGAGTTGAATCTTTGAGAATCTTTGAATTATATGTATCAAAGAAGAAGAAGAAATTGAGAGAATCCAAGATTTTGAATGATATTCCATCTCTTGAAAAGATGATTTTCAATATTTGTAATTTATTTAGAGCTCGATTTATTTGTGATGATTCTGGAGTGGTTGTTATTGTGAAAGTATTTATTTATATCTTTGGATTGTTATTGCAACAAAGTATGGAGAGTAGCAACACTCATTCGCAAGATATTCTTCATCGCGTGTTCAAACTCTTGAAAAAGATTTCCAATCAATCGGAAGATTATGACACGAATGAGACCATGACCTTTAGAAGACATACTCTATTGAAATTATTTGTTGGATTATGTGCTAAATATCAAGATCGAATGCAACCCTATCTCATTTACATGACTCCTCTCTTGTATCGATGTATTGAATTTCCAAATAGAGACAAGGCAGTGGTAACGGATGAATTGGAAAGGTTTGCCAAGGAGTGTAAACAATTAATGATTCAATATACTACGAGTACTATTATTACCAATTGTAATGCATCGAATACCACCACCACCACCACCACCACTACTACTACTACCACCAATACAGCATTCACTCAAGCCTATGAACAAGGTCGAAAAGAAGTGGAACAAAAGAGTTCAAAGAAGAGTATTCTTCGAGAACAAAAAGTACTCCTTTCACCCACTCAATTCGCTAAAAAGAGATTGGAGAGTAATTTGAAAAAGAATATGGCAAAGAAGAGAAAATTGAAGGAACAATCACAAGAGGCAACTGTTCAGGTGAATGCAGCAGTGAGTGGACAAGTGAAAAAGAAGAAGTTGAAATAAATTGATTCCATACTCTGTCAATACCACTTTTTTAAATGTTTAAGATTGTTGTTCGAACAACATGTTGCACGACAGCACTTCCCAATCTGTTGTTGTTGTTGTTGTTGTTGTTGTTCAGAGAAAATGACTCGAGTCTCTTGTTGCCTTTCAAAATAGTCGTTTCGGAGATTGACGTATTTAAACGACTACTTTCATTGTGGGAGCTGATCTAATGATTGGTGATTGTGTCGAGAAACTTGCAACAAGTAATTCGCCCAATAAGGATTCAAAAGTAATTTCGATGGATGAAATTTTATGAGTCAACGAGCACACGGAAAAGAATGCGCTTGATTGAGCCATTGACTATATTTGTTTCATCACAACAACTTGTCCAAGTGCTTTCAATGGCCAAGTCCTGAAGGATTCCTTCATTTGTTCAAACCTCAAGCATACTCAAGTGCCTCTCGTGGTGTGTCTGAGACATGATCGACTACGATCATCGCGTTCCTCGTCGTTTCTTTCCCCAAAATTCCCATCGTCCTCTGTGTTGAACAACAAACCCCTTGAAAAAAACGCTCAAAAATATCTTCAAAAAGGCTTTGCTTCTTCACTCGGAGTCGAGCGATCATTCAAGATTGTTGAATCACAACAACAGAATTGAAGATCGGATTGCAACAATCAATATATATTCTTGAGAAATATATTAGTGGTGTCGTTGTTGATCTTATTGAGACTCCTAAGAAATAGGATCATCAAAAATACTTGCAAAGGTGGTGAAACTCAAGTTGAGAGACCTCCTCCGCTTTTCCTTCTTCACTCTCGTATCGAACACTTGTGTTGATTTGTATCACCACCATTCATATCATCAATCTGATTTGAATTAATCACTTGTTTCATTATTATTAGCATCCGTCGTTCACACCGCTGCGTGCATTTCACAGCGTTTCATCAGCTCACTATCAACATCACTCTTTTAATCCCAGATCTTCCATGATTCTGTCCGATTTGTTGTCATCTTCAAAAATGTCTACTTCTTCTAGTCTATTGACCAATGGTAATATTACCGTTAATCGTTTGGTGATGACCAAACTCAATGCGAGTTCTATTGCTTCTTCTCATGAATGTATACATTCATTATCGACTGCTGCGAGTACCTCTTCTTCTCCTTTATCCCATCATCATTCACAGTCCCAGCTCAATAGTTCTTCAGACAATCATACTACCATCGTGTCTGAGAACAACATCACAACGCATCACTCTCAAAAATCATCTCGTAAAGTTGATGTTCAACAACATGCATCAACAAACTTGTCCTCCTCTCCTTCTTCACTTTTATTTATATCCACTTGTCATCACGATTTAACACTCTCTTCTCAAGCCATTCAACATTACAATTCCGCTCAACAACAGCAAAAAAAGAAAAAACACTCTCCTTCACAGCAGCAGTATCACTCCAATAACAACAACAACAACGCCATGACGAGTAGTCGTGTCGTCGTCGTAGCCATATCCGAACCATCTCCTTCCAGTCATAATGCTGTGAATGGCTCTCTCTCATCATCAACAACAACATCTGCTGTGAGTATTCCACCAACCAATAATAACCATAGTAGTAATGGTAGTAGTAATGGTAGTAGTAATGGTAGTAGTAATGGTAGTAGTAATGGTGATAGGATGAATGATCCCTCTATTACAGCAAATGGTATGCAAGTAGTAGTAGTACTCAATTCTTCTAAAACAAATCCTCCATCGTCATCATTGAATAGCCAAAATTCCGCTTCTTATTCCCATCATTCACAACAACAGAAAAAGAATGTATGGAATGGAAAGACCATGAACAATTCTTCTTCTACTCCTTTACAACACTCTCAACCACACACTCGCAACCAATTTGTTTCTCATCATGTTCAAGCCACCATGAATAATACACAATCGTTTTATGCTGAAAAACATGTGTCGATGACAACCACGACCACAACCACCACTCGTCCTTCCAACAATAGTAATCACCATAATAATCACAACAACCATGGAGGTTCTACTTGCATTCCGAATGGAGGACAGAATGCTACTAGTACTAGTGTGAATCTCTCTTTCAATAGTACTTGCAGTCATAGAAATTCTAAAGCTCCAACCAATCATTTCACTAAAAAACGACAACATGTGATCCATTCTCATTCCGACCATTCTGGAAAGAAAGTCTATAGTGATCAATCATCAATCAGAAAGAATCGAATGAATTCAAAATCCAATGTCTATGATTTGTTGTTGATATGTAAATCTAGAACTATTTATAATGACCAATCCTTTGTCACACATCCTGAAACAAATATTTATAACTTTTTTAAGAGTTGCACTCCATTCTTTCATTTGAACAAGGATGAGTCATGCAAGAGTTATAAATTGAAAGAATTATGGAATTTCTATGATGAACCATATGGAATGGAAGTTTCCATTCGATTACCTCATTCAAAAGAGAATGTTTATTTTGTTCCTCATTTGAGTGCAATTAAATTAGTGCAAAAATCAAAGAAGAATCAAGAGGATGATTTGAAAACTCTCCCTACGAGTTTGAATGCCACTGCCACTCCTTCCATTCCTCCTCCAACTGCTATTCCTAATACCACCACCAGTACTACTACTAGTCCTACTACGAGTACCATGGTGTCTTGTAGTCACTCGGATGACCACCACCACCTCATGACTCCATCTACTAGTACTATCACCACATCTACTCATAGTACTCCACATCACTCAAACAATGGACCAAAAACATCACCAAGTGATGAAGCAGCAGATGAAGAAGAAGAAAAAATTATTTTCGAATTTTATGAAACTGTTTCTCCTGACTTGAGATATCCACTGATTGACAGAATTGAAGAATTGTCAAAAGATAATTCAATTTTAATGGAAGGTACTACGGATGATTTTAATCTTGATAAGAGTTGGTTTTCTATTGCGTGGTATCCAATTCTTTGTCATAACAATACAATCAATTGGCTTAAAGGGCAAATAATAACCTATCACAAGTTTGAACCATCTCGATTCGTTATTGACACACCAATACTTTCATCATCCCATTCGAAAAATGAATTTGATGAATTAATTGTTGAGAAGAGAAAACTATCGAATCAACAACCTGATTTGTGTTACTATGCACCAATTATTGGATTCCTGCCGTACAAACTTAAAAGTGAAACATGGTTTTATGATTTTGTAAATAGCAATGGAAACAACAAGAGAGGTAATCACATGCAACTCGTGGCGCCCTTGTACTTGTTACAGACCTGTCATCGATTGCAACGATTTTCACAGGGCTCACCACATCCTGATTACATACATTGCCTAAAGAATTGTCCCGAGCTTGGTTTGATACCATTATTTGACGCTCATTTGCAACCACAGGCAAAACAATCCAACAAGGAGGACGATAGTGCCCAACAACTTCAATGACAAGTGTGCCACAACGATGAGGTGCATCCACTACATCATTCATTAATCAGAACAAGTGAGTTTTTCACCACAAACCATGATGATCATCATGGTTTAATAATTGTCACATTTCTTTGTGAATGACGAGGATTTGAAGAAATTGTTTGTGGATTTTTTATTCACTTTTGAGTTTATTAAACTTAATCTGATTCCAAATTATTTGAAAATTCTAATGCTTCAGCATCGTCAGCAATCAAAAACTCTTCATCGAAAAAATCCACACATAAAGCTTTGATGAGATAGGGAATGGGTTCAAAGTTGTAACCAACTTCTTGGAAATTTCTCACACTCTGCAACACTTCCACCAACTTGCAACATTTCGAAAAGTTGATCAGGGTAGCACCATTGGATTGTCTGAACGTTGGTTCTAAATTGCAATCTCTAATTGATTTCAAGTAATTGTTAATGGGTGGGATCACTGGATGTTTGGAGGTGTTGATTCTCTTCGACAAATTCTCCTTAGCAATTTCATTTCTTGCAAAGTATGTGTCATGGATGTGACGATAAATCTTTTTAGCTTCCTTGGACCAACTCTTCACCAATCTCAAAATTGAATGATGACTCAATCCACGATAGATTGCAAACAACCCATAAATATTATTCAATTGCAACAACTCTTCACATAATTGACAGAATTTGAAAATAAGTTCAGTTCTCTTGGTTAAATCTTTTTCTCTCAAAATGGTTGAAATGACCCATGTTTCACAATCCTTATTACGTTGAATCAATTGAGTGAGATGTGGTCTCTGAATGGTCGATGAAGATGTCAAATCAAATGCAGCTGATTTTGATGGTGGTGCACTTGGTGCACACAATTCCTTATTATCCACTTGTTTGAAAAATTCAAAATCAATGAGAGAGAGTTGTCGAGCAATTTCTGTTGGGCTCCATTGAGCAAATTCAAAGTTTGATGGTGCTGATGTTGTTCTCAAATTGAGTTTCATTTTGGAGAATCCACTTGGAATGATTGGAGTTGGCTTTTTTGATTCTTTTTCTTTCAACATTTGTTTATCGATTCCAAGTAAACAATGAATCAGAGAGTGTTTCACTTGTTCCAATAAATAGTAACATTCAAATGCTACTTGTTTGATGACCATTGTTAAATCATTATCTAAAAATTCAATCAAACTACAAATAAATGGAGGATTCATATCCGAAAAGTGCTTTTCAATCCATAATTTGATGGACAAGGTGATGTTTAGAATTTGAGCATTCTTGTGTTCATTGTGTGGATCTTGAGCATATTTAAAGAGACATTGTCGAATGAGCATTAACAATTGATTAGGAGTTGTAAAGAACAAGTAACTATAAAAGAATACTTCTGGATATGGCAATGGTTTGTAATCTGCTCCATTCTCAAATAATTTTTCAACTAATTTTTCTAATTTGAGATAATTCAATTGTTCCAATGCTTCCAAGGACATGTGAGGTGTTTCTTTACCAGCATGTAGAATTCCACCATAGGTCAATAATTTTTGCATGTGAAGCTCTTGTCGTGACAATAAACGATCAATGGATTCAATTTTTTCCATTTGATAGACTTCTAACAAGTGATAGAGTACTTCACGAACCATGTGATGCGTTTCACTCGCAGTTGGAAAGAAACAATACGAGAGTATACTTGCCAATAGAGGTTTCCATTTTGGATTTCTCTCTTCGGAAGGATTTAAAAAGAGAGAATGATCATGTGAATGAAACCCAACACCAACATTACCAACACCAACATTACCACCACTATTGCTCTTGTTGTCATGATTGGTTCCAAATCTTGCACCTGGTGGTACTACTGTTGTGGTGTTATTGGGAGTCATGTTGTTAAAGAGACCTAATTTGGTACTCAATGTGGAAGGTACCCATCGATAATAATGAGAGGATTTGTGGTGATGATGATGATGAGGATTATTCATCATCATGGTGGTGATGGTGGTGTTCTTACTTTCCAAGTCTGATGTCCTTGATTTCATAAATTCATTAATAAAGAAGAATGGTTTGAATTGACGAATGAATGGATGTAAATAATTCTCAAAGAGAACTCTCTTATGTTCTGAATCTAAATAGGGAGAGAGTAACAGAATGGACAATAAAAAGTGAAGAGATTTGTCAAAGATTTCATAAAAGAGATAAATCTCATTAGTGGCATTCGAAGTGGCATTTGTAGCAGAAGTTGAATTTGTAGAAGTAGCATTAGAAGTAACATTACCACATTCATCCTGTTGAACATTTTTCAATTCCATCCTTTCCATTCGCAGCACATCACGACTTAATTGTTCAATCAAGTCCTTGGCTTCTGAATGATCCTCTTCTCCACTCAAATATAAACTTAATAAATTTTCCTTATAATGACTGAGAATATGATTCGCTCTTTCCATATACTTGTGACTCTTTGGAATTAAATATAATTGAACAATAGTTTTTTCAAAGAGTTCCAAATAAACTTCATGAAAACAAAGTTGAACTTCAGGTTGATTGTGAATACTCATGAGCATGACAGTGACTTGAAGAATATCAACGAATGAAAGAATATGTAAAGGTTCAAGTGATGAAAAGTATTCACAGAGTTGAGTGGAATCTACATTCTTAATGATGTGATAGAAACATGCAAATAAATCTCCTAATTCATCTGTGAATGTCAAACATTCCGAGATTTCTTGCTTCTTTTCAATAAATTGTTTCACAAAATCAAAATATAAACTTCCAATAAATTGTCGATCTTGTTTGGATTGCAATCGTTCATCAAAATCCATTTTGGTTAAATTATTTTTGAGAACTTTGAGTGAAATGGTTTTCAATTCATCAGTTTTCTGAGTCAATCCACAAATGACACAATCAATGAGTTTTTTAACAATGAATTGATTTTCTGAATCCTGAATGAGGAAATAAAAGTGATCGTGTTCGACAAAAATCTCTAAAAATTGCAACATGTAGAAAATGGCAGTGTCCTTGTTCAATCTCTCTTCAAAGACTGTGAAATATTCCAAAATAATCTCTCGGACATGTTTGAAATCCATGAGGTGAGTCATGTCCTTCAAAAAGAGAGCCAAATCCACATTAAAATTAGTGGCAGCAGTATAAACAGTTGCATCTTTAAATCTCTTTTCAAAACATTCCAATTGAAGAGGAGCCACCAATCGAATGAGTCTTTTCATTCGTTTCACAAGAGATTCAGGTTCAAATTTTTGAGAAGCGACAAATCTAGTAGTAACACTACTCGTACCAGCACTAGTACCAGCATCAGCACTAGTATTACCACTAGTATTATCACCACCACCACCACTACTACTACTACTACTACTACTCGTACCACTAGTAATATGTAATGATTCATTCTCGTTCAATACAATGATATTCTTGGTCATTAAATCAAAGAAGAACCATCCAAATTTCATAATATCAACAGCAGTGAAACCCAAAGCACTCATCTTTCGAATAGGATTCGATTCACTATGAGTTGAAATGATTTGATTCAATGAACTGAATTCATCGCTACCACCAATACCACCAATACCACTAATACCACTAATACCACCAATACCAATACTACTACTACTTGTACCACCAATACCAATACCACTAATACCACCAATACCACCACCACTACTACTACTACTACTATTCTTTGATTTAAAGTTGGAAGAGGTTTTCTTTCGTTCTCTCTGAATGAAATCTTTATAATCACGAATGAGAGTTTCTGCTTGTTTGGGATTGGGTCTTTCAGAGAGAGATGAAAATTGGAAAGTATTGTTTGGGAAGTTGTTGGTGGTGTTGGTGGAGGTTGTAGTAGTTGGTTTGAAATTCAAATCTGAAATTTTTGGTGAAAAGACATTCACATCGATGGGTTTTGGATTCTTTTTCAATTGTTCATTGGCTCTCGTTTCTTGCCAATTTTCAATAAAAGTCATCATTTCATCCAAAATAATTTTAAAAACAGGTTTTTCAATGTCTGGATGTTGTCTTGCAAAATATGAAATGAAAATTGAAATGTAATAATTAGATCTTCCAACAAGATTGGTCACAGTTTCAATTCCATTCAAAAAGAACAATAGACACATGACTGCTTTGGAAATGAGTTCAGGAACAATGACACGAGCTTGTGTAATGAATAATAATTGTTGATCATTGTCATAGTTTTCATTCTGTAGAGTGGTCAAATGCAATGAACCACTCGTTGTTCCACCAACAGCACCTCCTCCTCCTCCTCCACTCAATCCTCCCTTCATGGGTGATTGTAATTTCAATAAAAATAATTTACAAATAAGTGTTAAAAGACCATTCATGACTTTGGGAGCATGATTCAATAACTCGGCAAAATTGGCCTCTCGAAGATTGTCAAGTTGAGATCTTGCTTGATGAAGTAATTCTTCAGCTTTTGAAAAGAATTCATTCGTTCGTGTCATGTGTGGATGTTCCTTTTGGTGTTGCAAGGTATCAAAGATTTTGTAGAATCGATCACAAAGATCTAAAAAGGATGCTGCATAGGGATCTTGAGCGTAAAAGCAAGTCATTGCCTTTGTTCTGATTGTAAAGTAAGAGCTTTGAGAAATTGGTAACTCTGTGTAAACACTCAAATAATTATCCACAAGTTTTTGACTCTTGAAAATTGAAAGAGTATGATAACCATCTTTCACAACACAATGATTTGTGACATCTCTCAAAAATGCAAATCCAATGAGTTGAGTATTAGTGATTCCATCTTGTGATAAATCAATGTCACTATTTTGAGGAGCTCGACCACCTAATCCTCTTATTGGATCAATATCATAAAATTCAAAAAGAACATGAGATTTGTCGACAATATTTGCAGAGGATGGAATTTCAAGTCGAATTTCATCGTAAAATTGTGGTGTTAACTTTTTGTGTGTGAGACAAGTGTAATAAAAATTAAACATATTGTCAGCATTGAAATTATCTGCAATACGTGATTCTTTGGTAGCCGTTGCTGAATCATTCTTTCGATACGATACTTTCACATAAACAGTTCCAGTTTTGGAAAGTGAAGACAAGTCACATGTATCAGGATAAATGTATAGAGTGTTTCTTAAATTGAAATCAATTTGATAATGATATCCATTGGGACTTGTTTGTTGATCCACAATTCTCTCCAAAGGTTCAACGACTGGGAATAATTTGTAAAAAGTATCCAACACAGAGAAGGATCCTTTGGATTTGTCCAATCGAGCCATGACTTTGGATCCTTCATTATCATCTTGCATGAACATACTCAAATCGGTGCTTGTTAATCGAAGACTGGCATGATGCGATTGAGAAGATGTTTTTGATTTACGTGTGGAGAAGGCATGTAAATAGGATGCAAGCTTATCTCGAGTAGCAGTATTCGTTTGGAACAAGAATTTGACTGGCATGTGATTCTTATCATCATCCATATTGAATGTCGAAAAGTCGGCACTACTTCCATGAATGGGGAGATTGGAACTTCCGGACAACCATTTTAGGAAGGTGAGTGTGTCGAAGGGATGGGTGGAATAAGTGGGAATGCGATAGGCCTTATTGATCTTGACTTGTCCCTCCAAGACTTCGATTGACACAGATTGAGAATGGTGAGGATCTATTGTGTTTTCATTCTTTCCTTCATAAAAGAGTTTTTGACCAAATACCATAAATGGTTGACGAAGCATGCTGGCCTTCCAAAATTCCTCCATCATGAAAATGTACTTTTTAGTGGCCTTTTCATTTCCACTCTTGTAGTCTTTCCAAGCATCTTCAATATAGGATCCACAATAAATCTTTTCAATTGTGAAAGCGATATACACATCTGTGTGATTGGGTTTTTCAAAGACAAACATAGCAGAAGGTTTCTCAAAGTTTTGTTTCTTGTTCACAGCTTTGATATGACGTTGTGTGAGTTTACCAAGTTTGTGAAAAGAGTATCCAATGGAATTGTTGTTAAAGTTGCTGTTGTTGAGGTTGTTTTGAGATCGATTACTAGTGCCAATGTTGCTATTGCTGCTGCTGCTGCTGCTACTATTGCTACCACTATTACTTGGTTCAATAAAGAAACAAAAATCTTCAGTCAATTTTGTATCATTTCTCACATCATAGAGTGCAACTTTACAAAAGAATGGTTCCAATAGTCCAAATTTGGATAATGTAAATTCCTCAAATTCAAAGATGAGATACATCAATTTGCTAATATTGTTGTAGAGAGGAGGAACCTTTCTGGTACGATTACATCTCTCAATTTCAGCACCTCCATTCCAGAAATAGGTATTATTGTAATATGAAATGACTCGATGAACATCTTCCAATTCATAGTGTGTGATAGAGGTTTCTGAATATGATTGAATACAATAATATTGTTTGCATATTTATATATATCATGAGGTGAGAATATAAATGACACGATCATTATTATACATTGTATGGAATGATATCATTATGTAATGGAATGATCATTATGATACATTGGAATATTATTATAATTATTGTGATGTATTATATACACATTCATGGAACGAATAATGTGAAGAATGAGAACTCCAACACGAGCACTTACCTGTCGATCGAAATCCTTCAATACGTTTCAAATCTTTTGGACGAATGCCTTTTGCTTTGAGTTTTGTGAAAATACTAACTTTCTTTGTCTTTTTCTTTCCATACAATTGTTCATGAATTTGTGAAACAGATTCACCAGCAATCAAATCCATCTTTTCTTTCTTCTCTTCCATTGGAACAGAGAGTTCTCCATGATTAGTACTACTCGTCGTACTCACATTGTCATCCTCTTGATTGGTTTTTTTAGGTTTCTTTCGAATAAAATCAAAGAAACTTGATCGATTCACTTGTTGTTTGTTTTTGTTTTGAATCTCTGAGAGTTGTCCAATACTTCTCACACGAACAGAACTTGAAGATTTCTTTTCACTATTACTACTTGCAGTGTGATTGTTTGAAGAGGTTTCATTTGAAACTGTCGTTGTGATTGTCATGTATGGACTCACACCACTGCCACTGCCACTCACACCACTACCACTACGACTCGTATCTAAGAAATGATGACTCGAAGCAATGAATGAAGTACGTTGCTGTTCATAATCCTCTCTGTTGTAATTTTGACTTGTGCCATCTGTTGTTGAATTGGTGGTTGTTGCTGATGTGAAAAGTGTTGAATTCAACACCGTTGAATCCTGAGGATGATTGTTATACATACCATAAAATTCATCCTCACATTCTTCATCATCACTATCAATTCTACCAAAGACACTTTGTCGACATGTTTCTTCAAAAGAAGCAATGGTAGATCTCTCTGGATGAGGAGGAGGAGATGCGATTTGAAAATTTGAAGAACTTTGACCACCACTCGAATTGAAGGAAAGATTCTTCTTAAAAGTATCTCCTCCTGAAAGTCTCTTTTTTACAATTCCTCCTCCTCTCTTTAAAGAATTGGAATCAGACAATGACAAGGTTTGATGTTGATAGGATCCTGAAAGTTGAATCACAGTGGATTTACCCATTTGTTCAAATACATTCTTAGTATGAGGAGAGAGGGCATCACTTTCAATGTCTGTGACGTGTTCATTAACCATCATGATTGAACTTGAAGATCCACCATCACTTTCACTTCCATGATCCATCATCATGAGGAGAGAATCTTCTGTGTCATTGTATAAATAATCATTGGTGATGACATCGATGGTGGCACGAGTATTAGTGAGGTTGTAATTATTATTATTCACAGAAGAAGCAGTACTGGTCGTTGTCATTATGGTATTTTGATTCGTAGACATGATGGGATGAACACGAGGAATTCCAATCGAACTGTTATATTCTCCATTTTGAATCATCATGTCTCTTTCAAATTTGTTGTAATTCACAGTCAAAGAAGAAGGTTGAGTCATCATGAAAGATGAGCCACTACTATTACTACTCGTATTATTATTACTGCTCTGAAAGACTTGATTATTTCTTGGTGAACTTCTTTTAGGTGTTGAAACGATGTGATGAGTGCTGTAACTGTTGTTGGTCGTGTGGTTACTCGCACTACTTGCAGTACTTGAACTACTTGGCATTCTTTGAATGGTCGTGTTAAAATGATCCGATCCAAAGGAGGAGGAGGAGGAGGTGATGTTGTTGTTGTTGATCGTGTTGTTGTTGTTGTTATTGTTGTATGGATGATTGAGTGTTGTGACCATTCCAGATAAATTCATGGCTGGAATTTGATGTAAGGAATAATCACCACTTGTTGAGGTTCCTCCTCCAATCGATCCATTCGATGACGATGCCATACTGTTCTTGTTTTTCGATTGTTGTTTTTGATGATTAATGACTGCATTCACGAGTAAATTTCCATTATGTTTTTTAGTGAGAGCATTTGATGGACTGGATGATGTTGCTGCTGTTGTTGAATCTGATGCAGTATTAGTGTTATCATTGATGGATGAGAGATCACTCTCTTCTTCAAATTCATCCAAATCATCATCATCATCTTCGGAATAGGTCAATTCATTGGAAGAGAGAGCATGACAAGTTGCAATAGTGCAGTGAGGAGGATGATGAGGTGATCGAACATGTTGTGTTCTTTGTGTGGTTCCATGAAGATGCTGAGGATGAGAGGATGTTGCGGATCCTGAGGAGGTGGTCGTGTTGTTGTTGTGGTGGTGGTGGTACTGTTTTGATGCAACATGGTTGTTGTTGTCGTCTTTGTGTGCAGTTGTTGTTGTTGTTGTATCATTAGGATTGTTCTTACTAACACCACCATTGCCACTCCCATTGCCACTACTACTATTAATATTCAATGAAGAAGTGATCGTCAATGCTCCTCCATAATGGGTGGTGTGTGAAGAGAGAGGAGATGCTTGAAAATGTGGTGGCTGTGGTTGTGGTTGTTGTGGATAAAGTTTTAAATGTGGATTTCCAATCATCATTAAATGTTCTTGTTGTGAAGTGATGAATGGTGGTTGAGTCATTACCATGATCATATTGGGATTCTTAGAGGATGAAGTATTCGTAGCTGTTGTCACAGTACTATGATGACTATTGGTGGATTTGGGTGATTGCATGACTGATTCTACATAATGAAAATACAAATGTGGTGGATGGACTTGATGATAATTGGATTGTGTGAAATCATCCATCGTTAACACAGTCCAATCACCTAATATCATGTTCACATTTTCATGATCGATGGATCTCACTCGATGAGGTTGTTCTTCATAACGCTCTAGAAAAGGTCTTAGATCTTTGTGATATCGGTTATTAATTGGAAATTCATTGAGGTCATGAATGAGATGAAAAGGATTATTCATTGGTGGTAATAGTGAATGAGTGGTGGTGGTGGTGGTCAATGTGGTGGTGAGAATGTTGTTGTTGTTGCTGCTGCTTGTGTTTTGTACAAATCCTTCATCGATGTTGTCAGTGGTGTTGATGGTGTTGGTGGTGTTCTGTACTGGTGGTAATCGATGGTTGTTCTGGTCCAGGTCAATATCACCACCACCACCACCACTACTTCTACTATGAAGTGTTTCATCATCATTCATCACACCACCACCACCAGTACCACCACCAGTACCACCCGAGGTGTTGTTGTTGAGTGATGATGATGATGATAATTCGGATGATGATGCTACTGCTGTTGTTGTTGTGGTTGTTGTTGTGGTTGTTGTTGTGGTTGTTGTTGTGGATGTATTCATGGTGCCATCCATCGACCCGCTGCCAATCATGTTCTTTTCAAAGTGCGATGATAACGATGATGGTTGTTGAGTCAATAATAATGCGGTCGTAGTAGTAGTGGAGATGGGAGAAGAAACAGGGTGGTGGTGGTGGTGATTATCCTGTTCGTTGTTGTTGTTGTTGGCCAAGTCTAGAGTGGTAGAGTTGAGTGATGATGATGATGGTTGGCTAGCCATCACAACATTCGTTGGCAAAGACATTTGCGATGATTAATGATGATTTGATGAAAGGAATGATGATGATGATAGGTGTTGTTATTCTACAGAACAGATTCAACTGAAAATTATTTAACTCTGAATAATTCCTCTCTATGTGTTCAATGGATCAATCACTACTGAATGGCCAAGAAGAAGAAGGAGAGTATAAGGTGTTGTTGTTGTTCTTCTTGTGAGCGTTTGAGATTCTATCGGCGACTCTATGGAGAAAATTATCCTTGTGAAGAAGGAAATCGCAATGGTTATTGAAGAGGCAGGTGAAATCTACTTCGTTGTAGATACGGCTCTGATAAAGAAGAAATGGCGCAATATTTTATTTTGTTGTGCTTGACAGGTTGATTGATGTGTTTAAATGGCGAACTTACATCATTCCAAGACCAGAAACTTTAATGGCTTCGTGTATCCTTTTTATTCTGTTTGAACAAATCCTCATTCTATTGAATTTCTGTCAGTTGTCTGTGATGACGATGATAATTGCTCTGTCCCATTCAATTCTACTGTTGTCTTTTTGAATGCCCGTGGATGATTATATAACAAGGGAAGAGAGAGATAGAGAGTGAAAACCCAACGTCACATGTTTCAACACACGAGCAAAGAGCAACACCTTCTGGATAGTCCTTCTTGGAAGGGCCCAAGATATTTATTGATAACACTCATTGAATGGCAATTCAAGTTCAAAAAAAAGGTGAACCACAAAAATGAGCCATCTTCATCATCGACACGAACGTTCTGCTGGAGAAGAGAAACTCTCGTCATCATCTTCCGTTATTGGTACTCAAAAGCCTGGGAAAGTGACCACCACATCATCTTCACATTCGGAATTCAAAACAATCAAACAAATTGATGAAATTGCAAAAGGAATTATATCCGATAAAAAGAATACCAACAATTTACTTAAATTAACCGAGTTTTTAGAAGAATCATTTCCGAGGTCTTCCCGAAAGGAAAGAAGTTTTGTTCTACAATCAATAGAGTCCTTACTAGAAGTGTTTACTCACTTCTTTGATAAGAAAACATTGATTCTCAACGTCGGAGAAAAAGATACTGTGGTTTGTGATGTGAGTAAGGAAAAAGCAATACAAAAAAAGGAATATATGAAATGGATTTATGAACAATACACCACGTTCGCCAAATATCTTCCATTATTTACGATTCATTATTTCACCAAGTTTGATGAGAATGAGGAAGAAATTCAAAAATGTGTGGATGCAATTCTTACTTTGACCAAATTAGAATTAAATTCTGCCAATGATTCTGCTTTTGTTGAAATGGACAGAGAACGAAATAGAATCAATACTATTGTTTGTGAAGGTCCATATGGCTCGTTAATTTATCACTTATCTATTGATGCCAATCAAAGCGAAGGAAAGACATTTATCATTGATTATCTCAAAGACAAGTATATTGACAGATATCATGATTTAAGGTATTTCACCTATGTTGCTTTAGCACTCTCCATTAGAAAGTTGCGCTCCAAGAAAAAGAAGGCAATTACATTTCCTCAGTTTTGTGAAAATATTCTCTCAATCATTGATGATATTCCTCCCATCGAAGATATTGACAGATTGTTTTTGTATGATGGGTTTGATTATTCAACTGACGAGGAGGACATGGAAGAAGATGGAAACGAAGAAGATGGCATGAGTGATCATGGGGATTTTTCAGATGATTTTATGGGTAATGAGGATGGAATGATTCCTTCTGAAGACAACATGATGATGGATCCTACTCTTGGCGACTTGAATTCTTTAACTTTACCAAGTTCATCAGAAAAGAACAATAACGATGAGGATGAAATGAAAGATGAACAACACAAGAAAGAAAATAGCTTATTGGATCGGTCCATTCACATTGCTGCATTTACCAACTTTTGGCTTGCTTTTTTACAACTTCCAGAAATGACAAAATCTATTTATGAGAAAATTTTAAGGAAAATGAGTGAAGAAATTATTCCTCAATTCGAAGATCCATTCTTACTCAACGATTTTATCTCTAATTCTTTTGACCAGGGTGGATTGGTAGCTCTCTTGTCGGTTAAAAGTTTATTTATTTTAATTTCAGAGTATAATTTGTAAGTTGAGAAAACATATGGCAAATGTTATATTGACTTAGCATATCTAGAGTATTTGACCAATTCTATCAGAAATTATATTCCATTATAGACCTGGATCTTTTCACAATGGATGACAGAGAAGAATTTTTTGAGCTGTTCGACACATTCATGAAATCGACCCATTTGCCAGAATACATTGTAGCTTCATTTGTCAAGAAATTTGCCAGAATTTCTCTGTTTGCTCCTGCCTATGCCTGTACCTACATTTTGGCTGTTATTTATAATCTCATTTCTAGACATCCACAAATTAGCTTTTTGGTTCAACACGACGAAATTGAACCCAAGTATCTTTCAAGACTCCAAAAAAAAGCTCTGAAAGAGCAACACCCAACTGAAGAAAAAGCTCCGAAAAAAGATCCTTTTGACTTTCATGAGAAAGATCCAAAACTCTGTAAAGCAATGCAGAGCCAATTATGGGAGATTGAAACATTGATTTATCACTCCAATGCAGAAGTTTCCAAAATGGCCAGAGACATCAAGAGACATTTCGCGGAAGGATTTCCTCAATATGATATCAAAAAGTTTACATCAACCAGCACTGAAGATATGTTCAAGATGCTTGCAGAGAAGAAAAGGTTTGTCAAGCTCACTAATGTAGATGCTCCAAATGGACTATTTGCAAATGACAAGAACTCTGTTTACTCAATTTTTGATTTTTAATAAATTACTTTCGTGTTGCTCCTCTTGAATTACTCGTTCTAGCTGTCGTAACAGTGGCATGTCTCTCTTTGTAAATTCGGAATAGCTTGCTTTCAAGGCGGGTGGGGATGTAGGGCACTTCTTTGTCTAGTGTATTGAACCCTAACATAAATGCACTCGTTGCCAGATCAAACAATGACGGGATCTTTTCTATCTTTTTGTCTTTCTTTTGAGGTGGTTTGGATTTCTTGCTTTCATCCTCCTGTTCAAGGGGAGATTCAAGTGTTCTTTCTAATTTTGTTTGAGCTACAAGCAAACAACAAGCCAATTGAGCTTTTGTTTCCTCTATTAATGGCTGTGTATACTTTCCGAATTTGGGCCTATCGACCTCTTCTTTGCATGAAGCCCATAACCCTTTGAGAAATCCTAGTTTTGCACTACATAAAAAGTAATCTAGAGCTTGCTCAGCGTTGTCTTTTTCCTCAAAGTAGTATTCAGCTAAAAATTTGTACATGAATCCGTCCGTGTGTTCATTCTTTAAATCAAGTTGTAGCACAGATTCAAAATCCTGTTTCGCCTCTCTTGTTAAATTCAGCAATAAGTGACAAGTACCTCTACACTTGTACAAGGAAGGTTCATCTGGCAAGTCACCAATCCCAACATTAAGTGTGAATAATGCCTTTTCAATATCGTTTTGCTCGGTCAAAATCATTGACTTGGTGACATAAGCGTCTGCAAGTAAGGAAGGGTTCTCAATAGGTTTTTTTTCAATACACCTAGAGAAACAGATCATTGCTTCATCGGTACGGCCTAATTCCATCAATAGGTGACCATAATGAGTCAAATATTCCATGTTGGCAGGTTGAATTTTTACGAGTGCCTCGTAAATTGAAACTGCTTCCCCAATATCTCCTGCGTCCTCGCAATGTTTCGCAGAAGTTTGGTATTGAACACAAAAGGTTGGATCTAAATCTCGAATTTTTTGAAAATCTTTCTGAGCTTCTTCTTTGTGTCCCATCTGAAACAAAATATCACCACGCAAGAAATAAATATAGGGATCTTGGTTGTCGACCTCTGCAATTATTCTATTAAAACTGTAAAATGCTCCGTTCAAGTCTCGCAAAGTTGAACAGCATTTTCCTAGGCTAACCAACACTGTTTTGGTCGGGTGTTCAATTTTTAAGTATTTTTCGAATTCTCGTTTTCCGTTCTCGTAGTCCTGCAAATGTACATAGCAATCACCCCGAATATAATATGCAGAAGATATGTGAGGATCTAAACTAATACAAATGCTTAACTGTTTCAAAGCATCTTCATAATTGGCTATTCTCCATAAAGCCTCGCCGTACATCGAATAATTTTCTGCGGATCTCATACCCTCATTGATACATTCTTGAAATAGAGCAACGGCTTCAGAAAATTCTTCATTGACATAATGCTGCTTGGCAAGTTCTAATTTTCTTTCACGCTCAAGTTTCACCTCTTCTTGACTTGGTTTAAAGGCTTTTGATTCTTTTCTGGTGTTTTTATAATCTTCCACGAGTTTTCTGCTAAACTCGGTGCTCAAAAGTTCAAAAGGAGTCTTTTTCTTCCGTTCAACTGGACACAACTTTCGTTTCTCTCTTTCTTTTGATTCAATGAATTTAGAGTGATACAACGACTGGTAGTATGTTTTATACTTCTCTCCATAATATTTAGGTGTTCGTTTTTCGGAGCTATTTGTACAGTATAATCGGTTCAGTTTGATGATGGGCTGGTTCAGATCATTAAAAACCACATGACTATTGTATGATAGAGGTAGTTTCTCTTTTTTGATTCGGTTTGACGGATTCTGCAAGGATGAACGTTGTTGTTGGACACTAGAACCCACCGTCAACGAAGACATTTTTTAATGTTTGAAATCACTACAGCTCTGAAAAAAGGAGGCAAGAAAATTTGAAAAATAAAATTTGAAAATTTTTTTTAAAATTTTTTGTAAAAAATACAATGACGGGCCATCACCACCTTCTCGCCAACACCACTCTTCTCGGAGATGAGTTTTTTCTTCATATAAAGGCAGCATGTAGAAAATTCAGAAAAATTCTTTCAGATGAGATTAAAACTAGTATTGAATTTAATCACAATCAAATTTATATCATTGACAAAATTCAAAATTTCGATATTCATGTCTCTACAACAGAAGACCTTGAAAAGAAAATACTTCCGTCATCCATCAAATTCAATGCTCTTTCATGGAAATATGGAAACAAGGAACAAATATGCTTTTTGGGTGAATGTTGTGTTTCGTTGATTTATTCCATCGCTTCGCATTCCATTTTTCATTTTCAACAATTAGTTGAATTGATTGAATATTGGAAAGAGAGAGAATCATCTCCTATATCTGCCATGCTTGAATTAGGACCTTTATATTGGATTAAGCTAGCTTATAATCAATTTATAAATACAAATGCAGGAAAGAAAGTTGTGGGCAATTTACAACCATCAAAATGGTTGGAATTATTGGACAATATTCGAATGAAACAGAGAGGACCAACGCGAGATTTAAACGAACTTTTGGAAAAATTATCTCGAGTTGAATCATGTCATGCATTTATTTGTGGACATTTGGTTGATTTTCTTCACAGATTTCAAGCGGTGAGAACCATTCATGAAATTAGTGATGTTTCTATCGGTTTTTTGAACTTTATAGATGGGTTGTTTATTCTGGAAACTGAAGGAAATGTTGTGACTATGATGAATGCTAATACTCCCTCTTCTCTTACCACCAACATGACTACCTCTGACTTTTCGATGGTTGGAACTCTGAATTCTTCTGCTCACACTACTGCCACAATCACTACGAATGAAACACCATCAAATGGTGATACTTTATTTGAGAGACATTTCACAGTTCATCCCTTGCAAGAAGAATTGCAAAAACAATCGCAGATCATTAAGAGAAGTTTTTTCCATAGTGGTATTGGGCCCATTCAAGACCAGCAAGACTCTTACACTACTCTTCCAATGAGCAATTTTCCACAACATGTCTTGTCTTCCAATAGAACTCCATCTCCTTCTTTAATCTCGGGTGCTGTTGCATTTAACGAAATTCCACATGACCAAACAGATGCTCTGAGTTATCATTCAATGATGATGATGGATAGAAATTATCGATCTGGAAACACTATGAATCATGTATACTCTGATCATGGTATGCCCAATCAAGATATCACCACTGAACAGTTTCTTCAAAAAATTGATCAGGCCATGCAAAGATGTAGAAATTGGTACTATATTACAAATTATTATTTGAAACAGTATCAAAAACCAAACCATTTTTACAGGAATTGGATTGGATATACTGTAGGAGTTACTACTGGAGCTCTTGTATCATATTATGCTTACAAACATGTCAATGATATTGTTAGAGTTTCAACAGATGCCTATCAAAGTGTAGCTAGATTTTTCCACAACTCCATTGCTGAACCTTTATATAATATTTATTCAATTATTCACTATGATGAACACAAACACAAATTGGCATCACTCGAAGATGTGGAACTTTCTGCCAAATCATTGGAGCGTATGGTTCTAGATTTTGTTAAGGATACTCATCCAAATATTTCTCAAAGTGATTTAGTACAATATGCGGAGCAAGCCAAGAAGGGAGATATTTCTGTGGTGATGGAAACTTATGAAAAGGTAAGCCATTGGTGATTATCATTGTCAGTATTGACACTCTTTCATGATTTAGGAATTGAAAAGTCCTGTCACTAATGCTTTGTTTGGAAGTCTAGCAAGGGCTTTATTGATTCAAGTTCAGAAACAAAAATTAGCAGTCGAACAATCGATGGTCAGCATTGATGCGTTAATGAAACAAAATGAATTGAATTTAGAATTGATTGCTGCTGTTCCAGGAGTGTTACTATTTTCTTTCCTCTATTATCAAATCACTAACTTTAAGAGAAAGACAGATTATTCGAACATTACAGAGCCAATGATTAGACAAATGTTACTGATTGAGAAAATTCTGAATAGAAATATTGGACTATCAAGACTGGCACTCATTGATTATGGTACCATCTATTTATATGCTTCTCGAGTTAAATTTTTAGCGAACCGTTTTTCCACTCTGATTGAGCATCCAAGAGCTGCCAGTGATTTTACGAGTGACTTGAACGAAGTGAATTCAACACTCATGTCTCCTGCACAAAAGTTTAACACAGTTCATCGAATGTTTAGACAATATCAGTTTTTAAATCAACAAGAGCAGCAGTAAATTCTGCTTTTTTGGTAGCAAACACCTGAACTGAATTGTCCGTTTAATTGGAGAAGATTGTTGAAATTGTTGAATGACCATAAACTATCTTTAACAATAAGACGTGTATGCTTTTCTCAAAAACGAATGGTCATCAAGCTTCATAAAATTGCTAAAATTGTAAGAATTGCCAATAACAACATTCAAACAAAAAAATGCAACAATCCGAATTCACAAAAACAACATACCTGGAGATAAGCAAACAAAGCACGTCGGGATTGCTGGCAAAAAGCTACAGGCATTGTCCAAGCGAGGCCAAAAGCTATGCTCTTTGTATTCACAAGAATATTACACGACTGAGACAAGATTTGTGCTCGAAAGAAATCCATACGTTGATGGAGTGCATAAAACGAGAATCCAAATCCACCAATTTGGACATGTAATCTCAAATAACATTGAAAATATATAATCATCATATTAGAGAAAATTTTAGTGATGGCTCAATTTAATTCCATAATTCTTTTTATCAATTCGATATCCTTTGTCATCAGAGTGACTCGTCCCGCATGAAGCGCTTCCAGGTTGAAACACTTTTTTCAAGCGATGATAACATTGTAAATAGTACTTACAACAAAGATAGGCATTTTCAAACAAATTGACCAGATAATGTTCTGCTGCTTCCTGTAAAGCCAATAAGGAATCAGCAGAGAAGCGAAAAGGACAATCTTCTCTTCCCCTATTAGCAATATCTCGTACCACTCTCACAAAGTTTGCCTTTGGAATTAATAGCTCCGTGCTCCGCTGATACTTTCTTATTTCTCTCAAAGCAACAGTACCCTTCTTCCACCTTCTAGGCTTTTTAACCTTTTGAGGGGAGACTTGGGGAGCTTTTATTGCTTTCCTTGGAGCCTTCAACGCTTTCCTTGGCGCTTTTGTGCTGAATTGATTAGGTTGTTTTTTAGGCTCAAGATTGATGGAAGGATTGTCCTGATTGGCCTCTTTCTCCAAATCCCTAAAGAGCTCATCAATTGAATCCAATGGATCTAAGTTCCAATCTAACGTGTATTGCATAGATCGTTCGACCTGCAAAGCTGCATTTCCCTCTAACTGTGGCTGTTCTTTTCGTACTTTTTGTTTTTGAGACATTTTTTAAAGCACTAATAATCAGTTGACTGTAAATTCTGCCCAATTTTTTAAACACTTTGGGTGAGCGTTCTTATTATTCTTGATTTGAAGAGAATGTTGAGAATGAGTGGTTGTCCATAGTATATGAACAACAACAACTGATTTTTTACCTACGGCAATGGAGAATGAATGTCTTGTTGACAACGAAAAAATGAAAAAATCAGCTTGTTGGTTTCTGTCTATTGCTCTACTTGTTTTGATTTTTTGTGTGTTTGTGAGGGCTGCTTCATCATCATCTGATCTCGGAGAAAAGAGTTATTGCATCAACGAATTGGATTCTAGTTTTATTAACAAGTAGTGTATCATCATATTCATGAATCATTCATACTCACCACCTAGTTGTTGTTTCATTAATTCAGATGTCATCGGCAAGTCCCATCAAACTTTTTGACGATGCTAGCAAACTTTGCAGTGCAATGGATAAATCCAAGAACATTGGCTATTAGTGCTGTATTTTTCCTCATTATCCTTCCTATTTTACAATTTGCTTCAATCAGAAGGGAATCGGGTGTGGTCCAACATGTTCTTTCCAAGTTTTTGCACAACAAAATTGTCATTTTGAATTGTGAGTATTTGACAAGAAAGAGTTTTTCATTCCACTCATCACCAATTTTGCAATTCATAATTTTCATGAACCAGTTTTGCACCGAGTTTGTTATACTCTTGTTTTGGATGTAGCTCTCTATGCGGTTTTTAGACAAATGAGACCTTGCAGCTGCACAACAGATGGAGGAAAGACATTCCAACATTTTGGAAGTAGATATGGAATGGTATGTAAAGTGTATTGAGCTCATAACTGATCATATGTCTAACTTGATGAATATCAGCCCTCTGGTGACGCTATGTCAGGTGCAATTTTTGGTATTTTTCTTTTTGATATTGCCCCTTATCATGGCTGGATTGCTAGAGCCATCGGTATCATTGTTATTCCATTAATTTGTTTGGAGAGAGTGGTTCTTGGATATCACACAATTGCTCAAGTCACTGTTGGTTCTAGCTTGGGAATATTGTTGCATTACTATTCTTCTAGAGCTCCTCAATTTATGATTTTCATTGATGGAGTTATTCAAATTATAGCTGGAGCTGTTCTTTTGCAAGTAGATCCTTCTCTGATCTATGAGAAAGACTCTATGAGTAAGTAGTAGCAACTTTGAACATTGACATTTCGAATGATTTATAGATAATTTATTTTCGTGGTATGTGTGGGGAGTGTCTTTCCAAATTTATGTGTTCATGGAAATGTATGTTTTAAAGTAATATGACATTATTATTTACTCTATTTTATAGTGGACGTTATTATTTCAACAAGAAAAACATTCAAAAAATTAGATTTAGTTTGCAACATTTAATCACCACAAAACAAATTGGTGAAGTAGCCGAGCACTCAATCGATGTTGATCATGAGAAAGACTCAAAACATCTTAATGCACAAATGGATGTAACAAGACTCACTGATTTCGGATTTACTTGCATTTCCTTCACCCTAATGCTGCTCGTCAATTTCTTTTCAACGGGCATTGGGCAAGAAGGGTGGCTCACTAAAATTCACTAGTCCATACTTTATACAGCTCTCGCAATTTTGATAACAACAACAATCCATCTTTGAATCACTAATTTAACAAAGTAAAATCTACATTTTAGCTCGTAATATCCTTATTAAAAAATCAAGAGCTGCCTTGGTGTTGTCGTCTGTTTCTGAAGATCTAATGGTACAGACACTCTGAAATCAATTAATATATTAGCTATCTGAGAATACATACCTCCACCAACAATAATTTGTCAAAAAGAGAGGTTCTCTCATCGAGAAGCTGTTGAATTATTTTGTAATTGCTTTCGTTTCTTTGCACTTTCTCCCTGATTTCGCTTTCAAGCTGCTCCGAAAAATGTTCAATATCCGAATAATTATTCAGTAACATCTCTGCTTGAGATTGATAAAACTCATCTTCTTCACGAAGATGGGATGCAGAGACTTGTTTTAATTTTGGAAATAGTCGTTTCCTTGTCTCTTCATTCTTGATGTACTCTATGGGAGGCTCGATATGATTCTTTCGTCCAAAATGAAGCACCACCTTTTCCCTTCTCTCGTACAATCCCTTTGTTTCGACATGCTCAAAATTCTTAGAAATGAACGTATAAATCCATTGTAAAAACTCAATATTATCTTGCAATTTTCCATTGGATATTTTGTCAGTAGCGATGGAATATGGTATTTTGAGCTCAGCAAGAAGCTTTTGAAGCTTATCAAGATTGGCTTTCTTTTCTAAAGGATAAACAGCATTGAAATTAATTTTCGTTAATGGAAAATGTTGAGGAAAGATAGCATTAAACAGCAAGGTATAGACAATACCATCGCTACATTCCTCGATTTTACTAAACTCAGTCTCTAATAGCTGATTCATCCAGCCCAGTAACTCCACCCTTCCGATCGGAAGCAATTTACCTGGGAGTGTAAAGTTATTTGCCGTTTTCATGTGAGGTATATTTTTTAAACAAGACACCACAACATTTTATATTTCTCGGAAGAGAGGATTTCTTGGGAGTCCTTTACTTTTTAAGTAAGCATGTAATAAACATGTTTCATCGATATTGATCCAATAACCCTTAGTTATTTTATTTGCAAATGATGATCGTTGGCACGAAGTGAAACGTTGAATGACACGAAAGAAGAATAATCAAAAAAAATTGAAAAATATCTTCACAACTGCCTGAAATTCGAACGAGTTTCATCATCACAATTTGTTGCACTTCTTCTGACGCTCATCATCATTCAAAAGTGAATCTCTCACCTCTTCTTCCGAATTCAAATTCCTCCTCTCTACCTTCCATAATCACTTCATCGGAAGATTGGGAAGTTATTGATAAGAAAGAAATTGCTGTTGAATTTTCGCCATCAAAATCCAAAAGTTCTCCGTCTCTCCTTGGTGATCACCATAAATCGTCAACCGTTCAGTCTCTACCACAGTCTCCATCATTTTCAAACATAATGGGTGCTCTATTTTCATTATTTAAAAAACAAGAATCAAAAGTGAATGAACACGACAAGGCAGTCCTTGAATTGAAATCACATCGTGACAAGGTTAAAGTTTATCAAAAGAAATTAGCAACAATAATAGAAAAAGAAAGAGACGTTGCAAAAACTCTGTTAAAAGAAGGAAAGAAAGAAAAAGCTCTCCTTGCCTTGAAAAAGAAAAAGTATCAGGAAAGCCTACTCGAAAAGACACAAAAACAACTTGAAAATCTTCAAAATATGGTCGACCAATTAGAATTTGCTCAAATTGAAAAACAAGTGTTCGATGGTTTGAAACAAGGCAAGCAAGCTCTTGAAACTTTACAAAAGGAAATGGGATCTATTGAAGATATTGAAAAATTAATGGAAGAAAGTCGAGAAGCAATCCAATATCAAGAAGAAATTAGTCGTATTTTAAGTGAGAGTCTCACACCTGATGACATTCATAGTGTTGAGGAGGATTTGAATGAATTAGAAGCTGTCATGCTGAAAGAGAAACTGCCGCAAGTTAACAAAACACCCCTACCAAAGCTGTCTGAGCCTAAAAAAGATGAAATAGAAATTGAGGAAGATGATGATAGAAAGCCTGTACAGCTGTAATTTAACTTTCTGAATTATTTCATAGTAGTAATTTAGTTTCATTCACTACACTCGAACAGCAAAAACGGTAGCCACACAATGAACTGTATCATTATTCCAATATTCCGAAATCATTTGATCGGTGGACTGACCTTCCCAATGAGCGACACATGATGAGTGAAGACCTGCACCAGTTCTTTGCATTATAATACATGATACTACATATTTATATGGCTTTCCATTTACTTTTCCATTACTATCGGGCATTAGCATGGCCTCTTGGTTGTTTTGTAAGCCCTTCAGTATTCCCTCAAGAATCGTCGAAGTCCATGTATCTACTTTTTGCGCATGATATTGGGCATCCTTCAAAACCATCAATACATTTTCTCGAATTATTAATTTAATTTTAGAGTCATCAATTGCCACTGAAGACTACACCTCCTTCGTCATGATCAAAACTAGTTCATCATCGGAATACAAACCTCAAAGTCGTGATCCTTTACAACTGCACTGCTCATATTGCCCGTAATTTTTTTAAAGAAGAAAAAATTGTTGTATTGTGATGGCGCGTGTTTCCATTCGATCTGAAAATGCATTTTGGAACATGTCCGTCTGATCAAACACTCAATCTGTGAAGAATAAATAATATGAATTGATGAATTCGTGCCGCTCTTGCTCAAGAAGCAATACCCTACAACCATAAAAAAATTTATTACGAGGCCTGTTTATACACTTCCAAGATCCGGATCCAGTTGGGATCCTGGTGGAGAAATTATCTGAAACCCTATCAACCCTAAATCTTGGATTGCCATGAAGTTAAGGTGATAGATATCCATAAGCCGTATGATTTTGTCCAATCTACTTGATTGATTGGGATCCTTTGGAAGGATTCCATTCACATTAAGGGTTGCAATAGTAAAAGTCATTCAATATCTTCATCATGCATGTCCTTTCTCTTCCCAGCTTGGACGAGTCTTTTAACGCTGTGCATTAGAGTTTCCATATTCTTAGCAATATATGATATATTGCTTTCCATATTGGAGACTCTTTTTTCAAGGCTGGTAAACCTTGCTTCATAATTATTTGGAGTAGTAATAGTTGAGAAGTTAGAGCTTTCTTTCTCTGTTGATTGATTTGATTTGGAGATAGCTTTTTCTTTAAAGAACTGCGCTTTGGACTTGAAGGATTTTGTGATGATTCTGCCATGCTTGGTTTCAATAGGATGGACCACTTCTAAGATACGATCGACTTCAGTATCAGATTTAAGAGACACTATGATGTTATAATATGATTCTTCAGGATTAAAAGGAGATGCCTTTTCATCGATTTTGATAGAGTTTGGGTGAATAGTAATTCCTGCTTTAGTGGTGATATCTTTAACGACGTTTACGATTTCATGTTCTTCAAAATCTGTAGAGAGGTTGATAAAGACTTCAAAACGGGAATCTTCAGCTAGTTGAGTATAAGTTTTGAGGCGAGACCATTCGGTGTTAGAGAGGACGGGAATCTTCAGCTAGTTGAGTATAAGTTTTGAGGCGAGACCATTCGGTGTTAGAGAGGATTTCTTGTAGTGATTGTAAATTCTTAACTGTAACAGTGGTTTTGAAGCAGCTTGAGTCTGGTGGTTTACTAATTCTCATAGCTATTAAACCTTTAGATTTCTCATGCCAATTGCATAGCATATGAAGAATATTGTTTTCATCGTTTCCAGTAAGATGTTGAGCGGTGAACTCTGTGATTTGGAGAGACATATCAGAGATAAAGTATTTAAAGTTTGTTTGACTTTTGGCGGTATTGAGGTTCTTGATGATTTCGTCCCTTGAGCTTGATGAGGACGGAACAATTTGGAGTATGAATGGTCTTTCAGAGGGGACCCATGGATCCTTCGCAAGTTTGGAGGCCTTGAGTTGATTGAGGAGAAATTGAAGTGCCTCTTTGTTTTTGTACAAGTTGGTTGCGCAGTATATTGTTAATCCTTTGTTGAAGTCGATAGATTTCTTAGTTGTTGGGCGGGTTGATTGCATTTTTGCGGTCTTTGGTGTTTTTTTTGGTTGAGGTTTTTTTACCTTAGGGTTCGAGTTATCTTTGGAAGAGAGATTTTTCTTGTTTAGGTTGATATTGGTTGTTGTTTCTTGGTTGAATCTACGGCTTTGGTATTTGTTCTTCATAGGAATTTGTTCTTTTTTGTTGTGTGTAAGTGTGTGTGGTGTGTGTGTATGTGTATGTGTTTGTGTAGAAGATGGTGCTTGTATTTGTGTTTGGGGGAATATTGGAGTGGACATAACTGACTCATCATTTGGAGGGATATCATTGATTTTAAGATTAGAAGTAGGTTCATGCAGTTGCTTTTCAATCATATCATTAATTACTTTAGTGAGATCATTCATGGTAGATTGTAGGTATTCAATATATTTTTCAAGGTGCGCAATTTTAGTGATTAACGAGGGATGATCGTCAGTCATTTTTTAAGGGCTCGAACCATAAAAAAATGCTCCAACATCATCATCACGGAGATGATCAGTCATGCTTCTCTTGTGATCATCACTCCCATTCGTTAGAAGAAGAGTGTCGAAAATTATCTACACTGCTATTTAACGAGGAAACTAACCATGAAATTGAACATATCATCCACGATGTATTTATCCCTAATTTAGTTTCTTGCTCGGAGTTTGACAAGATTGAACAGCTTGTTGATGCTCTCCTGAAAAACCCATCACTTTTCTTAATTATTTATCACCATTGTTTCGATATTTTTGCACCAACAGTGAACTTTAGCCTTTCTCTACGCAAGATTGGAACGAATTCCGATTTATTGAATAAGATTTTAAAATTAATATCATTGGTATGTGAACACTCCCCTCCTAAAGAGGTTCACTCCTTACTGATGGAAAGTCTTACAACAAACATTGTGGAAGTTGAGCTGAAAACTAGTGATGGTAGTCAAAACGCTCTTTTGGACATTCATAATTATGGACTCGATCAACAAAACAAAAAATCACTGGAGCATCAAATATTTTTACTGTCGCACTTCTTTAACAATCTCTCAAGATTTCCAGAAAATGACAAGAGATGGCAATTTATCAAATATTTGGATATCATCCTATCAAGAGCATGTGGTATTAGAGTTGAATCTATTCAAAACGAAGCATTTGGAATAGAAGAGGAAATGTCGCAAGAGGTACAAAGAAAGCTAAAGTCGGATAGATTATTTTTGGAATACTCTTCAACACTAATCGACTCCATTTTCTCTTTCTCCGATTATCTATTTCGTAATGTGAATTACGAATCTTTTTTAAAAAAGATCTACTTGAGAAGAGAATCAGATTGCATCATGCAATCGTGCTTCTCGATTCTGGCTAAAATTTATTCAAATGACCAGTTAATTGATGTTTGTTCAAACAATGGACAGATTGACAAAATTATGAAAACCATAACCTCATGCAAAAAAAATCTCAACGAAATACTAGAATATTTTACTCGTTTTAAAAAATGGTCAGAGGCCAACAAAGAATCGCAAGATGAGCACAGCGAACACTCTGAAAACGAGGATGAAGAAATGGGACATCATGAAGATGACAAGGAAGAACTTAAAAATTTTATTCCTTGGGAACCTCGAGGAATTGCAGTATTTCTCTATCTACTTTTTGTGAAAAAGTTGGAAAGAAAATATTATGGTATTTTCATATTATCTGACTTGTATTTATTTGTCATGTCTAAATATTATGTAGAGCTAATGCTACAAAGTGGAATAGCCTCATTTGGTAGAATTGGTCTCTATATTTTACGGTATTTATTTGAAAATCATGTTAAGAAAAAAGGTTCATTGCACATTAAGGATCATGTACACGAATACGACATTGCATCTTATTTTGATTTGCCCCAATCGTTAGTTTCCTTTATGACCATGCGTCCAGACAACAAATTGCGTACATTTGCGTACAACATATTCCAAGATTTTATCACGAGATTTGAGGACGAAGATAGATTTAATTTGCTCTACCACATGCTCAACAAATGTCCTTATCCTTATATGGTAGCAATCATTCTTGACAGAATGAAAGAAGAAATTATTTTAGAATATAATGCCATGTTTCAACTTATTGGAAAAGAGAGTTTGGAACGAGTGAAACAACAGAATGCCTACAAACCCTCACAACCTCCCAAGTTAGAAGAAGTGAACGAATTCCTTAAAAACAAAACAACAACTAATTCAGAAAGCTACTTTTCCCAGTTTGTTCCAAACAATGCTCCTAAATTGAGCTATGATCAAAAAACAATTAACATCATACGATTGCATGCAAAAGATTCCAAAGCATTTCTTGTTCCACACAAAATTCCTAATCTCATCATTGAATTACTAGAGAAATATGTAGAAAAACCGTTCGAAGGGGATAATATTCAAGTAATTTTGCGAGCTCTCAATCTCTATTACTTTTTATTATTGAGGGACGGAGAACCCAATGTGACAGGAATCATGGACACAGAAATTGTTTCCAAAATGGAAGACAAAATATTAAGAAAATTAAGTGAAAAGAAACAAGAGTTCGAGAATCTAATCAAAGAGCAAGTCAAACTTCCAAAACAAGATATGGAAGATGAAGAAGATATTGATTATGATGATTTGTTAGATGAATTCGAACATGAATTTACTCCAGAAGAAATTGAAGCTCTCCAAGAATTGAATGCCAAGCACAAAGAACAAATCAAAATCAAAGAACAAACCAGCCATGAGTTGGATGTATATTTGCTAAGCGAAGTACTTGACAGAATCAACAATGCTCTCCATCATCCAATAAATTAACAAACCACTTGAGAGAGTTGGAATTGAGTGGTATACTCGAATGGATTGGTGGTGGTCTTTAGATTGAGTGTCTAAAAAGTGTTTCTTCAGACACTTTAATCAAAAAAATGTTCGACCGAGTTGGGGATCACATCTTGACGAAGAGAGAAAAATCAGTACTGAATGATTGTTTTTGGACTGCTGGAATTAGAGCATTGATTGGAGGAGTATCAGCAGGAGGGTTATTGGCATTCATTGGTATGTTTAATGGCCATTCCGATGCACAATGCCATGAACATTTGATTTAAAATTAATACTCTACAGTTAAAAAGTATCAAAAACCACAAAAACCCTTTGCTAAAATTGCTGTAGTATCATGTATGTTCATACACAGAATTTTACAATGATTTAATAATTTCAATAATTCTTTCACAGTATTCTTCATCGGAGGCGTTTATTTAGGATCAGCCTCGGCTGTTCCATACTGTCTTAGAAATTTCGCAAAACTTGAAGATTCAGAACTAGGAGACACGGCACGAAGATTGTATGTGTCAAATTTATTTGTTTCATGTTTAATAATTAATCCACACTGATTTTCTTAAAATTGTGAACATTATTATTCGAACAAATGTAGTATTATGGCTGTCACAGATCAAACTAAACAAGAAGAGCAAGCCAAAAGCAAAAAACAAGAATATGACTGGGAGGAGGAAGAAAAAGAAGCCCTTAAAAAAGAGTTGGCTCAGAAAAACAAGTAACAAAATTCAGAAAAGTAAACTCCTTGTTAGTTGTGTTTGATTATTTTACAATACTATTATTATTTTAATTGCTCAGCTGACAGCTGTCTTAGGGTTTGAAAATTCAAATTTAAGCAAGCTTCAAGTTTGGTTAAAATGTCTTTGTCATAGACCGAAGACATTTTCAGCTGGTCGATTACAGACGAGCCGTAATAATGTTCAAATAAATACATTTCTGTAGGAGAATTTCGTAAGTTGTGCAATATTTCTTTGTATCTTGCTTCCCATATCTTGATGAATTCCTTAAATTGAGTTTCAAATTGAGCCCTAAAGTCTGATGATTGTTCAATCCAGCTTAAATAATACGGAATGGTACAGACAGCGAATGAAAGAGATTCCTGGGTTCGATGAATTTTCTGTGAATAATCAATTATTTGTTTATGTATTGTATTGAGATGATGAAATGTTTGTTGTTTGAGTGAAGAGGTGGTAATTCCTTGACTTTTTAAAAAACTTAATGGTTTTTTGGTGAATGATTGAACAAATTCGTGCCATAGTGACATAAATTTGTGCAGCTTTTTCTCAAGCGTCAATTGATGGGTACTGTCTTCATCAATAATATCCGCTTGTTCTTTCATCCCCTGAGGTGCACAAGCATCATTATATTCTTCTCCATCAATTGAAATCGGTCGTAAAATCAAACAATTCTCATGTAGAGTACAGTAATTGTACTTTTGTGAAGATTTGTTAGAGGATGGCATTCCAGCAAGATCGTCAATCACTTTCTGCAATTCCGATAGTTTTTTCGTTAATTCCATTTCACACATTTCCATTTTGCGGCTGTCTTCATTCTCCTCCTCGACAAGAATTGTTTTCATTTTTAATTGATGAAAAAAGAACTCAAAATTTGGATGAAGAATTTATACACATTGTAGTAATATCTCTAACAATACAACACTCTTGAACCTTTTACTTCTTTAATCTGTACTTCTTAATCAGCTCTACTAGGAATTTTGTGTCACAAGCTTTCTGAATGAATGGGTGAGCCAAAAGATCATCTGCTGAGGCTCTCTTTTGTGGATTCTTGGCAAGAGCACAAGCTAAGAAATCTTTAAAGGTGTTGGACCATTTCTCAGGTTCTCTCAAAGTTGGAGGAGGTTGAGTTGCAATAATAAACAAAGCTCTCAATGGTGGCAAGTCAAGCAATGGTGGTTCACCATCGGCCATTTCAAGAGCCATAATACCTAATGACCAAATATCGACCTTTGTGTCATAATCTACACCACGAATAACTTCCTAATCACATATTAAATGTCATCTAAAAAATTAATCTTTTAAGTACTTACAGGCTATTATAATACGTGGTTGATAATGTAATGGAAACAAAAACAATTACTTACAGCCATCCAATATGGTGTTCCTACAACAGATCGTCTCTTATCTGATGTTTGAGAAAGTTCAGCACAAAATCCAAAGTCAGCTAATTTAACTTCACCACCCTCACCCAAAAGAATGTTGTCTGATTTGATGTCACGGTGAATTCTTTGATTGTCATGAAGGTATTTGAGAGATTTCAATGTTTCTTTGCAAACAGCTGCAATCTCTGGTTCAGTAAATTGAGTGTTCAACAATAAATCTGTCAATTTACCACCACTCATCATTTCCATGACAATCCAAAGATCTTGGTTGTGAGAGTAGGCTCCGACATACTTTACAATGTTTTCATGTTGACATGAGTGCATCATAGCAATTTCATTCTCCAATGTTTCTAATTTTGTATCTGCTTTGATTTGAATAATCTTGATAGCAACCTTCATTCCTGTCTTGTTGTGAATGCCTTTATAAACAACTCCTGAAGAACCTTCGTCAAGTCTTTGTAGTTTACCGAACACTTTTGTTGGATCTTCATTTTGAAGATAATCCACAAGGCGTTTCTTGCCACCGATTGGCTTCTGTTTGGCTGATGTTTCATCAGGTCTTTGCATGTTGTTAGTTGCCAAATCCAAAATACCTAACACAGCTTCTTGGTCTTTCATTGCTTCGTCTTTCGTAATACCTGATGATTTCAACATGGATTCCCATTCTGGAGGGAGACCAACAAAACCAGTCTGTTGGTGTGACATTGCAGAAGGACGGTCAAAAAGTGTCAAAAGTGAATTTTAGAATGATAAAACAATAACATGAACGAACTATGTGATCGAATCAACGACATACCTCACTGTTGTAATCAACATGGATGTTATGTTTGAACTCGAAAGGCTTTGAAATGACTAGACCTTGTACTTTTTCTTCTGATGATGATGTGCTGATGGAAGGAAGAAGGTTTGGATTGACTTGAGAAACATCTTCTTCATATTGAGCACTATCTCCAAATGTATCTTTCCATGCAGCTGGCACGCCCTTCAATGTTCCTTGGTTGAGATCTACTTCAATATGTACTCCTCTTTTGAAGTCGGTTGGAGCTGAAATTTCAACTTTGATAGCATCACTATCATAATTTGATTTGTTATCTTTCTTTTTGGTACCGCTGAAGAAGCCCATTTTGTATGTGTATGGATAATAAATAGTTGATGATGATTGTAAAATTGGTGATGATAATAAATAAAAATTAGAGAGAGGAATGACTCTGCACTAAATGAATTTTCGGTTGTGTGTTGATGATGAAAAACAACAACCACACAGTGGACTTGTTTCAAAAAGAGAAGATAATAATGGTACGCTCTTGTTCTCGCTCACTCTCGGACAAGTCTTCTCTCTCGTAATGCCAATGAATAATGGAGGAGAGGGATAACGCACAGAGAAATTTTTTCAGAGTGTTTCTCGTCCAACCGTCATTCAGAAAGCTTGACAAGTGCTGGAGTGACGATGATGGCTGTGTGCAGTGAAATTGAGAACTCTTGCTGGACAGAAGACAGATGATAGCAGAAAAAAGAAAGCAAATTTGCGAGCAAGTTGTGTTATTCTTCTCGATGACAAGCAACACACCTAAAAGGGATGTCAAGGAAACACCATCGTGTCCTTCTGAAAGATTCTTCGTGTGTAAAACTCTTGCAGAAGGACAGATCCTTGTTGCAGCTGTGGACGAACAGGTTGTTGTTAATGTCTTTACATTATATTGAAAATATGGTACACTTTGGAAATAGATCTACATATCGATATGAACTCATTAGTTGAGAATTACTTGAGATTCATATCAATAATAACGAGAGATAAACTCTCATGAGAAATAGTAATAATGAGAAAGGAGTTTCAACGAATTCCTTCAATTCATGGAATGGATCCTTTCTGTTGTCGGAATGGCAATGTATCAATGGAACAAAATGAGGATTGCTTCCAAAAGGTATAAAAGATTGTTCATTAGTTGTTAAGAACATCCTGCAGTTTTGAGGTCAATTTAACCTATTATAACCTAATTTAGACTTGCAATATTTAAATGATTAGTGACATTTTCTCCGTGAGCTCGCTCATTCTCATGGAATGCACATTAAGGAATGTTTTCCATTTTCCTCATTGTCTCTTTGAATATTCATGTCTTCATGGTTGAACTTATCCAGAAGTAAGGTCAGTACCTATAAATAAAGAAAATCAAGGTAATAATAGTACATTCCGATCGGCCGTTTTGTTCCGGACTACGGAGATGATCAATATGGTCTCATGTCTCAAAAAGGAGTGCATCAGCAAGATTTTTCTTCCATCTCAACAACGAATGGCCAACAAACAAAAATAAAAAGCATGGAGCGACCCTCTTCAAGTCAACAAGTTGTCCTTCCTAAAGAATCAAATGTGACTGCAAGAGAAGCTTTTGACATCCTTCCTTCGACCCACGGAAGCAAACAACCACCCGTTCAACAACAACAGGATAGTTCCATAACCAAGAAGGAAGGCCAAGAGATTATTCACGAGTATGACCAACATTTGGAAATTCATCACCAACCTCCACCACTGCTTCAAAATGTGATTGCTGAAAAAACTCTTCAATTTACCACACTTCCATCTTCAACCACATCTCCCACATCATCTCACTTACAATGTAATTCAGAACAACATCAAAAGCACATCATTCATCACCATTATCATCATTTTGAAATGGCTTCAAATTTACCTTCAGGTTTAGTTTCTTCAAAGAATCTGGTGGATGGTGCATCTCGAGTTCCACAACAACACCATGCCACCATTCCCATTCCTTCGTCAATGCCATCACAGCCTCCAATTGCAACCCATTCTTCCTATAACCCTTCTCTAGTTCTATTTCATACCCCTTTCCAAGTGATGGAAAAGATGAAAACAGAGGGTGTTCGAAAGTCAAAGCTTACAGTCGATCAAATGATTGTTCTTTCATTGTTTGCAGGTATCTTTAAAGGAGTGTGTAAGTAACGAATGGAGCCTTTCTTTTAACCACCTTGATTAATTTTCTAACTAATGGATGTTCATTTTCACTGCTGAATGGATTGATGATCCATTCATATTCACTGACCTGATGATTCGGACCACATACATGATATCATCTTCAGCATGTACCTTGTCTTTGTTTACTGCTGGAAACTCTCGAAAGCTGGAAGAGGAATTTCCGGGTTTACAAAAATTCTTCTTTGGGGCGTAAGTATTGTTTGTTTTGCTGCAGCGAAAACTGGTTCAACGAGAGTGGGTCGGTCATCAACGATCGCTCGCACATCCATGTCCACACTCTCCTCTCGTTTTATATGGTCATCCTTTTAAACACTTTAGAGTATTTCCCATTGGATTGATTTTAATTTCAGCAACAGGTGCGGAACTTTTCACTGCCAACGTTCTTGTGGTTTTGGTTGGTTTATTTTCTCGAAAATGGAGAGCTAAAAAGTTTATCATACAGTTTGCTCAATTCCTAAAGAATTTAGTCCTGAGTTATGTATTTAACATGTTAGGCGCATTTGTGATGGCTTATTTCTTTGTTTATCTCATTCAACCATGTTGTAATGCTCATTGGATTGAATATGTTAAACATTTAGCAGAGACTAAAAGTTCAAAATCTTTTGGAGCTTGTTTAGCTTCGGGGATTATTTGCAACATGTTAGTCACAATGGCCACCTACAATTCACATGCTGCAACAACTTTGGAAGGAAAGATTCTTGGCATTTGGTTTCCCATCATGACGTTTGTGTCTATTGGCCTTGAGCATTGTATTGCCAACGCTTATTTCATCCCTTTAGGCATGTTGGTAAGTGTGTGTAGTGATTGATGAATTGAAAACTGAAATTGCATGATTGCACCATTGCGCATTATCCCAAAAAAAACAGTATGGAGCAAATGTTTCTCATTATGATTTTTTCATTGGTAACCTTCTCCCTGCTACCATTGGCAATATCATTGGAGGAGCCTTTGTGATTGGATGTTTACTTTACTTTGTGTATGATTATCGAAATAGACATAACCGAGTGCTCTTCAACTTCTTGGAGCTTACTTGGAGCAAAATTAAGGAAAAATACAAACAATCGAGAAATTCAAATCAACCTGAGAGGGTATCCACCAACGAACGCAAAGAATCCACAGATTCAGTTTTGAGTGATTTAGAAATGGGTTACAGATAGTTGGAAACACAAACCAACGTTGTTTCTATTTTGAAGAAGAATATATTATTGGAGAACATCATCTCCGCTGCTTTCAATCATTTTCTTCAACATGAATAGACCATGTAGTTATTTTCATCCATGCTCAACACCACGCTCATCCTCCATCAAGCACAAATAAAACTCCAAAGTCTATCATCACCATCACCTCCTCACAAAGTCAATCAAAAAAAGAAGGGACCATCTCGAGCCACGGTTGCTGAAAGCTTCTCTCGGATTGTAAAAAATGAAAAGTTGCACCCAACGATTTGCTTGCTCTTCATCGTCGTCGGGTAAGCCAGCCGTGGTGCTTGCCAAGTGGCTTGGTGTTACATCATCAAGATGCGGAGGAATTGGTGGTAGCAACAGTGTGATGATGAGTAATTCTCAATATCGTAACATGTATTCGTCATCTACATCATCAACTACTCAATCCAATTATTTATCCTCGACGATACCGAAGAATGTTTTTTCTTCATCACTCTCTTATCAACAACATCGAGGGTATGTACATTTATAAGTGATAATGTTGCTTATCATGGCGATTTTAATCCTTTGATTTTGGTGCATTCATTTGAATAGAAATTGTTTTAGCACCAATAATTTCATAAAGACACATAGCAACAACAACTCATTTTGCTTGTGGAGCAACAAAATTGCCTCATATCATACTTCTATGAAATTCAACGACGCAAATCCTTCAAATCCTTCTCCATCTTCTGAAGAATCTACTGCGGATCAAAATCAAAGAATTAAAGAGGCCAAGAAAATCATCGAAGAAAGAATGAGAAAATCATCAACAGCAACTTCTCTTTTAACTCCAATGAACGCAAACAGTATGATGAATATGGTAAAAGATAAATCGATTGCAATCGTAAAGGCAATTCCTTCTTTCAGTTGGAAAGCAACGGTATTTACATTCAACACTTTGAAAACTCTAATCCTAAGACCATCAGTAGTGAAAGATTGGTATGCTCGCGCAAAGGAGGTGACGGTTTCAGAAATCAAACATTACGTAGCAGGAAGTAAATTATTAGTAAGCGATATTAAGTATGCCTTTTCTTTAACAATGAAGGTTTTGAGAGGAAATGCTTTGTCTAGACGAGAAAGAAATCAATTGTTGAGAACAGTTTCAGACATTTTCCGTTTAGTTCCCTTCGTAATTATTGTTATAGTACCATTCATGGAGTTTGCGCTTCCAGTACTTTTAAAACTTTTCCCAAACATGTTACCATCCCAATTTGAGGATAGTTTAAAGAAGAAGGAAAAATTATTGAAAGAAGTTAAGGCTAAAGTTGAATTGGCAAAATTCTTACAAGATACTGTTGAGTTGATGGTTCAGGATTTGAGAGCTAGTGAGTCCGAGGAAACTGTTGAACAATCAGAAGAGTTGAATAATTTTATTCAAAAGATCAGAAACGGAGAAAGTTGTTCAAATGAGGACATTGTTAAATTTGCCAAATTATTTAAAGATGAAATTACATTGGACCATATGTCAAGAGCTCAGTTGGTTGCAATGTGTAAATACATGGGAATAACACCCTACGGATCAGATGCAATTTTGAGATATAGACTTAGATCAAAACTGAGAAGAATTAAGGCTGATGATCGATTAATTTATTGGGAAGGCGTAAATTCTCTGTCTACTGAAGAACTGATGTATGCTTGCAAGGAAAGAGGAATGAAGATTGGAGTTTCCAAGAAGGAGTTACAGAAACAATTGAGAGAGTGGATAGAATTGTCTTTTGACAAGAACATTCCATCATCGCTATTGATTATTTCCCGAGCTTTTGTTTTTAACGACAAGCTTCAAAGTGAGGAAGCTATTAAGATGGCACTTGGCTCGCTCTCTGATGACGTTGTTGAAGAAGTTGGACTTCATACATCATCAATCCAAGATTATGAAAAGAAACTTGCTTCATTGAAACGTAACGAAAAGTTAATCAAGACAGAAGAGGAAGAAAAGAAGAAGGTAGTACTGAAAGAAGAGGTTGTGGCTGCTGTTGCTACTTCGGCTGCAGGAGAAGTGTTATCAGCTGCGACTGAGGCGCCAGCAGTGATTGAACCTAAAGTATCTCTGGATCCTGAATTCGAAAAGGAAGAAGTGAAGAAGGCAAAGGAAGAGAAAATTAGAATTCTCAATGAAATTCTTGCCACACTCGCTTCAAGAAGCTCAGTAGAGCCTGAAAGAGAGGAATTAGAAGATCTCATCTCCGATCATATTGACTTGGTTGACCAAACTAAACAAGATCAAGAACAACCTGTTGCATCTGTTAGCAGACTCAGCAACAGAGTAGGAAGATTGATCGAACAAATTGAAAAGGATATTGACAAGGTTGATGAATCGATTGCAGATTCACTAAATCTCTTGGATAAGGACAAGGATGGTGTCATCACAGTTGACGAATTGAGACATGCATTGAGTGTTCTCAAAGAAAAGCCATCTGAGGAACTGATCAGAGAAATCATTAATAGAATTGATGCAGATAAGGATGGCGTGATTACTGTTAAAGACATTTTACTCGAATTCAAACAAGGCAAATTGAAGGAATAAAAATTTGTTTTAAATTATACATTTGGGGAATTATTCTTCAAGAGATGCTTCTTATCTTCGTTGATCCATCTCACATCATAGATTGAATCAACAAATTTAATCTTGATATCGCAATCGTAGGGACTATCTACAAAGAAAATTTTCAATGACTCATCAAATCTACTCGACACAGGAAACCACAATAATTCGCTTGTATCATCAAAGGCACTGTCAACCAATTTCACTGCACAATCAGCATCATAATCCGATATTACTTTTAAGACTTTTAATTCAGCATCCAAGGGAGAGTCTACTTTGAAAATTCTCATTTTTTTGGTACGTCGATCGCCCTCAAGCAAAGAACATGAACTATAATTGGACTATTTTCCTGGCTCGTGTAAAGAAATGTTGTAAAGGACAAGAAGAACGCTGAAATTTTCAAATGTAACGTCATCATCCAAACACCGTCAAAGTTGACAAGGACAGCTTGATCAGAAAGACAATTCAACAACACCTTCAATCAACAATTAACAAAAAAATGCATGTAGCAAATGATGGCAGTTTTTATTTGTCCATCGAGGAAACCAATGAAATCAGAAAAAAACTCGGACTGAAACCACTCAATGTAACAAACCAAACAACAACAAGTGCATCATCGGATCTCAAAGATGAACCAAAAAATGAAGAAGATGAAGCTTCCGAAGTACATAAACGAATCGAGTTGGCAAAAATCAAAAGAAAAGAAAGAGAATTAAAAAGAATAAAAGGAGAAGATGACGAAGAAGATATCAAACCAACAGTTGTAAAAAAAGAAAAACAAGTAATTCTTGAAACAAACGAAGATGATGAGGAAATAATTCAAAAATCATCTAAAAGCAAATTCTACGATTTGCATGCTAGTAAACCAAGTATTGCTTCTGATTTTGAGGTTGTAAAAAAGAAGAAAGCAAAGAATATTAGAGTCAAGGATAAATTATCGGAACCATCAGCCACTTCTTCCGGAACTGATTTATTAGCAATGATGGAGCTGAACGCTTCAATGCTTGACGAAGAAATCAAACCAACTAGCAGAGCTGAAAGAACACTCACAAGAAGAGAAGAAAATATCTTGTTAGAGGAAAGAGAAAAGGACAGGAGCTATCAAGAGGCCATTGACAAAGCTCATGAGCAATCTAAAATTTTACATCAATCATTCACCCCTAATTTTGAGAGTAATAGAGAGGAGGATTTTGAGCTGAACTATAATCAAGGAAAAAAGTATGATGCAACAAAGCATTTTGTAAAAACAATATCAATTGAAAAATCTGCTAATGAAGAGGAAGAGACTGTAATTAACAAGAGAAAAAGAAAGAGCCAAAGCCTAAGAACGAAAGATGCTGACGGTGATCATGTGATGGAAGAGACAAGTCAGACTACGACTGTTGTGCCGACCATAGAGGTAAAAAAAGAGGAGGAACCACAAATTCTTCAAGAAGAAATTATAAAGGAACCGTTGGTGTCTGATGGATTGCTTGCAACTTTAGAATTTGCAAAGCAACAAGGCTTTCTAGAAGACAAGAGAGTTGGCCGAAATAAGGACAAATCTCATATCGAAGAGAGACAAAAATCTAAATTACTAGATAATAACGAAGATATTGACTTTGTTATCGAGCATTTAGATCAATATGGCCGAGCTACAACACCAAAACAAGCGTACATTAACTTTTCTCACAGCTATCACGGTAATAAGCCAAAGAAAAAGAAAGTAGCTAAGGAGAAAAAAAAGATGGAACTAGAAAGACGTAGAAATGCTGGAGCTTTAGATGACAGCATGAAGGTTCTAGAGACCGTAATGAAAGAGACAAAACAACCATTTGTGGAAATCACAAAGGAAACCTTTGAAAAAGCTGTAGAGATTAGAGCCAAGTTACAGAAAGAATCCAAACCAAAAAAGAAAAAGCAAAAGAAGGAAGACACATCATCAGTAAAAGAATAGAACTGAATTTAGTTACATTTGTGTGCTGTCAGCTCCCATTGGTGATTGTTGCTGAGGAGTTTCATCCTGGTGAAGGTCAGCAATCATCTTTTTTGCGAGCAAACTTGAAGGTAATGGAGGTAATTTTCGATTGGTGCTCTGCAACAAACCTTCCAGAGAGGCAATATAACTTTTTGAAAAATGATCAGCAACATAACTTCCAACAAAATCAAGATGTTCAAACTCTGAAGGTTTGCATTGTTTGAGATACACCTTGGAATCAATTGTTCTCAATAAAAATAAAGTTTCTGGAGAATATAAGTGAACTCCAGTTGTGAAAGATTGAGGTAACTTTGGAAGCTCTCTCATCGATGTTTGTACATTACTTGTAGTTGATACTGAACTGACACTAATTGTTGATTCAGATTTTTGAACTGAATCCCCATCACTTGCATTTTGTGAAGAGATTTCAAAGGTGGTTTGTGAGTGACTCTCTAATTCTTCTTCAACAACAGTCTCATCTGAACTTGAAATGATAGTCGTGCTGGCATCAACAACATTTTCTTGTCGTAAATCAGTTGCTTCTCCACAAGTCACAATACCATCCGTGCTATTGGTAAATTGATTTTGAGAGCATGACTCTTTAGTTGTTTCATCGACAACTGAGTCTTGTTGTGAAATGCTTTCTTCGTATTGCTTGACAAGATTTGAAAAAAAGAGATCATCTTCTTCATCAACTTGTTGATCCTTAAATTCTTGCACCTTAATAAGTCTCTTTTTGGTAAGACTTTTAGGTAAAGGAGGCAGAGATTTTTTCTTAATAGAAGGAGGTGTAGATGTTGTTGGAGATTTTTGTTGACTGTTTTTCTCCGAACCATTGACAATGTAATTGTATCCACTCATGATTCCGTTTTTTAGGCTAGAAAAAGCATTATACACTCCGCTCTGATCGAGTAAAGTGTCTGTAGATTTTAGAAATTTTCCAAGCTGAGTTTCGTTCATCACTTCTGATTTCCAATTAGTCATTCTCTTAATTTTAAATTCTCTAAAGCTCTCGACAGAAAACAATGGAACAAAATCGTCTTGATTGATAAAAGTGGTAATATATCGTTTTACCAAATCGGATCGTGCAAGTTCATGAGAGAAAATTTTAGGACAAGCAAATGCCAAGCATCTAATATTTGGCATCTTGGTCACAAGGAGCAATGTTAGAATGGCAGCCGTTCCAGCACCTAATGAGTGACCAACAATGGTGAATGAGTAATCAGGAAAATCTTTTTTCAAATATTTTTCAATTTTTGGAATAATTTGATAATAAAACCAATACGCTCGTTCAAGCATCCCAGAATGAACAAAATGATTCTCCGATGATGAAAAGGCGTCACATTTAAAAGCAAAAGCTTCTGCGTTGAGGTCTGTAAGGAGATCATGGAAAGATTTAGTTCCTTCGATCAATAGTAATAAACTTTTTCGGTTTGTGTCTCTACAAATCGCATATGCACTTCTTTGTGCATTTCCCTTTGGTTCATACTCTAAAATATCTGCATAATCAAAAGTTGTTTTCAAAATCAAATTATCATATTCCTTAAAAAGAAGTCTAATACAAGTGATATACTCTTTCCATAGTTCAATAGTGTCAATACTAATTTCTGTATCGTTTTTTACAAAACATCTCTTATCGGAATTGTATTTAAAGGCTTCATCAATCACATGAGAAAAATCACGTTCGATTTTTTCTTTTCTAAAATTTAAATAATAACCCAATCCGATAGAATCAGACCATTCCCATTCGCTATGTTTCATCATATCCGTTGCAATTTTAAAAAGACTTTTTGTCTTTTGAAATCCAGATTTTGAAAAATCACTTTCTTCAAGCTTTTTCTCTTCTTCCACAATGGTTTGAACTGCCAATTGATCTCCCTCTTCCAAAGGTGATACTGTGAGTGCAGGTGTTTTTGGTGATTGATTGTTGTTGAGCTTTTGATGATGCTCATAGAGAACACTGTGTTCATCCTTGTATGGCACTTCAAGGGTGTCGGTTGACTTGTTGATGGGCATTTTTTTTTGGAAAGTGATTTGGAAGAATGAAGATTTCGGTTTTGGATATATTCTCCCCGAAGAAGAGTGGTACCATCTTGACCTTAGGAGATGACAACACTTGACGGAGGGAATATAAGATATTTGTGTTGAATCATGATTGAGGAAAGATCATTTATTGTTATTCCTCTGATTCTAGAATTTAACTTTATAAATTGGAAGGATTTGATCTTCATCAAAGATCACCACTGTTTTTCAAGTAGTTGGTTGTTAAAGTTAAAATCAGTAGGTTAGTAACATTCTCAATAAACTCCTTACCTTCTGAATAACCATCAGGACTTGTATGAGAATCATAACCAGGTTCCTTTTTTAAATTCAAATGTCGTGTTTAGCATCCATGAATATTTAGTAATAATGATCATTGGTTTCCACATGCGAATCTATTTGTCACATGATCGTGGTATCTTTCAGACTTACCTTTGGACATCCCATGACAATTTGTTTCAATGGAAATGCTTTTCCAGTGAATACAAGACAAACTAATAAACAATTAGAGCCAGCATATCCAACACTGTATTGAGGATAGCTACTGAAATACACTCCTTTTCCATAGTAACCCATGTTACCAGTATTTGAACCAATTCTCTGCATGGAAAAGTTTGTTTTCATAATATTGTCATAATTTGATTCCAATCTGTCATTCACAAGGGTGTATGGAATATCAAATTGTTGTGCCAGTATGATGATGATGACATGGAACATTTCATGAATTATAGGATCACAGTATCACAGTGATGAGAGGAAACATTGTGTCCACACAAACACACACTCTACTCACCTGTTACCATGAAAAAGAATGAGTGGTTTCATCGAGTCCAATAAAAAACCATGCTTTTTTGCTAACTCTCTCTTTCTCTCGTTAAATCGTTTTAAATTATATGGATTGCATACATAGGTCACTTCTTTTAAAGTATATTGATTTCCTGATGCTCTGCTCAAAAAAGTTTCAGCAAGTCTAAAGTGAAATAATTCTCCAGGACAAGTGAAAGGATCAAATGCAGAATTATAGGTCATGGTATAATATTTACATGTGTCTTTGGAATCTATATTATTCTTCATAAACTCAAGTTCTCCATCACAAAAGTAATGACAATAAGTAGTCTTGGCTGCTTTGATTTGTGTCGATACTTTTTTCAATTCTTGATCAATCAAATTCTTTTTCTTAATATATGCATACATGTCTTCACCATCATCTTCTTCATTCATCACTTGTGTTGATTTTACTGTATTGTATTGTTCCATCAATTCGGGATGTGCGTTCAAAAGAATTTTTCTCTCTTTCATTATTTCAATAAATTGAGTCTCTAATTCGACCAGTTTTTTGTTGTCACTCTTTTGATCCTCTTCAATGGCATTGATGGCATGATTGTTTTTTGAATAGAGTGCAATGAGAGCTCTCACCACTGGTGAACTTGTAGTTTTTGAAGAGAGATCTTGCAGCAAGCTGTCAACTTCCTTCTTATCGGAATCACTTAAATCAATGACAGAAGAATTTTTCTGTGTATTGGGAGAAACTATCAATTGTGGTGGAGAGGTTTGTATGGTTGTGGTGCAGCCAGTACTGGCAGTTTCAGGGATTTCAGTTTTCTTGGGAGTGTTGTTGCCAGAGAGAGAGCGAAGAAGGCCAAAGATCATTTTGTGCTATTTTTTTGAGGAATGAACTTGGAACACCTGTATTTAGGTTCAATCTTGAAAAACTTGAACACCGAGTCCGTGTTGGAAAAACCTCAATAAACACACTCATGGTTTTTCAATAAATATACACTTGAGAAAGAACCATTCCTACCGATTGCTTCAATTCATTCTCATACATTTGAGAAAAGGAGAAAAACTCGGACGCGATCATCCTCTCCCATAACTGATTGGCAGGTCTGACTTCTCAAAAATTGCCGAAATTCGATGGTCTAGAAAGCTTTCAAATACCAAAAAATGAGTCAAAACAACGCGCAAGAATCACCTTCTCCATCACCAAGGAAGACCATGTCTCCTCCACAGCCTCATGACTCATCACCCAAAGTAAATGATGATTCATTGATACCATCATTGGATGAGAGGATAACAACGGGTACCAACATCACTGATGTTACTCGAAACAGTGAGTCGGATCCTAAGAGTCAAATAATTATTGAAAATATGAAACAACAACCAATTCCGATGATGAAAGACAAGTCTATTTTTTTGAATGCTTCAGAGCAAAGTAATGACGACCATTTCTTGCCAACAACATCAAACGAAGATGCTAGTTTTGAGGAAGAAGCTTCCCAAGACATTTTACCAAGTTATCATGAAGGCCAAAACACAACAGATTCGCCGTATATTGAAACAATTACTTCACCTTTTGAAATGAAAGTTGTAGACCTTCCCAAGGTACAATCATCTATGAATGTACAACATGATGTTTATGATGATTATCGAGATGACAGTGATGATGATTATGTCGTGGATTTTAAATCTGTTAATGGAAATGAATTAATAATTCCTTCAAAATTTAGTGCAATTCCAAACACAAAGGTCGTTCCTGCGAAGAATATTACAAATGCATCCACACCCCGAGAACCCCTTAAAACACCAGTTTTCGATCTTTCTCAAACACTTGCATCCATTGGAAGTAGTGCCTTTGCTGGTGCTTCAGCAAAGGTCTCCTCTAGCGCAAACAGCAGCACAAATTTTATGTCATACACACATGAATTGGATGACGATTTGGAGTCAGCAAGTCACAAAAATTTAGTAGGGGAAACCCTTTCGAGAACATCATCTTTTAATGATTTAGAGTCTTTGGAAACTCAATCATCAGTTTCTGATCTTTACTCTTACTCTGAGCAGACTTCTTCCCAGACATCATTTAATCATTTGTCATCAGAACAAAAACGTTTAGCAAAGAATGAATTTTCGAAAAAGCCAATTTATTTAGAAAAAAGCCCTATTCCCATGTTGCCTTCAACAAAACGGAAAGTAAAACACTGGCTTTTTAAAAGAGCAAAAAAAGGAACTTCAACAGATGTGCAAGAGGAGGAGGTGATACCACAAAATCAGTCAATGATTGAAAAGGTTAAAAAAGCAATTCTTTGGTGTGTCACTGGAAAATTTGAAATTGAAAAAAGATATTCTGTCCCTTATCAGAAATTAACAAGAGAAGAGAAGGATAGAGTGCATTCTTTATTACTTGACCTGGGTTATGCTCTTTCTATTTATGGACTTCCTTCAAACCGAGTGGAATACCACTTGACTTTAGTGAGTACATATTTTGGAATGGATGGCTATTTCTTTTGGTAAGTTACAAGGCATGTTATGACATTTGTGGCGGCTAATGTTCTTAATATGCAATGCAGTATACCTACTGGAATATGGTATAGTTTTGGAACAAAGCCAAGAGACCCTTCCAATGTTTCCTATTTTGTAAAACTTGAAAGCCAAACAACAGATTTGAACAAATTAATCAAGTTAGATCAAATTGCTCATGACATATCCGACGGTATTTTGCCATTAGAGCAGGCTCAGCAAAAAATTAGTGATGTCATTGTTGAACCACCAATTTACTCTCACCCCATGTTCACTGTGTTCAACATGTTTGTTTTCTGTGGATTCTATGTGATGTTATGGAATGGAACTGTAGGAGAGGTTTTAACATGCTTCATTGGTGGAATAATTATTGGTATTTTGATGGTGTTTGGCTCTCGTGTTGCATTTTTCTCAAATATTTCTGTAATTGTTGCAAGTGTGGTTGGAGGGCTTTGCGGAATTATTTTCAAATTTATTTTGTGGGATGTAAGCTATGTGAGCGTGGTACTGATTTGTTTGTGCCTTAGTTTTTACTATCTGCCTGGAGTAACAATTATGATAGCCATTAACGAAATTCAGGCGAGGTCTCTTGTTTCTGGTACATCAAGATTAGTTAGTGCATTTTCAACAGTGTTGAAACTTGGATTTGGATTATTAATAACAAATGGTATTGTCAGCGCATTTCCTGCATTTGCAGAGAGTGAAAAAGCTGGTACTCAACGAACTGAGCTTTCTCTTCCAATGCGTGTTGTGGCAATTATTGTTCTTGCTATTGGTATTGCGATTGACTCTAAGGTACCAAAATACTTTTTCACCTATGTTTATTTGGTAATTGTCACACTTGCGGTACACTTGACTGCTTACTATTCGAGTAACGTTCTTGGCATGGAGCTTGGAACAGTTATGGCTGGAACAGTGGTATGTAATTCTGTCAATTTAACTTCATCATCATTGACAATATTACCAACCTATTAGACCGGAATTGGAAGCAATATTTATTCTCTTATTACAAACCATCCACCCTTGCTCATTAACTCGGTTGCGACACTTTTACTTGTTCCTGGATCTCTTTCATGGAGAGGATTCTCTGCGTTTTTATCAAAAGACAGTGCAACAGGTATCAATTTGATCTTTGAAGTATTTTTGATTGGAATGGCAATATTTTGTAAGTAACATGATCAAGTCAATCCTTTCTGAACACCGAGTCACAACAGTTGGTTTAACAATAGCCAATAGTTTGATTCCAATTAGACAGAGGATCAATCTTTGAGTGTGTTGTTGCACTCAAACTCTCCATCCTTATCAAACGAGTTGGCTTGAGTTTTTCAAAATCTTTCATTGCTTGCCTTAATTTATAACAAGCCAAATCGCTCATAATAGCAAAATAATTATGATTATTATTATTTAATAATATTCGGAGAGTTAGAGAAAATAATTATTTATTATTGAACCATTACCCAACCAAATGATTTCCAACCAACCAATCCTGGGTCTACTACATGCACAAGACCGAATACATCACAAACTCCGCCTGGATAAACACCACTAGGGATAAAAGGCCACACAGAATAAGCTGGTGATGTCATTGTTATTGATCCATAAGTTGGAATGGGAGGAGGAGGAGGAGGAGGCCTTGGAGGTAAAATTCCGAATGGTGGTAATGAGGCTACTGGCCACAGGATCATGGCGAGAAAGGTAATAATAGAAACTAACTGCAGTATGAAAACACGAATCGTTGTTGTTACCTTGATCATTATAGTTTTTCTTATTGTGTAGATGAAACGAGAGAGAATAACCGATTCTCTGAAAGACTTTTTCAATGTCATTGATCTTTTAAGGAAATTAGATTAATTATCGACACAAAGATCTTCTATTGTTTTGGTGCATCTTACATTTTAGACTCTATTTATTGAACAACAACAAGAAGGAGAACAAGCAAAACACCCAACAACATCCATTGTGATGAGCAACTGAGAACAGAAAGTGCATCATTAACAACAACCTTTGAATCACTAACCACAACCTTTGAGTCTGTAAATTTCAAACTATTTCTTGCTTTGATGTCATATCCCGAATCAAACATGAAAGGATATGCACTAAAGGACAATCCACCTATTAATCGCACGTTGCTAGGTGTTGCTTCAGCCTTAACACTAAATACAAATACCAATGTTTGTGGATCAACAATTACAATTGATGTGACATTAAGGAGAGACTTTAGAGTTGGAACATTTGTGAAACTCGTATTGGATTTCAAACAATATTCGAAAGTAACGCCATTCGGATCGTCTCTCAACTTCTGGATAAAACCTTTATCCCATGAATGATAGGGAGAATTGATCTTAACTTGGATGGATGATATATTGAGAAGTGAACTGATGGCTTGCGATGCCTGGAAGGAGTTATCAACGAACTGAACAGTTATATCTGTGTTCTTGAGCTCTTCATAGTAAACGTCTGCATTTGAGCACAAAGAATCAGTGTATGCAAGAACAATGGAACCATAACCTTTTGATTTGATGAAAGAGATTGGTAAACTTTGTCCATTTCCATTCATGTTCGACCTATAATCATAGATGGAGCTCTTGTCAAGGAATGATGGTGCTGGTTGATTGGCACCATTAATATAGAGACCAATATTGCATTGTGGAGCAGAAACCTTTAGAACAATTCCTGATTTTAAGTTTTTTTCCTGATTAATTGTTTGTCCAATATCGAAGATAACAGTCTTCACAAACAAGAATTACGCCCTCTGTGTTATTGTAAATATCAATCGATGGGTTGTCCACTATTTGGGTTCCAGGTTTTAAATTAAAACTCCATAAGGACATGTCCTTGGTGTATTGGAAATTCACTGCTCTTTTCAATGAAGAACGACCTTGCTGGAAGGGAGCAGGTACTGAAGAAGAAGGAACAGAAAGAGGTTTGGATTTCATCTTGATATTAGCATTCAAGAACACCTCATTGATTGGAAGTCTTTTCACCTCGAATTTGACACGAAGCATGTTGGAAGATTGTTTCAAGATTTCTCTCGTCAAGACCAAGAACACCAATGTGTCCTGATTAGTTGTGGTAGTCATAGTTGTATCCATCACATCATTGTTCATACAATTCCAACCTGAATCAATGACCAATCGTGTTCCTGGAACCCACTTCCTTGCAGAGAAGCTTCCATCGGCAAAATCAATAATAACCTGAGAGAGTTGAGATGATGAATCTTGAGAGGGTACACATTGGACATCCCATACACCCAATTCATGGTCCACAGTCACCACACCACTCAAAACTTGGGCATTCATTTGATAATTAATCATGGCACCATATTTTGCAAAGCGGTGTTGTAATTCTTGAGAAATGTAATCCACACCTTCAACCAACACCTTTTCAACATGTCGACGATGAGAAGTAGACTGAAGCATGCTTTTGACTTGACTTTCTGAGTTTCTGTATCCCTTGTAGGAGGAGAGTTCAAAAGGATCCATCATTTTGACAGCCTCTAACTCGATATTGCTTTCGAAAGGATGAATGGAGGCTGGAATGAAGGGAAAAGGTTTTGCATCGAATTCCTTGCTCAAGTCAAAGACTTGGTGATCATTATCGGTAAAGGTACGAGTTGTAAAAGGTTGTTGCTTCTTTCCAAACATTCTTGTTGATGGAAAGGGATGTGTGGAATGAATGGAAGTACTTGGAGCAAGTTGTATATTCAAAGAACAAACCATGGTGCTCATTCCAAACAACAACCATGCAAAAGCGGTGAGCAAAAGGCACGAGTTAAAGGTTGTCATTTTGTTTTTTAGTGATGTTTTTGGAGTATTATAAGTCCATCTTGCTATTTAAAGTAGACAATCACGCTCGATGTTGAGTTGTTGGGAATTCTATTCTGCATTTACATGAGTGAATGCACACAAAGTAGGAGCGTGATGGATTCCCGCCAAGGGGTGAAAATTATAGTAATACTAACAAATGCAGCTTACAATAGAGCGATGAGTAAATCCTAAAACAAAGGCATTCACGGAACACTTTTTTAGAACGGTGCTGGTTCACATCCGTGTCGTCCCAGCTGCAACTGTTCATCTCTTCATCACCTTCATGGACTGTTATAAATCGTTCAAAAAGACCTGGAAACCTTTTGGTCAACCAAAAAAAGTTGTGTGAAGAAAAGAAGCGCCAAAAAATTTGAATCAAAAAAAATTAAAATTTTGATCAGGTGTTGTCTGTCCAACATCTATTCCCGACTGTTTGAATTAATGCATTTCTTGAATTAATCATCACTATTTAAATTTTGGATTCGGATTGTTCAGAATTATTTTGTTTTTTTCTAGTATCGATCCTCATGTTGAACACAACCCGAACTTCATCGAGCGAAGAACAATCTTCAAATGGAGTGATTAATAGCGACACAACAAATGAAACCTCGCAGACGAGCAGTATTTACACGAATTTAGAACATCAATCCAACAGTAGGTCCGACATATCTCCATTCCGATCTGATGGATATTACCAACTATTTTCAAGTGAGTTGGATGATGAGGACGACGAGGAATATCAAGATGTTAATGAAGAAGAGGACGTTGAAAATTTAGAAAATTTTGACTGGATTGATTGGACTGACTTTATGGAGGATGTTTCCTCTAAGCAAGATGAAGAAAATGAAGATGAACTTGATGATGATTCATTGGTTGGCTCTTCAAACGGAGGTTTGAAAAGAGGACGAAAAAAGTATCAAAAATTCGAAAAGCCTTCCGTGCTACCAAGTATAAGACCAAAGAGTCCGCCACGGGTTACAGCATCAAGCTCATCCAGTACCACCACCACCGCTACTACTACTACCAATGGCAATGCAAATGCTAGCTCAATTGTAAATAATATTCCAATTCCTCCTCCATCTCAACCATTCCAATACCTCAACCCATTTCCTCCTGTTTTGGGCCCACCTCTCTATCCTGCAAGTGCTTCCATCACCAATAAGAATGGTGCAACCTCCACATTTCCATATCCATTTGGACCAATTTTCCCTTATCCCGATATTTATCGAGGTGGAATGAAGAACACTACTCTGTCTACAAGTTCTCAAAGAACTTCTCCTCCACAATCTCTGCCACAAACCACCACCACCGAAATTTCTACAACGCCTTCTGACTCTTCTCTCCCAATAGCAGCTGCTTCTACCAACCAAAACGATGTTGACGGTGCTCTTATTCTGTCAAACATATTTCCTCCTAACTGCTTATTTACTGATGAACAGCTGAAAGAATTACAAAATCAATTGCAACTTCATGTACAATTATTATTATATAATTATTTTTTAACTAGTACTCGAGAAGGATTTCAAGCACAACATGTTACTTTCAAAGGATTGATTGAACAATATTTACAGACAAAAAAAGAAGCAATGATAAACAAGATAAAAAGAATACTTTATGGATTTGGAGTTTCAAAAGACATCAAATTAATGGACTTAACAAGCGGGCAGGAATATGAGCTCAAGGAAGATTATAAAAAACAGGAATCAACAACAGTTGTTCAAAGAAGTACCGATGAATGGATACAAATGATTGGAACAACAATTTTTGATATTGAAGGCTTAGATGCTGCTGAAACATTTCTAAATTTTGATTATAGCTTAGTCATGTTATCAAATCAAATTGATTGGGATCTATTTGTAAAATTATTACGTCCCTTTAAATTGTTCAATAACCAAAGCCTTCTTGCGGAAGTGCAAGAGAGTATATATTACCTAAATACAGTTCCAGAGGATAATATTGGTCCGAAACGAGTTGTATTTACAATTGCAGAAGATAATTTATTAATAATGGGTCTTAAAAAACATTGGAAGCCTGGAGGAACAATTAAGTGGGACAAAATTAAGAACGATATGTTTCCAAATAAGACATCGAAACAACTCCGTGTAAGATACAAAAATATGATTGGAAAAAGAGGCCCTCCGATAGAAGTTAATCCCTTCAAACAATTTAGAAACATTATAGAACACGAAAATAATATGAGAAAACTTGATCCTCACGCTAAGAAGAAGAAGGAAGCAACTACTGCGAACTATTCACATCTGTTTGATAGCGTTGAATTGTTTAAAATTACAAACAAATTAACAAGGAACGAACTACCATGTAGCTATAAGGAACTAAGTAGGATACAAACATACAGAGATAATGCTTCCTCTGATTCAGAAGATTCAGAATCTAAGGATTATATAGCATCTGAAAATCGTAAACGAAAGAAATCAGAGAAACCACCATCGAAAAAGAAAAAGAAGCAAGACACATCAGATACTGAAGGTAATAGGGACCCAACATCCCCTCCTGCACAAGCTCAGCCAGAACCTGTTCAAAACGAAAAATCTTCATCCATGAATGTTCTTACTGACAGTCTGATGCAGCTGATAGAAAAACCTCCAGAAAACTCATCCATTACACAACCTCTCGAAGATGTTGGATCCATAGATTCTGCCTCTGAAGATGAAGATGATGATGAAGTACCAATTTCAATACCTTTACCTTCTATTCAAGCACCCCCAATTACTCTTCCACAAGAAAAAGAATGTGAAGTTCTCTGTGATGGCCAGCTTGTATCTTTTACACGAGAAGAGGATAAGCAAATATTGTTAACGTTAAAAGATCATGGATTTACAGATATTGCCAATATTAATGATCTTTCGTTGATACAACCTGCCATTCAAAAAGTAAGCGATTCCATTTCAAAGAGTGTTAATGCTGTACAGGCCAGAGTCCTTAAACTTCAACACTTTCGGAAGAAACATGCAAATAAGTAAGAAAAAGCTGTAGAGGCTCACATCTCATATCTCTCATATCTCATTCTCACTTGAAGTAACGAGACTACCAAATTGCTCACTACTTCTCAAAAGAGGTAATTTAATTATATCAGTCAATACAAAACCCGATTCTTAAAATTTCCTCGATGACAAGTCGAGATTCTTTCAAATGCGACAAAGATTTGGGTTGGACTGATATGCTGACATGTGATGGTGAGCACGCCAATCGCTGTTGATCTTGCTCTGTCTCACTTCAAAACACATTAAAAGGACGCTGTTTGTGTCGATACCTCCCAACATCAAAAAAACAATGAAACTCAACCAACGTTGGATGCCATTATGGTTGTCCATCATTCTATTCGTCAGCATTTTCGGTTTGTGCTGTCGTCACTCAAATGCCAAATTTACCACAGATGTCCAACAAGAAGCATGTCTGCTAAATGCTGCAAGAAGACAACTCATTGGAAATGACATCCAACAATTGTCATCCATTCTTGTTCACGTTAAATTATTTAACCACGTTATCATGACAAGTGATCTTTTAAATCATTTGACAATTCTCTTCAAAAAACAAAACTACCGTGAAGACTTTCAATTCAGATCTGGTGACACTCTCGAAAGTCACAAAATTTTCACTACTCGTATCTCACACGACTTGCTCGTGAACTCACTTGCAAAGAATGATTTCATTTTGAAGACAGTGGAATGGATCAAGAGAGTTCCATCCGATGAGAGAGTGACTTTTTCAAGCTTGAGTTTGGATTCTTTGAAATTTGCCACTTTACATGTCAAGTTTGATGCATCCGAGACAAATCTCTCACAATTGAAGGATAACATTCTCCCTTCCATTCAAAGTTCTTTCCAAACTCAATTCAATAGCAGAATGTTACAACATTTGAATAGTGTTTCTTTTTCAAATGCCATTCATGCACTCACTCAGAGAGAAACTTTGAACAAACTAAGCTCACACTCGAAATTATTCAATGAATTCATGACGACCGTTCAGAACGGCCAAGAGAATCATGAAGGAGAAGCTCAAATTCTCAATAACAACCTATTCGACGAAGATCAAATGAGAAATTTCTTTCACACTCAACTCTCCAATTATTTTGACTTGAATTGGAAATTTGATGAAACTACTCCTCATTTGCTACAAGTATCATTGAACAATTTCGATCTTAATATTTGGCATTTAATTCAAACTGGTAAATTCCAAGATCATTCAAATTCACCTCTCATTCAACACTTTAAAAAGAGAGAAGATATTGAAAAGCTCTTTATGGTTCAACAACAAGAGAGCACTCCTTCTGAACTCTCTTATTTGAATGAAATGTTTAAAGACCTTTCAGAATCGATGGGCCAACAATTATTGAACTCCTTTAAATCCTTAGAGAGTGTGGATGTCATTACACGTGGTGTGAATTATCAAATTACTAATTATGGAGCAAATCAAGTACTACAATCAGGTGGAACTGACAATAGTTACATGTGGAAACAAGGAATCACTGGATTGGGTGAAATTGTGGGTGTCACTGATACAGGTGTGAATGTCAATCATTGTTTCTTTTCTCAGAGCGGTGAAAGTTATTCTCAACTGAATTTGAATAATCGAAAAATTGTTTACATTGATACTCAGAATGGAGCTGGAAATATTGTGGATGATGGTGGGCATGGTACTCACGTAAGTATTATTGTCTGTAACAATTTTTAACACATTCCAAAATTGAACGTGGTTCACACACACTTTTCATGTGCCTTGCCTTAATACTCACATCCTCATTCCCACCATCACCACATCTCTAAATAATTCAAAAAAGGTCTGTGGTACTGTGGCAGGTTATCCTATCAATTCTCCTTCTCAATCCATTTCCAATCAAATTGGTGTTGCCAAAGATGCCAAACTCTACGTTGTGGATGCTCAAAAATCATCCTCTGGTGGTCTCTACATTTCCGATCTCACTGTTTTATTGCCACGAATCTATTCCTCTGGTGCTCGTATCAGTTCCAACTCTTGGGGATGTGGCAATCCATACCAATGTACCTACGATTGTCAGTGTTACAGTTTGAATTCGGATGGTTCTCAAACACCTGTCTCTGATTCAACTTGTTTACAACAAGTGGGTCGTCGTTGTTGTCATTATTGTAATGTGTATGGCACTCAGAGTCGATCCATTGATTCTGTTCTGAATCGAATGGATGAATTGCTCTATGTCAATGCTGCTGGTAATGATGGAGACTATTCATATGATTCAACGATGGGAGATCCAGCCACTGCAAAGAATGCTCTGAGTGTTGGATCTTCGTATGCCACCACCGAGTATTACCAAATGCTCTATCCTTCAAGTAATATTAATGCAAGTGTTTTGAATATGGAGAATTTGAGTTACTTTAGTAGTCGAGGACCAACCATTGATAACAGAATTAAACCTGATGTGGTTGCTCCAGGATCGTACACTTCAAGTGCTGATTTTAAGAGTACTTGTGGTTTAGCCACCATGTCTGGTACAAGTATGGCCACACCTGCAGTGAGTGGTGCTGCTGCTCTTGTGCGTCAATATTTACTTCGAAACAATAAGCAGAAATTAATTGAATTTGAAATGTTCAACAAGACAGCCGCTCAAACACTTTCTGGTACTTTGGTGAAAGCTTTGATCATTCACTCGGCTGAAAAGATGAATGGAATGGTTCAACTTTATCCAAATTATTATCAATCATTGTCCATCATGCCAATTCCCAATAACTTTGTTGGATATGGAAGAGTGAATTTAAAACGAGTGCTCAAGTTTGACAATGATGCTACTAGTGTAGGTTTGGTTGGACGAATTGGTGTCATGAATAGGGTGGTGCTTGAGCCTGGCCTCTCAACTCAATTTGAAGTTGTGACAAACTCAGCCTCCAATAGTAACACTCTCAAAGTGACCATTGTGTGGTACGATTTGCCAGGTGCTGTGGTCAAGGGAAGCACAGATAAAAGAATTGTGAACGATTTGGATCTTAAGGTTAGCGTAAATGGAGGTAAAAAAGTGTATTATGGCAATGGAGAGCTAACACAGAACACTAATTTCGATTCTACCAACACTGTGGAAAGCGTAACCATCAATAATCTTCCAGGTGGTGTTTCTTGTGTTGTAAGCGTTGGAGCAAAAGCCTCAAACAAGGGAAGTCAAGCCTTTAGTTTGGTGGTGTCTGGTGGTTTTACTGTCAAGTCATCCCCTCAAACAGGATCATCCCTTTACCCAGGAGCATCCCCACAAACAGGAGTATCATCCCCTCAAAAAAGAGTGAATGCAGGTTCCAGAATATTGAGTGATAACATTTGGGCATTATGCATTCTCCTTTCCACTCTTCTTGTTGTGATGATGTAAATAATTAATATACAGACATCAAACAATTTATTCACTAACAATCTTTTTCACGGACAAAGCGAGAGAGTTCAAAGATTCATTGTTGCCGCTTATCTCACTAACCTTGTTGATGGCAATAAGCAACATATCTTCACGCTTCAGTCTGGAAATCATCTTGTTGTTTGTTTGGCAAATAATTAATAGAACGTTAAGCATATAGTTACAAATTCGTTTTACGCTGTTATCTGCTTCCTCATTCTCTGCCTCGTTGTCGTCAAGGGAATCAACATGACTTAATAAAATTTTCCTTATTAATCCCAAACCCGCAGACGAAAACAACTGTTCATGCGTTGAGGAGTACTGTTGAGCTAGAAGCAGTACTACATGGCATGCTGACTCTGCAATTCCTAAATCTTCATGTGAGCACAACTTCATAAATACTTGTAAATTTTCAACGAGTGCTGCGTTATTGGTGTACATGGAATCAGCTTGTTTGGAATCTTCACCCTTGTTAGAATGATGAAGAAGTTTCGCTGCTTTATAAAGCAGGTTGTCTACAATGCCTAAACAAGGCTCAAAGAAGGTGTCAACACCATTTTCAAATGCATACTTCAAAACAGCGCTTAGTTTTGAAATTATTCCTAATTTGTATAATTGATCGTAGCTCAAAACTTCAGCGTTTACGACCTTCAAAATCAATCTCACATTGTGGACGTTATTGTTTCTATGTTCGAGTTCAAAAAATTCAAAAAGCTTTGGAATCAGAGAGAAGTGGTTGATGACACTAACAAATCCTGGATTGTGCTCGGCAATGTTGTTCAATAGTTTCAAGCCGTAAAGCGGTATTGGGTCTTGGTCATCCAAAATTTGTTTGTACTTAGGGAGTAGGTTCTTTACAATGAAGTCATTAACTTGTTTTGTACACTCATGGCTTGTATCTTGTAAATTATATACATTCTTGTCGTTAAGAAATTGAACAAGGATGTCGGTAAATATTTTCAAGCATAAAAATCGAACATCTCCATTTGTGTTGTTGAGCATTTCAACTAAAGAAGGAAGCAAGGAACTAACAACAACTTTGTGGTAGGACGGCGTCATTGGTTGTCTTGACAGAGCCTCAATCACAAGAAGCACTGTATTTGATGATTCCTCCAATCCAGCTTTTGATCCAATTTGATTCAGTAACTTAGATAACTGAATAATGATGTTCTCTGTTATTAACCGTTCGCTCAATGAGGGTGTTGTCATCACAAGCAAAACAAACTCAAGATTTTTGTTTTGTGCTGCGATGGTCGAAGCACTCATGTTTTTGTCTAGCTGTTGGAAAATTTGTTGTAGCAATGATGGAATAAGCTCGCTCACTGAATCCAATAATCCGAGTAAACATGTCCTCACATATTGTTCTTTTTCCTTTGTCATTAATCTGTCCAAGCAAGCACAGAGTTTTGGACCAAAGCTCTTCACAATAAAATTAGTGTTGTTTTTAGAAATAATGAAATATGTTATCAAGCATTTAGCTCTGAGTGTGTAACTTTGATGGTCGACAAGAAGGGATAATGCATCCTCAAATGCTGGATCCTCAACCAAAGCTTTACAAAGCTTAGAGTTAGAGTCGGAGAGAAGAGCCATGTTGATGATGTTAATAGCAGATTGTTGCACTCTGATGTTACCATCTTTCAGTAAGGACATTAGTTTTTTGGGTGTAATAAGCTCAACAAGCTGCAATGACAGGGATGCCTTATTTCTTGCCATTCGTGCTAAAGAAGAAATAGCACTTCCCCTAAGGAACTCATTCTTTGAGGAAAAGAAAATTTGAAGCAGAGAAGAAATGCATTCCACAGTGGCAAACTTTTGAGAGTATTGAGGGCTCTGGGCTGCTATGTTTTCAATGGTCTTTGTAGCGTAATGTTGAACCACTTCATCAGAAAACTTCAAACTATCCACAACAGTAGTAACGATTGAGTGTGGCAAATCGACCAATGTAATTTCTTTTTGGTTAGAGGGTATCTGTGTTGCAACATAAAATACTAATTCTCCCATACATGCCAATGCTCTTCTTTTCACTTTCACACCATTATCCTTCTGCACAAGTTCAACAAACACGTCAAAGATTTCATTGTTCAACAAGTCTCCAGAGATGTATGTAGCATGTCTTACCAACAATCCTGTGACAGAGCATAACCTAACCCTTAGCATGGGTGATTTGTAAGCTTTCAACATTTTGATAAACAGTTTCATTAGGGAACTGTTCACGAGTAAATTGGATGATTGGGTGTCTGTACAAAGAGTTTCAAAGTAGCATAAGCAATTAAGTTTCACGGTGTTGTCTCCATTGGCTACCAGAGCCTTGTATATTTGCGTAAGAAAGTTTTCCAGGTCTTTTTGAGGCATGTTTAACACCTTTTTGAGAGGATGAGGCTCGAAGGGCAACTTTGTTTTGTCATACTTTGGACTTGATACTTTTTCAATTCTGGAGTTCATAATTATTGGCTTGACATAAGTGTCTGACTGATTAAACATTAGCTTTTGGACATCAGAAATGGACAATTTCAAATTCGTAACATTATTTTGGGAACTGGGCCTTCTTATAATTGGCTCCGCGCTATCCTTCTCATGATTTCTGGCATCAGATGATTCGCTGAATCCTTGTTCCTCTTCGTCCATTTCTGCATTTTCTTTTGAGAGATCATCTCCGCTTTCGTTATCAGACTCGTCGAAATTGTATTCAATGTCTGTAACTTTTTTGCCAGAAGGTTTTTCGCTTGATCGTCCGTCGTAACTTGGTCCAAGCTCTTTTTCAAGATTAGACTGAACAATCTTGGATAGCCTCATTACGTTTTCACTTTTAGAGGTTTTTGAATAAATAAGTTTAACACTATTGAGATAAACTGGAGAAGGATGGAGATGTTTCCTTAATTCTTCAGGAGGAGCCACTATTTTTTCCTTCCAAAAGGGATGTTCTCTTAATTCGTCCCATGTTATTCTGTCCAAAGAGTTTTTCTGAAGTAGAGACTTAATTAAATCATTGAGTTCCTCGCTGCAGTTTTCGATTGGTTTAAGCTCCGAGTTCAGAATTAATTCCATGGTCTGCTCTGGTGTGGAACCAACAAAAGGTGGTTTTCCCGAAGCCATTTCATAGAGAATACATCCCAAAGACCAAAAATCTGAATACACAGAATGAAATCCTCCCATCAACAGTTCTGGAGCGGTATAACAAAGAGTTCCTCGTTTTAATTTTCCATCATTTGGTTTTTCCGAAGCTGATGATGTTGTTGAAGGAGTTGTAATTGGAGACGATAAACTTTGGTCAATTTCTTTCATCAATTTTGACAATCCGAAGCCACTTAATTTCAAAATACCACATCCATCAATTAAAATGTTTGAAGGTTTCAAATCACAGTAAACAACGCCCCTAGAATGAACATATCTAAATTTTTTGATGGTAAGAGGCATATAATGCTCATCGTTTCTTTACTTACTGAAGTCCGTTGACAATATCAAGAGCAAATAAATGGATTGCTTCCTCCGGCAGCCTTTGATCTTGGGATAACAAGGTCATTAAATCTCCAGTACAGTACTCTAAAATAATCCAATAATGATTTGTTGTTTCATACCAGCTATGAAATTTCAAAACATTTGTATGAGAAAGCATGTTCAACACTTTTGCCTTATAAATTTCTCTATCTCTTCATCGAGAGGGTGCTAATTTTAAAACTTACTTCGTTGAACACCTTTTGATGGTGGTGCTTTTCAACACATTTTACTGCTGCATATTCAATAGTTTTTCGTTTTCTTCCCTTATACACCACCGATGAGCTACCCTTGCCAATCTCTTCGTAAATTTGAAAATTATCCATGTCAAGAGGATGACTATTTTTTTTTGGTCGAATTTATGCTTTTGCCGCCAATTCTAGAGTTGTATCTCTACAACAATGATGCCAAGTGCTTTATGGAACCTCTAAATTCAACGTATACAACAATAATACATATGGAAGTAACTGCACAACATGTTCGAAAACGCAAAGCAGTGTTGTGATGGATATGTCTTCTTGTTCACTGTTTTTATTGCATTTTCTCTCTGAGTATTTGATTCACCAATGTAGGAGAGGCGTTTCCTTTTGAAAGTTTCATCACCTGAGCAACAAGGAATGGGAAGGAATTGTCTTTTCCCTTCTTAATGGACTCAACCTCCTTTGGATATTGTTCAATGACTTGCACACACCATGAGGAAATTGTGTCTCTATCTGTAATTTGCTTCCATCCATGCTTTTCAGCAATGTCATTTGCCATTTCTCCACTCTTTTCATCGAACATGATCTTGATAATTTTCTTGGCCATCTTTCCTGAAATGTCCTCACATTGAATGGCATCCACAATGGATCCAATTTGAATAAAAGATACAGGACTCTCTTTTAAAGATAAACCAGCAGTGTTTAGAAGGCCCATTAACTCACTGGCGATCCAATTTGCAACTAACTTGGGATTCATTTTCTCTGATCTCCATCGTTTATCATTCAAGATACCTTCGAAAAATTCAACACCACCTTCTGTTGTTAGGAGAACATTGGCATCATAAAATGTAAGATTGTAAGGTTCACTTGTCAACCTTTCAATAACTTGATCTGGAAGAGAGGTAATAGATTTGGCAACATCTTGCACATATTCCTCTGTCAGTTCCACATACGGTAGATCTGGATCAGGGAAAAATTTGTAATCAGGAATATTCTCCTTACTTCTTAAAAGAATGGTTTCACCTTTTTTAGCATCGAACGTTCGAGTTTGCTGTTCTACTTTTTGTCCACTCGTTAACAAATCAATGTGCCTCTTAATCTCAAAATCAATAGCTCGAGGAATATTATTTGCACTCGATATGTTTTTTACCTCACATCTCGTACCACTAAGTGGGTGTTCATTGGCGCTCGCATTGTAAACCGAAACATTGACATCACATCTTAAGCTACCTTCTTCCATATTTCCATCACAAGTTCCAATATATCGCAACAAGAATTGTAGCTTTTTCACAAATAATTCTGCTTCCAAACTTGAGCTGATGTCAGGATAGGTAATAATTTCCATTAAAGGATTTCCAGCTCTGTTCAAATCGATTAATGTATAGTCAACATCATGAACAGATTTTCCAGAATCTTGCTCTACTTGAATTCTAGCAATTCTGATATACTTTGCTTGGTAAGTACCATCTCCTTGTGGAATGTCAATTCTAACTTTTCCTTCCGATATTAATGGATAAAACTGCTGTGTGATTTGATATCCAAGAGGAAGATCTGGATAAAAGTAGTGCTTTCTATCAAATTGGGAATATAGATTCACTTTGCCTCCAATCGCTAAACCTGTTTTTACAGCCTGTCTTATGCAAAATTCATTTAAAATTGGCAAAGTTCCGGGAAAGGAGGCGTCAAACAGGGTGACATTCACATTGGGCATGGAGTTTGTAAATTGTGTTGAGCCTGATGAAAACAATTTGCTATTGGATATAATTTGAGCATGAATTTCAAGACCAATGACTGGCTTGTAACCTTTTAGAACAGATTCATCTCCGCTTGTGTGGAGATACTTTTTGCTCGTGTGTTGTTCGTACTCCTTTCTTCTCCGTTCTTTGATTGATTCTCCGATCACAAAATTATTATGAAATTGAGCATAATTGTTATTTAGAAGCTGATGATTATTATTTGAAGTAATTGATGAAAGGTCATTTCTTTTGACTAATCCTGTGCAAGAATAAAACGAGGAAGAAGTGCACTTGCTTATCCGATGAGCCCTCGATTGAGAAAGGCTGGAAAACAATTTCATTTTTGTTTTTGAAAAAAATTTGAATTTTGGAATGAAATTTTTGATGACATGCCATTTACTGGTTCAACGCTTTCTTGAATTCTGACAGTTTCAGTTGTCGGCATTCCTCGAGTTTCTTCTCTATTACTGCTTTAACCTCTTTGGCAATCTTAAAATCATCAAAAACTAACTTCTTATCAAATAGTATTAATGGCGAAGCTAATGCTTGCTTCTTTTCTGCTACCAATCTCAAAGAAAACTTATTTTGCTCGTTTGTTTTCACCTATTGCAGAATATCAAGAAATTATGATGATCAATAAATATAACATACCTGAACTGAAAATAATGGTATAGTTTCTTCAACAATTCCAAAACCAACTCTGTTGATGTCCACTGTGACAATATATAAAAAATTATTGTCAAAGAATATATGGCGCATTTCTCTGTTGTCTTTCTTTGTTGGAGTTCCTCCACCATTAGGAGTCCTCGGAACTTTTTTGGGAGATGATTGTGTTACAGGAGGTAGAGGTAAGCTTTGAGGTGAGGTTATGCTGCACCGTATAGTTTCTCTGTTTACCATTACAGCCTCATCCTCTGGTAAATATTCTGGTTTTGGTTGTACAATTGATCCTAAAGAAATGGTTTCTTCTCGACCTAATATGGATTGAGTAAGAATCTTAGACTTGGAAAGAAACTCGTAAATTAATAGAAATTCATGTATGGAAAATCTGTTTGAATTTTCGATATTTGATGAGCTTCTCTGCAGGGGAATTTGATCAAAAATAGAATCTGAGCTCTCATCCTTCTCATAGTTAATTAAGACAGCTATGTCAGATATGATAGCATCTGGTCGTAGACTGTTCAGCCTCTGATACTGAGTATATTCGAGTTGGAAATTGTCCATAAATTCAAAAATATCTGATTCTGAGATGAGCTTGAGAAGGATTTCCCTACTTGAAGCAATTGTTTTCTTCATTGCTGGAAAGTGTTGCTTGGCAATAGCTATGTTATTGATAGATAAGTCACTCCAGAGATGAGAAAAAATTCTATAAATTATGTGCAGCGTATTAATTCTATTGGGTATCCTTTCAGAGACAAGCCTCCACAATGTGGAATAAAACTCATAACATTTCTGTTTTTGGTCATCTGCTAACTCTTCTAAATCGTTTGGTCTAACAATTCCATAATTTGAAAGAATATGACTAGGAGATGCTTTTAATATGATAATCAGCTCACCTTCTGCTTTTGTGAAATACTTACATTCATTACTGGCGATAGAATAAATTGTAGAAAGAGCTGTAAGTAACAAGGACTCATTGTTGTTTTCCTTATCTACTTGCTGAAGTATTGTCTCATAAAAAGAATATTCAAATCCAATGTCATTGGAAAATATCACTCCAGTTAATCTTTCAATCAGTATCTTGTGATTGAATATTGTGTACACTTGAGATATGCAGTATAAAACCGTTTCTAAAAGAAGACCGTATTTCTTTTCGTTTTGAAGTTCGCTGTTTTCAGTAATTGCTTCACCTGACAACATCACATCTCTAATTAATTTTCGAAGAGTAAAATCGACAATTGACTCTGTTATTTTTTCATCCATTCTTTCGATGTTAGTGTTAATGATATCTTTCAAGTAAAATAAATGATCTAATAAATCAGCAGAGTAATCTTCTAAAATTCTAATTGATGATTTGTTTTCTCTCGTCTTAATTATAATATAATTTAGAGATGACAATTGATCAATTAGTGAGTCTGCCAACATGGAAAAATAAGGGCCACTTGTTACATATTTATGTAATGCGGGATCCTTAACTAAAATTTTGCCACATATGGTTATTAATAATGTTACTGCTACAAAACATACCGCTGTAGGTATTCAGAGTTATTGTTCTCACTGCTATTCTAATCATACTGTCAGAGTGATTACAAAATTTAATACATTGATCGTAAAGAGGGAATCTCAAATTGTACTTTTAGGAATGAAGGATATGTGACAAAGAGCGTTCATACTGTACTTACACTATCGAAAAAGAATTGAATCATAGATTTGTCGAATTTTAGAGAAATTGTCTTCAAAAAATTGATATAATATGCAAGTAATTCCTCATCGGAAAAGTCGAGTGGATGGTTGATCAGCTCATTGATGTGATTGTTTGAAAGAAGAAAGTCTACCTCGGAAGATAAATAAATATTTTCAACAAAATTAAACCTACACATCGAGTTGGTGTTGTTCATGTTTTGAATCATAATACTAATTGACTGAATGAGTTGTTTCTTGACTTGATTAGGAGCATTTGGTTGAGAAAGAACATTGAAAAAAGAGTGAAACACATTTCTCTCAAGAAAAAGACTAAAATTCCATGATGTAAATTATATGAATTGTTAAATAAGTCAGGTACGTACTCCCAGAATTTTTCATTGTGTTTGTCTCCCCAAACCATCAACTCGGATATCGATCGTAAAGTTTCAACAACTATTTCTGCATTTGTATCGTTAATAATTTTGTTTTGTTCTAGTGTATCGCACAGCTTACTGTAATATTTCAAAATTTACAACAATATTGTTGTGTCCGATTATTTCAATTTTATTGCGATGACTTACTTGAGCGCTTCTAGGGAAAATTTCTGTGGGAAAGGGGAAGGCGAAACGAATAGTCCCGATATTAGCTTTCTCATTGTGATGCGATATTTTTTTGGGTGAATTTTCATCAATTCTCTCTCCTTATGGAGCATGGTCAATGATCATAAATCTCTTAAAGTCAAACAACTGAATACTTTGATCATGTTTCAGAGTAGAGTTGCTGTTCTCTTGGACCAAGTCCTTGATGATTTTTGGTTTTGTAAAGTGTAGCTCACTTTGTTTGATCCCTTGCTTGATGGTAAGTCATACCATATTGGACCATTTTGTATGACTTCTTTGACATCCATTCTTCTTTTTTGTCATTCGATTCGAGATCATCATGAATCACCTTCCTCCTCCCACTTGATCTTTCGAACTCACACAACACGACATGATCCAATTCAAATCACTTCACTCCCGAGAAGTGTTGTAAAGTATGCCAAACATTTTCAACGCACCAATCCAAATCTCTCGTTTTTTTGAAGGGTTTAAAAGCCCTCTCAGCCATCATGGCCCACACCGCGTCGACACACAACACGAGAGAGAAATCCTGAAGCAAAAAAATTTTGTGTCCTCATTTTTCACTCATCATCACCTTTGGTGTGCCTCTGTGTTGAAAATTGCGTAACAGCAGCTCTGTCTTTCGACATTTGGATCATCATCATCCCATTCTACGAGTAGCAGCATCATCGGTTCATTAAATTTTTCAACTGTACATATTACCTTTAGCATTAGAGAGCGGATTTAATTTTTTCTTGTATAATTACCAATGTCTAAATCAGAGTGGAAATTTCAACAGGTTTTTGGGGACAATAAGGGAGAAGAACCAGCAGATGGTATGTTATAACTGTTACTCATTATTATTGTATTTAATCATCAACACTGTTTTCACACCTTCATGTCATTATTTCTGTATTCCCGTTCTTCTTTGCAAACGCGCTTCATCATCTCTATATTTTCTCATTGTCATTTCTGAACGGGTGCGACATCCTTTTTGTTGTACTCTTTCTATGATGAACATTTCGAAACAACAAAAACAACAACAACAACAACGAATTCATCGAACTTGGTTCCTGACATCGTCGTGAACACTTTCGCTCATCTCAATATCCCGTTTACAAATACACAGATGATATAATATCAGCGTTGGAGTTTGACCGCACTGGCAATTATCTCGCTATTGGTGATAGAGGCGGAAGAGTAGTGATTTTAGATAGAACCCAGCAAAAGAAGAAAGGAGCAGATTACAAAGTATTGACAGGATTCCAAAGTCATGAAGCAGAGTTTGACTATTTGAAAAGTTTGGAAATTGAAGAGAAAATCAACAAAATTAAGTGGTATCCGTCAAAATGTAACAATAATCTCTTTTTATTGACAACAAATGGTATGTATTGTTGTTGATGACATCATCGTTATGTATTCCAATATTGACATTTCTGTGTTGTTTGCGAACATCCCTTGTTCCAAAATCACGTTTGAACTCTAACAGACAAAACTATCAAATTTTGGAAGGTCCACGAAAAACAAACAAAAACTATTTCAAATCTTAACTTGAATGGCAACATTAGAAGCGTGAGTGATGTGAAAGAGTTAAAGGTTCCTTCCGTTAAAAAGTCTGATTCCGTTACACATGCCCACACACCTAAGAAAATTTATGCAAATGCTCATGCCTATCACATCAATTCCATCTCATTTAACACTGATGGAGAAACATTCATGTCTGCAGATGATCTTCGTATCAATTTATGGCACATTAATCATGAAAAGGAAAGTCACAACATTGTAGATATAAAACCATCAAATATGGAAGACTTATCTGAGGTTATTACTTCTGCCTCTTTCCATCCAGAGCAATGCAGCACATTTTTGTACAGTAGCAGCAAGGGAACGATAAAACTTGGAGACATCAGACAATCCAGCACCTGCAACACATATGCAAAGGTATTCGAGGTTGAGGAAGATCCATCTAGCAAGACTTTCTTCTCTGAAATTATTGCATCTGTTTCTGATGCTCAATTTAGTCCAGATGGAAAATATATTCTATCAAGAGATTATATGACGCTAAAGCTATGGGACATTAAGATGGAAAATCGACCATTGAAGGTCTTTAACATGCATGAAGGTTTACGATCTAAATTGTGTGACCTTTATGAAAACGATTGCATCTTTGACAAATTCGAATGTTGTTTCAGTGGAGATGGCAACAACGTTTTGACAGGTTCCTACAAGAACCATGTTCATGTTTTTGACAAGCAAGGCAAAAATCATGATCACTTTGAAGCTTCTCCAAATCCTACCATCAAGAAACCACAGAAATCCACTGGTCTTTTGGGAAGGAAAAAGAAGAAGGATGATCAGTTCGAAACTTCAGATTTTTCAAAGAAGTGTCTCCATCTCACTTGGCACCCATCTGAAAACATTATCGCAGTGTCCTCAGTCAACAGCCTCTACATATTTGCGCAAAATTAATTCATCCCAATTTTCCATTTTGTCACCACCCAATTTCACACATTCTTTTACCTTTCTCGTCAGCAGCTTGAATTCCAACAATAAAAGAATCTTTGATTCACAATTTCATTGCATATTACCGAGCTAAATCAAAGCACAACAAACACCAGTGGTTCCATCAAAAGATGGCATATTAAATCGAACAATTCAAAATTCGGGATGATGAATATTAAATCGGGATTTTTTGTGGTTTATTTGGACCTTCAGGTAACAACTTATTCAGTCTTTCTCTTTGGTTTGGATGGAGGAGCTCTAATCTTTCTTCCTTCCTTGGAACGAACACGAACAATACGACCGTGAATAGCACAGGAAATGCAATAGTGGAGCTTGAGGTACATCTTTGGCAAAGCATATTCCTCATAAGCTGATGCGTCAGTAATATCCTTGACAGCAGCGGATTCAACCATGCTTCTAACCAAGAACTTCTTGATGGACTTGTCCTTTGGTACACTCTTACCACAGTTATCGCATCTGACTGCTCTAGTCTTACCTCTATTAACTAGAGCTCTACCATTGTTCTTTCTCTTACTGGTCATGTTTGTTTATGACTGAGCAACAACAAAAATAAGGTTTAGCAGCGCGTGAGCAAGGATAAACCTACCAATTTTTTTCGAAACAATTTTCAAAAATATTTCTGGTCAACCGAATATCAAAACTTTACAATAAAAAATTAAAGGTATCAACAAACCACACATCGCTTAGGCTGGATCTTCTCCAGAGAGATCATCACGACTCATAATGAACGTTCTGTTTGTATCATGTATTTTTAAATCATTGCTGATATTAAATATTATTTAAACAGGAATACAACTCATGGATCATGATGATGGCAAGTGAAAGCACTAAACACCGCTGTCGTTGTATGCCATTCGCGCCTTTTTGATTTTACAGACCAAACGAAAAAAAATTCATGATGAAGAAGGGCTTTCAATTCAACCAAAACACCACGAACAGTTTTTGGGGCGGTGCTTCATTGGCAAATAACAACGAAAATGAAGGATCCAATATGAACATGTCAAAAAAGACCCTGCCCGACGAGTTATCAATGAAAGCGGAACAGTCCATGTTCTCAAAAACCTTAAAAACTCGATTGTATTCCAACAGGGATGAAAAACTCTCAATAGGATGTGAAAATATAACATTTTCAAAAGTGTCAAATGTTCAAAAACCTAAGGATATTAATAACGATTTATTTCCGGCGCAAAAGAAAGTGAAACCAAATGAACTGGATTTTCTCAACAAAACCGATGAAACTATGCAACTTGTAAATATCAGAAGTTCAACACCTCTCAATAGAATTCAACAAAATGATGACAAAGCTGAAAAGGTTGACAAGAATTTAATCAAACTAAAACCAATAGGGATTCAATCACCTCGTGTAGAGATAGACAACAACTTGATCAATTCTGGAAGGAAGAATCCCATGTGGTTTATTGGTAAGTTTCTTCTATGCATGTTCGTTCAGTACCTGGCTAAATCAAATTTAATCAAGATCGAATCAAGAAAAATCCGTCAAGTATGGAGTATGTCTATCTTGTGCCACTTCAAGAGGATACCACCGAACCTTATAATCCATACAAATTACAAATTGTGCCCCATTCATTTATAAATGACAAGGCTGATTACTATACAATGAGCGCAAGTGGAGTGACGCACTTTATAAATGGAGAAGCAGATTTTACACCTCTTTCAAGATGGATTCAAGAACATGACACTTTCCAAAAGATATTGAAAATTAAATTTTTCAAAAACTTTAGAAAGTGGAAGGCCTTTTACTTTTTTAAAAAGATGATAATAAGAAAGAATAGAGCGTTGGCTTCAGCAACACTTACTGAACGACTATTTTTTATTAATAACTGTAAAGCAATGAGAGATATTCGTATGGAATGCATTAAAATTACTGAATTGGAACTATTCAAAGACAATAAGGGAGACACTTTGACAGTAGATGAATTTTCTAAAATACAAGAAACTCAGAAAGACGAAATTTCAAAACGGCTTTTAGAAATATGTGAAAACATTACGGATATTACTTATGAGGCATGTAGGGACACAATGATAGCCGCTGGTTTTGGAGATAGATTCAGCGACCTTGAGCAAATTCCAGACCCTGAACAAAAACACAAAGAGTTCTCTGGCTATAATCAGGCGCAAAAAAACCAAGATGAAATGGAGGAAGATGATGCTGACGACAATGCACCATTGAATAGGTCAACAAGAGCTGTTTCATCAAAGAGAGGAAATAGAGGAAATCTTGCAACCAATTATCCGTCTTATAATATGACATATACAGAGAAGTCATTGAAGAGAAAAGTGTGCAAGAGAATTATTAACTTTATCAGACTTGCAGATTTTCTTGTTTTAGATGCGCTGATAGAACTTGTTGAAAAGTCTGTTGAAAGAATTTTAAACAAAATTACCACGCTCTCCAAGAATAGCGAAAAAGATATAGAAGAGGAAATTATGCAACTAGGACTAATTGGAACTGACGATCTTGAAATTGTTCCTCTCTTCAAGGTTGAGATACGGTTGAATGATCAAAGGTTGCAAATTCTTCCATCCCGAGAGCAATTTGATAAGAGAGTTGCAAAAGTAATAGAAGGATTTTTTGATGCAATCAAAATAGAAAAATTCATAACCAAGAAAAAATTCGAAGAGTACACTGATCCTGTTGTCAACGATAAAGGAGCAGAAGCAATTGTTAGTGAGGGCATAACTATAAAGGAGAGAATTGTAAGAAGAGAGTCATACGATAGACTTGTGAAGAGTATTAAGGAAACTATGTCATTGGCTTTTAAAGACGTGGAAAAATATGCAAAAGAATACGAGCCTCTCAAGATTAAGCACTTGGAGAATAAGGAAATGTTGGAGACGGACATGACTGTCATAAAGGAAAAAGATTATCCTTTAGAATGGTTCCAAGCAGAAATGAACAAATATAAGGAGCAGGATATAGAGGTCAAACAAATGAGAACATACAAGTACAAAGGAATTTTCTATGTTGACACCCAGAAGCTGAAAGAAACCTTTTTACCCTCTCCTGGCGAATGTCTTTTGAAACTTCATAAAATTTTACCAGAGCTTTCAAAAGAGAAGAACATAGCCCTCTACAAGAAGCTAGAAAAATCTATGGAGAGATTCAAAGCATTTCCTGCATCTGTGGAAGACTTTGTAGAGTTCTTGCACTTTGTCGAAAAGACGGTGGCAAGTTTAGACGATTTGGAAACTGAATTCAAAACCGTTTTCGACTTTTACAAATTAATGGAAGAAGAAAAAGTGAAAGTACCGCTAGAAGACAAAAACTTTTTCCAAGACTATACAGTTTCTACGATTTCAACGTTAAGATCTTCTATCAGCAGAGCTGAAGACAGCAAAGAGGATCGTATCAATAAGTTTTCTGTAGATTTAAAGAGAAAGATTGATGACTTAAGAGGAGAAATTCAAGACTTTTCCGAAAAGTCGAAAGATGCGATGGTGTTTGAAGTCAATAACACAGAATCTCTTGAAAGAATAGAAGAAGTAATTGCATACCTAACGGACTTGAAGAACGGAATGGATAAAGCTCAAAAGAGATTTGCAGAGCTTGTAGGATATCAGGAACTATTTAAAGTCAAACCTGATACAATCGACGAGATGCCTTCAATTTCTAAGGAAATAGATCTCAAACTAAAGCTCTGGACTACGATGAAGAGCTGGATCATCTTTGAGTCGGAAAACAAATGTAAAATATTCAAGGAAGTTGTTGCAGAGGATATCAAGAGAAACGTAGATCAATTCCAATACACTGCTTCACATCTTCAAAAGAATAGCGAAACAGAAAACCCTGTTATATCCAAGTTATTGGATTACACAGACCACTGGAGAATAGTTTTACCTATTATTGAAGATCTTAAGAACGTCTCACTCAGGACAAGACATTGGAGAGTGTTAGACAATATTGTTGGTACAACAATCTCAGAGAGAAACTTTGAATTAAGTCTTTTATTTGATCCTGACATTGTCGATAAGAGAAAGAAGATACAAGAGGTTTCTGAACAAGCATCTAACGAAGCATCTCTTGAAGAGCAGCTGAAAAAAGTCAAAGAAAATTGGTTCAAAGCAGAGTTTCCAATTGTTGCTCACAAGGATATGACGATCATTGGAAGCGTAGAAGACATTGTAGCTCTATTAGAGGACGATAGAATTGTGCTTTCAACTATTTTGAGCTCGAGATTTGTCGCAGCTATAAAGGATCAGGTGGAAGAGCTATACAACGACCTTAATCTGATATATGCAACTATACATGAAATTATTTATTGCCAAAGGAAATGGATGTACTTAGAGAACGTCTTTGTGTCAGCTGATATTGCAGCAGAGTTGAAAGAAGATCACAAATTGTTTGTATCCATTGATAGGTTCTACAAAGAGGCAATGAAGAGAGCAAAGGAAGTTAAGAATGTTCATCGAGTGATTATTGGAGCTGAATCCTCTGTGAAAAGCTCTCTATATGATAAGCTGAAAGGTCACAACATGCATCTTGACAAGATTGAAAAGAGCTTGGAAGAATACTTAAAAAAGAAGAGAAATCTATTTCCAAGATTTTATTTCTTGTCTAATGAAGATTTGATAGACATACTTTCTCATACAAGCAACCCACAGGCCGTTCAACCTTATTTACCACAATGTTTTGAAGGTATGAAGTCATTAGACATTGATTCTTCCAAGTATGTCAAAGGAATGGTCTCTAAGGAGGGTGAAAGAGTTCAATTTGTTTCTACTACAACAAGAGCTGATGATGTGGTTGAGGACTGGTTGAGAGAAGTCGAACAACATATGTTCGACACTCTACGTCAATTCATGAAACGTGCAGTTCGTGATTATCCAAAGAAAGAAAGAACAGTATGGATGAGAGATCATATTGCTCAAGTTGTTCTAACTGTATCTCAAATATTTTGGTGTTATGAAGTTACAAATTGTTTAACCTCAGAAAACCCAAAGAAGGAGCTTGAAAAATTTTATGAAAAATCAATTACTCTCTTGAATGATTTGGCGTATCTAACTAGAACAAAGCTCTCTTCAAACGAACGCAAGCTTATTGGAACTATGATTATTTTGGATGTACATGCAAGAGACGTGGTTAAATCAATGATTGAAGAAGGAGTAGATGATGTAAACAATTTTGGTTGGTTAAAACAGCTTAGATTCTATTGGGAGTCAGATGTAGATGATTGCATTGTGCGACAATCCAACTCTGTTTTCAGATACGGATACGAATATGGAGGAATACAATCAAGACTTGTCATCACTCCTCTCACAGACAGAGTTTACATGACACTAACAGGAGCATTACATCTTAACTTGGGAGGAAGTCCAGAGGGGCCAGCAGGAACGGGTAAAACAGAGTCAGTCAAAGATTTAGCGAAGGCTCTTGCAAGGCCTTGTGTTGTATATAATTGTAGTGAAGGTGTTACATACACAATGATGTACCAGTTTTTCAGTGGTATTGTCCAAGTAGGTGCATGGGCATGTTTTGACGAATTCAATAGAATCAATGCTGAAGTGCTGTCTGTTATAGCCACTCAATTGCTTACAATTCAAGATGCACTAAAGGCGAAAAAGACAAAGTTTTTCCTTGAAGATGACCAAGAAATTTCTCTTAGAAGCACTTGTGGAGTTTTTATTACAATGAATCCAGGTTATGCAGGAAGAACAGAACTACCTGACAACTTGAAGGCACTATTCAGACCTGTTGCAGTCATGTTGCCTGATTATAGAATGATTGCAGAAGTTATTTTATTTTCAGAGGGATATCAAGATGCATTACCTTTATCAAGAAAAATGACACAGCTCTACAAGTTGTCAAACGAGCAGTTGTCAAGCCAAGATCATTACGATTTTGGTATGAGAGCGATGAAGTCTGTTTTAGTTATGGCAGGTGAATTGAAAAGAGCCAATCCACATCTCAGTGAAAGTACTACATTGATGAAGGCTATGATTGACAGCAATCTTCCCAAATTTGTAAAGGAAGACGTGTCACTCTTTCAAGGAATTGTGTCTGATCTATTTCCAGGTATTGATGCTCCTGTTGAAAAGAACGCCGAACTTGAGGCAGGACTATTGCATATCATAGAGAGAAGAAAACTCGAGCCAGTACCAGCATTTGTCAAGAAGATTGTTCAGTTTTTCGACACGCTCATTATTCGCCATGGTGTTATGCTCGTAGGTCCAACTGGAGGAGGAAAAACGGAGATAAGAACTGTTCTCGGAGATACCATGAATTATTTAAAGGATGAATTGAATTCAACAGCTAATCACGTGAATAGAGTGCAACAATTCTTGCTAAACCCAAAATCCATTACTTATGGAGAACTGTACGGGGTCTTGAACATGACCACACAAGAATGGTTTGATGGACTAATTCCACACTTTGCAAGAAAGGCCACAAAGGATACAAGTGACGACAAAAAGTGGATCATTTTTGATGGTCCTGTAGATACCTTATGGATTGAAAGTATGAACTCTGTTCTTGATGACAGCAAACTGTTGTGTTTGGACAATACTGAACGAATCCAGCTTAATGACAAAATAAGCTTTATTTTTGAGGTTCAAGACTTAGCTGTGGCTTCACCTGCAACAGTTAGTAGATGTGGAATGGTATTCGTAGATCCTACTGAGCTAGGATGGAGACCTTATGTATCATCTTGGCTAAAGAACTCAAAAATTAGTTCAAGTCATGCTGACCTCAAAGAATTGTTGGAAAAGATGTTTGATGAGTTCGTTCAAGATGGTTTGGATTTCATCAGAAATCAATGTGAAGAAGATGTACCAAGCACAAATTTGAATTTGGTAACTAGTTTGTGTGGACTTATGGACGCGTTGTTGCTTGATCATTTTGAAAAGCTCGAATCAGAGAAGAGCAAGCAATTAATGAGTCTAGTGTTCGTCTTTTCATATGTTTGGTCAATTGGAGCAAATATCATCGATAGCTCCATGATTGAGTTCGACAGATTTGTTAAAGAGAAATTCAAAAAGTCTGGTTTAGTACCATCAAATGGAACATGTTATGACTTCTTTGTTGACTTTGACTCTGTTTGCTTTGTAAATTGGGAGATACTGAAGCCTGAATTTAAATACTCGAGTGAGGTACCTTTTTATGAAATAATTGTTCCCACGGTTGACACTGTTAGATACTCCTACCTTATCCAGACATTAATGAAGAGCGAGAAACCAACACTTTTCAACGGAAGAACAGGTGTTGGTAAAACAATTTTGATCAACAATGCCCTACAATCTTATGAGTTCAAGCGTCATAACGAATCATTTACTACTGAACTTGTTTCGGTTCAATTTTCTGCTAGAACTGACAGTGGAAGAACGAGAGAAATGATTGAAAGTAAGCTAGTGGAGAAAAAGAAAGCCTTATACGCTCCTCCTGGCAAGAAAGTTGTCATATTTATCGATGATCTGAATATGCCTAATCTTGAACAATTCGGAGCACAACCTCCTATAGAATTGATAAGGCAAATGATTGGATGTGGAGGATTCTATGATGTTTCGAATAGAGAGGAGTTCCCATGGAAGGTGGTTCATGATTCAACAGTTGCAGCTGCATGCGGTCCTCCAGGAGGCGGCAGAAATCCAACAACGCCTCGCTTATTACGATTGTTCCACTTGTTACGAATTCCTGAGTTATCAAAGAATAGTATGACCATTATATTTGAAAGTATTTTAGATGGGTTCTTTTCTTCTCATTCATTCTCTGAAGAAATTAGAGGGCTAACAAAACCACTAGTTAAAACAGCAATAGAACTCTATGGAAAGGTGTGTGATAGATTTAGACCTACACCAAACTGTGCCCATTACACATTCAATCTTCGAGATTTGTCTAAAGTTTTCCAAGGAATGCTTCAAATGAATCCGAACAATGCCAAGGATTCAAACACAATTTTGAAACTTTTTTCTCACGAGACTTCCAGATGCATGTTTGATAGACTTATTAATACCCATGACAGAAGCGATTTTACAGCGATGATTATTGATTTATTGAAGCGATATTTCAAAGGACAAAATTGGGATGAGAATGACTTTATGGGCGAGAACGCCATCTTATTTGGCAACTTTATGGACCAAGGAGATAGCGAGGAGAAACTTTATCAACAAATTAATGTTACCAAGCTTCCGGCTGAGCTAGACGATTACCAAATGAGATATAACCTAAATAACGCAGGACAACTTGATCTTGTCTTTTTCCCGGACGCATCTAAACACATTACAAGAATTACCAGAATTCTATCACAAAAAAGAAGTAATGCATTGCTTATTGGAGTTGGAGGTTCAGGAAAACAAAGTCTTACCAGATTATCCTCATTTATTGTCGGATACAAAACATTCGAAATTAGTTTGAAGAGAAATTATGATATTGAAGACTTCAGAGAGGATCTGAGAAACTTATTTAGAATGGCAGGAGGAGTAGAAGGTGGTCCAGTTGTTTTTCTTATTACTGACGCCCACATTGTGGATGACTCATTCCTTGAAGATATCAACAATATTCTAAATACTGGAGAGGTTCCAAATCTTTTCCCTTCAGATGAAAAAGAGAAGTTAATCAATGAAATTAGACCAATTGCACAGAAAGCAGGTGTATCAGAAAATAGAGATGCGATATTCTCTCACTTCATCAAAAGAGTTAGAGACAATTTACATATTGTTATATGTATGAGTCCTGTTGGTGATGATTTCAGAAGAAGAATTAGAATGTTCCCATCGTTAGTCAACTGCACAACTATTAACTGGTTTGATGAATGGCCGGCAGTTGCCCTTAGAGGAGTAGCCCAAAGAAAATTTGAAAAAATTAATGTTGGAAACGAGAATCTCAAACAAAGAATTGTCGATACTTGTGTGTTAATTCATAGAGACGTTGTGGACATCACGAAGAAGTTCGAAGAAGAAACAAGACGAAAGTTTTATATTACTCCATCACATTACCTAGAGTTTATAAACTTTTATGGAGATTTGTTGGAAGAACAGCGTCTGGAGCTAAAAGAAGCGAAAGACAAACTTCAAAAAGGTTTATTTACTCTACAAGAAGCAAATAACAAAGTTGCCTCGTGTGAAAAGGAAATTGAGCAACTTCAGCCTATTCTTGAGCAGAAGACTATTGAAAATACAGCTATTACTAAGGAGGTACTGGAAAAGAAAGCTCAAGCTGACAAAGACAATGAAATCATTTCTGCGGAAAAGAAGGAAATTGATGAAAAGGCGAAAATAGCTGAGGCAATGAAAAAAGACGCTGATGATAAGCTAAAAGATGTTCTTCCTGCACTTGAAGAAGCAGAAAAGGCAGTTAGTGAACTTGGAGGTCCTGAGCTTAACATGATTCGGTCGTATCAAAATCCTGTAATGCCTGTGAAGACAACACTTGAAGGAGTATTAATTCTGTTAGGTGAGAAAAAGACCGATTGGGAGGCTGCTCAAAAAGCAATGAGCGCAATGGACTTCAAAAAGAGAATCTTGACCTTCAAGGAAACCATGAAAGAACGAGTTACTCCTCAAATCGTTGCCAAGATTAAGAAATTAATGAAAGACGAGAACTTCCAAGAAGCTGTTGTTTATAAGGCTTCTGGACCAGCAGGATCTCTTTGCAAATGGGTGAGAAAAATGGTAGAATACTATGAGGTTGAAAAAGTTGTACAACCATTAATGGAGAGTGCTGCTGCTGCCCAGGAAGAGCTGGAAAAATTATTGTCAACTCTAAGAATCAAAGAAGCTGAGCTCCAAAAGAAAACAGAATATCTTGCACAACTTCAAAAACAACTCGAAGAAAATAATAGGGAGAAAATAATGCTTCAAGAGCAGAAAGAAATTTCAGAAAGAAGATTGGTCGCAGCTAAAAAACTCACAGTTTCTCTTAAAGAAGAATACGAAAGATGGACACTCTCTGTTGCTGAATTTGATGAACGAATCAAAAACATAGTTGGAGACATGTTTATTGCTTCAGCATTCATCATTTATTGTGGTCCACTGACATCTCCATACCGAAAAGAATTGCTCGACAAATGGTGTGAATATTGCAAAGAACATAGCATACCATTCAGTGATAACTATTCTTTAGACAAGGTGATTGCAGATCCGATTGGCATCAGAGATTGGGGCATGCAAGGTTTACCAATGGATCATTATTCAATCCAAAATGCCATTATCGTAACTAGAACAAAGAGATGGCCTCTATTGATCGATCCTCAGGAACAAGCAAACTCTTGGATCAAAAATATGGAAAAAGGAAACACCTTAAAATTGCTGAAGCAATCAGAGGATAATTATATCAAAACCTTAGAGAGTTATATCACAACAGGAAAACCAGTAATGATCGAAGGATTAGCAGAAAAAATTGATCCAACTCTTCAACCCATTTTGAACAAGGAAGTGTTCAAGAGCAAAGGAAAGCTTGTAATGAAAATAGGAAATGCTGAAATTGACTTTAGTCCTTCATTCAAGTTGTATCTCACCACTAAGCTCTCTAATCCTCACTATCTGCCAGAAATTTGTAATAAGGTGACTCTTGTCAACTTTACTGTTACAACAAAGGGATTAGAGGACCAACTTCTTGCGGATGTAGTGAGAATTCTCGAGTCTAGTCTGGAAGAAGAAAGAGACAGACTTATTGTAAGCGTTGCAGACGACAAAAAGACCCTGAAAAAGATCGAAAAGAAGATTCTTGACAGTCTGTCATCAGTTAAAGAAGATGAAAATATTTTGGACAAAACTCAAATCATCAAATCTCTTGACGATTCCAAAAACACATCAAATGTTATCAAAGACAGAGTCAAGGACGCTGCAGAAACAGAGCTTAAAATTGATCAAGCAAGAGAAAAGTATAGAATTATTGCAGTCCGTGGCTCGATTTTGTACTTTGTTTTGGCTGATTTAGCGAATATTGATCCAATGTATCAATATTCATTAGAATACTTCAAAGACATATTCAATAAGTGTATTCGACAGACTAAGGAGCAACATCACGATCTCTCGACAGAACAACTTCTTCCAATTCTCATATCCAATATCACAGAGTATATTTTCACAAATGTTTGCAGAGGTTTATTTGAAAAGGATAAGATTATATTCTCATTCCTTATTTGCACAAGAATTTTATTGTATGATCAAGTCATCGATGAAAACGAATGGCTATTGTTCCTCAGAGGTGCCCCATTGACTTATGATAGTAAGAATGAGCTTTCTAATTGGCTGTCAGATTTGTCCTGGAATTTGTTGACTGCTCTTGACGCAGAAATTCCTCAACTGAAGGGACTTAAAGCTTCAGTGACAGGAAATCTTTTCACCTGGAAGAAATACTTTGAGGATACTGAAGCATATGGTAAAGAGTTACCATTTGCTTGGGAAGAGAAAATTAAGCCTTTCCACAAATTACTTCTCATTAAGTGTTTCGCAGAAGAGCAAGTATTATTAGCCAGCAAAGAGTTTGTCAAAAACCATCTGGGTGAGTCATTCATAAGACCTCCTGGATTAGATCTCGAAAAAGCCCTCAGTGACTCAACCCCAAGTACTCCAATAACATTTATCCTTTCTCAAGGTGCAGACCCTACCAGCATGTTAAAACGATTTGCAGCTGAAAAAGAGCATGAGCTGCATATCAAATCTCTTGGACAAGGTCAAGAAGTTTCTGCTAAAAAACTGATCGAAAGAGGAAGAAAGAATGGCGAATGGGTACTGCTTCAAAATTGCCATTTGTTTGTATCCTTTATGCCAACGTTGGAGAATATAATTGCTGAGTTTTCTTCACCAATGGCAGTTGTTCACAAAGATTTCAGATTATGGTTAACATCAATGCCCTCTAAGGATTTCCCAATACCTATTCTTCAAAACAGCGTGAAAGTAACAAATGAACCTCCAAAGGGTTTAAGATCTAATCTCGCTAGAACCTATAACGAAATATCTGATGAGTACTTTAATGGCTTTGAAGAAAGCGAGAAATTCCCTGAATGTAGTAAGAAACTCGCATTCAGAAAGCTTTTGTTTGGCTTGTGTCTGTTCCATGGCGTTATTCAAGAACGTAAGAAATTTGGTCCTCTTGGTTGGAACATCAAGTACGAATTCAACGATTCAGATTTAAGCGTTGCACAGTTGTGGTTAAAAATGTTCCTCAAAGAGCGTGAAAACATTCCTTGGGATTCTTTAAATTATGTGATTGGTGAAATTGTGTATGGTGGAAGAGTGACAGATCCAAATGATCGAAGAGTGTTACTCACCATCCTATCTCAATATTTCTCAAACAGAATTCTTTCTCATGATTACAAGTTTGCTCCTTCTGATATTTACAGAATTCCTTCTTCGGATCCTATTGATGACTACAGACAATTTATTTCATCTCTTCCAGATAATGATGAACCTGCCATTTTCAACATGCATCAAAATGCTAATATGGTATTCCAAATGCAAGAAACACATTATTTAATTTCTACAGTGATGGGAACTCAATCTGTGAGCTCAGGAGGTTCCAAACAACATCATATGGAATATATTGTGACTGAAATTGCAAACAGTAAGTATTATGCAATTGTTAAACTTTAGCAAAGTGACACTTTCATTTAGAAATTTTGTCTAAACTTCCTGAAAATCTCAGTAAATCTGAGGCTGGAAAGAATACTTTCATTCGTACTGAAAAGGGAGCTATGCATTCACTATCCACAGTATTAAGTCATGAAATGATGAAATTCAACAAATTGCTTGATAAGATTAGAAGTACTTTAACTGAACTTCAAAAAGCGATAAATGGACTTGTTCTCATGTCTAGTGAGCTCGAAAAAACATTTAAGAGTCTCTTGAATAATGAAGTACCTGACTTGTGGGCAGCCTACCCTTCAAGAAAACCACTTGGTTCTTGGATAGAAGATTTAGTGGAGAGAGTTGCTTTTATGAGAAATTGGTTGAGAAATGGTCTTCCAAAGGTATTCTGGTTGTCTGGATTCTTCTTCCCACAAGGATTCTTCACTGGAGTGTTACAAACGTATGCCAGAAAGTACAATGTTGAAATTGATTCTTTGTCATTCAGTTTTAGAATCATGCATGAAATGACTCCAGAAGAAATTGAAGAAGGTCCTGAGGATGGTGTCTATGTGTATGGTTTGTATTTGAATGGAGCAAAATGGAACAAAGATAAGGAGACGTTGGAGGAATCAGATAATGGTGAAATGAATGTGAAAATGCCAATCATTCATTTCCTTCCAGAAAAGAATCACAAAACCTCTCCAAAATGCTACGAGTGTCCTCTGTACAAGACAAGCGAGAGAAAGGGTAAACTTTCATCGTTGGGTCAATCCACGAACTTTGTGATTAGCGTCGAGTTGCCAACTGAAAAACCTCCATCTCACTGGGTCTCTGAAGGTGTTGCCATGCTCTGTCAGCTTGATATTTAAAAACTCAATAAAATCAAACACTTAAAAAAGCATTGCCATTAGATCGCTGTGGTAAACCTTTTTAATGCTTTGTGTTCGAAATGGAAGTAGGTCATTACTCTGCATGGGTCGACCTTTGTCACAATTTCAATGACCCAACATGAACCAGATGATGAACTCTGCACCGTTCAAAATGCAACATCCAGCTTGTTTTACGCCGTAAAGATGTTGTTATTTACTATTATCCTTCTCTTCATTGGTAGAATCTGGATGATAGGAGTACATCTCACAAAAAGTTATCGAGTTAGAAAAGAACTTTCTACAAGCCATTAACAATTTTCAATATTAATAATCTGTAATTACCTTTGATAAGCATTTCCTCTCTCGGCATCTCCCCAAAAGCATGTCTTGCATTTCTGACATTGTGTAAATTTTTCCGTATTCAGATAGGTCTTTCATTTCGATATGATTTGGGTGACAAAAAGTGAGATTGCAATTTTCGATCAATCGAGATGATCATTCGAAAACAAACCTTTTCATACACCAAATGTTCAATATCCTCCTTTTTCACTTCCACGACAACACCATTACAACTGTAACATCTTCCAAACAAATTGTCTCGAATAAATATAATTTTGAAGTGATTGACCACTTCTGAGAGTTGTTCATGCTTTCCTATGGACGTCAGCCAGTAATATTTATATGGTTTTTCCTCTTCAATCATTTCAGTCAATTCATGTATTTCCTCTTCAATCTCCTCTTCAGTACGAGGCTTCATTAACCGTTGTTGTATCAAGCTTTTTACAAGTTCTCTGTCTTTTAAAATCTCAATCTTTTTCTTATAATTTTCAATTTTCTCTTTTTGTTGATTAATTTTTTGTAATAATTTAGTGGATCTTGTAATAATGATTCGATCTTGAGTTCTCGCCAAATATAAAATGTATGAATCGGAGTATGCTTTGCTGTATTCAGTGTCCACTCCAAGTTTTCTTAAATGACTTCCTACACCACACAGAGATGCATCTACAATATATTTTCCATAATTTCCAATTTCAAATTTAAATGTTGGATGATGAATCACATGCATATCGCTTACGGAATGGTTACAAATAGTTTCAACAGTTTTTAATTCCTCCTCATCAATGTCATCAGTCTCACAGGATGATTTGCTTTCGGAACATGAAACCAACAACGACCTTTCGCAGCACGAATGAGAGGATAACTTTGGATTTTGCTCAGAGGCTAATGATGGAAGCATTTTTCTTTGAATTTAAGAATTTAAGAATCAAATATTATGGTCATCATCATCCATTCCATTTATAGGTTGTTGTTGTGAGTAAGAGATCTAACTACTTCATTAAAAATATTTTGTAATTTCAAATGAATTTAAGAGATCATGCCATATCCGATCAATGGATTCCTACCTATTTATTATAATATTCATAACATCCATTAATTTTTGATAAATTGATAAACAGACACACCCAACAAGCCAATAACGCTCAAAAAGAAGATATAAAATCCTGGTGCTCTCTTTTCGGGATATCCGAGTCCATAAACCACTCTTCCCAGAGCATAGGTCAATCCCAAAGCACCACTTAGTTTATCATTTTGTGAAGTAAGAGCAGAGAGCCATAAAGATGACAAAAACACGGGTAAGAATTCAAGACCATTCATTTGAATACGATAGAGCTTTTCAAACTCTGGATGTCCTGTTTAAGGAGATGGTGGTTTTATAATAATGATATGAGATGGTAGAATACAGATGCCCATCATTGAGATAGGAATAGAAAAAAGGAATATTTCTAGTGGTGTGAATCATGTCTACGTACCAGTAGTTGCTGGAGCCTTAACGCCATACTTTGATCGACTAGTTCCTACTTTGAATCCAGTGTACAAGTATTGAACCAAGTTGACAATGGTTGCAGAGACCACGAGTGGATATTGTTGAATGAGACTCATTTTGTTTCGTCAATAAGAGAATTTTGTGTATTTGAACGCGCTGGATCTCTGAAAACTATTATTCTGATTGGCATCTGACGGTTATGTGCGTGCGCAGGATATTAAAAGTGGAATTATGAAACGGAAGAAAGCACTAATGCCAAAAAAGAGTCGCTTCATGGTGACACACACGGTGCATTTCTTGATTTGCTTTTGATGAATTCAAAGAGGAAAGAATGCGCTCATCCTCTTACAACTGTTCTTTCTCAATTATTTCACAAATGATTATATTGTGGAATGCATTTGGACCAATTTAAGTGTTCAATCAACCCTTCAATTTCTTTTAACAATGTGATATCATGATTTTCAAGGACCATGTAAAAACAAGAACTCGAATGATGATGGAGCAACACGCTGAAAGAATTGTTCAATTTGAAAGTTGGAAAGAAAAAAAATGTCCAATCTTCTCGAATTGTTGTCTCGTCGTCCTGTTGTTGTTGTTGTTGTGGCGAGTTCAAATCCAGTGAAAGTGAATTGTGTAAAAGAGGCTTTTTCAAAAGTATTTCCTTTGAATAACAAGGAGCAGGAATGTTCTGGAATGGAATACATTTCTCTGAGTGTTCCATCTCAAGTCTCGGACCAACCTCAAACGTTATCGGAAACATTGAAAGGAGCCACCAATAGAGCTCACAATGCCAGACAAGAATATATGAAGAGAGAAAATCTTTCATTGGAAGATCTTCAACAGCAATTAATTTATTTTGTTGGAATTGAAGGAGGAATAGAAGATGAAGGAAATGATCAAGTGGTTTCTTGCGCTTGTTGTGTCGTGATTGAATCAATCAGTGGTTACGTTTCTCACGCTAAAACATCATCGTTTTATTTGCCACCTGAAATTGTGAGACTATTGAGACAAGGAATGGAATTAGGTCATGCCAATGATCTTGTATTTAATAAGACTAATTCAAAACATGAAACTGGAGCTGTTGGATTATTGACTAGAGAAATTGTTACTCGTTCTTCGTATTATGAACAAGCATTAATATTGGCCTTAATTCCTTTCATGAATAGAGAAATGTATGAATTGGATAACAAGAAGGCTAACATTGTATGAGCAATAATAATAATCCTATTTATTAATAGGTATTAAATAATAGTAATACTAATACTATTAATACTATTATTAATGGTATTAAATAGTAGAATGAAAAACATAATGCGAATTGGATTTCAAAAATCATCCATGTTAAAAAACATCAATGACCATTCAACCTTATCAAAAACAATTCTCCATAACAAACTGTTACGAACACGAACTGGATGATGTTGAAAATACGAAAAGCAATTCTCTGTCATCCATAAAAGTAACATCCAAAAAAATGGCTCAATATCATCAAGGAAACACAATTACCGACGATTTTGTCTTGTCCTCATCACCTGCTTCTTCGATTACCATCAGTAGAGAATCCTATGATTTGTATTGTTGTTTATTGAATAGTGCTGCTCAAAGTCATCGATCGGAGAGTGTTCTTACGCCATTTCCGAGTACTTTTATAAAGAATTCAAAAAAAGATTATGATCGGTTGAGAGAAGTGTTATCAGTCATGCCTTCATGTGATAAAGTATTCGTAGAACCATTTTGTCAAAACGGAAATGATATTACTTTTAATTACAATACAGATACAGATTTATCTCAATTAATTTTAGATTTGATCAACCATATTTACAGAAATCTCGTGAATCATGGGTTGGAAAAGAAAAAAATTTCACAAGAAGAAATTAGAGATGTCTTTGAATTTATTTTGAAAAAGCAATGCAACAAGAAATTTTCAGTACACTATGTGTCCTATCAACAATATTTAAAATGTAACAACAAACCATTACTACTGAAGCCAGATCACATTTTTGAATTACGATACAGAAATAATGATTTTGACAACAGCAGTACTGATTTTTATACAGGCTTTCATGGAAGCTCTATTGAAAATTTTTATTCCATCGTCACAAACTCATTACAGAACATGTCTGGTACAAGTCACATGAAAACTGGAAATGCATTTGGGAATGGAGTTTATCTTTGTGAAGATTTGAGAGTGGCCCGCGACTTCTCAAAGGGTGCTGTGATTAGTTGGGAAAATTCAAAGCTTGGAAGCCATTTATCAGCAGTTGTTCAATGCAAGGTTATTGGAAAGAAAGAATATGCAATGAAAACATCTTCCAATGACGAGAATAGATATTTAATTGCGCAAAACAGTAGTGATTTAAGAATTCAGTATGTCCTCATATTTTCCCATTTCAAAGATGAAAATGAACTGAAAAGATCCCACAACTTTTCGCGTGGAATGATTTACTTTTACATTATCCTACTGATCGCAGTAATTGTTGGGAATTATTGGAAAGATATTAAGAGAGAGCTCAAGAGATTGTCCCCATAAATTCATTTCAAATTCATGAACACCTTACATATAATAGTGCTACTTGTTCTTTTCTCTTTCCTCGACAATTTTGTTTCGTTCCTCCACAATTTCTTTCCATAACTGTTCTCGTTCTTTTTTGCTCTTCCTATTAGATCGATCCAACGCTCTCTTGAAAGGAGGAGATTGCTCCTTCAAATAATCGACCAGCCAATTTGCTCCAAACCATGCAATAACAAACAGAACTGGATATAGTATTATCTTTTCATACCATTCAAAATCTACTCTTGTTTCTGCAAGTTTTACATATTCTTCATACTGTTTATCAATTACCTTTTTCTTCTTTTCAAATAATTCATAATCAAAATTCTTGTCATTCTTTAATTCTTGTAAATCTAGTTTTTTAATTTCTTGTATTTCCGAACTCTCTGTTTCTTTAATTTCTTTTGTGTTGTTTGATAATTTCATTGTTGTGTGTATCGTCCTGCCATCCGAAACATTGAATTTTTCAAGCATCTGAGCCTTGCTGAAAATATGACTGGATGAATCATTTTTCATCATCACCATCATTCTATTCAGAGAAGAATGGCTTTTCATGATGATCGTATTGACATTCCGAGGAGAAGAGCATTGTTTCTTGGAGATGATACATCCCAAACGGTTCAACATTTTTTCTTTCAACTCTTACTGCACCAACAACAAAAATGTCTGACGCCACATTACTACAAACAATCAACAAGATGGATGCATCCTCAAATGAAATGTCAATTAGACCTGAGAAAATTGTCGACTCTAAATTACAAATTCACAAATATTGTGTGCCATATTTAAATGAAGAAAAGATTTACATTTTGGTGATCATCAATGCAACAACAAATCAAGTTTGGGTGTGGATTGGATCCCAAGAAGCCCCTACTTTTAAATATCTTTCTATTGCTATGCAATCTCGATTGGTAGGTATTGAATTCCGATGATGATCATGTCTATTGAAAATGTACATTAACTGAAATATGCCAGTCTCCGACACCAATTTGTACTTCAGTAATTGGACACTCTTCAATGGGCCTTCCTTCCATTAGTTCTAGTATTGCCGAGAGGCTTACCATGAAATTTAAACGAGTGTTCATTGTGAGTTACAATTTGAAGGAAGATCAAGATGGACAGTTACAATTGTTCGCAGAAAAGAATGTTTTTGATATATTCAAAAAACTGCTCAATTAAATTATTATTTATAATCCTTCAATAATTCTTGATATTCACCACTTTAAGTTATTTCTTGGTTCCATATTCCTTTTCCCATCTTTCAATGTATTCTGGTTTATACGTTGGAAGTGTTTTCTCAATCATAGAGTCAAAAGGCTTGGACTTGACTCTTGAGAGAGCAGATCCAGCTTTCTGTTCGGGTTTAATTAAGTGTTTGTTGTTTGATTCAAATTAAAATTCAAATTAAATTCATCATTGCCGTCCATTAATAATGATAATTGTACATGATTTTAGTTGGTGATGTCATCGTGCAATATTATTATAATCATCATAATTCATTGTGGTCAAACGTTGGTCATCGATGCACCATTATTATTTCCACGATTCACTTACATCAACAATCCACTCGTTCATAACAGCCAATCCAACCATACTAACACCGCTGAGCAGGAACAATGAAAAAGGGTTATAATGTTTTAATGTATCCTTCCATGCCATGGTAGTCAGCCTTTGATACCAGGCTGGTGAGGCTTTACCAAAAGGGCCATTATTGACTTCTCTCATTTTTAAAATAAATAATAAATTCATGATGATGAAACAAAAAATGAAAGCACTGCTCAATGCCTCAGCACCGACAACAAGGAACATCTCTCGAGTGCAATTCCATCATCATAGAACCATCTCTTCATCATGTCTGTGTTATGATTATTCAACTAAAAGTATGATGAATTTAGCTCCAACAACAACAACACCAAAAAAATCCAACACGAGTGCAACTCTAGATAATAACTTCAACCAAACACGTTTGGAATGGAAGCAAGGAATATTATCGGATGGAACCGTTTTCTACAAACATCCCACATGGGAGGAAGTCGTCGCTGAAAAACAAAGAAGAATTGAAATGACAAAGAATAATTCTATTCAAGGAACACTCACAGCAGAACAAATTCAAGTAGTTAGGCATTTGCACGAACAAGACCCCGAGAAATATTCATCAGCAGTGTTGGCTGCCATGTTCCGTGTTAAACCAATCTATGTGGCACAAGTCATTGACAGAATGGCGGTTCAAAGCGATAGAGTGAGATGGAAGGCTAAGAAGGACATTTATCTACTCAAGAAGCAAAACAGAAACAGACCAAGAAAGGGTACTAAGGAGTATCACGACAAGTATTAGTAAATTAGACAAGAACTTTTCAATTAAATAATGCTACATGAATTTTTATGGATAATTTATTGAAATATATACATTCTCTAGGTCTTTTTCACCGTTTTACTTAAAAAACTGAGAGTAGGTCGTAGTAATCGATTCCCACTTGACCCTGATGGATCGTTTCTGGTTGTGGTTGAATTAATTCGTTTTGGAAGAGATGATGAAAGGTCTGTGGAAGTTAATAAGGGCTTTGACAAACTATTGGGAGCAGTAAAGCTAGATCTTAATGCACTGCGTTCCGCCACGTTGGTGTAAATGGTGTTTTCTTGTTCCTCCTCCTTTGGTCTGCTTTTAGGTGCTGACGAAGGTCGTTTCTTTGTGGAAAGAGGATCATTCTTAAGTGTACTGCTAATTGTAGGTTGAAGTAGGGTAGATGAATTGGGGCGTGAATTTGTTGTTTTTGTAACACCTGGTGACATGGACCGCTTGTCTCGTGCCGCTTTTATGAAAAGAGGAGTGTCTGTGGCAAGTGAGCCTGTGTAAGCATAGTTATTGGCTGACAACGATGATTCTTCCACGTTCTTAGATGCTCTATGTGAAAAAGTTGAATAAACAGTGACGTTGCTTGATTCTTCTTCGCTTGGTTCATTTCTCTTTGGTGGAGTGGGCTTTCTGAATTTCATTGGGGCATGCACAACTGGAGTGTTTTGAGGTTTGGCTCCTACTGAGGTTGTTGAGAACGAGTTTGGTCGCTTTCTGTTAGATTGGGAAGCAACTGTGGTTGTTGACTGCGAAGTTGGTTTTTTCTTTCGCCTCTTTTTCAACTCCTCTTCATCAAAGCTTGAAACAGAGCTTAGCTCTGAAATAGTATCAGATATTGTATCCTTAAATGTTGTTTTCGACTCTGATGTTGTAACTGGTTGTGGTACTGTGGTTGTCTTTGTTGTAGAACTTGCCGTTGTGGTGGTTTTTGTTACAGGTGTAAATAATGAATTGTTTGAAGTCGAACTCTTTTGCTCAACCTGTGTTAAAATTTGCAATCCGTCATTGTCTTGTGAATCATCAAGCGAGTTTGTTTCTGGATCAATGAGTGAAAGACTTCGTGGTTTAGAGTCCATTATCCTCGGTACTTCTTGTGGTTTTTGCTCTTTAACAATTTCTATTGTTTGCATTTGGGATTGAGTAGAATCAGACTCTGTTGGGAGTGGAACTTCATTCCTTGTTGTTGGGATAGAGACAGTTGAATTTTGAGATGCTTGTAAAGAAGTTTGTGATGGCATCTGATATTGGAGTACAAGTTTTACCCTCAGGATGCCTTTGATTGGAACCTTTTCTTTTGTTTTTGGATCGATCGTGGAGACAAGGTGTCTACTTCCAGGGGGTTCTTCTCTTAGCGAAATCGTCAATTTTTTCCTAGAGATTTTCTTTGGAGGAGGTGGTAACGGTTCTGTCAAGGGTAAGCTATTGAGGTACTATTCAATGTCGTGTTGAGCTCCAACAATAAATGACACTTCTCTACAAATACTTACAGTGTTTTTTAACAACATTTGATGAATTTCCTCTTCAGTATTACACGGTAAATCTACTGAGAATATATCTTTGTTTGCATTGTTTTTTCGTGCAAAATCTTTGAGTTGCCTAAGAAAGTAGTTCTTAATTCGCATATCTGGATGAGCTACTTGCATGAAAGCAAGAGTGCTTTCCAAAGACCAGCCATATTTAAAAATAAAGTATGCAGCAATAATGACACATGATCTTGAGTTTCCGTGGAGTGATTGAACGAGTACACATTCTCCCTTTTCGAAGGCTTGGTCAATAAAATTTGAAACTCGAGTAATATTTCTATCTCTACTGTCCAAAAGTACTGTAGTTGGTACATCCCTCCATGGGAAAGTCAGATACTCGACGCCATGCTCTGCAAATATGTTAGCTGCCTCCAAACCGGCGCAATTTACAATATGACTAACTTTGTTTGAAAATAGAAATTCGTCATCTTGGGCGGCAATAGAATTTCCAACAAAAAGGCCATCCATAATTCTGACGGCTAATAGAAGACTTGGACCAGGTGTTTCCACTGGTACAAAAGTTGGTTGTTGTTGTTGCTGAGTTCCAAAAACTCTCGAGTTGGTTATTGTATGAGAAAACAAGCCACCACTCCCTCCGTATGGATCGGAGGCACCACCATTCGGTGGTTTAGCTAAAAGACTGTTCATTCAGTGTCTGTGTTATGGCTGCCAAAACCGCAATGTAGTTTGAACCAATAATGATATCAATCTTATATTCCTTTAATTAAATATATTTAATCGAGATATTATTGATAATAATACTGCTGATGATGATGGTAAGGAGGTTTGAAGGCGCCAACAATACTAATATTTTTTGTTGCCATACTCTCTGCAAGCAACTCGAATTGTAGAACGAAAAGGCGGGTTGACCCGAAATTTTCGAACGTTACACAAACAAAATACGTGAAATGTTTTCTCGTCATCAGGCTTCACGGGTAGACCTATCGCAGGATGATGTTGCAGAATTTGAAAGAACCATGCACGAGGTAGAGGAAGAACTGGCCAACACAAACGAAGATCATCAGCAACCAATGAACCTACGGAGTGATCATTTTGTGATGGAATCTGGAAATAACCATCATATATCAACCGATGTTAGAATTGGATACTCTCAACAAGAGTCATCACAGAGATACTAATTTATGTAATTTTTCTGCAGTTCAATTCATCATCAAGAAATTGAATGGATTATTAGACATATTTTGTCATCCACAATTAATTTATTAATTAATATTATTTATTATCAATTAGATGCTGTTGGTTGCAACTTGTTTTGAATTAGACCCACAATGAATTCAGCATTATTATTTAGATCTAATATTGTACAGTTTTGTTTTTCAAAAACTATTTCCGGTTTGTAGCTCTCCTGAGCTTCGTCCAAACACACTTGGAAAATTTCACAATCTACATTTTCTTGAACTTTCTTATCAGCATATCCTCTCTTTTGCAATCGTTGGAACAAGATATTGGTTTCACATCGTAGAACGATCACATAATCAATCCATCGTTCAGGAAATAATTCACTGCTATGATAATCCAGAATATAACCTTTTTCCATATCGGATAATTGTTCTTCCAAGTAATCCAGTAGTTTATCTTCGTCCAAAACATATGTATCTCTTTCTTCATCGTATTCTTCTAGGAATTGCTCCTTCTTTGCAATTTCGGAAATGTTCAAGTAGACATAGTTCGTGAGATTTAATTTTTCTTTCAGCGAGTTAATGACAGCTTCGGAGAGAATTGTTTTACCAACTCCGGGTGTTCCTATATTTAAATATATTTAAAGGTGAGATGAAAACCATGTTTGTCTTGATAACGTACCTGTTAAAAGAATGTTTGGATATTTACGAAGAGAAGGAGAAGTTTGCATTTTTTGTTTGAATCCGCTTTACGTTCAGGATTGAAACCAAAACTCCATAAAGATAGACCTGATAAGATTTAAAACATACATTAATTACAACGAATAAAATCCGATGATAGCTCAGCTGGTAGAGCATGGGACTGTAGTCAGCAAGTAATCCTGTGGTCGGCGGTTCGATTCCGTCTCATCGGAAACTTTTTATATACTGATTTAAAATTTAGTCAAATTCCAGATGGTTGTTTGATTGAATTGATCGATTAAAACAAGGATATTTATTGATCACTACACACTTTCATCAAGAATGTCAGTTGGGGGAGGATTGGTTTTGTGATTTGGTTCTTGTTGTCCGTCTTGTTCTTCTTCTCGCTGCATTTCTTCTTGAGGACTTTGGTTTGCATCTTCTTCTTCCTCTTCGTATTCTGTAGCCGAAAACACAAAGAAGAGCTTGCATGGAGTTTTCCCTAAATTTCCTATGGAAAATGCATTGTGGGGTGGAACATGCAGTACACAACCTCGTTTTAGTACAAAAGGAGTGTTTGTGTGAACTTTAACAGAAACGCTTCCACTCAGGCAATAAAATGTTTCAGAGTGGGTACCAGTGTTTGTGCTTGGTTTCACTTGGCCAGGTTGAATGGTAAGTGTACCTGAAACAATACCCTTGCCATCTAGTAAATTGACCATGGTCATGTGAGGCTTAGCAGTTGAGTTATCTGGAAGAATCTCTGTGGAGAAGCCACTGGCAGAATTATCCTTTTTGAACCTGAAATTGGTTTCCTGACCCATTTCAGGAGTTGCAGCTATTTGAACCTTTTCTTCTTCACCATTTTCGTTGATAACATCAAACATTCCTTTTCTTAAAGTAATAATAGAGGAGTCTGAAGTTTGTCTCCTCTTGTTGGATGATGTTGGTGCTTTCCTTTTTGGTGGTGCTTGTTTAACAAGAGGTCTAATCTTGCTCAATTTACCAGTCTCTTCAGCGATTGGTCTCTCATTTTCCCAAAAGTTGCAAGGCTTTGTGACTCGAGGTCTCAGCCTTTCTGCTCGCGTATTTTCTATTGTAAGATCATGCTTCGATCCGTGGACAACAACTTTTTCTTGTTGCGTGGGCACTAAATCTTCATGAATTGTGTTATCATGGGTAGCATTTAGGTCTACTTGGGTGTCTTCATACTCTGGATCTACCCGTTCCATTTCTTCTTCGACTTCGTTAGCCAAATCGTCTTCTAAGTCGTCATCATGCAGATCAAGTTTTTCTCTTGGAATATACTTTTCAGCAATAAATGATTGTTCTACAGATTGTGAGAAGTCATCAGCTTCATCTTGATACATATCCACTTCATTTCTGGGCAAAGTGAACCTAGGTGTTGGAGTTGCATCATACGACGTATTTTCTTCATATTCTGATTGTGATTTTTGTCGTCTAGCCTTTTCTATTCTTCTCATCTCTCTTTCATCTTCTTGGTCTTTCTCTTGGTCTTGCTCTTGTTCATCTTCTTGTTCTTGTTGTTCATCAGTTTCCTCCTCTTCCTGTGACTGTATATGAGACTTTCTGGAAAATTGAGAATCCTCTTGTTCTTGTTGGGAATATTTTGGCTTCTTCTTTTTAGAACTAAAAATGTCTCCATCTATTATTTCGTCTTGCTCACTTCCAAATCCCATAGCCTCCTCAAAGCCCAGTCCAATGTCATTTCCAAATTCCATGTCATCTGTTATTGGTGCTGAAGATGTGTTTGTGTTAGGCGGACTTCTTAGCTTGTTAATATCCTCTAGAATTGATTTATCTTGTTCGGTCTCTGTCGTTGTAATTTTAGAAATTTCAAGTTGTTTTCTTGGGGTATCTACATGTGGTCTAATTGTTACAGTTGATTTTGCTGCGGCCTTAGATGTATCGACTTTTACAGATCCTCCATCCTCAGAAGATGATGTAACTTCCTCCATTGGTTCTCCAATTTCTTGTTGAGGTCGTGTTGAACTTGTAACTGCTTTCTCAGGAGACTTTTCTTCTTCACTCGATGAAAAAACAGAGTATCCAGTCTTTGAACTGATCATACTCACACCACTGTCACTGTCATTAATGGTTATTGTTGATAATGATAATACTGATTGCTCATCATTTCTTGCTTGAGCTTGATTCATAAATTGAGCAGTGTTAACATCAAAAAATTTAAAAGGATCATCTGAATCTACAGAGACCAATCTCTGCCCTGAACGTTTTCCAATTGTGTGCTTTGCTAAAACATCATCATAGGATTCTCTAGGGCGTTCTCGTGGCACAAACTCTGTTCCGGGTCTTTTAAAAGCTTGCATAAGAAGACGTCTCGGAATTCTTTGCTCCGTTCCATCCGTGCCAATAGATGATGAAGTATTTGTTGAAGCAGGAGGAGGCATTAACCCTCCAGCTGTGTGTTGTTGTTGATCACCAACAGCGTTCGAAACCGTTCCTCTTGTGTTGGTACCATCTCCGTTCGGTTGGTTTTGCATTTTTTTTAAAAAAAATAAAACCGCGCATCCAAGATCGATGATTGCTTCTTCGGTGGGTAGAGATGATCATCATTCGGACATGGCCGAGCAATCACAACAGCAACTACCATCCATGAATGAACAAAGTGGAGAAAATCAAACAACATCTTCATTCAAGAAAAAAGCTGTTGAGCGAGGTTGGCTCTCGCCCGATAACACAAATGGGATGGATGCTTTGGCACGTGTTGAATTTCTGAATCAAATTCCAGGAGAAAAACAAGTTAAATTTGTTCCTTGCATAAAAGGAGTGTTGTCAAATGCTGTTCACAAGATGGCCATTCAAATGACACAACAACAAGAAGAAATTTTGACAGAATCAATGAAAGAGCTCTCTGCTGCAAGTTTAATTCAACAGTCAGGGTCGAAGGCGCTCTTAATGTCAAGTCATCATCATGGCACTCATGAACAAGATAACAAGAGTGGAGGATCTATTTTTACAAGTTTAAGTAATTCATCAGATTTCGATCCCAACATGATAGGATTTGAAGCATTGAAAAACAAGTTGACACGAGGCAGTAGTATTATCACAAAAGATGTACATGATTTGTTTTTGAAAAGGATTCCCCCATGGATGTTTGTTCCACCTCATTACCATTGGAAAATTCGGTTACATGGAGACAGAGGTACAGGAAAAACAACAGTACAACGAAGTTTATGTCGAATGAGTAAGTAACTTCATATGGTTTGACTAATCGTGGTTGTTGACACCTCACCAACATTTATTGATGAACTATTATTGTTTGATTCAATCTTGTAAAAAAGACACAAATATTGATCAACACAGAAATTACCACAGTGACACTATGGGCACTGTTTCAACCACTACTCTTATTCCAATTAAATGCATTGATTCCGTGAAATGGGTAGAATTGGAAATTGTTGATGTAGGCGATATGAGTGCCACCACCAATCCATTCTATAATTCATATCAAGTCAATGAATACCACGCACATCTTGTATTATTTTCCATGGGCCATTATCAAAGCTTTCGTAATACCAAGAACAAACTGAAACTTCTCAAAAAACAAACGAATAATATTATTGTAGTTGCAACAAAAGCAGATGCATTCCAAAACTTTCAAGTTACAGATAATGATATTGCCGAGTTAGAGAAAGAATTTCAATTACCTCCTGTTCGTCTCATTAATAGTCACGCACAATTTGGATCGTCGAACAGCACCTATATTCTTGTGGAGGATTTAGCAGACATGCTCATTGCTTAAAATAATGGAGGACTGAATGCCTTCACGTTTCTCCACTAATTGAATGCTTTAAGAAGATCATCCTAATCCTAGTCTGGTAATGTTTCATACTGTTGTTGGTATGTAATAATCATCATATGGAGTTGTGAATGATAATGAAAAATTGCTTGGAATGGGTGATTTAATAGTGATGATCTCAACCATCGAATGTTGATGACGAATGGTTCAACTCTACAAGTCAGCAGCATGAATGATCAAAAAGATTCCTATAAAATTAATTATTTGAGGTAATGCAAAGCCAATGTTCCTCATGTGCATCTAAATGATTTAAAAATGATTTGAAAGTGAAGGAAGTGGAGGTGCAACATAAGGCTTTGCATTACCTCAAAAAACAACAAGAAAAATGCCACCCAAGAAAGTGATTCGAGATTCCTCGTCGGAAAGTGAAGATGATCAAGTTGCCCCATCTGATCAATTAGACAAAAGAACTGATAAAAAGAAGATTACAATAAGAACCAGGAAGAGAAGAGTTCTAAGCGATGCTGAATCAAACTCTGAAAGTGATGAAGATAGCCAAGAAGCCAAGTCAATCTTGTCAGACCAGTCCAGTTCGGAACACGAATCAGGTGATGAATTTGATGAGGACAATGAGGAGGATCCAGAATTGAGATTCAAAAAGAGTAAGTAATTGAACAAACAACCGGCAACCAGATGTCTAATTGGAGCTATCAGTTGAGAGAAGCGTATTGGAAAAGGCTTGCATTAATAAGGAGACCGCTCCCAACCAACTTGTTGTTCATACTATCGAGCTGCAAAATTTCAAGTCATACCGTGATGTATGCACAGTTGGACCTTTTTCGTCAGATTTGAATTGTATTATTGGTTCTAACGGCTCTGGAAAGTAAGTTGACAATCTTTCTGATCCCTGTCTTCCAACAATCCATTTAGATCAAACATTATTGATGCCATTTGTTTTGTGTTTGGGTTTGACTCTAAGGATTTGAGAGCAAAGAATCTAGCTCAGCTCGTCAATAACCATGTTCCCAATTCGACAAACGACACTTACGTTAAAATTTCCTTTCATCTTATTAATAGGGAAAGAAATGAAAAGCTTGATTGGTTTGAGGTCGAACGGAGAATCAAACCAGGAGATCATGGTGCTAGCCACTACTTCATAACAGATGGTACTGGAGCAAGAAAGGCATCCAAGAAAGATGTTAAATTGTTATTGACAAAACATGGAGTTGATTTCGACTATCCTGACAGATTTATCGTTTTACAACACAACACAATCAAATTAGTCAAGCAAAACCCTAATGAAATGATGAGTTACTTGGAACACTTGTTTGGTACCGACCAATTAAAGGATCAAGTGAAACAAATCGATATTGAGATAACTGAAAACTCAAAACAGTTGGAAACTATTGACAATGAGAGGCAATCCATTCTCAAAGATCTGGAAATCATCAAGCCAAAAGTACAACAATATGAACAATACATTTCTCTCAAAGAAAACGTTGACAAACTAAGCTCAGAACTCGAGACAGCGAAATGGAGATGTAATAATTCCAAGCTAGAGTCTTCCAGGTTATCTTTAGAAAGTGCTGAAAAGGAATTATCAAAGTTGCAATCTGATTTGCACAATACTGAAATTGAGAAAAATAAGTTAGCAAAAAAACGTGACTCTTTAACAAAAGAATTCGAGACAACAGAAGAAAATTTGAAAGAGTTGAAAAATGTGATCAAATTCAACCAAAAAACCCTTGCAAAAAAGAAAGCAGCCCATGCAACAATATCTAGAAACGTACATGACGTATCCAAGAATCTTAAAAAACTCTCTGACAATATAGACAAAGCTAGAGACGAAGAAGAAAAGATCGCTCAACAAATACAGACAATCGAACGGTCGATAACATCCGATCAGCGCCAACAAGAGATAGTAGAGAGCGAAAGGAAAGCACTTACTGAAGTAATACTTCGGGACACTAAAATGCAAGAATACAAGAATACTTATGAACAAGTAGAACAGATAAAGGGAGCCCAAGATTATCAAAATCTTCTGTTGAAAGAGCAAAAGTTGTCTTTAGTAATGAAGGAAATAGAGTCAACTAAACACAGAGTAGATACGACTAAATGTGAAACAGAGATTCTTGCAGGAGAAATCTTGTCGATGGAAAGCCAGGAGTTACAACTGAAGAGCGATATAGAAAATAACCAAAGAACATTGGAGAAACTAATGAACAGACACAGGGAATTGCAAATTCTCAAGGACCAATTATGCCAGCAACAAATGATTAGTGAAATGTCTTTGAAACATATCAATGAACACAATGAACGTTATCGTTTTGTGAGAAGTATTCAAGAAATGAAACAACAGTCAACTAGTGGTATTTTTGGCATATTAAGTGATCTGTACGAGCTCAAGGACGAAAAATATTCTGACGCCGTTAACTCTGCTCTGTATCCTTTATTGAAAAATACGGTTATTGTAAAATCGAGGGATACAGCACTGAATATTGTGAACACTTTTAGCAAGAAGAAGATTGGTATTGTTGCTTGTGAAATTTTAGATGAGCTGCCACCAATCAATTCAAAATCAGAGAGAAACATGGAGGGACCTGACCTTATTCCCATGATGGATGTTATTGTCTGCGATTCAGCCTTAAAGCCATTGCTATTTAAGCACACAGGTAACTGGTATATTACTTCGACCATCTCCTCAGCAAAGAAATATTCTCACAGTGGCTGTAAAAAGAATATTGTGACTTTAAACGGTGAGATTTTTAAAAGTTTTGGAGAAATCTCTACCTGTGCTGTCAGCAAGTCTGCTCTATCATCGAATGAAATGTTCATACGGAGCAGAAGCTGCTCAAAATTATGGGGACACACCAAAGATGCTTCTCAAACAGAACATGCATTAAAAGAAATACAAAATAGAATCACTGAAAATGCCAAGGAGATTGAAAAAAACAGGATATGTCTTGAGGACGAAGAGATTGTGTTACGCACCAACAACACAAAGTTACAACAAGTGACAGAAAAAAAGGAACAATTGAAAAAGGACATGGATACCGCTCTCAAACAAATTTCTAACTACAACCTGGAATTATCTTCTCAGTATGAAATTATGTCTAATTTCAAGTTACATGCACATGAAGAACAATTGCTTGATTCTTATAGACAGAGTATCAGAACTCTAGAACTTGTTCTAGAGAAAGATCAAACGAATTCCGTTCTTCAGCATATATCTAAATTAAGAGAGTTTGATGCGTTGAAAACCAACTTGGAATACAATATTCGTTCCAATTCGGAAAAGCTTAAAAAGCTCAAGAAGAAGCAAATTGGCTTTCCTCAACATTTTACCTCTCTTTGCAAACAAAAAGAGTTAATGGAAAGCGAGTTGTCTTCATTGAATGAATCATTGACAAGTTCTGAAGATTTCAAGATTGAGGAACAGAGAATTACCAAGTTAGAAAAGCAGCAAGCAGCTACACAAGAAGAATTGCGTTTAATTAAGGCAAAAATTGTCGAAGCTTCTTCACAACAAGACGAGTTACTGTCAAATATTGAATCCATGCAAACAGCCATCAAGAAGAAGGAGAAGTTTATCTCTGAAATGAATGAAACAATCAAGTCCTTACAGAGTCTTGTGCAAAAGAAACCCATTGGACTAAAGAAAACAAATGATGATGTTGATATAGATCATGAGGAGAAGAACATTAAGAAGCTTGAAGCACAACTCAAGTTCAAATTGGAAGAATTATCAAAAATTACCAAAGATCTTGATATGGACTGCATTCAAAAGCAGAAAAAACTGAAGAAGAACATGAAAGATCAAACAAAACGCTATAATCGAACAATGAAAGGGATAGAACGAGCTTCCACTTTGAAGACAAAGCTTTTACATCTTAGATTTGAGGTTTTTCACAAAGTATGCAATCGTATCAACAACACTCTATCTCAAATTTACAAAGACATGGGAATCAACAATAATTGTTACATTTCATATTGTGAAAACAAAACCACAGCATTCGAAAAAGGTGTGACCATATATTGCAAACCCAATGGAAGTGAATGGATTCCGTTTTCGAAACTCTCTGGTGGACAAATGAATTTGTGTTGTGCAATTCTTTCTCTAAGCATGATGAAGTCCTTTCCAACTCCTATTTGTTTCTTTGATGAAATGGATGCATCACTGGATTCAATTAATGTCGAAATGCTCTCCAAAATTATTTTGGAATATTCAAAGAATACTCAATTTATTTGCATCTCGTTCAAGTTTTACGAAAAAGCACATCATATTATTGGAGTTTACCACCACGCCCAAACATCTTGTGCTGTTCCATTGGTTATAGAAGATAAATAAAACAGGTAAATAACGTCGTATTGACAGATCATGTTAAGTGCAATTATTTTGTTAGATTAATCTTTCACGGTCCGTTATTCATCAAGACCTTGCGAAGTGAAATCATATCGCAATTTGTAGTCTGATTGAATTTTAATTCAAATTACAATACCAAGATAAATTACACTAGCCTAATTGTTGTTGAACAGATCTCTAATGTTGTACCTTAAGGAAAACAAATTTTGTTTGTTGTCAATAAGTAAATTCAACCCCTCCATCCAGTTATTGTAGTCTCCTTCATCAAATGTTAAAAATTCATGCTTCTTCGTGTCTGTCTTCATCACAAAGGTGAACGCACCATCTAAATTCTTGACATGTTGGTCCTTGTTGCCTGCCACGCTTTCAATATGCTCCACTTTGATAAACGACTCTGGAACCTTCTTCTTGTTGTCTCTTATGAGTAGACGAGTAAATTCCTGAGATAAGCAAACATGGCGAAGCACATATTCATTGGTACTCTTTTTCTTATGGACCAAACAACCATTGCACATGAATTGGAACTTTTCTAAAATATATTGAATATCTTCTCTTCCCAATGCTTTAGAATTTGGTCCAAACAGTTTGAAGGAGGCACGGTTTGGCATAAATAAGTTTTGCTGCTTGGCAACGGTTGTTTTTGGTAAAGAATTTGCATGTTGAGGTAAGGTAGATTTAGAAGGAGTCGTCCTGGGTTGAGACTGTGAAGCATTCATTTCATCATGATGAGAGGAGAGAGTCATTGAGGAAGAATTGGTCACTCCAGAGCTGATGCGATCTTCTTTCACTGGATCCTCTTCGCAATAGGTTTGATCAACATCTTTCGAAACGTCGTGTTGGACTTCATAGACAACAATTTCATTACTCCTTGTGACTTGTTCTTTGGATTCTTCTTCGAGAGATCTAAATATTTCATCTTCGATTGGTGTGTCATTGAAAACATTAGGATCTTTTTTCTTCATGTACATGTTGTAATAGGAGCTGGTTGTTGAATGATTCAGCTTGTTTTCTTTCGATTTTGGAGGCTTTATCGATCTCATGATTATTTCAGCCCCACTATTCTTTACATTTTCCACTGCTTGCAGCTTTAGATCTAGTCTATGTTTTAAATGTTGTCGTTGTGCTCTAATTTGTGACACTTTTCCTGTAAATACTGCCTCGGCCTCCTCTAAATCTCGTTTCATGGCGTTGAGTGTTTTCTTTTGAGTCTGTGCTGTGACAGTCAGCTCATGAATTTCTTGCTCTAATTTCGTAATAGAAGAATCCACGGGTTCGCACAGAGAATCTGACTCAGAAATTTTGTTTTTTCTTTGTTCGTCTAATGCTGCAATCATGCGATCAAGCTCTGCTTTCCTGAATTCTTTTTGCACCAGTTGTTTGGCTTTCTCATCTTGCTGCTTCCTTTGATTTGCAATCAGTTTATCCAGCTGCTCCTGGCAAAGTTTTTTGTTGTTTGTCAATGAATCAATCTGTTCAATACAATCTCTAAGTTTGTTTGACTTTTCCATTTTCTTTTGAACTATTTGTGAAAGTTGTGATTCCACGTTGTTGCAAGCTTCAATAAAATTATTCACACAATCACAATTACATTTCCTTGATATTTTGGTAATCACGTCTTTGATTTGATTGAGTGAGTTCATAAACATTTCGCATCGTGCAAAACATTCTTCTGTTTGTTTCAGCTCTTCTTCTGTACAACCTTGTAATTTTTCCGCGATCTGTTTTTCAGCTGATTCTTTGTTTTTCGAATAACTCTCTTCAATCTCTTGTAGCTCAGAAATACATCGATCAATTTCATCATCGCATTCTTTTCGTTCGTTAACAAGAGCACCTATCTCTTGCTCCAGCTCACTAACCAAATTTGAGAAGTGGTTTAACCGTTCAAACTCCTTCTTTTTGAGATCTGCGAGGTCTTGCTCTGATTTTTGGATGTTGAGCTGGGCATTAGAAATCTCCATCTCTGCCGAGGAAAGTTTTTGTTTGGATAAATTAATTTTTTGCTCCAAACTGGAAATAAACTCTGCTCTTTTTGATGCATTATTCGTCTCGTCGTTTGGCAATAAGGCGTTCTGGAACAGTGTCTTCATTTCTCTTGCAATTTTGTTTGTATCTTCATTTTGTTCCTGAGAGAGAAGTGACAAAAACTCAGTATTAAACAAATTAACCACACTACTGAAAGCCTTAAGGTCAATTTCCTCTTCATGAAGACTTTTAGCTCTTTCTAGGATTGCAGTTGATTCATATACTTCCTTTGTGAGAGAGGAAGTAAATTGTTCTAATATTTTGATTTTTTCTCCTTCAGTTTTAGAGATTGAAATAAGTTTTTCCTTATTCTCCCCATACTCTTTTTTCAAATTAATATTTTCAATCTCTAATTTTTCAAGCTCAATTCTTTTTGTTTCAATTCTTTTACAAACTTCCACCCTTCTTTGTTCAGCCTCTTCTTTTGTTTTAGTTAAACTATGTACAGATTTGTTGAATTCATACTTTAAATCAATTAAAAATATTTCAGGAGAATACTTTTCTTTAAGACGTTCCACCCTTAAACGTATTTCCTTCTCGCGTTTTACGAGAGTTAATAAATTTTTTTGTTGTTCTTCGGTAAGATTACTGCCGACCAATATTGTTGCATTTTCTGATATTTGACGCAGCCATAATTCTTCATCAGTCTCCATGTCTTCAAGTTCTTTGTATAATACCTCCTGCTCTTGCAGTAATGTGTTCAATTGTTGTTCAATTTCTTTCAGATTCTGCTGCTTATTAGCCAATACGTGATCATTGTCTTTGGAAAGAGATTCTTTAGGATGGCTTTTTGTAAGACCCTCAAGCTCCTTCATTAGTTGAAATCGTTTAGTGTCAATTTGATGTAACACCTCTTTCAATTGTTTTTGTTCCTTCGCCAAAAACTTTAAGTCATGATCCTGCTTCTTTTGAAGAGAGTCTATTTTAGCATAGATCGCATCCAATTTTGATGATGCCTCCTTAATTACGTTTTTAAATGCATCACATTGCTCCCTTTTTTCATTCTTCACCTCCATTTCTTTGTGATCTAAAATTGATATCGCCTTTTCCAATTTTGCAATCTGAGCTTGTACATCCTCCAGCCTCTCGTTGACCAATTTTTCTCGTTCGAGCTCTAAAGGATTTCTTTCAGGCTGAGCCATGATGGTATCCACAACACGTGGAGAAAACTAGCTTTGAAGGTGTCATGTTGTGATTTGTTTGATTTAAAGACTTTGGAGTTGCTAATTTTTCATCACGGGTTGCAGTTATGTTATGGTCGTCTATTGTTGGCCTACTTTCGATTGTTTCAGATGGCTTTTCAGTGATTTCTGTATCTTCCAAAAGCATGGAATCGTCGAATATCTTTGATGAATTATGCAAAAAGGATTTAGAAGGTGAAATAATAATACTATCCTCAGTGAGTAATTGTTGAGCCTCCTTAATCAGTTCTTCTTTAGTAGTAGGTTTTGAGGGTTCCATGCTCGATTTTGATGATGACTGACCTACTAATGCCTTTGAACTTGTTGGTTCATCATCAAGAACAATTCCTTGATATTTCCGTAACCGTTCCTTAAAATCGGTAATATCATCACTCGCTTTTCTACTACTTGTGGAGGGAGTAGCCTTATTATTTGAATTCAATGAATTTCTTCTATTAAATCTTAAAGTGGTCGTCGTAGTACTACTATTAGAAGAAGCACAGTTACTTGCAGCAGCAATATTAAGCCCTCCTTGTGGATGATGATGATTGCGAGCATGTGATGGTTGCAACATGTTTTTTCAAGCGGGAAAAGTTTTGGAGGGAAGGTGATCGGAGAAGTGTACAGACATTGGTGGATTCTCAACAACACCTCTCTACTACTAGTTCTTCTACGTGCCCATAGTATACATCATCATCATCATTATGGAATGACCTTATTCAGCTCACTCGCGTATCCATAATATTATGGATACGCGAGTGAGCTGAATTATTGTTTCAAAAAACACTAGATTTTTGGGTGATTTATTCCAATCCATAATTCTCCTTAATACGTTGTCTAGCTTGTTGTTTAACCTTTTCTTTTCTTTCTTCACGGCTTGCTCTTGAATCACCCATTGATTGTTGTTGATCATCGAGCAGGGACGAACTTGTGGTACCAACTCCCGAAGAAGATGGTGGTTCATAAGAGTTGATGGTGCTACTTGTTGGAACGGTAGTATTGAATCGATTACTTGTAGAAAATCCTCCATAAGCACTACTTGAGTAACTGCTGCTACCAATACCTTGATAGCTTCTTTGCATCTCATCTCGTCTAATAATTTCCTCGGGGTCGAAGATTCTATTAGCTGTTGCATGATTGACTGTTGGTTGAGATCTCTTACGATCAGTTAGTGCACTGTGTACGGAAACTACAACTACAGTGAAGACATAACCCACGAATAGTACGGAATATTTTGCAGCAAAAAGCACAATCAAAAGTAAAGATACCAAACAAGCGATGATGGCCAAATTCTTTGTTACTTTTATACGACCGAACGCAACAAAGTCTGATTTATGGTAAGCTAAAAAGAAGAACAAACTAAACACCAACGGAGCCACCACAAAAATCAAATATGAATTCATCAAACAAATCACCAAAACAATCATATTGATGAGTAAATAATTGGTTTGATAAAATGTGAGTGAATCTAACATTCTACGACTGAGTGGAGTGCTATGATGAGTCAAGGAAGTATACGCAAAAAACTCTCTCATTGGTCGGAGAGGAGGGAGCATGGGCTCCACGTCAAAGAGTCCAGGTGCAATCATTTTTTTTTCTTTTTTTTTTAAATCCAAAAAGATAATAACGTTCGCATGACCTCTCGATCGAGATAAAAACATCTGAGAAAGACATTCAGTTAGTCATTCAGTTTCAGTTTTATTCGGTGGTTGTGTTGCCACCATCACCACTACCACTCCTGGCTGGCACTCTTTTAACCATTCGCTTAATGACTTTTTTACCAGCTGCTGGTATGGCTGTGCTTGTAGGTGAGTTTGTAACGGCACCATGGTCTTCGTTTGGAATAAGTGAGGGAGAAGGTGATGATGATTGATCAGTCTTTCCAGATCTGCTTGTTGCAACATTTGCAAAGGAGAAATGTGAAATCTTTGAATCGTCGTCACCGTCATTGTCTTCTTCTTGTTGTGTGTATGTTGGTTGTTTCGTTGGAGATTGCACACGTGTGGATGATGAAGTGGTCGAAGGAGAAGTTCTTGTTTCGGCCACAATTTGTTTTTGTGACCAATTATTGGTTTGAAGTGTCGGACTTACTGGTTCTCTCTTTGTGAAGTACTTGTCGTCGTCGTCGAAGCGAGGAACAATTTCCTCACTACGTTCATCATCAGAGTTGACAATGTGACGACTTGCCAATCCACCGTCGTCCTCTTGGTCTTCAAATCTTCTTCTACTTGAACTCACAAATCTCAAAGATCCATATGGTGATGAAGAAAGAGATGAAGAGTCACTCGATGAATCGTCTCCAAGTAATATTTTGTTAAGCAAGGGATTTTTGGTGGTCTTTCTCAAATTCAAATCTTCATTACTTGAGTATCTCGCGACATATTTTTCACACCATGAAAAAGGAATGGGTGTCTTTTGTGGGTTTTTTGGTTTTTTGTGTGAATATTTTGATACAAGTGAGTGGAAGGATGGTTTGTTGTATTTGGCATCTTGTCCATTGTAAAGTAAAGCTTTTTGGAACGCTGACATGATTGATAACAACTGCATTTCACCTTCACATTGGAAATAAAATGTGTTTGAACCTTTTTCGTCATGGCAATCGATTTTTAAGCATAGATCTGTAAATGTGATTGGATTTAGACATATGGTGACTGAGGCCTTGTCACTTGTCAACGGATACAAATCTGTTAACATGTCGCTGTCATCAAACAAAGCCATAACGTTTTCGCCAAAATTTTGTCGATGGTATATAATACAAAGTGTGACTGGGTTCACGTAATTGGTAAATATTTGTTTAACGAAGGCGATTAATCTAAATTGTTCTAATGTTCTTGTCAACACCATTCTCTTTGAATATCGGTCGAATTTTACTTGTTGTTCTTTTGAAAGAGAAATACCAGCTGATGAATAGAGATATTGTAAATCAGAATGGTCATCAAATGGAGAGATATCTTTGGGTGGTTGTTGTTGAGAAGCAGCAACAGTTTTGATACGTGAAGTCGTAGTGAGATTTCCACGTTTTTCAGGTGTCGATGATGTGGTTGTTGTTGTAGTAGTTGATGTTGAACCACTGTAATGGTTGGGTTGTGGAGACGAGTTCACTTGTCCGACGTTGGTAGTGAAACCAATATTGGTTGTCTCGATTTGATTTGAAAGAGGAGGAGGAGAGGCATTGGTTGTTGATGTTGTTGGTGGTATAGCAGATGGAGGAGGAGAGGCATTGGTTGTTGATGTTGTTGGGTTGGTCGTTGGAGAGCTGGACGATGGTTTGATGATTCTCGCTCTGGGGATCACTTTTGACATTTTTTGATGGATGACAGATACAAATATCGGAGTTTGACCAAACTTTAAATTTTTTGTTGACGTGGAGTGAAGGACTTTCAAGTTTGAAATCGAGGACAGAAAGAGACACAGACATCATTATTGGTCAACCGACATGGCAAGACTGGTTGAGAAACAGAGAGAGAACTTTGCAGGATGGTTTGGGATTTTATGAATTGTCATCGAGAGGGTCTTGGTCAATGATAAGATTATTGCTAGAGTGGCCATCCTTCAACTCCGGTTCGCGGACTGACAATTTGACAGTGAAGCTTCAATTTCGGTCGTCTTTGACAATGTTCTCTACAGAGATAAATTTTTTTTTAATTTTTTTTAAATTTTTTTTTAGGTCGCAAAAAAATACACAACCTTAGAAGCCTCAGGAGCAAATGGAACTGTTAAGAGTACGAAAATCCAGTTAAACCTTCCTCGAGAACCATTTCAAGCTTGTTTTTTAGAGTGTCATAATTCTTATAATCTGGAAGTTTCAATAAATTGAAACAAGTGCTTGCAGATGGAAGTTTGTTGGAATCATTGTCAATTTTTTGGATGGTGAGAAGTGGAGATAGTTTGGAGAAACCTTCAAATGGTACCCTGTTTGAGCCAGTAACAAATTGTAACAGCTTTCTCTGCTTTTCGTTCGAAAAAGACTCGATAATGTTCCAAAAATCAATGATCGTAGAATCACTTTCAGAAAATCCAAAAGTGTACTTGGTGTTCCTTCGCATATCTTCAATATCAATGAGGTCATTACCAGAGAGTATTAATTCAAGCTCTTCTTCATCAAATGACTGAACTCGTTGAATATCTACAATGTCAGAGAATCCCTTGTAAAGGGCAAGTAATTGTTTTTCAATATCCTTATTCAATAAAAAGTCAACCAACAAATCCAGATATTCATGTTTGTTATCATTCGTAACAGCAATGTTTTTACCATTCGGGCATAATTCAATTTCTGAGTTTCCATCTTCAACTGAAAAACTAAGGCATAAATATTCAGAAATATCATTATCTCTGATCCACAACAGATTATTTTCGTACAGAGCAGCATCAATGGACATGATGTCTTGATAGCACAGCTTCTTTCCGAGAAGCTTCTTGTAGACAAATCGTGTGAGTCGTATATCCACCAACATGGATTCAATCAAGCACTTGCCCAATAATCGGCCAAAGAACTCAAACTTGATCAAACTAGATCGATCTGTTGCATCTCTATTTGGATAGAGTTTGTAGTCTTCAGAAGTGTTCCACATCGAATCACGACATATTTCAGCACAAAGTAGAATAATAAATTCTCGCCTTACTCCAAAGATATCTATTGTTTCTTCTTCTTTAAATTTAATCTTCCATTGTCTTGTTTGCATTTCACTCTTTTTGCGTTTCATAATCTCATTTATGGAACATTCTAGAAGCTTATCTCTTTGTATAATAATTTCATCTTTAGGTTTTGATAAGTCTATTGTTGTCTTGGTTGAAAATATTAACTTCTTTTGTGCTAAATTAAATATTATAGGAACCTTTTTGTAGAGATACAATAGAAGATTATTCTGTACAGTCATCCCACTGGAAAGAAAATTGTTCGACACAATAATTTCATCTCTTAATAAATCAGCCAACGTTTGATTATAGAAATATGATAGCTCCATAAATCTTTGAGCAGAGTTTTTTCTTTGTATCATTTGTATAAATTCAATTACATGCTGCAAGGACTCGTCCAATAGATTGAACTGAAAGTTCTTTTCCTTAAGTTTTGAGTTTAAAAAAGTATGGCATGCATGCAACAGCGCAGATAAACTCGAATGAGTAAAAACATTGAATGCATAAAATTGGTCGTCTGGAATAACTCTTAAAACTGAATTCAAAACCTTCATTCGTTTTCTTCCAAGTAATTCATACGGAATATCCAATCCTAGCGCCCTTTCTTTGTAAAGATTGGCTTGCTTTAGAATATAATTAATTATTGAAGAAATATGATCCCAAAAATACTAAAAAAGAAGATCAATGAAATTGTGACCAAGTTATAAATACTCACATTTGTTGTCTTTCTTATGGTTGGTTTAAATTTTGTGCTCAACAATGACGCTTTCATATCTCCAACCTCGTTCTTTTTTGTTTCTTCCTCAATAAATGGATCAACCAAATGCTCAATAGGCAAAGAAATGTTCAACCCTTCCCTCAATACATACGAGCATCGTTCAAGTAACTCCTTCTCTAACTCATATGGCAAACTCTCAGTCTGGAAAAATCGGCTAGAAAAAAAGTAAAATAGGTAGAACAGGTGTTTCTGTGAGAACAGTATTATCAACTTTCATAAATCTATTTGAGAAAGAGTATTCTAATTGTCTAACAATTTCTTGTTGATTATCGGTTGCTGGCTTATTTCCATTCAATGTTTGTGCAATCTGTTTGCAAATATCATTAGTGTTACTATTTAGAAGCAACGACAATAGTTTTAAAAATGGAGAGTCAAAAATTATTCCATCTCTGACAATGCATTCCAGACAAAAAGATGGAATTTCGGAGCTTAATATCGAAATCTGTTGAGATGGCATCATTCTACATTGCAAAAGAGAAAAAATACATGTCACATATTTTCCCTGACAAGTATTATCTTGACTTCTCATATGGTCTACTAATTCAAGGATCAATATTGGTATTATTCCTTTCAAATGTTTTGTAGTTGTTTCTGATAATTTGATGTTTCAATAAATCAATCAAAATCATAACTACTTACTGTTCTGCGTTTGAGCGTAAATATTTCCAATATGTGTAAGCAGTGTAAAAACAGTACACTCCTCCTGAGATCTTAGAGGTTGATTTATGAGCTTTCTTAAACAGTTTCGAATGGAGGTACCAAAACTGTCTTTGCTTAAATATTTGCAAAAAGCAAGATAGGTGTCATATCCTGTTTTAGAACTGAGTTGGTTGAACAGCTCTGAAAAGCAAATGTTCAGTAGCTCTGTAAAAAATGTTCCTAGATCAGAGTCAATATGTTGAAATGTAAACTTGACTAATGGAAACTCTCCAAAATATTCTTTGGAAGGAGAAGTAAATGATTTGAAAATCAATGCAGTTTGCGTGTGCAAGGAATTAATTATCATGTCTAAATATTCCTGTTTTCTTAAGCCACTCAAATAATTGAACCAATCTTGAACCATATTCATTACTTTCTCGGCACTCAGTATTAATAGTAAATGTTGGTTAGGGTAATATTTAATACATAATGCCAACACATCAAATGATAAATCAGCTAGTTCTGAATCAACAAATTTCAAACAAATTTCATATATCCATGTTGCTCCCAAAATTTTCATGAATGCTTCCAAAACATCAACAGACTGCAATATTGCGTGAAGATGACGAAAAATGAGTTGGATGGTGGAGCGATCGGTAATAATAACATGTTTTAGATGTGCAAGTGAAGCAATGGCTGTGCAATTTTGGTCTACTGAGGCTGACTTTGACATGACAAATGTTAGTATCACATAGAAATTAAGAACAGCAGTTGCATTCCATTCGGTACTGTTAACAATCTCGATATACTGGATCATTCGTGATTCAATTAATTCCCAGCAATCTATTTCATCTAGCATATTGCCTTCAATGTTTTCAATGATGAGCAGCTGATTTTTCTCTGTATTAACTGTAATTTTTCTTTGTTCAGGATATGTTATGAAGAATATATCACAAATACTCTGGTTTCCTGTGATTTTAGAAGCTCTATGGTTGGAAATAAGGTTGTAAAGCTTTTCAAGTTGTGATAGAGCTCTTTTTCTCTCACTCTCTTCTGTTACAAAGTGGTTGCAATTCATTTTCAATACATCAAGTATCGAGTAATCTTCTGTTAATGCATCAATATAAAATTCATTGAATATGTAAAATAAAGTTAATGACATCTTGTACTTGATTGTGCGCATTGGAGTCTATATTATTCACATAATCTCTGAGAGATCCATAAGAAACATTTTGAGTAAAATGAGCAATGCTTTCCAACTGATATAAAATCTTCAATGTAAAAATAGTATAGGTCTTGGAGTTCACTTGATTTATGGCTTGACATAGATATTTGATTAAAATCTGCTTTTGTACATTATTAAGTGAATCCTTTTGCTCTTCTATCGTCCTCCATAATAGGTAAATAAACTCTTCATTGCATGATACTGCTAAATTAGAAGAACAGAATAAGACCATATCAATTATCTGATCACATTCCATTTCCCTAAACCTGGGAAGCTTTTCCTCAGGGAGATCAAAGTAGTTTTTCAACTTTTGGATAGTAGTCAAAAATATGGGGTGATAGTATTCTTTTGAAGGGAATGGAGCGTTCTTAATTTTTGAAAAAGAAAGAAAAAGCAAATTAATCATCATGGTGAGTAAATAAAAGTCCAATTTGCTTGTTTCCATAGTTCTAAGAGCATTTAAAATGTGATATGGAAAAGGTGATTCTGTTTCATCTATTTGAATAGCAGCCTCTTGTTTCTCATTCACTGTCGTTTGAATTGAAGCCTCAACTAGTATCTTATTGATTGTTTGAGTGTGCATTGATGTATTTTCACAACTATGTGTCTGCATATATGTATCAGTCATGACTTTGTTTTCCGTTTGAATAGAGGAGCTACTCGATTGTACGTTATTTGATTGTACAGCGATAGAATTGAAAGTTGCTTCTGTCTGAAGTGCGACATGATACACCTCTGGCTTGACATCCTGTAACATTAAAGAAGAAAAGTTGTTCACAAAAGCGCCTTCTAGAGTTTGAGAGGGAGTAGTACGTTGCAAGATTTTTGATGTCTGTACTGCAGAATTTGCAACAGTCCAATTGGTTTGAGTAGATATTGAAGTATTAGAACTTTCCATAAAAACTTGAACTCCAATTTGTTCACATGATACGTTGCTGTTCTTGGTTTGTGTGCCAGTGGATGTCTGAAGAGATGATGCATAAAACTCGTTTGAATTGTGTTGTGTTCCTTTGGATTCCAAAAAGGGGAGAATGGTTTGAAGAGATACATTGTTAGTTGACTTGGTATGCACAACATGCTCCTCATATTGGCAACCTTTCTCCTCTGTTCTTACTAACGATGTTGATGAGGTTTGTTTTTCTAATGGCTTCCTAAAGTTGTTATCAATTTTCAACTCAACAAAGGGGGAAGGAGTGTCTCGTTTCTTCACCACCAATTCGTTGTCCTCCTCGCGTACATCACTGCTACAAGGTGTTGATTTGATTCTACCTTCATTACATCGATGCAGAGTACTTGAAGTAACAGAAATAAATCTTGATCTGGCCAGTGATGATGAAGAATCCTTCTCCGAAGCCAAAGGGTTACAATCACGTACTCGATTCCTCTTTTTATAATATTGAACAATCTTGTACACCACCACAGCTGCGATGCACCCAATGAAGCACACATTGAGCGTAAGAGAAATCCCGAATAGAATTTCGAACTCGTTTGCCATTACGTAATGAGAATGTTACTGCACTTCTCCCCATAATAGGTGTTATTGTTGTTTTAAATTTTTGTAGTTGCCTGTTGTATAATTTTGCAAATCATCAATTTGCTTAACCACGATGATGACCACCATTACTTTGAATGTTGTTATTGTTGTTGTTGTATAATATATATATGTTATTGTTGCTGTTGCTTGTGAATGGTTTCCAACTTTTTTGCCATCATACGAAATATTGAGGGTGAATGGTCGTATGAGGAAAGTCCATAATCTTTCAAGAATGAATGAAATCCATATACACTATGACTGTAGGAATATCTGTATCGATAGATTTTCTCATTGTTCTTATTAGGCTTATAAAACACATCCAATGCAGGTACAGATATAAGATTTCTCTCGTAACAAATGTTGGGAGTGATGGAGCAATCCACTTCTACAAAATTCGCTTCCTTTTCAAAATAAGGAGCCATTTCTCGGATCTTCTTTTTCAAGTGCTCACAATTATTCTTGTACGGAGCAGTGAATGCAACTGCCACAGGCTTTTCCTGATTTAAAATCTCATCAAAATGTTCCATACTTTTAGCAACTATCACATTTCCTCTTGGCTTGGGATGATCTGTCCCATGAGGAGGATGACATGAGGATGCAAACAAATAATTGTGATTTGAAAAAAAGAACACACATTCTTGTCATCCTACCTGTGATTTCATAAAACTTCCACAATGCAAACTCCTTCCAAGTGAGCTCTTGATGATGGTCAAGCTTTTCCGATATATGTTGGATGGTGCTAAAACTCCAGAAAGGAGTTGATGTCTTGCTTGGAGCATCTTCGTGATGATGATTCGAAGAGGATGATTCTTCGTGTGAATTCATTTTTTTAATCCACTTTTCGTTTAGTGATTCATTGATGATGGACACTCTAATTTAATAATTAATATCAATTCGAAATATATTTCCTATTAATGTGGGTGAGGATGGTTCATTGGATCGAACCGCCAAAATTTACGAAAAAAAATTCAAAAGAAAAAATTCTCATGTCATCGGAAGGTGAAGAATCATCATTTATTTCAAATAACAATATCAATGAAAGCAACATTGAAGCAGGAGAATATTCATACATGGACTATGATCCGTTAGAAGAAAATGATCAGTCCAAAGAGGAGCGAGTCATGGAAGAGTTAGTGGATGATGCAGAGGATGATAAACTTTCAGATGATATTGGAACGGGAGAGAAAACAACAAATGAGGGAGAACATAGCTCCGAAAACCAAGCACTAAATGATTCATTTGAGAATAACATTTCTATTACTGAAATTGAGGATAGTGATGATGAAGAAACTAGAGAATATAAAACGCTATTAAAGAAGAAATCCAAGTACATTGAACGATATGCAGATGAGCTAAAAAGACGTGAAGTTATATATGCAAAACATAGGAAAGCTCAAAAACGACTCTCAGAGATATTTAAGGTGACAAAATCCAGTGAACGGTTTAACTCCACTTCCGTTCCTTCATCAGAAATCGAAGAACGTTACGCCAAGTACGTTGCAGAACATAAAGAGTTGAGAGATGAAATGGAAGAGCTTCGAAAAAAGAATGCATTTCAGTTGAATGAAATGAGAATTCGCCTGGAGGAACGAGAAACAAATGCTGCAGAATTGCAACACTCTTTTCGAGAGTTTAAAAGAAGTATGGCCCTAAGTGCGGTAGACAGCCGAACAGGTAAAAAGATTCCAAAAACTTCAATCAACAAGTACATTGAAAAGGATGAGCAAAAAGATCAACTTATTAGAGAAATTAGAACCACATACATCGAGCTGAAAAACAGCAAGGAAAGCTTAGAGAAACTAATCAAAAGCAGGGAAGAATTTTCTGAGGGACTTCATTTAATGGATTACGAGCAACTGAAAATGGAGAATTCGACTCTAATGGAAAAACTTCGAGAAAAGAGAGATAGTTTGAAAAAAGCAAGAGAAAAACAAACAACCACAGTGCATATTTTGACACATGTAAAAGAAAAACTTCAGTATGTTCAAACAGAAAACTCAGAGCTTCAACGAAAGCTAGAAAAGCTCAATGAAGAGATGGCAGACCACAAGGACATGCTTACAAGAATCAAAAAGGATAGAGATGGATTGAAAAAACAAAATTTGGATATGAGAGAGAAAGAACCACTTGTGGGTAATGACTCACTTTTGCTAGACTTCCAAAGCAGAAAAGATGAGCTGGAACAACTCAAAAGAACAAGTGGTAGATCTTAAAAACTCGTACAACAAATTAATTTTGAAGACTAAAAGCTACAACAAACAAGCTGAGGCATTTGAGAAGAAAGTAGCCCCAAAACCAACCATTAGTTTACCGGAATTGTACAAACAATGAGAGGAGACAAAATGGACAAGTACTCTGTCAAAGTTTCGTTTCCGCCTGTGAATGACAATTGCATTGTGAAACTACCCATCCATGATTCGAATTGTTGCCTTCATCGAATAGTTGTGAGCTCGCACATGATGAAAAAGGGTTAATGCGTATGTGTTACGCACATAAATCTTCATGTTGAACATTGCATGTTCCTAACTTTGCATGACCACGTGTCAAAATTTAAACCAAAAATCTTGCGCCATTTATTATTATTTGAGGTGGTGTTTCTCCACGAACAGCTGGCACTCTCGCAAGAAAAGAGAAAAATCAGTATGTTTTGTTTTCCAAACAAATTGCTTCAAACTTGTTTGTGGTATGTTAGCAAGGAAGGTGAAGAAAGCAGTGTGGCCCAGACTGCAAATAAAGCTCAAGTAATCTTGATCAATTAGAGAGTTGGATGGATTCGTCTTGAAGGCTCCATAAAGGAATGAAGAAATATGATGTATGCAATCAGAAGGAAGCCGATCGAGGAGTGTCCACTTCTTTTTGGACAATCGAGTTGCATGTTCAGGAAGTGTGGAAAAGTCAATACAATCCTTTGAGAAGTAAGGAATCAATTGAAAAACATTCTCAGGTGACAGAATATGCCGCAGCAATCCTTTCAATCTCTCCACAAGCAAAGAATTATCATCGAATTTCCACATTTTGGAAATGTAAATCATTTCTACGAGATCATCCCAATTTCTAATTTCAATATTCTTCACATGATTTAACATTCTAAGAACATTCTGATAGGATGAGATTTTGAAATATGGAACCAACACATGATAATTTCTTTCAAGAACGAATCCAGGAAGATGTACAGAAAGCATGAATTTGTATCCTTTAAGAGATCCATTTTGATGAAATAGTAAAATGTCATACAGCTCTGGTAAGATAGACTGATTTTCTTCGAAAAGCATTGAGTAATCGACCAACTCAAAGGGATTACTCGTGTTGAAGCGAAATTGTTCTGACTTCTTGAATTTCTTTAACTTGGATAATGCTTTCATAATGATCTTTGGTTTGTTTTTTGATTTTTCTTTGTCAGAAAGTTCTACAACTTTGAGTTTGTGATACATTTTTCGAAAGGTCACAAGATCGATATAACAACCGTCATACATTCTTCTTATAATCTCTGCCATTTCCTCAAATGTTAATAAATTAATAGATATGGACGTTATATTGGAATTTTCACTGTTAGGATTGAGACCATTAGATTTCTCTCGTTCTACCATTTTCGCAAGTTCAGGACATTTTGTTTCCAAAATCATGTCATGCACTGCAAATTGGAAGCCTCCAAAATCTTTTGTCGATAGATAGATTGTTTCTCCCCAATTCAAATAAGAAGATCCATATTGTGTATGGAGGGAAGATCGACACATTCGAAACGGTATCCATGACCCGCAACTGCTGTAAGCTCGTTGCTCAATTCCTTGGTATCCAGTGAGAATAAAGTTCCAAAAGTCTTCCATATTCGTTCGATCTAGGGCAGAGGTTACACATACATTGAGTACAGAGTTGTTGAGTGAGGGTGAGGTGAGTCTGAATTTGTTAACTTGTTTGATGGAAAGTGGAAAGTTTCTAATGTCTCTAAAATAAGAGTCATAAATATTTACAAAATAATCAATGATGGCACGAATGACATGAGCTGCTGTTCCAATCGTTGTACCGTAATAGGTAAATATTTCTGGATGATTCAGTTCTAACCGTAAAAAGGTATCTGTGGACGATTTGGCTTTCTGCATAAATGTATCGAACTTATTCAAAACCAATGTCAGACGTTTGAGCGGTGATTGATGTTCTAAAAAGTGAGTTTTGATCATTTCACAAATCCTTCGAAATTGTGAAACACAAACTTCCAATCTATTTTCTCCATTTTCATCAATTAGTTCATAGTCGTTAAGGCCTATCACAAAAATTATATCGGTTTGAAGGTTAAAAACGTGAGTGATCTTGTCGAGTTTGGAGATGTCCATACCAACAAAGGTTACTCCATGTACAGAATACACATTGCTTGATTCAATACCCTGTTGTAAATCGTGATATCGAAGAATATCTTTTGACCTAGGAGTAAATTTTGCTCCAAAGACAAAACTGGAATGATTCATCCAATAATCGAGGTTAGTAAGAACTTGTAGAACATGATGTCTATGATTGTAGCGCGTATAAACAAGTTGAATAAGCTTGTCTTTCCACAATTTCTCAACATATTCCAATGCTCGTGCCATATTACTTTGATTTAGCCCCAATCCGTGCAAATCTGCCTTTTGAGATTCAAAATACTCTATCACTTCGCTCTTAATGTCATTAAATTCTGTGGATGAAAGTGGCATACTTTTTAAGGCTAATTTTAATTGCCTCATTTCATCAATTTTGCTCCTTGGTTCTGGATTTGTTGCTGTGTTGCTACTGCTACTCTTGAGCTCCTTTGTGAACTTGTAGTTCAATAAATATTCAGTAACTTTTTCGTGATGTTCCACCAAAAACTCTTCCTGTTCCAAAAAATAAGTTGTTGCTCCTAATAAATTAACAAAAGATTTAAGAATGGATCCTCGGATGCGATCCCCAAGTGATGCCTTATCAATGATCGAATACTTTTTTCCATACAACTGTCGTAGATGACTTAGAAATGTCGTTTTACCTCCCCATTTGGACCCAACAACACCAAAAGTTCGATCAACTGTCGTACCTTCTGGTGTCGGTGTGTTGCCATGAGCAATTTTCACCCTCTGCGATGTTGTGGATGATTCCAAAAATTGTTTGGGACTTGTTTCACCTGAGCCACCAAACATTTTCTTTCGTTGTGGTAGTTCACTTCGAATGTGTAGATGAGTTGTTTCACTTTTGAAAAGCGGAACAATCGGTAAGTTATTAATGTTATTACCAGCAATAGTTGTTGTTGATGATGTGTTTGACGAAGTCTGGTCACTAGCCTCTGATAACATTTGTGAAGGTGATGATATTTGAAGCAATGTTGGTGATGTGTTTGACTTCAAATAACAATCAAACAAAAATTCCACACTTTTTCTGGAAATACAATTTGCGTGAATCGATCGTATATAATACGCTTCTTTGAACAACTATGAGATGCTTTCTCCACTAGTGATGACGCTGTTGTGAGTAGTGTTGTTGTTCTTGTTGTTGTTGTTGATTTGATGATTGTGCGCGTGATGATGATCACGACACTGCAGCTGGTCTTGAACCGACAATCCGACACGGAAATATTCTTTGCAAAGAGAGTATTACTACTCACAAAATCTTTGCTTCTTCAAAGAAAGAATGGTCTCAAGTGGATTCAATCCACTTCTTGATGATAATGTTGTGGTGGGTGGTTTTGCTCCACTCTTGTTCAATGTCAGAGAGAGAGAGCACCGTTGAATCCTGAGTGCCTGTTGAGAGAGAAGAGAAAAACAAACGTTTTTTTTAAACGATGGTTTCCTAAAAAGCCTCAATATTGCGACGTTTAAAGGAAATCAAGGCCTAACTTGTGTGTCTGCTGCAATGACAAATATCCTGTTATGGTTTTGCTTCTAGTGTGATGATGGAGATGATGAACCACACAATATGAAAGACTACAGCTTGTTACTTGAAACAGATATCACACAGTGTGTAATGAGCAGCTGCTTCCTGTGTTGCTTGCTTGCCGATTTGCAAGTTTTCTCTCACACACCAAGCAGATGCAAGCGAAGGATCCAAAAATCACGAACTTTTCCAATTCCCTAAAAGAAAGGCAGTATCAGTTTTTGGAAAATGACTGACAAACGTTGCTTGAAAGACAATATTCATACATAACAACAAAGGATCAATCTGCTCATTGTTGTTTGTTCCAAAATTTTAAATCTTGAGATGATGAGGTTGTCAAATTATTCATATGGTAGGCCAATGACCTGTTATCCTCCTTATTAGGAACAGATTTGTTATCACCAGGTTGAGGTTTATCAATTTTGGAAAAAATGGCAAAAGAAAAAAACAGCGGAAAGCCAAAGAATGAGGTGAAAGTGGTGGTCGTCGGTAGGTGTTCAGTAATCATGGCTATGATATGTAGGATCTAAAGATGAAATTGAATGTTGGTTCGGTAAGGGGATACTGCCGTGGGAAAAACAAGCCTCCTTTCAGTGTTGATGGGTGGTACGCCATTTCAACAGACGATCGATCAAGGAACCCTTGAACCCTTCGATTCTCTTTTGAGTCCAGAGAATGTTAAAGGTATTAAGGAGTTGGAAGGCAAAAAGCTACCTAAAGATCTTTACATCCGATATTATGACACAAGGGGGAGTAGGGATTTCGACAACATTAGGTGGGTTTTTGATCATCATTCAACTGAATGCCCTCTTCAATTCGGTATGAATTAATTTCTTAGATGGCTAGCTTATCCTCAAGCGAATCTATTCCTCATTTGTTGCTCATTATCATCAAAAGAGAGTATTGAAAACGTAGAGAATAGATGGTTTGAAACCATTCGATACAAATACAAGATGATACCGTTTGCCTCATTCATTGTTGTGGGGTTACAGTCGGATGTTGCTGATGCAGAAAAAAACGCCAGAAAGGTCTTTCAAACTGTAACTTACTCACCAGGTTATGGTGGGTTTGTCGAGTGCAGCAGTTTCACACAACAAGGCTTGATGGAACTGAAAGAACTCATTATTAAGACTGGTGTGCAAAACCTGCTTGAGAGGAACAAAAAAGAAGGATGTTGTTTAGTGCAATAACAAATAAATTATTGAAGTAATAAATCAATCATTCATGATTTGTAATATTTCTTCCATCTTGGATATCTCGTTCGTTAAGAGATGAACCTCATGATTCAATGACAAAAACGTTGCGACATGTTTGTTGACTTTGGTTCGAGCGCTTTCCACTTCCTCCTTCAGTTGTTGAATGATCTCATCAATTTTCGCTTTTCTTGATGTAAGGAAAGGCATCTCTTTGAGAACATTCACTTCATTCTCGTTGAGTGTGTCGTTAGCTGAAAGTGTTCCGATGAGTGACTGGACAAGTTCCGCTGAGAGCTCTGCAGCAAATGATACACCGTCTCAAAATCGATCGTTGCTAAATGACTAACATACCTGAGTTCTCCTGTGCATAAACTCCAACACTTTTTCCCATCAAATGATCATCATGAAAACCCATATTCATAACAAGAAACGCCATGATCACCACACACCACACTCCACCAGCAACTACAGCCTCTCGTGTTACCATTTTTAAATATATCTCCACGAAATATTTTGGTACCGACAAACAAAAAACTGTAGTTGCCGTTCGCCCTTCTTATTATTATCACAAAGTACTTCCGATATATTCCTTTCAAACAATTACTTTCTTGATGCCAAACTCTAAAACTCAAAATGTTTCAATTGACTCAAAACAATCTATCAACAACAGCTTGAAAGCCACAGGATCAAGTGTGATGGGGAAAACAACAAAAAAAGAAGATCAACAACAAGATGTGGACCCGAACATGATGAATTATGCAACATTTTCGGCCCCCATTATTGATTTATCTTTTAAGGATATTAACTTCCCTTCAGGTGGGTTTGAATATTTATATCTTTCTCATCTGACAAATATTGTAGATTTGAAAACCTCGGTTCCAAGAGTTGGAGAAAAACGTGTTACAGTGCTTGCCTCAAATCCATCAGAAAAACATAAAGAGGAGGAGAAGAAGGGCAATAGAAGTTTTGAACAGGATCGTTTTAAATCAACAATATTTGGAAACTCTGAATTCGGTTCTAATAAGCATCATGATGATCAAAATAATCATAAAGAGGATGAGAAAAAAGAAATTGTAAAATATTTGGGAAGGGGCGTAAAATTGTGCAACAACAACTTGTCTGATTTGCACGGCTTATTTGAGGGTCTGTCAACAATCATGGAAACCCCTCGAGAACTCCAGTGGATTGATTTGTCATATAATAATATTTCATGTTTGGAGGGTTTAGATTCTCTTCCTGAAACGTTAACATCTTTATACCTCCATGCAAATCAAATAACCTCGCTCAACGAAATTGCTGTTCTTCAAAAGTTTAAGAATCTTAAATATTTAACTCTTTTTGGAAATCCAATCGAAGAAATACGAAATTACAGATTTTGCATTTTGTCGATTTTTCCCTCTCTTAAATCATTCGACAGAGTGACTGTGACAGAAAGGGACCGACAAACAGCAGAAACATATCGAAACTTCTTTTGGCCAAAAACAACTAAGAGAAAAACAACCCAACAAGTAAACAAAAAGAATTAGAGAAATAATTGAATATTTATGTGTTTTAGAAAATTTTTGAGATTGTGCTCTCTTTCAATAGAAAACTTCAAGATCTACGTGTAGTCAGTTGCAATTTCTGCGTTCGAGTTACTGATTGACTGAATATTATGTTGAACATTCTGGACGTTGCCAACTCGCTTTGTACCGGAATTCTTATAACCTAAACCACCATGAGTTGAATCGAAACCCTCTCCTAATCCATACAAAACACCTATATATTTCTTATCGTTCATGTTATTTTCAAAGAAAACCTTCATCATTTTGAAAAAGGTAGCGCTTGTTAATAAGCTGTCAGAACCTGCTTGATGGGCTGGGCCTATTCTCCTAATACCTAAATCCTCAGCCAACTGATTTAAGCCTCCTTTTAGAGTATCGCAGCTCCTCATCAGATACTTAATGTCATAGAGACAAGGGAAAAATGTATGTAATAGTTCAAAGAACTCTGACTCCGCTTCAGGTAGGGCCTCATTTGTTAAGAGCTTTATCAGATATCCAAAGTCGTAGGCGCTGTGAAAAGAGATCCATTTCACTTCATCGGAAAGCACAATACCAGATGAAATTAGTTTTTCTCCAAACGTTTCTACATCAATTCCTTCTTTTTCATGATTTGTAAATTTTATACCGCTGTCAGCTAAAAGGTCAATCGAATCTTGAGCGTACATGTCCTCCTTCAAATTAAACTTGAAATTAAATTGCCATACACATTGTCCATCCTCAGGTATATTTCCTTCAGTGTCGGTAAAGGTCAATCCAATCTGAATCACTTTCAACAAGTTCACATTACATTTCAGAGTTTGATAGTGATATTCTGATTGTGTCCTGAAATTGCCAGTAGGTTTTGCGACCACACCAGGAAACTCTGTGTCCTGTCAATTTGACATGATACAAGTTTTGTAGATGTGTTTTAGTAGAAGATGATGATGGTCATGTTGTTGTTGGTATTGGCAATAAACGGATGGTAAAACCCTTTCCAAAACCATCAAGTGTACATACCATTGCGATGCAGGGATATTTTTCGACAAGGTTAATAATCTTTAGCATTTCCCTGTCCAAGTTATGTTTCCAAACATCAATGATTTTGACTTTTGAATCTGGATCGTTTATCGGGGTGGTTTTATCACTGAGTTCTACTAGATTATACCGTACCATATTGCTTCTATCATAAATACAATTACGAGTTTAGTCCTTGATGATCGTAATTCACTCAATTCTTCCACGTGATGTTGTAATTTGTTGTTGTTGTATTACAAATAAAATTATAAAATATAATTTAGAGCAACGTGATGATGATGATGATGTTGCTGAAAGTACAACCCGCTTCCAAATCTTGTTCAACAAGGCACACAAAGGTCGGCTCCAATACACACGTGTAATACAATATTTTTTTCAAATTTTGATGATGAATCCTGATCGAGGATTTCTCTTTGGGTGATGATGGGTTGTCTAGCTTCTCTTTCCAAAAACAAGAAGTTGTTGTGGTTGAGGTCATTTCCCAAAACCGAACGTGGTCCTACTTGTTGAATTATATATATTGTTGGTTATTTCTTCTCCACTTAACAAAAACATTAGTGATGATGCTGCTGCGCTAAAACAATCCAAAAAATTTTGTCGAGAGCCTCGTCTATTCCATTGCTCAACCACAACATCTCGTGGAGGACTTTTCAACTTAAAATTCATCATCATCGTTATCACTCGTTGGTGTACACCCAAGAGGATATATACTCACTGATCTGAACTGTTAAATTTAATAGTATTTCAGTTGGTAACAACATCAATGATGAGCGGATACGGATATGATCAAAATATATCGGAGGTGAAGAAAGTGGACAAGGAAGAGAAAATATTATCACAATATAAGAGTCTAAACAGCCTTTCCGATCGATACTTTTTTGGATTAAGGTTTGTGTTCAATAGAAAATTTAATGTTCGTGATGATTCACACGATTATTTCAAATTGGGTATTTCATTCTTTGAAATTATAGAGACTTGTTGGAGACTGGAAAGAGGAAATTATGGGAGCCCTATTTCCGAAAAGCCTTTGAAACATTTACACAACTTTGGAAATTCCAATTGGAACATCGCGCAGTGTTGGAGAAGAATGGATTGAAACGATATGAAATAGGATTCATTGCCTCTCGTATTGGACAACTCTACTATTTATACTAGTAAGTATCTCATTTGTAAGCATGGTTTAATGAACGGTAACATGGAACAGTCTTAGAACAGGCGACATGAGATGTTTGAATGAATCATTTCGATTTTACGAAGGTATGTGGCTAATTCGTTTAACAGTACCAACTGCTGATAAATTTATTAATATAGCAATACACACAAGAGCTTATTTTAAAAACATGGACTTGGAGGAAGTGTTAGTTAATTCCATGTTGAGATACTATGCACGATTTATTGTTGTGTGCTTGTTTTTGAACAAGAGACAACATATCAACGATATTTTACCAGAGTTTAGCGACAGTATTAACTTATACTTAACACATTTCAACATTGCTGACAAAGGAGAACAGTGGTCTCTCGTTTTGGAAGAGCTTGAAAATTTTTTGAAGGCAGAAACTAAGGTCACTATTGATCAATCAATAGATCTCATTCAATATCGGTCGAACACACCCATACTAAAATCCAAACACAAAAAACCCCAATCTATCCCAAAATCAAATAATGGAATACCAAATTATTTATATGAAACCCAGCCAAAAAGTGGTAACACCACTCCCTCATCAGAAGATTCCAGTTCCCCTTCAGATAATTCAATAGAAGACACAATTTTTTCTCAGCCTCAGTATAATGCAATCAAACTAACTGATGCAATTCTTGTCACAAGCAGAAAGGTTACTGTCAAATTTAGTGAGCTATCTCTAGATGTTTTAAGAATAATGCAGTCTTTGGAGAAAACATCTATGAATGAAAAACAGTCTGCCATACGCAAGCAGATGTTATACAGACCATCATGCTCTGACCTTTTAGTGCATTTGGCCAATACCTTGGATTCAGAATTTACCTCGGATTTACCATCAACAACTAATGCAACATTTTTATACATTTCTGCCGATTCGTCGAAGTTTGGCATTATTCTTGACAGCAAACGTAGAAACACTACTTTTACGATCGGTGAAAACGATGAAGTTGATACCAACCTTTTGAACTCAAATTGTTTCACTATTCAAGATATCATTCCATTCACAAGAAAACCACTTTTCATGATTTTCGAAAGCGAAAATACTGCTACCTTAATTGTAAGTTATCTTTTTTGCTGTGTCATGTTTCTTTAAATGTCATTCCTTTCAACATAATTTAGCCCCAAGATCAAGTCGAACACTCATACTTTGTGTCGTTGTTTTCACCCAAGACGTACATTTCCCAAATACATGATTCTTCCACAACTGGATCATTTTTCACTTTTTTCCTTACATCCCCCATTCTTGCATTCTTGTTTTTATCGGGAGTAAAGAATGTTGAGGGACGCACATTCAAAGACTGCGAAATTCTTGTGCAGAGTAGTTTTAACGAGCTCTACAAACTTCTTTCACAAGACGAATATTTGGATGTATCAATCAAAGCGTTCCTGGAAAATGAGAACACAAGATCATACATTCTAAGATTCATGTTATGTCACACGACGATGAGACTGTTTATTGAAAAGAATTTATTGCTCGAATTTGACGAAAATTCTGAACAAAAGAAAGATTACTTGCCCTCTTCATACCCTCCGATTAATTGCTTGAGCTCTGAAACATCCGCTGAAACGACATTACTTGTTAAAGTTGTCTCTCAGCTTGTGGAAAAACTTGAAATCGACGACTCTCTATTCTTCAAATAAAATCCATGTTTTTCCGTTAAAGTTTGCTGCTCCTGTGATGATATTCCATGACTGCCCTAATACCATCCGTAATGCCAACTTTTGGATGATAGTTGAGATCTCTTTTTGCATTTGTTATGTCAAAAGTGTTTGTCCTGCCAATCGTTGTGACCGTGTATCTTGTGAGTGGAGGATCCTTCTCGTACCATCCAAAAAATCCATAGACAAACTCAAAAAGATACCCTAAAAAGTAGACAAATTTGAAATTCAGTTTCTTTGGCAAAAAGGTGTTCGGCGAGGTTTTCTTGTCAAAATTCATATCAATATTTAAATACTTCTCTGCAACAAATTTACACAATTCAAGCAAGTCCAATGGCTCTCCATTTGTAATGTTATAAACCTTCCCAACGCACTTGTCACTTCTCTCTGCCAATATTAAGGCTTCAATGACATTATCAATAAAAGTTAAATCTACAAAAATTTTCTCATTCTTTTCACATAAATTTACAAATCTTCTCTGTTGAAGAATTTCAGTAATTCTTGGTAGAATAGCAGTGTCATGAATTCCTATCACTGCTCTTGGTCGAATTACTACAACCGGTATTCCAAATTGTCTAAACGCATTCAACACTTCCTTCTCTGCAATATATTTAGATTTGGCATAATCATTCAAAATATTTTCAAATTTCACATTCTTTTCATCATCATCTTCACTGATATTCATTCGATGATGTTTCGACATGTAAATTGAAGGAGTTCCCAAATAAATAAATCTCTTCAATTTTTTCTTCTTTTCATCACTGTATAATTTAATACAAGCTTCAAGTAAATTGCGAGTTCCCACCACATTGGTGTTGTAAATATCTTTGGGATTAGCCCAAGCAGTACTCAGAGCAGCACAATGATAAATCACATCAATGCCAGAGTTTAGAATTAAATCTTGCAAAATTTCAGGTTGTTGAACGAGATCACACGGAATGAATTTTAGTCGTGGTGGTGGTGGTTGTGAGGATGATGAGGAGGATGATGAAGATAACAATGCTTGGGTCTCCAATTCGGAACCAATTTTTTCATTTCTTCCCAAAGCATAAATCAAGGAATAGGGAATGTCATCATGATGATCGTTATTAGAATGAGAAGAAGGGAACCCTTTTTTGTTGAGCACAAGTCTCTCACAGAGCGCTCTTCCGATATGTCCCGTTGCACCAGTCACTAGAACCACTCTCCCTTCAGTTTCTGTTGGTGGTGCTTTTTGTTGAGCATGATGATGATGCGGGTGATGATCAGGAGTTGAATGAAAGAGTGGTTCTTCATTGTTTGATGGCATTTTGTCGAAAACTGAGTTTGAGTGACCCGTTATTTTTCGTGAGGAATATATATTCGAGCCAGTTTCTCATCACGATCTCTCTTCCTACAAATTCTTGTCCCGTATACACGCTGTGGTTCTAAGGAATCCAAGCTTAGGGTTGGTTAAAGGAATTTCTTCGATTACAATTAAATAGGGACCTCAGGCTCATTTCAACAAATAAATGTAATAACCAAAAACCAGCGAACCTGAGGAGGATTGGTTTGAAAAAAATTCACAACATCCCTCATTGAATTTCAGAAGTGTTGCAAAAGTGGAGTTCTCTCGGAAGACGATTTCCTCCTCTATTCGTTAATAGCATTCATTCTCATCATCATCAACAGTATCTCGAGATACAATATTCTAATCAACAATACCATCAACAACAACAACAATACAATTACTCAAAAAACATGAACGCATTCAAAGAAGGTTGGTTCTCTGAACTCTCAGAAGAAATGTGGCCTGGTGAAGCTGCCAGTTTGAAGGTCAAACAAGTGCTGCACCATGAAAAGTCTCAATTCCAAGACATTTTGGTATTCGACAGTGAGACTTATGGACGAGTTTTGGTTTTGGACGGAGTCATTCAATGTACCGAAAGAGATGAATTCAGTTATCAAGAAATGATGGCCCATTTGCCTTTGGTTGCCTTGAATCATGAACCAAAGAAGGTCTGCGTGATTGGAGGTGGAGATGGTGGTGTGGTTCGTGAAATCCTCAAACATCCATCCGTGGAAGAGATTCACTTGTGCGAAATTGATGAAGGAGTCATCAATGCTTCCAAGAAATTCCTTCCTCACATGAATATGGCTTTCAATAGCGAAAAGTTGAAGGTCCACACCTATGATGGTGCTGTTTTCTTGAAGAACCACAAGAATTGCTTTGATGTTGTGATTGTGGATAGTTCGGATCCAGTGGGTCCAGCAGAATCTTTGTTCGGACCTGAATTCTACAAGACTTGTAAAGAAGCCTTGAATGAGAAGGGAATTTTGTGTACTCAAGCTGAGTCTATTTGGCTTCACTTGGATATCATCTCCAAGATGAAGGACTTTATTGTGGATATCTTCCCAAAGGTTTCCTATGCTTATACATCCATTCCAACCTATCCATCAGGTGTGATTGGATTCTTCTTGTGTTCCAAGGATTCCGAAAATGATTGCAAGGAACCAAAGAGATTGGACTGGTGCAACAATGCTGCTGACTCATTGAAGTACTACACTCCACAAATTCACAAGGCTAGTTTTGTGTTGCCTGCTTTTGCTGCCAAGAAGTTGAATGTTTAAACATTTGTTGTTCCTATTTATGATTGTGGTGCTGTGCTGCTTGCACACAATAAAGATGAATTGCACACAATCCACTGCACGCTCTTCTTTTGTGTGTATTCACAGGATTTCAGGAACTTGTTGGGATTTGAAAAAATGTTATCTTTGAGAAATCCGAATACCAATCATCCGAACCAGCTTGTTGCTCGTATGAAAGAATTGAATTTCCATGATCATGATCCAACGGTCAAGCTGCCTTGTGTTCGTCAAGGCCATACCATGATCGGAAGAGTAGTACCATCATCAGTCTCACCCAACATGATGTTAGAAATTTACATTTCAAGCGGAAGAACCAATAGTCAAAAAACAAGCTCTTCTCGATCATCACATCAAAGGAATATTCTCAACGATTTATGGAAAGGTCAATTCGTATTGAATCATAATGATTATAATAATAATACTAATAATCATTTGAATAATCCTACTTTAGATTTTTCCAAAATTTGTTGGACAGAATTCACGAACTTGGATTCCAAAGAAAGACATAATCATACAAGTGTTTATTTTGAAAAGTTAAACAAGATTATTACCTTTGGTGGAAGTAATCCCGAGGAATATTGTGATAGTTTATGTTTTATTGATATCCGTCAGCAACAACAACCTACTGTCGAGAATTTGAATAAACAACAACTCATGCAAGAATGGCCTAGTGCCCGACATGGACATACAACACAAGCATATAGGGACAAATATATGATTGTATTTGGAGGAAAAAATTGGTTTTGGATTGGATGAAAACCTTTACAAGAATGATTTATGGATTTTGGATGTAGAGAACAAGACATGGAAAGAAATTAAACCTAAAAATTCTCCACCAAAGGGTAGATGTTGGCATGCATCACAAATGTATAAAGATAGATATTTATTGGTGTGTGGTGGATTCTACACAAAAGGTCGTGAACTCTACTTGAATGATTTATGGAGCTTTGACATGGAAACCTTACTATGGACTTGTTTAATAGAAAACAACGATAAAAAAAACATCAATGCAATGCAACAACGAAATAGACATGGAATGTTTTTATGGAATGATTTACTATTTGTATTGGGAGGAAATTATTTTGATGGATCTAGAGATCATTTTCTACATGATATGTATTATGTGGATTTATCACGATGTGAAGCGCTTATCGAGTCAAAAATAGTGAAAGTCAAAAGCATTTCTTGGACGAGCATGACTATTGTCATCAACGACGATGATGCAAGCAAAGAATTTCTGAATGAAGGAAGAGGACATTTTACCTCAATCACATTACCAACAAGTACGTGTGAAGGTAACAATTCTCAAGTGAATTTTCTGTTATTTGGAGGTGAATCTTACAAGAAGAGACACAATTCGTTTATTCTTCTAACCATCCAACGAGTACAGGAGTGATTATTGTCAATTATTATTTTTGAAATTTCAAAATTATCAATTATTCTTTACATATTCAAGTTAATTCTTTGTCAATTAATTCTTTTCAATTGTCACCGATTGCCAATCAGGTTTGGCCACCTCTTTAAGATATTCTCTAACTTTTTCCGTTTCTTCTTTCAGTTTTAAAAATTGTTCTTGTTGTTCTTTTGACATGGTTTCATATTCTTCATGAGGAAATTCCTGTCCAATATCTCCAGGTGATTCAGCCTCTGCCAAAATTTTATAGTATTGTATCCACTCTTCGACGAAGGGTCTCGCATATTGTTCATCACCTGTTTTGTTTAATTTAAATTCTTGTTTGACGTATGCATCTCCAAGGAACCGTTGTTGTGGAACCAATTTTTTTGTATGTTGTTTTAAAATTTGTCTATACAATGAAAGGCATGTGTATTTCCACTCCATCGTTCGGAAAGGAAGCTGAGAGAGATCATGAGCGAAACGAAGAAAGTAGGGCGTTGAAGACATTTTTTTTAAAAATTTTTTAATTAATATTTGAAAAGTAATTTAATTGAAGGGTCAGATTTAAGGGAAGAATGACACTCAATAGTTGGTTTGAAACTTTATAGAAATTGGAAATAATTTATTCAGCTTCAGAGTACTTGCTGATCTGATCACTAAGTCCCTTTCTTCTACGAGTCTTGAGGAGAAACTCACGTGCCAACGCATAAAGTGGGCTTGGCTCAAGAGGAGTGATCACAATGGATGTATCTAATGGATCGCCAGGAACAATATCCCAATGGTCAAACTTGGAAAGACAGAATGCTCTTCCTTTAGTTGCCATTCTCAAATCAGTTTCCAAACCAAATGAGTCAATACTAGGTACAAATGATTTTAGAATGAAGAATGGAGTTCCTGGTTTTGCATTGTTTTCGAGCACTTGTCCTCTTCTTCGTTCCAAAATCTTTGTGATAATTTCTGAACATTCCATTGGAGTTTGAATTTCAACCATAGAGATCGGTTCCATGAGTTGAGGTGTCGCTTGTAAGAAACTAGAATAGCAACATCGACGAGCTGTGGGTATAATTTGTCCACCTCCTCTAGAAACTCGATCTTCAGCTAGAGTGGCTTCCAGTAATCTAAATTTTACATTTCGAATAGGTTCGTCACAAAGAGGGCCTTCCTTAGTGCTCCATCGAAAACCTTGAACAATTGAATCTTTAACGGATGCTAATAGTTTTTGATCCACTTCTCCCTCAAAAGTTTCATTGATCAAAATGTTTGGTCCATTGTTTTCGGGACCAAAAGCCCAAATTCTACTTGCAGTGTATTCATCCCAATCATAACGAGCTTTAAGAATTTCTTCTCTTGCTTCACTAGTCATTTTGTCAAGGTTGATTCTTCCTGATTCAATATCTTCCGAAAGACCTTTTTCGAGAGGTTCTGCAATCATGACGAACTTATTCTTTTGGTTTGGTGTTTGAGCAGAGCATCTTACTGATGATGTTTCAGCTACAGTTTCACAAAAAGTGACAGATGGATCAGAGACCTTAATTTCAATTCCAGAATACAACAATCTCAAATCATGCATGACAACATCAAGATAGAGCTCACCAGTTCCAAGCAAAATATGCTCTCCGCTTTCTTCAACTTTTGTGGTCACAAGAGGAAATGTTTTGTTAATTTTTCGAAGTCCATCCAACATTTTGGGTAATTCTGATGGCTTTAAAGGCTCAACAGCAGTTTTGATAACAGATTGGTTCATAAATGATAATGGTCTGAAAATAAATGTATCTTCATGTGCTGTGGATCTATAAATTGTTGCAGTTTTGTTGATAGTTGCATCAATGCCTTCTATTAATACCCAATTACCAGCGCTAACACTATCAACACTGACCCTATATCGAGAATTATAAATATAAAGATTGGATGTGTCAGTAATGGACATGTCTTCTTCATCTGTTGGTGTGTAGCCTTCTCCTAGAACCTTCACGGTATCGCCTTTCTTAATGGTACCACTCATTACTCTACCAAACGCATCAAAAGAGCTGTAATCAGGCCTAGGGAAAAGCTTGGTGATATAAATTACTAAGTCACCTTTTGGATTGCAGTTGATCATGTCTTTGGAAAAGTGCGTGCTCAAGTCTCCTGTATAAAAGTGTTCCACTTTTGCCTTATTTCCTCCAGTACTGTTTGGTGATGGAATAAATCTTTCTAGCATGTCAACAAAACCAGAGGATGAAGAAAAGAATGCTCTAAATGTAGCTTTCATAAGTGGATTTGGATCCAACAAGAGTTCTTCAGAAGTAAGCTTAATATGAATCTTTTTCAGAGTATGGTCTAATTCTTCTGGATCTTGACCTACAATATGAGCATAAATCTTATAAAGAGGTTCAAGTATAAACTCAACAAAAGATCTCTTTCCGAGATCATTTGGAGTTTTTGAGAAGGTTCTTGTCTCTCTGTTAAAATACAAGTCACCCCATAATCGTTTCGCAAAATCTTTGTAGCTAAATCCTCCTCGTTTGTCTGCATAAATTTTGGCAAAAGATTCCAATGTAAAACATACGCCAGTCTTTGAACTTGCAAAACACACATTTCCAATGTCTGGAGAAAGTAAAGTTGTTGGATAGTCCGTAGTACCGTTAGATGCATTGTCTCTTATAACATAGTTTTTCTTTAGTAGCTCATCATCAATTGATTCTTTCAAAATTGAGTTAATTTCAGAAATTGTATGCTTTAGCTTATGATAGGCGTCATTTGGTGGTAGCTTTAGCTCTAAAATTAATCTATCCAACTTGTTAATAAGTAGAACGATCGGTAATCTTTCTTGTACTGCCTGCTTGATTATATCTGAAGTACTTAACATTACTCCCTCAAGAGCATCAACGACAAGAACAACACCATCAGAAATTCTCATCGATGCGCTTACTTCATCTGAAAAATTTGTATGGCCAGGGGTGTCCATAATATTGATAAGGAAAGATTTTGATTTTGTACTTTCTAATAAGAGTGACATTGGTGATGACTTTAAGCTGAGTCCTCTTCTATGCTCATCAGGTCGAATATCTGTATAATTTAAATCTTTTTCCAAAAAATTTGTATAGTTTGTATGTGTGAAACGAATAAGATGATCCATAAATGAAGTTTTTCCGTGGTGTAAATGTCCAGCAAGGCAAACATTTCTAATCGAACTAGGAATTTTCATCAATTCTAACAAGTAATCCCAAGAGAAATTAACAGGTTGAGGAGAATTAAATTCTTTTTCAACCAAATTCCACACCGTCTTTTTGATAGGCTCGATGATTGGTTTTTCCAGTGGTTGCCTATCTTCATCTTCAACCATTGTTTCCACATCTTCACCATATACTTCCTCTGCTGATGGATAATATTGTTTCTCTTCATGAAGTACAACAGCTGATGGTCTCGATATTGACGACTCATTGACTGGAACAATGGATCGGCCTCCATTTTCCAAATCCTCCTCTTCTTCTTCCTCGCTGCTTAACTCAGCGCCCCGATAATTACCAAATTCATCAAAGAAATCTTCTCTGTGATGAAGTTGATTTTGTCTTCTAGAATTGTCATCTTGATCATCATGATCTTCATCATCAGCAAAAGGCTTATTATTATTGGAGAGCATTTTTGTTGTTGCTCAATCGGATGATGAATGGAATTGCTCTCAACAACAACACACAAAAGTATTTTTTCTTCTTTTTTTTAAAGCCAATTTTTGTTGAACGAGTATTCATGGCCAAATGATGATTCAAATGTTACTCCAAGAGTGGACGAGATTCCAAATGAAAATTCATGATCCGATCAGACTGCAAGGACTCGAGTGGTTCTGAAATTTGCAGTGTTTCTCAAAGAATACTCTCAAACGCGACGACAAGTGGTTGAAACAAAACTTTATGGAGTGCGAAGCAAATAGCAGAAAAAATTCATACGACAACGTTCACTCTCGAGAGCACCTCACGATCATCCTGTAGAAGCTGTTGGTTTGATCGACCGACCACAAACACCACGACACTTAAAAAATTCTTTCTCGGACTAACGATTTGATTTCAACCAACGAACACGGACAGAGAAAACTGGTTGGATTCTCATAGAGCTTTCCGAACATATCGATCAACAATTGATTGTAAATAATTTTTAGCCTCATCCTATCTCGTCGAGTTTAGTGCTCGAGTGTGTGGAGCTCTTTACGCTGACAGCAACAACATAGTTCCGAGTAGAGGTGAATCCTTCAATTTATGAATTGTTATTTATTATTGGAAGATTGTTTTCTGTAGAGGTCAACTCACAAATTTTTGTAATTTACGTCTCATCATTTCTATTATCATCATTATCATCACTGCCACAATCAGTTAAATTATTGTCATCATGGATAGAACTGCTTCTCCGGAATCCAATATCGCTGACCTCGTTTCAGATGATGATTCATCTTCTGTTTCAAGTCTGGATTCAGTGAATGATACTCCAACAAACAATAATCAAACACAATTACTAACAAACACACCGCTGACCATTGAGTTAAATTCGAATCCTCTCATTGAGGTCATGCCAATGACTCCAAACAATCAAAAAGGGCAGCTCTCAATCACAACACCCAACTCTCAAAATAATACTCCAAATTTATATCCAAGCACCGTGTCTGTTTCACCAAGAGGTGCCATCCTGAACAACATGTCAACACCCACCAATCTTCCCAAAGAAAATCCTTCCATACCATCAGTGTCAAGCACAGGCCAACCGAGCGATGATATTAATTCATCCTCAAACAAAATAGATACAACAGAATTTGTTTTAATGCTCTTCTTTCAAGAATTCAAAGAACAAGCCTTGAAAATTATCGATGAGTTCGCTTTCGAAAATGTATGTATTTGTTATCATTTAAATTTCTCATCACAACTGTTTTCAATAGAAGGTGAACGACAACGTCACATCCATAATAGATTCCAGAGTTTTTAGTCATGCAGCACCACGAACCTCCACAAATTGGAACAGCTCTAGCCATGCAACAAATGGATATAATGAATTCATTCAATCAGCTATAGATTTACAATATGGAAACGAGCTATCTTCATATGAAGGATCTTCTAGGGGCTCGATCATGCTTCGTGACGTTACTTTAAACGCAAGTTCTAGAGCTTCTGAAATTTTTAGTGCTTCTCCATTGTCGAACACTTCATTAATGTCATTTTCTCCTGAGTCTTCACACCGAAGAACAGAATCTATTTCCGGTATATACTCGAGTCAATCGTTTGAACAGTTGTTATCTGCATTTTCTGCGATTTCGAAACATCATTTGAATACCATGATTGAAGCACTAATTAATTGGAGAGTTCATCTTGATTGCAATCCTACCACAATTGTGAAAGAAAAAATTAAGGAAAAACTGACAAATCTTTCTAAAAAAGCTTCTCTTGCTAAACAAGAGACTTTGATAGCAAATTTCAAAGAAAGAAAAGAGGTAAGTGTCTTCTTTGATGCTATTGAGAAAATGGTTAATAATTGTAAAATCTTTAGTTGGCTGCCGACTATATATTAAGTTTAACAGTTCTGTTAACATTAGGATCTTTTAGACAACCAGAGCTTTCTCTTAAAAACTGCGAACAAATAGAATTTTTATGTATGGATAGATTTAAAAAAGCACATGTAAATATTACTACTGGATTGGAATCTCTTGTCGAAAGCAAGAAAAAAGTTTTGGATTTATTCGCTGAAATTATTGGTTTAATGTCTGTGAAATGGTTTCAAAAAATATCCGATAATTTCTTAGAACAAGCAAACGCAAGATTGGAATATAAATATGAAGCAGCAAGCTTTATTAGGGCATTGAAGTATGTAAAAATAAGGTTATCCAAACCAGCAGAGGTGAACGAGAGTGTAAATTTATTGAAAAAGATTACAGATTTCTTCTCAAAAGCAAAGAAATCTGAAATTAAGAGAGCATGTGCAGAGGCCTTAACGAATATGTTATCACCTCTTGCTGAATTCGAATACAAAAATGGCATTGATTATCGTGATTGGTTAACGGGACTTAAGAACTTGCTCTCGGTTGCAAAGAAAATGTGCAAGAAAGCATCATATCAGACGGTATGTATTTCATGCATCGACCACGCGATTTGACAAACACTATACTTTGAAAAGACCGCATTTCCATTCAGGGCAGCTGTGCTTTGTCTAAATCCCAAAGCAGTTTTTGTTACTCCATTCAAGGAATATTTAACCGATGTATTCAGATTATGCAAAGATAAGAGCACAAAATTAATGGGACTTGATTGCCTGTTGCATGTTATGGGTTATTACTTGAAAATCTCAAATGAGACTGATCAATCTATGGTTATTGACATTTTAACCAAGACAATAGCAATTATTCTGAGTGGTAAAAAAATACCACCATCAATACCAGCTCTCGACAGTATTTATGATGCCTCTGTAGATATTATAGTCATGGTATCAAATAGCAGAATGGATTATGCAATGAAAAACATGGTTCTCAAAAATTTAGAGCTTGATAGCAGCGTGAGTTTTTTACCAGAGTAAGTATTTTAACAATAATGTTGGCGAGCTGAATCAATGCTCCAATTTTAACAGAACCGTTTATTTAGCTTTGCGAGCGTTTCTTGCTATTGCTGAAGTGAATGATATGAAGAAACTCTCCTCCATGCTGGGAACGGATGAGAAAACCTCCGAATTTCCTTGGGTTCATAAGTTATTGGACAGAACACAGAGTAGGTCGAGCAATGAAACAGAAGGAGATGACTTTGATAAAGACCTCACTGTTCATTCTGTGAGAATGACTTCCCCATTTTCAAGCTATAGAACATTAAGTAACAGCTTTGGATCCAAAGCTTCATCCTTTTACGGAGCTAACTTTTTGGCTAAAACAGAAAAAATCATTGATGCTCTCGAACAATATCAAGAACAAATGTCAGAACGGCTGAGTGGTATTCTGAGGCTATGTATTCAAGTATATGGAAACTTTTTGCAATCAAATCACACAAAACCGTTGCACGAAAATCTTTCAAAGGACAAGTATGCCAGTTTACGTGTTGCTGTAACTTCAATTTCGTGCATTCCGAGAGTACTTCCATGTGACTTTACTAGAAAAGAGCTTTGTGATATGTTGTGTCGATTTATTGTCCATCAGTATGGTGACATTAGGGATGTTTCATGGGAGACCATGTTACAATTAATGGATAACCATACGGATCTTAGACCAGTATTGATACACTCATTTGCTGAAATGATTGTGGCTATTGATGATTTCAGAGCTGACCTATTGAAATCCGTCTTAAAAAAGTTTTTATTCCTTCTTGAGAAATGGATTGCTAATCTTAATAATCCACCATCAACAGAGTCTACTATGACCAGGCCAACAGTATTTGGTAAACTGAAACCAGAAACTACAACCAGTAGCACATACTTTGACCCTGCTCCTATTGAAGCTGTGGGAGTTGTACTATTGTGCAATCTTAATCCGTTCATTAGACTTGCCAGTTTAAGAATTTTCACTCTTGTGCGAACTATTTCACACAAAATTCTTGAAAGGGAAAATAAGACACATACCGCAACCGCTACAGTAGCAGATCTTATCGAAGAGGCAGGAATGAGGAATATCCAAAACATTTGGAAAATTGAAGAACTTCCAATGCCTGACACCTTTGAGAAATTTATACAAGATCCATCATTGTCTTACTTTGATTATCTTACAGATATGTTGCGACTACTTGGAAAGGATTTATCAATATACTGCCAACCTACTTCTTACATTGCTCTTGGACAAATCACAAAACGAATTATGAGACTTAACAATTTATTGGATAGCGTCTATACAAGAATGACTGTCACCAGTGAGATCCAAAGAATTGTAGAATTGTGGAGTCATTTTGTGAATCTTGCATGTGCTATGGCAAGAAAGTCTCTCTTCAGACCACATGAGGAAGAAGAACCATCATCAAAGGGTATTCTCAGAACTCCAAGAATTTCTTCAGCCAAAGATTTATATGAAATGATTTATCCTCATCTAAAATCAAATTATGAAAAACAATCAACAGCAGCTGTGAATGCCTTAGGAGCTGTACCCGACGAATTATTGGAGATTCTTCTCGATAACATCAAACCTCTTGAGAACGAAGCTTACTCTATTGATAAGCAAAAAAAGAACAGGAAAAGAAAAGATTTGTTGAGAGTGCAAATTTCTAGAGTCTATTCTCGACTGTCAAGTAACATTCACGATACAACATTGAAGGAAAAAGAATTTATCAAAGAGAAATTTCTTTCATTCGTAGAGGAACAAATCCAATATAGCAAACAGCCAGGAAACATGTATAACATTGACTTGCAATCTCTCAGACATCACTTATTTATTGTCATTGACAACATTTCGAGAAAGTTATATTATTATTCTCCCAAGGCAGGATATAGAACTTTTGACAAGAACTTGAGAAAGGAACTGATCTTATTTGTGATTCAATGGACTGGTTATGGTAAATCAAGCATTAAACGAGAAGAGGAAGAATTGAACAGTCTCTCTGCTACCATTGAAAAACTTAAAGATCCAGAAGAGAAGAGAAATATGGGAGCTATTTTCAGAAAGAAAACAGCTAGAATGAAGTTTCGATCGTGTGGAGCTGTGGCTGGCCTGTTGCTTGGAGAGTTTTTTGAAACAAATATGGAGATACTCAAAAATTGGAGTTCCATGACACGTATGGAAAACAAGAGAAATCCAAAACTACATGATGATTCTGTCGAAGATGAGGATACTGCTGATGACGAATCCACAACTGTGGTGATTAGAGAAAAGAGCACTTCCATTCGATCTTCACTCTCCATTCTTGACACTGTCCTCCGAAGTAATCCTCCAACAATAATTATGCCTGAAAATTTAGAGCTTGAATCACTTGGTATTACTGTTCTTAAATGGATTGATGAGATCCTTTGTTCACGGTCTTTAGTTTATAGAAAGATTGGAATTGAAGCTATTGAAAACATTTTGTTGTCGAATCCATCATTACTTGACATTTTTGTGGATCAATGCTACAATTGTAGCAAAAAGTTGTCAAAGGGATACTTTGTGGCAATATGTAATGTTTTCGAGAGGTGTGAAATGCCTTGTTCAGTACCAGTGATGTTGACCTTAATTATTTTCAAATCTGTTTCTGAGAGATTATCGAACAGAAATATTTCATATCGACTTCTCAGTTTCATCAGCCAGAGATTCTTCTCTTCCAACACAGAGAGTGGAAATTATCCTTATTACATTTCTAGTGGATTAGAGGACCAATTCTTCAGCAATCAAATATCACTTGCTGCAAAACTTGCTCGTGATCATCCACAACATGCCTACGGAGTATTAGAAGAAGTATTCCAGAGGTTGGCCTATTTACTTCCTGGTGATCAAAGATCTCTTCTAAAATCATTGATTGAATGGATTCCATATCTGAATCTAGATGAGTTGGAAATTCTGAGCTCATTCAGAGGTTCAAACGCAATGCCCAATGACGACATTCTTCTTTCTAAAATACCTGAAAGTAGAAGAGTTTTAGATATCATGTTTGATATAACTAAAACCTATGCCCAGCAATTTCCTGAAGAATGTAAAGAAATGTGGATGAGACTCTCAAGCGATCCATCAAACATTAGAAAAGTCATGATTTATCTCACTGAGAAAGGAACTCAATTCTCGATTGATGCTCCTAACTGCAAAACTCTATTTTCCATTTCACAAAAGATTTCCTATTATTGTGCATGTGCTGGACCACAACAAGTGGTTGATTCACTTGTGGTGGAATATATTCAAAAATCTAGAGATGATATTCCACTTTCTAAACACTACCGAGAGATTTCTCCCAATATTGAAAGTATTGCTGTTTTGACTCAGAGACAAGGTGGACGTTCAGCAACGCCACCTCTTGTGCGTTGTGATGTGGTTCTCATCTTACTGAGTGAAGTTGCATATGATCATGCTGCTGTTTTTAGAAAACATCTTCCTCTTATCCTCCAATATATGTTTATTAGAATGGATCACAAAATCAAATTGGTTTCATACAATGCCAAGCTCTTATTGGTTCACCTGGTGCACAGTTTGGTTGTGAAACAATTACCTCATAATGGAGGAACCTTGGAACAAAACGAACACCTATTCGAAGCTAAAAATTTAATTCATTTCTTGTTGGATTGCAAAACAGATGAATACCTATGGACAAGAGATAATATAACCATTGATGACATGACTTTGGGCCAAATTGCAGGTAACACAAGTGCAATGTTTTTCTCCAACTTGGAAGATGACTTGGGTGACTATGCTCAAAGATCTATTGATGAAAAACCGAGCATGAATCCAGTGAGTGACAATGTCAAGCAATTGACCTCCCTTGTGGAACGTGTTGTTTTTATTTTGAAGAATGAGCCAAATATTAAGAGCGAATGGGGATATCAATCTCTTATTTGGGCAACAAGAAGCAGCTCGATTCACAATGTTGTCCGTTCATACCAAATTTATCGTACTCTTAGACCAGAATTAAGAAAGAGTGATTTTGTTATAATTTTACAAGATTTAAAGAAGTATTTGGAGGAACTTTATTCAGGTGATTCGCTTCAAGTGGACAAGTCAGTTCCAATTGATACGACAAAGATTGCCATTGTCGTTGAGATTATTGAAACCATCCGTGTTGTGGTAAAACATATGGAAAGAACTCGACTGGTGTTATTCCCACAAATATTTTGGCTTTCTACAGCGCTACTCTATAGTGATGTTACTCATATTTATGTGTATGCGTTACGTTTGTTAACACAAGTGTTAAAACGTCTTGACATTAGTGACGATGCAATTAGAAATGTGATCATTGCTTCAAGACCCGAGATTCTCTCTCCTACTACAGACATTCAGGATTTATTGACGAAAGGTCTTCTCAATCCCTTCTCTGAGCCATTATCGATTGAAATCTTGGCCATATTTTTCAAGATTGACTGTGACTTGATGACTGACACTGGACCTTACATTAGATTTATCATGAAGAACATGATTGGATTACTGCCAAGACTTTGTTGCCACATTGATGACACAAACAAACTCAAGTGTTGGTCCATTGCATCTAACATTGTAGAAGTGTGTGAAAATGCATCTCTCAAGAGATTGGCAAAAGTATTTTCAAGATATTCGAAAGGTTATTATACTTCATCAGACAAATTTTTACTTGACCTTCGAAGGCCATTCTCTGAAGCCTTTTTCCCCAAATTTGAAAAAGAAGTTTTTGATTTTTTCATTGAGCTTCTTCAGTTTGGACCAAAATTATATCAAAAATCCCTTCTCTCCATTCTGCATTCATTGCTTCTTCATGCAAATATTTCAAAGAATAATATTGGAAAGAAGAATGGATTTGTGGCAACCATTATTGAAATGTTAGAAGGCCCATTATGGTATGAAGCGACTCGTGTTTTGGATGTCACTGTTAAAAACAGCTTTGAGAAAGAAAGAAAAGATCCTATTCAATGGAATCAAAAAGGTGTTGAGAGTTTAAATATTAAGCAATTACGTATGAATAACAGCATGCCTAGATATTTCTTTGGATATCATGCTGGACCTGGTATCAAACAATGTATCAATGTGATTCAAAGTATTTATAACTATAGCGTGCTTCCTGTTCATGAAGAAGAAATCAACTTGTTGGATTTAGTTGAAGAAATTCACTCCACTCCTGAGCCTTCTTCTCCAACCACGATACGAATCACCTCATATCCTGAATTAGCAATTTCCTCTGTACAAGATATTGAACATTTGGAATTTGACATTTCGGACGAGGAAACAATCACAGAAGACAGTGCTGAGAACATATCCACCGAGTTCGATGATCAAGCAACAGATAGTGATTTATTGTCAACAGCAAGCAAATACAAAATGACATATGACAACTCAGAAAACAGTGAGGAGGAAGAAATCAAAAAGTTGGATGAACTTTTACTACAGACCATCCAAATGATAGCATCTGAAGTTAAGCCCCTTGTATCTCCGTATGTCACAGCTTCAATACCATTCGATAAGAGTGCTCCAAGCTCGCCACAAAACATGATGAAGGTTCCAAAGAAACGAACATCCTCTTTCTCATCCTCAACCAATTCCCTTCTAAATAGAAAATTCCAATAAATTGAAATTCAAATAGGAGCTATTTTTGCTTGTATTTGCATATTGGGAACATCCATTCCAGCTAAAATATTAAAAATTGGATTAATGAACAGTCATGTGCAACAAAGTACGTACCATCAATTTATGCTCCATTTCTGTCATTTGCGGATTAAGTGGCTTATCGAGTGGTGAAACAAGATCACTCATTTTCTTTAAAGATTCCAATAAATCAAAAGGTCCTTTGTTTCTTGTTTTAAATTCTTGTCGTTGTTTCCATTCTTCGTAAGAAAGAGTTTCAATATCGTTGTCAGAGTCTTCATCCTCATCCAAATTGTACAAAATATCTGAAAAATCATACTTGTTTTTATCTTTCTGAATGACAATGTTGGTTTGGTTTTTTGCTTTTTGTTGCTTTTTTGGAATAAAAGAAAATTCTTCATCATCGCTTGATTTTCTAAATTTTGAAAGGGATTGCTGCAACTGATCCGATAATTTATCTTTCGGAAGCTCTTTCTTTCCTTCTTGTAAAGACTCTTCTTCATCCTCTTCCGATAAAATTTTCCTCGAATTCGTTTTACTTGATTGATCATCAAGCCTTTTATCTTTTTGGAAAGACCAATCCGAGTAATTTGGAATTTCCTCATCTTGATCATTTTCTTCCAAAACTTGATCTCCCCCACCAGGTAGTAAATTTAGAGGAGTTTTATTTTCTTCTTTCTTAAAAGACCACTGAGAGTAATCGGGAATATCTTCATCATCGGTCTCTTCATGAAGTTCTTCCACAACGATCGAACTCGGTTTGTTCATTTTTTTGTTTAAAGAGAGAAATTGATGATGATTGCATTTCATCCTGTCTAAATGACTGTCTATCATCACCTTTGTAGAGACATTTCACTACAGGGTATTATCATGACGAGGTGTCTGTCCACAGGCACTTGCTTTGATTTTCAAGTTCAAATTCTTGTTTGAATATTCCTAAAAAAATTCAAAAAAAAAGTCATCCTTTCCCTGCATTGGATCTCTCTTCAGGTCGTCGACGATTGGCTCCATTGACAGATAACAACAACACTCATTTCATCATCATCATCAACAATATCAAACAACGTAGATGGGAGTTCCGGGATTTATCTATTGGTTGGATACCAACATTTTGAGAGGACTTAAACGACAACAACATAAACAACAATTACAACATGGTGATGATGAGCCTCATGAAGATATTCCAACTATTCAATTTGATATTCCGAACAAAGAGCCTAACGTTGAAAAAATTATTAAAAGACAAGTAGATAACTTTTATATCGATCTTAACGGTTTAATTCATCCATGTTGTCATCCACAAGTGGGTAAAAAGCCTCAAAACGAAGATGAAATGATGCAACGAATTGTAGATGAATTACTATTCTTGGCAAGAACAGTATCACCTAAAAATTTGTTTTATATTGCAGTGGATGGTGTTGCACCTGCAGCTAAACAAGAACAACAACGTCATCGTAGATTTGTTGCAGTCAATGATCATGAAATTAGATCAAATTATATCAATGAAATTCAAGAACGATATAAGCAACAAATGGAAACTCAACATTTAAAGAAAGAGGTCAGCAATGAGGAAAAGAAGGATGAAATGAAGGATGATGCTCTTGAACAAAATCAACAGACTGAAAATGAAACAATGCAAGAAAAGAACGAAGCAACGTTAACAAACAATAACGAGTCAACTCAGCCAGGATTCTGGGCTCGATTGGAAGCAAAGAAAACTCATTGGGATCACAATGTCATTTCTCCAGGAACACCTTTCATGGTTCGGTGTATGGAAACAGTGCACCAAGCAGCTGACTTGATCGTTCAAGAGTTTCCAAATGTCAAGGTCATTGTGAGTGACAGTAGTGTTCCAGGAGAGGGTGAACACAAAATTTTGAGTTACATGAAAAAAGAAAAAGCAATCAATCCAAAATCCTTTTCTCATATGGTACACGTAGTGCACGGTTTAGATGCTGATTTAATCATGCTTACCTCTTTGATTGGTTTACCACATATTTATAGTTACAGAGACAAGGAAAATGTCAGAGACAAGAGAAGAGAGAAGGAAATATTTGATATTTCTGCATTGGGAAAACTATTTGCTCGAATTATTGTTTCATCCATTATCACTCTTGACAAAACACGAAAAGCAAGAGAAGTTAAATGGAGTAATGAGAGTCTAGTGTCAGACGTCGTTTTACTTTTGATGGCTGTTGGAAACGATTTTTTACCAAATATTCCTTCTCTCGTCATGCACAATCATGCTGCCTCCATCATCATGTTTGCTTACTCAAAATATTTGATTCAATGTCTTGCGACTAAGAAAGGAAAGGGATCTAGTATTGACCCTTCAGAATACTATTTGGTTGACCACAAACAAGGAGTGAAGGTCAATATTAGAAATTTCGTTAAGGCACTTTCAACAATTCGAGACGAATCTGTTTTCGGCTTATTTGTTAAAATGTACAGCAGTAATTTAAGAAAGGCAACTGAAAAACAAGCATCAGATGTGTTTCAACATGAAGACATTATTGATGGTATCAACCAAATTGTTGGAAGTAGAGGACGTATTCAAGAAGCGAAGTTTGACAAAGTTTGGAAAGAAGTTTCGAAAAATTCAATCTCTCATGATTCATATCAAATTGTTTTCAAAATTTTGAAAGAGTTCTACACGAGTATCGACAAGAAGAATTCATCCGTCAATCGAACCTATGATGAGGCATCTATTTTGAACCGATGTTTAAGTAATGCCAATTTTGTGCTTGAGCAAATTCCTACCAGTTTGATTTTAAAGTATAAGGATGAAATTCATAAAGAATATTACGAAAAAAAGTTTGGAAACAGTTCCACAGAATTTAGAAAGAAGTTAGTGAAGGAATTTTTACGAGGTGTAGTATGGTCGTTCACTTATTATTCATACAATGATCCACCCTCTTGGACATGGAGATTCCCATTTCATTATGGACCCGTTTTGAGTGACGTTTCTGATTTCATGAAAGATCTCCAAGATGAAGAATTGATTAAGGAAATTAGCACTTTTGAAAAGGGAGCACCACTGACACCCTATGAACAATTACTGTGCATTCTACCAAAAGAAAGTATGGGAAATTGTTTACCACAAACATATTTGGACATATTGAACGATGAACGATTGAATGAATTTTTCCCTTCATCATTCAAGAGAGACGGTAATTTTTCAGGAATTATTTATAAGGCAGTTTCTCTTCTTCCTTCGATTGATATTTCGCTTGTGAAGAGCATCTCAAAAGAATTAGATCCATTATTGTCATCAGAAGAAAAACAAAAGAATTCGGTAGGATATGATGTTATTTATGTGGCAACCGATTCTGATGTGAATCAAGAATTAAGACAAAAGCTCAGCGATTCTTCCTCTGAAGAAGACCCACACATACCACTATCCTTCAATCAAGACAGTATTTTATCTGGCATGTTCAAAAAGATGGATAACAAGTTAATATTTAACTCTTCAGATCCATCCATCACACCTTCCAATGTATTGCATGCCAATGTTGCTTCCTATCTTTACAAACCAAGTGAGGTGAATATTGATATGGCATACCAGACACTCGAAAAGACTCCTGTTCCAAGAGGACGTTTAAATGTCTCATTGACCAGACAATTAACCAAATTCACCCAAGTTGGAACCTTTGTGAGAGAATCAGAGAGTGACGATTTACGCACTCTCTCTGATCGTGGGTCAACTACCAATACTAGCGCTCAAAAGAGAAAGTACAACAAGGATAAGAATGTAGATGGACCTCGAAGAAAGGTTGCTAAAACAGAGAGTGGTCATCCACAAGGAAATCAACATTTATCAAGATCCAATTCTCAAAAATCGTCACAGAAAGAAATGGATGAACGCAAACCTATTAAGGCAAAGAGAAGAATGAATAAGCAACAGAACTCTACAGAGAAACAACAAGCATCCGTGGTGACCATTGAAGATGGAATGGAAACCACCACTGCTACAGCGCACTCTGAAGCAAAGGTTGAAACCTCTTCATTGACGACGAAAAAGAAGGAACATCCTACTACTGATTCTTCATCTAATCACAACGAATCATCAACAACAACAGAATCTACAGTAGCTGAGACAACCACAACCTCACATCGAACGACTTCTAAGGAAGCTGAGAAGAGAAAGAAGAAACGACAACGACAAAAGGCCAATAAGAGACTAAAGAAAGAAGCAGCTGCATCTTCTGGTGGTAACGCAGCTACTATGACTGTGGTGACATCCAACAACAGCAATGATAGCAACACAAACCATGTGAAGCAAGAATCCATGACATCCACTCACAACAACACCATGGTGAAGAAGCAAGAAAAAGCAACAACACCTCAAGGATCTCAAAACAAGCAAAAATTGAAGGAAAATACCAAAGACAAGTTGATGGCACTCATGAACAAGTTAAAGAAATAAACTTGTCCAAATCCATTGGAGTGAAGTTCCGCTTGTTCTTCTCTACACAAATTCACATCCAAAAAAATGCTTTACAGTTGTTGTATCTTTAATCGCATGGGAGAATGTATTTTCTACAGAGAATGGAACACTTCCGATAAATATAAGAAGAACAGTGAATCTAAACATCAGTCACAAATGAAATTGATGTATGGATTTTTGTTTTCAATGAAGAGATTTGTGGAAGGTATTTCACCAAAACCGTAGGTGTTTGTGAAACATTTGTTTTTCAAAAGATACATGTAATTCCTGTAAATTCCGATCGGATCAATCATCATGATGTTTGGAAATTAATTTTGAATTTTCATGGAAATTGAATCATCTCTATTGGTGTTGACATCACCAAAATTGACACTCATTGACGATCAACACCAACAGAGAAAGCCAATTTCAAAGTTTTAAAACCAACAATTACAAATTACACTTTTTTGAATCACCAACCGGAGTAAAATTCATTCTCTTGACTGATCCCAACGTTGGCAGTATTCAGAATACTTTACAAGAAATTTATTCAAAATTATATGTGGAATTAGTGGTGTTCAATCCCGTAGAAAAGACACAAGAAGGAATCACGAATACTCTTTTTGTGAAACATTTAGACAAACATCTGAGCCAACTTCCTTGGTTCAATTAGAAAGAGCTGCTGTAAATATAATAAAATTCATCCGATGAAATCTCAACAAGATGACCAGAAAGATGACTTTCATTCGTTATACCTTGTAAAATATATTAGGATTGAATTAGATTTCAATTTGGGTTTATTATTTGGTTATCCCATGATTATTATTGGAGGAAATGGAGAAGGAAGAGAAAGTGGGAGAGATGGAACAATCATTTTCAAAATGGTGATTCTGGAGGATTGATGCATTCGTTTCCATCCGAATAGTTTAACGAAAACTAGTACTGGTCGTGTTTTTCGAATGTATGGATGGTTTGGGAACTAGTTGATGATGGCAAAATTAATAATCCACTTGGGAATAAACGGCATCAGCTCCGAGTAAATCAACAGGAATAGGTTGTTGAGCCTCGAAGCCGTGAGTGTCCTCTGGATAGATGTGTACTCGGCTCATTCTCGTTTTACGCATTGCCTCTGAAGTTTTTGGAAGCATTCTCCTGATGGCTGTTTCAAGAACATAGGTAGGAAATCGTTCATGTCTTTGTTGTGCAGTATATTCCTTCAATCCGCCAGCATATCCGGTGTGCCATCTGTACATTTTACGTTTCCATTTATCGCCGGTAAAAGCCACATGTTTAGCATTAATAATAACAACATGGTCTCCACATTCTTGTCCCATATGAGGTGAATGAATGGGTTTATGTTTACCGATGAGGATGGGAACAATTTTAGAGGCGAGTCTTCCTACCACTTGATTCTTGGCGTCCACGAGATAGAAAAGCTTTTGACCAGTGAGCACTGTGTTCATTTTTGTTTTGCAGAAATTGAATTATTTTGAAAATTTGGATAGCATGTGATTTGGATGTTTGGGTTTTGTTTATTATATATTTCATGAATACATATGGGGAATATCCGTCCTCGATGAAGGATTGGTGGAAATTTTCTGCATGTTTTGTGAAGGTTAATTAATTTTTTTACATTATTCAATTATTTATATAAAACTAATATCTATTTGAATTGAGAATACAATTAAAAAGAATTCCTTGAAATAATTAATTATTTGATACCTTGATAGGGTTCACCTCAAATCCTTCAAGTTTGAGTTGTTGTTGATAAATTTAAAAGATTTTCAATCACAAGGTCATTAAAAATTATTTCGATATGAAGAATTAAAAGAAAATACAAAATTTAAATATCGGTCAGAGAAACACTGCATTGAATACTTCAGTTGCAACTCACCCTTAAGTACCACCCAAACATGTTGTCCATCTTCCAACACTTCATGAATTATTCCTTCGGGATCTAGAGCTTCTCCATCATCAGTTTTTAAACCTTTCGGAACTCCCAGTTCCAATCCAAAATTATTGTCATATCGAGCAAGAGCTACATGAGCAAGCCATATCACTCGTTGCTCTCCCGATCCACAACTCACTGAAAAAGTTTTTTCCTATTCATGATCATGAAAGGTTCGGATGAGATGCAATCAGTCTACTGTAAACGAACCTTTAGATGGACATTGATCTTCATTTTTGTTTTACAAAATGCTGAAGTCGTGTAGACTCGGATGGTACTCTGTTATAAGCTTGTCAGCAGTGGAAGTTTATGATGAAATCACTGTAGCGACAAGTTCAATGAACTATCCCTTCATAGTTATAAAACCTCCCAAATTTAGTTTGAAACTCATAGACAAGGGTACCATAAACGGCTGTGGCCGAGTGGTTAAGGTGTTAGACTGCGGTAATTAAAATTGCTTGGGGACTGAAGATAGTCCGCATTTTCAAACTGATTGGCTAAAGATCTTCCAACATTATATACTGCACCTCTAGCTGTTTCAAGGAATTGAACACTGGGATCTAAAACAACAATTTTCACCATGTCCTTTTCTTTCTTTGGAGTGTTGTCATAATGAACTGGAAGTGAGAGAATACGAGGTGCTGATGTTGAGTCACCATCCTTGCTCTTCTTTTTCAAAATTTCATCGGTAAAATGTACCCAGGTCCATAGAAACGGAAAGACAACACTTCCTTTGATTCGTAGATAATTGAAGTGGACATTCCATGCTGACAGCAATATCACCTTAATAAATGAATTGCTAACGAATGTGATTAGTGTGTAAACACGCTCACCATGAATATCTTTTTGATTGACACTAAAGATATTCTTGTTCTTTTCCTTATGGACGTCACCAAAAGTAAAACCAAATAAATATCCAAGACTAAATGTCTTGGGTGCGAAATACCAATAATAAGGAATATTCTTCAAAGTTCCAACCAGCGCTTGTCTCCAACAGGGTTGGTATCCATTTCTTATGTTGAGTCCCAACCACTATCATTGGCTGGTACCATGTTGGAGAAGATTTGATTCCTCTCCAGAACCGTATGGAATTGCAATCACATGTTTGATGCAACTATTCTTCCAAAGGCTTTAAGAATTTCTAGTGATTCCTTTTGAATTGAAGAGGAGTCCAACAATCCAAAAAGATCGAGGTAAAAGATCGATAAGTTTCTGACATTAATGGAAAAGAAATCTAAGGTACCGATAGATTTTGGAAAGTATTTGTCTTCCGGATCCTTGGAAATGAGTGCCAAACCCAATTCGTTTGAAGTACATGTCATCACTTTTTGATAAAGACTCTCCATTTGGACATTCTGCGCTGCTTTGATTTTGTTGGTCACCATCTCAACAAGGAGGTTTTGTTTTAGTAAGCCTCCTTTTTTATAACTGTCATAGGTGGATTTAAGTCGTTCATTCTTCAATAACGTTTCCTTAGAGCAGTTGCGGTTAAACCTGAATCAAACGCTTCTTTCATAGAATTCTGGAAAGCAGGCAATGCGTGCTTCCATGATATTAGTTTGTTTTGCGTTGTCGCACACAATGCAACAGTGGAGATAAGAATACTATCTTCTTCGTGGGTCCACTTATGTTTTGCAGCTCCGTGAGTTTTTCAAGTTCGCTTGGAAGATTTTGACGTTGTTGTCATCTTGGGTTCTCCGAACAATGATTCATGTTCATTGATATCAGAAAAGAAGTCCTGATGGCTGACTGATTCAATTAAGAGTCCTCGTCGACCACGATAACTCTTTTTGAAAAAGAGTCATCCGAAGTTTTGATTTTCTTTGGGGATGAACAGACCTCCTGCTTTGTTTGGGATGAAAAGGCTTGCTTTGTTCTTTTCATGACGAAGAAATGTCAAAGCAAAGGATGATGCGGGTATGAGAAATATAATGAATTAACATCATATGTGAAGGAAAGACAGAGCAAGCAAGGTTTGAGTTGTGTGTCAGCTACAGATTGTCTTTTTGGTAAGCGTAAATACTTTGCACAACTTTAACCTTGATCTCTAAAACTATATTTCGTTTGTGAGAGATTTGAACCTTTTCGTTGACATCAAAAAAATTTTCAACAGATTTTTTATAAAAAATTTATCGCGGTCTGCAGGACTCGAACCTGCGAAGGTTTCCCCATTGGATTTCAAGTCCAACGCCTTAACCACTCGGCCAAAACCGCTTACGATTGATAATAGTGATATTAATGATTGATGATTAAACAAGAATTGACCTCGAACGCTGTCTGAACACACCCAAACCTCACATCTTCTCAAAGAGATATTCTGAATTGTTGTATTTTCACAAACAACTGCATCGAATCACCAAAGACGGTCTATTGAAATATAGACGCATTAATTTTCTAAATTAAGAGTGACACGCTGTGGACTCGAGCCAAAATGTTTCTCGCTTCTTGTGTGTTTTGTTGTGAGAGAATCTCAGCGGTTACCACCATGTCTTTGCAAAATTAAAAACAAACTCGCTGGCAAATTTGGCCTCGAGTTAAAACACTATGTCTCTCTTGATTTCGTAAAGATGTGACATCTTAATAAGTTTTTTAATTAAAACACACTCTTGATTTCGTATAATAAAAATTTGATCATGAATACTAAAAAAAAATCAAGCAACAAGAAATGGGAGTACCCTTCTTTTTCTCATGGCTATTGCAAGAATGCCCTGAAATGATTCGGGAAGTGGTTCCTTCATCCTCCTCCGAAATCAAACAAGAAAACAAATTTCCCATTGATCATCTCTTTCTTGATTTGAATGGGATCATTCATACCTTTAAAGATTGCAATTTGCAAACAAAATTACTTGATCCATTATTAATTTCCAAAAACAGCAGAAATGAGCAAAGTGGAATGGAAGATCAAGACTTTTCAACTCACGATCAAGTAGACACACTAGAATTAACATTTGAACGATTTATTCTATCCATCATGTTGTACATGGAAGAAATTGTTTATCGGTTTCCTCCGAAAAAGACTTTATACTTTGCTCTTGATGGTGTTGCTCCTGCAGCAAAAATCAATCAACAACGAGAGAGAAGATGGGTCTCCTTTAGGAATAGTAGTGGATTACCAAAAAGACAAACTTTGGGACATTCAAGTAGAAGCAGCAGCACTAGCAGTACCAACCACACCAATCAAGAGAATGATACTCTGTTGGATTCCATTTCGATCACAAGTGGGACCTCTTTCATGAAACAATTATCGGAACATTTACAATTTTTCATCAAGAGAAAACTTCAAGATGATCAAAATTGGAGAAGTATTGAAAACATTATATTTTCGGATTCCTCTGTACCGGGAGAGGGCGAACACAAAATTATTGCACACATTAGAGAGTTGCAGAAATCTAAATTATCAACCAGTCAAAAATCAATTGCGAATCATCATGAAAAATTTATGATTTATGGAATGGATTCCGATTTGATATTTCTCGCACTTACGACACATGAAGAGCAATTCTACATTTTACGTGATTGGACGTCATCGGTACAAATGAATTCACAACAACTTTATCATAACTGGCGTGTCAAGAGAAGGCTGAAACAAGCTAAAGGTTATGATAAGGATCGATTCGATCACAAGTTTCATGTGGTAGACATTTCTGTTGTGAGAAAATTAATTTCAGATTACATGAAGAATCAAGAGGACAAGTCTGCACCTCCACTCGAATTTGATTTGAATCGAGTGATTGACGATTTTGTTCTAATGCTTTTTCTGTGTGGAAATGATTTTGTTGCGAGTATTCCAACGCTCGATATTGGAAAAGAAGAGAATGCATTAGGATATTTATTTAAAGTCTATCGTAGTTTATTTACAACCGCCTTTAATTACCAATACATCTCAGACACTAGTAATACATCAAAATTAATTGACGTAGACAAGCTCGAACTATTCATACAGGTCACTGGGAAATTGGAAGTTCGAGTTCTTACAAATCGACTCAAACGAGAGTTGGATTTATTGAACCAAAAAAAGAAAATGGAAGAAGAAAAACAGAAAAAGAAGGAAGAAAAAGAAACAAATGCTGGACATACCAATGATAGTGATTTAGAACTTGTTTCATCAAGTGTGAATCCAGAACATTTTAAAAATTTGCTCTCCATGATAGACTTGGACAAGGTCATGTGTTTGAATGCTACACAAGATTTGAAACAGTTTTTAATGCTTTCATCAATCACAAAAAGTGTGTCAGGAACCTTTACTTCTCAATATTTGGTGAAAAGCACTATCGATTCTGAGATCATGTTTGGCATTCACTTTAAACAACCACTTAGTCTTTGCAGCTTAATTTTACGAATGGGAAACACTGCACAACAATTGAATGGAATGGTGGTCAAACTTTTTGTAAATCAAAATGTTGACTTTGTAACAATGGAAACTCACAAAGTCACTCAAGAATTTTCCTCTACTGACCTTTCAAATGCACTGCCCACTTGTGAACTCAAGTTGAAACTTCATGCATTCCAGAATGTGAGCAGACTCACTCTCATTATTGAGAATACGATTCAAAAAACTCAGACGACCATCGTGGAGCAATTGGTTCTATTCGGAAATGTATCCACAAAGACAGGATCTAAACTTTTAAAAGTATCAAAAAAACAATGGAAAAAGAAGGATTACAGCCATCAAAAAAAGCACAACATTTCCTTTGAGATTAGCCAAGAAGAAGAACGTGTTAAAAAATTTAAGGTTCTTACGAGTTCCATATCTTTAAAGAAGAAGGAAGGAATGCCTCCTCCTCCCTATGTGGATATTGAAAAATGGAAGACAAATTACTACAAGAAGAAGCTGAATATTGTGTATGATCATTCTGTGGAATGTGGAGGTGGTGAACAAGTCAGGCAGCTCGTTTCTCAATATGTACATGCTTTGTTTTGGGTCTTTCATTATTATTACTTTGGAGTTCCTTCTTGGGAGTTTTCGTATCGCTACCATTATGCGCCATGTGCGAGTGATTTTAAACATCTTAAAGGTCTTTTCAAAGATGGTATTGTGACATTCCAGAAAGGCAGACCTTTCAATGATATCGAAGGTTTGTTGGCAGTTCTTCCACTTTCGAGAATAAGTCTTGTCGAGGAGTGTTTAAATGAAAAGCAAAGACATAGGCTGAGGTTTGGACTATCTTCTCCCACATCTCCTCTTCACGCACTTTTTTACACCCCATCTACTCACGCGGAACATCCTTTTCAACCCATTGAAGATGTCATTGAGATTGACCCAAACGATGAGGGACTAAAAACCTCATTGAAAGATCCATTCTACCACTACTCGAGAATGGTTGTACATTTAAGGATGGTTGACGTCGTAGAGATTCGTAAGATTGCTAGAGATATTTTGGGCGATGAAGATGTCAATAATTCAGAGAGATCCCATATTTTGATTTTTAGGTGGAACGATCGAGAGGAATCTGCATTAAGATTGATTCCTTCCACAATTTCAGTGTTACCTGACATTGAGAACTCAAAGGTAAAGGTGACCAGTATTCCATTTGAAAATGACAGTAACGAGATAATTAAGCTTCATATTTAAATAAGAAATGTTATTGGATAAATAAATAGGAGAGAAACCAAAATATGGTCATTGGGTTATTTGGAGAGATTTCTGTTCTCTTCTGTTTGTTGCTTCTTTTGTTGATTGATTTTATCAGTGTAGTTCATAATCTCTTTTCTAAGGTCCAAACCAAGAGATTCACTGCCAAGGATTTGTTGCAATCGCTTATCAGGAAATCGTGACAAGGCTTTACCATCCATTGAGGTTGGGAATTTAGTGAGGTGCTTCTTGAACTTTCCTTTCTGAATAGAACCAATCCATTCCAATGTTTCTTCATAAGTCATTTTGGCAATGGGCTTCAAAATATTGGTTTTCTTTTGGTAGGGATCAGCTCCAAGAATATCTTGGACAACCATTTTTTCTCCTGCCATATTGCTGTCACTGCTCATCATGAGGCAAGTATGTTTCAAAGTATTGATCGTATGTTCAGTGTCACATGCGAGAGGAGAAACAGTGGCAACAACGACAGTATGGGGTCGCTTCTTTTTTTCATCAATTTCAAAACAGTCCTTCAAAACTCGAGTTAACTTGCTTGTTCTGAAAGGGATGTGGACCTTACTGCCCTCATTTTCCTTGTTTAGAGCAACACATCTAATGACTTCTTTCAAGGCCATCAGAGAACTGTTAATTTGAGCGGTCTCCTTGAGTCGTTCAATATCATGCTCGTTGGAGTCTGCGTTTCTTTCGGAGCCGGCCAAATCACACAGTGTTAATCTTGCAAACTGCTTTCCAGTGGCTGGGTCATCAATGAATACTCTGCAAATGTAGTGAGATCGTGACGAGTTAGAATTCACTTTAGTGGCATGAGTCTCTCTCAACTTTGCTGCGTAGTTGTACAACTCATTTAATTCAGATCCATTATTCAATGCACACAACTTGTTTCCGCAAATAACGACCTCTCCGTTTTTTCCTTCTCTTAAGGCCACTTCAGCGTGGTCACTCAACAAATCATAGGCTGTCTCACCGATGAGTTCAATGCATGTGGCAGTTACAGTAAACTTTCCTTGATTCCCTAATTGTGTAAATAGATCTTTTGACAAGAGTTTCACCAATCCTGTGATTGTGAACTGCGTGCGTCATGATCATTCAAGTGAGAGCATATTCAATAAGAAATACTTACAGTCTTTCCACTTCCTGTTTGTCCAAAGCAAAACATGGTTCCAACGTTTCCACTGGCAACATAGTCAATCAACGGTTTCAAAGCTGAGGCATATACTTGATCGGTTGTGGATTTTTCATTGAAAACCTCAGTGTTTGGATAAGGGAACTTGTACGACTCCACATATGCAAGATTAGGTTTCATGGATGGATGCATTCTACAATCGTGCACAATTATTTCATGCTTTTTACACGTTACTACATCGTACTCGCCTGCTTTGATTTCTCTCTCAAAGGTTGGTCTTTTTCTAATGAATACCTTGACAACGTCGTCTGATTGTGATTGCCGCTGCTCGGAAGAAGACGTTGGACTTTGAGCATCATCATCCATTCCGTCTCTATAGTATTGTATGAGCTTCATGTAAAGTTCGCTATGCTCGCGTCTGTGAGTATCCAAGAATGTTCCATCAAATATGTATCATGATTAATTTCAATCATTCATGTTGCTAAACAAACACTCACCTATAGCTTCTCTTATCAATATTTTGACCCATGGTTTAATGTGATGATGATGTGTGGTGGTTTGAAAATTGTGTGAGCCTCGAATGAGCCTTTTTGTGTTTTTTTTGAAAGTGTATTTTTGTAGCGGGATTGGGCGCCAAATCGATTTCCTCTTCATTTCACACGGATATATTTAACTTCGAAATAATGTCGATCAACAACAATCGAATATTTATAAATATAATATAATAATAATATAATAATAATCATCGATGAAATATTATATAATAATAACGAACAATGAGACAATAAATTCTTCAGCGAGTGCCGGTGGAATTGTGAAAAAATGCAGCAACTTGCTCGGACAGCACAATCCGTCATTTTCTTTTTGCTGTTTTCTTCTTTTTTAATTTATTCAATCAATGCCCAGACGACCATTGATGGCTTTATCAAAACAAAGGATGAATTGAAAGATACTACGTTTGACTATAGTACAATTTCTATTCATTTGATGAACAACAAGGGCTATGTAAAGGAAAAGGTTGAAGTATCACCCGAATCGGGATTTTGGCTTCTTCCGATTTATGATGAAGATGATAAGAGTATTTATACGTTGAGAGCTGTTTCAACCAACAAGGCTCTTTCGATTGAACCCGAAGGTATTGAAGGAAATTTGAAGACTCTTGCTTCCAAGAAGAATTTAGACTTTTATATTGTTGGATATAGAATCACAGCTACGGGCGCCATCAAAGTTCAACAGTTAGATTCCGAATTATTACTGGACGGAGCACCTGCTGGTATTCAAGTTACCTTGAAAAAAGGAAATCAAGTTGAGAGAAAATCAATCACAAAACAAGATGGGTCTCTCTCTTTCGACCAAGTATTGCCTGGTAATTATGAGTTGGTCGCAAGTCATCCAGAGTTAATATTTGCTTCGCCTTCTACTTCCTTGACGGTGAACAAAGATGGCTCTATTCAAATGGGTAAGCCAATTATTATTGGTGGCTTTAAAGCTGTAGGAAAAGTTGTGCTATCATCAAGTATTGAAGGATCTGAGAGTGACTTACCAATTGCTGGTGTTACCGTTTATCTTAAGAAACCTGCTCAAGCTGTGGACAACAGAGAAATCTCTCTACCTTGTACAAAACCTAGCGAACCAGCAAAAGGTATTTGTGTCACTACCACTGATAGCAATGGTGTGTTTGAATTCAAGGGATTACCTGTACTTGTGAATGGGGATTATGTGGTGAGTGCTGAATACAAAAAATTCAACATTGATCCATCCGAGATTAGGTTTAAGCTTTCAACGCCAAATAATGTTGTTATTAAGAGAAGCTTTAGAGTAACTGGTTTTTCTGTGAGAGGTCAAGTTCTTGACGCCAAAGACAAACCATTAGCAAAGGCCAAGTTGATAATCACTAACAAGAAAACGCAAAAAAGAAAAGAAAAAACCACTGACAATGAAGGATTCTTTACATTGGATGATTTAAACGGAAACGAAGTCTTGGATATTCAGACTGAATATATTGGTTTCACTTTCCCAAAGGTCACTGTATCCCCTCTTCCATCAAAAGCCCAAATAGATAACATTAAGCCAACCCATGTCCAACTTTGCGGAAATTTGATCAGTGACACTGCTTTGAGCCAAAAGAGACAAGTTATTCTTAAGGTTGCAGATCAAAAGTTACAAACATCTACAAAGAATGATTTCTGCTTTGACGTACCAGTTCAAAAGAAAGCCACTACTACTGCAACATTGGAAGTTTTGCCTGAAAATGACCAATTTAACTATCATCCCCAAATATTTGAGTTCCACAACGAACCCATGAAGGGTCTTCAAATTGCTCAAAAGTTCTTCAAACTTGATGTTCATCTTAAATTGAAGTCAGCAGAAAAGGCAACTGTTATTCTTTTGAATAAGGAAAACCGTAAGATTTCCCAAAAAGATACTGATACAACAACTCCAGTTCGCTTTGAAAACTTATTACCAACGAGATATATTGTTCGTGTTGAACAACAAACCGTGTGTTGGAAATCAAATTCTAACGAAGTGATTGTTGATCTCAGAGATAAGGATCAAGAAATACTATTCGAACAAATTGGATATAGCATTACAGTTAGATCTTCTCATGAAGGAGTTAAACTTTCTTCTAAACTCAAATCAAGCACAGACAAGACAGTTGTAACCTCTTTACAAAAAGGAATGAATTCACTTTGTGTACCTACACATGGTGTGTACGAACTTTCCATTCAAGAGAGTTGCTTCAAATTTAAGGATGGAAATAACTATGAATATGATACCGCATCACCAAAAGTTATTGACTTGGAGGTCTCTGGATACTTAATTAGAGGGCAAATCAACACACCATCAAATGAGAATGTTAAGGTTCACATTACCAACCTTGATGCACCTCAAGAACAAGCCACCGTTACCGCTACAAGAAGTACAAATACTTTGATTTACCAATATTTCACCTCAACAGCTTCAGAGAGCTCCTTTGAGATTAAACCGCAAAGTGATGCTTTGTTATTCTTCCCACAAAAGAGAGTATTCAAAATTACTAAGGAAATGACCCAGAGTGGTAAATGTATTCCTGAAATTCCTTCATTTGATGGAAAAGAGGGAAGATACATTTCCGGTAGTGTTTCTCCAAGAATTAAGGGAGTCAAAATTTCAGTCAACTCTGGAGAACGTGTGACTTTAACAGACGACAATGGTTCTTTCAAAATTGGACCTCTCTATGACGATGCTGAATATAAATTAGAAGCAGAGCTTGAAGGTTACTCATTTGAGGCAATTGAGGGCAACAGCTTTAAAGCACACAAACTGGCATCCATTACTGTAACCACCCAACTTGGGGGTGTTTTGATTTCTATTGTATCAAGCAAACACAGAAGTAATACTATTGTTCCAGCTGAAGGAAAGATTATAATTCGTAACTTGTTGCCTGACAAATACTTTATCAAAGCCACTCTCAAAGAATACGAATTTGAACCAAGCTCAAAGTATCTCGAATTAGGACAAGGAAAGGATGAAGAAGTTGCCTTTACCTATAAAAAGACGGGATTTTCTGCATTTGGTAGTGTCAAGTCGATTGGAAATGAGCCTGAACCAGGTGTGACCATACAAGCAATTTCTAAAGATTCTGGAGAATATGAAGAAGCTACCACTGACCAAAAAGGAGAATTCAGATTACGTGGATTGAAACCAAACATCAGATACTACATTACTGTTGGAAATTCTCAACATAACATTGAAAGGTCTTCACCAAAACAAATTGTGATTCAAAAGGAATCTAACAATGATGTTTTTGGAAATGATTTCATCATTTTCAAGCAAACTACTCTGCAATTTTCTGGAGAAGTCTCTCTTTCTGGCGACATTTCTGGCCAAGAGAATATCACAGTTGAAATTGATTTATTGTCAAGCTCCAATGCCAAACAATTCAAGATTATCTCATCCCAAAAGCTTCCTCTCACCAATTTCTTCCATTTCATCCTTCCCATGGAGAACTATTTACGTGAGGACAATACCAAATTCTACGTAAGATTGACATCTTCTGGAAAAACAGGAAAGCTTAACACTGTCACACATTCGATCGTAGGTGTAAAGAATATTAAGGAGCAAAATGCATTGGAAGAAAATCAAAAGGACAAATCTTCGATTATTGGAAGTGCTTCACTCGGATCTGATATTCAAGTTGAAACTCTCTCTGCCACCAAATATCACTCTCTGATTAACTTCCCTTTGAAGCCAGCTGAGCAATCTAGATCACAAACAGGAACCCATGATCATATTGACCAAAAGCCACTATTTGCGCTGGTTTTCATACTCTTAATTATTGCTGTTTATAGATATCGATCGACCATCGAAGGGCTGTTGCGAAAGTAGTAGTTGCAGAAATTTTGCTCAATTTTTGCTTTTAACCACACAACATGTTTTAATAAATTCAATGTCACTTCATCTTTCTTATTGTTGTTCTTGAGTGGAGGTCGACTTTTTAGTGGTGGGTGGTTGATATTCCTTGAGTTTCTTGTCCAATTCGAGCAACTTGATCTTGTCTTGCTCATCCTTAATTCCATATGGAGTTAAACCAAGTAAACACCAAATTCCATACTCTTTGGCACATGCAATGAACTGTTTCTCGTTGAACCAGTCCTTTCCATCTGGTTTTAAATCTAAAAATTCTTTTGGTGTGTCCGATTTGATATTGTTTGCTCTCCAATGAATAGGTGCTGCGTTTTCTAATGTGTTAGGCCCACCTAATGCATCTGGGAACATGTGATCTACTTGAATACCAGTTGGGCCTGCACTTGTTCCAATAAGTGAAATTACTGATCCATACATGTCTAATCGAAAGTAATCATTGAGACCTTCGATGGTTTTGGACGCTGAGAGAGATTTACATTGGTCCCACGCCTTCTGTTTGATTTCTGGAGCAAACTCGGCACGTTTTTCATCGGTAGATTGTTTCAAAGCGTTTTTTGCTCCTTTTGCAAGCATGTTAATGAAAGTGGCGTTTTCTTTGCTTTTAAGAGCATTCATTATCTTGTCCTTCTTTTCTTGCTCGATATGTATTGCTGACAATTTGGTTTGAAATTCTTCAATATTACCAATGTCATTAAATCTCAATAATTCTAATGCACAATTATCCAAAGATTGAACAGTGCCACATTGTTCTAATAAACTTAAAATAGTAATCAACGAGTCACTCTTCTCCTCAATTCTTGTGACATTTTTCTTCTCATACAAGTTTCCAATATAGAACTCTTTGTTACAAGGATTCAAGAATAATGGTGGTTTAAATTGTAAAAGTAACAAAGACTCCTTCTCGCTAATATTTTGCGTAATGATTGGAGTCAAAAAAGCATACAACAACTCCATGGCATTGTTTCTTGTGCTTGATTTTAACAGCTCTTTAATTTTGAAAAATTTACACATGACGTTCACATCTTTTCGGTCCAATGATTTTACAATATTTTTCAACGCTGTCTCATCACTGGCAAATAAAATCCAATAATCAGGTTTCACATACATTGAATGATTGTTAAATAATTCATCATACGCATTTCGATTCTTCCATTTCTTTGCCAATTTTTTGAGAACACTTGTTTCGCTGTCCTCACGTTTTGATGCAATGACCAAATCAAGAGTTGTTTTTGAAATTTGTTTTTCTGTTGAAAGATCAAGATTCCAGATTGGTTTGGAGGCACTTTCACAGTTCAGAATCTCATGAATTCAATCGTTACGTTCGAGAGGTAATTCTGGATCCCGCCAAAAATAAAATTCACATTTTTGGCGGTTAAAAGTTACAAAAAAATTAATCAATCACCTCCTCATCATGTCTTTGGGTCCAGAGGACACCAATTTGTGTTGTCGAAGAAAAGGAGCTTGTGTGGTTTCATCATCCTCTGAGCAGGAGGATTATCCATGTGAGAGTATTCTCTCGGAGGAGGAGGATGAAATTTGGATTAGTGAGGTGGGCCTTCCTCAAGAATGTATCATCCTCCTACCTCCTCATTCGTTTTCTATTGGATGTGTTGGATGGTACTGCAAAAAGAGATATGTATTCAATCCGAAAAAGATTAAAATGTACATTTCAAGAGAGAAGGAAGGTCCCTTCATTCATTGGTCAAGTCTACGAGCTGAGGAGAATGTCTCGTTTCACTTGTTTGAAATTCAGTCCATACCTTCCGATTTTTGCTATTTCAAATTCTCAGTAACGGACACTTTTGGAGGAAATCGAGTGTATCTTAATAAGTTACTTGTGATGAAAGAGATGCCTTTGGTTTTACCGGCCAATACAGAGGCCAAAACCTCAGCAGAGACTTTGAAAGAATCCCCTCGACAACACACTTCCCCAACAAAACCCATCATTGCATCACCCTTACCGACTTCCAAAATTGATATAGGGGATCATGAATCTTTGGAAATTCTTCCTCATACTCTTTCTCCCAACCCTATTGTTGAATTGTCACCCACAAAAAACAATGAATTCAGCAGCAAGTTTGACGACCTGATGTTTGATACTAACGAATCCCATCTGTTGAATGCAGATAACTACTTGGTGAATGGAACAATGATGTTAAATTGTACAAATGTATCCTTGAAAGAGTTATCTGCTTCCCCCCTCATCTCAATTCCTACCATCAAACAAAAACCAAACAACAGAAAACATCCTTTGGCAGCCTCATTGCCCTCATACAAATCTACAGAGAAAGAACAAACATCTCGAGACATTCCTGTGATGTCACCCAGGAAAACATCTCCTGTTAAAGACAGCAAGACGACTAAAACATCACCAACCCTGGATTTGCCGCTAAAGGATATCACTAACGTAAAAGGGGGTGAAGCAAAAAATGTAACTTTAAAACCTTCTTCTAAAAAAGACCTCAATGTCGGAAAAGAAAATTTGGTTCTCGAAGAAAGAAGAATGAAAGTCAAGGCAAGAGAGCACCATTTGGCGAAAACAAAAAAGAATCTCGAAGAACTCTCCGAAAGAATTGGAGAAATCAACAAAAGAAAAACTCAACAACCTTTGGTAGCAAAAGAGCAAGTACTGGAGGTTTCAAAGAAGCTGGAAGATGTCCAGAAAGAAGTAGAGGACCTGAAAAAGCGAATGCAGTTACTTGAAGAAAATGTAGACACGATAGTGAAAAAAGAGATTGACGACTTCAAGTCCAAGTTCTACGAAAAAGTAGGAATGAAATTCAAGAATTCTTTGACTAAAATAGAACAACGAATCGCCAGAGAAACTTACAAAGTGATGGATGAAAGAATACGAATCTTGACCCATCAATCCGAGTGTAAAATGTTTGATTATGTACGGTCACAAATTAATCAACTCAAAACCTCAGAGACAGGCAAAACTCGAATTAGCCCAACTGGTACTACAAGTACCACTTCTTCCTCATTAACAACAAATACTCCATTAACAATTAATGATACTGACACTTCATTGAATATATCAACAAGTGAGCAGGTTGCACTACTAAAACAGCGCATGCAACAATTACAGTAATACAATAATTAATCCGTAGGCGTGTGAAGTTTCGGATTACTCAAGCATTGACGTTGACAACAACTATTGAAGAGTACACTTTTCATTTTTCTTTCCGCCCTTCTTCTTCTTCATATAGTTTTCTATGACTACTTCAATACATTGTTCAAAAACATCCTTCAATCCTTCTTGTGTTTTAGCACTGCATTCTAACAGGCGAGCAGCACCAGTCTTTTGTTTTACTTTTTCAGCCTCAGCTCTATTTAGATGTTTGCATGGAAAATATTTTGGGTGGTGGGAAATTTACCAAACAATGCAACATGAGAGATGCGTCACGAAAGTAAATTGAGACTTACCTTGGTACACATCTGTCCTTCTCCTTAGGATCATTTCTCAAGTCCAATTTGTTTCCTACAATAATGAATGGTACACCTCCTGGTCGGTCCTTTGTGTGCTCTGTTCGTTATTATATTAATAAGAGTATTTAAGGTCCATTACATTCCAACGCAAATACAATCGACAGATCATCATTATTCACATAATAGTTATCAATTCGGAATTCAACAATTCATCAATGGTTTGACTGCACCAGGCCACAAATACGTACCTTTAATTTCAGGAACCCATTTTCTCGTGACAGACTCCAATGAATCCCTATTGGTTACATCAAAAACAATCACAAAGATATGAGTGTCGGGATAAGAAAGAGGTCTATTTCGAATAATGGGAGGGAAATTTTTGAGTCGTGTCAAATGGATGACAACAATAGTCAAGATGTATCTCCTCAACTCTTGTAAACAACCACATACCGTAATTGATCGTATTCATCAGTTCCTGCAGTATCCCATAAACCTAGAGTAACTGTCTTTTCCTTGTACACCACATTGGCAGTGTAGTTATCTGAAAATCGAGTTGGTGAGTGTCAACAGGATGTGTTTAATTGTGTTGTTGAAATACACAAGTTCCAACATTGTTATTGCATTGAATTGTATTGTTCATAATATATTCATTGAAGAAGGAGTGAGAAATTCGAACAATCAAAGAGTTGATGTGAACCAAAGTGAAGGTTCATGATAGCGGTAACAGTTCAAGTGAGGCAAGAATGGAGGTAGAATCGTGTGATCGTCATTATTAATTAGCAATGTCGTTGTTGATGTTATTGTGTTGTGGTGAACCGAACGGATAATGTCATGAAAGTAATGATGATGATGATGGTTGGATAGTGAGCAAAATTATTATTGAAACACACAAGATGAGTCATCATTAACACAGTCAATAAAAAAGAGTTAAATCATTGATAAAAACGCACCAAATACTGTTGGGTTGTACTCTGTTGGAAATTCATTATTACTTTTGTGATAATAATAAAAATCATCATGACACATTATCAAAGCGCCAATGATGATTTAATTTCAAAAAATTAAAAATCATGATGATGATGAATTAACAAATAATAAATGTGAACAAATGATGATGTGTGAAACATGAATACAATAATTATTTAGTCAAAATCTAGCCTTTAATACTCACCTGTATGAAATCAACATGCAAGTTTTACCCACGCTCGCATCACCAACAACAATAATTTTCAAAGAGTTGTCATCAGAAAGCTCAAAATCGTCCACTTGTTCGGTCATGTTAATAATATGGGGAAGAAGTGATGTTATTATTTATTGTTGTAAAAAGGAGAAATTTTGGGAGAGATGAAGTGAGGATTTTGTGGCAATGTAATTATTTTTTTGATTGACAGATGACGTTCAAGTGAGTCTTTTGTCAGAAGGTACCATTTTTAATCAAGGACGGTCAGTAAAAATTATCCCTTCCAATCTCTCTCATCTCTCTCCTCACTCATCCCATCAACAATGACTGTCATCTCCATGGACAACAACTTCAATCCTTCGAAGGTGACATCATGGACCTACCAAAAATCCTGCGTGTCGCACACATTCTCTCCAAATTATACCCTGTCACCTATTCAAAAAAAACCTTATCTTCCTCTCTTGTGTTTTCTTCTTTTACAACTTTGGTCGTAATATATTGTTTCATATCCCCAGAGAGAGAACTCTCTGTCATCATCACTAACGACCAACAACTACAACAAGCTTGAGATATGCTCCTTTCAGATCGAGAACATGGAGCATTGGAAGAGAAATTGCCTTCTCTCCAATTGCCATCTTTTCATGATGAACATGATGGAAGAGTATCATTGAGAATCATACAGCATCCATCCAACAAGAGTATCATTAAGACCACTACCACCACCACAAACCAAGTCGTTCCATCATTGGCGAAGCATGTCCGTTCGGAATCTCTGAAAAACATTCCCTCTGAGTCCGTGGCTGATGATTACATTCCGACAAGAGAGAATCATGACTTCATCTTGACGATGCAAGTTGGTACTTCTCCATCTTCTCCGAGTTGTAGCAGCAGCAGCAGTAGTAATAACAACAATAACAACAGTGGGAGTACAAGTTCAGATGCCAATAATGGTATTGCTGAAGAAGAAGAGGAGGAGGATGAAGGCACCACAACAACACAACAGCCTCAACTCCAATCTCTTCTCCCATGATGATGAAGCATCAGATACAACCCGAAGGCTCTTCTTCTGATGATTCAACGAATATCACTGTGGGCAGTTCACCACCCATCATGAGGATGATGAAAGGGGATAATGATGATCGTCATCCTCCGAATTCTCTTTCTTCATCCTTGTCCGTGGTATCGAATAATAGTCCTAACACTTCTGGTAGTTCTCTCGTCGAATCACCCCCTTCCTCTCCTCTAAAAGTAACAACAGTGGTAGCTGCAGTCCATCAAGTAAGAGTGTTGGAGGAGGTGAAACCTTTTCTATTGCGTCCCCGAAAAAGCATTCCAACAGTGCTTCCGTTCAATATCATGATTTGAATGATTACCTCTTCAGTTATGATGCCGTTCTGGAAAATTCAGAAAGTTGTTCCTTGTTTCTGCAATACCTCAATGAAAAGAGAAGTCCAGAAAGTTTACTCTTCATGATGAGTGTTCGGAAATTAAGGAAATATTTCAATTCTAACATTCTTCGATTAATTTTGTAAAGGGTTCATGTAAGTGCAGAGGTAAATTGAGCTCAATATTGGAGAAGCTATTAAAGTATTTGGAATCCATTTCCTCAATCATTCGTAACATATTTCTGAGATGAGGAAGTGAATCTGAATTTAGATAATGACTGTGATGATGCAGAGAAGGCGTAGTTTGAGGATGTGAGGAAACTATGCTATCCAATCCATGATGGGAATCATAATTGGAGTCTAAACTTGATGATAAGGAAGAATTGCAATAATTATTAATGTTGTTGTTAGTATCGTCGTTATTGTTGTTATTGGAAGTGGTTTCATCGGTTACTGTTGATACATTCAAATGAATTGAAGAAGGACAAGTTTATGACTGGGACAAGCTCAACTCATTCCGCAAATCATAATCAACATCCTCATGTTCATGGAACATCAAATTCACTCGAGGAGGAAATGTATGCCATGATCAAAAGATTTATGTCCGAATTTAAGAGAATTGAAAATTATTTGAGTTTGAATTTAAAAGATTCTCAATTTCAAGAATTTGTGGAATGGAGTGAATTTAAAAATTTGGTTCAGACGAAGGGAATTGCATTCCTAAATTCGATCGCAGAGTTGAAACCATTTAGTCACACGAGTTTTGTGGAATCTCTCACTGAAATGAATATTCCTAGAATCACTGTCAAGCAATGCAAATTAATCAAAAATATGATGTTGAAGAATAACAGTTTGTGGAATACGCTTCTATCAAAATCAAACTACACAGTGAGTTTATCAAACAATCAATATCTACTTGGCAATGAGGCAACATCCTCAAATAATGGTGGAGTTCAATTTTTTAAATGTAAGTATGACACATGAATGTTGATTCATTTATCTTCAACTTTTTCAATTGCAATACTTTGCGAATTCCATGTGATTAGATGACATTGTCTTTCCCTATCCAAAGAGTGCTGTCATTAACACCCTTCTAAGCACGAAAATGCGTTTCAAGTTTGACAAGAACACCAAAGTGCTCTCAAAAATTGATTACCAACAAAGACAAGATGAAGAACATTTAGCGACATGTATCACACAGGAAGTGTATGCATTTCCTTTTCCTTTTCAGGCAAGAGAATTTGTTCTTGCATGCTCAATGGTGAATGACAGCACTGATCAGTGCACCATGTTATGTGTGAGATCATGTGAAAGTGACAAGGCAGCCCCATTGAAAAGAACTGTATTTGCAGTGAATATTGGAGGATGGATATTTCAAGATTTACCTGGATCACAATGCAGATTTATACAATTTGTAGGCGCTGAATTTAAAGGCATACTTCCAAAATCACTTGTCACAAAAAGTGTTTCAAAAAGAGCTAGATATTATTATGCTGATACCTTAAAACTGTTTGAGGCGAATAGCAAAGAGGGATTTCCAGAACCTACCGACGATCCGATATTTGAGAGTTTTATGAACACTCTCAAAGAAAACGGAACTATTGCTTTGTAGGAATTGATTCATATACTAGATTATTTGATCAATGAAGGAACCTCTATCTTGTTTTGGTCATTTGCCAATTTTGCAGATAAATAGGCATAAGCAGCTGTAGAAAGCAAGAACATGATGCGAAAAGTGCTGCATGTTCTGAAATTTTCCTTCGTTCCCTTTGCTTTTTGATGATCGGTTTCATGAGCGACTTGCAACCAGACGCAAGCTTTCGCTAATAAATTTTCTCCTTTCTCATGTTCCACGAACTTGTTGTACCATTGAAATCGGCGTTTGTCAATATGGATTTGCTCAATGATGAGATTCGTTTTTTGAGAGAGGTCAAAAAGTGTTTGTCGTCTTTTGAAATGGAGACAGACATGTCACTGAGATATTTCGAACTCCAATAACAATTCCAGGCTCTATATCCAATATGAAATTTGTGTTTCCATCTTTCGATATCTTGAGCACTAGGTAGGTTCGTAATTTCAAAATATTTCAAAGTGTCGTCAACGGATTGTAAATACTTGTTGGTAGAAAGGTCAACCCATTGTGATATTTCTGAATTATTCTTGTTAGCAATCGTTTCCAACATTTCAAGCTCAAAAACGTTGTGTTTTCGATCTGTATGCTTTGGAACTGAATAAATTATTTTTCCATTTCTAAATGTCACATTGTTGCAAATTGACACCCAACCTGACGGCCCATAGTGAAGTTTAACATTGGTTATAATCTGAGAGTGTTCAATGGCTTCACCCTTACTTGAACCAATGGCATCATGATAGGCCTGTGCAAGAATCTTTTTTAAACAAGGATTATCATAAGGCCTAACAAACATGCATAGCTTATCGAGGGTTGCAATTTCAAAATTTGTCGAACAATAGCGACAAATGGTTTCATTTCGAACTGTTTCGAATTTGAAGTCATTACTCTGAATCTGTGTAATTGTTGTTGTTGAAGAATGTTTGTTTGCATCATAGTCAATAACTTCTGGCTCTTTATCACATAATTCTTGATTTAAAATAACACAATATCAATCTCTAATGAGAATAGAATGGTATAATAAATTCAGAAGTGTTGTAAATACTTTCACTTACCCATCCAAATCACCTCCTCCCATTTTTTGATGAGGTACTAATCCCCTTCATAAACCAAAGGATCTCTATAAATGAGCGCTTATTTGATTTTGAACAAATCCTTGCTGCTTAAAAAGTCACAATGAAGGTATGCTTGATTGGATTTGAGACCTCTCTCAAGACTTTCATCCATAATTCCCATCAATCGATTGGCTTTATCACTTGCATTTTGAGAGAAAGATTTTTGCTTATTAACTTTTCACACATGTGGTGGATGGATGTTTCAATTTCTGAGGCCACACATGGAAATCTTGGATCGAATCTGTTTTCCATGTGCTTTTTCAATGAATAATTGGTGCATAAATTCAAACACATTCCTTTTTAAATCGGATGGATTGGAGGGATCTAAATGTATCTTCTCGTTGAGATATTCTTCTAAATTCCTTTTAAAGAATTGTCTCATTTCGTCCTTCTTGCTTGTAAGGTTTAAGATGCAAGACATAAAAGTTCTATTAATGGAGCCTTCTATTGCTGAAGATGCATTCAAAACGTCAATAAATGGATACAGAACGACCTGTGTTTCATACTTTTTCATCGATGGGCGCATCAAACATGAAATTTCATCGGAAAATTCAAATTTCTTCTGTAAGGCCTTCCAATGAGAAAATGGGACTTTGGAAAGGACTCCTTTAAATCCATGCACACGTATTTGGATGGCAGAAATTCGTTTGACCTCATCCTCTGAAAAGTAAGGAATGAACATGTCTGAATGAAAGGGTTGTGCGTTTGTGTGTTGTAAAGTTTGTTCAAATTTATCTTGTCGCATCATTCCACATCCATCGGTGCAAGGATATTCTTCTTCATCGTTCAACATGAAAATTTCTAACATTTCATTGCTCATCAAGCTTTTCCCGTTACTGAGGGCAATACGAGCGATTAGTTTACCGAGTCCTTGTTTTTTACACTCCTCAAAGTTTCCTAATAAGGAAATTAAATAAGGTCGATCAATGGTTAAAGTTAAGAAGACACATCCTCCATCATGTGAATTGAGAGACGAGTTACTCGTGTTGAAAAATGTATAATGAACGTCATTAAAAGAAAATCCGTTCGTACAAGCATTGGTTTTCAAATTAGAGATGTCATCTGTTGTATCAAAATATCCTTTTTCAAATTTCACATAGATCATTGCCTTTCCTAAACCCATTGCCATGAGAATGCGTGACTGTCTATTATACGAATAAAATACATAATCCATGTGCATGTCATTCTTTGAGCCGTCGTACAAACACTTAAATTCATAACCCTGATTCGAGAATGAGTGAGTACTAACAACTCCAACCATTGGATAATATTTTCCCATGAGTGTCTTTTCAACATAATTCCATGTTGTTCCTGGTACGAACAGTTTTGAAGGATCGACGTATGGTCGTAGTTTGTTTCCAACGCGGAGGAGGTTCTCATGTAGTCTTTAAAACCATTCCAGTTTGTGTGAAGGTGTGACAGAGGGGTTGGTGGAGGATAATGAAGCAATTTGTGGTTCAAAGTTGTCGTCGTGAAAGTGGTTATGATTGACTGGTTGATCTTGGTGAGAGGTTTGAGTGGTGGTGTTCGATTGGAGTCACTGATTTTTTGCTTTTTGAAATGATTTTCCTTGTCTTGGTTGGAATTGGTGACGGAGGAGAAAGAATTGAAATTCTCTGTGAAAACTTGTTTGATTCTATCGGAAGAGAAGTGTTGTTGTTGTTGGTTACATCTCGTAGTGACATCACTCAATGGTCTCTTGAGTCCAGAAGTGGCATTAGAATGGCTTGTGGTTTATAAGTCTCTGTCTTGATGTGTTGTTGCTTTCTCATCATGCTGGGGACACAAGTTTCTTCTTCTTTGAAAATCATGTTTTTTTTGTTGTTTGATGAACACTAAACTGTGATCAAGCTTGTCGCGCATCTGACAACATTAACATGAGACTGAACTGTTTGGGTAATTAAACAAAACCATGACCGATGATCAAAAACCTCATTGCCTGATGAAAGTTCCTTCGAAATAGGAAAGTCATGTGGCCTCTTGTAATGAACGATGAGAATTCAAAGTAAGGCTTTTAAAGTTTTCTCAAGATAACTTTGGAAATGAGGTGAATTCCCAAATTTCGAACATTCGTGACTTTGGAAATGAATTCATAATTGAGAACGTTCAATTTCAAAGGAGGATGATACAACTTTTTATTCCTCTTTCTTCTTTTCCACTAGTTCACTCTTTCTTCATCATGATGAAGTATCACACAATTCTAATGTTGGCTATCAACACTAGGATCCATTGAATTCCATGTTGAATACATCCTTCACTCATTATTCTTCTCAACATTACCTTCGATTGATACATGACTCCTCTTCGACTCTTGACCACATGAAAGACATTTAACAGAAGTTGTGCCATTCTTCGAATATATTCTGTATGAATGGGTTCACCTGAAAAGTAATGCTCACCAGCAATGACAAAGGAATGGGAATCCTCTAAATTCGTCAATTTCTGTTCTCACAACTTGATGATTCTTTTCCTCACCACAAGTTACAACAAGAATGAATGAAATTTTGAGTTTGTGGAAGTAATTGAGGTTGTTAACAATTTTGTCTTTGTGCTTGTGGTGATGAAGAAAAAGACCTGAAGCAAGTGACGCAAAAGGAGAACTTGAAAATTATGTCCTACCTTATATCAAAGAACGATTTAACATGAGTAGAAGTAGTGCGATATTTGCAACCACTGACACACAATTAATAAGCAAGATAGAAAATCTTCCTTTGAAAGATTATTATGTTCAATGGACGAGTGATGTTGAAAAAGTTGGAAAACAAGGAGAAGCACCTTTGAAAGAGTTGGTGAATGATGTGATCTCCAAATACAAAGAAAAAGTTCCTTCTGTTGGAGAAACAAATACTTTGGAGCAAAAGAGGACCAAGTTCAAGTGAAAGGAGAAAGATCCAACAGAGACTCCATTCCTTCATAACTTTCCTTTGTGACCTTTTGAATAATGTTTTATTTCATGTTGACTTTTCAAACCCCCCTATTTCATTGAAAGTGTGATTGACCCCAGGTGGAATCGGTCATCTATTACGCGTTTAGTTGTCGAACCTTTGGAACGTGTTAAATGTCTTTTCACCCTTCATGATAGACATTGTAAAACAAAGCTCCGAACAGGAGTGAGTGTTGATTCGCATTAAAAAAAATGAGAGCCACAAAATCACTTCAACGTATTCTTTCATCATCATCAGCAAATTGCACCTTACACAAGCAACGTATTCTTTCATCATCATCATCATGCGTTACTAGAAAATTCAGTAATGTTGTCATTGATAGTACTCTCACCGAGGAACAACTCCAGTTGAGAGAGAGTATTAGACAATTTGTAAAGGAAGAAATTGCTCCAATTGCTGCTCAAGTCGATCAGACCAATAATGCTCCGGTCAAGGAATTATGGAAAAAGATGGGAGATTTGGGTCTTTTGGGAATTACTGTTGATCCAGAATATGGTGGAACTGGCTTGGGAGTTTTTGAACATACATTGGCTGTTGAAGAGCTGTCAGTTGGAAGTGGTAGTATTGCATTGAGTTATGGAGCACACTCCAACTTGTGTGTCGATCGTATTTTCCGTGTCGGTAATAAGGAGCAAAAAGCCAAGTACTTGCCAAAACTTATTAGTGGAGAACATGTGGGAGCATTGGCCATGAGTGAACCAAATGCTGGCTCTGATGTTGTTTCAATGAAGACTAGAGCTGAAAAGAAAGGTGATCGATATATTTTGAATGGCAACAAGATGTGGATTACCAATGGACCTGATGCTGATGTTTTGGTTGTTTATGCCAAGACTGATGTTAATGCCGGTCCAAAGGGTATTACTGCATTTATTATTGAAAAAGGATTCAAAGGATTTAGTACTGCTCAAAAACTTGACAAGTGTGGTATGAGAGGAAGTAATACATGTGAATTGGTTTTCCAAGATTGTGAAGTTCCTGCTGAAAATGTTTTGGGAAATGTCAACGAAGGTGTTAAAGTTTTAATGTCTGGTTTGGACTATGAGAGATGTATTCTTTCTGGAGGTCCTTTGGGACTTATGCAAGCAGCTATGAATGTTGTAATTCCATATGTTCATGAAAGAAAACAATTTGGTCAACCAATCGGTGAATTCCAATTGATGCAAGGAAAGCTCGCCGATATGTACACCAAGCTCAGCGTTTGCCGTTCTTTTGTTTACTCAGTGGCACGTGCTTGTGACAGAGAACCAAGCAGCAGATTATTGAGAAAGGATTGTGCTGCTGCTATTTTGTACTCAGCTGAATCAGCAACATGGTTGGCCTCACAAGCCATTCAAGCTTTGGGTGGTAATGGCTATACCAAGGATTATCCAGTTGAAAGAATTTGGAGAGACGCTAAACTCTACGAAATCGGAGCAGGTACTAGTGAAATTAGAAGAATGTTAATTGGTAGAGAGTTATTTGCAGAAACCAAGTAAGAGCACTCACTGCTTGCACATTAAAAAGACAATTTTCCTCAATTTGAAAGCCACCCTCAGCATTATATGATCACACTCTATGAAATGAACATCGCTCATCTAATTCGCGTGTTTATCTCTCAATCAACATGGTTAAACCCGACGCTCATTATGAAACACACGCGTATCGGACTGAAGCTGTGTCCTCTATTTTAACTCTTCTTGGTCCACGTCAATGATGAACCAATGTGCGTACAAGTGCTTGTTGTCGGAAGTCTACTCCTCCGACGGCAACAGCAATCATCCTCTTTTAAATTGAAAGAGAAAATTGTCCAAAAAAATTTCAACAAATACAAACCCTCCAAGAGTGCACTTTTGTAAATTTACTCTTTTTAAAAAGCAACTTCAGACACACTGTTGTTATCTTTTGAGAAGTAATTATCCTGTACAACAACAAGAACAATATGGCTGCTATATTATTGTATGGACTTTTGGGTTTAATTGGAGCTTTCTTCGTTTATTGGTTTGTTTTTAGGTCGGACGGCAGTGAAGAAACAGAAGAAGAAGTTTTGGAAAAGTAAGTATTCCAAAGAGAATAACTCTCTCATCGTTTGAACACGTGTTATAAATATTTGACGAATATTTTCCGGACTATATTTCCGTGATACAATGGGTGATATCATCTTCGACCATGTGATTATCTCTGTATTTTGCACCTCTCGAACACCTTCTCCATCATGAATTGTTTCTGGTATTTTCATCATCATCACCATCACCATCATTCGGATATCGGACTATATTTTCTGATGGACTTTTTTCTATTTAAATTTAGCAAGGAATATGTCGATGATGGAAGGCCCAAAATGCTTATTCTCTACGGCTCTCAAACAGGTACAGCTGAAGAATTCTCTAATACATTAGCACAAGATGCTAAAAAGTATGGCTTCAATGCCATCTCAAAAGATATGGTTGACTTTTCACCAGAAGAATTGTCTCAAGAAAAACTTGTTGTTTTATTGGTTGCAACTTATGGCGAAGGTGAACCAACTGATAATGCACGTGACTTTTATGAATACTACAAGGATACATCTCTTGCAAATGACTCTCTTTCTGGTGTTAAATTTTCCGTTTTCGGATTGGGTAACAAACAATACAAGATTTATCAAGCAATGGCCAGATTCTTCGATAAGAGATTTGAGGAATTAGGAGGTGAAAGATTCTTTGACAAAGGAGAAGGTGACGCTGATGCAGATATTGAAGAAGATTTTGAAGAATGGAAGACACACATGTTGTTGAGAGCTTCGGAAATTTTCTCAACATCAATTCAAGAAGAGGAGGATGACTACGAACAAAAGTTCACTCTCGACTATTTGAAGAAACCAATCACCATGACACCATTCAAGACAACTACTCACTCACCAGATGCTAAACATCCATTCCTTTCAACAATTACAAGAAACGAACAATTGTTAAAGTCATCCGGAACTGATAACAGAAGTACAGTTCATGTAGATTTCAACATCAAGGGAAGCGGTATCAAATATGAGGCTGGGGACCATCTTGCTGTGTATCCAGCTAACAATGAAGCTCTCGTAAATGCTTATCTCAAGAAATTAGGTGTTAGTGACGAACAGGCTGACACTCCATTCCAATTGAGAAATCACAAGGATAATCGATTGGCAAGCTATTTCCCAAAGGATGCCATGACGATCAGAATTGCTTTGACCTATTACCTTGAGCTTAGCGATCTCGCAAAGAAGAAGGCATTCAAAGTGATGGCTCATTTTGCAACTGACGAGAGTGAACGTGCTAAGCTCAAATTGCTTGCTTCTAACAGTGAGGAAGGAAAGCTTGAATATCACAAGTTTGTGAAAGAGGAGAGCCGTATCACATTGGACGTTTTGAACTATTTCAAATCTGTGGTCTTACCAATTGAAGCATTCTTAGAAATTGTTCCAAAGATGCAAGTTCGTTATTACTCTATTGCTTCTTCATCACAATTGCATCCTGAATCCATTTCTGCAGTGGTTGCTGTTGTGAGATACAAGATTCCAAATGGTACTCAAAGAGAAGGTGTTTGCTCATCTTATCTTGAAAGACTGGCCGTTGGCAAACAGGTTTACATTTACGTACGCCAATCCAGCTTCCATCTACCTTCTGATCCAAAGACTCCAGTCATTATGGTTGGTCCTGGAACTGGTATTGCTCCATTCGTTGGCTTCCTTGAACAACGAAGAGCCATGTTGAAGAAGGGTGTGTCATTAGGCCCTTGTCATCTCTACTTTGGCTGTAGAAAGAAGGCTGAAGATTATATTTATCAAAATGAAATGGAAAATGCCCTTAAAGATGGTGTAATTTCCCTCCTTGATGTTGCCTTCTCAAGGGATCAAGGCAGCAAGGTCTATGTCCAACACAAACTGGAGGCAAGAAGTGAAGAGTTGTTTAATCTTTTGAACAATGGAGCTTATTTCTATATTTGTGGTGACGCCAAATATATGGCTAAGGATGTGGAAAAGGTCATTTTGAACAGCATTCAAAAGTATGGTAAGATGGACGAAAAAGCTGCTATGGACTATCTTGAAAAACTAGGCGTGAGATATCAAAAGGACGTTTGGAGTGCTTAAACAACATCAAATTTTGTTCCCTTATAATTATTCATAAAAATTGTCATTATTTATATAAACATGTGGTAGTACACGTGTTTTTACTCTTCCACAATCTTGACATTGGAATTGAGTTCAAATTGCAAAGAATGAATTTCCTTGTACGAAAGATACTCGATGGTATGCTCATATCTCGAGAATGTGTCACCCAAGTTCAGTTGTAAATTTTCAATAAGACTCGAATAAACTTTCTCAATCAATTCTCTGTGTTTAGTGGTGTCGAAAGATGATGCTTCTTGCAGTGCCAATCTCATGACCTTGAATTGAGATTTCAGAGAGGATGGAATGTTGAGTTCATAGTCAGATCCACTCTGAATATAAAGATCATTCAAAGTGAGAACAATTTCAGTAATTATGGCCAGATCTTGACCAAACAATTTCTCCTTGCAACGGTGCAAATATTTCCAAGCATACAAATTTTCGACAGAAAACTCTTTCGCACAAAATCGTTCGAACAATTCACTTGCTCTTTCATCGGCCAGTAAGTTCAACAAGTCATTCTCATCTTCAGAAGAATTCATATCATGACGCCGACCATTGTTTCCATCATGTGCCTCCGAATGATTTCTCTGATTTCTTCTCTTTTGAATTCTATAGTAGAGAGTCACACCACATGCAAATCCTCCAAATACCATCAAGTAGCTCAATGAATATAAAATTTCGAACAAGAATTGAATTTGTGTGAAAATATTGTTCATCAAAGAATTCTCATCACCATTCGATCTCGAATTCATCACATACAATCCCAATCCCTCTTGAATGATTAAAAACACAAACATGATCAAATACAACATCATTTCCATTCTAAAGAATAATGGTCGATCCATATTCCATAAAGGTCTGAAAGGAGATTTCAAATTTTGAATAATGAAAGGATTCTTTTTGATCTTTTTTGGTGTTTGGTGAGAGGATGAATCTTTGTGTAAACTTGTCATTTCGCCATGTTTTGGTTGTTGTTTTGGTTGTTGTTGTGCTGATAAAATGGTTCTCTGTGAATTCACTTCTCTCGTCAATGATGGAATAAAATCGAACAACAAGATGAATGCAATGACTGCACTGCAACTTAAAATGACAACCGAATATGAAATGGATACAATCGAAAGATAGGTATTAGGATTAGATATGGAAGTCATTGTTGCTACTCTTCTCAAAACAACCCACAAAGTCCAATATAGAATATTCATGAATGTAAAAATGGAAATTAATGTGAAAAAGAGAACTTTCGAAGTGATGATTCGTAGCATTCGAATGAGAAATGATTTTTTTTAGAATTGTGTTGATGATAATTGGATTGTAATTTTCTATAGAGATATTGCATGAATTGAATTCGTGTCACTTGTAATAAATAGGAGAAAATTGCTGTTAAATTGAGAGTATTCACAATAATTGTTGCAATGTGATTGAAATAGGAAGCGTCAGAGTTTTCATCAATGTTTGAAATAGTTCCTGTTAATTTGGACACAATTAAGGATCGATGAGTGACATAAATAAGCACAGATTCAATAAATAATGCTAAAATTCCCAAATAAGGTGTCACTAATCTACTCTTCACTGGTTGATGTTTGTGTAAAATAATGAGTAATATAAATATGGTAATGCAACAGAGAATGAAGAATGATCCAAACGCAATCTGTGCACTGAACAGAGATATAATATTAGAAAGTGTAACACCATCTGAATTTTCAATGATGGCTGTCACATTAATTTCTAAAAAGGTAGAAAATTTGGTGGTGTGAGAACATTGACAAGTGATCATACTTGTTGCCGAATCAAAACCAGCATATTGACATCCATTTGAACTCCAAATTCGATTGACATCATCCCAATATTTACAAGCAATAGATGTTGGTTGAGAAGATGTTGTCACATTTTCCATAGTTTTAAATTTCAACACAATGGGTGATTGTAAATTTTGTAAAATCACCAATTGATCATTTTCATAATATTTAAAATCATAAATGTTTGAAAGAGACTTGGAATTATTTTGGATCAATAAAAATGGTTCTGTCATGACAAGAGAAACAAAAGAAAGTCCAATCATTCGTGGTCCATTTGGAATTGGTACTTGATTCGTATTCTTCAAACTTAATGAAATGTCACCCAAATCATTATTCTCAATGGTAGTCTTATCGACAGAGGAATCAACAATCACTTTGGAAAGTGTGACATTCACATGAGGTGAATTGAGAACGAGAGAAGGAATGAGACGACTTTCATTAGTTTGTGGTTGAGCAATTAATTGTTGTGACAGTAAGGATGTGAACCTTTCTCTCACAATTTCTGTTTCGTTAAATGAAATCATCATGTGAGAAATAATGTTGAGCATGAGTTGAGACTTGTCAAATGTCTTGGTTCTAACATATCCAAATTGTGAAACTTCTTGTTGTTGTTCTTGAATGATATCATCAAGAGTTGACATTAAATTAAAAGTCACTTTCTTTAAACGATTGCGAGAAATGTCAACACTTGCTGTTAAGGCACGATGTAGAACTGGAAGAGTGACATCATAGTTTTGAAAAGTGACAAGCACCTTATCCAACATGCTCGAATAATTCTGTGAAGTATCATGAGCCATAAGAATTAACTGTTCAGTAGTTGGATTTTGTAAAAGTAAATCAACATTGGCAGACACTTGTGAAGTGAAAATAGTTTTGGTTGGATAAATATTTCCAGCATGGTCTCGTACAAAAATCACGACATTTACATCCTTTTTGACAGCAAGATTGTCTCCAAGAAATGGTAAAGGAAATGTTTTTGAAATTGGAGTACTGTCAGTGACAGGTGTCACAAAATCAGTCACACGAATATAATTTTCATCTCCCCATGGCTTGTAAAATCCAAAGGCATAACTGAAAGGAGACATTGGAGCAAAAATTCCTAAAGTACTGATTGGAGAAATGGTCATTGTATAGTTTGTAGTTAATGCAACTCCAGTGGAAGGATAAAACCCAAGAATTTGAAAAGTTGACATTTGAGGTGGATCGATTATGGTCAAATTTTTGGAGAAGAGAGATTTTGAATTTTCAAACCCAATGTTAAAAAGTATTCGATCTCCAATGGTGGTGTTTAACATGGCATCAATGACAATGGGAGGAACAAATTTAAATTATCGATTATTGTAAAAATAGACCGCTCGTCCAGTGCGTGTTGTTGTTGTTGTGGAGGATTGTAATAAATCATTTCCTAAATAAATTTCAAATGTGTACCTATAATTTGTAAATGAATTATTCACTGCATTTTGGAAATCACTTGTCAAAGAAAATGATTCAATGATCCAATGGATTTTAAAATGTGATATTCTCGCTGCATATTCCTGAAAGCCAAATATTGAAATATTTTGAACAGCGATTAGAGGAATGTTTGGTAATGAACCATTCGATGGTAATTCAACACAAACGTTGGTTCCATTCTAATAGAGTCCATTCTTGCATTTGCAAAAAGGAAATTCCATGATTGGTTCTTCCTTTTCAGAATCACATGTTGGAGTCAAAGTTCGAATGTTCGACCCTTCAATAAAGTAAATGATTCCATTGTTCTTATTCACAGTAATTCCTTTTGGTTGTGACAATGAATAACTGAGAGCATCTCCGAGTTTTGCATCTGTACGACCTGTCGTTGGAATTCCAGAATTTGAGCCAGCAATGGTGGTAAAAACTTCACTTGTCAGATCAAATGCAAGAATTCTATTATTACCAGTGTCTGAAATGTAGAGCATTCCAAAAGCACTGGTCATAAAGGATGGTTGATTCAACATCATTCCACTATTGTTCACCATTGTTCTGACACTACCATTTCGAAATCTTCTTAATTTCCTCTTTTCAAGAAAATAAACCTAAAAATAATTAAAGAATTGAGAGAGAATGAGGAGGAGGTAAGTGTTCATTGTGAGAATTTTCAAATGTAAGAGAATGAGATCATTAAAAGTATTGATTGATTTGGTTCACACAAGGAATTCCAAAAAAACTTACATCACCATTTTCAGTAATTTCAATATCTTGAATATTTCCATTCACACTGTAAATGGTTGCTGTTCCATTCGATCCATCAATTGAGTTCTCTGTTAAAGACAATCCTGAAATTAATAGAGAAGCAACTCCATTCTTGATCAACCACAACTTGCCACTTGTCATGACATAAATGTCATGTGGATCTGTCATAAAGATTTTACATTCCACCATTACAAAGAGTACAATCCCACATTCATTACTTACCATTCCCTTGTTTTGCCTTCATTCCATATACTAGTTCTGTAAACTTGACAGTTCCATTCGACAATAAATTTCTTCCTCCACTACTACTCGCAATCGTCACATTATCCAATGAATAAATACCACTATTATTTGAAATGAAATACATGATTTGATCTGTTGTTGACTGAGGTCCTCCCCAAGCTCCAAAAATGGGTGAATAGTCCATCATGATTGACGTATACGAAGGACTTCTCTTCATGGAATTACGATCTTTGTGATTCTTCTTCCATTCTTTTACTTGATCGATCAATGATCGATACACATCGAATCGTGATCGTGCATGTTCTTCTTCTTCTTGAATGGTAGTAATAGCAATGGATTTCAATGGACTCGTGATGACTGTTGAATGAATGACATGCCGTAAGGAGGGAGTGACAGGTGGTTTTGGACTTGTAGTTACATTGACAATAATCGAAGGAGAAGGACCAATCGAAGGAAAAGGTTTCGGCACACTCGGTGTTGGAACCACTGGATTTTCCGAAATTACAACAGAAAGTAAAAGTGGTTGCAATGGACTTGCTGACTCAACGAGTTGTTGTTGTTGTTGAGTGTTCATCATCGTGTAAGAAACATTTGTTTGTTGAAGAGATGCAGAACCACTCCCAACACCACCACCACCACCATTCACATTCGATTCGGCCACCACTAGCACCACCACGACATGTAATAAAACATTTTGAGAAGAGGTCCCATTGACAAGAATTAATTGTGAAGCATTGGAAGGAACAACACCCAAAGTTCCCAATGTGTAATTCCAAGCATGAACCATCATCACCATGGGTGTGAAGTGTGTTGTGAAGATGAGGATGAGAAGGAATTGAAGAAGAAATTGGAGGAGATTGGTTGGCTTTATTGTTGGGAAGGTCATGAAGGTCATGTTGCGAGGCATTGAATTGGATTGGTTCGAAAGTATCAAAAGCAAACTGAGAGAGAGGACAATCAAGAAGAGTGGAAGATGATCATTACTGAGATCAGTGAGGGTATGGACGGAATTTGACTTGCTAATAAGAGAGTGGTGTGTGACACGACACGTGAACACTCAAAGACGATGAAGCAAATCTAGATCTTTGAATTTTTTGGAGAGTGCTGATGATGTCAGTGATGATGTCAAGAAGAACAACAACAGAACAGGAGAACTTGAATGCCAGTTCTCATGAGTGGCATTACAATCAGAAGAAGTGAGATCTGTTATGTCGTGTGTGTTTTGTTTGTTACTGCTGCGGTTTCAAAGAACCTAGATCTCGGTAACAGAGAATAGGAGATGTGAACGACAACGACGACAACGCCATCAATGTCAGACCTTGAGGATTCGTTGTTGTTTGAATGAACAAGTATATAATACCTTAAAGAATTTGCAATTTGGGTTTGTCGCCTTTCATATTGATTTCTCCTTGAGCGAGCGCACTACAAGTTGAGTCTGGTGAACTCCAGACATGTTCCATACCAGGTGCATTTCAGGAATTAATGTGCAGACTCCACCCAATTCTTCATGGTCATTATACCCTTAGCATGAACGTGTTTTCAAAGAATGGTGAATGAAAGAAACGTTTGTTCCAACTATGGTCCCCTTAAAATTTCGCATGTCGTAATTAAATAACAGTTAGATGGGAACAACATTGGGTCAACTGTTTCACGTCCAATTTTAATCGTTTGACCATCTTTGGTCATTGCGTGCGATTGTCCTCGCATGGACTCACGACATCTACAACTTGAGCAGGGCTCGGTCCACACAGGAACCACCACTCACCAACAACAGATTTACCCAAAACAAAATCGCCACAACGCTCAGCCTGTTGAGGTCTCTCTTGACATTGTTCACTTTTTTGTGCGTCCTCACTGAACCTTTTCGCATCCAACAACCAACCAATTCACTCGACTTGTGTTCATTAGAAAACAAGATACTCGTCTTCTTTTGTTCATTCGAGTGAGTAGAGATCAGAGTTGTAGCAACAAGGACACTTGACCATTGGTCTTCAACAAACTGTTACTGCAGTCATAGGTGTCCTTCTTTGTATCGAATAGACTTTTTCATATTCCTCTTTGTGGCAAGTGCGCGTTTTGATTCCCCCATTATTGCGTAAATTTTGATCATCACCAATTTTATTCAACAACAAGTATATCTTTATAGTTTGAATAAGATCATCATTCTTGAATTCGATCATCATCATTGCCATCCTCTATTATTCCACCATCAACATCCTCATCATTGCCATTATCATCATCATATTATCACTGTTGTATAACAACCACCTTCCTTGCACAGCCAACACAACCAACACAACATCATGACTCCTGAATATCATTCGAAAGGATCTTCTTCCTCCTCATCCACAAAATCGTTCAACTTCTTTGTCAAGGATCCAAAGGTTAAAATCACCACCATCACTACCACCACAACCACAACCACGGCCACAACCAAAGGTTCATCTTGTTCTCCAACCAAGCAAACATCATGTCATTCCACCACCACAACACCATCAACGACCAATGATCATTCGTCGGGTGAATCCAAAGTCTCTCATTCGGGTATCCAATTCCAAGAAGAAGAAGAAACCAATCTTGGAAAGAATAGCAACAAGGTACAAACGAGAAGAGTTGGACAACATCATCTCTCGCATTGGTTTTTCAAAAAACAAGAGACAAGTCAGAAAAGGAAGAAGAAAACTCGACGAGGTGAGGAGAATGATGATGATGATGCATTAACAATGAAGACCTCCTTGACTAACACTCAACATGGAACAAAACAAGAAGAAGAATTGATCACAAAAAAGGTGAAGGGAATTTCAAAACCACACAACATGAAAGACACACACAAGAAGATGACATTGGCATCCTCTCTGAATCATCGATCGATACCTTCTTTGGAAACACCATGTTCTCAATCCAACTCTTCAAATTATTGTTGTTTCTACTATGAAGGAAATCAAGTGGCAATTCATAACAGAAAGAAGAAATTATTTTCTGATAATCATCCGAGTGAGAACAATGATGATGGTTGTTTTAGAAATGTTTCATCTCAGGTTGAACGTCCAAGTAGTAATACTGACTTGTCAATATTGTCACCTTACACTCGACCAAGTTGTATTCATCCTGTTACCAGTGTGGCTATCACACAAGTGTCTTCCTCAAGTTTGTTGCAAACTCAATCTCCTCCATTGCCATCTGCGTTTTTAAGGTTAACCTCAAATCAGAATGTGAATACTCCATACAACAACAACAACAGAGGAGCAAGTGATCAAAGTGATTATCCTCCTTCGATGACACAATATCATTATTCAACTGCATCGAGTCCATCTCCACCACTCATGAGTGACCCATATAAATATAACAATGTCAATCATCCAAGAGGTCGTTCAGCATCAAGCTTGCTACTGAAACAGTATCCAGAAGAGCGTACCATAGCGTCACAAAAGTTCATGCACAACACTGATCCACATCCGAAAATGATGACAAGAGAAACGTTACCTCCTTTGCATATTCTGTTATCAGAGCCTCCTAAGGCATATCCTTTGCCTTCATTGTCGCGTTTGTTGAATGACAAACCAAGTTGGCATTGAGTTTTATTATTAATCGAGATTTCACAATAAATTGTAAAATGTCAAAGAACAAATTGGCTTGATCAACCATTCTTTTGTGCAAGCTGGTACACCACCTTTCCCAACTCAAACACATTGGTCACAGAGTTTGGTGATTCATTGTCAATCTGCAGAGCATGAGTCAATCTACCATCCTTAGTGAAAAGGTCCATAAGAGAATTATCTGTGAATGGTTTACAGTTGGCAAATTTTGAAACTCGACACAACACAAAAAGTCCTCGTCTCGCACAAGAGAGAGCAACAGCCATCCTCTTTGGATCATTCATGTATCCAGGAGTGCTTGTTCGAACCATTGACAAGATTACAATGTCATTCAATTGTCCTTGATATCTATCGATGGTTGTTATCTTTTTTGGTTCTCCCAATGAACCACATCTACGTTTAGCAATGGATCGAATGAGACTCTTTTGACCCTGATAGGGAGTGAGAATGGTAATGGAATTGGCTTCATGACCTACTAAACGAAGATACATGTAGAGAGCAATGGCATACTCTGCTTCCCCTAAATTCTGGAACATGTGTGGGTATGGCTGAATTTCGCCTTGTCCTTGATAATCTTCAACATTTAACATTTGATAGTTATATTTGAATCCATTCAATTTCATCGTTTCATCTGATGATTTCACCACACCATACTCATAGATTCCCGAGTAATTCCATTTGAATAGAGGTACTAAATTTGGAGAAATTTCTGTAGAGTCATAGGGAAGAGTAATCATCTTACTTTCATCAATAAATCTTGAAAATCGTGTAAACAAGGATTGTTTCACGTTACTAAATAACTCGACTTGTTTGTTATAAATTACAGGTGATAATTGGTTGTTATCACCCAAGAGAATAATTTTAGAAAGCCGTGAAGAACCACTCATGGGAATAAAAGATTCAATTTCAGAAATTCGAGCTGCATCCTCAATGATTAATGTATCATACTCGAATTTTTGCTGCTTGAATGAACTTCTCTTGATGGCAGCATGAGTCGAGGTCATTCCAACCACTCGTGACTGATGGGTAAGAATATGATTGCTTCTTCCATGGTAATTTCTCACATTCTCGAAAACTTTACATTCACAAATGATTTCGAATAGTAATGAAATTTCAGAAAACAGTTCAAATGCTTTGTTCATATTTTCTTGGTATTGTGTAGATTGGAAAATCTTATCGTTTCCTAACACTTGCTTAAAGTATTCCATGAACGGGAAGTTGTTTTCAAAGAAGGAAATGTCATTTGGTGTTGAGTTTTCTTTCAGAAATTGTGCCTTTTCTAAAAAGGTCTTCCAGAGTGGAAAAACTTTTCCAATAAAAAAGTGTGAAGCAGTTTCACAAGAGGTATTGGAGAACTGCGCCATTCCAAGAGATGATACAAGAACATCAAAAGCTCTCAATGCCTCCAATCGTTGTGCTAGCATGTAATTAACACGTCCAAACTTGCTGTATTCATTCTTCTCGCCTCCCAGTCGAAGTAAATGGCGTTCATGTACTCGAGATTTTTCTAAATTTTCAAATACAGAATTCAGTGTAAGGTTCGATCTCGTGATCACAACAATTCTTTGTTGTGGATGGTTGAGGTATAGATTCTCTATGATCTTTGTCAAGACTTGATATTTTCCACAACCAGGTGGCGTTTGAACATACACCAATCCCTTTTCAGGTATTGATGCTGAAGTGATTGCCTTCACTTGCTGGGCATTAAATCTGTATTGTGTGTGAGTTTTTGAGCGAATTCTTACGTCATGAGGAATGTAAGAGCGGTATGAATTAGCTTGTCCATTCAGGAAGGAAACTTTAAAATAATTTGATTCAGCTGGAGATGAAGGTGTCTCTTTGATAGAAAGTGTTTCTTTAAGGTGATTCTCATCAATAAAGGTATCACTGAAATCTACTGTCACTTCGCCAACAACAGCTTCCTGTTCTATAGTTGGCTCGTATCCGAGTATGTAGTCCATAATCCAACCAGGAATTTGGTCTGTGCCTTCATTCATTAAATCTCTAATGCTCTCAAGAACTGCTTTGAAATTATTGTCTTTTGGTTTTTGCCGAATAACAATATTAAAATGTGAGTACAGGTCAGTCTTTGATTTTTCTTGCTCAGCTTTGTCGAGTACATATTGAACAGGATCCAGAAGAACAATCAATTTTCTTTCAGGTGAATAAAGATCGAATTCTAGAGTCTCATCTTGTTCCGCTAATTTTGTTTGAGCATTAATGACATTTCCTTCTTGATCTTCTTGTCTGATTAATTCACAGCCTCGAATTGAAACAACACCATATCCTTTGTCAAATCTTGGTTCATTGTCAAAAGCCATTTGAGAGGACGCTTTGATGTGAACTAGAAATAGAATATCGTTCTTTCTAATATTTTCCCATTCTTTTCTAACATCTTCAGACTCTATACGTGACAAATCAATAGAAATTATGCCTTCCACTCGAGATGGTACAGATTCTCCTATTTTTGGAGCGGCTACTTGTACCAATTCAAAGGGTTTGGACAAAGGCAATGCCATTCTAAATCCAGATACAAAGTCTGTCTTTCCAGTGTTAATATTCTTGGTATACTTTAAATCAGAAATTATACTTTCCAGAGATCGTTTCAAACTAAATGTCTTCTCTTGTCTGTAGAGCGTATAATTTCTTAATAAATAATCATATAAAGAAAGGTATTGAATGCTTAGCTTGGGAAGAGGAATGTTGGAACCTTTGTAAAGCATGTTTGGCGGAGATGAGCTCGTCAAAGTGATATCTTCCCAAATAGTTTTTTCTGTAGGATAGATCGGTGTATTGTTAATTCTTTCTATTTGGGATAATTTTTTCTCGTGATTTGCAACGATGATTTCTATCAGCAATTCCATGGAAATGTTGTCTCCAGTTTCAAATGGCCCTACAAAGTTTAGTTTCTTGGCGAATTCTAATAGATCCTCCTTTCTTAGTGTCTTTAGAGTTTTCTCTAGAAAATTACGTTGTTGAATCGTGGCAAAATCTTGCAGGTAAAGATCTCTTAATTGATCAGGGAAAAATCTCAGAGCAGTCTTTTGCAAATTTTGAACGTTTTCGGAGTGAACACCAATAGCCTCAATAGGCGAGAGGGCAACGCCAGTGTCATCATTGATATCAAAGTTCAAATAAAAATCGAAACCTTCAACAAGTTGTGAAAATTTCTTGGACGAGGTTCCTGATCGAATGAAAAGTCTTAAACGTTCTAACACATGAGCATCAGACAAGTAAAATCTTGAAAATCTTCTTGTGGGAAGTTGTGAAAGCAAGTCAATTAAAAATTCTAAAAATCGTTCACAATAAATCATGTTGGCTTCTTTAGTGTGCTCTTCCAGATCAGTTAACTGAAGAGTCTCTAATGTATTTAAAAAGTGGTTCACCAACGATGGCAAAAAGTCTGATTTCAAAGCATCCTCGGCCGACTTTTTGCTAGAGATTTTTTTCCAATACTTGGATAAATCGCGTTTCTCAATCTCGGCGTTCCTTCTGGAAGGGTTGACATGTTTCCATAGAGGAAGAGAAACTAAATCCAAACAAAGCTTATTCAATAAATCAATATGCGAGAAGCAATTAATCAAAAATACGATCATTATCAATTTTTCTTTTGTTTTTTCACAATTTAAAGTGATCGATGACTTGAATAGCATATCAAACTTGGGATGTTTAGCCACGGTTTTGAAATCTGATTGCTGATTTGCGATTACAATTGATGTTAATAAGAACTCTTTTGAAGAGCGTCTCGACTCATCCAAATATTTGAATATGAAACTGCAAGAAAATGACATTATAAGCCAAATCATTAATTTAAGCAATACATACTTTTCAATAAATTTAGAGGACTCTAAAACCGAAAAGACACCACTATTTTCATTCAGTAATTCGGCTTCAATAATTTCAAATATTTCCGATATCACTTTTTCGTCATAATTATCCAATCGGCTCGCTAAAGCATTCATTCTTTTTTCATTGGATGTCAAAGATGATGTTTCCGCTCCCGAAAGCTTGATCTTTTTGGTATCACTCTCTGAGTGTGGATCTACAGAATCATTATCTCTATCATTCACATTTTCATCATGCTGATGATCATCGTCATGAGCCTCTTGCTTGGCTTCTTCTTGTGGTTGATTGGTGCCACGAGAGGAAATATTCTTACGTTTAGGAGGCATTTTTTGCTGGTTGAACGAGCAGCGTTCCTTTTATAATAATAATTATTAACGATAAATAGTTTTACTCTCCATTAAATAGTTATGATGAACTGGTAGTAATGATATCTTTAAAATCATTTTGATCAAGCCTGAATAGTGATATGTCATTCCTTATGATATCTCTTCAAGTGTGTTCATGCTTTGCCCGTGCAATAAAATAGGAGAATCCAAACACATTAAGCAATCCTTACTATTACTTTTTGAATCTCATCGAATCAGCTCTGTAATGCATGACTTTCCATAACGTTGTAACCCAACAGGTAAGTCGAGAGAGATCATCACAGCATGGTAGAAGAATATTTACGTCTTCATCGATCGTTTTTGGATCGTAGCTGCCACATGAAAATTTAATGAAGTTGAGACGTTTCGCTTTTGTTGACGAAACGGGTCGTCTATTACCATTGTTGGACAATAGCAATCTCATATGGATGATGCTGAAGTGCATGATGATTCTGGTATTAACAGGCTGAAGTCGGTTCTCTGTCATCATCATCTCTCATTATTACCATGATTCAAAAAGAATAAAACAAACAACAACATCCTTGTCCCTTCCCTGAGTCTTTTCACCTCTTCAAACACAATTCATTCTTTAATTGTAAATTGTACTACTGCTACTTCTAACTGCACTCTCATCAACGGACAGTATTTCATCGCTGCGAGTGACACGCAATTTCCAGCTTCATCATCCACCTCTCTAACAACATCATGATTACAACAAGTAATAATTCAAACAACAATATTCATCTCACTAAAGAGGAACGTTCTCTCTTTCGATGCTATGTCTTTGACTTTGATCAATGTTTAGCCTTCACCAACTTTCCAGAGTTTGTGTCCAATAATAATAATATTCGCACACCAACAAGTACTGCGACTCCTCCTACACCTGTGAGCAGTGGTGGTTTGAAGACGTCCTCGTCATTAGCCAACAACAATGACAACAATATGCCTTCTCCAAACTCATCCTCTCAAACCTTGCTCTCCTTGTTCAAATCCTTTCTCGAGAGAGACTGCAGTGGAAGATTTGTACCGCTGCTCTCACTGTATTTGCAAATGAAACAGAACCCTTCGTACTATGAACAGTCTTTGTATGATGAAAAGAAGAAGGAAATTGAGAGCTTTTTAAGGAGAGAGGCTTTCCCAAGATTTGTTCGAAGTGATGACTTTAAGAGCCACGTAGCCAAGAGAATGAGAAGTTTGAAATCCATCCCATCCTCAAGTACTAGTACCTCGAAAGGAGGGAATATGCTCCACATTGGAGCAGTCCCCATGATTCATTCAACCACTCGAATCAAACGACAAACGAGCAATAACTCGCAAGGAAAGGCAAACTCTTCATCCAATATGATTCTCTCGGTGCAATCTGTGAGCAGTAGCACACTCGACGATTCGACTGGCACTCTCGCAAGCAGTAACCAAAGCAATCAGAGTCATCAATTGTATCATGCTTTGCAACCATCCACGCCAACATCAGTGAATTTAGAGGCTCCCTATTCGCCTTCTTTGGCTTCAAGTTCTCCCAATACGACCTCTTCACATCATGAAAGTGACGCTTTTGCCATGAAAATGTCAAAAAAGGATGATGCTGCAGACGATGATGAAGAGGAGGACGAGGAACGTCATGAAGAAGATGAAGATGCCGATTCGGAAAGTACAACGACCACCACGACCACTTCATCCACAAGTGGTTCCTATCAACCCTATTCATTCAATGTCTCAGACTCTACCACAAGCTCTCAACAATCATTGGGATTACCTTCAAGACCTCAATCAAAGAGTAGACATTCCGTGTCGAGACATCTCGCTCTATTGAGTAATAAGGCAGTATTAGAATATTTGCATGCGATTGGTTCTCCAATGGAAATTTCTACTGAACCCTTATTCAAAACTCAGGTTGAGATGAAGAGTGCACTCTTCTTCTCAATGGATCATCTTTCATTGGTGCAAGATTTTGAAAATGATTCACCAGCATGGGAAATTGTGTATACCATTCCATGCAGTATTGAAACAGTTTCAAGTAACAAGTTCATTCCTGCTCAAATTCATAAGGATTATTTGAATAGAGGAGGAGGCGTTTTTACATTGCAAGCCTGCTCCCCAAAGAATAATTTGCAACGAGTGTTGAATGATCTTTCTTTGGAAAAAACTTACAAATGGAAATATCAAACCTTTGTTCCATATCCTCATCATGAAGTGTTTCACATGTTTGAACAGTGCAATTTTAATCCATGTTTGAAGGGATGTAAGAAACAAAACAAAATGTCACGACAATTGGGTACAGAACTGTTTGATCCTCACTTTAGTGTCTCTGGAAGTGGAGGTAGAGATTTTTATTGCTATGAAGAGAAGATTCAACTCTCGAGTGGAAATTCATTATTCAAATTTGGAAACTCTCACAAGACTCTCAATCTTCTCTGCAGCAATTTTTATGACACTGAAAAGAATGAATACGTATTCTGCTTGAAATCTCAAGGATTTGACCAAAGTAATTCCACCATTGAGTTGGCAGACAATGTTTGGGGTGTGAAATGTTTGACCATTACAAAAATCACGAACAACTTGACTCGAGTGAATGAATATGGTTTGATGTATTTTGGTGAGAGTTCGAGTAAGGACTATTTCCTTTCTTCTCTCTTTAACGTTTCTAATAAGGATAAGTCTTCCTTCTTTTATAATGCATTGGTAATGGGATCAGAGGAAATGATCAAGAGAGAACTTGAGAGAGCCTCTAGCTACAACAGCAAACACAAACAATCTGTTCAAAAGAAATCATCCAATACCATTCGAAATCAATGTCTTCATCAGAATGAGGCACTAGTGGCCAAAAGATTGTCAACTGTTGAGAATGAGGAGACAATGGAATAAAATGATTAATGTTGTTTGGATCAGAGGCGACCAATTATTTGAACGCGCCAAAAAATGTCTCGAAATTATCACTTGGACCTTTATCTAAGCAACGGAAAAGCCTTCTGCTCGTTTCCGTCATCATCATCCATATCAACACATGAAGAATTAGTATTGTTTTTGGAGAGAGAATACGAAAAGTTTTATCCTACAGAGGACAGTATTTCGATAAAAGCCATTCAACACTTGTATTTGGATAAAGAATCGGGAATGCCAGTGAAATTTGAATTACCCACAAATTGGGAAGATCTTTCATCGAAATTGCAAGTTAAATCTAAAATAATTGAAGTAATCTGTGGAAATAATCCATCTTTGTTTTTGCAAGTGGAGAAGAGTGAGAATAGACATGAGCAATACAACGATATTGTTTCTCCTGTTCCGGGCTCGGTCCGAAAGAAAGCTGTGGAAAATTCAGTCATTACTTCTGTGGCTTCTTCTCTCTCGTTTAATGGAGGCAAGAATTTACATTCGAATGCCAGCAATGGTATTAACAATTTAACACTTCCTGAAGCCGTACCAAATGATGATAGTGCTGCTGATGAAAAAGTGGTTATTTTCGCTGAAGATGATGATACGGTCTTTGATGACGCTCTTGCGAAGATGGAAATGAAAGCATCACAAGGCAGTCAACTTGTAAATACCAATGAGCCATCGTCGTCAAGTCAACTTGTGGATTCTGTTCCGGAGGTAATTGACGTAATCACCACCAATTCAGATACCAACACTGCTGCAGCAGTGACAAACGACAACAAACCTATGGCTATTGACAATGTAAATGATAAACCCAATGATGCAACGACTGTCGTACCTATGGACACAAAAGATGACAACAAACAAGAGAATGAGGACGAAGAGTACATTTTCTCAATAGAATCTGACGATCTTAATGAACAGCCACTTTTCTCTTCTGAAAAGCAGGCGGCTTCTATCGCTTGTGTGTCACCAGTAATGGATGCTTCCTATGAAGATAATCAAATAGATGAAGAGCAAAAAGCATCCCAAAAAACCACTCCTGTTCAACAAGAACAAACGAAAGAAGATAGCAATTTGATGGTTGACGAAGGCGAGGATGAAGAATTACAGCAACTAGCCGTCAACGACAATATTCTATTTACTCAAAACCCTACCTTGGAACTACCAGAAGAAGAACCTGTGACATCTTCTCCAGAAGAGAGAAAACACGAAAAACTTTCCCAAACACCACAATCCAAAAACGTCACACCAAGCAAAGCATCTGAGAAAAACATCAGACCTACACCTCAAACAACTGAATTGGTTAAGGAAGTGCACTCAAAACCCTTTTCCTTTGCATCTATTTTCGCTCAAAAATCTGACACCAAATCTTTAGCAGCTCCTTCATCACAAGAACGTTCTTCCTCTCAGAAACACTCCCAAGAACACAATTCTACTACCTCATCAGCAACACCATCTAAAAAGTCATCCCAACAAGATCAAACAAATGTCAATACTCCTAAACAATCCTCTCAGCGAAAAGATGAAGAACATCAAACATTATCACAATCTCTCCAACCATTCACCCCCAGTACACCTATTTCTCTTTTGCAAAGAATTAAGAACTGCAAAACACCCAATCCTTCTTCATCTCAGCAAAGCACAAAGGATCTAGACTCGGCAATGAAATCGAAAAGTGCATCCAAAATTCAGAAAAACAAATCAAAACTGGCCGAGAAGGTTGTAAAAGATGCTCTATTGAAATGGAACCAAAAGAAAAAGAAATAAAAGGATGGCATTCATTATTACCTATTGAAATCGTGCGTGGCGTTGTACAGTGCTGAGACCCAATTATGTCCATTTTGAGATGGCGTAATCCTGCGAACCAAGAGCGCTGTTTTGGAGTGTTTATGAGTGGTGTCCAAATGAGGACACCAACACACCAACGTTCGATTCGAATTGGCGCACAATTACAAGCTTTTCCAGCTCCTTTTTGCTCACAAATCGAACGAGCTTGCCAATCTATCAAGCTCAACCTCACACTTCCTTGCTCAAATTCTCTGTCCTTCAAATTGAATCATCATCCAAACTAAACTGACACTCCTCGAGACTTAATTAAGTCATCCAATTTCCTTCAATTCACTGCAACTTGAGCGCACTCTCATTTTCATTTCCCAACGGACTAGCGCACAAATTTGTACCTGAGGTACGCCAGCTGCCACCCCAGCGTTGGAGGACACATAAAAAAACTTCTTTATCCAACCAAGCACCAGTTAAAGGTGGTTTCCGTAACCGAAGTAAAAAACCACGCGTGCGTTTGTTTGTCCAAAGAATTTGTTTCTTCTTTGATGTGTTATTGAGAGTCCTTTCCATCATCATCATCATCATCACCAAATACATCACTCTTTCATCAGAGAAGAAAACAACTGTTGTTCTTGTTGCTTCCCATCACATTCGTTAGATACATTGATTCGAGAAGTGCTAGTTTCTTCTTCCTCTTGGGTTCTCATTGAATTACTAATTAAGCGTTTTTTTGACCAAGAATTTCGGGTCCTTCTTTCCAACTCTCTTACATTGGCGAACCTGAAATTATCATTCATTAACGACAAAACATAACCATCGAGAGAATGATTTCCACAACTGTTCAACGTTCACCTCTTCCTCATGAATCCACCACTTCTTCATTCCTAACCTCTCCAGATTCATCATCAAACCAATCGTTACAATACTTCACCAAAGAACAAGTCGCCAAACACAACACCGAACACGATGCCTGGGTCATTGTTCATCAACACGTCTATGAGATTACTGAGTTTTGCGAGACTCATCCTGGAGGCACAGACATTTTGTTGGATTATTTAGGTTCCGATATTACTCACGTGTTGCAAGAGGCTTCTCTCCACAAGCACTCCTCTTCGGCCTATTCCATGTTGAAGAGATATCTCATTGGAAGATTGCGTGATGATGATGGAAGTGATGATGGAGATTTCTCAGAGAAATCAGTTGCTAAAGGTCTTCGTTCTTCCGAAATCAATAATAACACTTCTGAAGGACCTGGAGCATTGGCGGAATCTGCTTTAGGTGCTACTGATACCTCTGATGAAACCAAGAACATGTTGTTGAAGGGAAAGGATCCCATCGACTACTCAAAACCCTTGTTGGATCAAGTTGGCAAGTTAGGGAAGGACTATTTTGATTGGGTCTCCTACTCGGGACCTGTTTACTTTAAGGAATCGGTTCCATTGTTTGCTAACAAGTATTTGGAATTGACTTCACATACTCAGTGGTGGGTTGTGTTGATGGTTTGGTTGCCAGTGATTGCCTTCATGCTCACACAGAGTTATTTACAGGGATTTTCATGGATCGGAATGGTCGGATGTTTTGCTTTGGGATTTTTAGTGTGGTTTGGATTGGAATATCTGTTGCACAAGTACTTGTTCCATTTCGATATGTTGGGTAAGATGGGGTTCTATGTGACAAATATTGTGCACTTTTTATTGCATGGATTCCACCACAAGTTACCAATGGATAAGGATCGTTTAGTGGTACCTGTGGCCTTATTCACAATTTTATCATCTCCATTTGTGTTTGCTGCTCACTCAGTGTTGCCAAGCTATGCAGCTCATGCTGTAGTGGCAGGCGCTTTTATGGGTTATGTTTTTTATGATATGCATCATTATTGGTTGCATCATGCCGCTAATGCAGCAAGAGCACCTGAACCATTTAGAACTTTCTTTACAAGCAAAAGATGGCAAACTCTAAAGACGCATCACTTTATTCATCATTTTGCTCCAGGAGGTGATGAGAAAAATTATGGAATTTCAAATCGTATTGTCGATATTCTGTTTGGTTCTTTGAGAGAGCACCATTAAACAATTTTGATGAAGAAGGATTAATCCCAAAATGACACTCTACTCATATTGTTGGGTGTGACATTCGATAACAACGACATCTTTCATTACAAGGATGCTAGATATAATTTGAACTCAAATTGGAGAGAACTCTAACAGCTTTTTCCACTCACTTTTCACACATGATTTGTATATTTTTAAATAGGACTAAATATATTTATTATGAATGTTATTATTTACAATATTATGAATGTTTCAAAACTTTAGAGAGATCAAAATTGAGGAAGTTATTCGTTTGAGGGTTGAGGTGAGGAGTTTTCGACAATACTATCGCTAGAGGAGTTGTTAAGGTTGTTGTGATTCGTAGTGTCACCGGAGAGATCTTGAAGCAAAAATTCCGTTTGATCAACTGGGCTGAAAATTCCGTTCTCATCAATATCATTCCACAATTGTTGATGATATTGATATTCAGGCGGTTGCTGATTATTTTCTTCTGTCACAACGTAGGATTGTTGTTGATCCATTGTCACCATCATGGGTGCATTCTGGTTGTGATGGAGTTGAGAATTTTCTTGCTCATTCAAAGTTGTATTAGGAGAGGCGTTTGACTGTGGAATAACAGCTCCAATTTCATCATCATCAAGCTGTTGAGGATGATTTTGGTTGAGAATCATTTGCAGAGTTTCTAGAAGCTGTATTTGTGTTTGGTGTAATTGAGGATAGTGATTAAGGGAGATGTGTTTTGTCATGGAATTTTGTGGATAGCTAGAATTTAATTCATTATTGTCACCAAACTCAAATAAACAGTCTTGATGTTGTTGAGGATTTGAAAAGTCGAAATATGGTTGTTGTGACGTTGAAATCGGTTGTGGTTGTTGATTCAGATGAACCATATTTCCATCTGTCCACGCTTGATTAGAGAACATGATTTGTTGCTCTCCATTCAGTATGTGATGATGTGTTGGACTTATTTCATTGCCTAGTTTGCATTTCTTATTTGCTTGTAATTGTTGTTGTTGCTGTTGTTGTTGATTCAGTGATGATTGAATTTCATACTCTGAAAGGTTCATGGCTGTTTCATTAGGAGAGAAATTAACCAAACAATCCGGCATGGAGAGAGTCCTTCTCGAGTTCACATACGTTGAACTACTGCTACTACTGGAGGAGGAGAAGGCATGTTTTCTCTTCATGGAGGACGATGAGACATGATTAATACTCGATGGATGTGACAGAGGTTGTTGAGGAAGGAATGGAGCTTGCATAAATTGAAATGGATGTCCATTCGTTGGCGTAGAGGCAGGTGTGTGGGTAGTCATGATAGGATCCATCGTCGACGAATTCATTCCAAAATATCCCATACTCAAGTCTGCATGCTGCTGAGAAGGTGAAGCTGTATTAAAGTGGAATGACGGAAGAGAGGTGTTCCCTCCTCCACCAACACCACCACCATTCAAACACATGGATTGAAATTCAAAAGTAGGTGTTTTGGTTGATGTTTTGAGAGGTGAAATTATACTTCCACTGCCACTGCCACTATTGGGAGTAGGAATGGAAGAAGAGTTGAGATTGTTACTGGACGAGGAGGAAGAACTAGACAGCACCATCATGGAACTCATCGACGACGACGATGCTTGTTGGCCAACAGGAGGTGGTGGTGCAATTCCTTGAGCTGAATCATAGTGCACAACCATGGGTTCATCTTTCCTAGTATCAATGACAAAGTAATTCTTTTTGAACTCCTTGGTATTGATTTGTTTTCTAAGCTTCCGAATTCCGATGGGCTTGAGATAAGAGTAGGTGTCTTGTGTTTGTTTTGTCTCGTCCACAAAACGTATAGTGTCTTCACTCATTTTCTCTGTGCTTGTTTTCTCGCAATTTCCGGTTGAATGTTTCTACAAGTACTCGTACTTTCAAGAACAATCACCAATGGACTACAACAATGTTGTTTTTTTCACAGCATGATTCGTCTCCCTGTCAATACTTTTTAATGGTATGTTTCTGTTGTGAAACACCCATCATGTTGTCGCCTTTGTGTGGTTTAAAGCCATTGCGGGAGAGTGCCTATTGATATTTCAACTAAAGAAGAAAAAAAGATGTACATGCATTCATTTTCGACACATACCATGTACGAGCACGAGATCGCGATAGTCAGAAAACCCTTTTTGAATTTGCGACAAATATGGAAGGTCATTTGATAGGGTTGTAAAATGCACAAACTTGGAACAAATAGTACCGCGATCTCATTATCATTAGTTGGATTGTGATTCGTGGTCGGAAGTACATTAGGTCGTGACAAGTTGATGATCATGCACTACTAGTAGTGTGCCTACGCAACTATTAGAAGGAGAAAGAGCGACCAAGCTAAATTCTATGGAGGAGTGATGATGTTCTCAACACCATTCATATGAGCTCAACATAATTGTCAACAACATTTTGCAAGTTGCAGATCGCCTCTTCAAAGTCTGTTATTTCGAGACCATGTCTTTGATACCAGTTGATGTACGCTCTAGATTGCATCATGGTGTAAGATTTTGTGAGAACTCGATTGAAGAGCTGCATGAAACTTGTTCTGTTTGCACACACAGTTAGAGAATAGGGAAGTTTGTAACTTTTGAGAGCTTCATCACTTGAAACCAATGTATGAAACTCCTCTTTTCTTCCCTTAGTCCAATCTACTGGGGAAAAGGCCTGTTTTTGCAAAACGTTTTTGATAATGTCCACATCATGTGAGGTTTGTAGTCCGCCCCTCACCACGGCTTTGGCATAGATGGTTTTGATATTGCTATTTTCAAGATCATAGATTGGTACATGTCTCGTTAAATCCTCGGCAATGTATTGCCATGAAGTGAACTGTGTTGCGTTATGGGTCAATAACGCACTCGTATGCAATTCAACAAAATTTACATCTTTCATTGGAACCACTTGATTCACAAGAGAGAAGGCATCGAATGGAGTATACAGTTTTGTTTCCTTCGAGTAGACAGGAAGAAGCAATCCGCATAAGCTCGATGAAATGTACTTATTGATATCAGAGACCGAGTAAGAAACATCCATTAGAGTCGAATGACCAGCATTTTGTCTTTTCATATTCTTTGTAATGGAACGAAGTAAATCGTCATTCACAAACAAGAAAACCCCGTCAGCGTATTGCTGGATGTGATTAAGGGTGAGTAGACAGTTATAGTGTTGAAGAGGAGTTTCTCCATGTTGAAATGGAGCTATTGAAATGGTGAAGATATAGTAAGACGGGTATTTGATCCTAATTTCTTCAACGACTCGACTACCAAGTCCACTTCCTGTTCCTCCTCCCATAGAATGAAATACAAAGATTGCTTGCACAACGTCACAACTTTCAACTTCTCTTCTGATTCGTTCCATCGTTTCATCAACAAGCGTATTGCTTTCCGTGAGAGAAATATTGCTCGTCAAGTTTTTGACTTTGCCTTTAAAGTTGTATCCAAGTGCCCAATTATTTCCGCAACCACTCTGTTTTTAAATTATTTTCAAAAAGGAAGATTGAATGAATGAGAGAGCGTAAATTTGTGGAACATTTAAAGTGTTTCTCATGTTGTATGAATGGTTGTAGAGCTTACCTCCGAGTATACAACATTCCGAGGGTCATACAATGATAATTTCGATTGTCGTTCGTCGTCCAATGAGGCTTTGATCACTTTGGGCTCTGCATCAACCATCACTACATGAGCCTTGGAGCTTGCTGTATTGAAATAGGTATCAAAAAATCCCTTAGATTTTCTTGCTGTTTTTCTGTTCAAAGGATTGTTGTCATCCCGAAAATTGAAGTTCATCAATTTTAATTTAAAAAGTCCATATTTCATCATTTCCAAAAAGAATTCCACCATTAATTTTTTAAATTCCAATCAACATCATCTACATAGCATCATCATGATGAATACTCACTCTCCGTTCAGTAATTTCATAAATTCATGTCCAATTTGATTTCCTGCTTGCCCCAAAAATGCAAAGATACAAGACATTTTTTTTCAAGGGTGGTTTTGGGTTGTTTCAAAACCCCTTTTAGGAGTGTCCAAAAGCAAGCAAGCTTGGTTGATTTGAATTGATCCTTAAAAATGAAACGCCTCACTGTTGGTGTTGTTGCCTTAATGGTTTTAGCCGTGATGATGATGATGAACTGCCAAAGTCATACTTCTGCTCTTCCAATCCCAAAGCAATTACCATCAAATGTTCTTGCTTTTGTTGAAGGTTTTTTACTTGGTATTGAAGCCGATGGTAAGTAAAAAACCTTCGAAATCGAAAACGCATTAATATAAGGATAATAACCATGTCGATTGATCCACTGTTTGTGTGGAAGTGGGAAATGTTACCAGTTGCACCAAAGATGCAAAAATTACATTGAATGATTTTGAAAATGCGTTTTACTCGTTGGAGTACGGATTTAAGAAGATGAACCCTCAATTGATTGAAACAGGTCTGAAAGAACTCGCCGCAGGAATTGAGGAGATTAAACAAGGCATTGAAGATTGCAACGTTAAAGGAATTATTAAGCAAATCGAGTCTCTCATTGCTCAACTTAAATCGGGCACTCTAGGTATCATCAAAGTCCTTGTGCATGAGACCATTAATATTTTCCATAACAGCGAGAATCTTACAAATGAATTCAAAAACGCCATTCAGTATTGGAAGGACAAGAAATACGAGCTGTGTGGTGTGCAAGTTGGAATGATCGTTGGAGTTTTGCTTGAATAGAACAATATTATAATCATTTATCACGGTTTGAAACTTCAATTAAATATTCTCCTGACATTTTCATGAAACTGGCCTTGTTTGGACCACCACCACCACCACAGGAGGTCCATTCCGAAACACACTCCTCTCTCTCCCAATAACTCCCAATCGCAACTCGGCCCGAAAACATTTTCATCACAAAAAATACAAACCAACCCCTCCGAGAGAATGAAAATTGTTTCATGTGTTGTTGTGGCAGTCGCTGCCGTGTTGGTGATGATGGTCGTGGCTGTTAGTGCCCAGAGAAAATTCATGCCAGCGTCACCAGCCAAATCTCTACCACTTAATATCCTTGCTTTCGTTGAAGGCTTTGCTCTCGGTATTGAAGCCGATGGTAAGTTTCGCTGCTGTGTTGGTTGATGATGATGATGATCATGCGATCAACTGTGTTTTGGAAACGGAATGATGTTCTATATCAAAAAAATCAATACTACTACTACTATGCGTGTTATCTGCTTTCTTTAACAATTTATAATTCACAAATTCTAACTTCCAAGTTGGCAATGTCACCGAGTGTACCAAAGATGTATATATCACTTTGAACGATTTCGATGACGCATTTTACTCTCTCGAATATGGATTCAAAAGAATTAATGTCAAATTGATTGAGACTGGATTGAGAGAATTTGGTGCTGGTGTGAAGGAATTAGCAGTTGCATTGAAGGGATGCAATGTGAATGGTATTATCGAAAAGATTGAATCACTTGCTGCTCAATTGCAAAGCGGTCCTTTGGGTATTGTCAAAGTCGTTGTTCATGAATTGATCAATATTTTCCACAATGAAAAAGATATCACCAATGAATTCAAGAAAGCCATCCAATACTGGAAGGATAAGAAGTACGAATTGTGTGGTGTTCAAGTTGGTAAGATTGTTGGTGTTTTGCTCGAATAAACACTTAAAAAGACACAATAGACGGATATCATATTCATTGAGTAATAATGGTTTGATCAATTACGGATATCAGTGCAATAATGCATTGTAATGAATCTTGTTTTTGAGAAAGCCTTAATGGTTGAAGCATGTGTGTTAGAGTGTGGAACGAGCAAGATTTAAAGTTAATCCACAACAAGCATGAGGGAGCAATTTCTTCTGTTGCGTTTCGCTTGCTGTGACAAGTCGATTGTTGTGTTAGGTCATTCATGTGAATGGAGGATTTAGAAATGTTATAGACGAATAGATTCCACTGTCTTTCCTCCGATGAGGTTAACCTTTCTATTAGTGAGTTGTGATCAAGTTCAATCATTGCCATCAAGCTAACATTGTTACAACACGTATTGATACACTTCACCAAGTCACATCGAGCTCGGCTATTTTTTGTCATGATGTTAAAATCAGTGATCTGCAATTTGATATTAGAATCTGTTTGTAATTGAGCAATCTCAAAATCTGTTTTTAAACTCCCAGAAAAAACATAAGGCTCCATCAATTTTAATTCCATTCTTGTGATCTTATCCTCACTCTCATAATGTTGAAGAAAGAATTGATAACGATTGGACAACGTAGTTTCAGCTTGTAATTCTGTTGCCTGATGATGATCATCCAAATCTTTCCTATCTTTGCAATCCAATAATATGAGAACTCGGGAGTATCCATCAAAAATTGAAAAAGGACCTCCACCAGTCATCACGGCACTTGAAAGTCTCCACGTAAAATCATCATTCACAGATTCACAATGTCCAGGATGAATGCAAAATTGCTTGGTGCATCCCAAGCCATTCTTCCATGCCATGACTTTGAAATCCTTCTCCGAGAGGACTTGAAATTCATACTCTTGACAAACGCTCGACGTTGAGGAAAACATTTTTTTTCTCGTACTTCTCTACGCGTGTCATCCCATTCAATAATACTGGCACAATGGACCATTCAATTCTTTCCTTAAATTTTAAAAGCCTATTCATTTATGCCAATTATATATATCAATGAATGAGGATCATCCTAGTTAAACCAAGCTAACACACACGCATCAATAATTAAAAAAATATTGACCATCGTCATGAGTCCTCCAAGTCCTTCGTCGTTGAGGATTGTGTTTTCATCGGATCTGCATGGAAATTTATTTCAATATCAAAAACTTGTGGATTATGCCAATCATGAGGATCATCATATTAACTGTATGATCATTGGAGGAGATTTATATTTGAAAAACAAAAAACATTCAAATCTTGATGAATATTCTCACCTTGATTGCAATAAGGGAATTGAGAAACATCGAGATTATTTTGCGAATCATTTGCTTCCGATCTTAAAACAGTTTAAAAAAGGAAATGTATACATTTGTTTTGGAAACGCAGATTTGTATTCGGATGTTGCATTTATGAAAGAGAAAACTCAACACATTCCGAATATTAAAGTATTGTACAACGAAGTCATTCAATTAGATGAAACAGATTTGGAATTATTTGCATATTCATCCATTGTTTTCATGAAAGGACACAAGAAAGATTTCGAGAGATTTGATACAAGCAATATTAGTGACACATTGGCACAAAATTTGGACTGGTATCACATTCGATTGAAAGGATACACTACTTTCAATGAGAGTGAATTTCTTGATGTCATTCTCAATGGAGAATATCCTGAATGCTCATGTGTTGAAGAGAATCCTAGTGAAGATTCTCATTTCAAGGGAGTTCCCGGATTTCATCATTTGAAATTCGATCCAAACGACCCAAAGCTTGTTAAGGCATTTTCTATTGAACGAGAATTGGAACGGATTGCAGAAAAATACAATTTTACAAAAGAAAAATGTAGAAAACAACTGTGGGTTTGTCACATGCCCCCTTATGACACATGTTGTGATAATGTGAATGGGATTCATTGTGGGTCGAGGGCTTTAAGGAGGGCGATTGAACAATACCAGCCACTCATGACCATGCATGGACACATTCACTGCTCCGTTGACTCTTCTCAAGGTCAGTATTGCTCAAAAATTGGAGACACCTTCTGTTACACGAGTGGAAATTATCCAAAAAGTAAGGACATGGCTATTCTTGTTCTTGACACATCGGAGGTATCCTCTTGTGAAAGAAAAATAATTTAAAAACGATGTAATTTATTAGTAAAAATTATTTAATAAATAATGAAAAACAATTAAAACACCGTAAAAAAATGCAAAGAGATGGACCATGCTTCAAGAAGCAAAGATTTTTCATCTCAACGGTTTAGACTCGAACAACTGCTTCCGAAATTTGTCGTAGATTATTTTATTAACGGTTTAGAAAATTATTTTAAACAGAACATTGAAAATGAATCCGAACTCGCTCTCATGATGGAAAATATTGATTCCTTTATTTCTTTTTTTACATGATGAAAGAATTGCCAAATATCAAATAAGAAACCTTTCCGAATATTACAAAATTGGTGAAAATTACACCATTTTGCCTCCATTCTCATCGTCGTCAACCCATCACAATGAACGTATTTCTGGTAATACTTTTATATCACTACCAAAAGTAACATCCTTACCACCACCTTTCACAGATGAATTGGAGAGATTTGTATGTGTTCATGAGTTTGTAGAAAAGTTCAAAGGACAACAAAACTCTTTCCAATCTGCTCAACCAAGTGGTAGTAGCCAAGAGTCTGTATTATCATCTGACAATTCGATCAACATGGCTCAGGAATATTATCCTCTTTATATGCCCAAGTTTAACACATTTTTCAAACACAAGAATGAAAATTTACATATTGAAAAAGGAGACGAAGGATTTGAATACTTTTCGGATCAAGATCAAGATTTATTGTTCAGAGTTCATGGATCGGAAGGGAATGAAAGTGATCAGGACTTGAACATTAAACAAAAACAACAACTTGTTGCTGAAAGAAACGTTGCGAGAAGTAAGGCCATGATCTCTTCTTTTCATTTACGGATACAGGAAGATGTCAAACCATTCGTTCAGTCCTTAATCAGCGCTGGTGGACCTCTAAAAAAGTTTCTGAATGAAAAGACATTTCACACTAGTGTGTATGAAGCAACTTTTGGACACATTCAAACAGAGGAAGAAGCAATGGATTTCTATCGACAATTATGTGGAGAAGATGAGCAGATTACAGTGACGATGGATATGGCACTCTATGAGTTGAAAAGAGTCCTCGCACTGAAGGCTAAAAAACCTAACAAGCATTCACGAATGACATCCAGACTTAATATTCCTTTTAATGTGGAATTCAAAAAAGCATATTTAATGTTTTTAAAGATGTTGGATTATGAAATTGTTTCCACTGCTACGGGTAACAACTCTCGCATTCATGAACAACGAGATCCAAGCGAAATTCCCACGAGAGTAAGACAAACCAGTTATCCCAATGGTCTGATATTGTCACTACTCTCAACCTCACATCAATTTTTGGAACATTCACTCTCTTGGGAGTGTATTGGTCATTTAGCAAAGTTTTATTTTATACCATGGTTGGATTATGAAAATACACAAACTCCTTACACTTCACGAATTGACCCTCACAACTTGATATTTCCTTGGGTTTTATTTAATGCAAGAATTCAACAAGATCATGCAACATTTATTCCGCGTGCCTTACTTGACAAAATTATTCAAAGTCACCTCCACATGTATAACTCGTGTGGATATGATAATAACATACTCAATCGCATTCTTGGAATTTCTGCCATGAACGAAACCAGCACTATGGATCAGGTGTACACGAATTTCAGTGCATTGTTAACAAAATCCTTTTCACAACGAGAAATTCAATTCTATGAAAAGGAAAAACGAAAATTACTTCCTGAAAAGCCCGATACAGACGTGGAGGATTTAATGGATTTACTCAACTCCTACAAAACGAAACTGGAAAATCGAGCTCGGTTGTCCCAATTTACTTCCCTCATGAGAAACATGAATCTTGAGGGGAATGAGATGTGAAAATCAGGGCCATCCAAGACTATCTTGAAGTGACACCTTATTTCGAAATTTACCAACAATGGTCATTTGTTGTAAGGACATTTTGGTTGTTGTAAGGCTATATGACTCAATATTGAGTCAAATAAAGAATAGAAATTTTTGGAAATTTTTCAGCTGATCCTTTATATTCAATACTCTACACAAAGGATTTAACTACCATATATATACAGATCGAGAATACCATGATGAAATCTGGATTCCCCTTTTTGCCATCCACAACATCTGACCTTGAAGGTTCACTAATTTACATTGAGGTATCTCCGTTTTTGGATCTATTGGATAATTCCAAAGCAAGTCTAGAAGAAAATGCATCTAGTACTCGTTGTTTTGTCTTATTCATTAATTCCTCAAATACTTGAAATTCTTCGACTATTTGTCGCTCCAATTCCTCGTCTCTGTTGGCTTCAATTTTCAATTTTTCAAAATTCTTTTTGTGTTTTTCTAAAAGATCTCTATATGCTGTACAAAACTCACGGACAGCTTCAGAGGCAAATGTTTTTGCAACTTCGGTCCATAAATCACTGCATCCTTCGAAACAAACAGCACATAAACACATTGGCTCCAATTGTGTTGATACATTTACATAATATGAGGGACTGTGTGAGACAAGAACAGGTGAAATGGGATCATTTGGCAATCCGAATACAATATACATGAGATTTGACGAATTCAAACCCATCGGATCACCAAAATTCAAACATGTTCTTCTATTCCTCTTTGATCTATGGTGCACGCTTCTCCTTCGGATTGTATTAAATCCCGAAAGAATATTCATACTGCTTGTACTATTTGTTTTGCTGTGATGGTGAGGTGGCCCACCGCTACTAGAATTACCAGGAGTACTTGATGTTGTTGATGGAGGTGTGATGTTTTGATTGTCATTCATTCGAATGGTTGATGTCGGAGTGATCGTTCTCAATTTTCCTCCAACAGTTGCTGAAGAGGAGCCAATCATATTGAGTCCAGGTGTTGTTGCAGAGGAGCTAGAAGTCTGTCGAATGATTCTTCCTGGGGAATGAGAGGTTTGATTGTCACTTGGTGGTTGAAAAACAATTTTTCTGATTCCTATTATTGTGGCAAGACGAGATGACACATTGAAGTTGTTGGAAGTCATAAATTGATAATAATTATTCATAGTAGTTCATAATGGGATGATGATAATCACAAAATATATTTAAATATATAATGTCAATTGGATGATGTTTGAGTAAAACACAATTATATATATATATCATTATATTTTGTATATTTGATGATGATATGATCATTCAATCAAAACTCTTCTAACCTACCTCCTCCTTTTACAGTAGCATCAAACTGATAACAAGAGGCCAAAAAACCTCCAATATCAGTCTTCTTTGCATTCCAAGCATTCGGAAAACAATAGTCAAATATCGTTATACCTGTTTTCAAATGAATCAATATAATCCTCTGAAATTTATGGTCTTCTTTTGTTTCAATCAGAGTGGAGCCGTTCGTGCTACTGCTGCTGCTGTTGTTGTTGTTGTTGTTTCTCATGAGTGGTGTTACCGTCGTTGTTGTTTCTAGGCTTGAGGTAGATTTTAAACTTTGTGTGAGTTCGCTGAGGAGCGTAGTCCCTGTCGTAATGGACGGAATATCCATAATCGATGAAGTTGAAGTGTGATGGGGCTGCTGATCATGATGATGATCGGAAGGAGAGGAATGACTCATCATTCAAAATTTTATTTTTATTTTTTTATGAGTTATGTCCGGGACGGCACCAAGGAAGAGATTTGGATTCCTCATCAGACTCCTCTGTACAAACCCAAACAACAACCCAATCATTGAAGTAATATACAGCTTCAACAACAATTGTTGCAAGGTTATTGAATCAATCCTTCTCATCATCAACGTACACCTTTAAAAGCATTTTGAAATTCATCAATGATTTATTTGAACGAACAAAAAATATGCCAAAAGAGAAGAACCGAATGTCACCTGGACAACTGTTCAAGGTGTATCGACAAGTGGAACGAATTACTCAACAATGTTTGGCTGGGAAGGGCAATATTCAGACATTAACATTTAATAATTCTGCAATTATTCAGAAAGGAATGACATTTGCATTGGGAATTGAAGTACTCAAATGTAGGTCCGAGAATGTTTTGTGTTGATTTTGAATTTAAATGAATAATAATATTATGTATTTAAATGGGTCCTCATTTTCGTGTTGGCAATGATGATTATTTAACAATTTAATTTTGTTGAATGTTTTGAATCGGAATAACAATAATCAGACCATAACATTATTGATACAATTATTAACAGAAGTGGTTTGTTTAAAAAGAAACCAAGCTTGAAGAAGGATCACGGAATGCTCCGAATTATTGTTTATGAAGCATTATTTGGAGAGAAGAGTGGTGATGACACAATTCAAGAACTTTGGAAAAGATATGAAAAAATCAATTAGTATGTAATGTTCATATGGCACGAACAAATATGACTTGATTTTGGGACATTCATTTGCATGAATTGATATTTGAAACAGTGAATTATTCAAGTTAGGAAAATTGGAATATAAAAATTGGAAAACAATTTTACATAACGAAAAAACACGACTTGGTTATACAGACAATGAGAGTTTTGTGGATTCAAAATATGCCAAGTCCAAGACTCACCAACATGATAATCCAGAGATTGATCTTATCAGATATGTCAGAATTAATACATTGAAAACAACAAAACAAAATGTAATTCGAAAGTTTCAAGAGTTGGGCTATTCCTACATGAACTATTCTGATGCATCAGAAAGAGATGCATTTAATCCTCAGAACAAGACTATAGTTGAAGACAATCATTTGCCAGATTTATTGGCGCTGTATCCATCGAATTCTCATTTGCATGATATGGAAATGATCAAATCTTATGAAATTATTGCTCATGACAAATCATCTTGTTTCCCACCATTTCTTATTTACAAGGAACTATCCGGAAAGCTTGGAAAATCTGATTGTCTCATTGATGCCTGCTCCGCACCAGGTAATAAGACTAGCTACTTGGCAGCTCTATTTTCAAAAAACAAAATTTATGCCTTCGAAAGAGACACAGCAAGGTTTGAAACTCTCAGTAATAGAATGATGCTTTCAGGGGCTAAAAATGTCGAGTGTAAATTGGAAGATTTTCTAAAGACAGATCCTAACGATCCAAAATTCAAGAACGTTAAGGCCATCATGTTAGATCCCTCGTGCTCAGGAAGTGGAATAGGTCATGGTAGTTCCATACAAAAGGATCGACTCTTAAGGTTACAGCAAGTACAGCTCAAATTGTTGACACACTGCTTTAAATGTAAGTTGTTATGAAAAAGAAAACATTAACGTTCATGCTATTTGAAATAACTATAGTTCCAAATGTTCAAGTCATTTCTTATTCGACATGTTCTGTGTGTGAAGAAGAAAATGAAAAGGTTACAGAGATGGGTCTGGAGGCATCGAATGGAGCATTTGAGGTTGTCCACACTTTTCCTGAATGGCCTCATAGAGGTTTAGAGTCATCACCGGTTGGAGAGCATTGTGTTCGTGTTGATCCCAAAAGAGATCGAACAAGTAAGTTTTTGTGTGAATTGTGCCGAGTTATTGAACTCATTCCTCTTATTTTCAATAGACGGGTTTTTCGTGGTTTGTTTTAGGAGAAAATAGTCAAAGTATTTCTAGGAACTGCCAATTTCAAAGTTTAGACAAGGTTTGAGGTCTCGTTTTTTCAGTCTTGTTGTCATTTGTGTGAATCTTAGAAAATGGTGTTAACCAAATTGTTCCACTTACCACTAGAGAGCCCTCCACTTCATATTCTCTCACTTGAGTCATGTATGCAAGAGGAACGGCAACCATACTCTGATCCATACTTCCAGAGGTGACAATATTTGGATTGTGAATATTCCAGTCGACTGTTCGCACATATTCTCTGTGAATTTTGTGTTCTTGTGTTAGATAAATGCCTTCTTGTTGTTGCTTTGAATTTGTTATAGAACTCCAAACTCGCAATGTTTGATCTTTAGATCCTGTCATTATTCGAGACACATCTGAACTGTCGAATGAAATACACTGCACAGATGCTGAGTGAGCTTGTCTTCGTTGTATAGGTTGTAAATCATTTCTAGTATCCCAAATAATAAGTTGGCCGTTATCATTACCAACTGCCAAAATCCAATCGTTTTGCTTGTGCCAATCACAGCATTTAAGAGGAGATCCTCCTTGTTCTCTGTCTAGTAATGTATTGATGCTGTTCTTAACTCTTTTATCCCAAATTTTCACAAGCCCATCATCACTGACACTAGCAAATTCATCCTTATTGTTATTATTCCATCTTGTGTTATTAGTTATATTTTATGTCCAAGTTGTTTTAGTGAGAAGAACACTTACTTGACATCATTAATAACTTTGGTATGCTCTGCAAATTGCTCTACAACATATTCAAAATTCCTCGAATCAAATAATTTAATCCTAGAAGAGGTAGATCCAACAAGGACCAGAGTAGCAGAGTCACCAAATTGATTCCAATCCACACATTTAATTGAGTACCCCTTGTCTGCTAAAATTGAAATGACTTTTTGACTCTGGTTGACATTCCACAACGTCACAGCTTCAAATATTAACTAATCAAAAAATAACTAATTTTCAGCAATGCAAACCTACTTCCATCATGATTAGCTGATGCCACCAGTTCTTTAAAAATTTCGGACCACATTAACTTATTCACTCCCACTTTATTATCCAGTACTGCAATTTGTTTAATCAAAGGCTTTTCATTCAAATCATGAAATGTCGAATCGCCATTCTCACTGATATTATTAAATGAAGATACATGGCACACATGAATCTCTCCACGATGATACCAATGATTCAAATCAAAGGTTCCGACACAACACACATTTCCATAGTGAGTACTGTAGGCTAACGAATGAATGGAATGAGAGAAGGAAATACTCGCAAAATTCATGAATATTTTTTAGAAGGAAATTTTAATCGCATGTTTGTTATTGTTATTCAAAAAAAATATTGGGCTTGTTGTTGGGTTTCTTGTGAGCCGGCTCCTCCAATTCTCTGAACCGAAACGAATAAGGACCCTAGCAGCTCTACACTTGGCGTTGCCTCAAAAGGTTTATTTTGTGTATGGAGAACGAAAGTTTTGTAAGATTTGAAGATAAGGAATCGGGAAAGGTTTACTACTATCCCAGAGGGAAATCTTTTGCCGATACCAGGTAAGTGGGATTAATACGGATGAAATCTTTCAAATTGATGACTGGGATGAATGGAATCGTTTTCAGTTTTCTGTATTTGGAGTGTTTTGATCAAGAAAAACAAAAGAAATATTATCTTAATCAAGCTTACGGGAAAGTTTTGTGGGAATTGCCTGTTATGGATTTTGAAAAAGTTGAGAAGGAGACTGCTGAATTGTTGCAACAACAGCAGTCTCAACAAAGATCACCAACAACAGCCGGATCCTCTACCTCATCACCAACAACAACCAATGCAACAATTTCTTCAACACCTGCCGCAACAACAAACAATACATCAGCAACTAATGCCACGACACGAACCTCAATCGATAAGAGCACACGTACTTCAATGGACAAGACTGATATCAATTCGTCCAAACAAGAGCCTCCAAAGACGCCAACAACTCCTAGAGAGATCAGCTCACCCCACGTTGAATCGAAAACTCCTGCTCAGGAGGAGCGAAAGTCTCTCGACAAGAAAAATGACAGCACTCCTCCACCGCCAACTTCACACAAAGAAAATAAGTCTAATTTCAAGGCAGGCCTTAAATCCATTTTCTCGCAAAAGTCATTTATATCTAGGGCTTCATTTTCTACTGGAAATAATTACAATGAAACAGTTTCTAGGGCTTCATTTTCTTCTGGAAATAATAACAACGACGCAGTTTCTAGAGCTTCATTTTCATCTTCTACAAGTAATGAAGGAGGTTCAAGAGGTTCTTTTGCTGGAGAAGCAGAAAGTGAAGTAGGAGACGATGATTTTTCAGATTTCGCAACTGCAAATATTGCTCAGCCAGTTTCCACAGATCCAAAGCCGAAAATGAAGTTTGAAAGAGTCACAAGCGAGGCATCACTGGGACTAGCTCCAAATACTCCAGAAAAGCCAAAAGCACAAACTATGCGAGGTACTTTGTTTCTAAAAAGGGATTCTATTGTCGAGATTGAGAATTCAGGTCCTGTAAAGCAAAAACGAGGAGAACTAGAAGCATCTATAGAGAGTAGTTTATTTACTGGTGTAGGAATGGGAACTGTGAAAGTATTAGCAGCTGTAGAAGGAATAGTGGCAGGATCAAGTTCCAAGAAGAAGGACAAGAAAGATAACATCATTATGGCTGTAGCAAGAGACTGGTGTGGGTCTTATATGGTTGCAACAATAAGTAACATGAGAACAGGACTTTCATTCTCTGGAAATGCAAGATCCGTCACAAAAACCTACTCTCTTGCCGATAATTTTAACATCAAAACATTAGAACCTGGAAGCACCGTAAAGTTTGAACTAAGCATTGATGGAGATAAGGAAATATATTTTATGAATCAAAAATCTTTGAAAAAGTTACAAAAAGCTCTCAACTTTACGTATCTGAAAATTCATGAACACAAGGCCGATGAGGATATTTTGAACATGAGATTGGCTAGTGTGGAATTTGCTGAATCCACATGCCCTACCAGTTATTCATCAGAAGATGTACAAAACTTGATATCATTGACATTTGATGCAAAAAAAATCATTCCAGAAGATGTTATTACTCTAAGATCCATGATAAGAAAGTCGGCTAATAGAAAAATATTACTTCAAGCATTACAGCAACGCCTAGAAAATATTTCTGCTAATGATGAGAAAGAAATTTCAATGATTTTAGAATTATTCAACGAGGCAATTATTTGTCCTGTAAAATGTGAAGGAGGCTTGGAGCAAAAAATTAGGGATAGACTGCTCTCTCTGAGAGGGTTTATGAAAGATGGAGAGGTAGCAGAAAAAGTGGATTTGGTGATTGATCAAATACAAGTCCTTATGTCCGTCTTAGAAAATTGGCAAGGAAGAGGCAAGTTGCCAGATGTACCATTCCCTCCCGAATTCTTGGGTGGCCCAACAAGTGACATTGGAAAAAAGAAAATGGAAAAGCAAAGCCAAATTATCAAAGAAAATATTTCCAAATATTTCAATGGAGTTTTCTTAAGCGTAATATATTACACTGATACTCACATACTCATGGACAGCTCGAACATGCTTCCTTCAGAAAAACTGAGGTTTCCATATGCATCGATTTCTAATATTTCAACAGATTCTGCAGATTTTCAGTGGTTATTGGATTTGGGTAAAAACTGGTCAGAATTGATTTCAAATTATGATGATCCTTCCGAAAATATTTTCCCTTCCATCAAGCTAGATATGATTCGAGCAGGGAAAAAGTTAAAATCGATATTCAATATTAGTTTGGGGGTCTTATATGACAGAGTGGTAGATGTGAAAGAAACAAAAGTAGCTATGTTAGTGACATGTAAATATTTGGAGGACAGATCCTTAATTACCCATCCAAATTATGTTTGGGAGGAGAGAACTGTGTTTGAACATCGCTTGTATCAAGGTCTCGGAATATTAAGCCATTATAACGAACGAATTGAGAGATTGTCTGATTCTTTCTATGGACCAAGATTCATTGAAAACGTTATCAACTTTTCAAAACAAATGTCGTCCACAAAACCTCTCGACGATGGTGTTTATGTAGGATACTTTCGGTGGTGTTGGTCATCGAAATGTGATTTCAGACTGTTGCTTGATGAAAACAAGCGAATGATGATTCCACATGTCAGGATCACTAGGGGCGTTTTGGAAAAAGACAAGTCAGAATGGATACAAACTATTCGAGCTCGATCAACGATTGGTCAGCCAATCGAGACGGAGTACCCAGTTTCATTAGAAACTCAAATTGATCAATATGAAAGATTCGAACAAAAATTTTGCAGAGCTTTGCTCGAGCTAAAGACCTCTCTTGGAATTGATACTTTAGGATACTTGTACGATCTAGAAGTCATCACTTTAGATCCCAATAACAAAATCTATTTAATAGTGTATTGTGACCAATGTGATGAGGAAGAACTGAGAGAAAATTGGGTTGGAAAATACATTTGGAGATCACTGAGAAGTTTCGAGAACATTCATTCATACTGTTTTTTGGATTTGCCGTCAAATTTGTACAAATCCAATGTAAATAAGATAGTTTGTTCGGGTGTAGAACCAGACGGGTTTACAACGGATGAAATCGGACGAGGACTGTCAAGTAATGAAAAGCAAAATGCCCTCGCGAGAGCACACAAAACATTCTTGCCATTTAGATGGCCTTCACGAATATTAAATTGGGCAATGAAAGGTTACGTTTCATTCACAAATCCTTCTATCCTGAGCACGTCCGACAGCATCCTCCAACTGAAAAACTCAATTTGTGAACTCTCTCAGAAATATGCAATTGGAGACTCCAACGCTTGGGAGTCAATATATAATGCAATATCGAAGAAGGATAAAAACAAAAAGAACATCAAGATTGCTATAGAAGAAAAAGACAAAAGACTAAACAAAACGTCGACAATAGATCAGGCAGCTGAAAATATACCAGCTCAGGAGTTTGAGTTATCTTGTAATTTTAAACATTTTATTGATGTTGATTCTGCTGTTATGCCGACCGCTAAAGATGTTTGTAGCAACATTGTGAACGAAATAGTTGACCTGGCCTTAGTAGAAGCTATAGATTGGAGAGAGTATCAAGTCACAGTAGATGTAATGGAAGAAATGATTAGCATTATTGAGAGCTTAGACACGATTGTTTCATCTGTGACAATCTCCTATGATGCAGAGTGTTTTGTTGAATTGATCAAACAAGAAAGAGAACAGTTTCAATTCGAATTTATTCACAAGTTTGAAGAAATTATTCAATCTTCTGAAAGTAAGGGACCCACCAAAAAGACAGCTGTGGAAATTGAATGCAATGCTTCATATGAAACAATCATAAGAAATTCCGTCTCTCTCTTCAACGATTCTATAGAAAATGCAGTGGCGATGCTAAATGCTGCATCTTCTGGACAGGATACTTTTGACTTAATTATTAACATGGAAATTTACGATGAAGCATGCCAAGAAAAAGATATCCTTATAAGTCAATGTGTCGAAAGTGATGAACATTTAAATGCTATTAGAAATCTGTATTCCCATAATGACACCTATTTGCAAGAGTTGTCGAACGAAGAGGTAGTTTCCTCGATGATTTCTGAATCGAGAAGTGAAATCAACAGGCAAGATGTAGCCGTTAAGAAGTTGGTAGAACAGAGATTACATACTTCGCCTCTAAAGAAACCCATAAGATCAGAAATACCAACTATATCAATACCTGATATTTTACAGTCGCTGGATCATGAAAATGCAAGCCCAAAACAAGAATCAAAAAAATTGGAACCTTCTCTTACCCTGTTGTCGTTAGGGCAAGAGAAGAAAATTCCTTTCGAGATACAAGTTGATGTTAATAATGGCGATGTCAATCACCCTGTGCGAAAATTTTTGAGCCAAGCAGTGCTAGGCGTTTTTTCTTTGGAGTATACAAGTGATGTTGTATCAATATTGGCCAACTATCTCCAATCAAAGAACGTTCGCACATTTCTGATAGATTTGCAACTTATGATCGATAACGACAAAATTTTCAACATCAAAAAGCTGTCACAACTTTCAAGACAGTATGAAATCCCTGAAATATACATCCTGTGCACAAGAGCCTTAAATTCTGATTTGTATTCGCTAACCATTGAGCTTACCAAACCTTATTTGGTGCGCTATTCTCTTTCTACATGGGCCAAATGGGAGAAAGACCTTTCATTTTTGCCAGATTGTGAAAAGCTCTTTGACGTCATGTATTATATTCGGTTTAAAGTTGATTTAGATACTCTACTAGGACATGGAACTCCCTACTCCATGAAGGAAAACACATGGAAGCAATACTATTCAGAACAACGTATTACTGCAGTTCTAAGAGATTCTACAACCTATCTTAGAAAGCTTTATCCTGAGAGTTGTTGGGACCAATATTATCCAATCAGTTCGATTCAGGAAGGAAATATCGATATTAAGGACCATCTTAAAAATGAAATTACATGCTGGAAGACCATCGGTAAGCATGTAAAGAAACTAAGTTTTAAACTTTTTGGTTCTCTCGTTACAGATCGAGAGCTCTTGATCATTTCCAAATGCTGTCCACATATTGAAGAAATCAATCTTAAGAATTGTTCCATAACAAAAGATGGTATCAAAAAGTTCATTTCATTACTTGGAAACCCCCAAACACTTTCCATCAAAACCAAGTTTTGGTGAATTGACACCGAAAATTGAATTGTTTTTCAAAAACAAAATTCAAAAAATGAAGATCAATGATTTTGTTTTAGCCTCACCTCCCAACAGCAACAAATCACTCCACGCAGCTGCTCTTGCATCGGAGTCATCATCAATTTCTTCATCATCATCCACAAATGAAGCAGAACAAAACATACCAGATCAAGTAAACACCGCAACCGATTATGTACAATCATCGGGAAGTCTTCAACATTATTTATTCTTGTCCAATCCGATCTGCAACATTCAACTGAATAATATTCCTGATAATTTTGGTGGAGTATCTGCTTCATTCACAACAGAAGACAATCGATTATCATTCAATGAAACCAATCGTGAAGTAGCAATTTTTAATAGCAAAAAATTTATGTTAATTCCTCTTGTGAGAGGTGAAACTATTGCAAAAAGGTGAGCATTTCAAAATTCACAATCATCTTACCTTGTTGTCACAGACTTCCATCTCTTGTAGATCTGAAAGGAATTGTGCCCAGTGCTGCCAAGGCTTCAATCAAGAGAACATTTATTGCGGTTCAATATGATTCTAGACGTTTGGTTGTGTTTTCAGTTGTTTCATCTGATGTGTCAAAACCACAGAGCTCAGAGTATTTTACCCATTATGACCTAATGGAGAAGAAAACGCGGCCAAATGTAATTTTAAATTTTTTTTGGGTTACTGATAATTGCTTATTGGTGGTTTCTTCCTATTCAATCGATATCATATGGGTATGTAGATGTTCATTTCTCAGTTTAATTTCTAATTTCTAAAAAGGTCAAAGAATATCACAAGCCTGTCAAAATTTTGAAAACAGTCAACGAGAATGTCAGATTTTGCAAATTTTCAGTAAGTGTACTTTATTTCGTTTCATATGTGGCAATACCAAATGTCACAGCCAAATGATAATTTATTAGTAGTGGCTATTGAGGGCAAGAATACTGGCCTTTATCCATATATTGTTACATTAAATGGGCAGCTCAACAAACTTCCAAAGGTGGAATTACCTGAATCCAAAGATCAACCTCTTCAAGAAAATGAGACATTCCTCGTATCCATGTAAGTATCAAATCCTTATCATGTCAACTTGATTCAATCAATTACAGGTATGGTCGGTGTTGTCTTGTGTGTGTCTCTTCTGCAAACTATGAGATACATATTTACAAGTACAAATCTCAAAACACTCAAGCATTTGTCAAACAACGTATATTTAACATCTTTTCTGGGTCAAATATTGCTGTCAATGTGGTTGACTCTCTTTTGATTGTGCACAACTTGGACGAGAAGTCCTCAGTTGCTTATGACGTCTTCACAAAACAAGACTCTCCCATTTCTCCCCCACTTTCCATTTCCCCTCATTCTTTACCAAAATCTTTGTTAGGTGATTCTGTGGAAAATGCTTGTGAAAGATTGTGTAAGTTTTTACAATTATTTGAATCTTGTTCATGTTAAAACTCTCACAGACAAGGCACAATCTTGGACATATTGGCTTCCCAATTACATTTATGATAAGGAGCTTGGTTTCATTTTTGAACTCAAACTATCCATCTCTCACATGCCAATTAATATTCGAAACCGCAAAGATGCAATCAAATTCTTATTCAGGCGTGTTAATAGCAAACCCATTTTGATAAATGCTCTAAGACAAGTGATTGAATCAAAGAACGAGGATATCAAGAATGTGTCGGAAATTTTAGAGTTGGTCAACAAGTACTATTGGAATCAATTGGTGAAATTGGAAACCGAGAAGCAAGAAAAATTCTCTGAAAGACTTAAGAAGATTGCATCAAATAACAAAACTAAGATTGACTTGATTGACATTAATGTTCTTGCAGAAATCGAGGAAGAAGAGCAAACACAAGAAGCCACTGCATCTTCGTACCCAATTGTTGAACAATCCGACATGTACAAGTATATATTTTTACCTATTGATGAATGCGGATCAATGTCTTCTATGGAATTAGTGACTGTCATTATTGAGTACATTAGAGGTCTAAAAAAGGGCAACATTCCAGTACACTATTTTATTCAAAAACTCTTGATAGAGCTTTTAGTCAAATCGAATAACTATTCAATGCTACATCAATTGGTTCAATTTAAGGTGATTGGAGATAGCAAACTAACAGCACTACAAATGCTTCATATTTCTGAAAAATACAAGCCAGCCTATGAAATTTCTTTGGACATGTTGAAGCGATTAGGAGAATTTGATTTATTGTGTGAAATTTTACTTTCTAGAAGAGATATCAAGCGAGCTCTCGACTTGATGTTGGAACAATGCGAAATGCACTCTTTCAAAATTCCATACAATAGACTTTTTGAAACAGGTACGTTTTTTTGACAAGCAACCAAATCTGAAGCTAAATCCAACAGCCCTCACCTTAAATGAGCCAACTTTATTCTACAACACTTACGAAATACTGCAGAGAATTAATTTGAAACAACGAAAGAGCCCAAATTTTATTGTTGAGGATAAATGCAAAGAATACGAAGAATTATTCCAAAAGCAATTTGTGATTCGAAATTAATGAGCGAGTGAATCCTTATTTAAGAATAAATAAATATTTATTTAAATAATACATTTCGATGTAAATTAGTCCATCATTATTGAGACAATGACTATTCTAATCTAAGAATACGTTTTTTTTTTGAATAAAGGCCCCAAGAATACGTATGAACAGTGAACATTTAAAATACAGACAATTATTTATTTAGCCTTTCTTTGTCTGATTATCTCATCAATTTTTTCTCTCTTCATATCAATTTGTTTTTGTCTCATCACAATTCTGCCCTTCTCGTAATGTTCATCGTCGCATCTTCTCAAATTGTAGGTCCATCCAAACAAACTCAAAGTGTAAATAATCCACTTTCCAGGATCATAATGGTACCATCTCACACCATTTCTGTAGTCATAAGCAAAAGTGCTATGAGGTGGAGAAAATTGTCAATTACTTTCAAGTCAGTATCAATGAATGATGAAAAATACTTACTGATGGAAATTGTGATATCCTTCTCCAAATGTCAACAAGCTGACAATATAACTATCACGAGCAGTGTGGTCATCATTGAAGGTGGCGTCTCCCCATGTGTGAGCCAGAGAGTTGATAAAGAAAGTGCAATGTTGTAGCCAAGTCTTTGAAAGTACTCCTCTGTTTAGGATTTCATACAGAACAATGAGAATTGAAAATTATTAGATGAAATGTCAATAATAATGCTTACCCAATCCAAAAACCTCCCATCCAATCACCCCATGCAAATCCAGCAATTATGGTTGGAACAATATATCCAGTTAAAATAGCAAACCAAAGATAATACTTGTGTTGGAATACACACATTGGATCACTTGTCAAATCCGGAACGTTTGAATAATCCACAGGACGAGTCTTCATCAACCATCCCATATGAGCATAAAAGAAACTCTTCTTAATATTGTATGGGTCCTTGTCAGTGTCAATATATTTATGCTAATCCAACATCGAATTTATTGACACGTATGGATAATGATTCAATAGAGACAACAACAAATGTTAAAGTATCACATTAATAAAACAACAATCACTTACATGACGTCTATGATCGCTACTCCACTGAATGGCACTTCCTTGAAAACTTGCTGCACCAATAATTAAAATCAATAAACGAACAGGCCATACTGCTTCGCATGAAAGATGGGCAAAGAAAGGATGATAACCTGTGGAGATACCAATACCTGCTGAGTATTGTCCAATCCAAGCCAATAAGTAAGTTTTCCAATTGAAAGGACATGCAAGAATGCCATAGATAGAACCAACAATGGATCCAATCAAGTAAATAGAAATCAAATAATCAATATTACGTAAATCCAAATAATCCACCAATTCAGAATATGTCACAGGATGAGTCGAATTTCCTCCCTTAAGTGACAAAATAGAAAAGAAATCAGAGAAGGTTCCATGACGAGCAACTTGAGTAAGATTGAGAGTTTTAGCTGTTGATTGTCCTTGTTTGTTAGGCGTGGAGAGCTTTTCTTCCAATAAAGCTCTTGCACTGGCCCAATGATAGAATGGAATGGAATTGGATAACTTGGCAAGAAGAGAGAAGGATGGTTCAGAATCGATCTTTGACTCAGTGTTTGATATGTCATGGAATTGCTGATACCATTTGATCGAAATTTTGTAATGACTCAATGAGTAATGAGTGAGAAATTCCAACACAGTGGAAGGAAGTGAAAGGAGAGCCTTTGTTGCACTAGTTGCTGTTTTCTGTTGTTGTTGTTGTTGTTGTTGTTCATTCTTTCCATCCTTGCTCTCCAAAGGAATTCTTTCATTCATTTTCATAAGAATGGAATTAATCAAGTGGAAGGCAGTCAAGGGAGCCAAGTAAAACTTGATGAGACCCCAAACACCCACCCAACAAATCAACATGTATACAGCACCAATACCAAACACATAGAGAACAATGGAATTCAACACAATACTAGTGCTTGCCATTGGGAAGTGGATATGAGTGGTCAAGCATTCCCATACGGAAGAGAAGAACCAGAATGGACTCTTAACAATACGCAACAAGGCAGAAAACATAAAGTAGACCTCCTCCTCATTAGGGTTGTCGCTCTCTTGTTGAGATGCATTTTCCTTGTTTTCAGAGGTAAATTTACCACCATTGTGTTCCTGACTTCTCCAAACAGCATTCTTCAAAGACTTGACATTTTCAAAAGGATATAACAAGGGTAACATGCAAATGAACCCTAACAAGTCATTCATCCATTCTGGAATGGTACCTAAATTGAAAAATTGCTTGGTGGAACATCCATAAGCGACAGCAATTAAACGACAGGCACAGAATCCCAAAAAAAGCCAAGCGAGAGGCATCAACAAGTACCAATAGGAAGATTCATCAAACTTGACAACACTCACAACACCCCAAATAATAAGTCCAAGAGTAACAACGAGTTGAAAAAAGGCCTTGGAATTGGATGGTTCAAAAAGCTTTTTGCTTGAGAGGAGGTTTTCAAAGTCTTCAAACGTCCAGTCAAGCTTTGACTTGATTCCAGTTGCATCAGAAGTTATGCTTGTATCGTGAGTAGACATTTTTTACAAAAGGATGACACAATTCATTATTGAACCTTTGGCTTTGATTCTCTTCATACTATATCCGTTTAATGTGCGAACAATTATTGCACATTAAACATCTTTGAAGAATCAATTCACGTCACGAGGCAGCGGATTGACTGACAAACTTTTGGAAATTTTTACAAATTCTATCTGGCACCACATTAAAAGCCGAAACAATTCAGTCAATATTTGAATTTCCTCAACAAGAAAAGAGACCATTCAAAGATGATTAATTTCTGCCAATTCCATTCTCCATCTCTGCAACTTTTGTTCATCCAATATATTTCTCTTTGTCAAGTGCACATTTTCCACACTACGTTCAAGTATCTTTTCAATGAGAGTACATTTTCGAAGATCATCCTTCTTCTTTTGTTCAATCTTTCGAAGCCTCTCCTGAATTTTCTCTTCTTTTCGTATTTGTTTTTCTGTTTGCTTTGCTTGTGCTTCCAAGTCAACCTTGAACGGAGAAGAAGTCATCTTTTTCTTCCATTCTTTGATTTTTTGTTTTTTAAACATTTCAGATTGGGCAATTTCTTGTTCTCGTGACATTTCCAACTCCTCTTTGTAAAGCATTCTTTGGACCTCTCTGAACTCATTAAGTTTTAAAGACTTTTTTCTCTCTAATTCTTTTTTAGCCCTTTTTTGTACCTCCCTTATTTCTTTTATTTCTTCTTTTTCAAAACTTGGAGTGTTTGCTTTTGTCGGCACAACATGTACCGGTGGAAGTGACGACAATGAAACTGAAGGCATGGATTTTCTTCGTTGTGACTCCCGTTTTCTGAAGAAATTGTATCAATACACGATAATTTATGCTCAATAACCAGAGATTCAATCAACTTACTTTTCAAGAATAAAGCTTCTTGCAGATTTTGCGATCGGGCTATGTGGCAACCGTTCTGTTGGAGGAGCTATCTCGATTTGTTTCATAAGAGAGGCCAGGGTCCTCGGAGAATTGAGCTTGAGCTTCATATAATTGCTGTTCATAAGATATTCGGTTGACGGTGAAAGAGCTGGATCCCTTAATAGCAACCCTGTTCTCAGTAATATGTCACTGTTGTCCCAATGTGTTCCTTCTTGAGGTAATGTGTCATCCGATTTATAAGTATCAACACTTTCTAGGTCATGTTCTTGTTCAATACAGCTGATCATCTGATCATACGATGCTTGACCATAGATTGGACTGCTTGGTAACATGATGTCTTCGAATGAGGAGTCAGTATTTACATTACAAGCGTTGTTCGGAGTATAAAAGGTCTCTTCGAGCGATGTGTTGTTTGAGATTATTGCTTCATTACATGAACAATTATTATCCTTAGTATGTAACGAAGATGAGTGCCTAGAATTTGCAAAAGATCTTTCCAAATTTCCTTTGAGAGCTGCTTTTGCCTCTTTCCATGATATTTGAAGGTTATTAAAGCTCTTCCTTCTTCCTGATGATGAATTAATGATACAATCTTTTGGGGATGTTATTGTTTTAGGAGTTTTTGATGATACTAAAGTGGATGTAGAATTCTTAGAAATGCATCCATCAGTGTGAATACATCCTGAGGAAATATCAGTAGAGATGTTGGAATGTGATTGAGTTAATGAGGATCGTCTCGTTGTTGTTATGGTTGTGGAGTAATGTCGAAACGAGTTTGACCTATTGGATGAAGAAGAGTGCTTTGGAAGAGTTGATAATGGACTTTTTGGTGATGTTGAAGAGACTTTCACCTCTCTGCTTGTTGGTGATTGTTTCTCAGATTTGGGTTTTATCATATCAGAAGAGTGCATGTGATGTGGATTGTTGCTGCACGTGGCTTCTTGCTTTGGAGCGGTGGATGTGGTTGCCGAGGTTTGGGTCGCTTTTTCTGGCTCGGACTCCACCTTAGAAGCACCTCCAAGATTATGAAGAGGCCTCATATCATCATCATCATTCACAATTGTATTTGAAAATCCCCTCATGATCAGTTCCTTTTCATCTGCTCTCATTAAGCACATTTCTGAATTAGGGCTAGCCAGCTCCTCATCCACTCTCCAGCAACCATCCCGATTTTTCGTTTTTTCTTTCATTTCAAATGAATATTACTATCAATCTATTATATGAATACACCAATGAACCAAAGTATGGAGTGGAGTTGAATACAATTCAAATCTCAATGAGGATACTGTTCAAATGAAATCTCTCTTTGTGGTGATGATGATGCTAATGCTGGCCTCCAAAATAACTTCCATAATTTTTTTAATAATGAAATATTCTTCGTAAGAGTCCATCTATCTCTTGAGACTACCGGCCAGTCATCATCATCCATTCTTTCTTTGAAAATCCAATCTCTCTCGCGTGATGATGATCATTCTGCTGTGGTCCATTCACCAAAGACAACTCTGAGGCTCATTCACTAAAAAATTGAACAAAAAAAATGTTTCTTCAAAAAGTTTCTCGACAACAGACTCATCTCGAGTTGGATGAAACTCGTGCACTCCGAAACTACACGCTGCAAAATGAACACTATGTGATGAAAAACTTCTCCGAATTTACACCCGTTGATATTAAAAATTATGGATTAGCCACTCATTTGGAGTTTCACCCGAGCAAGAATAGACAATTTCTCATTACTCATAAGAATGCTGTACAAATTATTGATGATGAATATAAAAAGATTATTAGATATACTAAATTTCAGAGAGAATCGCAAGTATATAGTGCTAGTTATAGACCCGGAGATGGTTTGTTGTTTGCTGTGGGTACCAATAGTGGTGTAGTGAAATTATTTCAATCCTATGATAAAGAACTGACAGCAAATCGATTGAATCAACCTTTGAAAATTATATTTACTCAGAGTAGAGGACAAGATTCCAATAACATGTCCATTCAAGTGACGAGATTTCTTTCAAATCAACACTCGGACACAGTCATGACAGGAAGTGATGATGGCATTTGTAGACTTTTCAATATTTTGAGTGGAAAGAAGACAAGAGAATTCTCAAAACACTCCGATTATATTCGAGCTGGATGCATTTTCACTCCGAATGGTATTGATGGAGGAGACCTTTCTTCTTCTCCTGATTTGTTTGCCACTGGTGCCTATGATCACTTGATTAAGGTTTGGGACGTGAGAGAGTCAGATCAGAGCGCTTGTGTCATGCAATTCGATCACGGAGCTCCAGTTGAATGTATTGTCAAGCACCCAACTGCTCCAATACTGTACAGTTGTGGAAGCAATTACTTTAAAGTTTGGGATTTATTGCAACGAAAAGAAATGATGACCATGCATGGATCTCATCAAAAAACTATTACGAGCATGTCACTTGCGAGCGGAGGAGGAAATTATTTAATGACGAGTGGATTGGATCATTTAACGTGCTTCTTTAAGATCGATGAAAACTATAATCAGGTTCATAATATTTCATTTGACGGCCCAATTTTATCATCTGCTATTTCTAAGGACGAACGACAAATCGTTTTGGGATTGATGGGTCCATCTAGAGTTTTAAAGTCACAGAGAATTGATCGAAAAGTACTCAGAGCCGATATGTACAGAGAGGAAATGACCAAGGAGAATTACAAGAATTTTGTCAATAGTGCACTCTTGAATCAAATCTTCCAAATGCAGGATGAAATTTTCCTACCTGGAAAGCGCTCCGTTAACTTGTTACACTTCAAGTCACAATTATCGAAATATAATTACAAGCTTGCGCTGCAACGAGCGGTCACCAAGTTTAAGGATCAACCAGTCATTGTCATGAGCTTGACTGCTGAACTTGAAGTTAGGAATGAAGTACTGAATGCAATTAACACCATGGATGAAGCAAAACTCTCTGGTCTTCTCCAATTTATCATACAGTACATTAGAGATCCAAGATTTACTCCTGTTTTAGTTCCTTTCACTCAGACTGTTCTCAAACATTATGGCCAAGTTATTGGATTGAGCGAAACAGTTGACACATTATTAAGAACTCTCAGAAAGAAGATCAATCAAGAAATTCAAACACAGGAAAGATTGTGCCAACTGAAAGGTGTCCTCGATTTATTAATGCTGACTAACTTGAATTATCAGAGCGAAATTACTTCAAAACAACAATCTTCATCTTCCACCTCAGTTTAATAAAGTGTCACACTCTTCCTCTCTTATAATTTTTGCAGTTCTGATTCACATCATGAAATACCTGGGAGTATATTATTGGGGTCACATTGAGGAAAGACAATTCAATATATTTAAAATGGGATAAAATGAAGCTGGTGTTGTAACCTTGCAAATACCCATGTGACAAACTCCACAATCTTTAGGGAAATTCATAAACTCATTAGATGTGCTGAACCAGAATCGAATCCGTACCCACTAACACATTTTCGAATGAAATCTTCACGGCAAAAGATATTACAACTGAACTGTAAGACATCTTTCGGAAGATTTGAAGTTGGATTTCAGCTTGCAGGGTACAGTCGAACCAAGTGGGATGCAGTCTATTGTTAACAATATGTTTTTATTAATAAATTTAAGCAGTCTCTGCTTTTTGCGTAAGAGCCACAAGCTTGTTTTGATACCACAATTGCAATGAACCTCTTGAGCTAATGTGCTTGGCGTGGACACCCTTTGAGATGATTTCCTTGTTGGCTTGGAGCTTGGCAACTTGCTCTGGTGTGTAATCAGTGAAACCATACTTTCTAGAGACGAGGACCTTTTGTCTACCTGGGAACTTGAACTTGGCTCTTCTCAAAGCTTCACAAGCAGTCTTGACGAAAGCATCCTTGGTTCTGATGGAGATGAGGATTTGACCAATTTCGACTCTGGCAGTGGTACCCAATGGCTTACCGAAAGCACCTCTCATACCAGTTTGGAGACGATCCGCACCGGCACATGACAACATCTTGTTAATTCTGAGCACGTGATATGGGTGAACTCTAATTCTCAAGTGGAAGTTGTCCTTGTTGGCATACTTCAACATGTACTTGTTAGCAGCAATACGAGCAGCTTCGAGAGCTTCGTTGGTGATTTGTTCCTTTTCGTCAGAAACAAGGTGAACGCAGCTACCGAAGAGAGTGTAGTCAGCCTTCTTTCTACCGGCGTCGTAAATTCTAATCTTTGGATCAGGGACACCTCTACAGAAGCGAGACTTGATGTATGGCTTACCCTTTTGCCATCTGTAACATCTTGCTGGACGTCTACCCATCTTTATCTACGAGAATGGAATACGTGATGTAAAATGTGGAGAGTTATATAGAATAGTTGCATAGGTAAACAGTGTCGATTTCAGGTATAGAATTGTTATTATTAGTGATTCAATTATTCTAGAAGTGTGAGTGATACATACTCGTTGTTTTGACTTATTTTTTTTTCAACAAGTTTTTTAAAAATTTTTGGTCAACTTGGTTGTGTTTTTTACAATGAGTGAAAAATGTCGATTCAGCTCTCCCGTTTATAAATAATGCAAAAGAACGGAATAACGATCGAATTATGCGTACGTCTTCACTATCTCTCTCGTGAATGAGATGGAAAAGTTACATTTTGGTGTGGATGCTTGTCATGCACAGATTGAAGGTCACAAATAGCTTTGCAACATTTTTTCGGCCTTAGATCTCAAAGCATCCATGTCTGTTTGGGTTGGGTTGGTTGAATACGAAACTAAATTATTCAAGCTCAAAAAAGTGCAAAATTCTCAACAGAGATTGCTGTTCCGTGTTGTTGTTTTGCACACTCTTAGGCGAAGCACACGTGATCTTGTTCTATCAGCTATTCATAGTCCTCATGAAGCGCTCGGACAATGTAGGTAAGTCAATATTTGAATAATTGTTTGGTTCATCATCTAAAGTCTCTCTCTTTCTCTTTTCCGCGGTTCCAATGTTCTGACAGGAATTGCCTTTGGTGTTGTTGTGGGTCGTGGAAATTTTTTTATCTTCAACAATATCTGCAACTAAATTGAATAGCCCAGCCAATGATGAGAACAGAGTTTCAATCTCACATATTGATAAACCTCCTTTCATTCTCCTTAAAAGTTTTACAACAAATCAATACCTTCAAAGCCCTTCACCAACTCCTTTACAATTTCACCGCTCGATACCGGTTTGCATCCACTTGCATTTTGTCCAGACCATATGGGAGAGAAATCACTGCTTCCCATCGACTCTGCTTTTGCTCGAAGGGCAGTGAGGAAGTGAGAGGCTCTTGGAAATGCTGGAACCTCGTCAGACAGAGGACCCATTTCTCGGACCACTCGGTTCACAATGCCACGAGCTGGTTTTCCAGTGAGTACATTCTGAATGACTGTATGTGTGCTGTATGGATGGTTTTTGTAATCGTCGAGTGCTTCTCGGTGAACCTTTGAAGTTGTTGCTTCGTGACACAACATGAAGGCAGTTCCAACCTGAACACCAGAGGCACCCAATTTCATGGCAGCTGCTACTGTTGCGGCATCTACAATACCACCTGTAGCAATTACAGGAACCTTAACAGATTTCACAATTTGAGGCAATAATGCAAAGAGTCCCATTTGAGTCGAAACGTCGCTGGTTTTAAACATGCCACGATGACCTCCAGCCTCACTACCTTGTGCAATAATGGCGTCGACGCCTTGTGATTCAAGCCAAAGTGCTTCTTCCACCGTTGTAGCTGAGGAAATAATTTTTGAATTCCATCTTCTCACTCGGCTTAATAACTCTGGGGGCGGCAAACCAAAATGAAAGCTTACAATGGGAGGTTTAAATTCATCCAAAATGTCTGCGATTTGTTCATTGAATGGTGTTCGATTGGGTCCTATAACGACCGATTTTTCATCGTTGTGTTTAATTTGAAATTCATTGTAATACTTGGATTCAAGCTTTCTTCTCCACTTCTCTTCCTTTTCCCAATCAGGTGTTGGTTCTTGATGACAGAAAAAGTTGACGTTGTATGGCTTTGAACATGATTTTGTAATGGTTGTAATTTCATTCCGAGTCTCCTCTGGAGTAAGCATGGCACAAGGCAACGATCCTAACGCTCCCGATTCAGAAACTGCAATGGCCATGGCACTCTTTTGAATTCCAGCCATTGGAGCCTGAATGAGAGGATACTGTATTCCGAAAAGTTTTGAAATGAGAGTGGTGGTAATGGATCTTTGGGGCATGATGGTAAAGTCTGAAAATTCTGAAGACAATAAATATTTTTTATTATTTGCGTGCATGATAAGTACGGACGTATTAGTGTGATTGATTCCACCATCTTTTGAATTTTCAATTATTATTATTACTTGTTCTGGCGTGATATAAATATCGAGGAGGCATCAAGGAACACAATGTTCAATTCAAATGTGGAAATGTTGTATCTACATGTCCGTTTTGTTATTGAAGCAACAAAAAAAATGTTGAACAAGAGAAAACGTGGTGGCCCCAACGAAGGAGGTCATAATGACGATGATGATCACAGCAGCAGTGATGAAGAGAATTTTGAACGTGATTCCAAACAATCAATCCGTTCAAGCCATTACGATCGTCGGGAACAATCCAGTGATGAAAGTAGTTCGAGCAGGAACAGCTATCATGATGATGAAGAGAGTGATCAAGACGAGGAAGAAGAAGAAATCAATCAGCTTTTGGTACAGCAAGTGGCCGGAACCTTAATGAATGATTTTCGGCAGTTTAATGCAAATTTGATGAATCATTTTCATATGCTGAGAGAGAACATTCTGGGAAATGATCTTACAATGGACTTCCTTTGCTTCTCTGAATCAGTTAAAATTGCAAAAGAAGAAGACTTGAATTTTAGAATTGCACAAAGAATTGAACACTCTCTTGATTTTCTCAAAGTTTGTGCTCTCTCAGCACGTCACCCTCCAGTACAAGTCAGTGAATCACTATCAAACATAATACATGGTGGAGATTCATTGGAAACCTGTAAATCTAGGCTCTCATACACTGAGTTAGAAATGATTAGTGATTTTTTGGAATCGGACGACCTTGATGTGAAACTATTGGTAGTTTGCACCAAACAAGATTTTATGAACCAAACACCAATTTGTCAACTTGCAATTTTTGTTTTGAAGATTGCAAAGATATTTGACGGAGAAATTGTTTCCGAGAAGTTTTTGAATTCCTATATTAACACAGCATTGCCTGTACCAGCGCTTCTTGACGATGAGGAAACTCTTATTGCTTGGCCTCTATTTGAGAATGAACAGGTACGTACGTTTTGATGTTTGGTTGTTTTTGAGATCATTTATTCAATATCATATGATGCAGGTCTTACTCCTTTATGGAAGTGAAGAATCGAGAACTGAAATGATTCAACTATTTTCTGAAAGAAAAGTAACAGTCATTGATGACATTGATCAAGTGGTACTTTCTAGATGTATTGTAGTCGTGAGCGAAGATTTTATGATCATGAAGAAGCCATCTCAACTATCGACGAATGAAAAGTCCATTCTCGAGTTTTTAACTCAAACCGACTGTGTATTTTTCAAACACGTGAAGTATTGTTTTGAGCACTGTATGAATCTGAAAAGAACAATGTTTGATGAGTGCTCCGTGTTGCTAAAACAAAATAATTATTTGTCTGGCTTGTTAGAGTTCCCACTGTATCAACATCGACGAAGAAGAAGACACCTTTTGGATGAAAATCAAATACAGTCGTTTAAGGAGGCCCAAACGCTGCTTCCAGATATCAAAGAGCAGACTTCTCTAACACGATTCCTACCTAATGAGATTATTTATCACATTTTACGATTTTTACAAGTTCAAGAGCTACTAGAGTTCAGACTTGTCAACAATCTTGCCAATGTCATGTGTTTGCAGAATTTCATATGGAAAGACGTGTGTGTAAATACCTGCAAGCAGTATCCCTTTTTTTCTTCCATGAACATTGATGCATATCATTTGCCCTATATCGTTGTTTATAGAAATTATATTCGTCCCCTCATCAAGGATTTTTCTTTATTCAAAACCTTATGTCACATTGAAGATCCATCCAAATCGAGTTTAATCTCAAAAGAAAGATTTTTACCATTACTAACACCAACATTATTCATCGATACGAGTTTTTGCCCTGATGCAGAGATTCCCATTGGTTCTTCAAAGATGGCAGGAAAAGCTGACTTACCTACAGCATCTGATGGAAAAGAAATTCGGGAACTTGTAGACAAAATTTCCAGAATGGGATTAATATTACAATTGAATTTGGATGAATGTGGACATGAAATTTTTGGTCTCTCCTACCACACCACTAGTAATATTTTGAAGAATATCTTCCCAAAGAGCGGAATTCTTTACTTCTTTTGTCACACGAATGTTGAATCTCCACATGGTTTCATTTTGCATTATCAAGGTCCTAAACACAAACTAAAAAGATATGAAAATGGAAGAGAGAAGAATGCATTTCGTATTAAATTTTATGAAGCACTCTCTCTTCCCGCTGCCTCTGATGCCTACTTTTCGAATGACTACAAAAAGTATGGTGCTGCAATTCGAGGAGTCGATGAAGACGATCTATTTGATGTGTTAACACAACATATTCATGCGCCATTTTCACAAGGGGAACCCCACGCACTATTTGGATGTCTACCTTTTGTCACAAAAGATGAATGGATCAGAGAAGAGGAAGACCTTCCTCTTAGTGATGAAGAGGATGAGGTTGATGAAATCTATGACAAATTCCTCGATATGAATAAGATTCTTGTACCCATTCTGAAACTCTCTTCAGATTGCAAGATTGAAGAAGATCAAATATTCCGCAGAGTGTTTGATCATGTTGCTCCCGTTCAAGACTTTTTGGTTTCAGGAGATGCCATCTCATTTAGTATCGATAAAGATTGCAAGTGGGAGTTGTGGAAGAGTTTTGAAGATGGGTCGTGTATTCGACAATTACCATGTTTTGTGGATGATTTGTTTGAGGAGATCAGTGAACCCTTACATCAAAAGTACAATAAGAAAGTACAATCACTCTTCTTTAAACCTGGGACTCTTCAATAAGTAGTATGATAGATTTGGAGAGCAAACTTGCAAGGTGAATGATCATTATGCATTTTCAATTAATATTAATCGAAAAAGAGTTATTTAGAATGTTACGACTTTATTTACAATGAAAAATTGAAATGACTCGTTTCTAGAAACGAGTAGCCAAGAATCTTCCACGCTGCCCATCTTATGAGTAAAACACCCTCACCTTAAAACGCTCAATAACAAATGGATGATGGTTCAGACATGGATACTGATTTGAAAAGTGATAGGAGTGGTCGTTGTCATCATAATGCTTGATGGGACGAGACTCTTGCTCTCTACACACAAGCTCCTCCTCAAACTCTTCATCAACTTCATATCCATCGTCACAAGGATCGAATATTTGACAAGAGTTCCCATTATTGGAAGTTTTATGCATGAGGTGCGCCTTTGCTTTATGTCCTTTTCTCTGTTCTGATTGAACATTCGTTGTAGTTGTGGTTGAAATAGGATGATCTCTGAGAAGCTCTGCAAGAAGTTCTGGAAGTTGTTGCTTGTGTGTTCGTCTTGCTTCCTTTTCAGAAATGTCTGTTTTTGATGTCTTTGTTGACAACATTGGAAATTTACGTGGATACCATTGTTTGGCCTTTTCAAAATGCCGTTTCATGTATCGATCCCATTTCTTGACTCTGGATTGAATGAAAGGAATGCGAATCGATCTTCTTTGTTGTTGTGAATGTTGTCTTACCATTATTAAAAATACTAAGGATTTAACGATTTTTTTTCTTTTGAAATTTTTTTTTAAATATTAAGGCAGTCCACACAGCCTTGTCCAAATTAGGAGGTGACATCAACTCGTAGGGTGATGGGAAAGCATATAAATACAACTTATCATAGTGAATCTAAGAATGTGAACAATAATGTTTGAGAATATGCATTTTCGAATAATTACTATTCAAGCATGCGACGGGCAAACGGCCTCCAGACGCTCGTTTCGAGACGTATGTGAAATGTTCATTCGACCTCCTCTTATCTCTCACAATATAAAAGTAAAACGAAAATGCCTTTCCGGACAAAAACCTTATCTTCTTTCGTGCATGACCTGCGATGATGTGGTGACATTATGTAGGTTTGATTTAAGAAAACAACATTGTCTCTGTCCTATTTGAGAGAGATATTTGCAAGAAGAGATAAGCACATTGAAAAAAACAAACAATTATTATTAAACTACTACTTCCAACAACAAACCATCACTAGTGGTTTCACAGATCATCACATTCATCATCAACCTTCCTCTTCTCAAAATGTTCAAATCACTTGAATTTTCAGGAAATAACGATTTTCAATTACCAAAAGAAAGACCACAATCGAGAAGCTCTTGGGGTTTACGATCATCCACAAGTTTACGAGACAAAACTGTGAAATTTATGAGAAGAGACGACTATAGAATATTGAATTTAGGAATCTATCGAAAAACAGCTCAATTACTCAAAGTATTACGAGAAGAGTTTGAGAATGAACGACTGACCTATTTTCTGAATCCTGAAACAAAGAAAGAAGTTTGCTACGAGGAGTTATTCAATCTAGATGTCGTTTTGGTTTTAGAAGATGCCGACGTGGTGGAATATATGATTCATTATTACAAAAAAAGCACAAGTAAGGGAGCACTGTAGGAAAGAAATAAAAAGTTATTTCTAAATGAATAACATGATGAGAGTATTAAATTCTGAAAAGAAGAAGTAGATAACTTGGAATGGATTAGAAATGTTGGAAGGAATGGACTTCGTAACTCCAACCCCTCCATGTGACATTATGTTGACCTTGTGACACATCTCTCTCTCGAAAGGATTTCCAACTTGAAGGATCTTGCTTGTAATTATTGGTTTGGGGTTACACCAAAATCCATTGAAAGATCGCATTGATTGCGAAATCCAAGTTATTATTATTAGGAATCAAACTGCAAGCTCAATATTTATCACAAAAATCTTAATGAACTGTACAATTTTAGTAAGCACTGATATTGGAATGACCGCTGCTACTAGAACTGCTGGCAGCTGTTAGATCATTTCTTGGAACTGCATTTGAGTCAATTTGCTGTTGTTGTCCTTGTTGTTGTCGGCGTAACATTTCCTCATTCAGTCGACTTAAGGCTGCTGTATTGATGTGTTCTGGAAATGAAAATGAGTCAATGACAGAACCAACTAAACTAGGGCTTGCCATACCAAGTGACGAAGGAGTAATGGAAGTTCCTGGAGAAATATAGCTACCATAGGTACCAGAGTGAAAACTTGAACTTATGTGAGATGCAGCCACTTGCTTCATACCTTGTGGAGGTGTTTGCATGTCAGTGAAGACAGATCCTGCCATGTTCATTTCTGTATGCTCTGTTAAACTCTCGCTGGAATCATCGATATCACTCAGAGATTTTGCATCCATAGAGTCACCTTTGAAGTGCATTGGATAGTTTTCTTCTCTAGGTTTAAACTTTGAGGTGTCGAGGAGATTGGTTACATTAGGAAGCACTCCAAGCGGTTCCTTTAAAACCTTATCCCAATCAACACCTTGCATGAATGGATGTTCTCTGGCTGTTTTGTCATTCAGCCTAGTTTCTGGATTTGGATCGAGAAGTTTGTCAATAAAATCTATCACTCCACTTGAAACAATTTCTGGAGGTAGTAGTCTTTCATCCACCCAATTAATGTTTCTCGAAAGTATATTATCGAAAATATATTCTGGTGTTTCATCGTTAAATGGTGGACATCCAAAGAGAAGCTCAAACAAAATACATCCTAAACTCCAAAAATCTACTGCCTCATTGTGTTGCATACCCAATAAGAGTTCAGGAGCCAAATAGTCAGGTGTACCTCTGACTTGAATTTCGCTCTCATCGTCATCTTGCCTTAGACTGTCTAATGATTGTTTACTTGCTGAGGTTTGTTCATCCTCTCTGTCCAATAAACCAATCTCACTCAAACCAAAATCTGTGAGCTTTAAATGACCATTTCGATCAATTAACATATTATCAGGTTTCAAATCTCTGTGAACAATTTTGTTATGATGCAGGTCATACAAGGCTAAGATAGTTTCTGCAGCAATGTGTCGGACAGTATCGATATCAAAAGCCTCTCCGTTCTCGAGCTTGTCTGCAAGTAAACAGTCAAGACTACCTCCTGGGCAATATTCCATCACAATATACAGATATCTCTTACCAGCAAAGGAATAGTAAAAATTAACGATGAATGGAGATTGTTCATTGTTCTCCATGAGTACCTTCATAATTGTTCTTTCTGCAAGGAGATCTGGTTCGTTGGTCAAGGTTTTACCAACGTTCTTGTGATTGTACAGATACTGCTTCTTAATGACCTTAATTGCATAGATATCGTTGGTTGTTTTCTTTTGAGCAAGATAAACTCTTCCATAAGCACCTCTAGAAATTGGTTTGATAATTTCAAAGTCTGAGATTTTGATTTTCTTTTTGGTTGCAGAGGATTGTTTTTCTTCATGAAGAAGGGCTGTACATTTGGCCTCAATCACATCCAAAAGTCTTTTAGCATAAACGGTCACTCGATAATTATTTCCAACAAAATTTTCATCCTTATGTTCTTCAATTATTTGATTCAAAGTTCCAATGATTTCTTGTAGCTGGGTTCTGTCCTTACTATTCTCTGCCTTTTTTGCAATTTTAAGAAGCTTGTAGAGAGAAGTTGTTTTTTTCTTTTTCACAGTCTTTTCCAGAGCTTTTCTAACATTTTTTAGTTTCTCAAAAACAGTAATACTTTGCATTTCTACCTTATGCTTCACTGCACAAGTGGCGCTATGTTCAGCTAATTGAGTACTTGGAACTAGCTCTTCACAAATTCTACACAAGATTTCGATCACATTTGAATCCTTTTCTTGCTTGTCCTTCTTTTTTGGATCTGTTGTTGGAGTATTGTTAGCTGACCTGGACTTTTTGTCAGTAATGATCGTGGGAGTCAGTGTTGGGCTGTCATCTCTCTTTGCAAACTTGGCAAAGAACTTGGAAAAGAAGCCTTCAGAAGCTTTTTTCTTCTCCGAGGATGGAGTTACAGGCTCCTTGCTTCCAGTAGTTGGTGTTCCATTATTTGAAAGTGATGACCTAGGAGAGCTAATAGGAGAATCAATGTCAGATGATTCTCCAATAATTTCAAATTTTGAGTTAGAACTAACACTGGACCTTCGAGGTGAGACGCTTGTTGATGAAGTATCTTCTTCGTCAATGGGCTTTAACAATGAAGAATTTGGTCTTTTGTTCGTGCTATCTTGAGAGCCAGAACTGTCATAACTGTCATCTTTTGGTTCAACATTTTCAATGACTGATTTGACACGTTGACGTTTGATTTGTTCTCTATTAGCTTCTTCGATTAAATGTTTCTTGTACAGTTCCAACACTCTGTTGATTCGACTGTAAATAAATATTAATTTTTTAGCCTGTTTTAAAACTTCAAAATTCTCTGTCACAGCCTTAGGGTCAATGTTATTCAGTACACTCCCTAAAATCAGGCTGGACATTGTGGGAGTAGCAGATAAAACATGCATAGATGGTGAACAACTTTGATGAGTTAGGGTAGCATAGTTTGAGACGCATGTCTGTAACAGTGTCTGTAATTCTTTCATGAAATCTCTGTTGCATAAATCATCAATGGATTTACAATCCAAAATGTCCTTTGCAATTTTCTCAATTTGTTCGAGGTCAGAGCTCATAACTTCCATGTCCTTCATTTCCCATAAAAATGTTTTCAAATCTCTGTTCATCTTAAGTTGAACTACTTTGGCACGTTCTTTTAAAACATTTCCAACTCTATCAAACATTGCCGTTGTATGATCAACACTCATAGCACGATCCCTCGAGTTTGAAAATAAAAGTCTTGGAGATGCTCTGTCACCATTGTTGTTAATAGCAAAAGAAGCGCTTGCAGCTGCGAACACAGAAGCTTGCTTAGCAAGTGGTGTTGATTTTTTGGTGATGGCTGGACTTGATTCATCTTCCAACAGATCTATGAGGTCCTCTCCAAAACAGTCATCTTTTCTCATATCCCATTTTGGGTCAATATTGTGTCTACCAAATGAGTTTGCCACAGGAGGTTTGTTATGATGTAATACGCTCTGAGCTCGTTTAAGTGCAGGTGGTTGGAAATTTGTCACACTCATTCCTCTCGTTAGTTTTCCTCCCAATCCAAAATTGTTTGACAATGCGTAAGAAGAGCTACTAAATGAGGCGAGAAGTGGGTTTCCTCCACTTCCAACACTACCAGTTACGAATTGCAATGGTGTACCTCCACTACCGCTGCCACTGCTTCCCGAGCTACCTCCATCATGCGTTCCTTTACCATTGTTGGATATGGTAATTGCGTTGGATGTATTCGCTGAATATGCCATTGGTGACGTCGTGTTGGTTTGCATCTTATTGCTTGATAATAAAGGGCTATAATGCATACTGATTAAATTGTTGAAGGATGAGCTGTTGCCTCTGTTTCGGGCCGGCATGGTTTTAATTCTAATTCATGTGGAGTGTTGATAATTATTTTCCGAATGTGAGAATCAATAATGAACACAAATAAGGAAGAAATAGTCATTCAACATTAACGTCAATCACTCAAATATTACTACATACGCAAAATCTGAAGGAGAGAGTGGTGATACAGTAGAGCTCCATCCTCGTACGTGAGACGGTCGGTATGCATTGCTGTTGGTAATATTCGATTTAGAGTTACTTGGCGAGGAGTCCAATAATTTTGCTGATGTTTTTTCTGTGGTTGGAACTTCAATATTGGTAAGGGAAGGAGGCTTTTTGTTGACATTATCATTAGAAGAAGATTGGTTGGATGGATTATCTGGTGTTGTTTCTTGTTGTTCTTGGCTCGTTGATGATGATGCAGAGGGAACGACGCTCTCTGTGGTGCTTCTATTCACCATCCCACCATTTGGGGCGGTTGCTGGTTTATGCCCCGAAGATGAACCATCGCTACCCATTGCTACCAACTCGTCCTCATCGTTCAAACTCTCGAATAAACCACTTTCATTCATTGAATGCAGTGATGTAAAGAAGGATACCCTTTTGCTGATTCTTGAAAATTCCTCTAAATTGTTATTGCTGTTAGTGGTATTTGTGTTGTTGTCGTTATGGGTGGTGGTGGTAGAGGTATTATTACAATCATTATTGTTGTTGCTCATGTTGTTGTTATTGTTAGGACCCAAAGATGTCAAAGTACATGATGGTACAAGTTGGTGATTAGAGTCCGAATTTGTATTGCGGTTTGCCGTTGTTATATTTGGATTCTCGGAAAAGCAAGAGGAGGATGATGGCACATTGGTGGATGCTGAAGAGGAGGATGAGGAGGAGGATGAAGGTGATGGTTCCTTCAACTCTTCCTTCCACATGTGTTCCTGATGTCCCGTTGGGGATGCCGTCGACTTGGACCTGAGGTGTTGAAGTAATCGGGACGGCATTTCATTCAATGTAGTAGTACGAAGATGATGACGACGGTGGTGGTGGTGGTGGTGATTTATTTTTAAAAGGAATGATGAAGTCAACGTTTAAAACGAGAAATCCGGACTTTGTGAAACACGGAGTTGTTGAAAGAGCGAGGAGGATATATAGGTTGAAGTGATGATGATGATGATGCTGAAGATGAATCAGTTGGTGGTGGTGGCGGTGATTGGGTATTGGGTGATTGAGAACCGCAATCCTCGATTGTGAGACACTTGCACAAGAGTGTTGATCAGAAAATCCACTTCTTGGTGGTTGCTTTTTTTTCGCTTGTTGACATCTTCTGTCGGTCCGTTTTGGAAGGTTGGGGAGTTTTATTGAGATTGTCGTGCTCTTATCACATGCTAATGAAATGAGAACTTTTCGCCAAGAGTACCTCCAACATGGTGTTATTTCGTGTGTAATTCATCAAACCACAAGACATGAATTTGGGAAAGATTCGGTCTCATCTTTTAATTGCTTCTCTGATATTCTGGTCAGAATCGAATGAACGAAAGATCACCAGTAGAGATTCTTTATTAATAAGATTTCAATTACTCTCTCCGTTGTTCCTTTTCAGTTGAACTTAATAGATCTTTTTCAGGTTGAACTTTTTCTCTGCATTTGGAGATCACATCATTCACCAACCCTTTCAAAGGTGCTTCTCCTTGTTTTCCAACTTTTTCAACATCACTCGTCCATTGAACATAATAATCTTTCAAAGGAAGATTTTCTATCTTGCTTATTAATTGTGTGTCAGTGGTTGCAAATATCGCACTACTTCTACTCATGTTAAATCGTTCTTTGATATAAGGTAGGACATAATTTTCAAGTTCTCCTTTTGCGTCACTTGCTTCAGGTCTGGAACTTGTGGTGATGAAGAAAAAGTAATCACTCTTCTCCTTATTTAAATGTTCAAAAGAGGATAACTTTGTGAAAGAGAGTTCTATTTTCTCATTCTCAAAGGAAGGAACATATTTGAAGAGTTTGGTATGCAAAAAGATTTCATTGACATAACTTGCCACTTGCGAGATGAAAGCAACTCGACATTTCGTAACGACAATTTTTGGAGGAGAAGGAGGCAAGGGCATTAAATCATTCGATGCCTTGTTGACTTGTTCATGAAATGGTGGACACATTGCCTCATTTGTCGAAACATTATTCAAAGAAGTGAAATTTCCTTCATTTGCTACCGAGTCCATCTGTGTCTTAGGAGTCCATGGTGATAAATGGGGTAAATAAATAAATTGATAAAACAAAATTCCTGAGCAAAACAACATGAAGAATAACATCACGTATTGAAGGAAGGATGGTTGTGACTGAGTGGGTGGTGGTGAAGGGGATTTCAATCTTTCAATGAATGAATGTGGAATATAAATTTCCATCTCCATATCGTCGTCTTCTTTGGAAATATCGGCAAAGGCATGAACATCTGAAAGACCTTCTTGTTTTGACAATGTGTTCGTTGAAGATGAGGGAAAAGAAGCTTCTACTTCCTTTTCCTGTTGTTCCGTTCTGGAAGGTGGAAATGAAGAATTCTGAGTTTCATTTTTCTTGACATTTCCATTCATTGAGTGGTTTCTTCCACTCGTTTTTTGCTCATTGGTCGAATCGATCTTCATGGAATTCACTCTCTCTTCGCCATTGTTTGGTTTGGTTTTCTTCTCCGGACTCTCGTAACAGGAGGCTTCGACATTGATAGGTCGATCGGAGAGGGGTCTCTTTCGAATATGAACTTTGAGGATGAAACAGTTATTGTTGTTGTTGTTGGCGGTGTTGAACGAATTTGTCGTCGTGTCGACTTGGACGGTCTGACGATCTGTCATTCCATAAGACATTTTTTTTGTAACAAAGAAAATCTTAAGTGGACTTTCAGCTGAGACTACTACTTTTTCGGACTTTACAATTATTATTTTTATAACTCGAATTACCAAAACGAGACCAAAAAGTAGTATTCTCGCTTGAAAAACACGTCAGGAAGTGAACATTTCAAAAAAAAACAATGACAAGCGACACTCCTTCTTCAGAGTTGAACACAGTCATCAATACCAACCTACTCAAGGTCCATTCAACTCCTCTTCATGTAACATTGTATTCCTTCTTCTCGACCTTGATCTGTCAGATCTTCTCCAGAATTCATCTTCGGCAGGCATATTCTGACAGGAAGAAGACTCTCCTTGTCATTCATCTTCTCACATTCATGTATATTCTCTATTGTTGCATGAATGTTTATTTGGTCTCTATTTACAACTTTAACAACCAACGATGGATCACAAAGAAAGGATTTCCGCACAAAATGATTGGGAAGGGAAGTTATGCCTCTGTCCAACAATTCAATCAGCCACAACTCGAAATGGGTCAACCGTTGATGAATTCTGTTCATGAACCTTTTCAAACATTTGTATTGAATTTTCAAGTCGATTTGGAGCACTTGAAACTCAGAAAGGACAACTCTCAATTGTTGCCACCATGCAACATCATGAAGCGCATGTATTTGAAATTTATCAACAATGGTCCTTGTTTCTTTAATCACAACATGATCATTGAGAAGGATGATCCTCAATACTCGTTCACCATTTCAAACGGTGGAAAGGAACTGCGTGTCGAAAATGTCAACATTCGTTTACCCTTCCAATCTGGAAATTATGAATGTACCACTTTTAAAACCTTTCCCAATTCACTCAGTTTTACACTAATTCTCGAAGACGCTGAAAAGAATCAAATCGAATACCACTATACCCTGTCCGTTGCAGCCAATGAATTTATGGGAACATTTACATCGGATCTTTCAAAATTGGGTTGGGATCCTGTTCGAATCGATATGATTGGTAACCCTGGATGGGGCAAAAGTACAAGTGTCAATGAAATGGGAGACTTTACATGCATTTCGCCTCGAGATCGAATTAAACTTGTGCCAGATGTCGCAAATTCCAAATTGAACGACCATTCCACTCGCAGTGTGATGCGTTATCGGTTGTGGGAAGATGGTCTATTTGCAAATATTCCTCTTCCAATTCAAGTTCAAGATCCTCCTGGACATGATGTTGGAGTGATGGAGAAGGTTCCACAATATTTGGAATATTTGGTAAAAGGAAAGATTACTCCAGGAGAGGATATTGTAACTGAGTGTACACAGAAACCTTTTACTTGCTTGAACAAGTATGAACATCATTCAGAACATCTGCCAGATGTCATCTTGTATACCATTCCTTTCGCAATAATTGAAAAGCACAAAGACAAAATTGTTTACAACCTCGATTACTTCCACAAACTCAAAATTCCAGTCATTCTTGTTGTAACTTGTGGTGAGGAAAAGAATCATCAAGTTGTGAGAACAGAAATTGACAAATTAAGAGGACATAGTTTCCATTCCTTTGTCATTGCTGGTGAGCATTATGATCCAGGTGAACCCATTCATCCAGAATATATTCGAAGAATGGCACAACTTTTATTAGATGTCTTTCATGTGGTCAAGAGTCGAAGAGGAGTCATGTATCAATCGAAGGTAATGTTGAGAAGAATATTGAGTGAAGGATGGATTCAATATGGAATTCAATGGATCCTATTGTTGATAGCCAACATTGGAATTGTGTTGTTCCTCTCAGCAAAGAGTAGAAAGAATGAACAAGAGGAAAAGAAGAAAGAGGAATAAATTCATCAATGATCCTGTCTTGCGAAAGGACACCTTTTCTCGATGGTTTTTTTGTGACACCACATTTGTGCATTTCCAAGTTTCTAAAAAAGATTAATTTTTAAAAAAAAATTAATTTTTATTTAAAATCAAACTTCAAGTGTTTCACAAAACTCGAGAGAGAGTGAAGAAATCTTTAAAAGCCAAGTTTCATTTGTTTACTTGGATTTCTCTTCGTTCATGGAAGGAGAGGTTTCATTCTCATCCATTCCCTCAAAGATCAATCCTTTTTGCATTTTCAAGTCATTTTGATGCCACTCTCTCCATTCCTCTTCATTGAATAGTCGAATTGTTTTTAACTTGTTCTTCATTCGTGATGGACAAAAACATGAACAAAGAATCATTTGAATGACAGCATTGACAATTTGAAAACATTTCAACCATAAAGGATCTTCTACTTGAGTCAATCCATTAGAAGAAAGTGCATTGTTGTACTCTTGTTGACAATGAGCAGCAGCCATTACGAATGTCATCAACAGTAGCAAACCTATGAGTACCGAATTAATAATGACCACCACTTGTAACACCGAGACGTGAGAGGAAAGCGTTTGAACTTCAGCAATGGTTGCATACGAAGAGGATGACTGTTGTAACAATACCACACATGTTGAGCACAGGTGTGTGTCCTTTAAAAAGAGAAGAAATTGACTTACATTTGACATTAGAGCATTTCTCTCCACAAAGAATGCATGCGTTGAAAAGGTGAGAGAAAATAACGAGAGAGAAAGAAAGATGAGTCGAAAGAAACGGTTTTTCATGTTGGAACTGTTGTTATTTTCTTTTGTTGACTTGGCGAGTCAACGTCGAAACCCATCATCAAGTGGAGCATAAATCTCTCCTGTGATCCACAATTTCATTTAAATAAATAATAATTTCAAAAAATAAGATTTGGGAACTGTTCCAAATTGTGACGGATTTGTTTCATTATTGCGCTTTGAGTTCGCTTGAACCAAATATGGAAAGTGTTCTGTGATAGGACAAAATGTCGAAACGAACAAGATGTCCATAAAATAGAATGAATTGTTAAATCATGAGGATGATTTGAGAGTAAATTGTCCATGCGTGCAGAGTTGTGTGTCAAGCTTTTGCACAATCATGGTAACTTTGGCAAAAATGTTTGCAAACGAATAACTTCAATTCCAAAACTTGCTGTTGTCCATTGAGGAAATTGGACAATCATGCCATTCCTTGATCCATTGTCATTCATGCATGAATGTGAAGTATCATGAGTAACACAATCATAAAACTCTCATCATGATGAGTGATCGTGTGCTTATGGGAACTTGTACAAGCGGTGTGGAAAGTTTATTTCACAATAAATTCTTTCAAAATTCTCGTTAATGATACAATAAGTCTCTCTCTGCACTCGGTTCATTCTGAGAGAGAGTATACAAAAGAACGTTCATTTCTCACAACGTCATGTTCAACTATTGAAGTGTGTTACAACTCCACAGTGACCCATTTGCTCTTTGCACTTCCAGTTGCCAACTTGTTAATACAAGAATTGAGATCAAAGTAGGAATGGAATCGCTTCAACTTGTTCAAGTGATTAATAGAAAAGTGAACAATGGCATTACATGTGACAGGAACGATATTCTCAGCATTCATGGTCTTACTTGGATAGATGAGATAGGTCACCGATGCTGCTGCAAATTCATTATTATAGGAAAAGATTGGACTTGTCAAGTACATGAACACTCTCTCCACATTATGTTTCGAAATGAGAGCTGAATAGAATTTTCTGGCTCCTTCCAAACCAAACACTGGATGAGTACTGATTGGGAATGCAAATTCAATATTGTGACTCACAACCTTATTGATTTCATGAAGTTTTGAATTTTCTTCAGCTGTCAATGGGAATAATCTGGCAAGCACACGTTCAGGAGTGTGACCATTTTTCATATCTTCAGTAATACCGAGACGTGGATTTCCTCTCTCATCTTCATGGTTATTAAAGAAACGAGTAAGGACATGATAGAATTTGGATTGACTTTCTGGTTCATGTTCGTATGAAGTTGGAAATCTTTCACCATAATTCAAATAAACAAAATAGTCTCTATCATAGACGTCATGCCACATTCTTACAAGATAGGGTCTCTTCTTACTATTGGGTTGAGTATTCTTTTCCCACAACATTAATGTGACTCCATCCGAGGTTATTCTCAAATGATTCTTGTGAATGATGAAATATTTTCTTCGGAATGCAACAAAGAATCGTTCGACACCAGGTTCCAAATTCATACTCTCAAAGATGGTTGCATGCTTTTCGTTACTTTTACTTGTGAGTGATTGAATGAGATCCATATTTCTCTCAGCTTCATCTGGAACATAGATAATATCAGATTTTGAAAAATCGACATGTACCGATTTGAAATTCTTTTTCCAATCCTTTTCAAATAAATTTCTCAAATCTCTGACATTTCCGAGAAAGGTGGCTGTGATGAGTTGTGGCATATTTTTGGGAATGTCATTTCCAGAATAACCAACGTGTGGAATGTGAACATGAAGATTATTGACGAGAATTTTTGTAGTAGCTGTAGTACTACTCGAGGAGGAAGAAGAACTTTCATCCACATTGACACTTGATGTTGTATTTGGAGAAATGTATTTCAAATCAGGAAAATAGTCATCAATGAGAGTGTCGAATCGATAGGTGGGGTATTGATTGAGTGTGGAAAAGAAACCTTCAATCTCTCGTTCGAGTAAATTGATTTGCACAAGTTCGCCATCGGTGGTGGATTTGGTGGTGTAGAAGGAGGGAATGGCAATGGAATGATGACAAAGGAGTGCCGCAGCAATGAACACGGTCGAGATGACAAGAAGAAGGATGGGAGATGTTGTTGTTTTTAACGAGTCGACTCGATGATGTGATCCAGGTTTGGTTGTCATCTTTGATGGACGGTGAATCATTTTTTTTTTGATGATGAATGACAACTGCAAAAGTTTTGATTGAACAAGTCAACTTTGAAAATAGGACGAACCATGTCGACATTTCTCAAAGTTCATATAATATTTGAATTTAATAAATTCTAGAGAGATCCTCTGTATCAAAATATTCAATAGTAGTCGTTTTCTCAGAAATTTTTCATACACAACCACACACGTCATCAACACACAATGCTCAATTTTTTCAGCACTTAAAAAAAAATGATCATCAAATTTGAAACCAAGTCCCAACGAGTCAAGGGTTTGAGTTTCCATCCGAAGAGATCATGGATTTTGGCCAGTTTGCACACTGGTGCTATTCAATTGTGGGATTATAGAATGGGTACCATGATTGATTCGTATCACGAACATGAAGGTAAGAATTATTTGAATATAACTTGTGGATAATGTGTTGGGTGTGGTATACAATAATTTGTTGTTGTTGTTGGTGTATCTATTGGGATGATGATAATATACATGATGTACATTCTTTAACAATAATATTGAATAGGCCCTGTGAGAGGATTAGATTTTCATAGCACTCAACCACTTTTTGTTAGCGGTGGTGATGATTATAAAATCAAAGTTTGGAATTATAAATTAAGAAGATGTTTATTCACGCTTACAGGACATTATGATTATGTAAGAACAGTGGAATTTCATCGCGAACAAGTAACTATCTTTATTGTGTATTGTGAATTTTCTTACTAACCCAATACGATAATAATTTTGACATTATCATCAACAAAAACATCATCATCATGATCATACCGATGAACGCTCTTACTTTCACAACACACCAATGATTATATAGCCCTGGATTATATCAGCTTCTGACGACCAAACGATTCGTATTTGGAACTGGCAGTCTCGTACTTGCATCTCAGTCTTACCAGGACATAATCACTATGTCATGAGTGCTTCTTTCCATCCTAGACAAGACCTTGTTGTCTCGGCCTCCTTGGATCAATCGGTGCGAGTGTGGGACATTTCCGCTCTCAAACAAAAGAATGCCAATGTTGGAACAAGCCCTGGTGATGAGTTTCTCAAGTTTACACAATTAAATCAAGAGTTTTTCAACTCTGGGGATGCCATGGTTAAATATGTGCTCGATGGCCATGATAGAGGTGTAAATTATGCCGTCTTCCATCCAAAGTTGGATTTAATTGTTTCTGCCTCTGACGATAGAACTGTAAGAACATGGAAAGTGAGCGATCAAAGAGCTTGGGCTGTCGACACTTTTTCTGGCCACACTCACAACGTTTCATGTGCAGTTTTCCACGAAAAGAAGGACATGATAATTTCTGCCAGTGAGGACAAGACACTCCGATTTTATGACATTTCTAAATCTCAATTTATCAGAAGTTACAAGAGAGAATATGAGAGATTTTGGATTTTGGATGTTCATCCAACTCAGAATCTTATTGCTGCAGGTCACGATGGAGGCTTGATTGTGTTCAAATTGGAAAGAGAAAGACCAGCTTACCAAAGCGTAAAGAATGTTCTCTACTACATGAAAGACAAGAATATGAGAGAAGTCAAGAATGGTAAAGATACTCCTGCTGCAATTTTGAGAAAGTCATGGCCAGGAGCAAGCAGAAATATTTACTTTGATCCAACAATGTCATTCTGTATTCTTACTTCTGATCATGAGGGAGGAACTTATGAATTATTTGAAATTAAGAAGACATCATCTTCCTCTGAAGAAGTTCAACTAAAGAATCCAATCAGGAAAGGAAAGGCACTTTTCGCTGCTTTTGTTGGCTTGCAAAAATATGCAACATTGGATCCAAAAGACAAGAAAGTTTTCGTTCATAGCACACAATCTGATAGAACCAAAGAGCTTAATCTCACTGTTGGTCCTGTCAAGAGAATCTTTTCTGCTGTTTCTGGAAGACTCCTTATGACCACTGATGACAAGGTTCATTTATATGATTTGGAGCAACAAAAGGTCATATCCAGCGTAAATGCAGCTGGTGTTAAATTTGCAGTATGGTCTGACGATAATACCAAAGTTGCACTTCTTGGTAAACACATGATTACCATTTGCGATAGTAAGCTTGATCCATTGTGCAGTGTTTTGGAAACCATTCGTATTAAGAGTGGAGCTTTTGACAAGGATGGCGTTTTCATTTACACTACATTGAATCATATGAAATATTGTTTACCTACTGGAGATTATGGAACTATCAAGACTTTGGAGCTTCCTATTTATATTTCTCATGTTGAAAATAATGCTGTAACAATTATTGATAGAGAAGGCGTTGTGAAGGTGATCACAATTGATTCCACAGAGTACAGATTTAAGCTTGCATTAGCACAAGGTCGAACAGGAGATATCAAGAAGATTATCGGTGAATCGAAAATTCTTGGAGATTCCATTATTGCATACCTTCAACAAAAAGGTTACCCAGAAATTGCCTTGAGATTTGTTGAAGATGAAGTCACCAAGTTTAATCTCGCTCTCGAATGTGGTGATATCAAGACTGCTTCGGAGGTTGCTCAAAAGTTGGACAAGAAGGAATGTTGGAACAGCTTGGGACTTGAGGCTCTTAGCCAAGGAGATGTTACTGCAGTTGAAAAGGCCTATCGAAGAACAAAGAATATTGAGAGATTGTCTTTCTTATATACAGTTACCGGATCTTTGGAAAATCTCAAGCAGATGCTAAAAATTGCCAACAACAGAGGAGATATCATGTCTAGATTCCACAATTCTCTTTTCCTTGGTGATGTAGAGGAAAGAGTGAAAATCCTCCAACAAGTTGGACAAACAACATTGGCATACATTACTGCAAAGAATCATGGACTGGACAATTTGGCACAAGAAATTAGAAAAACTCTTCCAGAAGATTTCAAAGAACCTGAATTCGATTTCAAGCCATCCTTGTTTTTACCTCCAGTTCCAATTCTTAATGGTGGTAATTGGCCTCTTTTGCATACTCAAGAGATTGACTATACCGATGTAGGTGAAGCAGTAGCCGAATTAGACGAATCTCAATTCGATCAATTCGGAGAAGGAATTGAAATTCCTGGAGTATCCAATGGACAGCCAAGTGGTGTTCAACAAACAACCAAGAAAGCACCTGCAATTCCTGAAGTTGATGAAAATGGTGAGGAAATTAACGTGGATGCTTTTGATCTTATTGAAATGCCAGCAGACGCTCAAGTCTCACTCTCTACTTCATCCAATTTTGTTGCTCCAAACTCTGGAAGAAATATTGTCGATCTTTGGCCACTCAACTCTCAATTCCCTGGAGATCATATTGCTGCTGGTTCATTTGAGTCAGCCATTGAAATTCTTTCCAAAGCTGTTGGCATCAAGAACTTTGCCCCTCTCAAGGAAATATTCCTTTCAATCTATGCTGGTTCCAATCTTTTGATGCCATCTACTCCTAATCAGCCAAGTATTTCCGTTCCATTGCAAAAGGGTAGAAACGACAATGAAAGAACAAAGGATACCTCGCTTCCAAAGCTTGCTGTGCCTTCTCTTTCAGATTTACAATTGAAGCTTAAAGATGCGCTCAAGACATGTTCTAATCAAAATACCATGCAAGCTGGTGTAGACATGCTTCGTGAAATTATGCGACAACTTTTATTTATTCCAATTCTGACAAAGAAGGATGAAAGGGAGATGAAAGAAACACTCTCCACATGCTGTGAATACGTTATTGCTTTTAGAATGGAAATTCAACGAAAGAATATTCAAGCTTCAGACTCCAAGAAAGCGGCTGAGCTTGCTGCCTACTTTACAAGATGTAAATTGCAAAATACTCATATCATGATTGGTTTGAACTCTGCAATGGCTGCTGCATTCAAGCTTCGAAACTTTAACACGGCAGCAGCATTTGCAAATAGATTGCTCAAGTTAGGTCCCCCAGAAAAGATCCAAAAGCAAGCCCAATATGTCATTGATGAAAAACAAAAGAATCCAACGGACGAAGTTCCATTGGACTATGATGACAGAAATCCATTTGTTGTTTGTAATATTTCACTCACTCCAATCTATGCTGGTAGCGACAAAATTGCTTGCTCATACTGTGGAGCATCATATTTACCTAAACATGATGGAGAGCTGTGTACAATATGCGAAATGGGAACCTGTGGAAAGAAAACAATTGGCCTCTATCAGTATGCAAACTCTTTCAAGTCATCTTCAATGCAAGAGGAAGAACTTTAATTTTGAATCTGATTCCAATAAAAAAATATTTAATTTTAAAGAAGTCATATTTATCAATTAAAAGATTATTTCTCTTTAGGTTTGAGGAAGCCACTACCTTTCTTTTCTGGAGTTGAGGGTGTGACAACGTTTTGTTGTGACGGTGGTAGTTTGTTTGTGGTTTGAGGTGGTGTGGAAACGGGCAAAATTGGCGTTGTTGATTTTCGCTCCATGGTGAAACGAATTAAATTATAGACTGTGTGAGCTCCTTCCTTTGCCATGTTAATGCATGTCTGGAGCGCTTCGTCTGTGAAAATGCCTTCTGTAAGGCAGGTGATCAAACTTGTGTCCTCTTCTTCTCCATCATGTTGTTGTGATTTCTTTTTCAGTTTTGTGGCGTCGAAAATAAAGCATGCATGTCCTTTGGGTTTAATAATTTTTTGGCCTGACGATAATGAACTCTTGTAATATTCCACAAATGTTGATGAATCGCTACTGTACAAAACAGAATCAAAATCTTGTTCCATCTTCAATGGATCTAACAAACAATCACCACTCGATAAATAAGAACATGACAAAGAAACAAGAGCTGACTTTAAAGCCACTCCAGCATCTAGCAAGGCTAACACAGCCGAGTTCAAACTAGCACTCAATAAACTTCCATCATCTTGAACCACTTGAACAGAAATTGTAATTATTGTTCGCGGATATAATGATAACAAAATTACATTTTCCAAACTCTCCCGAATCATCATTTCATATTCTTTCTCTTCTTCCGATGGTCTTTTATCCCGAGGTTGAAAAATTACATCCACAATGGCACCATCTCCCTTTTCTTTCATGGAAGCTTCCGGTCCATTCACAGAACAAATAACAATTGTTTTTCCCATTGAAAATTTACATGATCCATCTGCTTTTTGCAACACGCCCAACTCGGCTTGCATTTCTCTGAGTTGCTGCGGAGAGGAGCGATGATCTTTTCGTCTCATTTTTTTTGTTGAAAGAATTTTTGAATTTCTCAATTTTTTAATTATTGTTGTTCCTTTTTTTTAATAATTTGTAAAAAGAAATTATTGAGATTGAATCAAAAAGAAGAAGAATTTTTGTGAAAAACACTCACAACTTTAGAGAGAGATCTCATCCTCATTCTTTTTCTTCCTTCTCATTTTGCAATAAAAGATCAAAATCACTCCCATAACGAGTGCAGCAATCACTCCCACGACCAACAGAGAGCCAACCACAGAGAATGCAATTGCAAGTTGTGTCTCTGGTGAGAGTCCTGTTGTTTGTGCCTTGTTGTTTGACTCTGTGGCTTTCTTGAAACTGGAATCAATGACTGCAAATGAAGTCAAATGTGTCGTGGAACATGTCAACACCGGATTGGAACTTGAGGATCGAATAGTTTCCACTCCGTCTGTTTTCCACACTTTTTCCACCTCATGATAATACACGCAAATGAAAGTGGAGGGATTTGATTGTGGAGTCATGGTAGAGTTTGTTGTGAAATGTAATTGAATAGGTTTCTCTAAATTGGAAATGGTGATTGGCAAACCGTTCTTGTCGAATAGTGACACGGAAATGAGAGGAGTTTTGAAACTTGTTTCATTGATGGGTTGTTGAGTTTGAAGATAGGCCGAGCTCACTAACACAAGATTGGTGCTGGAATTCAAACCTTTTTGTGATAAATCACTTGAAACGTTGGAAGGGAATTCCACTAAAATGTTTTGGAATCCATTGAAAGTGATTGTTCTCGAATTCAAATCATTCAAGCTATCTAAATATTGTACATTCAATTCACTTCCTTTAACAATGGTTTTTGCACATTCAACAATGGCAGTGCTGTTTTGAGAGAGGTCAGAGCCGCTCAAAATGGCAATACAAACAGGAATGGAACAATCCTTTCCAATGAATCCACTCCTACAGGAACAAGTATCTACTTGAATGCAAGTTCCATTTCCATTGCCACACACTTGTTGTGTCAGATTGGCAGAAATTCCAAAACAGATTGGAAATTCACATTTGGGTCCAGCATAACCCGATTGGCAGCGACACGTGTCTTGTGAAATACATTGTCCTCTTCCACTGCACACTCTTGTATCGTTCAATTTCACACCAAAACATGAATCGTAACACACTGAAAAATCATACGAGAGAGAATAAGAGGTACTGGAACAATATGGACTCAATTTTCGAATCAATGCATTTCCTCTCTCCACAAACACAATGTCACCACTGATGGAATCGACAAACATGGATTGAGGAGTATCCAATACAGAATAGATTGCATCCATAATATCAGAAATATATCCCCTAAATCCAAACTGACCAGCCAATGTATTAATAATACCAGTTTTCATATCCACTACACGAATCAAATGATTGAAAGAATCGGCAATAAACATTAGACGTTCTGAGAAGGGAGAAAAGGCAATGGATCTGGCATTTCCCAAAGCAGTTTGTGTCGCAGGAACACCATCCACAACTAACAATGCTCCATAATTACCAGCCACTGTTGAAATAATACCTTTCACATCGACCTTACGAATCAAACTGTTCAGAGCATCTGTAATAAACATTTCTCCCAGCGAGTTGAACACAATTTCAATGGGAGTGTTCAAACTTGCAAGAGTTGCCTTGATTCCGTCACCATTGTACGATCCCATGCCATTTCCAGCCACCGTTTGAACTCGATTGGTTCGTGAGTCCACTTTTCTTACACGATGATTATTACTATCAACAAAATAAATGTCACCATTGAATATGGTAATTCCTTTTGGCGTGTCAATGAGAGTTTCATTGGCAAGTAGACCATCTCCATTGAAACCTTTGGAATTGTTAAAACCACCAACGATGGTTGAGATGGTACCCTGAATGAGATCAATCATTCGAATTCGATGATTCTCTGAGAACAGAATGAAATCTTGATTGGGAGATACATAAAGTCCAGAAGGTTGATTGAGAGAGGAATTCAAACTTGCTCCTTCTCCACTCAATCCATTCACAGAATTTCCAGCAATGGTGAATACTGAACGAGTGCCATTCACTTGGGTGATCTTTCTCAATCGATAACGATCAGTAAAGTAAATATCAAGTGTTGAAGTAGTAAACGTAGTAGTATTCGAATTGGTCATGTTCGTTGTTTTCAACATTGGAAATACAAAGTTTGGATAATTAATATTCGTTTCGAGTGGAGAAAGACCCTCCCCATTGTAAGTCAAGTTTCCAGTGCCTGCAACAGTGATGAATTGGTAGACAACTGGAGCACCTTCAACAGCAGTGAGTGTTGTTGGAATTGGTAATAATACAGTAGCAAATGGTGATGACCTCAGGCTGAGTGGTGGCACCACGAGAATACACCCCATGACCATGATCATTAGAAGCATGACTCGTTCAATGAATGACCATGGTCTTGGGACAACCACACCTGAGTGGTTGTGAGAAGAATTAGAGGAGGTAGTGGTAGCGAACAAGAATGGAGGAAGTGTCGCAACTGGGTACGACGACTTGTGGTGACCACTACTTCTCATTTGTTTTGCTAATGTTTGTGGGGTGGATAAAATCTGTTGTTGCGAGATGTTGTTCATGTGGAGTGGATCGAGTCCAATGAGAACTGTGACACGTCGCAGATTTGGAGTGACAAGTATGAGATAATGGTTGTTGGAAAGGTCATTCATGTGCTAATTATTTCACTTTTCTGTAAGGATTTGCCATGTGAATTTTCCGAACATCAAATCAATGTGTGAAAGGTTCAAAGTAAGCTCGTCAAGTCAACGTTGTCGGCCTTTCATAAATAGATTGTTGTATTGGCATTCATTGCACATAGGAATGTATACATCACGAATCAAGATAGGCCCGTCATTTCAAGAAGTAAGCTCATCCTTTATACACAACATTACTCTTCGTCAAATTCGTCTGTGGTGACCGTGGAATGAAAAAGAATTGAACGGAGTCTCCCCAAACATTCTAAGGGTATAAAATCGAGGTGAAAATTCTTGACTGATCTCCAATTACTCAATTCCAAATGATCAAGAAAGATATTGAACTCCTCTTCAGAGATAAATCTGCAGCAGCTTGTTCCAAAGAATGACAATACTTTTGCCGGTTTCCATTTCGTCCATTCAATCAAGGAATCGAGATCGACAAACTCACGCTCGTCACATAAAGCCAAGTGCTCAATATTTCTAAATTTGGATTCTCTGGAAATGCAATTGATCACATGAACATCGACTTCTTGCAAGCAAAGATCTAAAGTTTTCAGATTTCGTTGTGGTCCCTTCTTAACAAAATCCATAAAGGTAGTGTTTTGAATTGGGTCACAGTAAAGTATAATTAAGCTATGCAAATTTTGAAATGGCTTTGCAACAGTAACCACTTCAAGTAGTGTATCACTTGTGCAATCTGATGGAGCAGTAATTTTGAGATAATGAATGTCTAACTTTGAACTTGCAAGAGTTTGGATTGTTTTGGTTGTCAAGTTATCACAGTCCAATGTAATATTGTTAATGTTTTGAAAATTAGGGCTTTGAAAAAGGTCCATTATTTCCTTGTCTTGAAATTGCCAGCTATTCAAAATGTGGAATGAGCGAGCGTTCTTGAATATTGGAGATTCTGCAAGTGGAGTGACTGGATATGAATCGTGACAAGTTTTATATGTTGCTTCAAAAAAATCTAATGTTATGCTATCAATACTTGCAAGATTGGTATTCTGTAATATTGATTCATATGCAAAAGGATAAAAACATGCTTGGTGAATTGTTAATTGTTTCAAGTTCTTCAGCTTAGAGTTATCTTTAAAAATGCTTTGAATTCCCTGTGTGGACTCGCTGTGCAAAGTTAGAGAGGTTAAACCAAGTATTTTGTCTGAGTTCATTAACTTGTCTGCTCCAATAATATCGTTCTTACGTACTTCATCAATATATTGCATGATACTACAAGGAATATGAGATGCTTCTCCTATGTTGATACTTGAAATACGCTTTACGTTGGAACTATTGAACACGTCTTCCCTTGTAACATAATCGACGCTCAACTTCAAAGGGACCTCACGAGCGAACTGAAATATTTTTTTAGAAACAAGCATCATCGTTAAAAGCACCTCTTGGCATGTTAAATACTCCATGATTTTCACCCAAATATCCTCGTTCAAACATTCTTCGGTTTGTTGTGGATTAAATTTGATTTTTTTGATATACTTTTCGGGAACAAAATCAAGCAATGATGATGTTTTTCGTTTCATTTTTTTGAGCGAATTTTCAGAGTTTAGTGGATTTTGTTGGAGAAGTGAAAAATTCATCTTTTATATATTAAGGAATACAAGTTGAGTATTATAAATTATCAACCATTTCAAAGGTGAGCCTGAGTTTACAACGAAGAGGCAACTTCATGGATCCGTTGTTGGTTTTCTTCAATTCTCAATCAAAAAAATGTACCGACTCTCCAAGGCCGTACATCAACTGGCAAGCCGTCATTCCTCCTCGTCATGTTCGGGCATGATGATGGCGATGACTACCTCCTCCTCCATCCCCAAAAAATCCTCCAACCACTCCTCTTTAAGCTTTTCAAAATTTTCATCCTTCCTCTCACAAGACTATCATCATTCCGTATTGAATTTCTATGGTCTTCGTAAATATAGTGAGAGCGGAGAGGTTCCAACCATCGGCATCCGTAGAGAAGATAAAAACGTTTGGGAACGTCGAGTACCTTTGACTCCTTCTCAATGCGAAGAATTGATCAAGGAACATGGTATACGAGTGGTCATTCAACCCTCTACCACAAGAGCCTTCAGTGATGAGGAATATAGAGAAGCTGGATGTGAGATTAATGAAGATTTAACCAGTGCTCAAACCATTTTGGCAGTTAAAGAGGTACCTGCCCATTTGCTGATTCCGAACAAGACTTACATGTTCTTTTCTCATACCATCAAGGGTCAATGGTATAATATGAACATGTTAGATACCATTATTGAAAAGAATATTCGTTTGATTGATTATGAACGTGTTGTGAAAGAAGTAGAAGTTCCTGGTACAGAAAAGACAGTACAAGAAAGATTGGTTCGTTTTGGACCTTTTGCTGGTAATGCTGGTGTTATTGATACTTTGCATATTCTCGGAGAACGTTTATTGACTCAATACGGTTATACAAGCCCTTTCCTAAGCATTTCCTATGCAAGAAATTATATTTCTCTTGAAATTTGTAAGCACGCTTTGAATGAAATTGGACGAAAGATTAGTCAATATGGTATCAATAAGGATTTATTCCCCATGACATTTGTCATGACTGGCAGAGGTGGAAGCGTGTGTCAAGGTATGAAGGAAATGATCCAACAATTACAACCTCCTGAACTAACTCACAAAACTGTCGAGTTCTTGCATTCACCTGCACAATTGAAAGCATTATGGGAAAAGAAGGCAAGAGGACAAGTCACAAAGGAAGATTGCAGAAAGATTTACGTTTTAATTTGTGGCCCTGAAGCAATGGTCAAACCAAAAGATCCATCAAAGCCATTTGACAAGTATGACTATTATGCAAATCCACAAGAATATGAACCAATTTTCCATGAAACAATTATTCCATACACTAGAGTATTGTTGAACGGAATGTACTGGGATGCCAGATATCCAAGACTCATTACCAACAAACAAGCCAAACAATTAATTGAACAAAATAGATTCCCACTCATTGTGGTTGGAGACATTTCATGTGATCCTGGTGGTTCAGTTGAATTCCTCACCAAAACAACAACCATTTCAAACCCTGTCTATGTAAATAACATTAAGGAGGACAAGATTTATGATGACACTCTCATTGGTGAAGGTGTAGCAATGCTTGCTGTTGACCACTTGCCAGCTGAGTTCCCAAGATCTTCGAGCAGCTTGTTTGGTTCTCATCTCTTCCCATTCATTCCTGATTTGGCTCGATCGTTCCCAACATTCAACAGTCCTTTGGAAACTCAAATGAAATATTTACCAACTGAAATCAGAAAGGCTGTCATTACTGCCAACGGAAAGCTCACACCAAACTATGAATATATCAACAGAATTCGAGGACCAAGAGCAAAGAGAGTTTTAATTTTGGGATCTGGATATGTTGTTCCACCAGTCATTGATTATTTACTTGACAATCCAAGAGATATCTCTGTTATTACAATTGCTAGTGACAAGATTCCACAAGATCTGAAGGGCAAATATACTGGAAAACTATCCGTTGAGTTTGTGAATAATCTCAATGTGTCTCAAGACAGTCAAGTTCTCAACGATCTCATTAGCAAGACTGATATTGTTGTATCCCTTGTTCCTGCCACTCTTCATCCAATCATTGCTAGGCAATGTTTAAAGTATTCCAAACACCTCATTACTGCCAGCTACATCAGTCCTGAAATGGAAGCCATGCATGAAGAGGCAAAGCAAAAAGGTCTCTTATTTATTAATGAGATTGGTTTGGATCCTGGCATTGATCACATGTGCATCATGAAAACTTTGGATGAAGTGGTTGGAAAGAAGGGAGGCCGAGTTGAAAGCTTCAAGAGTTATTGTGGTGCCCTTCCTGCTCCAGAATCCTCTAATAATCCACTCGGATACAAGTTCAGTTGGTCACCAATTGGAGTTTTGCGAGCTTCACAAAATCCATGCCTCTTCATGAAGGATGGCGAAGTGGTTAATGTCACTGATGGAACAAAACTCACATTCCTCAATGAGAAGGTCGATGTCAAGTTCAAGGGCTTCAACTTTGAGGTTGTTCCAAATCGCGACAGTTTAAAGTACATTTCCAAATACAAGTATCTCAACCAGAATGATCTCCACACAATGATGAGAGGTACTTTGAGATTTGGTGGCTTCTGTGAGGTATTCAGATTACTCACTCTGTTGGGCTATCTCAAGCAAGAAACACCAATTCCAGCCAATGCCAACAGTTTCTTTGAAATTTTCTGTTCTCAGTTAAATGTTCCATCCTCGTCAAGCATGAAGAGCATTGCCACTACTCTCGAGAAGATGTATAACGAGAAGATTGATGAAATGTTCTCCAACATCACTGACAAGTATCAGCAACGAATTTACAAGAGATTGAAGGCTAACGCTGAATCAGACGCCAATTATGCCCTCAAGAGCTTTAATCAACTTGGATTACTCTCAAAGGAACCATTACCGGAAAAACCAAAGAGTGGATCCCTTTTGGAATTAATTTGTGCTCACCTTGAACGTGAACTTGCTCTCACTGCTCAAGATAAGGACCTCAACTTTATGATTCACGAATTCATCGTCAAATATGACAAGGAAAATAGTAGAGAAAGAATTACATCCACAGTGTGCGTATTTGGTGACAAGACCACTACAGCAACTAGCAGAACTGTTGGCTTGCCTGTTGCCATTACTGCTGTCATGGTCGCTAAGGAGGCTGCTGATCTCACCAAGTCTGTTGGTGGAGGTGGTGTGATTGGTCCTACCTCAACCTCTCTTCTCTATGAAGGTGTGTTACGCAAACTTGAGGAGCAAGGAATTAAGGTTGAAGAAACTGTTGAAAAGATTGAAGAATAAGTATTTATTGGTATTTTTACTGTAAATAAAAGCAGTTCAATGAAAATGAATCCATTATGATAAACTGTCAGTTGTCGGCCTAGTATCAAGCTCACTTGATGTTCAACTCCAGTTCATGGTTCTTTCTGATTACGTGGAAAACAGGCATCAATGACGAAGGTAAAGAGTAGTCCTTTCTTGTCAGAATCTTAATCAGTGATGTGTTCAAATTCTTAATTTCAATGTAGCGCGGACTAGCATCCTTGAGTGATGTTGGATCCAAGAAAAATACTCGCAAATTAGGCAAAACATAATCCTTTTCACAGCCATAGGGGAAAATTGGTCCATTAGGAGGAAACATTAAGTCCAATTGATCCTTCAGAGTTTGATGCTCACTAAATTCTGCAATAAAATCTGTTTGAGAAAATTCATCATAAACAAAAATGACTGAGAAGAAAACCTCTCCTGTTGTACTATCGACTTGAATACCACCAGTAGATGCCTTGTCAGTGTAGGTATTAATGTGCTCTGTCTCGAGTTCTGTGTAATTTCCAATAGAAATTCCTTTCCTCAACATTAAAAAATCCTTAATTTGTTGTGGAATTTGCTCTTGTTGTTTCTTTTTTGCGAGCTCTTTTTCTTTTTTCTCTTGTTCTTTTTTTAATGCTTCTTCAGCTTTTTGATTATGTCTTCAAAGAGAGGATGAGTCTTTTCAATTTTGAGTGCTTTTTCAGCATATTTGATGACAGTTTTGTACTTTTTCAAAGCCATTGCAGCTTTGGCAATTCTGAACATGGATTTGGTATTTTTCTTGTCAATTTTTAAAGCTGCCTTGGCATCCTCGATTGCTCTACCATAATTTCCCATTAAACTTAACACATGAGATCTGTTGTTTAACAAATCCACTTTCAATCTCATGTCAGTTATTGGTTGCTCTAGACCTTCGGAATAATATTGAATCACATCTTTGTAATACTTTTCAGGATTTTTTGCTTCCTTCAGCAAGGAATTTCCTTGATTCTTGAGATTGGTTGCAATTTCATCGGGCGTTCCTTCATACTTCATTTGAGCTAACGCTTCCGTAATGGGATTATTCATATCTACTGAAGTACTCAACAGCGGATGTTCCTTGCTACACCACTCTGGCAATTCCTTCGGAACATTCGGAACCCAATCATCATCTTCATCGGTTCCATTCAACAATTCTTGATAGGTCATTCCTTTCTTTTCTGTGCCTTGTGTCTTTTTTTCATTATTACTATCACTTAAAGTAGTGGTAGTACTACTTTCCGATTGTGATGATGACAATGATTCTTCAGCAGCCACAGAAGACTCCAAAGACACTTGCTTCTTTTCGCCTTCCTCACTCATTTTTTTGAAACTTTTTTCAAAAATTTTAATATTGAATATTCAAAAACCAACTCTCAACACAAAGGAAATTCCTCACAGGCACCCTCTTGCGGCACTAAAGTGAAGAACCCTTCATTAAAGAAACCTTGCCTATGCTTTGCCTTTCATTCCTCGTAGATTGTGCCTCCGCTGTTCCGTTAGAGTTTGTTGTCGAATGGTGGAAGCCACTTCTTTCTGTGGTCAAGTTCTTTGGCTGGAGTGAAGAAGTGTTGCAAAGCTTGCGTTGGGTCTCGAGAGGAAAGAAATGCGCTCGTCATAGTGCATGAAGGTGGCCTATCACCTCATGATGGGAAGGAAGAACACTCTCATGTCTCCATATGCGTATGACATTTAAACTTTTTTCATCTATTAGTCACCTACTCAACGAAAGAATTTAATAGAGTATATTGAGGCTTTTAAAGACAGTATAATACCATCTTGACTCTTTGAAAATAATATGAGGGAAATGTTTCTTCTCTTGAGTCAAGAGAGTAGTCCAGGAACTCTCTCGGTAAATTATGGTTTGGCTAATGTTCTCTCCAATGTTATTACATCATCACCAAACTAAAACAGTGAATGGACAATTCGGGAAGAATGGACAACAATTACAACAACGAAAAAATGTGTTGTGGAGGTGTTGAGCAAGGAAATGCTCCGAGAGGTCAACAACAGCAGCAGCAAAATAAGAAAGATGAACGTAGTGTATCCTATGATGATAAAAGTTCAATATGTATCATAATAATAATATTGATGATCGATTTTATTTGTTGGAAATGTTTATCGGCATTACAATCATTTAAATTTCGGATTTTCATACAACGGGTTTTTGGTGGCTCTCGCACGTGTGATGAATGAACATGTTGATGATTCATGGTTATGATTATAATGTTAAAATCCACAACTCTTCATAGTCCAGATAAAAGTAGGAACTGTCCAACAGCAACAGTCTCCATCAACAGCAACTGCTAGGGCTGTTCAAACAAATTATGATGAATTGTTTAAGGTGATTGTGATCGGAGATAGTACAACAGGCAAAACTTCTCTCCTTAATAAGATTGTTGTAAGTAGCCCCGTAGAAAGACAGCTCGGAACTGGACATTCTTCATGATATAACCTCAATATGACCCTAGTCGGGATCCTTTTCAGAGAATTTTATGCCTACAGTGGGTGTAGATTTGTAAGTCTTATTGCGATTAACTTTCTCAGTGTTACATTTTCTTGATCATATGTATAGGAAAGTAAGGTTTTTAAATGTGGATGGAAAAACCATTAAGATTCAGATATGGGTGAGTAATGAAGAAAGACTAAATAGGTAATGACATTTAAATAATAATATTTCGCAATAGGACACGGCAGGGTAAGTACTATATTTTGAGAATTAATAATTATCACTTTGAAACTCATCATGATCAGACAAGAACGTTTCCGAAATTTAACTCGTTCATACTATCGTGGAAGTGATGGTGTCATCCTTCTGTATGACATGTAGGTAGCATTGTGGTGATATTTTTTGTGCCTCACGCATTTCCTCCATTCAGAACGCAAGAGAAAACCTTTACTAATCTTACTGTATGGCTTAATGAAGTTAAAAAGAATATATTAGGTCTCAATAACGGAGAGAGCATACCGCACGGTTCTCAGCTTAATCTCTTCATTATTGGAAACAAGACAGACTTGGAAAACTCGAGGCAGGTGGCTACTGAAAGAGCTCGAAAATTCTGTGACACTCTCCAGATGGATGTTTTATTTGATGAAATTTCTTGCAAGAACACTCCAAATGAAAAGATTGAACAAGATATACTATGTAAACTATCAAAGAAAATTTTGGAATCCCGTCAAAAGGAGAATGAGGTGATTGACTAAGATGAAATGCACAGCCTGTCACAGCCTGTAGAGTTCCAATGATGATACTAGTACCAAAAATCACATTTTACTGTAAATACGTTGTCGTGTAGCCATAAATATTTTCGAAATTGTTGAAATTATTTGATACATCATCCACCAAAATTATGGAAAATTAGAGCTTGGACAACTTGGCCTGATATTGTTGAACAATTTGTGGGGATGGTTGCCATCCCTCTTTGAGTAATTTGTTCCATTCTTGCTCTGCTTTCTCTTTCGTTATTTCTTTATCCCATAAAATCTTTTGTATTTCCAACTCTTGCCAAGGTTTTAATTCACAATTAAAATTCTTACATAAAGGTGCTGTCTTGGCCTTATCAATTCGGTGCAATAATTTCATTCCACTGTGTTTTTCAATTTCAGAAACAGGAACAATAAAGTCTGTAATTGGCTTTGTTTTGGGAATCGGCTTGTTGGGTAACATGAACGCCTAGTAATAATATTTCGCGTTGAAATTATAAGGTAGACATTTTGACAATCAAACAATGAGTGTGAAATGTCCAAGAAAAAAGCAATCAAAATTCAAATCAGAATTGTTAGAGAGAAACTAGAGAATTTCCCTTACCTGAATGAAAAACTTATTTTCTCCCTTTTTTTCTCCAACTAAAATTCTGTACAAATGAGTTGGTACGGCGACATGGTTATCGCCAATGACTTCGTATTTGACAAACTTTTTCGAGTTGGCTTCTTCAGGAACAAACAAAGGTCCCGCAACCACATAGACATTATCAAATTGCTTTGCCAAACTTCTTGTAAACATTTCTACACGCAACCAATAAAATCTGTTGTTGTTTGGTTCTTGTGGGACGACATTATGAGATAAATAGAATGTCTCATCGAGAGCCTTTTGATCCATGCTGTAATAAAAGTCACCACAAGGACACATGTGTCCTCGATCGTACCCAGAAACAGAATAATCAGTGTTGTCTGCATTAAATTCAGGGGGAAGGAATGGGCTTGTGAGAAACTTGGAATTAGAACGATCTGATTTTCTCTCTTTTCCACCTTGCTCAGAAGAAGATGCTCCTTTAATCATCCATGCCACAAAACTTTTTTAAAATAATTCCAATAATTCAATGAAACAAGAAATTTTGAGAAGAAATTACTAAATATAAATTGGAGAATCCAATACAAACCTTGGAATTCTCAATCTGGTGTCAGTTGCAGAGAAATATCCAGAAAAAAGATGCATCTCTCTATCTTGTGGTAATCCCAATTCATAGAATGCCTGAAATAATTCTAAACTTTCTCTCGTTTTAGAGTGCGTTTTCACATATCCCGGAATCTTTGGCAATTGAGAAGAAGGAGTTGTTGGTGATGGTTGGCTACGACCACTCACTGGAGGTGGAGCAGGTCTTCCAGTAGTCTCAGTTGGAGGTACTCCCTTCTCATCCAGTATGGTAGCATCATCTTGATCTTTGGATGGTTTCATCAAACCACCACCCTCTTGTACTTGTTGAGCAGCAATCACAGCAGCAGGTGATGTCGGAGTGGAAGGATGAACAGAGGAACTGGAAGCCAACACCAGCTTGCTCCTAAAATCAACCACGCTTGATTTCCATTCATTTTCCTCAGTTGTTGCTGTTGTTTGTTGATTGGTATTCATGAGCAATGACGATGATTTGTTATTATAGAGACCGGTCGCACAACTTCCGATGAGAGCACAAGCCGCAAGTTTTGAGAAGGATTTTAAGAACATTTTTTTTTTGTTTGGGAGATGGGTTATGTTGAATAATTCATTGCCAAAGGATTTCGAATATCATTCAAGAAGAATTGTTTCATTTAGCAAAGGATTTCGAATATGAATGATACGAAGAGATTGAATGTTTTCATTCACGCTGAGAGAGCATTCAAGTTTACCAATTTATTGAGAGTCTGCTTCACAAAAGCCCGCCAAATCAAATATTAAACTCAAAAATTAAAAAAAAAATTGTTGTTTTGAATTGACATCATCATCTCACGAATACCACACACACACATGCAAAGTTTAATTGATTCAGCAGAGCTCATGCTCGAGAGTGGTGGCAATGATGGAGAAGTTTTTGAAGATTTACGAATCTGGCTCACCAATGAAAGAAACTCTCCAGAATTACTTCCCGGAGGACAACGTTTAGAGAGCATGATTCAACGAGCCCGATCTCGGATTGAATTAGAGGAAGACTCTCTTTTAAATTCCAATGAATACAGTGAAGAATATTCTTTGAGAGTTACGGAATTGAATCGACTGAAATATTTAGTTACTAACTTGATGAGAACGAGATTAATTAAATTGGAATTATTGTGTGAATATGTAAGAAGAAAAGAAGTGGAAAATATCAATAATATTGGAAATTTATCAATGGTGAATGATCGAGAGGAGGACATTCATGCCGCTTTGAAAATTGTAACACCTTCAGAATGGAAATTTCTTCAAAAATTTTGTAAATTAAGGACGACCTATTTTGAGAATAGTTTTGTGAATCAATTGACAAATCCTGATATGGCTTCGAAAGGCCAAGGCAAAGATAATATTGTGCCGTATATTGAACCTGATTGGTTTAAGTTTGTATTTTGTGAGGTCGTTGAAGACTTGGGTACAGTCACACTCCGACCTTTCGATGCTAGACCTGAAAATGAAGATGAAGATGAGCTCGAATTAAATTTACCAAAAGGCACGCGCTTTTTATTGCAATATCGAATGGTGAGAGAATTGCTTTTTGAAGGAAAAGTGAAACTGGTCTAGCTCTGTAGAATTCTCATGTTCCACAGTCTTCTAAGCTTAATTTATTGATCCAACCCACTTCAATATTCTCTCAGTAAACAAACTTGAAATTGAGGCATGAGACCTGTAATGTTTATTCTAGGATGTTGTTACTTGTCGTATTAAAAAATATGGTTTGCTTAGAGCATGCTCTGAAATCCAAACATGAAGAACAGTGAGCATTAATACAAGTTATACACATGTGGTGAATGTTTGTGGACAGAATGGAATGCGTCTTCTCGAGAAAGTATCCTCTTGAGTCGACTTGCAAATGCTCTAATGATTAGAGATAGGATATGGAGCCCAATGAATCTTGCTTGGATCGATCGTGACTTCGTCCTTTTTCTTTCTCTTCTCTAAGTGCTCCTCAATTACCTTAGGATTGGCTGCTATAATGTGTTGTCCTTTCCAATATTTGAGTAAGCCAAGATATTGTAAAGTAGCAGTAATATCCTCATATTTGATGGCCGTCATCTTGCTAATATCTTTGATGGATAAGGCCTTATTTGCAGGATTCTGCAAAATATCAAGAAGTACATGCTTCCAATAGCTACGATAGCTAATTTTACCTAGATCTGACAAGGGTCTTTCAGGAGTTCCCTCCTTTCCTTCAATTTTTGAGAGTTCATAAGAAAATCCAATTAACAGTTTACCGTATCCCTTCTTTTGATGAGGTGGAAGAGTTAGAATACATGCCAAGTTGTTGCCCTCAGCGCTTTGTTTCTCTTTTGAGAAATAGCCCACCATGTGACATCCTTCTTCGTCGCACTCACAAAGAATATAAAATAAAAATGGTTCTACATCAAAATAAAGGGTCTTGTGATCAAGGAACAGTTTGGCGAGCAGACACAAATTCTGGCAATAAATTTTTTGCTTTTCTCCATCAACCTCAAAGAAGCTTAGAGAGCCATTTCTATAAATTTCATCTCCTGGAGGGTGTTTCATTGTACATTTGTCACGATGTCTTTCGTAAGTTCTTCTGTTTTTCATATACTTGAGCGAAAATTCGCAAATATATAATTTGTCGATATGAGAATACTCCTCAGGATAGGGAGAAAAGTACCATGTTTCAATTTCATATTTTCCGAATTGTATTCTTTGAATGTTTTTCACTTTTGTAAATTCTTCATGCTCCTTTTCAAGTGCTGCCTGCACGGGGTCATTATCAAGATCATGATCATTGGAAATGTTGTTAATTTCATTATAGTGACGTTTCATATTTCTTGTAAGTTTTCGCTCCACTTTGTTTTCATCGTCGCTGTCTCTTCTAATGTTTTCATCATCCTCATCCAAATTAAAGCGTTCAGCAGTTACCCACTCATCAAGTCTTCTGTCGACTATAGAGATAAAATGTAATTGCAATGTGATGTTAGTATTGTGTTGTGTTGTGTGGAAGAATTATTAACGCTGCTGTTGCGACTATCGGAAACTATAAAAGATACTTACAGTCAATATAGTGAATGTAAAATTGCACTGGACTAGCATCTCGTTTGATCTCCACAATTTCGCATTGGTCTATTGTTGTGAAATATTGTGTGCATCATCAAACCCGAACGACACATATTATCCACAAAAATAATAATAATTTAATCATCACACAAGAATCATAATAAATATTGGTTTGATCAAAAAATAATTGGAAAAATTACTTACGGTATTCATTGTCTCGGGCCCACAAACAATAAACCTTGGATCCGACTTGTAGACCGGTTTCGGGATCTTGCACTTTAGAGTTTTGGTTGCTACTGTGTTGCTTCTTTGCTTTGGGCATTTTTGTATTTTTTTCTTGTTGTTGAAAAGAATTCAATGTCGGAATTTCTTATATGATGAACGTAATCTCCAAAAGAGAAAACAATCATCCAATGTACTCAAAACAAGTAAATTTTACCAAGTGGTAAAACTCTCTTATTTTCAAATTATCAAAATCAAATGTAATGACGAAAAGACCTTACCCTCGGCAGCACATGAAATTGTAAAGTACTGAAAAATCGCAAAAAAATTTAAAAAATGCTAAAGTCCATCGTTAAACCTCTCGCCAGAGTTAGCAACAACCAAACAACAAAGAAGACTCTGGCTGTTATGGCCAACTCGGTCGCACAAAAACGTTTCTATGCCGAGAAGAAGAAGGACAAGCAAGAAATTGAAGATGCCTTTTCATATATTCCAAACCGTTTCGTTAAATCAATGCCTGATGATATGAGTGAAGCTGTTCAAAACAAAAAACTCACTCTCACTCTCTGTACAAACAACAGCTACATCATCAGAAGCGATAAGATTGATGATATTTCTCTTCCAACTGTAGAGTTCGGTGAATATGGTATCTTCCCTAACCACAGAACACAAGTCATGAGAGTTAATCCAGGACTTATCAAAATCAAATATAATGACGAAAAGACTGTCAAATGGTTCTCCTCTGGTGGTTTTGCTTTTGTTTACTATCACGGTTTTGTTCAATTGAATTTGGCTGAAGCATACAAACTTGATGAGTTGGATGTCAACCTTGTAAGACGTGAAGTGGAAGCACAAAAGGAATTGCTGAAGAGCAGAGACAACAACGTTAGAGGTCAAGCTGAAATTGGATTGGAGCTTCTTGAACCATTGTTGGCTCTTTTGGAGGCTGCCGAATATGAAATGTAAACACCTTTACTCTTTTATTTCTCATCATCACATTATTGCCAATAATCATCATTCATCTCCACTATTATCCCGACATTGAACCAATAAAAACACTTGGGCATATTTGCTGTAAGGAAAACCAAAGAATGATGATCGACCGTGAGAAATTTCTCAAATCGAAAAAGAAAACTCTCTTTGAAAGCTTTCATTTGAAGGTTCACGACTAGAAAAAATAATGAGAAAGGTGCGTTCCGTTACGTACCGAGAGAATGAAAGTATTGAAGACTCGTTGCAACAGGTGGATGGAGATGACGCTACCCAATTAAATCACCACCATCACCACGATGACTCGACTTATGTCTTGCGCAAGATTTCATCGAGCAATCCTTCATTCTCTCGGAATCTTCTTCACGATCACAAACGAAATGAAAACGCAACCCGAAAATCATCGATGAGGAACAAATCATCAACCTCCAAACACACTTCAAATGTTGATTCTTTTCTTTCATCGCTCGGCGGAGGAGGATCGCTGAGTAGCAACAGCAACAATTCCTCTCGCTCTGCCACTCCTGATCTTTTACTCACTAATTCTTCCTCTACCAACAACACAGCAACTATACTATCTCCCCGATACAACAAATTGTCACCACTTTTTATTCCTCAACACTCTCAATCGACCACTACAATGCTCCACACCTCAGAATCTTCTTCTTCACTGTATATTGCATCCCCACTTTTACCACCTTCCTCATCTCAACCCAACAAATCAATAATTGACATGGAAATTGAACAACTTCGATTGGAAATTGAAGATTTGAAACAAATTGTTGAAAGTATGATGGATGAAAGTCATTCATACACCATCAAATACACGAGAAGAATTCTCATATTTAGCAATACATTAATCTCAATATATGCAGTTGGACGTAGACTCTATGACATTATTTATTCTAATAAGGGAACCATTTTAAATCCGTTCACTTACATCTCAATATTTAAAAACAGAAAATCTAATGGTGCTGGGATAGGGGGAGATTTACCATTGAATTCAAAATTTTTCTCCAACGTGGAAGCTCTCAACAAGTATGGAATAACGTCGAAAAGACAGATTGGAAGAATGCTTCTTGATCGCCTTTCAAATGGAGGAAAGATTTCATCTCCATTAGATTCTGCTTCAAGAAAAATTTTCTCGTCGTCACTTCCTTCCACCTTTTATCAGTCGTCTTCTGGAAGATTGGCCAATTTCGTGAAAAATATTAGAAATTCAAAACAGATATATGCACCATCTTCAAAAGCATCTATCAGGCCCAAAAATGTTAATAGAGGAGAATTTCTTTGGAGAATATTTGGATTGATATGGAAAGAATTTTTGTGTGCAGCATTGTTGACATTGAGTTCATACTGGCTCATGAAATCAGAGTCTTACAAGAGACAAATTGCAGTGGTATTGAGCTTACTTGCTAATTTGTATCTAGCTCTCACTACAGATATTTCTCCATGGGCAATTTACTTTAATTTTGTTAGTATTTTCCTCTACATTACGGCTCAATATGTAAAAAATACTCCTGAAAGCATGGAAAAGGTTAAAATGCTTGCTTCCAATTTAACAAAGTCTCTTTCGATCAGCCAGACCAATATTGAAGAAGAGGTCATTGACGAAAATTTAAAAGATACTTGTACTGTTTCAGCAACTTTAAATTTTGAAGAAAAACCAATCACTGCTCTCTCTCCAACTAATATAACCTCTACCTCACCTACATACCATCATCATGACCATATGACTGATTAATTACTTTGTATTTTCTTACTATGATTCATCAATAATCTGAATAATTGCAATTTTAACCCTCATCACCCAACAACATAAAATGCAAGCATGATCAATAATTTTTAAAATTGATTCGAGATCACCAATTTTAAAAATTACATAATGAGCAATTTGAATACATGTACTCTCTTGTGCCATATCAATTTAATCGACCCATCAAAATCTGCGAATATTCACACAAGATAACACCAAGAGGAAAATGGTTGGTCGTGGTTGAATTTTTGTTTTGTAATAAAAACGAAAATTTGCGCACCGAAAAAATGAGTCATCTTCAAACCGAAACTTTGCTACCGCCCGATGCAAGCAATCTCTCTTCTTTAGTGATTGGCTCATCAAATGCAGCGGAAACCATATTTCATCGACCTGCTATTCACAGTGGTAGTGAAAACACAATCATTTCAGAATTTGCTGCCTCTATCAAGCCCGAAAATGGTGTTGATCATGTATACCAAAATGGAAAATCAACAACACAACAAAATAACGGCCGTGATGAACAAGAGGCTCTCACCGTTCTTTCATCATCACACTCCAGTAATGATGTGGAAGGTAAATACGAAAATAATAATAATATTAATTTCCATAATAATTATTATAATCGTGATGACGATGATACCACTCACAATGATATAGATGCTCTTCTTTTACAGGAATTAGCAAAAGCTAGTAGATCACCTTCGGTATCGACTTCCAACGGAACCTCTTGCAATATGTCTACACCAACATTTGATAAGCCGTTAAAGATGAAGCTGAAGGAAGAAAATGTAAAATTACCTAAAAAAAAGAGAAAAACCTATTTAGATGAAATCCAACAAAACAACGGCAAGCAAAATCCAACAAACGATGAAGATGATGAAAGAGAGGCTCACAACAATAGAAACTTTGAATATGTTGAAGAAAATATTTATTTAGGAGATTCCACAGTGTTTCAATGGAAAAATTTGTTTGACGATGACATTATTATGTGCATGTGTGGACCAAATCGAAAGAATGGCGAAGTTGGTGGTGATGACCATTGTGGAGAGTCATGTGTGAATAGAGTGCTGTGCATGGAATGTGTATTGGGACATTGTGCATGTGGATCTAAATGTACAAATAACCGATTTCAGAAAAAGAGTTGGAAAAAAATCACTGTTAAGAAGGCAGGCGAGAAGGGTTACGGAATATTCGCCAACGAACGCATTCCTAAAGGAAGTTTTATTATTGAATATGTGGGTGAAGTTCTTGACGAGAAAATTTACAAACAACGCCAAGAAGCTTATGATGGAGAACGCCATTATTATTTTCTTTCTGTTGGTCCTAATCAAATTATTGATGCCTCTAAAAAGGGAAACAACGCTAGGTTTATTAATCACAGTTGTGATCCAAACTCTGTTTTACAGAAATGGACCGTCGGTCATCAATCTAGGATAGGTGTGTTTGCCTTAAGAGATATTGAAAAAGGAGAAGAAATAACATTCGACTATGCAATGGAATGTTATGGTGTTTCTCTTCAGAAATGTTATTGCGGAAGCAAAAATTGTAGAGGAACAATTACATCCAAAGAAGCAGCATCCTTGCTTGATTTAAAGGAGAAAAACTCGAATCTGGACAAGGAACGTAACAAGAGAATCAAAAATCACAAACTTGATTCTAAGTTTAAACAAAGAACTCTATATACTCTGAAAATATTGGAAGATAACAACAAGCTTCCAAAAGATGTACAGGATGCAGCTGACTTTGGTAACGTTTGTCTTTTAAGAAATATGAGGAAAGTCCAACAAAAAAGATTTAGACAATTTCTTTCGATTGAAAAGCAAATTTCTGATCAATTTAAACAAAATCAGGAAGAAGAAAAAGATGAATTTGGACTCACAGAATATGAAAGAGCTCAAATGACAAAAATTTATGAGCAAATTCAAAAAGGTAATATCAACAACCTCAATGTTAGAGGTTTTAACTACAGAAGATGTAAAACAAGAACAAAGGAAACCACTACTACAGTTCAAGATGTTGCTTTTGTTTCCAATGAAAAACCTAGAGTGTCAGTCAGAGGTCGAAAGAAGAGTACCGAAAAGATGGAGGATGAAGCTCCTAAAAAACGCAGAGGTAGACCACCTAAGAGAAAGATTGAAGAAGCAGAAAGTGAGGAAGAATCTTCTGAAGATGATAACGAAGAAGACGAAGATGAAGAGGAACATTCCGCATCAGATGATTGTGATATGTCATACGACGAAGAATCTGAAGAAGAAGAAGAAGCTTCCACAAGACGAAAAAAGAAGTCCACTAGCTCCTCTTCACAGGGCACCACCAAACGAAAGGTTGGTAGACCAAGAAAACATCCACTCCCTGACAAGCCAGAAGAAGGAAAAAGAAAAGTGGGTAGACCAAAGAAGAACGTTTCACAACCTGCAACGACCGATGCCAACAAGCCCAGTAGCGAGCAATCTGCTTCAGCTCCAGTCAAACGAAGAGTTGGAAGACCAAGAAAAGAAGAGGTATTGGCACGAGAGCGAGAAGAAAAAGAAAGAAAACGAAAAGAAAAAGAGCAACGTGAGTTGCAGAAAAAGAAAGAAGCTGAAACAAACAAGATGGCTCTTAGTAGTGATGAATCCACCGAAGAGGAGGAACCACCAAAACGAAAAGTTGGTCGTCCAAAGAAAAATACTACACCCACCACCACATCGAATGCTTCAAAGCCTGAAGAAAAACCACTTAAGAGAAAGGTCGGTAGACCAAAGAAAGAAGAGACCTTAGCGAAAAGTACAGCTGCTGTATCATCTTCCAAACCAATTGCAAATCCTCAAGATCAAAACAGAATCAAATCAAAAACAACAACTTCAGAGATCACAAGGAAAGAATCCAAGCCAAATAGTGATGCAAAAGTCACAACTCTACCTACAACCCCAACATTGACATCTACTCAGTCACTCATGAAGTCGCCTCCTCCAAAAATTCAGAATCCTTTCTCTGCTTCTTCATCAAGCTCTGTGACCATTACGACACCTTCAACTCCAACAAAGAAACCTACAACTGCAGTTACAGAGATAACACCCAAGAAACCAGTTCAAACACCTCCCACAACAACAAGTAGTAGCAACAATGCAACAGCCTCTTCATCCGCCTTCACAACTGAAACAAGGAATGAAACTAAAGCTTCAAGCAGTGAAAAAGTCTCCACATTGTCACAACAACAACCAGTGAAGAGAAAAGTTGGAAGACCAAAGAAAGAAGAAGTATTGGCTAGAGAAAAACAAAAAGAACAAGAGCTTAAAGAAAAGAAACAGGAGCAAGAAAAGCCATCCGATGATAAGCCTGTTGTTAAAAGACCAAGAAAGATTGTACACAATAATGCATCATCTAGTAACGCTACCAAGCGCTCGAGTTCCAGCGAGGAAGAATCTTCCTCCTCAGAATCAGAAGAGGAGAAACGAACTGTCAAGAGAAAAGTTGGTCGACCAAGAAAGGATGAAAGCTCCTCACAACAACCACCGAAACGAAAAGTTGGTAGACCAAGAAAAGATCAATCTGCCACCAATGAGGCACGAACTGCTAAAAAATTAGGTAGACCACGAAAAGTTATAGAATCTTCTTCAGAATCATCCTCATCAGAGGAAGAGGATGATTCATCCGATACCCAACGAAATGAGCACGATGCAGACATTGAGGTTGCAAGGAAATTCAACATTCGATTGAGTAAGGTGAAGGCCTACCAAGGAATTAGTACTTCAATTCCAAAAAGAAAGTACACCAAGCATGCTGACAAACACAACGAGCAATAAACTTTAATTTATGAACTGTTCTGTGTAATTCGAATTCCTTGTGCGTGCTTATTCATCGGCAAGCCACTTGCTATCAATAGAGACCTCTACAGTGAGAGGAACAGAGAATGAAGTTCCATTAAAATAAGGAGCTCCTTCCATCAACTCGACAATCATTGGTTGCACAATCTCCACTTCATCCTTTGGTACTTCAAAAACTATTTCATCATGCACTTGAATGATCATTCTAGTTCGAAGTCCCTTTTCTAAGAAGGCCTTATGCAAACTATTCATAGCAATTTTTGTAATGTCTGCCGAGGTTCCCTGAATTGGTGTGTTAATGCTGGTTCGTTCTGCAAATCCTGCATTATTTCCAGCATCATTAATACCAGGAATCCAACATCTTCGGTGATATAATGTATTTACATAACCTCGTGTTCTGCAAAAATCTTTGGTGTTTTCCATGTATTTCTTAATACCAGGATATTGTTGAAAGTATTGCTCAATAAATGCTTTTGCAGTTTGTTTGTCAACACCAATTCGTTTTGAGAGACCAAATTCACTCATTCCATAAATAATTCCAAAGTTAATGGCCTTTGCCTTATTTCTGGTAGCTTTGTCCACCTTATCAATTGGTACATTGAAAACTTGACTGGCAGTGATGGCATGTACGTCAGCGCCGTTTTTGAATGCTTCTTTCAGTACATCAATTCGAGCAAGATGGGCCAAAATTCTCAATTCTACTTGCGAATAGTCGACTTTCATAATGACATAATCATCAGAGGGCGCAATAAAACATCTACGAATTTGTTTTCCTTCTTTCGTTCTTACAGGAATGTTTTGAATGTTGGGCATGACAGAGCTTAGTCTGCCTGTAACAGTGAGAGCATTTTGAAAGGTTGTGTGAATTCTTTTTGTATAAGGATTAATATGCTGCTTGAGACCATATATATAGGTGCTGTATAATTTTGTGAGAGCTCTATACTCGAGAATGTACTTGGCAATGGCATGACCTTCTTCTGCAAGCTTTTCCAAAACTTCAGCATTTAAAATGTAGTCACCAAGCTTTGTCTTCTTTTTGTATTTGCCTCCAATACCAAGCTTATCAAATATCACTTGTCCTAATTGTCGGTTCGAATTAATGTTGAATTTTTCTCCTTCTTCCATATTGGACAAGATTTCCGCAACTTCTTCTTCGGTAGAAATTTCAATATGGTCAATAGCTGTATAACCTGCAGCTTCCCGAATTTTGTTTCCTACATCTTTAATTTTTTCTTTATATTCTACTTCCATTCTATCGAGAGCCTCTTCATCCATAAATACTCCTTTCATTTCAATTGCAGCAAGAGTTTCCACCAATGGTCGTTCAATAGTTTCGTATAACTGAGTCAGTTTGGGAAGTTGTTGTAATTCTGGCTTTAAAATGTCATAAATTTGTTTCGTGACATCTGAATGCTGACAAGTATAATGAACTACGGCAACAATGTCAGCTTCTAGAAGAGTGACTTTCTTTTTACCAATTCCAAGTACTTCTTTTTCTGGAATTAAATATTCCTTAGGGTTCTTTTCTAATATATGTTCTACAAGTTCATCCATCTCATGTCCATGCTTACCACAATTTAATACATATGACATTACCATAATATCATCAAATTTGTTAACTGTAGTGTGTTAAGTTGAAATGTCTTCACGAAAAATGAATACTACTTACTAGAAACTCCATAGTGAGCAAGAGCCTTAATATGACGTTTGAGATCATGACCAATTTTTAGAATGTTGCTATTTTCCATGATCTCTGTTTTAATTTTTTGCCACATTGTGTTTTGTGCAAGCAGTTCAATCGATTCCTTGAATTCCACTTTGCCATTTTTAAAGAAAGGGACGTAATATGCAACACCTTTTTGTAGACAAAAGGTCATTCCGGCCAGTACAGGATTGTGCATGCTCAGTAGACAAACTTCTGTAGAGAAGGACACGTACTAAAAATTTCATAATGCAAACAAAAGTTGTTAATAATTACATGTCATGAATACTAAAAGATCAACCTACTCCACATGACTTGATATCATTGATAAGATTATCAAGCTCTTTTTCATTAAGTATGATGTTATATTCACATTCCTTTGTTATCTTTCCAATGGTGCTGTCACTTTCTGCATAATTTTGCTTGACTAGATCGAGGTCGGCTGATGTCATCGTATTGCTAAGGGTCATTGTTTCTACCGCTGCTTTCTTTCTTCCTTTAGATTTTTTTTCTGATGCTGTATCGGTGCTGCTATTGGTAGCACTGTTAAGTACTTCTGTTTTGGATTTCTTTTGTATGAGTCTCAAAATGGAATTCATTTCTAATTCTTCAAGTTGTTTCACAAACTTTTAAATTAAAATTAGCAGCTTAATGAAAAATAATTACTGTGGAAGAGCACTTACATCATGGTTGGATGCTAATTTTAGAGCACTGCTATCCAATCTTAAATCATCTAAACTGTAAGGTAAAGAAACGTGTTCATCTAACTGAACTAGTTGCAGGGAAAGTTTGAGATCATCGAGATGTTGTAAAATAGCATCTCTTGATTTCTTGTCTGGAATTTTATCTATATTATTGATAATGTCATCGACAGATATAAATTGCTCTAGCAAGGCAACAGCTTTTTTCTTTCCAATTCCTTTGACACCTTTAATATTATCTGCAGTGTCTCCAACAAGGGCCAAATAATCTGGAATAAGCTTTGGTGGTAATGAATACTTGTCAATGATGTCATCCATTGATATAGTTTTTTTGGTCATTGGATCTAGCATGACAGTCTGCTCGTCAACCAAGCAATGAAGATCTTTATCAGAGGATACAACAACAACAGAATGGTCTAACTCTCTTGCTTCTCGAGTCATTGTTGCTATTAAATCGTCAGCTTCAAATCCATCCATGCTTATAACTTTGATACCTATTTTCTCAGTAAGTAATTTACAAATTGGAAATTGTTTTTTCAAAAGCTATTTCAACATTTATAATCCAACTTCATCAATCACAAATATTGAACTTACATCATCAGTAGGTTTACGGGTTGCCTTATAATCTGGGGAAATGCTTTTTCGAACGGAGGGCTTTCCAGAGTCAAAAAACACCCCCACATAGTCATAGTGATCTGATTGCAAAATATTAACAAGACTCTTCACATATGTTAGCACGGCATTTGTTGGTATTCCAGTCGATCTGTTTTGAATTTTGTGTGTGGAATTTTGAACAAGAATTGATTGAATCAATCTATTCAATTTTTCGAAAATAACTATTTTGAAACTTACGTGCTTAATGGAGGCGTACCATGATAGGCTCTCACCACCAACGGAGTTCCATCAACAAGCAACACCTTCTTGGGTCTTGTCTCACCCAGTTTTTCTAAATTGGATTGTTCATCCTGTAGAAATATTGTTGCAGTTGAAAATTCTCTCTTTCCGATGCAATGTTTGTTTGGCGAATTTTTCAAACTATTTATGCTACTCATAAATATATTTCTATGAATTACACCATTTGGATTTAGAATCATTCTTCCGTAATTACTTTGGTAAATTTTAGAATATTCTCTGGTGGCATGGTTTGTTCCAATAACTTGATTCCAAATACTGGTTCGTACAAGCCATGGTGATGATGATGAAAAGGTGAGCTCCCGAGCCACAACAACTGGAGTTGTCGATGTTGCTGATGATGATAATCGGGACACCACTCTCTTAGACAACATTTTTTTCATAATTCTTCAGAATGGATTGATAGGCTTTCGGAAAGAATTCAACAACAGCTGCCAGATCAGCAGGAGTATTACACACTTGTGCGGAACGACGCGATCATCATCATCATGGATCTTGATTTGAAAGATTCCAAGTTGGGTCGATCATATCGGAGGGCACCACCTTGGAACTCATTGGTTTTTGTGTTCTTCTTCTTTCCGAGAAAAAATAGAAAACGAGGTTCACTCCTTGATCTTCTCTGCTGATTGTTGTAATTGTAATTATTGTTATTATTTGAATAGGAACAACACAATCCGTGCCGTCACGGAATCCCTGAAACAACTCACAACGAAAATGAAGGATGATCAGAATGAAAGATCGGAATATGAAGTTCTTTCCAAAATGTTGATGCGGATGGGAGGAAATGAATTGAGTCATCATGATGGGGAAGGAGGTGCTACTCCATTGGTGATGAACCAACAACAGCTACGTCAACAACTGCACGAGGTTGCCATCCATAACAATCCAACCCAGCAATCCATGATTATTAAACAAGAGCAACTGTCGCCATCAGATGAAGAAGGATTTCTGCAGCAAGCGAGCGACAGTCGTAGTATCATCATGAACAACAACAACAATCATAGCCATCCAGAAACAACATTTGCAACTTCCAACAATCATGAAGAACCCGAAGAATCTATTGAAAGTACCACTTGTGACACAACAAGCATTAAAAAAGAACGAAAAATTAAGAAAAAGAAAAAACAAGTAGCGAATGATACTTGTACGAACAATGATGACACTGAACAAGTGTTCAAGAATCAGCCTGTGGTTGTAGAGATTGATGGAGGTTGCAGTAAGAATAGAACGATCCTTGCAGGATATGTAAATCACAAATATGAAATTGGCAAATTGATCAGTTTTAAAAAGGTGAGTAGTAAGAAAGTATTTTCCTTTTACCATATTCCCCTCTCTCATCTTGCAACCATGATAAACACTTGTGTTAGTGCAATGTGAATGGTCATCCAACCATATTTTCTCAAAGACCAATTGCTCTTCATGGATCTATTGGAGCCATGATTGTGAATGAAAGAAGCAGTAGGAGAGTTGGTCAAGATCGAATTCCATGCTATGGAGTTCAAATTGGTAAGAATAGATATGCATGGGTGACTGAGCATGTGATTGAACAAATGGAGGAGCTTGAAAAAACCAAACCTCCTGTATCAAATCGATTCCACTCGAATTCTCCATTCTCTTCAAACCTACAAGATTTAGTTCCCTCTCTTAGCCAATGCCATTATTATCCTCCATTTACGAACTGTCCTCATAACAACCATGAATTTCCAAATCACCAACATGTTCTCATTTCATCTAACTTACTTGCCCCAGAAACTGCAATTTCTTGTGCCACCTCTACGGCAACTCCGACCTCAGAAGAATCAACAATTCCTAAAAAGAGAAAACGAGATGACAAGAAGAATACAAGTGCTAGTAATACTGGTCCACCATTTCTTGCATCCTCATTCCCTATGCCTTTAATACCCTCATTTCCAGCCATGTTCTCTCCTCTTGATACCAAAAACAGTATCATGACTATTATTTCTAAACTCAAGCTTGTCAACGTTTCTCCTAATAGAGCCCACAGTAAGAAGAGCCAACATTTTGTACTCTATGTTTCATTGAGCGAGCAAGATCCTTTACTTAAGGCAAATCTCGTTACTCAACTCTTGTCACCATTTTCTCCATCTATGAGTCTTGAATTTGAAGATAAATCTAACCCCTCAAACACTTATATTATCAACAAAAAGCATGTATTGACTCCACTGCAAGACCAGTTATCAGATCATGACTTGGAAATTTTTAGCTACACCCCTGTCATTAAGGAACACACTCTTGACTGCTCTCTGAAACTGGTATGTGGAGGTCAGGACATTACCACCAAAAGCGGAGAGTTTCTAGATTTCGAATTTTATAATGACAAGAGTTTTGAAACAAATGACCAAAAACAGAACGCTGTTCCAAGCGATGATTTCTTTTTCGATGAAACAATGGAAGACGTTATTAACTCTGCGAATCCTAATTCAGAGGAGAGTATCAATCATCAATCCATGACATCAATCAACGATTTGGATGCATTTAATTTATTTGAACAATATGAAATTTCTACATTTTCTCAAAAAGAAAAAATACACATACTTCAAATACAAAAGAGATTCCAATGGACACACTCTCTTACACCATTTTACCGTCAGAGAAATGTACAAAGAAGTCATAGATATATTAGAACTAGGCTACAATCCATATGAAAGAGATTTTTTGGGATTAACAGCAAGAGACTGGTGCAAATTGTATCGTTTGGAAGATATGGAAGATTTAATCGAGTACATGACGTCACCTACAGCTCCAAGACTGCCTCCACGAGATTCTTTGTCGTTGATCATGATTCATAGTAATAGCAATGTCAATGATGCCTCTCCCACCACTCTTGAAACTCCAATTAGCATTTCGGAATATCTTGACTTGGTTATGGATGACGTTGTGGATTCAAATTATAATTTCGATTTAGAAACAGCCAATCAAATCATGTACCATATTTTAAAGAATTCCAAAAGTATTATGAACTCTGTACTTTTCAATCCTGATCAGAACATTCTTGTCACAAGGGGAAACAGTCGATGCAAGGTATCAATAGAAAACGATCAAGAGAGCGGTGTTGAATTATTGCCAAGGTTATCGCTAAAATATTGGTCCCCAGAAGTTCTCTTAATGATGTGTATGAAGACTGAAGTTGACGAAAAATTAATACCTTCCATTATTGTGCATCAAAATTTGTGGACTCTTGGAGTGTTATTTACGGAATTCTTGTATTTAAGCTTGGACTCGAACAAGAGACAACGAAACAGTGTATTTGGAACAACAATGAGTGAGCACTTGTTGGCAAGTTCCCTTTTCGAAGTACTAGGGAGACCTGATGAATTGCGTCAACTTTTAGATAGCTTATTTAGAGCATCAGAGATTCCAAAACATTCACGATCATCTAACATCTTTTCTTCCATGGAAACCATTAATGCAAAGGAAAGAGAACGAATTATTTTAGAAACCAACGAGAGAGCTCAACTTCCAAACAAAACATCCCAACTTGGTGACTGTTTAAACGGTGCTACTGAGAGCTGCAAGGACATGTTAGAGAAAATATTGAGATGGGTTCCTGAGAATAGAATGAACATTGATCAAATCTTGGAACACAATTTTTGGAATGAATACGAGACGAATCGAAAAAACATTCGAGAGTGTGTCATGAAACAGAAACTTCTCTCACAAATTGACTCTAATTATGGCATTCGTTGTGAATATTCAAATTCTTTTGCTGATATAACTATCCAAACCATATCCATGTAATGCAATTTTAGAGGTTAATTAAATACCAATAATGTGTTGACACCTTATATTTTGCAAGAACTTAAATGATCTTCCAAGAAAAGACCTTTATTCGTGGAAACTAAAGAGAACAGGTCTCCGCACTCGTAATTCAGGACATTCAAGGGTTTGCATTAATGGTATCAGACGCGGCTAAATGTAAAGACAATCCTGATCAGATCATGTTTAAGAAAATGCATGTTTATGAAAATGTCAATCCATACTCTAATGCATCGAATTGAGTGCGGAGACCTGTTCTCTTTAGTTTCCACGAATAAAGGTCTTTTCTTGAGGCAATTTCGTTCTCGTTAACTGGAGCGTAATTAAATTCTGTGTCATGTCCATCCACATGCATTGTCATAACTTCCCTTGTTTCAAAGACGTAAACAACAAGAATCGTTTGGTTAATTTAGAGGAACAAATGGGTTTGTGGGATTTTCTGCATATTTTGTCAATTGACTTTATTCCCTTCCTTCGTTTGTGGTCGGATTTTCAGTTTGTGCAGTTAATACTCTTAGCAATGGAGTTGAGAACCAGGTTTTCAATGCATAAGCTGCCCATTTCTGTTCTCAGTATAATGTTCCTTAAAGAAGAACTTGTACACTCTATGAAGAGTGCTTTTTGGAAGGCCAGTACCATCAAAAGGCAAACCTTGCACCATAAAGTAGAGAAGCATTAGTGCCTTATCACAATTTCGATAAGGACCAGGGCTATCATCACATTTGGCAAACTGTTGAAGGAATATGAAGACAAGGAGGTAACCTAACTTATTTAAAAGTTTTTCCTTCACCTTATCAATCTGTGGCATATTTTGAACTCTTGTTCTATGGTATTTTGTATGTACTACCATCACATGAGGTTGCGATAAATATTTCCACTCAATGAACATCAACTTCTTTACCTCTGTGTTATTTGCAGAGGATAGGCTGTCGAATATTTTTTTTGGTTTCAATGTTTACCGTAGCCCTCTCTGCCTTCACCAATGATTGAGCCTAAAGATGGTTTCTTATTGTGAAATGACTTTAATGTTTGAATCTAGATAGCGATCTGTTGAATAATTCATTAAAAGCCTCACAAGATTTTTCATCACAAAAAAATTATTAGCCATCATGAGTGCCGAGTGGGTTCAGTTAGGAAAAGGCAAAAAAGGCCTTCCTGTTTACTACCGAAAGAAAGAGATCTACACCATGCAATGGGATGATGACCACATCAATCTTTCGGAATGTTTGATCGCTGCAGCAAATTTCGGAGGCCCAATTGGTAGGTACAAAATTATAATTTTCTGATGAGAAGAACAAATCATCAACACCGAATAATGGTGATACCACAACACAAATTTTTCATAATTACTGTTGGAACGTATCTACAATTATTGTTGTTGAAAAACTCTGTTGGAATTTTATGATGTACTACTATTATTACTCGTCCGAGTAGCTCTCACCCGTGATCCTAAAAAACTATTAAGATTTAAAGGAACAGATACTAAACAATATGTTTATGTGTTTGCCAGCTCCGGAAAGAGAATATCAAAGTTTGAGGTTCGTATTTGTACTATTGGACTTGATGGACCGACAACGATAATTTTCGCAACAATGATCACGTAGTGGAATGCACAATTAAACAAGTCTCTCCAATATATGGGATGGACACACGATGAATCTTTAATATGTGTAACAGAGTATGTTTTTGGATTTGATAGTAACAAATTTAAAGGATCACTACTGTTGAATTCATTTGCAAAATCACAATTCACACGTATTCATTAGAGATGCACATGTGTTTGTTTTTGATATTTTTGGTAAACAATTACTTCAGTTCGGATTTGTGGAAGAGGTGAAAAATGCTGGAATACTTAAAATCAAACATTGGGAAACTGGTGTTGCAATCCTTACAAAAGATTTCAAGATTTGGGTGGTCTCTGATTTAGATGCCCCATTTTGTGAGCAATTTGCACCCATGAGTATGTATTTTTCAACAAAATGATAACTCAGAAAATGATTCTTTATTATCATTGAAAAATTAATATTATATCACTTGACTCATATTAGATCTTTCAACTCTTGATTTTAATGACGAACAGGAAATTGGAATGTGTATATTACAACCAAGTGTTACAGTATCTGGAGATTTGGAAATAGTCATCAGTGTCCCACAGAGCCCTACTGTTTTCATTGTCACTTCTGATGAATGTCATGACGTTGGATTGGATAATGGGCCTTTTCCGAAAATATGTGCATCTCCTTCGGGAGAAGCTTTGGCAACCTTTAATGAATCAGGATCTCTCTGGGTTGTAAAATCTGATTTTACTGACAAGCATGCTGAATTTGATACGAATGGATCTTCCAATCCTCCTACACAAATTGCTTGGTGTGGAGAGGACAGTGTTTGCTTATATTGGGAACAATTGAACAATAGAGAAGGAAATGTGTCTCTCTTGCTCATGATTGGCCCCAATGGAGATTACAGCACCTTTCACTATGAAAGTCCAATTCATCTCGTAACAGAATTTGATGGTGTTAGAGTTATTACGAATGATTCGTGCGAATTTTTACAGAGAGTTCCAGAAGCCAACTTTGATATTTTCAAAATTGGCTCTCTCACTCCTTCGGCTATGCTTTACGATGCCTACATGGAATTTGAAAAGAAAAATGCTTCCTCCATTAAGAATATTCGATCCATTAAGGCCAACCTCAAGCCTGCAGTGAAGGCATGTCTTGAAGCATCAGCTAACGAGTTCAACCCTTCACTTCAAAAATCACTGCTTCGTGCTGCTTCCTATGGTAAATCATTTTGTGACGACTTTGACCACACAGAATTTGTGAATACATGTAAAATGTTAAGAGTAATGAATGCAGTCAGAGATCCCTCAATAGGTATTCCCATCACTTTGGAACAATACAAGAGATTAACTCCAAAAGTACTCATCGATCGACTGGTAAATAGAATGCAACATTTACTTGCATATAGGATTTGTACCTATCTTAAAATTAAGCCAAACAGCGTTTTAGTCCATTGGGCATGCTCAAAAGTACTTTCCAACGAAGATGACAACATCATACTAGAATCCATCGACAAGAAACTTTCAGAATGTGAAGGTATTCCATTTTCTAGCGTAGCTTCTACAGCATACAGTGTAGGCAAAAAGAACTTGGCTATTCAATTATTAGAACGAGAGGAAAGAGCGAGCGAGCAGGTCCCACTACTTTTAAACATGGGAGAAACAAAGAACGCTCTCAGAAAGGCAATCATAAGTGGTGAAACAGATTTGGTTTATCTTGTTCTTCTTCATATGAAGAAAAATATGGAAGTCTCACACTTTTTCTCAATCATCAATGAAAAAGGTTTTCGTGTTGCCCGTAATCTGCTTGTAACATATTGCAAGGAACAAGACATTGATTTCCTCAAAGTTTTCTTCCATGCATTAGACAAACAAGAAGAAGCAGCAGCCATGAATGTTTTGGAATCTTTTGCCTATGAAGATGAGCCGCAAGCTCATAAAAAGATTCTGAATCAAGCCAAAGAACTCTACAATAAGAAGAAAGACTACCAATTAGACAGTAAGCTTTGTGAGGAACAAATCAAACTATTGCAAATGCAAAGAGATTTCGATAAGAACCAACCTTCTCCTGTATTTGTCGGTCTTTCTGTGAGCGACACTATTTACCATTGTTTACTAACAGGAAATAAGCAATCAAAGAGGGTCAAAAAGGAATTCCAAGTGTCAGACAAAAAATATTGGTGGATTAAGATTGCGGCCCTATCCAAGTTAGGAAAGTGGAACAAACTTGAAAAGTTTTCAAAGAAAAAATCACCTGTTGGTTATCGACCTTTTGTGGAGGCATGTTTGCAGCAGAAAAACACTGTTGAAGCATTGAAATATATTCCCAGAGTGAGTGACACTTGGGAGAGGGTTGAACTCTATGTAGAACTGCAGTGTTTCAAAGAGGCGATTGAAACAGCATTTGCTCAAAAAGATCCAGACATGCTTCGATGGATTAGAACCAAAACACAACATTCTCAAACGAAAGCTACCATTGATGACTTGTTGTCCAAACTTTAGTTGTCTTTGTGGTATAGATTCAAATCATTCAATTAAATTGTACATGCTTCTGATTCTGTTTGTATTACGTGAAAAGAACTACTTACTTTCGGAGAGGACGTCACATACACAGTTTACACAAGAATGAACCAACTCGTTTAACACTCCATCTCTCAATTAAGGCCTTTCAAAAACCAAAACTTCTCTATTCGACCGACTCTTCTGAGAATTGTAAAAGTAGAGAGAGGCGATGAAGGTGGAATTACATGACCCTTGTAAGCATCTACTTCAGAGGATGATGCATGAGGCCACTTTGGAGGAGTCATCGTTTAAAAGAAAGGGAAACTGAGAACAAGAGAGACTTTATTTTTTTCAAAAAGAGAGAACTGAAGTCGAATAAGTGGACCTTTTCCTCTATAAAGCCGTGAGTCGATGAATCTTGAGCTACACATCATGAAAACCTCTTTCGTTGCACAAAAGAAACTCTTTGTGGTTCCACTCATTCAATTTTTTTAAATTGTAAAATTTGAAAAAAAAATATTTCTTGTTGTTGGGCAAGACTTCATCATTATCCAATTAGGCAGTCTCCGCCAGCAGCAAACATTATTCCCTTTTTCTCAAATCATCATCATCATGTATAAGAAACTAATTACAGCTTCAACGAAACCATTTTCATTGGTTTCCTCCTTCCCAACATCATTACAAACTCACATCAGCAAGGCCAACCCACTTGTTGCCATCTCAGCAGCCTCATCGTCATCACAACAACGGAATAAAAAGTCTTCCAAAGAACAAAAATCAAAAGATGCAAAGTGGATGAGACAAGCAGGTGTTTTCAAATACAAGAAACCCAAGTATCAAATGAAAAAAGCAGACACGGATGACATTCCTATTTTCAGGTTGTTCGACGAGGCAAAAGCAACCATAAGAGAAGAAGACCAATGGGACGCTGTGCTCTACAACAACGAACAGATTCCAAAAGAAGGAGAAACAGAATTAAGACCTATTACCGAAAACTCGTTCTACAAATTAATTAACAAATATACACGAGAGGAACTCGAAAATATGAGCATCGGTGAGATGGATAGAGAGCTGGATGACCCTAATTGGGATGCCTTTGAATATCATCTTTCTCTTAGCCAAAACCAAAAGGATGACATTGCTTTTCAACTTGCAAATGAATTATTACCGGGATTGATGCAAACACCAAGAGAAATTTTACTTCCTCACGTCTCCGATTTGGAACCACATTTTGAAAATGATTTCTCAAAATTACCTAAAAATCATAGTGACAGAAAGGTCATTGAAGGAAGACTGGTTACAGATGAATATTTAAAACAAGTTCATGAACATTATGGAAAGCCAGGTGAATCTCCAGAGGAAACATTTGCTGCATTGCGTTTATATGAGGAGGCTCTTTCCTATGAAAAGAATGAGTATGAACAAGAAAAAGAGTTAGCAGAGAAGGTGAGACAAGAACAAAACAAAATTAAGCACGTTAAAAGAGATGATTTGGACCGAATGTTTGAACTTCACAAAAAAGATCCAGCATACTGGACAGGTGAACGATTGGCTCTTGAATTTGGTATTACTCGCGAGCAAGCATGGTGTTCACTTCTTTTGAGAGAATGGGATGAGGCTGAGCGAACTGGAAAGCCATTCAGTTTTGACAAGGCAAAAATTATTTTCAGTGAGGATATTAGAAGGTCAGACAAAGAAGACAGAGATAGAAAGAAAGGTCAAGCAACACCAAAGATATTAACCCATCAAATTACTGAAGAAGAAGCATACAAGCGATTTTTAGAAGAATCATCTAAACCCATGAACACAGCATCAGATGACAATTTACCAGATTATGTCAAATATCCATTCCAAGAGTATGTCATTGGTGAACAGGAAAGCAAAAAAGTTGAAGTTATTGAAAAAGAAGTTGAAAATAAGACTGGTTTTGGATCTGATGTTTCAAGATACAAGTTATATGTGGCTGAAATGAAGAAGAAGTTTGATGACGAAAGAGCCAGAAGATTCATGGTTTCTGAGGAAGATGGTACACTTAGAACCATGTCTGAGTCTGAACTTGCTTTCATGCATCGTCATAAGACCTTCCCTAAGACCAGAGAAGGACTTGGAGGAAAGCAAAAGAGAAAGAATCTCAGAAGAAAGAGAGAATTTTAAGTTCAATGACTAGTATTGTCATCATCTCATCCACAAATGATCATTTGCATCCATCTATCCACGTAAATTGATTGGATCTCTTTGATAACATGTCATCTCAATAAATAAGAAAATATTATTCTATCATTGCAATGGTGGTGGTGGTTTTCGTCAAGCTTTTCTCAGAGACAGACACACACTTCCGAGATGTAATCATCAAAGCCTTTTTCAATGTGGGTGAGTCAACTCATCCTTTCGAACTGGCAAGTCTTTCGAAGAAGGCTTTGAAAGATAAAAAAAGAACGTTTCCTTCTTTTTGCGTCGTGTGGTACCTTCAGTTTCGGAAATGTTGTCTTCTTGGAACACATCATCAGCTTCTACAACCAACATTGGCCACCCTTCAAAAGATGTTGAAATGGGTGAAAGAAGATTTAATGGAGAAGAACAATTTAAACAATTACTCTCCATTGGAATTTTCAATAACAGAACCTTACTCAAATTGATGGTTCATGCGTATGTTATTGCAATACAACAACTATTTATTAATATTGTAATAATAATTGAACGATAATAACATTTGAAAATATAACATGTCGTCTTACGAATGACAAAAACAACAAATTCCGAACATTGTTGTTGATCAATTTAATATCCGATCAACCCACACCAATCCATACTGTGTTCTAAATCATTTATCACTATTATTGCATATTATCAATACAACAAATTCATTGTCTGACATGATAATTTTACTACATTTTGAATTCATCATTTAGTTACTTTTATCAATTGACTCAAGGCTGTGGATTGGAACATTGTAAAAATCCACATTGCAAACGAAATACTTCCGTGAATGAAACAGAAGCAGCCAAACAAGCCATTGAATTTGCAAAGAAAGCCTTCGATAAGACAAATCCACAATTCTTTATATGTGATATTGTCAATCCAATTCTACCTAATTTCTCACCTACTTTAGGTTTGTAGTTTCTATTGATTTTAGTGTCATGTATTAACGAGTTGTATCTACAATTATGGTTGCGAACCATATTGCTCATGATGCAAATGTGTGATTGTAACCAAACATTATATATTTCATCAAAATTATTTGTTGAATTTGGAAAATATTTGGACATTTCGGAACATGCTTTGATCATGGCGATCATGACAAATTATGAATGTGTGTGCATCATTAAAATCTAGATTTATGTGTGCAAGAGGAATGCTTGCAAAGAATTCTTGAAGACAATGCTAAGAGCGGTGACTATGCAGTTTTTATGGACATTATTAAGAGAGTTTTCAGTAGTGACAGCTCCTTATCTTACAGTTTTCAATCCCGTGATGCTCTCTACAGGAAACCCACTAAAGAAAAGAATCAAATTGACAATAGTTCAGTAGAAAGAGTGTACAAAGTCATTCTAGGCACTGTAAGTGTATATTTTTGCATTTTTAAATCAATATTCAATTTTGTTTATTGTTGATAAATAATGATAACACTAATACTTGATGCTCGTTTGGACCTTTCACTTTCTCTTGTAGAAGAACGACTCTGTCATTAATTGTCTCACTCATGCCATCGAAGAACTTGGAAAGAGATTCAACAGTCATGTCGATCGAGTTCAAAATGTGAAATTCGTAGTGGTTGTCTTACAGTGTCCATTATTAATGGAACCATCTTCGCACAGATCTCTCCTACTTTTAATGCAGGGTATTTTAAAACTGTCTTCAAATCTTCTCAAACAATTGAAAGAAGTATTGTCGTACACGCCAAAAGAATATCTTTCCTCATTTGTTAGTATTTTCCAACAATTCATCACAGTGCAATTGTACTCAAGAGGATACATTGATGAAGGAATTGCCTACGCGACAAGATTGTTGGGAATTATCAGTAAGTATTTTTGTGTGATTGTAGTTTTTGTGAGCGACACAATAATAACGAACGTTCATGCTTCAATACTTATTTCTCGACCAATGGTCATTACTTTATTCAATACTTATTGTAATACTTTGAACTTGTTCATAGACGCTGCCAATGAAAAGAAACCATTCGATGACAAGGTCGATTACAGAGAATTCTATAATGATGCCGTCAATAATATTGTCGATATTAAGGAGGACTACATTCGTTGGACGAAAGCTCAGAGTACACCCAATCATGGCTTTGAATATTTCAATTTTTGTGAATTTCCATACATTTTAGATCCAAACTTTAAGAGCAAAATCTTACAATTGGATGCAGAAATTCAACAAAACAAAGAATTGAGAAATGCCTTCATTTCTTCTCTTTTCAGACAACCAACTTCTCTCTTCTGCGTCTTGAAAGTAGATCGACATAATTTACTACAAACAGCTCTCAATGAAATTATGAACCGAGCCGATGATTTAAAAAAACAACTTCGTGTGAAATTTATTGGTGAAGAAGGTATCGATGAAGGAGGTGTACGAAAGGAATTTTTCCAATTGATCGTGAAACAAATTTTTGATGTCAATTATGGAATGTTTGAATACGATGAAAAAAATAGAACGTTTTGGTTTAATTCACATTCGTTTGAATCAGGAGATGACTTCAAATTGATTGGTATTGTCATTGGATTGGCCATTTATAATAGTATTATTTTGGACATTCATTTCCCACTTGTAGTTTACAAAAAGATGTTGGGTTTGAAACCAAATTTGGAGGATTTGAAAGAAACATTCCCAGAATTAGGAAAAGGACTTCAACAATTGTTGGATTTTGAAGGAGATGTTGAAGATGTATTTTGTAGAACCTTTCAGGTGGAGACTGAGGTTTTTGGACATGTGGAGACTCACGATTTGAAACCTAATGGTGGAAATATTCCAGTGACGAATGAAAATAGAGAGGAATATGTGAAACTGTTTGTTGAATGGAAACTTGAAAAATCCATTGAGAGACAATTTAGAGCATTTATTGAAGGATTCAAAATGGTGTGTAGTGATCAGACCATTCTCGATTTGTTCAGAGCAGAGGAAATTGAATTACTCATTTGTGGAAGTCCTGTCTTGGATTTTGAAGCTCTCGAACGTACCACTAAATATGCAGATGGATATGATCGAGATGATCCTCTCATTAGAGACTTTTGGGACATTGTTCATCATTTCAGTGAGGAAGAGAAGAAGAAATTCTTAATGTTCTGTACAGGAAGTGACCGTGTGCCAATCAAAGGTTTAGGTGAATTGGGATTTGTCATTGTTCGAAATGGCGACGATGATAAACGCTTACCAACTGCTCACACCTGCTTCAATCACTTGCTCTTACCGAGGTATTCGAGTAAGGAGGTTATGCGAGAACGTTTACTGACAGCCATCAACAATTGCATGGGCTTTGGCTTGCAATAATTTTTTACATCATTCATTTCTTCCTTACATTCAAACGTGTGTGTTCATTCCGAATGAAAGAAATTTTCTTAGTGGTATAATGGAATCTCTGTAACAACAATAAAATTGCATCATTCCAAATTTGAAGAAGAATTGGGACTATTGATATTAGTATTGATTAGCATTCATTCCTACGAATTTATTCCGATAGTGATTGGCTGTCCTGTGATGAGCATGCTCGTTCGTTTCAAGAGGGACATGAGGCATTATTGTTGTTGTGGTTGCTCAGATGATGATTCTTGTGGAACGCTGAACGCATTCTCGTTCAACTTTCTCAGCTTTTTTCCTTGATGTTTATCAATGAATAATTTAACATTTTCGGGAACTTCATAAGTTTGTGGTGGTCTCTCCTTTTCAACTTTTACAATAAACCATTCAACAAGATCCCTCACTTTAAGAATTTTAGGTAAATCTGTATTTGGAATTTCTCTTCCGAAACGTGCCATTGCTGCTTTGAAAACTTTAAATCTCAAATTGTGTTCACCCAGTGCAAAGTTGTAAATATCATGTGGAGTATAGCCATCTTCTTGAGTTATTTTAGTAACAATCTTTTCCAATTCAGTCATGAAAAGTTGTTTCAATTCATTTCTGTTTTTGTTGAACAAATCAGGTGTAATGATGCCTTTCACTTCAGAGTCTCCGGTTTCTTCTCTAGTCATGTTGTTGTTTGTAGAGAAAAATCTCATACCAGTCTGATAGTTTGATGAAGAGAGGGAAGAAGCCTTGTGAGTGGCCACCACGGAACATGATTTTACGCAAGAGGATGATGATGGGAGAAGAGAGCAAGTGCTCTTTCTGCAGGCGGCAAGAGAGAAACGAAGTATTCTGGAAGAGGTAAACATTTTTTTTCAATTTTTTTTAAAAATTTTAAATTCATTTCTTGTCATTTCATTACAACTTTCAAGAAGAAATGAAAAGGAAATTCATGAGTCAACACGAACAGACCATTTGTTTGAACATCTACTCGAAGGAGATTTCACTCCATGGAATATTCTATTCTCTGACCAAATACGTGTCATAGCAATAGAGTCGTGAGAGTGATTGAGGAGTGACAGCTTGTCGGCAAATTGGGCATTTAGGTTCCTTACTATTCACCACACATTCTGTAATGCAATCCCAGCAATATAAATGTCCACATGGAGTGGCTGTTGTTTTCACTCGTCTCTCCAAACAAAGTGAGCATTTAAATTCTGTGTCTGTTCTTCCTTCCAGATTCTTCTCTGTGTAGACAACCCCATTGAGAATAACTTGATGAGGTTTGTTACCTTCCGAGGATGATTTGACGTCGTTTTTTGATTGTTTGTTCTTTCGATTGATCAAGCATTGTGAGATGAGGGATTTGATAAAGAGTGCCGCAGATATGACTTGTTGCAACATGATGAGAAGTGAGAGAATGATAAAGTTGGGTCTACTATAAGAGTCACCATCTGACCTGCCCGTATAAATCTGTGTGAGTGTTTTTGAGAAAATTACATGTACAATCGCAAGGATAAGAAAAGACTTGTCCTCAAGTACTTACATATCGAATTCCAGCAATTCTTTTCGAAAGTTGAAGATATTTTCCATTCACGTAGAAAGCTGCTAAATTAAATCGAAGTAAGAATTGCACAAATTCTTTCAAAATTGAAATATAATATCTCACATCACTCGAAATGTTGGTGGTTGAATGTGTTAAATAATGTGTAAGCCAGTGAGATAATCCTCTATCAAACAAATAAGGAACTATTAATTCATATAGTACAAACATCAAACGGCTCTGCAAGGATGATTTAACAATGTACAAGGTTTTTGCGTTTTGTGCACCCAATTTAGACGATTTTGAGGGGAGTAAATTATTTTTCAATTTTTCTTTGAGTTGCACCTGCAATAAATCACAATATTCTTCTCCGAGAGTTGGTTGTTCTGTACAGGTAGTAGTTGCATAGTAAATTAAATTTCCGAGTAGTTGAATCTCTTTTTCAAATCGTATGGTGAATCTTTGTCCAAAATACCACGAGGATAAATCTTTTAAATTATTAAATATTACATGGTTGGTATAAAAGTCATCTTTTTGTAAAGACCTCACAATGTCAGGTTGTCCAGAAAATGGAAAACCAAAGGTTAAAATCCGAGTGGTCCTTCTTTCTGGTGTAGTAGTGGTGGATGAAGTAGATGATGATTGAATCGTAGGATTATTCAAACTCCGAGAGCGATGATTGCTGCTCAAATTTGAGGCTTCTCTTTTAGTTTGTTTTTTAAACTCCATTTTACTAGTTCTTTTCAGAGGTGATGAAGTATTGTTTCTATCATGATTATCCCGGTTTCTTGAACTCGGAGGAAGAGAGGAGGCAGCATCACCTTGATGATGATGGAGCGTTCTGGTGATGCTTGGACTTGTCTCATTCATTTTTATGATCACACAAACTGAATCTTATATTCATCCATGATTCGGTTTGTTTATGAAAAAAAATATGAATGCGTCCAGAAGGAATGACCACAACCTCCAATCTTCATCATCATCCTCTTCCAACAAGTCATTGCCGACTTCTCAACAACATGAAGCGATGAATAATCGTGAAGAGAAGGAACCAACAAGTAGTAGTGCAACATTACCTTCAGAACATGCAGAAGAAGAACCTATTGTTGATGATTCTCCGATCAAGTTTTATGATAGTCTCTTTTATGATGATGTCGAGTCAAGATTGTGGGAAAACGACTCGTCCTATCTGGTTGCTGTTTCTCCTAAAATATTTGAAAATAATAGAATTCGTTTGAAGGTCATTCTTGGTTATCGAGTGCAATCTGTAGTTCATGCTTTACCTTCACCCGTGGAGAGTGATGCAGCGGCTGTTTCCGGTCATTTACTTCCCTATGATCGATATAATAGGAGGAGACTTTATCAATCGTATTATACTCGAGAACGATTAAGAAACATGTCACCAGAAGAATTTAATCAATTACCAGAACATCAACAACGAAGAATTCTAAAAGAAAGATTTCAAGCAAGAAGATTAGAACAACGAAGAGGTTTGAAGGATTCATTGGTGGAAAATGATCGATATGGAAATTATTTAGGAGGTGGAGGTTCTTTTTACTCTTGGAATAATTTCATGTATTGGGCGAGCAGAAATTTGGAACAACTTGGATGGAAGAGCTTATTGGGAGTGGTTGCTTTTGTTTTTGGATTATATCGAGCAACAACCGCACGATGAATGGTAGTTGTTCTGAATGAATGATGTAATGATTTTAACTCGTCCAAGTGAAGAAAAAGACTCAATTTTAATTCAATGGAATATTAGTGATAGCGTTCACGACATTCTCAACCTCAATAGTATTTCTATCTGTCATTGGAAGCCATCTGGCCCAGAATCCTTTCTTTTTGAGCTTCTTTTGTACCTTCCTTCTCTCCTTATCTTCTTTCATGGCTTCCTTTATGAACATTTCTGGTTGTGACACATACGATTGCCATAACTAGTAGTGATGGAAATTTTTACACCGAACAGACATGATTCATTTTGAAAAGTTAGAAAATGGTATAGGTCAAAAAAAGAATCAACAAAAAATTGAAGTACTTACTTCAACAATTAATTCACCAATTGCCATTATACCTAATGCACCACCGACATCTGTGAAGAATGCAAAGAATGTATAATCAGAGGCCATCACAACTTGATGGCTTTGGGCAAGATCAAACTGGATAACATAATTCAAAATACACTTGTTTCTATTCACGTAATCGAGAGAGGATTTAGAGACAGATGTAGACTGCACAAAAACTTGAACATTTGTGATATCAGAATTTCCGAACACCCCTTTCGAGTAGACTGTAGTGATCTTTAACGTCGCAAAGAGATTATACTGAATTCCAGGAGTGAGAGCAAGCTTGTTATTTGGAGATCCCTTTTCAAGCGCAGAGAAATCCCATCTAACATTTAAATTCCTAAATATTGATTTTCCAAACGCCTCTACATCTTTCCTAGTTGGTGACTTTACTTGTCTCCATGTGCCGCTCTCGTCAACAATGTCAATACCATAATTGACCATTAGATTTTGAGAGTTATTAAGGACATCTTCGACAAAAAATGGAGACAAGTCAATCGTTGCATCCATATCTAACATTGGATCATTCTAATCAAAGTTACATTTCAACAATTGCAATATATATGAATATTTAGCATTGATTTCTAAGTATATACTTACAGCAGGGAGGAATGGATCTTTGGATTTGCCAATGAAATTCAACTTTCCATTGAAATAGAGTTTCTCTGAGAATTGTGTCGTATCACCCTTGCTTGGAGAGCTGCCTGAAAAAGCGGCATCCACTGAATTCGAATATTCATCATGTTGGAAATAGAACACATGTTTGAAATTGTACTCGTACTCGGGCCTGTTGGCGCCTCCTGTGGTAGCATCGACGGCATTCGTTGCACTTACATTCTTCCACTTGTTATTCAACTGAATGACATGATTGTATGTGAGAGAGTAGGTTGGTGGCATTTCCTTGATGCAATTATTGTTGTATTGGTTCTTGGGGCTCTTACTAACATTGATGCAGTTCTTCTCAACCATGGAGTCCGTCCAAACTTGAAGAGAGCAATTTTTAACTTGATATCCACGTGCTGGATGAATGGAAAATGCACTCCAGACAGGATCTTGACTGTTCAAAATGGTTAATGTCTCATAGGGATATTCACGAGGACATAAATTAAGTGTTGAAGATGGAACAGATGCCTTCTCTTGATCATCATTGTAATCAACATTAGGGAACTTCTTCTTTTCAGGAATAATGTACATGGAGTATTCCACATTGATCGAGTCAGGTGTGGGAATTCCTTGAGCGTAACTCTCTGACGGCATGTAAGGTTTTCTATCGTAGGAAGAAGACAACGAAAGTGGAATCAGTACCGTTCCAATGGTCATTTCTGAGATACACTCCACCAATGAGCTTACATCAAAATCCGGTGAAACTGGTGCGTTCAACAAGAGATTGTAGGTCCGTGGAAGCTTACTGACCACTACCAAATCGTCCACCTCTACATGCTGCACATAACTGTATTCATTCACACCAGGTCGAATGAGAATTTTTGGTCGTTGAACCTGTAGAGGGTTTTGTTTGTACAATTGCACCATTTTGACAATATCCGTTCCTGATAAATCGTCACCAAGTGGAAATTGTTGAACAGTGATGTTGGTTCGAGTATGGTCATTAAAACTCTTGAGCTCAAATGCTAATCCAACGGAGAAGGAAGGAGGAGCACGAAGTTGTAAAACCTGGAAAGAATTCAACTGGGTGACACCTTGCACATCCAACATGACGGGCTGTTTTGTATAAGTGTCATAAATTCCGTCAGAGTAAGAGGTTCCAGCGTAGAATTGAACTTTGAAAGAGCCCGTACTTGGAAACTTTCCAATGAAATCCAAGGTGTTGCTTGGATCATTCGTGTGGAGTGATTGGGCCTCCACTAAAATCACAGAAGAGTATGGTGACACAGATGAGACAATAAGTCCAAATCCTGCCATTTCTTTGAATTTCAAGTCTTCATTGGTCAAACACAACGTTTGAATGTCATACTGGGATTGTCCAACAAGATCACCGTCTGGAGTGAGAGTTTTTGTCGTTCTCCTTGTGGATCCAACCTTAGTCAAGTAGAGAGTTTGCACGTACTGATCATAGCTATTATCACCCACAGAAACATCATAATAAGTACCATCGTCTGGAATCTGAGGAAACATGGGATGGCCCACTTTCACTCGTACAGGAACGTACACACAGTTGGGAGAAAGGTTTTCCGGTGGATTTGTCCAATTACCAATATAACCTGTTGAGGTAAGAATGTCTGAAAAGAAGTCTCTTCCGAAAATATATCCCACTGGTGATGCTTGACAAATGAATTTGTTGTGTTGGTAAGACAGATATGCTTTCTCATCATAGAAAGTGTCACCCATGCATTGAGTACAAATGGATGATCCTCCGGCATTATCAAAGTCGGTGTCAGATCCAAAAAATCCAATGACTTGCTTTTCTCCCAAATAAGAAGCTTTTGTATAGCAAGGCTTGGATGAACGCAAGTATGGAGCAGAAACGCATATGCCAGCACTTGAACAAAACTGGCCCTTTGCTGCACACGATGTTTGTTGGAACTTGTTCACAAAATTCGAACTGCTAAATAGTGTAGGAAGAAGATTGTTGCAATCAATGTCACGAGCTATTACAGTAGCATTCACAAAACCACACTCACAGTCACAAAATCCGTCACCTTTAGATGTTCAAATTAGAATCCTGTCATGATCAAGAACAACAACATACCATATTTTTGAGGAGAACATTTCCAAAATCCTTTCGCCATCCAATCAGGAGGCAATGTAGCAGGGGTGGAAACTGACTGATAATTGATAACATTATTGATGAAGGTATCACCTTGTGATTCCAACTTTTTAAAGTCTTTGGAACCTTTTCTTTCAACAGTGAACTTGACATAGATAAATGGGAAAGTTCTATTTGTTGGCATTTCATAAGAATTCACTCGGACAATTTCTGACAACCCAGTAACCCCTAGTACGATCAATTTGAATTGACTTGCAATTGGAGAAAAAGTATTTGGCACAAGAGCATAAAACGTTGTGGCTGTGTCATTCACAAGGTCAGCCAAAATTCTGACTTCGTAAGGAAATACCCAATCTCTAAGATTTTTTGGTGGAGAGCTGTAGATTGTGGAAACGTCACTAATCGCATCCTCATACTCGTCACATTGAATTGTATTTTCAGTGTGAACAAAATTATTAACATAACTGATGAGGAATGCCCACTCCAAGAACGAAGACGTCTTCATGCCTTTCTGTACGAATAATTTGGAAATATCAATAGGCAAGCCATTAATCGATTTCTTGGAAAGAAAATTATACAATTTGCCAGATCCAAATTCTTGAGTGAGGTAAAATAGATTGTAATTAATACCTTCACTGGAAATTTCACTAGTAGTACCACTGCCCAAGTAACGCGTAACAGGAATTTGCCATGTACTATTACTAGTTGTAAAGTATGTTTCTGCATGGGATTGGTATTCCTTCTTGATGTAAGTCTTCAAGTCAGGTCCAGTCTCTTGAATCAAATTCAAAATTCCACCATTGATGAGACCAACTTGCATTTGACATGGTTTGATATGACTCATATCGTCTATAAATCTCAGGAACAAATGCACAGTATGGTTGTAGAAGGTTGAATCTGCCGAGTCGTAAACACCATTTAAAAGATAGAGAATCTTTAAGGGATCGCTCACTCTCGCAGACATGACCGACAAGCTCTTTTGCTCGGTCGTGAATAGTGTTTGAGAATAATTTGCCGCCCTTTCAACATCTACAGATGTAAAAGGAGGAGTCAAAGAGGATTCAAAACTTCCAAGCTTCAGAGTGGCTTTTCCGTGCATCGCTTTTGTGATCGGTACAACATCATTGACTTCGCTCTTGAGCCGCCGTGAAGAAAAGGGTTTTTCATAACCAAAGTTGTCATAAATGTCAACACGTTGCAAAGAGGGACCATATTCTTTTCCTTCGTAGAATGTTATATTCTTTCGAATGGTCATTTGTAGAGTTGGCACATCCATATATTTGACATTTGATGATTTTACATAATTGAGAGCGACAACATTTCCGGTCGTTTGACTTCTATTATCGATGATCAACAAGTACAACTTGTAGGCAATTAATATGAGAACACAAATTCTCATAATGGTGGTCAATAAGGCTCCAACAAATGTTTTTTTACGTATTCCAGGACCATCGACACTCTCGCCGATGGCATCAAGCATATTGATCGCCTTATCCAAGCATGCTTTTGCCTTTTTCTTAAACTTTTTTTTCTTTTTCCCGTTATTCTCGTCCAAAACATCACTTTTAGAGTCGTCGTCCTCACTTGCATTTGACGATTTGAATGATTCTCCTGTATGTTGTTGGTTTTTTTCCTTTTTATGAGCCCAAGTTTCTGCTTTGAGATCATTGTTTGCTGATTGGTCCATTTCAACAAAGGTTACGGTGGTGGTTGTGGTGGTTGTCGTTGTAGAATTTGCAACTGGATAGGGAGGTGGTAAGAGCGATGTAGAATGTTGTTGATGTGGTGGATGGGATGGAAACTCTCCTCCTGATGTGAGGTTGTCAATATTCGGAGATGATGATGAAGACATGAGGTGATAGGTTGGTGTTGTGGTTTCAGTAAGATGGATATCTTGAGAAGATGGTGATGAAGATGACGCTAGAATGGTCATCCAATAGATTATGTTTGGATTAAAAACAATTCAATTGGATGAAATCTTTGGCGGGGTTACTGGAGAGGCCAAACCACGATTCTGCAGAAACTGATCTTACTCGGATTTTTTTCTGTCCTTTTGATGAACTTGTAAAATTTGAAGCGCGAAAAAATTGTGGCTGATTTGACATCACTTGGATTACTGAAAAAAAGACTGAGATTAAGTTCCCCATACGAAAGAGCTCTACAAGCTTTTCCAACCAATCTCACTTAAGATTGATATATTTTTCAAATGTTTATTGAAAGAGTTTGACAGTGCTGTCACTCCCACACGTCGCAAATAGAGAGCGATCCACAGGATGCCACACACAACCAATACAAATTCCTTCATGACATTGCATCTTCTTAATTTGTTTTGCGTCTTTCCAATCCCAAAACCACACATTACCAGTGTAGTCTCCACTGAATACAAACTTGCCATCATTCGAAAAACCCACTTGACATGCATATCCTGCGATTTGATGACCCTTAAATATTTTGTTTTGTTGTTGTTTGAGCCTAGTTTGTGCTTCAAAGGTTAAAATTTGATTGTTGAGAGATTGAGCAACTATCCACTTGGAATTTGGATGACACTCAATCACTGGCATTGAATGTTGTTCTGGATCTGCCAATTTCTTAATTTCTGCTGGAATTCCGTATTCCCATAATCTGAGAGACTTGTCGTCACTACTGGAAACAAACTTTTTACCACCATCTACAAAACAAAGAGAGTTCACAGAACCTGTATGTCTCTCGTATTTGTGAACAATTCTTCCTGACCTAGTATCCCATTGTAAAATTCTACTACCTGAGTATCCTACAAGAATTTCATGCTGTTTGTGTTCGAGAGGATTCCATTTGACACAGTACGGAGTGGAACCAGACGTCAGTGTGTGTAAAATTTTTCCAGTCTCTGTATCCCAAATGTTGACTCTCTTGTCGTAGGCACAACTTGCAAATTTAGATCCATCTGAGGAGAAGGAAATGGCACGTACGGCCTTTGTATGACCCACATAGGTCATTATACAATTTCGATGTCCTAGTACGTCCCAAATCTTTATAGTAGAGTCCATCGATGCACTCAACAACAAATGTCCATATTTAGGAAAGAATTCGATCGAGGTGACCATCTTATCAGGCATGTGACCCGTGTAAGTATGAATAAGCTTCTTTGGAAGTACAGCTCTCTTTTCAGTGTAGTCACATTCCTTGATGTGTGAAGGAGGAACAACAAATGTTCTTCCCTGATAATCCATGTCACGAGGTAAATGATAAATACTGTATCCATCTTTTCCTTCTGTAGTGATCTTTTTTTCAATGTCCGGATTGAATTCAATTTCTGGCAAGGTGCCCTCCACTTCTTTTTTCCTCTTCTTATTTCCTGTTTCACTCTCTTGTTGTTGTTTTTCTTTAGCTGCATTTTCTAGCTTTTCCTTTCTCTTCGCTAATTGTTCTTCATGTTGAGCTCTGAGTTGAGCAAGTAATTTTTCATGTTCATTCTCATTTTCATCCTCTTGAATGAATGCATCTTGATCAAATCCGGCAATCACATCAGCGTCATCATTCTCATTTACGACGACAAAGTTTTCATCTTGTGCCTCATTGATGGATGAATTTCCATCCTTCTTTGGTTTTCGTTTTCTCTTTTTCTTTGCTCCAGCATCTGTGTCATTACTTCCCAATGCTTGCACTTGCTCGGGATCAATTCCTCCAGGAAGTAAATGAGCCTTCCTTGAAACATCATAATTATAATATTGACTATTAAATAAATATGAATTCATATTATGCTGATCAATCTCTCCATTCAATATAAATCCAGAATCAAACTTTGTATGGCTGGTTGGAAATGGATTTTTAGGTCCTACCCGAGGAGCATATAATTCGTTATATTTTGGATTAAAAACGAGAGCGGTGGCATCTTTCGGAACAATGTATTGTTTTGATTCGGGAAGGGCGACATTTGGTGCTGCCGTTATTGATGATAGTTCTGATGATGTTAGATTTACATTTTTCACAGCGGATGAAGATTTGGTGGTGGTGGCTGTTGTCTTTGTCTCCACTTGATGATCTTCATCACTTCCGTAACCTTGCAGAAAATTCATTTTTTTTAATACAACTATAATTCGATCGAATGAATCGATTTTATTGAAGACGTATCATGCAAAGACTGAATTTATTGTTGCTTGCTCTTTAACATTTCAGCTTGCTGTGTTTTCAAATCATAATACTTTTTACCAGTTGTTGGGTCAGTGAGAGGAGTGAACACACCAATATCAGTGAAGAATCCACTGATGAGTTCGGCTGATGTGACATCAAAACCAGGATTCCACACTCCAATGCCTTCGCAAACAGTTCTGTCACCTCTAAAGTGAGTCACTTCTATGCTACTTCTTTCCTCAATGGTTATTAAATCGCCACTTGCCAAAGTTAAATCAATGGAAGTGAAAGGAGCAGCCACATAGAAAGGAATGCCATGATGTTTAGCACTCACTGCAATATGATAAGTACCAATCTTATTTGCAGTGTCTCCATTGTTGCAGACACGATCAGCACCAACAATGATGGCGTCAATTTTCTTGGTCTTGAACAAGTAGCTCACAGCAGAGTCACAAATAAGGGTGGCAGGAATCTTCTCATAGACCAACTCGAAAGCAGTCAGTCTTGCACCTTGATTGTATGGTCTTGTTTCTGTACAGAATGCATGATCCAATACTTGCTTCTTGTGCAAGAAACGAATCACACCCAAAGCAGTACCATACTTCATGGTAGCCAAAGCTCCAGTATTGCAGTGAGTTAAAACTTGCAAATTTCCGTTGGATGATGTTGAAATAATATGTTCACTTCCGAATTCACTGATTCTTGCATTCTCTTCAATATCTCTATTCATCAAAGCCTCTGCTTCATCAATCACGAGTTGGCAAATTTGTTGTGCAGTTTTTGGTTGTTGCACTGCTGTTTGAATCTTGTTTTTGAAATCACCAACAGCTTGGAAGAGATTTACAGCAGTTGGGCGACTCTCAGCCAAATGATCCAACTTTTTGATGAAGAGTTGAGCCACACCCGAAGCATCTTGTTGTTGGTCGGATAAGAGTTTACTAGCCTCCACAGCCAAAGACAAGACGGCAACAATGGCAATCGCTGGGGCACCTCGGACTTTCATATCTCGGATGGCATGGAAAGCCTTTTCTGTGGTATCTATGACTTCATAAACAAACGTCTTCGGAATGAGAAGTTGGTCGAGAATTTCGAGAGAACCTCTTTGATATTTGATGGCTTCGAGAGTGGCTCGAGTAGTGGTGGCCATTTTTTTTCTTTTCAACAATTAATTGAAACTGCGAATAAGTGACCCAATCATCCCAGTCGTTACTTTGATCTTTCAATGTTGCAGCATGTAACAAGATAACTGCAATATTGCAGTGAGTGCCAAACCATGGCATTCCTTTCTCATCTTTCCCCACGTGTATACGGTTGTTCCGAACACCATGTGAACCCCATTACAAACCATTCAAGGCACGTTTTGATGTGATGGGTTTATTAAAAAAAAATGAACTCAAATGAATAACACGTTTAAGGGTGTCGCAATCTTCTCTCTTTAAAAAAAGAACATCAGCACGTTTGTTTTAATACGAAAGTTTCTCGAGAATCTTGATCATGGTGTGCAAACAAACCTCACAGAGAAGAACAGCTGATAAGGGAAACTCTCAGAGAAGAAGGAACGCCTCGTCTCGGAATGAGACTCCTGTGGTGAATGTACACATTGAAAGAGAGATACAACCTGGACCACCATCGGACAGCTATTCTCCAAACTCCGAACGCAGAAGAACATCCGATTCATCAGCTTTGAATTCGTCTCAATCCTCCAATGTCATGCCAGAGAATCCTCTCTTTTATAATTGTCATGTAACCTTCCATGTGAATCACTTTTTAACCAATGTAAAGTGTGGAGAACCCCCTCAACACGATAGTCCTGTAAGAAGGAAGAGAGAGACCACTCACAATCACGAACCTCTCAATAGTGTGTTAGGAAAGAGAATGAACGAAGATTTCCTCTCTGGTAAAAACACACCAAATAACGTTGCCGTCAAGAACGAAACTCCCATCATCATGTCAGAAAGGAAGCATGTTGCCATGGAAGAAGAAGAGCTCGATTCATCATCCATGGAGGAAGACGAGAGACCAAGCGAAGGTGAGGAACCAACAAGCTCAGACGATGAAGAATTTCATGACAAGAATTTTATTGTATCTGACAGTGACAGTGAAAACAGTGGAAGTGAGGAGAGCAGTCTTGAAACCCTGCAACCAAACCTTAAACATCGAAAATTAGTGTAGGATGTACATATATGTGTTTATTATTTTGTTGAAGTGAAGAAACGATCATGTCCTAATAAACTCAATAGGAATAGAAGAAATAGAGAAATGTGAATTATAAACAACTCACTCAGTGTTGAACTGTCGGTTGACTGGAATGATTCATGTTCGAGTCCCATGCATGAAAGGTGACGTCGAACACTCATCGCAAGATGGTTCGTTTTTTCTTGGATTTCGTTTGAGAAGGCATGCAGTTTGTGAAGGCCACCATACTTTGAAAATTCATCGATATTGTTCTGAACTGTATTCATCCAGGTAATGCACTGGGGAGGAAAATCTATAAACGCCGTGGAGTTTGATACTTTCACAAGTTCTTTACAGTAATAAGAGGTTCGAAGAATTAAATTGGAAAAGGTGGTCCATCGATGTTGAAGCGAAGTGGTCAGAAATGATGAAGAGGAAGTCATTAGCTTGCTCATGAGCATCTGTGTTTCATCGAGCAGAGACACACATTTGAAGGCTGCTATTGTGATCAACGACCTTGGGTGTTCTCCTCTCAAATTCTGCGGATGGAGTACCAGAAACACCACGAAGAGAACCAAAAGATAACACACCACTACCTTTGGTTTGGAAAAGAAGAACATGTTATTGTTTTCGTTTTTGGTAGGCAGATTTTGCATTCATGTGGTTAGTGTGTTGGGAGTAACATGTTGTTGCAACCACCACCTCGAACAACATTTACAAATAAGGACAGAATGCTTTTTTGAAAGCATTACTGACCTCACTTGCACGTTCATTACAATCACCCAACAACCCATCATACACACAATTGTGTCTTTTTCAATGCTACAGTGTGTTTCAGTCTCCAATCCAATGAATCTCTACACAATCTGCTTGGTATTGTAACTACCACAATTCGGACACTTGATACCAAAAATATGGAAAGGAGCTTCGTCATTCCGTTGCAAACACTCATTGCATAAAATTTTCACCTTTTTATCTTGCAATTCTTTTGGGAGTGGAGTGTTTGCAATTTCTTCATCAATGATACGAGTAGACTCTTCTGAAATCTCGACCATGTACTTTTGACACAGTGGGCAATTATAAATTCTACTCTTGAGTGCATTTCTGAAACATTTCCAATGCATGGGATGTCCACATTTGAGTAAATGAACGCTTTCTCTCGATGAGAATAAATCTTCCATACAAATTGGACAATGCGATTGCATACACTGTGGAATGCATTTGTGGTTTGGAGCCATGCACGCTCCACATGTATAACAATGCAAAAATTGCTCCCTCTTACCCAGACGACAAATCTTACATCCATCGCAATGATAGATTGGTCGTTTCGGGTCATTGGAGTAGATATGACAAATCGTACAAGTATAAAATTCACCAAAACGTGTCTTGCATTCCGAATTTTCACATTCTACATTATCGCTCGATTGTATAGTTCCACATCTCATACACTTGACTCTTTTAACAGAATATCGGTCCATATTTTCAACTTTACATTTACATTTCTGAAAAGCTTCATTGTCATGGCAAACACGACACCAAAAGAATTCTTTACAGCACGGAGATTCGATTTGGCAATTGTGTGGATAGTGAGAACACCCTAAATCGCTCGAATATTGTTTGGCTTCAACCTCCACTTCGGAAGTATGATTATTATCCGAGTTGCAAAGTGGATGATGATCTTCATCGAGTTCCAACAATGTATCATCATCCTCTTCATCGTCATGAACATCTTCCCAATCATCATCCTCTTCATCATGATGTATGGTATTATTCGTCGTTGATTGAGTGGTTGAGAATGGCTCCGATTCGTGCTGTTGTTGGGAGTTGACTGATGATGAGGGAAGAGCATGTTCTCTGTTGTGATTGTTTTCAGTCATTTTTTTTTTAAAATCACTGTCCATGCGATTATTTGTTCGAAAATTCAAACGTTATTCATGGCTGTGTGTGCAATTAGTACAGTTAAACGTGGTTCATGTCATCAAAGTTAGTGTAATTATTGTTGTAAATTTCAATTATTGTTTCTGTCATCAAGGTTTAGTGTTAATATCAAATATTGATAGTGTAAACTTGTTGTAAATTTCAGTTATTATTCATGGTCGTGAGTATTTCATGTATAGTTTAAACTTGTTCAAATCAATGAAATTGGGATTAAAATCGTATTGTTGTTCAAATTCATTCCAGGTGAGTTTCAATTCTTCCAAGAAAAAATGATTTCGTTTCATCCACATTTTAGTAATAGATCGATAAGCTTCCTTAGTAAATACTTTGTCCCATTTCTTACCCAATCCAACTTTAGCACCTGTTAGGCTATGGATATCTTGCTTGGTCTTGATGAGGTACAATAGTCGTTTGGAGAATTTCCTGTTATTCTTTGCATATATTGAGATATTATATAAATTCCTAAACATTTCTTTTCTTATATCACTATAGTATTTACATTCAAAAATAATGTTTTGCATTGTCTCTCTACTACAGCAAGGACATAGCAAGTTCGTCTTGGATATCTTGTTTAAATTTTCCAAAGTCTTCATCACGTTCACTCTAATTTTAAATATTAGATTTATGGTTCTGAAACCGATTTCTATTGAGGGGTAAATGTTGGTGAACTTTCTGTTCTTGGGAGGAAGGTTCTTTGGCGTGTATGATCTTTTGTGGAGGCGTTGAAATATAAGTTTGTACAATGTTTGTCTAGTGTTTGTCTAGTGTTTTGAGTGTATAGCACATTGTTGATAATAATATACCAATTATTGGATGGAATATTAGTAAGAATATTGTTACAATCAGCACCTTTCTTAGCAGCCTTATCTGCTAATTCATTTATACGGCTATAGATATCTTGTTTACCTGTATGACTGTTAACATGCATAATTTTGATCTGATCCTTCACTTTTAAATAATTACGAATTTCTTCAACATAAGGATCTCTAGATTTTCTGAATTGGAAAAGTTGGTCATAAATACTTTTCGCATCTATGACTATTGTTCTAGGAGTGTTGTTATCAAGCAATCTAACAACTGTGTGGAGTGCTTGAACTTCACTGTTGTAGGAAGTTCCTTGTCCTAAGGTGTGACTTGAGATGGAAACATTCTGATCAGTTACAATACCGTATCCAGCAATATTATTGTTACATGATCCGTCAGTACCAATTAGTGTAGCTTTGTTCAAGAGGTTTGACAGAGATGTGTTGTTACCAACATTGTTTTCAGTCTTTTTTTTCTCTATTTTCAAAATTTGTTACAATCAAAAGAACGGAAAGAAAATTTTGAGAATTATTAAGATATTGGAGAACGTTGACAGGTGTAATGCTTAGGTTGAAGGAGGAGTATGATACATACATTCATTTGAAAACATGGTTCTTGTTTTCCTCCATTGAAAGAGAAACATTAATCTCCGAAAAACCAGTTCTCTTGAATTTATCATGCCTTGAAAATTCTCCAAAAAAAGTTGAAAACACCAAAAAGTACATTGAGAGCTTTGAGTTTGGAATTTCATCTTATTTGCAAGTGACACAATCCAAAACATTTTGTATTATTTATCCAATGTTTGCCAAAGATGAAATGAGCGTATTTCCTTTTAGTCCAGAATTGAAACTGTTGTTTCAGACCTATCTTGAAAAATTAGTGAAGAAGTATCATTGCTTAAGAAGGGTTTTCCCTTTGTTTCAAGTATTCATCACACAAGTGGAGAAAGATCCACAATTACAAAAGGAAGTCATCCAACACAAGGTCTCAATGCTTCGAATTATTAAGGTTGAAATTATGAATGAGTTGTCAAGACTCTTGAGTGAAGCCTCGTTTTTGTTAAAACAAGAGTTCATTTTCGACTTTTTGAAAGTTGGGTCAAAAGTAGCCTTGGAAGCTGGCAAATTATTAGCATCTCAGGAGAAGGTCAAGGATTGTCAATATGAAAAAGGTCTTTGACCACACTTCATTTCACTCAGTATCCATTAATCATGTTGTAAATAAAGTTATTATTTCCGAATGTGTTCAGTCCTTCATAAAACAGCTGACATAAATTTTGAGAAGTCTGAGGCCCAAAGGGGTTATCATCACCTACAAAAAATGCAACAAGTCCATGAGGATGATAGTAAGGCTTCTTCTCCTGAGGCCAGTCATGAAGGAAATGAAACTAATTCGGAAGATGGCGGAGAGAATGCCTTGCTACTCGAGCATATGAATAATGAGAGTTCATCTTCTTGCACCTCTTTAGAAGCGTATGATCAAGAAGAAGATGATGATCATGGGCTTGCCGACGATGAAATGGAAGAAAATTCTGCCTCTTTGCAAAATATTACTCCAAATAGGGTTCAGAATAATATTAAGGAGAACAATGGCTCACAAGAAAGCACTCATGAGGAGTGCAAATTCCCAAACAATCCCCATCAAACAATTGAAGACGCTTCCAATGCAGGTGGCAAGCAAGATTCCGATGTTGCCCAAGCATCTATTACCGAGAAATTGTTGCATCAATTCTATCTTGAGACCATCAATGAGATGAATATTTTCGATCCCTTCGCAAATGATCTGGTCTACGAAACAACCATGAGCCCGAATCAACATAAAGCTTCAAAACTTGTACAGGTTGATATAGCCTCACATACAAACCATACACCTTGCGAGGACCTCAATGAAAATGCTATCAACAGCAAACAGCAACTACTTTCAATTAAGAGAGAATTGGAGCATGAAATATCTCTTATTGAATCTCAACTTTTTGATTTGAATGAAACAGAAGCATTTCTGACATCTGCCCTTAATCGTTTAACCGCCGAAAACAGAATTAATAATGCCCTAAAAGATCTTGAAACCAATAATTTGGAGGATCTGACAGAATTGTCGAAAATTGTTGAAATTGAGGTGGAAAAAAAAGAAGCGTCCGAGCAAAACAAGATAATCTCAAACCTTCCAGAAAATGATGGTGACTATTCCTTCACAAACTCCTCCATTGCCTACAACATTCTTCAATTACAGCATCTCATTGATACATCATCGAAAAAGCTTGAACAAGTTCAATGTCATCATAATCAACTCATTCAGAACAAGAGAAGAAGGATGATAGAGAAAGCTCATCTCCGAGAGCTCAATAATCAGAGTCTTAATTACGAGAAAAAAGTCAACTCTGATACCAAAAAAATTGAAGACAAGTATTGCCATGATTTGAAGAAGGAACAAGATGAAAGTTACCAATTAGAGTCTACAGAGAAAATGCTTCAATTCAAACTACAATTTGTGACAAATGAAGATGGCCAACAATTAATGGAAACAATGCAAAAAGTCATGTCCATGTTGAAAGGAAGAGAGGAGTTACCTGATGGAAACTATATTAGTGTCTCGAGAGCAATCAACTATTATTCTCAACTCAAAGAGGCAGCCGAGAAAAATGTCTTCACTGTTGAATATTTTAAAAAGTTTCTGAGAGAGCACAAGGAATTTGGAGTATTTGCTTGCAATTTCGAAGACTATTATTCTCCAAGCTCCAAGACAATGTCTGCTGGGCCTTGCACAATCATGCCCAACAGTACAAATACAGCAGGTATCCGACAAGACAACAATGGTGACAGTATTTCCTCCGAAGTCTTAGAAAAGCCCTCCACCAAGTACATCTTGGATCCCACAGAGATTCTCTATAATACTAGAGAGGAAATGCCAAAGTTTGATGGAGATGCAGAAAGTAAAACTCCCCTCAACAAGAGGAGTAGTGGAAGCAATATGGAAAGTCAGTCAAGGGTCAATGGTGGCACCAGAGTGAACAGATCACTCTCTCTTAGTAAGAGTTCAATCGCAGTGCCTTCAACTCCCACAGCACAAAATGTTTCCTCTCAAAGTATTAGCAGCATGACGAATGCTCCTTCTTTCCAATCTACAACTAGCTCAACAAAAGGATATGTCCATGATGTAATACGGAGAAGTATGAATGCATTGTCAAAAGTTCAAGCTTCAAAAAAGTCAAAACATTAATGTGAAGTTTGAAAGAGAACAAATAGCTTAGATTTGAGCATGTATTCACTTTTTCTGATTTTCTTCTTTGATCTTGTTGACCTTGCTGGAAATAGCTGTCAGAAATTGTTGAGCAGTGATGTTTCCACTGCTATTCTGAGTCTGTGTAGCGTTTCTTTCGTCATTAGTGTTTGTTTCTTCCACAATGTAATCACTTCGTTTTTTCTTTTCATTTTCTCCCTATTTAATTGAGAACACAAAATTATGCCATTGGAGCCAATACATGATTCCAACCTACCACATAAATTACCAGTCCAACAATAAATCCAAGAATGATCATAATATTTCCCAAATTTCGAGCCAACTTCATTCTCTCCGCTTGTTTTTCTTGCTTCTTGTCTGTGTTGAATTTCAACTTTAAAAAATCAGTCAACTCTTTTTTAATATTCTGCATCTTTTCTTGTGCCATCTTTCTATCTTGTTGATAGTTTTTTAATCGTTGTTCAGGATCATCACTGTTTTCCTCTTTCGTGAGTCTTTGTTCGGAAGAAGAGAAACTTCTTGTTTGATTCCATAATAATGCAGAGGAGTATCTATTATTATGAATAGTATTGTTCATATTATTATTTTGAAACGAATTTGCAGCAATGATGGCCACTCTTCTCCGAGCCAAATTGCTTCCCTTTAACAAGAAGTGTGAAGAAAAATAATTCACAAGGCACTTGGGTCTATTCCGAATGGACTGCAACATTTTTCTTTTCAAATTTGGATCGATAATTATTGCTCGACAGAGTCTAGAGAGATCTACTGTAGTTGAAACCTAAAAAATGTCTTCAAAAAAAGCTTCCTCAACAACGGCACCACGAAAAAAGATACAACTTAAAGTCGATGAGAACACTACTCCGGAAAGTGTATTGGTGGAGTATATTCGAGTTGGACAGACGGAAGATATAGAACAATTATTTAAGGACTATTTGATCGACCCAAATTTTCCAATTTACGACAAATCGAGTGCCAATACAAATGAAAAAGTAGTGACTGACTATCCGTTTACATTAGCAGCTCGGAATGGATTTAATGACGTTGTTCAAGTGCTTGTCAAAAACAAAGCAAATATTAATTGCAAAATCAATGGAGATAACATTCTTCATATTGCTGTTTCTAACAACGATGAAAATTTTCTTAGAGCTATGCTCGAGGTTGAGGTAGTCCATCCAACCAAAAAGGAAATTGTCAAAAAAATTGATATTAATTGTAGGAATGATAGAAACTTGAGACCAATCGATATTGCTGTAAATAATAACGCGACCAATTTAATCAAAATGTTGCTCGAGAATGGAGCAGAATTCGATTTTGATGAGCCTCTCGACCATACAAACCATACAATTCTTCATACATCAGCTATCGAAGGAGATGTAAAGAGATTGGCATGCTTGTTGGAGTTGGGTCAATCTCCATACAAAAAGGATGTATCAACAGGAAGAAACATTTTACATTTTGCTGTCCTTAACAATAGAAAGGATTATGCTGAATATTATTTGAAAATGAAACTTGATGCGACCTTACTATACTCCATGGATCTCAATGGTCAGACTCCCATTCACGAATGTTGCAACATGGAAAATTGGGAAATGTTGAAACTTTTCATGACAAAGTTCAATTTTGATATTAATTATTTGTTCCAAGATGGCCTTTCTTTACTTCACAGATATGCGTTTCTCAAAAAACAAGACGTGTGCGACAAATTAATTGGGCTCAAAGCAAAGATTAACCATTTGGACAAGTTCGGGAATACACCACTGCACTGGGCCTGTAGCTCTGGGTCCGCAACCTTAACGTCCTACTTTTTAGAGAAAAAGCTTAGTGCTAATGATCAAAACTGTGCCGGAAACTCGTGTCTTCATGTTGCGTGTTATCATGGCTTTGTGGATATTACAGAGCTATTGCTCTCAGACAAGAAAATTCAAATCAACATTCTAAACAAGGAACATCGATCGCCTCTTATGGAATCAGTGTCAAGGGGACATTTAAAAATTGCAGAGATACTTCTTTCTAAAGGAGCCAATATCCACGAGGAGGACAACAAGGGAATGACCAGTCTTCAAATTGCCCTCAATGAAAAACAAGAAGAGACTTCTCTTCTCCTTATCAAAAAGGGTGCTAAAGTGGATCGAAAATACGTGGGCTATGCCAGAGAAGACTTCCTCACCGACCGAGAATACATGCTACAACATCATGTGGTGGAGAACAATGATAAAAGTTTAGAATCGCTGAGAAAATCTGCAGATTTAGGATTCAACACCATTCTTCAACAAGCCATTGTACAGGGTTTTTCAAGACTTGTCGAAGAAATGGTTAAAATTCCTGAATGTCCTTTGGAAGAGCCAGACGTCAATGGAGTGAAACCTCTGATCAATGCTATCAAGGTCCAAAACATTCATATGGTTCAGTCTTTGACAAGAACTGGTAAGGTGAATGTTTCAGCTACTACAGAGCCCATTACTGGATTTTCTCCTCTCATTCTTGCTTGTAGCTTGGGAAATTACGATATTTGTGCTCATCTTGTTAGGGAGTGTAAAGTAACAACAAACGGCTGTGAACACATGACGAACAAAACTGCCCTTCATTACGCTTGTCGTGTTGGAAATTTGGAGATTGTAAAATTGCTGGTTGACAATGGTTCTCGGGTCGATGATTTTGATGTGCATGACCGAACGCCTCTCTTTGAAGCTTGTGAACATAACCATGGTAGGATTGTGGAGTATCTCATTGCAAAGCATGCAAATATTGAGCACAAAGACAAGGATGGTTTCACAAGCCTTCATCTATGTTGCCAGCATGGATCTGTGGCGTGTATGACTGCTCTTATTGAACGAGGAGCAATACTGAACTCGAAAGATTCTGCCGGTAGAACACCCTTAATCGTTGCATCACAATTTGGACAAACAGAATGTGGAAGAGTTCTTGTGAAAGCATTTGCATCAATGAAAAAGTGAAAGGTCTGGACCTGTGATTTTTCATTTCTCGAAATTGCTCAATCTTCTCTGTGAAGAGTTTGAGTGCATCACGATGATCAACAATTTGTTTCCAAGCGAACTTGGAACTGTTTCCTCTTTCCTCGCAGCATGTAAAAAACTAATAATAAGCACTGACGCGTACTCCAAAGTCTTCATTTTCCAACCCAGAAAAAAACTTCTCTTCCCTTAGATTAAACACCTTGCGCTTGTTCTTTTCGGAAAAATCCTCGCAAAAAGTTCGTACTCTCTCGAACAAAAACGCTCCAAATACTAAATAGAGCGACATTTGAATACAATTCACAACTGCGACGAGTTTATATTATTGTTCGAGCCTCATCAACATCAAGAGCATCTCCAGAACAAAAAAATACTCGAATCACCTTCATGAGTAACACGGCACAACGTTTAAAGTCGAGAGGAACCTCCTTCCTCAGACAAGTCAAGGATATTGGTAACATTGCTGTTTCATCTTTTGATGATATCAAAATGAGTATGGCAAAGGCTACGAATCAAGATCCTGTTCCACCAAAGGAAAAACATGTAAAGAGTAAGTGGCTGGATAGATAATGGTGTGTTTGATGAATACGATTTTGCTAACAAACTAAATTATTGATGATGGATGATCCGGTTGGAATCATTTGGTGGTTAATCATGACTTTTTGGATTTATACAACAATGGATGTAATTGATTTGTCTGATATGGTATCATCATCATTGCTGGTGGATTTGAATAACATCATCGACTATTTATCTAAACTTTATTCACGATTATCATCCAATCCGATGAAATGTTCCTGTAAATAATCATCATCATATCCATGGGGAATAATTAAAAATTTATTGTAACTGACTTGTTGATTTCTCCGATCCTGGCAACAACAACATCAACACAGAATTAATTCTCGCAACTGAAACTAACAGAGAACTAAATATGGTTGAATTCGCAAAAGCAATTTGTAGAATTTACAGAAAAAGCAGTGACTGGCTAACGGCTTCTAAGGGATTGCAGCTACTGCATCGTATTGTTCAAGAGGGCTCTACAGAATTTTGTGATGCAATCGTTCAAAACGATCCTGAGAAGCGTTTCAACATGTCCAAATTTAAGGACAGACATACAAGTGAGGCTATGGATCAATCCCCACTCGTAAAACAATACTGTAGATATCTTGAGGAAAGATTGATTCTGTATCGTATTTATCAACTCAAGTCGTTACTTCCTGATATGACATTGGATGCATATGTGTCATCAAACGACATGAAAGGATGGTTGGACCTGACTGAAAGTTTGCTTAGAACTACAAATGAGCTCCTTGAATGTTATGAAATTGTGAAAGGAAAGAAATCTATTCTCGAGAATGGAGCAGCTGTTGGATGTTTCACTTTGTGTTTAGATGATAGCTTCGTTCTTTACAAGTTGTTGAGCGATTGTGCAACCAAAATTTTAGGTATGTTTAACATTTGACATTTTGTATGTCTAACAATTTCTTCTCCGTTTCTATTTACTTTTACAAAACAAATTCAAATTATATTCTTATTGGAACAATCTCTTCTTTCATCAAACATGATTATTTGTCAACATCTGATGATGACAACAACATGACAGATGATTTCTACAAGATTCCATTAACCCTTGCTAAGAGAGGTCTCGAAGTTTATGAGAAATATTGTGATTCAGCCAAACGTTTGGAAAGCATGTTCGAATTTAGCAAAAATGTAAATCAAATCTTCCTCAAGTCCAAACCACCTTCCTTAAAATTCAAACCTGAAAGTGTTTTAGAACCAATGAGAGAATATGTGGAATCACAAGGTGGTACAAAGAGAAGGCTTATTGACCATGGAGAAGTCCCAACAACTGATCTTTCGAGCATCTTGTCGAAGAATGAATTAGAAATGATCAAACTGTCAACAGCAAATGAAGAAGATACCACTTCCTCAACATCTAAACCTCGCTCTTCGAGTGTCAAGAAAAATCCTTTCGGGTTGGATGAACCACCAAAACAAACACCCAAGACATCTCCTCGCAGAGGTAGTACTAATACGAATACTGCAACCACAAGTACCTCCAATAACAATGCTCCTGTGAGTTTGGATGACTTACTTTCGTTTGATACACCTCAAGCCAATAATCAACAACCAGCAAACAATGGCAATGCTTTTAACAATAACATCAATCAGCCAAATCGTCAAAATGTCACTCAAAACATCCTAAGTCAATTTGACAACAATAACATGTATTATGGAGGTAATAACTATGGTGGATATGGAGGTGTTAATAATCAATATGGTGGAGTTGGATTTTCAAACAATCCCTATGGAAATAATCCCTATGGAAACAACCCATACCAAAACAACCCTTATGCCAACAACAGTATGCCTTCTTACAATAATAACATGCCCTATGCAAATAATCCTTACCAAAACAATCCTTATGCCAACAACAACATGCAATATCCAAACAACAACACCAATCCTTACTCTCAACCACCTCGAGGCAACAACACTGGCAACAATTTTTACTGAATGACTCGATTGCATCAGACTTGTTCAGCTTGCTTTGAGCAGTAATAAATTATTTGAAATCATTAAATAAGTATTATAAGATCGAAAGTAAACCACAAGAGCTCACATTCAAGGAAGCCTTGCATGCAATCAATGTTTTTGATATTTTGGGAAATTGGAGGTGTGGGATGGTTTATTGAATGGTTGAATGGTCGATCACTACTGATTGGAAATGTAAAAGTTAACAAACTCCATCGTATACAACGAGGTTCTGTATGCAAAAACGCTCAAATTATCAGGATTCTCTGCTTTAAGCTTTTTAAATTCTTCATCACGTAAAAACAATTGAGGGTTCTCACCTGTTTGTGCTTGGTATGAATGCAGCATCTTCTTGAGCTTGTATTTATCTTCAAAAGCTCTTGCAAGAATATAAGTCGCTCCATTATAATTTACACAATCTGCTGGTTTCACCTTAAAGACAACATTCGATCGTGATTTTACAATCTTTGTTTCGGATGATTCTCCCTCAGTTTTTCTCTTCTTTGGTTTGGGAGCCAAGATTGGAGGTAATGGTTCCTCCAATGAAGAGGTGGTTGTAGTTGCATCGACTGAGGAAGAGCTTGATGCTGATTTTGATGATGATGACGAAATTGGGGGAGGAAGAGATGCAACTGGTTGAGATGGTGTCACAATTTGTGGAGAAGCAGAAACTCGTTGCCTCAATGACTGTTCATACTTCTCTATTTGTTTAACCATTGTTGAGAGTTGATGTTGGAGGAGACTAATCTTCTCACTCTTTTTCTTGATCACCTCTTGATACTTTCTGTTGGCTTTTGTTAAGGATTCAATTTTTTCTTCATGTCTCAGAATTTGGGCATAAAAAACGCGAGCCATTCCGCTCAAACTTTTCATAAAAACTTGTGGAGTTTCTTGCGTGACAGAAAGAATGGGTTCGTCGCTTTCCGACCATTCAATTCCATTTGTATGAGAGTCTTTCTTGGGGGGTGTTGTTGACGTCAAGGGCTCTTCTTCTTGCATCATTTCTGCCAATTCTTGCTTGTATTTTGCGTCCAAGTCTTCAATTTCTTTCTCTGTGAATGTTCTCTTCTTGGATGGTGTTTGTGGTGTGATCGATGGCGAAACAAAAAGTGATTCTCTCTTTAAAGGTAATGGTGGTGTTCCTTCGCTTGGGATGAGATAATTTGAGAGTGAAGAAGAAAATGTGCAAGTTGTGGCAGAGGAGCTTGCTGCATTATTGTTCATAGAAGATGACAGAGTAGAAGCAAATACAGGCTGTTGTGAGGAGGCGCTTGAGGAAGTTTCAATGGATGATGATGACATTTCTGTGTGAGGTTGGATCTTTGCCAATTTAATGGGAGTAGGATCAGAGGTGGGAATATTGGATGATTTCAAAGCAGATGATGCATCATCTGAATGGGAATAGTTGAAAGAAGAAGGAGCACTCGATGATGCAACTGATGGAAAATTGTTCGATTTAAGGAAATTTGTTGAACTAGTATCCTTGTGTTGTTGATCTTCACTGCTGCTTGCTGTAAATGCTGCCGATGATGATATCATATCTCCAAAATTAAACTCGTTGCCACAGTAGTAATAGTAGTGCAAGGAGGTAAAATAAATGACACAAAAAACACTTTCGAGAATTCGTCGTCGTCGGTGTGTGAAGTGTTGGTCGTGTCCTTGTGTTGTGGAAAGAACAACAATGAACACACTGTGTGGGAAAAGTGGTTGGTGAGGACAACAATCACTTTAGTGATGATGATGTGTCTTGAGAGAAGGATAAGACAAGTTTCAACACACGAATCTCAGAAAGGTCAAGCTTCAAGGTTGAGTAATCAATAAAATTTCAAATCCCGAGTTGGCAAAATTGTTGCCTCTGTGGAATACACACCGAGACAAATGACGTAAGAGTGGCAGAATAATCATCATGAGATGACAATTTGGAAACGACATCATTGAACATGCCCCGCAATCATGAACATCAAAGGTTAGATAAAAAGTTGTATTTTAGAGATAAAATTAAAACACGAATGGAACTTACAGTTGATGGTGTTTCAGAGGTTTGAAAGAGCTCGGAATGAATAAGAAGTGTTTTTCAAGGTACAAACAATCTTGTTTTTCAAAGTTTAAGCTCGGAACAACGGCACAATAGCTCTCTTTGAGATTGAACAAGTTTTTCCAAATCGGAATTCCAATGTGCAAACTTTTTGGATGAAACAGTTATTGTAGAAGGTAAATATTTCGCGATGAGGATGTGAATAACAGCTCAAATTGAATGTTAATCAATGCGGAGGAGGAGATGCAGTGGTTGCTCTCTGTAATCAAGCAAAAGTGCTTTTTGAATTTTTTTTAACCACCCTCTTGAGGGAAGACTGATTTGAATAGGAATGGAACCCCGTAGGCAGTGTTCTCAGACCTCTCTGCCGAGAGAGAGATTTGTGATTCAGATCAATCGTTATTAATAAACAAGGATAGATGGTTATAGAAAATTTAATCATGGTTGTTTGGATCAGCAGTGCACTGCTGATGAAATAAATGCTTGTGATGTATGGTGAGCCATGATGATTTTTAGTTACGCCCCAAAATCTCAAAGCTTTGATTTGTAAAAAATATAAAATTCTTCAGATATTCTTATCCGGCTGGCGGTTGAAAGTGTAAGAACAACATTGGGTGTCAGCGGATTGGGATGATGAGGAATTCTTTCACCAGTGAAAGGCATACTCATAATTGATCCAAACCAACTCTAAGGTTTGAAACGGTACGAAGTTACCGACTCCAACAGGAATGGTCTATTCTCGAGGTGTGTTTGTCTCTCGAGTTGAATCACTGCAAAGTTGCCTTCCATTAAGGATCCTGGATTCACAATGGGCAGTGTACCAACGAGTGAGGAGGAAGGTCGAAACAAGTGCGTATGTCCATGTACCAAACATACACAGCTCGATTGCAGTTCTGTTTGCTCAATGAATCCTCTCAAAGCATCGGAACCAGAAATGATTTTGGGACTAGTGATATCTACTTTCTGGAAGAGAGTCGTGTCGCAGTTGGCTGGTCCGTTATGAGTCATGAAAATGTATTGTCGGTAGTGTGAGGCTTCTTTGGGCTCTTGTTGTTCAGTGTTTACCTCGGAAGATCGTGAGGTTGAAAGTGTTGTTGTTGGCATTGATGATGATGATGGTTGATTCATTTCAGTTTTCATTCTCTCGACGAGTGGTGCGAGCTCCTTTCCGTATGCTTCATCGGTGGAGTGAGGGTAACCTTTCCATGCTCGTGTCGATACAAGCTCTGGAGGTGAAATGTGGAAGGAAGGAACGCTCCCACCAAATCCTGCCAAATACAGTCCCTCCCTCAGTTCCACAATGGAATTATGCACGAGGTGAATGTTTTCTTTGGGTTGAGTGAGTTTGTTTTCGAACATGACATCTGGATCGTGCTGTATATTTCGTTCAGAAAATAGAGCAAGCCAAATAGGTCAAATAATTATTATTACATGGTACGAAAGGTTGTGCAATTCCACAATGATGTGGCACAACCAGGAATGTTGATTAAGGTCAATAGATCAATAGATTTCAGAAATTAAAATAATGAATCAATCATTTCAGATACAACATACATTTCCTGGAATTAAATATACCTTAGGAGCAAAACTCAACATGCCCTCAGCAATCTTCTCCACACTCTTGAGTGACTCGAATTGAAATTCTTTACTCTTGTATTCTTCTTTTGTCTTGATGTTGACAATATCACCGGGACAAAGAACTACATCGACCTTTACTTGATTTTTGTCTAGAATTTTCCTCACTCTTTCAAAATAAATGTCATAATTATGAATGTCACTCATAATCAATATAGAGAGACGCTCGGGTTGAGCAATGATATCTGTCTTGGTAGATCCTTCATTTGTGGAGGATTCTTTGAGTTTTTTCTGATTTTCTCTCGCATCCAATCCTTCCTTGTTATTATTATGGACAGAGAGTTGTTCTTCATGGTCGAGCTTTCGCTTCAATGAGTGATGTGGTTTATGCTGTTCAGCTTCCGTGTTGTTGTTTTGCATATTTTTTTATTTAATTTTTTGTTTTAAAACATGATTTTCAGACCTTTGCCACTTTCTTCACACACAATAAATTATAAAGCCGAAGGAATTCCATATCGCCATGATCTGCCATTATTTCTGTTGAGGTTGTTGAGTTTGTTGCTGTTGTTGCTTCGTATTTGCAAATATAATTTTCTTTCCCATACCTTGAAGCTCTTTGAGTGGCATCTTTTTTAATTCTTGTCGATAGGCCATCTTTTGTTGTTTTTGGATGGCCTTTTTCGAGGAGCCAGGTTTTGTTATGAATTTGTTTTGTTCCTTTGATTTCTTGAGAACTTTGTCCATATGTTTCTTTCGCATTTGTTTTTTGCTTTGTTTAATGTCTGTAAGAGCCTTTCGAAGCTCTTCAGTGTTGGAGGCTTGCACTGTGATTTCCTTAATTTGAGATTTAGGAGCATTGGAGAGTTGTTGTTGTTGATTACGGACACTGCTAGCTGAACTTGTCAAGTCTCCATTATGTGAGTCATCATTAGATTCAGTGCTGGTATCAGATTCATGTTCTTCCTCTTGACGAAACACGTTAGACAAAGATGATGATACGCCTTGGCTTGTGTTGTCATGTTTCGCATCATTCCAAGATTGTTCATGACCTGTTGTTGTCTCTTCGAATGGTCTAGCTACTTTTCCATCCAAAATTTTGTAATGTTTCTTAATGGCATTCTCTCGAGACATGAGTCCTTTAAATAGTTCCAATTTTTGTTGTTCAATCGAACGTAACGTTATTGAAGTTTTCCAGGATGGATGTATAGTGTCAATGGGTACAGGAATGTTGTTTTTCGTGAGATTGAATGGAGTATGAGAAGGTGTAATAAATATATAATTTGCATTCGTGTGAATATTGGGATGAATATTTTCAATTTTGTCATCCAAAGTAGAAACTGAGCTTCTGCTACTCGGCGATGAATGATGAATGGTTGTTTCAAAATTGGGATCCTCTTCCTCATCATTAATATCGGAAATAAAGACACTGCTTTCTCTCGATTGTTTCTTATTTACGGACTTGTTCCCTGTTGTTGTATTCTCCTCATCATCATTTTCATCCAATAATAGTGATTCAGTAGTCTCCTCTTCATTTTCAACTTGATCATTAAATAATGAATTTAATTGACAATCATCATTATCCTGACCACGAGGAAGATGATTCTCTTCTTGCTCCTCATTGGAGTTGGATTCATTGCCATTATCCTCATTCAGAAAAAAATCATCCTCTTCTTCTTGTTGTTGTAATAAATTTCCAATGGATGAATTATATTCTTCTTCCTCCTCACTACTTTCCATGTCTCCGAGAGAGGACATGAAGACAGAAGCAGTTGTTGCACTCTTCTTCCGTTTCGACATTTTTGTCATGTTTTGATTCAACCAACAAAACCATCAAACAAAAAAATGCAAGGTGATGATGTGAATCAAACCCATCACCGGGATGATGATCATCAGATGGACACTAATAATACTCCAATTCCAACACAAAAAGACGAAGATGATCACAATGAAAGTTTAAGAAGTGAAAATAGTAATAATGAACAAGTGATTGGTAATGAAGAACAAATTTATTATCATCATCATCATGACGAGGAGGAAGAAACATCCTACCAACAACAACAGCAACAACAACAGGATTCAAGCGAGGGAGTTAGAAAAGGCTTATTTGGAAGACGTGCTTGGGACGATCAAGTTTATCAGCAACGTGCAGCAGAACGATTAGTCCGAGAAAAAAGTGGAGTTGATACCGATGATAAAAGAAAAGTTGTACAAACTCGTTCCGAGTCTCTTCAAAGAAAGCCTCTTCAAGCTCGTGAATCAAGATTGTTACACTTATCGGATGACAAACTTATTGGAAAGAAGGGAGTCATTGATGTAACTCCAGAGGGAAAACAAATCATGCCAAACTCAAAAACAGTCATTAAAAAGAAGAATGCTAAAGAAGAAATGATGCAAAAAGTAGATCCGAATCAGCTGGCTGGATTTTATTGCAATGTTTGTGATCGGAGCTTTAAAGATTCTGCAAGCTTTGTGGACCATTGTAATTCCAAATCTCACTTGTCCAGATTAGGAATGACTAATAGAGCTGTCAAAGCATCCGCAGATGAAGTGAAAAGAAAACTACAAGAAACTATTGATGCTAAAAAGGATGAAAAAGGAAGAGCTCCTAGTTCAGTGTCGTCACTCACAGCTCTCGCTTTGAGCCGAATTAAAAAGAATACTGAGGCAAAACAAAAGTAGACTGCAAGATTCAGCGATTTGATGAATTTTATCCAATAGATGATTGATCTTCCATTTAATTCTGGAAGTAACATCATTTGCGTAGGTGTTTCATTCCATCTCGTTGCAGCTTCTTCGGTTTGGTATTGCAAGACTGTCACGTAACAAAAACAGCCTTAGTTTGTAGAATTAACGGTACAGTGCTCAGAAAAGAATCACACGCAGGCAACATGAGATTCAAGAATAATAACAGGCCTCTTAATACAAGGATGAGCTCTTTGTTGTGCGATTAGTTTGTCTGTTTCCAATATTTTTAAAATTTAATTAAATAAAAAAATTAATTTAAATTAATTGAAATGAATGGAACACATCACCATACGCTGTGAAAATTGGGCACTCCTTCATCAATAACATCCTCATTAGCAACAATTCAAAGTTCCTATTCTTCGAAAATTTCAGTCTTTTTAAAGACACATGAGGTTATATAAGATCAGAACACCCAACGAATTCTCAAAAACCGAAAGCATGAGATCTCAAAGATCAGGTCAATAGGTAATCTCTCTGTTGCAACGAAGTCTGGCGCCTATTTTGGGTGAGTTCCGAGTTGTCTGAAAAAATCCAAAATTTGCCGCCAAAGTTTATGCTTTGAATGGAACACATTTACTCAACGCTATTTTTTCTTATTATGATAAATTTTCCAAAGTCAAGTTTTTGATTTTCTCAAAAGAGCGTAAATTTGGCAAGTTGAGTTTTTGTTTTTCATCAATGACAATCTCCGCCACTACTACGAGTGCGAATGATATTGGTGCAACTATAATTGCTCTCGAACATCACAAGGAGAGTAAAAATTTGGAATTTTCTCTTTTAATCCAATATTCATAATTCACATTTCCAGATTCATCAAAGTTGCATCCATTTATGTTTTCACCTTGATAAATGTCTTTCAGAATGTCCTTATTAAAATTCAAATACATTTGTAAAAATTTACACTTTTCACGATGGTATGGAAACATTAGACAAATGTCACGCAATCCTTTGACATCGAATGACCTCTGAGAATTAATTTTTCAACAAGTACAAACATTTTGTTAGGATTCGAATCGATACTCCCCAATAGTGATGTTAATAACGAGCTGTCATTGAATAAATCTTGTCGATAAAGTTTTAAACTTTTCAACAACAAGTTGCATTCCAAAGAAGGATCATTCAATTCTTTGGAGACTTTTTTTGGCTTCCAAATAGTCATGCAAGAGAACATGATCGCCTCCATAGAATTGTGAAAAATTGGAAAATGAAGATGTGTGTAATGAACAGTCAATCATAAATTCCAACACAATCAAAAACATGACATTTGACATGTAAGGTAAATATCTACTTCGAAAGGACAAGATCCATTCCATTAAAACAAGATGGTATCTCAAAGAACATTCGATTCCTCATGACTACATAATATCCTTCCACTTTCATGCTATGAAGGTTTCATCAACAGATTTTCAGAATTCCATTTCTTGTTTGAAGGAACAATTTCACATTCATCGAAATTGCACAATTTCTAAAGTCATCATTGAATACTTGTGCTTTGATCACCGTTCGATGTCTTCGATCATTCTTATAACCACTCAATTCATTTTCAAAAACAATGTTCACCACAGTCGAAGAATGATTTTCACATCGTTTCACATGTTTTCGGAAAGTAAACTTTCAGTTTGTTTCGTTTAGACTACATATGTATTCGATCCAACATGAAAATTCATTCATGAAATTAAAGGTTGATGGTTCGGATGAGTGTACGGAGGATGAATTCTTTTTGCGAGAAATGTTAGAGTTGGTTTGGGAACACCTTCTGTCACTTGTCGATGATGTTTGAAATAATGATCGGAATTGATCATTCCAACTTTTACAAACGAGTGAATATTTGAATAATACAGAGGGTGCTAGAGAGAAGGAAAAGATTTCGAACAGGACATCTCGAGATTGGATGGAACGGTACTACCTTGTCATTAGAAGATGACATTTTTTTCATCTGGCAGGAGGAGGTTTGTGACTAAAAATAACTTTCTGTCTCCTGCCAAACTTTCTACCGAGCCTCAAATTTAACACCAAAAAAAATTGTATCCAATGCCATCGAACATCAACCAACAACAGATGTCTCAACTCGAAGAATCTTCTATCCAGCATCAAACAACATCAGCACCAGAGGGATCTTCTTCTTCTACTGTTAATGATTCATCAAAGATCAATACAGTAGTGCAAACAACAACACAAGACAATCTCAAAACAACATTTTTACCAAAAGAAGAAACAATCGTTGGAGTAGTCCAAGAAGAAACTCCTGAAATGGAAGACTTTGTTCAAAGCCCAACTCGAGGAGAAGTCGATGAAACAACTTGTCAACAGTTGAATGAAGAAACCAAAGGAAACTCGAACACTTGTGAAGAAGAAGAATTGATTACTGTTTTCAGAGGTCTATCGTTGGAATCGAATGAACTCAAAAAGCAACACTACATGTCGCACTTTTTCTCATGGATTTTGGTAATCACCGGCAAACTTCCTGACGACCTCATGACAAGGTGTGTGGAAGAATGGCAACAAACGAAAGGAGATTTTTATTTAAACATTTCATTGTCGACAAAGGAATTATCTCACTTTGGAAAACTATGTCAGAGACAAAAGAACTCTTTGGAAAATTTATTGATTGAAATATGCTACAGTGTGGTGACAGAAATGAAACATTCGCAACTCATCAAAGAGTATGAAAAGAAACTTGTGACAGAATTGAAACAATCGAATCGAAAACGTCAATTACTTTGTCGAGTATTTTGTCTCTTTTCCCAATTGTTGCTTGAACTGTTTCACAAATATCCAGCCCTAGAAGAAGATTTTATTAAGGATGAGAATCGACACTTGAGGCTGAACTTTTTCATCTCAACATCTATTAATCTCAATGTTGCAGAAAAGTACAAGGATGGAGGAAAGAGCGTATTCCAGAAAACAACCAATCCAAATTTTCCATTCCAACATGTTTTAAAGTTTCAGGTTAATCTAAATTCTCCAAATGTGATTGATTACTCAAAAGGTCAACTAAATGTCAAACACAGATTGAAAAGTGAGAGAGAAATTGCCATTATTGGAATGATAATGCCACAAGAACAAGAAACACTTGTAAAGATTGTGGAGAGTAAGGCAGACGGTAATTGTTGTCCACAATCCATTGGTTACCACCTCAACAAGAGTGCTGATGATGTGAGACGCGATATTACTTCTCACTTTAAATCCTTACTTGAAGGCTATTTGAATAACAATTCATCCATCTCTGAGTTATCCAAAAAGGTAGATGCCAACTCATTGGAAGGAAGGATCCTCTTAGCCATGTTGGATCCCTTGATTCAAAGTACAAATAGAGGAACAAGTGTTCATGATACGAGCCGCATGACTGTCAGACAATACATTAAGCTCATTCGCCAAAGTGGCTTTTGGTGTGGTCTTGCAGAGCTGTTGGTTGCATCTTCTCTTTATGAAAGAGACATTTTCGTTAATGGAAAGAATGTGACTGGAGGAAATGGTCACAATCCAATTTATTTGAGAAGAAGATATAACCACTATGATGCCGAAGTTCGTGAAAACTCTAGTATTGGTTCAAGCATAATGGCAGGTGACCGATCCATTCAATCCATTCCACTCGAGGACCAACGCAAGGAAGGTTCAGCATTGCTCGAAATTCCAGAAGACGAATCCAAAGAAAGTAAGGATCATGACTTGCCAACTGTTCAAGAGTTGCCACAACAAATGAAACAAACAAATGAAGCAGAAAGCGATCCAGCAAACAACTCCAATAATTTGGATGAACATTCCTCCAACGAAACCATTCCATGAATTTGTGGGTTTTTTCACACACATTTGTACAAGATCATTGAGAGAATATTTATAGATCATTGAGAGGGTATTTATAAAGTCGATTTATTATACTTGGATAAGTATGTTATTATCATCTTCAGTCTAGACATCTTTGCAAGAAAGATATTTGACCTCCCATTCATGAGATTGCTGAGAGTTGGAATAAAATAATGACTCGATCTATTTACTACTCTTCAGCTTATTTCTTGATAAATTTTGGCACAGAGTCATTGTTGGAGGGGAAAGTTTTTTCCACATTCTTGTTCATCTCGACCAATTATGGGAAATTGTAATTTCCTTCTTTTTAAAAAGAAATTCAAAAAATGAAACGAAAGAAACGTTCCTCTTTGAAGCATCTCGGCAGTGAATACATTCACCCAAGCAAATACTTGATTCGGGAGGTGTTGCTGGATGATGAGAGCATGAAGGAAAGCAACCAATCCTCTCCCATACCTTCAGTATTAGGATCCGATTCTGAACATGATGATAATAGTTCTTCTCATCCTCTCACTCTTCCGAATCATCCTATTCATCCTAATCCTCACAAGCAGGAAGAACAACAACACCGAATATTCCTAATTGATCGTATCGGAACAGATTGTTTGGAATTAATTTTCTCCTTTCTGACCTATCCAGAGATGGCTCCAATTCTCTTTGTTTCACGACAATGGTCCAGAGTGATGGTTCCACTCTTCTATACAGAGACCTATGATGTTCTTGCATCGAATGAGCATTTAGAAGAGTTGAAAGAAGAAGGTAGAAATTATGATACGGATACTGAATTTGGCTACGAAGGTCTCTACACGGAGAGTGCCACATGGAAACCAACGCTTTGTTATGACACTGAGGACGAATTGGATGCAGAGAGAGAAGAGCTCCTTCCACCAACGAGCGAAGATTCTTCAGAGGAGAATGATGATGACCTTAATACCACTTCAAGTGAAAATCTCCTCCAACTTGAAAAACAGAATCATGATCATTCCAACTCCCATTTGAAGAATTCTTCAAATTTACAAAATTATGTTTGTGATAAGAGATTACCGTTTGGAAGTCCTTTGTGTAAACACACCATCCAAGATCAATTTTATCTAGTTCAAGACTCGTTATCGAAAGATGAGTATATTGAGCTCGTCGAACAATATTTGAAAGTGAACATGAGAGGAACAATGAACCAAGATAATGACAAGTTACAACCATCGGCTCCATTCTACATCAATCCATTTCTTTTCTATGATCAAATAGAGCATGAACAATCACAAATTAAGCCTTACATGTGGGAAATTACAGAGTCCATACGTCGTGATGGTTATGGACCTATAATTGTTGGAAATTTCAGTGGACATACTATCTATAATGACGATGAATATTATGAAAGTTATCAAGCATCAGGTGAGTCTCTTCACAATAAGGTTTTTTTGAGCATTGATGTCAACTATCTATGAAACGATATATGTCTTTTTTGCAATGAACAACATGCTGTGGAACCCTTTTGTGTTTTTCAAAAAAGACTTGGGTTTTGTATTCTATGCATTGCGAGGTGGCATTGCTCGATTAGTGAGAAGAGCTGGTGTTAAATATTATGAACCTCAAATGATTGAAGATGCTTTGTACATTCTCAAAGATTTCATAAGAAAAGTTTTACAACAAGCCTACGAGACGAAATTTCAGGATCGTCTCAATGCTACTGCTGATTGTGATAACAAAGACTCTGATTCGACACAATCACCAATACCACCTTTACAATTCACAGAAAGTGATTCACAATACCATGAAAGATGGTATCCTGATCCTGAATATAAAGGACCATATTGTAATGATGATTTGGATAGTGATTTGAAACTCAATCATCATGATATTGTGGATGCAGTTGAGAAAGTACTGAAGGGATATAAATTATTTTATGCCCCTGAATCAGATCCTTACAATTTAGGTAATTACAATGAATTTAAAATCGACGAAACAACAATTCCAATCAAGAAAAGCGACGATGAATCCTTCGAGAAAAAGCCAAACTATATTCTTAATTCTGAAATACATCATTCAGAGTCTAATATTCAAAAATTGGAGGAAAACAATGAAAAAGAGGATATCGATAGTGACGATGAAGAAGAGCTTACTGACGATTCAGATTTTGATGAACTTACCGATGATGAAGAAGTTGTGGATAATACAAACACCACCATTGACATGAACCATCTGCAATACAAAAATTTAAATGATTTTATTGATGATTCAGAATTGGCTATGGACATTCAAGGAGAGTCTGTGCATGAAGGAGACTCTCTGAGAGATCGTCTCATTAAGGTTTCCATGCAAGTCCATGAAGAAATTTATGGATATGAAAAAACGCATGCTGAAAAGTTATATTTGAAAAATTGGTATGGAAATGGCAACGTATTTTTCACACATGCTGCAAAACATTTAGGAGATGACAACCCCGAATTATTGATGATGGAGGATGAAGATGAGGAAATTATGACCAGCGAGAATGCTCTTATTGAGAAGGATCGAAAAGAAGATGTTGCTTATTTTGGGTATTCATTGTTTGATGACGACGAAAATGAATTTCCAATTTTTTGTTACACGCACAACAATGAAACGAACCATAATAAGGAGGGTCACATCATAAAAGAACAGTCAGATCATACCATTGATGACAATCAAGCAGATGAAGAGACAAGCAAAGAATATCATTTGAGGCGCTTACTGCGAGAACGCTCTTTCCAATGTATCGAAGCATACTTTTCAGAGAGTCATTGAATGGCTCATCACAAACGTTACACGAAATTATTGACATTTTCATGACGAGTATGAAATTTCAACCCACCCATCCATTCAGGTTCGATAAGACGGATGAAATAAAACGATGTGAATGGATTTATGACTGTTTCGAATGTTGTTAGCTTGGAATAAGGCTGTGTAAGCCAAATCTGTTGTTGTTGTTGGCATGACTCGAAAGGATGGAGTGGCAAAAAGGAAATCAAAATTTTGATTTTTATGTTTTATGTTTTATTGAAAAGAGTGAATATGTTACATTTAAGCTTCTTCGCACCACTTGTTCTCTTCACGAATTTTGGCTTCTTCTTCTGGTGTGAAGTCTGCGTTTCCGAAAGAAGACAACATTAAAAACATCATCAAGATGGCAAGAAGGAAATAATTATTAGTCAACAAAAATTGAAATAATTCATCATGACTTACCATTTTCAATGCCAAACATTTCACGAATTTGCTCTGGTGATTTACCCTTGATCATGGAAGCAACCTTTGCACATGTAAGATCCAACAGATCCTTGATGTTCAAATAGTTGGCTGCCATGATGAGTTCAATCAAGAGGGATTGATCAATTTCCAAGAACTAGATCGACAAAAATGAGGTGATGAAAAAATAAATGGGACATCAAAGTTGTTGTTGATGATGATGATGGTGGTGATTTGTTCACGAACATGAGGTATCGTCATCATGAAGTTGACGGGCATTAAAAACACACATGATGTTGTTCGATTAAATGAACACAATAAACACACATACCTTCTTATCCCAATCACAGATAACATCTTCAATTTTACCCTTCAATGGCTTTTCGATTTCTTGGGCTGGTTCCTTGTGGTGGTATTGACAGTATTCAATCACCTTTTGCAATGGCTTGGAATCAACGTTTGGAACTGGGATGATTGGGCAATCGTCTTCATCTCCTTCTTCCAACATATCTTTCACAAGACCAGACATGAGGATAACATCTCGGTCGACCTTGAAAGATTGTTTGTCCTTTGATTGCAATTCAACTTGTTTGGTTTCAGACATTTTATTTGGGTGTTGATGGTGGTTAGGTGTGATGGGTCGAGTTGTGGAATATTTTTTGTAGCAAAATGATGATTCAGCGGGTGATGATGAGCCTGATGTCTCCAGCGTTCTTTAGAAGCCAAAGTGATTGGTTGGAGTCGGTTACAAAAATTACAACGTTCAGACAGAGCTGGAACACGCTGAGCGGATGACATGTTGTTACAAGTTCATTTTTAAATTTACCTTCGTGTTCCTCACCAAACAGGCAATTTCAATGTTCCCTCTCGTCATTTTGGAGAAACAACGCCTCTCAATCACCTTGCCTTGATTGCCCTGTATTCTAATCACATACAATATCCCCACCATAGGTTGTTAAGAGAAAACACACTCGATCGTAGAGGTAATATTGATCAGGAGAAGATGAAATTCAGACTTCCATTTTGCACTCCTTAAAAGGAATTCACATTGTGATGATGATGAACCACTAGTTAACTCGAGTTAACAGTTCACCAAGACATCCAAGCTCTAGAAGCACTACAGTTTTCGTTGGTTTACACAGTTCATATTCAGAAAGGTGGAATCCAACAATAACAACAACAGGGCCACCCAAGAACCACATCCTACCTCTCAAGAAGAGAGTCGTGTACAATACCTTTAGGCTTCACTCTGACAAAACACATAAAAGATCCTATTGAATTTTGGCACCTCTTGATTGTGTCACTCTCTTCTGATTGGGATTAATAAGACTCTTGGGAGCTTTTCTTTTTGCGGCTGTGGAGGACTTCTTTTCGTGGTCACTGTCAGAGGATCCACTATTGTAGCCAGAGCCAACATCACCACCAGGCTGGTAGAGAATGAGTCGATCTTGTGCTTGACGAAGTTTTTGCTTGGTCTCTTGCAATTCACGTCTCAAGTCAGAGATGAGTTTGGCATCTTTCAATAAACGAACCTCACTCAGTGATGAATTGTACGAAACCAAATCAAACAATAATTGTTGAACTTTTTGTGTAAAATCAACTACATGACGAACGGCGTAGAGTTCAAAGAGAAATTTGAGGCGAATGGATGGAGAATTTGTGGTTGAGGTCAATGAGGACGAACCAGCTTTTTGACCAGTTTCAGAGGATGGAGGCAGAGTTGTTGTTGTTGGGGAGGATGACGACTTGGGATGGGAAACACTCATCATCGACTGCTGCTGAAGTGGAGAGTAAATGACTAATTGAAGAATATCCTTAGATTCCTTATTTTCCTCATCAAATTGAAGAGAGACGTGAGAAAGAGTAGGATCATCTGCTGAGGACAAACCATGATTGTTACTACTATTGCTGCTGATACCTATAGTAGTGTTATTATGGACATTTTGGCCACTCATGAGTGTTTCCTGTTGGAGCCTTTCCATGGAGCTGCTCCCAAAGTAAAACAATCCATTTCTCAAATACTTCAAATAATTGGACCATGACAAGTGGTTCATGGAGATCTTTCTGCGATGTTCTTGTAACTCTTCAAATCCCAAATCACATTCATAGTATTCATCACTTCCATTGGTACACGAGAAAAGGAGCCGGAGTGATTGTTCCTTGTGTTCACGTGTCAGTGATGCGTTTGAATGGAGAGGAGCCAACAAGGATTGCTGCCATTGACTCGGATCCAAAGAGCCAGGTCCCATTGAACCAGAAGGATGATTCATTCCTCCTTGATTTTGATGATTCAATGACGAGGATGAATCAAAGGCTGTTCCAACCACCATCGATGAAAGATATAAATGTTGTTGTTGTTGTTGGACCATGCCGTCCAATAGAGACATGGTATTTTGATTCAGGGCTATGTTATGTTGATCCATTCCATTCAAAGTTAATGTATGATTGGAGGTAGTAATGTGATGAATATCACTTGTAATGGCATTAAGGATTGGCCGAATGACTCTCATACTCACAACAAAAGGAACCCGATTCAGATGCACAATTTTGTGAGTGGATTCTAATTGGGACATGTTGGTGAGGAATTGAACAAATTCTTGACGTTCCACTTCTCTCTCCTCTTCATCCAATGATGATGCGGAGGAGGAAGATGATGATTGGAGTGAGCTTGCCGTGGTGGTGCTTGTTGTTGTTGGATGATGTTCGATGGTGTTCTTTCTTTGCATTTTTTGTTCTGTGATGGTGTTGTCACAAGAGTCACATTCCTTAAAGAAAAAAAGCATCCATGGATAACACAAATCATTATTATTAATATAAAGAAATTAGGAAGTATTTAGAGATAATTTAATATTAATCAAGACAAAGAATAGAGGGTGGATTTTTTGTCTCTGTCACAACTTATTGTTCATCTTCTTCGACTTCTGGCATTTGGAACATGGATTGAGACTTGTCCACAAAGCCAAAGAATTTCTGAATGCTCGTCTTGAAACTATTGCTTGCCAAAATGTAAATGAATAACATTCCACAATCTCTAAAGTCATTTCCAGGAATGTTTCTATGAGTGAACATGTGGAAGAGTGAGAATGGCTCAAATGGTAACTTGGCAACAATTCTACCATCAAAACTGTTGAAATGGTCATTGAGAAGTGTCGTGGTTGAATCGCGGCAGGATTAAAGTCAGGCAATTCGAGTCATGATTATTTGTAACATCGTGATGTGGTAAATAAAGGTTGAAGAAGTTTGTAAAACCAAAATCATGATGACAATAAGAATGAGAAGGTCCAAAAGATGTATCCATTCATCACGCAAGTACAATATTAAAATTAGTAACTACACCCCATATAAAAGATGGACCATCACACACACTTACACATTGTTCAACAATCCGAAAACACTAATCATGATGATACCAACAATAATTGTACTCTTCATCTTGAACATGGATAACTCTTGATTTTTAACTCGGAGTTGCTCCTTTTCTCTTGTCAAGTTATCCTTCCTTCTCTTGATAGCCTTTTGGTCCTCTTTCGAGTTGGTAATACTTCCACCTTTATGAACCACAATTGTTTCCTTCTTAATTTTATCAATTCTCTTTTGAATTTGTTCAATATCATCTTGTAATTCTTGGTATTCACTCTTCCGATAGACAAATATCCACTCCACCAATGTGGTCAGCAGCGAGGTGCACAAGGCAACCATCATCACAACGCAAGCATAGAAAATGTTCATTTTTTTTGAGTTGGAAAGAAGACTTCAATCTGTAAAGCGACAAACATTCAGTGATTTGGCAACTGTTTCTGTAACCTGTTAAGAACACACAATCGGGTTGTTTATCCTTTATTATTTTATCAAAAAAAAAGGATGGATCATGAATGAGAAAAATGGATGACGAATCAGATCAATAAGTGGTCGGTCACAAACATCCTTTTTCACACGCGATGGATTGCATTTTTGTGCAGTCGAGAAAGATTCTAAACGACATAACGTGAAATCTTTGAATTGACGCCACATGAATTTGGGGTATTCTAGGAATGGCGGTGATCATGAAGCAAATCAAACAGTGGACAACAGGTTTCCATCCTACAAAACAGATCCTCATCATGAGATCGTGATCTGTTTCCTTACAGACATTTTTCTTACAAAAAAAAATGAGTCAACAACATTCCATGCCAACAGGACAATCATTCCCGGAACATCAACAACAACAGAAATTACCTTTTGTGATTGGCTATGTCGGAAACGTAAAGAAAAACAAACAATTTTTTGAACCATTTGTTACATATTGCAACACATTGAAAAAAGATATCTGCTCCTGTGTGGAGATTGTGATTGAAAAATCATCTCAGAACGATGATAATGAAAAAAATAATTCCGACAATGATTATGAATGGATTAAGCAACAACCAAGGGTAGACGTTCTTTTTTTCAAAGTAACCGATGACATGGTGATTGAAAAATCAGATATTCATGCTGCAAGACGTTTGAAAAATCTCCAATACTACATTCATCTCCATGAGAAGGACGGCATGAAGGTGGTAGAGCCATTGGATGTGACGATAAGATTTTTGGATAGAATTGAAATTCATAATTTCCTTGAGATACAATTAGCATCGAGCACAAATGTGAAAGTACCCCATATGTATTTCATTAGTGAAAAACAAAATTTAGACAAGCTATTGTTAGAAAAGAGTGATTCAATTTCATATCCTTTGGTTTGTAAGACTGTGGCAGCTTGTGGAAAATCTGAAACACATCATATGGCTATTGTTTTTAACAACGAACAATTCAAAAAAGTTGTATATGGCGATGACAGAAACTCAATGCAACATACAGTTTCTACACCCCTGATTGCTCAACAATTCGTGAATCACAACTCAACACTTTACAAAATTTATGTGATTGGAGAGCGAGTATTCTATCAAATCAAGCCATCTCTCAAAAATTTTGATTTGAATTCATCACAAGATACAGAAAATATAATTACATTTGACAGCCAAAAACCATTCGACTCTCATATTAGCGACACATCAATTGTAGAGAGTTCCTTAAAGGAGGTTTCCTATTATGCAAGTGTGCAGTCTGATCATCATGATTTCATTTTCAAGCAAGTAAGCGACCAATTGAGAAAGGCACTTAATGTTTCTCTTTTTGGATTTGATCTTGTTAAGGATTGCCGAGAAGAGTCTTCTTCACACTACTACGTGGTAGACGTGAATTATTTTCCAAGTTATAAGGGAATATCGAGAGAAGTACTTTTTGATTATATTGTTGAATATTTGACACAGAGAGTAGAAGCGAAGGAATAAAATGGCCTTGACTTGAGGACTTTGGCAAAGGAATCGAGATTGTTTTTTCGATTTCACAGGTGTTCACATGTGGATATATCGATTAACTCCATTCAACAAGAGAAAAGTTGCAAATGTTCACGTTTTACCAATTTGAATTATAATAATTAGTTTGTTGGGGGTTGTTTATTACAGTGTTGGAAAAGCATTTGCTGTACAACAAGAAAGTAAGGTCAGGAGAGATTTCCAAAATAACTCCGTGGTGAAAACAATACTCTTACTCACAAGCAAGCTTAGAGTCAAAGGAAGAAATAGCTATCGAGAAAGCTTGCAAGGCTGAAAGTGGATATTTGAAATCAATATTGAAACGGTCTTCATCAACTTTACCAAATTGAAGGAAGACTTTGTTTGGATTGTTAGGCTCCACGAGCTGGAAGTTTTTCACTGAGGCCATTGTGACTCTACCATTGAAGTTCAGAACATATGCCTTCAATCTTTCATTCCACACAGGGAATTTGTTCTTTAACACTTTCAAGTGATGCCAGTCTCCAGTCTTGAATTTCGTAATGAGTGACGTTCCATTGTCTGGAAATTGATATAATTCATTCTCCTCGTTGGCGTCGGGAATGACTACTGTGAATTTTCTTGGACCCTTACTTCCAAACAAATTGGTTTCATACACAATGGAGGCAAGATGATTTCTTAAGTGTGTTCCTGGCTTCAACTTGGATGCTTTTTCTCCATTGTCATACAATTGGAATTCCGTTCCAAGGAAGTTACTTCTCAACTTTCCAATGAAGGAATCACTACTTCGACTAATATCTTCCTTACTGAGAGAAACACAATAATTGGAGGACTTGTTACCCTTTCTCTTCTTTGCAGAGAGAAGGAATGTGCTTCCTCTTTCAGCATACATGAAATATCTGGGGAACATCTTGTTCATTTTAGATGTATCTCTAAGAATGTAGCATCGGACCCATTGATCACGATTTGGAGGTGGTTTGACAACGAACGATCTCACATCTCGAATATTTAAGCCAGCCACACTTTCAAAATCATCCTCTTCTCCTTTTTCAGTATTTGGTGACGGTTTTACAGGTACTTTCTCTTCTTGCATTTTTGGAGCTCTTTCATCTCGTTCTCTTCGTTCTTGTAGCGGATTAAATGTTGGAGTGATACCTCTATCCATCAAATCTTTCTCGAGGGCGGTTGGATTTGAATTAGCACTGGATGGTCTTGACAAGGATGAGGATGATGTGGGGCGTCGATTCATTTGAGAGCTGCTGATATCGTCCAAATCATCTACATCTTCAGACAATCGACTCGAGTCGTTATTATTATTGAGGGAATTTGAAGAGTTGTATCCTGCGAGAGGAGGAGTTGAGGATGTTTGAGTTGTTGGTGGCGATCTCACACTACTTGCTCTCGAGTAGCCGCGAGAACTGATGGGTCTTGATGATTGAATCATGTTCATTCCTCTGCTGCTGTTTTGTCTGGTGGTTCTCTCAGCAGCTTGCCTCATGATATCAAACTTTTGTTTAATGACAATGTCTTGGGAGGATCCCACCACTCCAGGAAGTGCATCGTCCAAGCTGTCCAAAACATCCGAGTCTATGCCTCCAACGGATTTTGGTTTATCCTCACCAATATAAAACATGGACATGTTGAAAATAAGAAGAAAAAAGATGGTAAAATAGCAAGAGTACAATGATGAGATGGAATGATTTTCACCAGGCCGAGTATAGTTGTATTTGTTGTCGTTGTTTGGTTGTTGAGAGTTGTTGTTCGTGCGTTGATGCAATGATGATGTTGTCTCTCCCGATCGATTAAGGATAATATATCGCGCTCTTGAAATTTGCAGCGTTTTTTTTGAAAAGTTGAGAAAACAAAGTTTATCAAAATTGTAGATGGAGCAAATTCCCGCGCTTTATCAATTTTTCATAATTACAACAACCATCTTCTTCCATCACACAACGAGAGATCATCAGAACGTGAATGATGATGGAAATCCTGGGGAAAGTTGCGCTTGACAGAGACTCCTTATCGATGATTGACACCTTTGACCTTTCAAAACAACCTTTGTCAAACAAAAGGGTCATTGAATGAATGAACTCCATTTCCGTAACAACCACTTTTCAATTTTCTCTTGTTTGATTACTCTGAAGAGCTTTCAGAGTCCAAAAATTACCACCCACCACCTTTCGGTAGTGGTTGGTAGAGTAATTGGGACAGTTTGCAATTAGCAATCGCGTGTTTCACTTGACGATCAATAACAACGCGAGATTCCCTGGACTAGAACTGTCTTCAAAAGATTTCATCACTCAGAGGACTATGTAAAGGCTCAAAACGATCTTAAAAATTTGAGGGAAATTATGGTTTTATATTTTTTATTTTGGTTGAAGGTGTGGTTTGCTGTACATGGGTTCAATAATGAGGACAATGTGAATCATTATCATCATTGAAAGTGTGTTTGTCTTGAAGGATGGATGTTCAACCAATTAGTTGTGAATGAAAGGGATTGAGAGCATGTTCTGATGGTGCATTTACATCATCGAAACAATAACAAAGAACGCCATTTTGTGTCATTCTTTTATTCAATTAATTTTTGTGTGAGTTGATTCTTTGTCAGTTGAATATATTTCGAAAAGTGAGTCCCCATTATCCAAGAAAATCAAGCGAGAATCAGCTCACTCCAGAGAAACAACAAAGTGAATATGTTATGCACATGCACTGACAAGTCCAAGAGGAATCTGTTTTTTCTTTTTTTGGATCTGATCGAATGTTCTTTTTCTGACGTCAAACAGCAACTTGTCAAGACATACCTTCGAAATCTTATCAAAGCATTTGAACCATCCAGACTCGTGCAAACAACCCAACAACGATTTCGACAGACTTCCAATCCTTCCCCTCGCTCGAAGATGTCTTTGAATGCCACTTGTCATGTACTTTCATTGAACCTTATCTCGGCAACATCCTTTTCGTCTTGTCATGATCCAAATCCAACTCGTAATTACATCAACAGTCAACAACAACCACAATTCACTCAATAAAATTGCTTGACAACCAAATCGTCATTGTCAACAACACCACCACCACGACGACAACGACAACAAACAGAAAGACCAAAATCATCCTTTCTTTCGTCATTATCATCACTATACAGAGTGTTCTGTAACGTGTTACACGCATATACAACAATACGTTTCCAAACTTGTGTTTTCATTGTTGTTGTTGCCATCCTCTTCTTGTTGGTGGTGATTGACATCTTCGTATGACAACATTTTGTCAATTAAACTATTCTAGCATTGCAATAATAATATTCATCCATTCTTGATTTCAAGAGAGAGTTTAACTCTAGCAGGATTCATCTCGTTTCATTATTGATTGACGAACTGAAATTGTTTTCCAAATTGGTCCATCATCATCATCTTGACGACCACCATGACTACAACAACAATAACAACGATTATGACACAACAACACAACAACACCTCCACCTCTCGTGATCAAGCACCGGCATTCAACGAAGGAGGAGGAGGAGGAGGAACCATCATCTCTAACAACAACACTTGTCTCTCAAATTCTTCCTTCTCTCCCACTACCCTCTCCACCACCACCAACAACAACACCACCACCACCACGAGCACTTCTTCTCCACAACCACCATCATCATCATCACCAACGCTCAACAACAACACCACCACGAGCACTATCAACATCAACACAACTACTACGAGCACTAGCAATAACAACAACAACACAACTACTACGACCTCCTCCCCTTCTCCTTCTTCTCCTCCGATCATTAAAATTCAACACTACTTTAATTATTCCACCACTATGAGAGATCGAGAAGCATGTCAATGTTTTTTGGAATATCTCACACAGGTCACTCATTGTGATGAAAATTTATTGTATTTACTTCAGTTGGAGAATATCAAGAGTTTGAAATCGGTTCAGAATATGATGGAACAGACACAGTCATTGATTGATACGTTTGTGAAATTGGAATCTCCGAAGGAGTTGAATATTACGGACAAGATGAGAACGAGAATTATTGAAAATTTTGAAGAAGTCAAGAGTAGTGTTGGGATGGGAACAAGTGGTGGCAATGTTGATAAACAACAACAACAACAGACTTCACCAAGGACGGGAGAATCAAAAATGTCAAATGTCAATACAACATCCACACCACCTGAATTGAGTCCAGAATTGTTATGGACAAAAATTCAACATGCTTTCCACGAATTGACCGTTCAAATCAATTTACAATTGAAACAAGATAGTTTTGAATCCTTTCTCAGTTCTGACTTTTTCGAAAAATTTATCATCAAGAAAGTTCGTGAGAAAGTTGCTTCTCATTCACAACAACACCATGAAAAGACCAAGAAAAAGAGATCTTCTTCTACTACCATTTATGGAAATACTCACAATTCTCCAAATTTGGGAGATTCAGATTTCTCCTCTTCCACAACATCTTCAACAACAACAGATGATCATTACAATGGAGGAGATTCTTCAGATTCAACTGTTGGAGATAATTATGCATTAGGTGCTGCAACTTTAATGAAACGTTTTGTAGGAGGTTTATTTAAAGGAGGAGGATTAGCCATTCAACAAATGGTGAATCATGGAAATAATTTGGAAGATTCGAATAGCTCTTCCTCCTCTTACTCTGAAATTTCTTCACCCATTTTGACAAGTGACACGGATGACAATTCCCTTTCTCTTACTGCTTCATTGTCTTCTCTATTCAAACATCGAGGTGGTGGCAGTGATCGAAAAGAATCTTCTCAAAATGAAACTGTTGAAATTATGAAGAATATTATTCAAGATTTATACAAACAACTCATTCAAAAAGATAATGAAATCAAGAGATTACAAGAAGTTTTGAGACAACATGGACAATTGATGGGAATTGGTGGAGAGAGAAAAGCCAAACCACTTCCAACAGCTCCGAAACAGCAACCACACAGTCAAGATGATCTTTCATTGAAAACTCCGAGAAAAGGAGGAGTTAATACTTTAAAAACATTGTCGGCATCTTCACCACCAAACAAGCCACAATGTCAACTCAAGAATATTTCCAATACAACAAGTAATAATAATAACAACAACAACAATAGTAGTAGTAGTGAAATTTCATCACCAAGAAGATTGAATTCGACGAACAGCATGACCACACCAAGATCCTCAAGTAATTTGGTGAATCCTAACAACAACAATTATGTTGCATCACCAAGATCGAGTGGTGGCGACATGTCTTCCTCACAAACCAATCGATCAATGGTGGCGACGACGACGAATATCACAACAACAAATTCTCCAATCATCAAGACGGTGAATAGAAACAGTCTCAATTCAGAATTAGATTCTTCATCCTTGATGAAACAAAAGAAAACAACTTTGGATATTGTGTCATCGGTCAATAACAAAACCTTGCCAACGACACCTTCAGCTACTAACGTAAAGAATGGTAATGATCATAATAATTCAAACATGCCATTAAGTCAGAGATTGCAATTCTTTGAAAAGCTTTCAAATAATGCAAATGTCAACAATGCAAGTACTACTAGTGGAAATGTCGTGCCAACGAGTCCTGCGACGTCGAAACGACCTCAAACAGTTCTTAACAAATAAGAAGTGTTTGTGAAGGAGTTTAAAGGTTTGATGGGAAGATGACAATAATGTACATAAGCTTAGTGTAAAAATTGTACAAACAGTCAAATTCAGTGTTGACTGTAAAAATATATAATTCTTCACGGGTGGCCAACTCAAGCGTATTTTTTCGTGAACACATCAAGCTGCAAGAGAGAATTTCGCTGGGGATTTTTAATAAAGCTACGATCATAGTATGATTTTTATGATGATTTCAACCCCTCAAAACTTGCCAATGCAATATATTGTTGCTGACACGTGAAGGAAACACTACTTAATTATTGGTGCGTCAATAAGTTGAATTGGCATTACAAGAGCCGTGGTGGTAACGTCCTAAAACTTTGTCACGGTATAGTATTGAAGGGGCCCTTTCCCCTCTTCGTCACATTATCAACACCATCTCTCTCAAACCACAACTCTTACATTGAGAAACGTGTTATGGAATTGTTGCTGAAATGTTTTCGAACTTCTCTTCGAAAAGGGTTTTAAAAAAATTTCAATTTGTGGAGTTCAATGTGATTGAGAAGAGTTTGAAATTAACACCAAGCCCGTCAAAAGTGCACAACAAATAGAACATCCTTGAGTGTAAAGTGGTCTGTTGTTCTAGAATTTCATGCTGCTTGTTTGCACTTTACACGGGCTTTATGTTTAATTCAGCCAAAATCAGTGACACCTTTTTTAAGGGCTGTTATTAATTGAATATTAGGTCTCACAATACCAAACAAAAGAATCTGAAACTAGACGGAAAGAAGCATCTACCATATGAAAATCTTGGTTTCAGCATGCTTAATTGTAGAACAGTTCAACTCTGAAACAAAATTTGAATAATGGTCGGTGTTATTAATCGAGTAAAAAATAAAAGTGCGCTCGTAAAGAATCTTGTCTCGAATCTTGGTCATTTTTACTGAAGGAGTTGATTCTCAATATGCATATTTCAATTAAAATTGAAATATAATTAATATATTACAAAATTAATCAATCGAAAAGAACAATAAATTTTAATTTCATCATCATCATAATTAACAATTCATTCCGACCTTGTCTCTTGGAATAATACGCAAATCAGATCCATACTTTAACCAAACATTTCCTGCAGTTTGACTTGGATTGATTCCGATACCATCATTGGAGAGAATGGCACTCGTTTCAGCTGAAATTTGGAATTCTTCAGCTGCGTATTTAAGAACGGCTGTGAATGGAGCGCTTTCTGGAACTTTGATGCTGTTGGTGTGTTTGTTTTGGATGAATTTTCAGTTTGGTCGATAATGCATTCCGTTAGCATAGATGAATCGTTCAGTTGAATGTGATGGATTATTGTTTTTCATAATGAACATCATGTCGATGTTTGATTTCAATTTTTCATTATCAATTATTTATCAAAGAGTGTGGGTGGTGATTAGTTGGATCATAATTCAAAGAATCATCATGTGCAACACATTCCGATGTTTGAATTTTGTTTCAAATATTAATATTTTAATATCAGCCACTTCCGATATCATCACATGATGAGACTATTTACATACGTTCTGAAAGGTTGCTTTGGATGTGAAGTCAATGTGATTTTGAAGGTCACCTTGTTTTCGGTTTGTGGAGGAGCTTGAGTGGTGGAGGAGGACATTTTTTGAAGTAAAATAGAGTTTTAGGCGAGCTCAAAAAGAGCTGACGTCACCTATAATATTGTTTGATCAAAATTATTGCAATACTATTGCACTCACGCTCTCTTTTGCAAAAGACGACACACAACTATAATTATTCATAGAAATTCTCTCGGGTGACAATTGGTAAAACACCTTGCTGTTCCATTAAGAGTCGTACGGACGTCACAGCATCCTCAATGACTCGATCTCGATCGAGAAGCTTATTTTCAGGAATGTCCTTTGGAACATTTTCCGGATCAATACTTTCTTCATACTCTACGTCTTTAAAGAGTTGACCACATTTTGGAACTCCCTTAAACCATTCACCCACATATTTTTGACCCGCTGCAATGTAGTAGTAAACTCCTGGTCCATGTTTTAAGCCATCCAAATAGCTACCCTCAAATCGATCTCCATTCTTTTCAATCGTACATCCCATTCCACTTTGCTTATCATTTGCCCATTCTCCTTCATATTTGGTGCCATCAAGAAAATACATGGTGCCGTAGCCCCATCTCTTGTCATTCGCCCAATCTCCTTCATAGATTTCTCCATTATCGTAATAGTAAATACCCTTGCCGTGCTTGAGACCATTCTTCCATTCACCGTCATAGACCTTTTTCGATTTTTCTTTCGAACGCAAAACTCCTTTTCCTTCTTTCTTGCCGTTGACCCAACATCCCGTGTAGTTGAATTTCGGAGTGTCTTCCTCACCGAACCCATGTTTTTGGTGATCCATCCATTGGCCTTTATAGGTTTCCTTTGGTTTCACACCAGCTTGACCTGTTGGTTTATACACCGTCGCTCGAGTGCCATGTCTCTGAGATTTCAAATCATTTTGTTTCCACAATTGAGATTTTGGAACTTTCTTTTCTGGAATGGGTTGCAGTTCGACCTCATCCTCTTTCAATTCGTGTAAATCCTCCTCTTCGATCATTCCAGCAAGATACTTTCTATAACGTTGTTTTAAGGACTCGAGTTTTTCTTGTTCCTCCGTGGGCGGATGACCAGGAGCAAGCTTATCTTCAGCGCACACTTTTTCGAGCGCTTTGATTTTGTTCAGCAATTCAATGACCTTGGTGTTGAGTATTTGTTTCTTTGGAAATGTCGAGATGTGCCTTGCAATTCTCAAATTTTCCAAAGCTTCCATCGTCTCCAAATAGTGGAATTCTGTTTGTGAAATGGAGCCAATGATCACCGAAGCGCTCTTCCCTCCAAGGGATTCGCTGAGCATGGCTGTAACCATGGAGTCTCCAAATAAGCTGTTAATATTCACATTTGGATTTTTAGCTCCCTTCACTTTGGTGTGATGCACCACGTTGTGAATGGCATTGCCAAATGCAGTCAAACTCTTGTTCAAGCTTGCCCCCTCTTTCAAGTGTTCACCCTTAGCTCCCATTTTACCAATTCTTTCAGTTCCTTTCAAGTTTACAAACATGAGTGACGATGAGACATCTTGCTCAGGGTGATCCATATCATTTCTTGTCAATCTCAATCGCATGAATGAGTGAAGTCTGATTTTTCTTTGAGCAGTCAATTTTTGACTTCTTCGGATTCCATCATCGATTAATGATTGTAATTGTTCCCAACTTTCAACTTGCATTTCTTTCAAATTTGTAATAAATACACCTTGTTTGCTGTGTTTTTTAAGTTTCAACTCCTTTTCATCGTCAGGATCAAGTAAATCTAATATTGTATTGTTGCTCATTTCCCAAAACGAAAATGAAATGGAGTAGGTGAGCTTATCTGCCACCGATGATAAATAAGAATATCCTTCTCGAAATGTCAAATCCACGATTCCTTCCTCTCTCTCATTTCCAATCATCATTTCCGTTTTACCTGTTCTCGACGAACCGTAAGAAATAATTGTGCCGTTATATCCCTCAATGACAGCGTTCAATAAAGGAACACAGATGGTTTCAAAAATTTCATTATTTGATGTTTCACTGTCAAAGCAGTGGTCAAATTTGTACAATAATCCCTCTCTACTCTCTGGATGGTATGCAATAAGTTTGTTGACGTCTGAAATTTCAATAATGGTTTGAGCATTGGCACTTGATTCTTCCGCTGTTGTCATGTGTTGAGAGGGATATTTCAACAAGTCAATTGGTTTTAGTGATACATCCATCCGAATAAATTAATTCATTAAGAAGCTTGAGAGACTCCAATGACTCCTCCAAAACTTACCTGGTATCGGTGCCAATCGAATACAGACATGAACATGATCATAGTGATTCTCTACAGAGCCACTCAAGTCATTATCTGTGCCACTCTTGAAATTTCCTTCATCAAGAGAAGTTTCCAATACACTGCTTGACCCCAAGGAGCTCGTTTCTCCATTAATGCTACTCAAATTCAAGGATCCGTTCATGTTGATCAAATGAGAGTACTATGATAGGTTGGCGTTGAAAGGATGATGCGATCGTAATATGATTCTCGGAAACTCGTGTTGATGCTCTCTTCTGAAATCATGCACGATGAATGATGACGCCAATTTTTAAATGATGATGAACGTTGCTGTAAAGTATTCGAACATTTGATTGGCGGGAGAAATAAGAGTTGACGTCAATATATGACCTATGATAATACCTCAACGATGTCGTAAGAGAATTCTGCTTTGCCAAGATCGTGTGCATCTTCTATTGATTCCCTTCATTTCAATCCAAAACACCTTTGACAGAAATATCAGAAAAACTAGTCGAGAACCATCATCTACATCGATGGGATTGCAGAAATCATCCAAAAACATGTGGAAATTGTGGATTGAGGATTCAAAAGGACAGAAATGGTTATAGAACTGCCCATCTCGCCTTCACGTGAATGGATGAATGCGTTCATCAAGAAAAACTGTGGTCACCATGAGTTGCAGGTCATCCTCAGTTTGCAAGAATAAATTTTATGAAAATTTTTTTTTATTGCGAAAAAAAATGTTGAGCCGAGCTCTTCTTCGTTCCTCTTCTTTATCATCCTCATCATCAAAGGTATTTTCTGTTGCAGCCGCTTCTTCTAACCATCATCATCATCACTCGGCAATTATTTTTCTCTCATCGTTAAATAGTACTCAAAAACGTTCCTACAAGAAACATGAATTTGAAGCGGACGAATTGAATTTGACTGAACAAAACGAGCATCCATTGACAAGACCTTTGAGAACCTATAGAAACGAGGAGAGAAGACTCTACAATGAAGCAATGACCATCAAGGAGACTGCTGAAAAATACAAGAATGCCGAATTAAAATATGATGAGAATGGAAAGCCTTTTCTTGAATTGCCCAAAGAGAAACAACTCTCATACGAAGAGTATATGGCAGGTTTGCAGGCAAAGGAATCCACACCAGCTTATCCTTGGGTTCTTGGACTTCAAATTCGTCAAGCGCTTTACGAAGTAGAAAAGGGAGCTGCAGCATCTTATGTGCCACTTTCGAAATATCGCAAAGACGATTTACGTGTTTATCAAGTTGCCAAGAAGTTGGGTACAATATGGCAAGAGTCGGACTCTAAAAAACCAATCACAAGGGATGATATTGAAAGTGCTTTCAACTTGTACAAAGATCATTGTGAAAGAATCAAAATGATGAAGAGCGAGTACTCTTTGGAATATACAAGATTATTGAAAGTCCTCATTAACATGGTTCTTGTCAATAGAGATTATTGTCAATATGCTAAACAAGTTCTCAATGAGTCAACAAAGAAATATAAAAGAGATGTGCAATCTATTGAAGCAGATATTGAGACTAAACTGAGAGATTATGAATCCAAGCAAAGTGATCAAGACAAACTTTTAATGATTCACACTCCTTCATACACAATTCAATCAATTTCCAAGATGAGTAATATTTTGGATGCTTATGAAAACATGATTGTGCAATGTGTGAAATTAATGTATCCTGAAAGATGTTCCATTTATGATATGGAACTGTGCAAGAAACTTCTCTATATTTGCCGTACCTCAACTGCTTCTAGTCTGATTGAACGTAGAAAGGAGCTTACCGACATTTCAAAATCTCACTATGACCGAGACACTCTCTTCCATAATGCTGTGGTCATTTGCAAGGAATCTGAACACAATGCAAGAATTATCAATGAACCTTATGAATTGGAAAGACCAATTTTGTAATTTGGAACTTTGATGTGGTAGTCTGAGGCTTCTTATTAAATTTTCATATTTAGATATTTGGCTGTTCTTGATAAATTGCGTGATATTTCTTAAATCAACTAAATGAGAAAAAAGACTCATCATCATTGCGCTGGATCGTCTCCAGTAACAACCTCTGACCAAGGAAGCGAAAAAGCGTCTGTAAGAAAAATTCTTACCCATTAATGCAGACACCAACAAAAGAATGATATTCATCACACAAAATAAGTTTCAATATAAGGGTTCATAGAAAAGGATTCTAGAACCAGATGATCTTGTATCCTATTATGAAAAAGCCATTAGAACACCTTTCAAAAATTCTGACACCTTTGTCATAATTTTCGCAAACAAAGAAATTTCTCAAAATACGAAAGAAATGATCATCAAAGGTCAAATAAATTTGACTAAAATAATGAGTCTAGTACATATTCCGCCCAATCTGAAGGCAAGGTAGTATTCAAAATATTGAACAGTTTGATGTTTTTGATGATCGTGTAGCAATTTTCAAATATTTTTTCGCTTGAAAGTCAGCTGTTAGACGGAGCATGAAATTGGGTCCAAAGCAACGACGTGGTTAAATTCTGCCACCTCAGCAGTCTTGTTGGGACGGGATTGTATGATGTGCGTACATAAATAACGGAACTTTTAATCTTGCTTTGTTTCATTTGTTTTAAATAAGTATTATTTAGGACGTCTTAGCTTGGAATACATGTACAGATATATTGACTCGTTTGTGTGTTTGCAGAAAAAACAACAGCCTTAATCCACCTTCTTAATCAAAATTTCTCCGAAAGGCTCAGATTGAGACACATCAATAAGTCCCTTACTCTTGAGTACAAGTGTTTCGTAGAAACATCTGGCAGCAGTTTGTCTCTTTCTTCCCTTTAACATTTCTGAGAGACTGAGAGTGTCTGTATCTGCTTGTTTAAAACCTTCTTCTAACATGGCCAATACCTTAACAGTTCTTTCAGTCACACCAGCAGGAGATGGAGCAGTGACAGCTGCACCTGGAACACGAGCTTGAGGTGTTGCAGCTGCCTTCTCTCTCAATTCCTTCTCAATTCTATTCTTGTCTTCAATAATTTGTTTCTTTCGTTGGTCAGTGAGAGGAGTCTTTGTCTTGGAAGCTGTCGCAGTAATGAGCATGTCATTGATATCTTCATTAATGTCAATATCAGCTGCAATTGGAGATAATTCTCCAGGACCCATGGTTGCTCGACCTCTTCCAATAATGGGTTCACCAGGACCAAAGACTTCAGTAGGTCCTCCTATTTCACCAAAACCTCCACCAAAACCTCCAATCTCCAACTGCACTTCTCCAGGTGTCACACCAGGAGTAATGGTGGCTCTTGCTCGTTCTCTCTCATCAGGTGTTGTGATGGAAGGAACCACTTCAGCGGTGGGTACTCCAGGCTTTTCCTTACTCGTCACTTTATCAATGGAAGTCGAGAAGAAATCAATAAATCCGAGAGGAAGATCCATATGGAATGGTGTTTGTTTCCAAATATCTCGAGATGGTAATGCTCTTCCAACTTGCTCATATTCTTCTCTGGTGGCAGGAGCTCTATTTCTTTCAGTCAACAAATCACTGTGTTCCTTCAATCTCTTAGTGTAGTGTCTTTCGGTGTAACTTGTTGGATCGTCATGAATTAACTTTCCTGGTCTTCTCTTACGTTTTTTAGTGGGTTGGGCTTCCTCTTCAGGTTGTTCTTCTTCAGGTCTTACGTGCTTCTCAGGAACTCTAGGTTCAATGGGCTCTTCAAAACCAATACCTCCAAGTCCACCAATTTCACCAAACTCCATACGTTCTTGTTCACCAGGGGAAACAGCTTCTCCAGGTGCGCCAAATGGCTGCATGATTTGTTGAATATTAATACCTTGTTCAAATGCCTTATCGCCAAGCATGACACCACCAGTGGATGGAAGTTGCAAACCAGTGCTAAGTGCTCTCTGAGCTTCAATAGATGTTGGAGTTGTGACACCTGGTCCACCTGGAGTGGTAGGTACTTCCAACGAAACCTAGGTGTAATATTCACATTGATAATTTTTTGAATATCAAATTTAGAATCACAACAAATTGGGTGATCAAATGATGACACCAACAGATCATTCACACATAGGATTTTCAAGCATGAATATGTCATATTTTTACACATGAAAGTTCAATCAAACGAAATGAAAAAAAACTTACTGGTTCAATAGATTCTTCTGTCGACCATGCTGCATAATCAACCAATGTAATATCCTTGATATTAGTTTGCCAATCTTCTCCAAGTTCCAAAGTAATGGCAGCAGCATTGGGTAGCAACAACAAATCTAGATCACTGACTTCTGGCAATGTAATTTGATTTTTAGTAGCAACCATATGTTGAACAGGCATGTTGATATTTTCATCGGTAACATCTTTAGTTTTTGCCTGTAATTTAATCTTTGTCAAAGTTTCATTACATTCGGCCAACACATATTTCACTTTTCTGGAATAAATTTTGACCACACCCAACAACAAGTGTCCGTTGGTTCTCAGAGCAATAGGAACCGATGGATCCACAATACTCTTGACAGATTTCTCCAAATTCAAGCTCGCAATCGTTTGTTTGTTCAATTTCTTGTCCCAGTGAGCTGCAAGCCAGACCTTGGCGAGAGGTCCCTTCTTGGTGAGGATAAATTCAGAATAAAACATTTCTCAGAGAGATTGATGATGGTTCCGGAACTTGTTCAGTTAACTTGATGATCTAAATAATGTGATGATGATGAAAAGAATTTTTCAAAAATGATGATGACCGGACCGTTACACAAAAATTTCTGAATTTTTTTTTTTGAGGATGAGCGTTAAAAAGGCGCCAATTCTTGTTTTATTCCCGCAATTTGGTGAAATAATTGACCACTTCAATAATTCGAATTCATGATGTGAGATTCGGTGGTCATCAAAGCAGGATCTTCATCACTGCCACTACCACTGCCACTACTCAATTCTAATGTTACAATGGTTTCTCCGTTCGTTTCGGAGGTGGTCACCATGGTGGAAGTTGTAGTAATGGTAATCTCACACATGGGTGCTCTAGATGTGCGTGTTGTGACAGTCTTTTCATTCTTTTCTTCACAAGTCGTGCTTGTTGTGGAATCTGTGGTTGATATTGCACTCACATTTCTACAACTGTCACCATTTTCATTTCCACATTGTTGATTATTCAAACGACTATTTTGATCATCCAATTCTTCAGTACTATACACAATGAGAGGTTTCTTTTTCTTTTTAGGTTGTGCAGGAGGTGCTTCTAATTTACAACTAATTTCATATAATTCTTCCATAGGTCTGTACAATAAATGAGTCAATCGTTGATGTAATATTGGAATAATGTCAATATTGTATGAATTTTGTTGATAGGTTTGAACCTGTCGAATTAATTGACCCAATAATCTTCTTTTAGAAAAATTAATTAAATTTCCTTCCTTGGTAAAATCAGAATTTCCTTCCTCAATAAATAAGAAATCAGTTAAAAATATGCCAATATAGGGTAAAACAGTTTGGCCAGCATGATTGTGGAGGACTTGTCTCATTGCAGCATAACTTTTCTTTGCACTTGTCAATTCGACTAATTCTTGAAATTTTGTTCTCCACTTTTCTGGAACGAGCTCCCAGCTCTTTTTCAATCGATGAATCGGATTCGAGTTCAGACCCGAGACGATATCATACATGGTGTTGTAGTTGTGAATTTTTTCACATTCGCTTGCAATTTTGATAAATCGTTTCATCACAATACTTCTCTCTTTGGGTTCTTCGTAATTGAGAATTTCAGTGGCCACCCACATTCCAATTTCATTGGAAAGATTGATCATGGTATAAATATTTGGAGCTTTCTTTCGTCGATTTTCTTTCATCCAATTCAAATTAAGAAATTCTTTGGGTCTCAATTTTTCAAATAATCGAAAACTAATGAGAGTCAATTGGAGACAAATCATTCGTTTTTCAAGTTGCCACAAAGGTGTAGATTTGAGAGATTCCAATTCGGAATGATTTAACCGATTCAAACTTGCAATTTTCTTTAAAGGATTTTGAGATGAGACACTTGTGTTGTTGTTCGTGTTGGACCCAATCAAATTGGTGGACATGAAATGTTGATTGAGAGTTCCTTCAATTTCATGCCTTAATTTCACTTCTTCTAATTGTTGTAATTTAAATGTTTCTCTTCGTTTGGAGGATCTATGAAGAAGTGATTGAAGAGATTTTGAAAGAGTTTTCATTCCACTTCCATCCATTTCTTCACAAATGAAATGTTCCAGCTTCATTTTCAATTGTGAATCTTCTCTAAAGTCGTAATAATAATGTTGAAGCCAAAAACTCATGATTTGGCCAACACGTAGTCGAATGGGTTTCAAAATTTTTGTGTGAAAATTTTCAAAGTATACGTTCAATCGTTCCAAATCGTTTTCTCTCTCATACAAGATACATTGTTCAGGAGGTGGAGTATTGTATCGTAGAATTAATTTTTCTAAAAGTTCTGATGAGGTGGTAAAGGATCGATAAGTCAGTAAAAACAATTGCATAAATTGATTGTCAAATTCTTCATTTGAGGTCAATAGAACAATCAATTTGTCCAAAGTTGCTGCTTTCACAGTTCCACATTCATCTCGAATGATATTAGTATTGGATTCTCTCTCGTTAAATCCTTGATATTGTTCTTGATATTCTGATGTGAAGAGAGGTTCCAATGATTTTGTTTGAATGCATGAAAAGTAATGTTCGTAGGGTTGTTGTGGTTGTTGCAGTGATGGAGTGTGAATAAAGGAAGATGAAGAAGAGAAGGAACATTCATGAGATTGTGATGGATTATTGGAAGATGTTGCTGCTGTTTCCATTTTACGATGATGTGTATGTGACAGTAATAATAAATTGTTACTACTGCCACCACTTGGATTCAATTTTCGAAGTTTCCTTGAAGTGTCACTTGTCTCTTCTAATTTCTTCAAAAATGAAAACCCAGAATAAGCGTCAAAATCAAACAATCCCGAACTCAACAATTGAGAGGCAGCTTCATAATCATAGGTTTCATACAGGGAATCCACTGCAGGATAAATTCCTCTAAAATAATACAATTCAATTGGTTCTCCAAATAAAGGATTATTAATAATTTCTGTAAAATCTTGTAACATATTATTTATGATGGCCGATTCAATCGTTTCATAGTTGTTGTTACTGCTATTATAATTGATATTAATACTATTATTATTATTACTACTACTAGTATTATTATAATTATAATTATTATCATGAATATTGTTATGATGAGAACGGAGTGTTGTGGGAGTATCCGGAGTGTTGTTGTTAGAAGAAGTTTGTTGTTGTGAATGCGATGCCAATGGATCATTATGTACAATGTTGTGTCTTTTTCGTCTTAAATTAGAGAGAATTTTAATGTCTTCATCTGACATTTGTGAAATGTCATTCAAACTACTCGAATGGGGCAACATTATTCGTTGGCGACGTTCTTGATGCAATGTTGCATTTTCTTTTGAATCTTCGGTTGAAGAGAAGAAGGCAGTCTTTGATTCTGTGGTGTTGTGACTCGAAGAAGATGAGAATAACGATGATTGTAGAATGCATTCAGAGCTCATCATGTCGTCGGTTGATTGATAAGAAATCGTTGATGATTCTGTTGCTGTGCAGGAATACATGTGAACCGAGGACATGTCGTTGTTTATGGTGGTGCTGGTGGTTGACTGAACTGCCTGATCCTCGTTACGGAGAGAATGTTTGTTGTCAACATGCGACACTTGAAACATTTTTTTGAGCGAGAAAAGTGTTTGAAGTTTGAACGAGTTTGTGAACGACAGGAAAGTGCGGATGATTTTTCGGGAATGCAATTCCTTTTGTGGAGGTTTGATTTAATTCAAGATCTGATCGGTCTAAATCACTTGAATGTCCTCTAATTCAACAGAAGGATGGTTTTGAATCTTTCGTCGTTTGGAATAAATTCGTTTCGTGATGGTGCTGTAAGGAATGGGTTGAAATGTGTTGTTGTCTTGCGTAGTTTCAACAGTGTCGGTACCTTCTACATCGATTTCAATCACGACTGGATTTTCAGTCTCACTTGTTGCTGAGTTTGTTGTAGTCATCTTGTCGTCCTCTGCTGTTGTTGTTGTTGTTGCATTTTCAACGTCGTCGGCCATCTCATCCTCTCTTGTCGATGATTCTGCATAGGTGGTATTTTCCTCAATCATGTCAGCAATCTCTAGAGATGCTTCTTGCGTCGCTTCGTTTTGTTTTCTCTTACTGGCCATTCTTTGGCTCTCTTTCAATTCTTGTTCTTGTGTAGTGACGAGTCGCATGGAATTAATGTTGAAATTATAAGATTCGCACTCGGTGGCATATCCTAATAAACATTTGCCCTTAATTAAAAAAACATAAAATTCCTCAGATGGATGATAGATCTCTGCCACGCTGAAATGTTTCACTTTTTCCTCAATGGTATCAAGAACTAGCTTCTTTTGAAGAGAGTTGTTGTGGTGTGCTTTAAACTGAACCATATATTTCAACTTTTTGTCGAGCTCTTCTTTGTGATCATCAAGTAATTCTGTATTGTTTAAAAAAATGGAGGAACCAACGAATAACAAATATCATGCCGAAAGTAATAATTACCCTTTTCAGAAAACATTTAAAATACATACTTTGAAATCTATTGGTCAAATTCTTCTCATTGGCTGGAAAAATGTCAAAAATTGGATACATTTTGAAAAGAAAACGTGAAGAAATGTCTTCCATTCTGGCATGCGCCTTTTCAAAATGCTTTGCCATTTTCTTGCACAAAACTAGTGGCGATATTTTCCTATTTTTGATTCTAATAAATATTTGACCTGCAACTCCTGTTTCCAAACTCTCAAAATCTTTTTTACCATCTTTAACAATTTTAACTTCGCCTTCCAAAAAATCACAAGGCAGCAATTTCGAATCAATATCTTCAGAAGGCGTTTGTCGTTCTTTAGCTTGCCATGTTGTAAGCCTTGTTTGTGTATGTTGAGTGTTTGTTGAATCTTTTTGTGAATTTTGTTCAGTGGTAGTGCCTGCCAAAATTGAATCGACTTGTGCGCTTGGAACTTGTGTTGTTGGATGATTTGAACTTGTAGCATTCTCTGTTAAAGATTCAGTTGCTTTTTCAAAGCCAGAATTATCAATTTTTTCAACTGTAACGCTTTCTGCTGGTTGTTGAATGGATGGAGTGACAGACTCTGATGTCATTTCTTCATTGCCCAATTCGCTCACGTTCTTTGCATCTAATTTTTCTTTTTTCGATTTTTGATTAATTCTATTTTGTCTCTTCTTTGTTGCATTTTGTTGTTTTGTTTTTTCTTTTTCAATGACTTCCATAATATCGGAAAGTAATGTATCATTCTCCACAATTTTTTCTCCAAACTTGGCAAAAATTTTGAATAACATGGTATTTTTCATAATATATCATAATATATCGCAGAATCATCATGACCCATCATCATAATAATTAACAATCATATAATTTAATTCATTCCGATAAAGATCATTATACTTCAATAAATATATCATCATCATCGTACCTGTTCAAGCAATCCGATCGCTTCTTGCACTGCTTCTCTCTGCCTCGAACTATTACATGTAAATAAAATTCCCTGTATGGAATCAAATTCATGAACACTCTTATTCTTGAAAGAATATCCCTTCTTGTTTTTGGGCATTTTTTTTGTTCGTTTCCGGAAATGGGTCTTTGAATTCTCCAAATTGTTTTTGGATTCTCCAAGTTTGTTTTACATCCAACATCGACAACCAAATTGCAGCTAAACCCACTCGAACAATTCATTTCAGCCTGCTACTTGGAAAATGTTGTGGTCAAGACACTAGTTATTCAAAGTTTCTCATGACCTCAACATTCTTGTTGTTTGGCCAAATAAAGCAGTGCAGGAAAAACTCTCAGAATTCTTAATCATCCTTAAACATGTAGCATTGAAAGTCATGCATGATTTCTTTCCAATATGAATAATAAATTGGTTGAAATTGAAAAAATGTCTCAACAACAACAATCCTTCAATTCTCTCGGAAATGAGAAAAAACAAATGATCGAACGACTCGAGAAGAGATGCCAAGAATTGGAGTGTAGGCTATTCCCTTTGGAAATGTTGCAATGGGAAGCATCTAATTTTATTCTTCCCTATGCGAGAAGACCGTTCAGGAATACAATCAAAACATCGGACTCTTTTACAGCCAAGTGCCTTCCTATTGAAATACCGAATCATGATGAAGAAGAGGATGACCATGAATTTTCAAATACATCATCCTCTTCTACATTCACCAGATCAGTGAAAAGTTCCCGAAATAATTCTCTTCTCTCTAAAGGAAGCCTTTTAAAACGATTAAGAAATTTGTTTGAGTCATACAACTCTATAGAAACACCTCTGTTGAAGGAATTTCTGAACAAAATGCAAAAGTGCAATTTGCAGGAATATGAATATTTTTTGAGTGATTTCAAGCAAAAAAGAACAGCACATTCTGATGTTGAATACAGTCTGGATCATGCAATTTCGGCTGTGGACGACGATGCCTTTGAAGTTGATGATGAAAAATCCCTCGACCTTTTGAAGAGAGAAGCACAATGGAGGTACATTGAAAATCAAAGTGAGATGATCGACCATTTATCAAAGTCATTCGAAGAGCTGGATCGTCTTTTACCATTGTTGGATACTTTAAACGATCGAGATCAATTGACAAATCTCTGTACTAAGCTGAACGAGTTGAAATCGTTCCAAATTGAAATGGACAACGTCGATGCCTCTTCCTCTCAGCAAGCTTTGATTATTCAACAGAAGCTTTGTGCATATAATGATTTGGTAAGTTATGAAAAGATGAATTTTTGACAAGTGCTTGACATTTTACCTTTTGCATGCCAACAGATTTTAGCAATTTCAAAGCAATTTTTGTTGTGGGACAAATTACTTGGTCAGCTCGAAAAAGAATCAGTCAGAAAATAATACTTTATTCTTGGTCTTTTGCTGTTGAAGGGTGTACCTTCTTTTTGCTTGGAACACAAAAACATCCCATACCCGATTCAGAGTTCATGTTCGACCGTAAATTCTCATTTTCCATCTTGACTTGCTCCAGCTGACTTTGTAAGCTTCGTAATTTCCTTTCGTATTCTTCATTTATCTCATTTGTCTTTGGAGTGGATACTGTTGCATGCTCGAGTTCTATTTTAGGTTGACCACTATGATCCAAAGCAATTTCTCCTGCCCAATCGCGAGACGGAGACGAATGTTTTGTTTTTAACATTGCACATTGGTCTCTATAGATTTGAAGGAGTTTGATATGTGGGACACTTCCTAGAATGAATGGTTGAGAGCTGTCAAATTTGTCCTTAACAGTTTTTTCCAAAGATTGTGTGATAGATATCACCTTATCAAAGTTTTTCTTGGCAAACAAATCCACACATTCATCAAGTTGTTTCATCACTTGCTTTGAGGTTTCTGAGCTGTATTCGATCCAGTCTGTGGTATACAGCTCGTACAGTGATACAGGATTGTTTTTCTTATTTTTCAATAAAAACTTTCCTAGTTTTCGTGATTGAAGATGAACTTCTGCCAAATTGCAAGCATCGACCAAGTCCTTTGTGGCACACACGAGGATACCAAGTGTGTTTGAAACTTTAGAAATGTGAGAGCACTTAGAAACAGCCTCAGAAAATAGGGTGGTACCAAACCTGAGTGCTGTTCCAACAAGTCCAAACACACAAGATCCTATATGAATTCCTATTCCAACAGATATTGGTACTTTCCTTCCGTTTCCCACAGAAAAGTCCTTATTGAATTGGCGAATGACCTTGACAATCTCAAGGACAGCTAGTAGCGCTTTTTTCGGAGAATCTGGAAAAACGAGGACATGTTTGCCGTGATGGGATCGTTCCACGAATCCTCCATGATTCTCCACAACAGGTGTGAGCTCTCCAATGAATGAATTAATAAATGATAAACTTTCAGCCACCGATAATGATTCTGTGAGGTCAGCAAAATTTCGTACTTCCAGACAAATCACTGTAGAACGTTTCACAGATGAATCTCCAAGTTCAAGCGATCTAAAATCTTTTCCTATTTGAGTTAAGCTGTTTGTCGGAATGAATTTAAACAACGATTTAAGTTGATCTGCCTGTTTTGACAAGCCATCCATGAGCATGTCTAACATCAATTTGGTACTTCGTGTTAAGGCTTTTGTGAACGTTCCTCCAGTGGAGGCCTCTAGCATTATGGCACCTCGCACAAACGTGTCACAACTAAGAGGAATAACCATAAGCTCTTTCACAACCTCGTTTTGTTGTAGATACTCGCATGAAGATGCTAACTGATTCAATGTAAGCTCATATCCTTGCATATTGGATATTGTGAGTGCATTTCGTGATTTGATGGCAAGTTTGGCTGCTGTGACACAAAGTTTAAAACTTGCATCCGTAAGCAATAAATCCTCGAAAATCTCAGTCTCGTTGTTTCGTTCTTTTTCACATACTAGCTTAAAGTCTGACGAGTTGGGCTCCTTTAAAATGACGCATACTCTATCGGCATTGGTAAAGTCGAGTAAATGAGTGGTTTGATGGGAAAACACTTTGGACAACTCTATCGAACCAGGTGGTATGAAATTCATAAAAGAATCTTGAGGATGTAATGAGTGAGCATTGTCTGAGTGTTGTTGCGAAAATACATGATGATATTGTTCTGAAAGCTTGTGTACCATCAAACTAGCGCCACAATAATTCCATGATTTAAGGGCATCCTCAAAATAGTTTCGTAAAATCCTAGAATCCGTCTGGTGCGTTAAACAAAAATCGACGAGTCTTGTTTGAATAAGAGCAGTATAAAAGTAAAGATTTTGACGTTGAGCAATTTCAGAGGCTGATGTATACAGCTGAATGACTTGAAGTGAATCAACTCCATTTAACTTTGCAATCTCGGCTGAGGTCAACCCCATGGCAGCCTCCATGAAAATCGGATACTTGGTATACAGATCTACAACATCCTTTTCATGCTCAAAAATTCTCTCCAATGTTTTTTCTTTCATTGTTTTTGGTGCTTTAGCATTTGGACCAAGCATGACTTCCATGATGGAGAGTTTTGATTTCTTTTGATTGCCTTTTGTTGCTGAAATATCATCGTATTTTTCGTAAAATGATGTTAATATGACTACTGAAAACCATTTGTAAAGTAAATAAAACGGCGTGCCAAATGCATCATCAATGACATCATCAGCTTCATGAATTTGCTCTGCTGCCTCTTGTAGTTCATCTTTGACAAAATGTATTAAGGCCTTTGTAAAGTAAATGATCAGTCTTGAATAAGTGGTTTCTTCAATTCCTTCGAGTAAGAAAGAAGGAGAAAATGATTCCACTTCTCCATATAAAATATGTGGAATGTGCTCTAGACATGTGACCAAATCACTCTCAAATTCTTTTGAATACTTTCTATTGAAAGTTTTGATCTCTTCCAAATAGTTAAAAGTTGTATCTCTATCCAAACCAAGTAAAATACAAGAAAGGGCTAACCATGTTCCGCTCTGTGCTCCCCAAGAAATTTCCTCAATTTGTTCGGATGCTCGAAAAGCCTCTTCTGAAATTCGAAATACCTCCTGCAGGCCATCTTTACACGCAGTAATACAAATTTCATAGAATTTAGTGAGGGCATAATTTGGTTCTGTCGAGTGGTTCTCAAGTGCTAATTTTATACCCACTTGAGCCAAGTCACATCCAAGCTTGGGTTCATCCAAATATGCCAACTGCCATCTGTTTAATATGCACATGATGTTATTATATAATAATAATGGATTTGTGAGTGAGAATCCAATTAATGTAAAGAAAGAAAAATTGTAATACAACCAAAAATGTAAAAATACATATTGTTTGACAATCCAAAAAACACGTACCCTAAAGAAACGAGAATCGTGTGTGTGAGATCGGCATAGAGGCCATCTTCTATCATGGTTTTAAATAAGAGTAAGGGAGTTACAAACAGAAAGATTTTGTTTGAATTCTTTCCGATATATACTCCTTGTACGCATTCGAGAATACATCTTGCAAATGCAATTGCCTCTTCATCTGCACATTCTTTCATTTCCAAAATTTCGCTCATATCAGCAAAGTTTTGAAGGACATCTTTGATTTGATTTGTTGCAGATTCAATCCACTTCTCTGTGAAAGAATCACCATTAGCGACAAGACAATGAGTGGATGGGTTTGACGCCAAAAGGTCCACAAATTCATCGTACATTGTTTCATATTTTGATGATGCAGATGCTGATTTGAGAAGAAGAAATCGGACTTTCAGTCGATCCACTGAATCTACAATATTCGGCAATATATTCTGATACACTTCCACTGCTGATGAATGATTTCCGGACACATACTCGCACTCAGCATACAGTAAATTCACGCTGAGAGCTTGTTCATAGAAGGATTCATTCGACCAAGAATTCGAAGGTAATGTTTGTTTTGCTTGTGTTACAAAATCAAAAGCAGATTTTAGATTGTTGGCTGCGATGGCTTCCGTTGCTTGAAGACAAAGTCGCTCAATTTTTTGATGAATTTCTTCCTCAGCTTCTGTCATCTTGGTGAGTGTTTTTGAGAAGGTCGGATGTTGAAATATTGAAATATAAATATTTTGGCAAGCAATAAGAATTTAAGAATCTGCTTGCTGTTGTTCGGGAGAAAGTGAAGGCTACCTCCAGCTGGTTCTTTTGCCTTATTTTTTCGGGTTTATAATTTACAACTGAAAAACCGTTCAGAGATGGCGCGCAGTTGAGGCATTCCAAATTAGGAGGGTGCTCATTTTAATGGACCTGTGTTCTTGTGGAATTATTTCTGTTTTGCCAGCAGAACAAAGAACAATGTTCTCTCGTCACTCAAAATACGACTGGTCAAATATAATATAATGATGTGATTGACACAAAAGCTATTGGACAATAAAACTCTCGTAAAAATCTTTTGTTCTTTTCAAAAAAATGAGTTCTTTGGAAGAGAATGATGAAGGGAGCGTGAATAACAACAACAACAACCAAACAGCAACAACAGCTTCCTCAGCAAGCCAACATGTTTTTTCTACACCCTCGATTCAATTTGAAACAAATTTGTTTGGAAATATTCAGATCCCTTCCGACATTGCCTCCATACGGCGGACCTGTTGTTCCTTTAATGAAGCAATTTTAGGTTTCGGAAGTGAACATGGAAATATTTATCTTCATGATCGGTTTAGTCTTGAATTGAAACTAACCATTTCCTATGGTGAAATTTCACAAAAACGACTGAATACACCTGTATCAATTACAAAATTAGCACTCACTCCATGTCTCATTCCTACCATGGGCGGAGACCAAACAAAACGAAAATTATTTATTGGAGTGGTTGATTCAACTTTGATGGTTTATATATTGGAAGTGGAATTACATGCTCAACAAATTCCAAATACTGGCATGAATGTTTTTATTCCCAAAGTTGCACGTCCTCTGAATGCTCACAATCAACACAAATCGGAAATTACATCCATTGTTTGGTCCAATGACTTTGGTAGAATTTTCACAGGAGACTCATCTGGTCTCGTGTTGGAGTTTAAAAATCAAAAAAAATCTCTTCTCTCGATCGGAAATACTTCACAAGTGTTAAAAGAAGAAGGAGCATCCATTGTTCAAATGGCTTGTTTTGGAGACCATTTACTGGTCTCGTCAACGAAACGATCCATCGATGTCAATCTCGCTGCACAACAATATAAGGGAATTGGTACAAAACCAAGAGATGGCCAATTTGGAGCTTGTTTTCAGTATGCTCCAAAAAAGAAGGACGAAAACTCTGGATCACCAAGCACCACACAAGAACAATTTATTCAATACGCATACTCAGCGAGACCTGGTCGTCGTATTTGGTGCTCCGACATTACAACATGCAAAGTTTTGTCAACTCTCAAATTTACCTCTGTTTCGCAGCTCAAAGATTTGAAATTTACCTATTTGCTTCCAATTGGTCCATTCTTGGCCTCTTATAATGAAGAATCAGTTGCAATATTGGACATTGTGAAACTTAAAATTTTGGATGTCCGTCACAATATTGGTTTCATCAAATCGGCATTCAGTTTTGGGTTTACTCTCTTTCTCGTTCATCAAGTGAATAATGATATTCCAATTGTAAGTCGATTGGACATTGAGCTACCGGAAAATGAGAAGGCCTTCTTCATTGATCAAACAAGGCCTCGTTCAAAAGTAGCATTAGCGACGAATAGTGTCATCACTGGACCAAATTCATCAAATCCTCAATCACCTCAAAAGAAAGAAGGAGTGTCTTCTTTGTCCTCTTCCACGCCTCCAATACCTTTATTGGGTGGACTTTTGAAAAAAGGAGAACCTGTTGCAATTTCAGCATCGCCATCTGTGAATATTATGCCAAATCTTTCCCAACCACAAGCCATCCCATCCAAAACCTCAATAACCACAACCTCTCAATTATCATCTTCACCTGCTACGCCTTCTTCGTTTCTTAGTAGCAGATCTCCACATTCTTCCTTACTCTCAGATACATCCTCAACAGCAAGCACATCATCTCCTAAGGAGGGTAAGCTTTTAGATTTTGATGACGTTAAAACTACCAATGCAGCTACAAATCAAACATCCACTAAGTCCTCTACGTTTAGTTTTTCTCTCCCCGGAACTTCAAACCTAAAAGACAAATTTGCAGATCTCACAAGTGAAATGATGAAAAATGCAGCCAAAATATTGCCTAGACAAGATTCCAATAAGGACATCAACCTTTCACAACAGCAAACAACCAAAACATCCTCACCAAGCATTTCTAATGACGAAAACAAGGATTCGAGTTCTGTAACTAGTACTCCAAAATTAATTTCAATCACCACTCCACCAATAGCTACAGCCAATGCTACTACTATCAACATTTCACAAACAAGCCATCAGGCTGAAAGAGATTGGCTCGCACCAATATTGGTTCAGCCAAAAAAAGTTAAAAAGAAGAAAAAGAAGCCAGAGAGACTCATCAGTTTTGATGAATCTTCTGAAGCTAGCTCAACTGTGCTCGTGGAAAGTGCTCCCAAGAAGAGAACATCCAAAAAAAGATCAAAATCCAAAGACTTTGACCAACTCTCACAAGTGTCGGATGAGCTTTCTTCAATCGACAAATCTGGCTCATTTGGAAGCGATGACGACGAAGAGGGAGAAGGCACTGAGGATACCATGACATCAAGCTTTGTAGAACCATCACCACTTGCAGAGATTCAGGGAGAAAAACCTCTTTGCTCAGAATCTTCAGAAACTGTCTCAAAAAGTTTTGATCGCAACACGGACAGTAAGGAAACATCAAGTGAAGTTATCAATGATGAAACTGCTAATATGCAATTAATTTCTGAGGAGAAAGATTCAAAAGTTGCAGTCGAGGAGACGGTGCACAGTCCTGAAAATAGGTCTCAAACCTCTCATACTCCAATGGAGACACATGCAGCCAGTGTGTCTGTACAAGCAGAAAATGAACATGTTCAGCAAATAGATGTAGATTCTCCTACCGAAAAGTCAACTGAAGAAACTTCACATGTAGACATGACGAAAGAGACATCATCAAACGAAGAAACACCTACTTGTGTGGTTGACCAAGTACAACAGAATGAACAACCTGGAATTGTTGAAGAAGACACCAAGCAAATGGATGCAGATGCAAAGCTTGGAGAAGACCACTCCGCTCACAACTCAAAAGTAAATATTGTCCATATTTCAGATCAATTGCAAACAACACAGGAGACTGAATTAACAAAGAAAGAGGAAGAAGAAGTAGAATTAAAACGGCAATTGGAAATACAAAGAAAGCAAGAAATTGAACAACAATTGGAATTAGAGAGAGAAAATCAAAGAAAGTTAGAAATCGAAAAGCAACGTCAAATTGAAATTCAAAAACAACAAGAATTGCAACCTCTAAAATATGAAAGAATTCAAAAGGAGCAAGAACAAAAAAGAAAACAAGAAGAGGAAGAAGCAAAACGAAAGGAGCAAGAAAGGATTGCTAATGAGTTGAAACAAAAACGAGCACTTGCTATTGAAGAAAAAAGAATATATTTCTTCGAGAACATTGTGAAACCCACAGATAATTTGTTCGAACAGCTTTCCAACTTTCTCTCTAATGGAGATGGCCTATGGTGCCCTGAATTTCTAACAAAATTAGCTTTGTGGTTTGATGATTTTGTCAAATTCATTGAAAAGGAAAAGCATGAAAAACATGATTATTGCATTATTTCTGAGCTTGTCACAAAGGAACTTGACGTGAACCAACAACTTCAACTTTCCAAGTTAATCAATTTTAGATTTGAACATCTTTTTAATTCTAAGAACTCCCTCAATGTGGATTATATTAGCCATCTCCTCTCAGCACTCCATGAATTTTTAGACATGCCTCAATGTTGCATTCTTTGTAATAACCACAAGCTTTTAGATTGTGTGAACACGATTCTCAAAATAGAGGAAGAACATGGATATCTTTTAGAAGAACGAAACAAAATTACTCGCTTATTAGAGCAACTAAAAACCAAGAATACTTCAGAAGTTCGTGATGAAATTTTTTCAGAAATTGAATCATTTAAGAATGATTTACCTTCCATACCTTTGAGATTTTGTTCCCATTTAACAAAGATTCATCCGAGTGGAATTGATTTTTGTGCATCCATGTTTCCATCGATTCAGGTCTGGAATGTACAACAAGCCATGGGACTAGCCCCAACAACAACAACAACTACCTCTAACAGTGACCATTCATCCTCACCACATCATCAAAGTCATACAAATCCCGAAGTTGTCACCAAATACCTCAACTATTTAACACTTATTTATCAATTGAATCACGCAAGTCACATTAACCAAGAATTTATGGAATACTTTATATCAGAATTGGTTTCACATTATGAAAAGGAACAATTTGAACCAATCGTGAGAGTTGTGATTGAAGAAACTCTCAACCATCAAAATTGTTTTTCAGATTGTACATTTATTGAATGCACACTTAGGAAAAATATGCAACGATGTAAATCATGCCTCTTCTACCTGTATGAAAAATTGAACAAGATTGAAGATCTTATTACCATATTAGTGATCGACCCATCCCACAACATGGAGGAACTAATCTCTTTAATGGAAAATAGAGCAGAAAATACTCAAAATTGGATTGGCTTATTGAAAAGTATTGACAGTGTCAGTAATGGCCAGCCCATTTGTACAAAAGAACAAGCCATCTTTTTAATGTGCAAATGCTTGGGATCTATTCACACGCTCAACATTCTTCAAGATTTACTCATAGAATCGCCGTCATGTATGCAAAACGTGGACCCTATTGTCTATTCGAAAATATGTGAGTTGGCTAAAGCTGAAACTGAACAAAGCAAATTGAGACATAACATGATTGAGATTATTGATAGTTACATGTGGTCAGAGAAAGAAGAATGCATTTCTCCACAGGTACGATCGCTGTTTGCCTTCCAAACGGATGCCCCAAGCTCACTTTTTAGCCCCCTTGCCCCATCTGAAGAATCATTTCCTTTTGTGTCGTCTTTCTTCAAGTTGACACCCAATCAGACCAATGCTTTTCATTCCATACTTCCAAGATTTGCAGAGGATTGTGGCTATCATTGGGGAGCTCAAATTAAGGTTGGCAAAACATCAAGATGCTTCTCATGTCGACTGCCCCTAAGTGAACGAGTTGGAAGTGATATTTCAGTATTCCCATGTGGCCATTGTTGTCACAGATCGTGCAACTCTTTGGAGGTTTGTTCCATATGTAAACAAAGCTCTAAACTAGTTGAGAGTAAGAAATAAAGCTGTTTAAGATAAGGAAGCTCGTTTTATTCTTAAATGAATCTCGAGAGGTCGTCAGGACAGTGACACACTACATTTCCCAGGCCTCTTTTTCGTCAACAAGATCGTCCTTATCCATTTCGTCTTCTTCGTCAACCATGTCCACTGGTTGCTCCTCCTCATCTTCGGAAATCAATCTCTGATATTCTTCTTTTGCATACTGAGCCCATATATTGGTTCCATTAGATCCTAAAGTCCCTTTTTGTTCTACCACAAAGAACTTGGTTAAGTTGAACAATATGTTAAAGAATACGGGAGACATTTTAGATTTCTTAATATCGGAAAGAGTGATGGCGTCTCGATTTTTCGGCTTTAACATGTCAATAATTTGGCAATGAACATCTCCAAACGAAATTTCCGGATCGTACTGTTTGATTCTTTCCTTCTGTTCTGCAAATACTTGCTCCAGCTCGTAAAGACTTAGTACTCCGTCACCATCAATGTCTACACACCTGAACCAGTATTCTTGTGCAACAGGAGTGGTCTTGTCTTCTTCTGAAAGACAAAACCAAATAAAGTCTTCGTACGACATCATGCCAGGAAATTTTCCGGTAAGCTTTTTACCATTGCCTCCCATGATGCGATCAACAATAAACTCTGTAAGGCAACCATCGCCATAAGCCATAAGGTCTTCTTTTGACAGCATTCCATCTCTATCCGTGTCCAATTCCCAAAATTTACAATAGAGGACATAGAAATGTTCATATGCAAAAAAGTTAATTTCGTTGTTGGTATCTTGCTCTCGATCCAATAGTTTGAAAACATCAACAAGAGGGCTATTCTTGAGCTCCCTCAATGAAATTCTTCCATTCACGGATCTATTTAGCGTATAGAAAATACGAATAATGACTGTTTCCATGTACTTGTCTTGAAATTCAGGGGTTGATTCTAAAAATCTCAATCCTGGATGAACTGTCAATAGTTCTCTCATGATAATCTCGAAATCTTGAGGGACTATGAAATCATTTTTCTGTTGTTTGATGACATTAAAGTATCTGTAACTTTCATTGTCAAATTGTAAATGCTTTCTATAGTAATCCTCAAACATTTCACACGTTATTGAGCCAGTTCCAAGCTCGTCAATTCTCATGAAAATATGGCTTTTGAAAAACGACGGCATTTCACAAATGTCAGTCACAATCTTTCCAAACTGTTCTATGGCAACACCTGAAGGATAGCCTAAAAAGAAATTCTTAATCTTGTAAATGTCCTGTTTCATCTTTTCACTAGTTTGTGACTTTTCATTGGGGAAGTAAAATCTTGGAATTTGAGAAAAAGAAGCTTCGTCCACCGACATTTTCATCTTCTTTTTTTGACTTTCATAATTACTGGCAACATTTTGTAATTCCTGAAGTTTTCTTTGAAGGAGACCGGTTTTATGAGTGCTTGGGTCTGAGTTTCCTAACTCGAGCTCATCAGAAAAATTAAGCCTTCTGCGTGTAGTAGAAGATTGGAGAAGAGGTTCCATTTCTAAATGGCAAGCTGATTTTTGAGATCTTGTTGGTGACTGAAGAGGTGATTTTGGAGGTGTTGAACAGGAAGTGGATGCTGAAGAGACAGCTGACGTTGGATGGTATGAGTGAGGAGTAATATGTTGGAGTGAGTTCGAGATTGACACAACATTTCCGTAAGGATCATGAAGCGTGGTAGTAAATGGTTCAGCATTATTCAAAGTTGGGGAAGCAGGATGAGGATGTGTAGAGTGATGGTGGTGATTTTCATGTGTGGAAAGCTTGTGTTGAATGGAAGAGACTGAAAAGTCCACTTCATCCACAAGTACTTGAGCGGATGAAGATTTTGAGGAAGATGGGGATGATGTCGGTGAGGATCTAGGTGAGGAGGAGAATATTTTGGGAGAGTGTGGTGATCGTTGTTGTTGGTGCTGAGGATGAGGAGGGGAGTGGATTGGGTTGCTTTTGAGAGATACTCGATCTCCTGTCAACAATGACAAGTGTCGATCATGGAGACTGGAATTGAGATTTTGTCTCTGGGAGGAAAGCAGTTCAGCATTGTGAGAAGATGATGAAGGTGATTTCATATCGGACAGTGAAATGCTTGAAGGATGATGTGCCAACTCCTCCATGCTCATGTGCATGATGGGATTCCTTCTTAGGGAATGTTGTTCGTAGCCACCAATGATTGTGTGATTCGGAGTGGAATTAGTGTTCCGCTCAATGGTACGGCCATTAGTGGTTGGAGATGAACTCGGTGAAACACTTAATTCATCCCTAATACTTGCATTATGATTTTCAAGGGGTGGTGGTGGTGAGGAAAGTATTGCATTGCTGAATGACTCGGTATATTGATACATTAAGTTTTGTGATTCCTTCTGACCGATCCAATACAAGTACAATTCGTTTAGCTTTTGTTTTGCGTATTGGTTCAACTCCGAGGGAGAGTCAGTTTCTTTGGTTTTGGGAGAAGAAAAGCCAATGGTGTTGTTATTCGGTGATGATGATGATGATGATGTGGAAGAGGATGCTGATTCGCTTTGCGTTAATCGATCAAGGTCCATCACGATATGTTTTGGTACAGCTACTGTACAGTAGAGATGTAGAGTTGGAATGGCAGTTTGAATGATATAATGTTGTTTGTTCTTGAGAGGATCTTCGGGATGAAAGAGAATTGAATATCGGGTTGGAAAACTTGTTGTAACGGTTGGCCGATTTTGAGTATTTTTTTTTAATTTTAGAAAAAAAATGAAAATCTTGGCGAACGATTGAACTTATGAGCATTTTGGAATCTTTGGAAAAACAAATTTGCTTAATCTCCTGTTCGTGACCTTTTTCCTTACTCTTCACATCAAAAGTGATTTTTGGTTTTTCTAATGTCACATTCGTGTCATTATTGTTGTTCTCCTTGTTGTTAATAGAAGGAGAAAATATTTGATGCAAATCCCAAACAGCAATGGATGGTTTGGGGCCTCTCTCACCGGCTGCTAAATATTGACCATCCTTTGAAAATGCAATGCAACTGAAGGGTTTGTTCGATGTTGGGTGCTCTAAATATTTCACTTGCTTACTCCTCTTAATGTTGTAAAGAACGACAAAGGTTCCTGCCAAATAGGCCACAATTTCAGAATTCATACTGTGACCTCCAATCATTAAAGGAAGGGCTCGCGACATTGGAATGGCTGATGGGTGTAATTGGAATGAATGTTGATTATAGACAGTACTTCCGATAATTCGATCTAATTTTAAACCTGATGCTCCTCCCTGGTGATGATGAATGGATCATCTTTTTAGCAGCGACCCCAGGTGCCACTTTTTGACCCGAATGTATTCGTGATTTTCTTGCATAGGAATTCTCTTGCAGTCACAATTATTCATTCGACAGCGAGATCATCCTTGTGCACAAGGTATGTTCGGATTCAACAAGATCTACACGAAATTCGAATGATGATGGATGCTTTGGGTTAACCATGTGACTCGTATCTTGTACTATCCTCGAGTAAAGTGAATCTCGTCAGAGATTAAAGACTTGTTTGTAAATTCAGAATTCCCAAACCAACAAAAAAAAACACCATCACGCAGAACAACATGATTTCGTATGAAACCACCACACTCGAGCAAACACCTCGGAATGGCCTCTTTTTGGTGAAGGAGGGTGAGCAATGTGATGATGATGAAGCCTTTCTTCCAATCCCTTTGAACCGAATGTGGAGAAGAATAGCTCAAAGAGATGACACTTGGTTGTCATCGGTAATCATCGAACATCATCACGAGGAAATCATCTTTTTTTCTCTTGCCTTCTTACCATCAAGCAGGATGGGAGATGAAAAAGATCAAAGTGATCATGAGGAGGACGATCAAGAAGAAACGCTCTCCAATGTTCTACCGTCGCAGGACGACTTTCCATTGAAGAGACTTAATATTCGACTTAAAGGTTGGACTGAAAGTGGTGATGCTTCGTTTGTACACACAGAACCTCTTTGCACTTTCATTTCAGGATGTGTTGACAAGGAATACCAAAAAATAGAAGAAGAGATCATTGACTTGGTTGTTGAACAGGATAACTACCATGAAAAAGTGTCACTTCAACGCATGAGAGAATTCATCCATTTGAAACCATACGCTGTTTATGCCTTCTTTTTGAATGATTTTTTGGCCAAACATGTTCCAAAAGGATTAGAATTCTTAAAAGTTGAACTCTCATTGGTTCTGAATGATTCAACCACAAGCCAACAGGATGTAGAATTATGCTACACGTCCTTCATCTTACGAAATGATAACGATTTGTCTGCTAAATGTGATGATATGAATGAGTTGACATGTCTATGGTTGAAGCGCTCACTTTCACATCTCTCTGAACAATATATGGATATCTTGGATCAAGGAGGAGTATGTGATTACACCTTGTTGGATATTGACGCGTTGCTAGATATGGCTATTAACACTTGCGATAAGAATGGCCAAAACATTCATGGATTGGACTGGCATGTTCATGGAGGCCAATGGATGCATCTTTTTTGGTTATGTGAAAAAGTGTTACATCTACTTTTTTCTCGCTCTGCGGTGTTTGACGTGGTTTGCTTTTTAGATGTCATTCCTCAAAAGTTTAAATTTGAAGATAATCGTGCTGTTATAGTGGAACAAAATGACCAAGAAATTGCAAGCTGGTTGGTCGCTCGTCAACTCCTGCTTCAGCATATTCAACATCACTGCAAGGATATTACATGTCATGTCTTTAGAGGTTTTTTTGGAGGAAATCCATCGACTATTGGAAACGAGTGGAAGGATTTTGTAACCAAGCACAAGCCGAACAGTATCATCTCTTGCAAGTCGTCCCTTTTGTTCAATTTTTACAACATTTTCTGTCTCCAACTTCCAGTCATAACTGAAATGGAGGAAAATGAAAAATCAATCTTCGGTAACTTTTTACAAGGTAGAGACATTCCACGCTCCGCCAACACATTAGAAACACTCGTTTCTCAATATGCACTCTTGTTTACACGAGAAGTATTCGTTAAGAAGTGGACAACCTCTACACAGCTCTCTCTTCTCAAAGATTTGATCCAATCGGATCAAGAAGGACATCTTGTAAACAGAAGACTAGATCTTGTAACATGGAGTATTGTTTTGCATTTAACACGAAACGGTAGTGGAAGGACTTTATTCTATTGTGTATCATTAATTGCCACGTTGCTATTACAGGAACATTTATCAATTCACCAACGGCATCTTGAGCTGAACGAAACTGTACCTGAGCTCAATGAATGTATTCAAGAAGTGTACAATTATTGCTTTTCTATTCTGTATTATTATCATGGAATTATAATTTTAGACTCGTATGATTTCTTGGATGGAAGATTAGCTCATTGGTTGACATTGTTGATAATCAAGGAAGAGACTCAGAATTCATCAGTAACTCTTGGTGAATGGATGAACAAGCTAAAACAACAAATCCTTCCAAGCTCTCTTCTTTCAAAATTCGAGAAACAACTTGATGTCATATTTGAGAGTATTCCCTATTCTGTGAATTTTTTAGATCACAACATTGGAACAATTCCTAGTGAAAGAACCTCCACCACGTATGCCTACACCTTTGAACAAGATTTCAATAGAGGAACAATACTCGAAGTGAATCATCCTTTTATCAACAAGTATTGCAAGATTGACAGTTCCAACGTTATCACAACTGAAGGAAAACCCAAGTCAGTCTTTAAGGACATCTATCATTACCACTCGAACAGAATGATTGATGATTCATCGCACACTCTTGAGTTCAACAATGACGTAGTGCTTCAAAAATCAAAGGAGAAACTGGAAACCATGGCTAAAGCTTTCCAACGCATTAATCCTCACAAAATTATTTCACAGGAGCCTTCTGTGACATCTGAACAAATCAAATGCATACTTCATTCACAACAAAAGTCACACGGAAATCTCATTTCAAACAACAGTTTACAACGCTCCATGAGTCCAAGTATCGAATTTGAAAAGTTTAAATTACAACTTGAAGCGTTTGCTCGAGAAACATCTCCATCCAAAATGGCCATGGTGGAATTATCGAAACAGATCAATAACGAAATTCATCTTCTCTTGCCCGTGGTCCTGAATATGAACAAAAAAGATGCAAACAACAACAGTAATAGCAATAATAACCACCACAGAACTAGCAATTCACCCAGTAGTAATAACAGTAGTAATAGCAAAAACAACCACCACAGAACGAGCAGCAACAACAAATCCTCTAAAAAATCATCAAAAAGTGGTGAACACGAGGATGCCTTTGATGTACTGAAGAAATTCATTCATCAATTGTTGAATTCTTTCAAACTACAACTTCCAAAACAGAGAAAAGATGAAGAATCTAAATACCTACAGAAAACAGTCACTGGTGCCTCCTCAAGGATTGTCCTCTCTCGTGAGGATGAACGAAAGGCCTTGTTTAAACTTTATCATGTCAATAGTTGGATTCGATTCATATACAGTTATCTAAAGTGGTTGGAGAAGACTCTAAGCTTTCTCTTTACCGAATCTGAGATTAGAAAAGAAATCGATCACCTTGCCACAGTTGCGAGAATGTTTGGATTTGTGAACACTGCTGATATCCTACAAAAGAAACCTCTGGCAGAGACTTCAAAAGACGTCGTGGATCCTAATTATCTTTTCCTTTTGCACTTTGAATTCATTCCACCAACGACTCCCTCCCTTGAATTGTTCACCAATCAACAACATGTCCAAATACTTGAGACTCTCTCCTCTCACATTGAAGATTTATCAAAACAATACAATCAAGAGAAAAAGAAGGATCAGAAGGAACGTCTTTCCGAAGAGTTGAGAAAGGCCATCATTATGAAAAAACTTCGAGAAAATCTGACCTTTGTTCCAGATCAATGGCAAAACGAAATGATCGATCATGTGAATCATAATCGATCTGTACTCGTATCCGTTCCTACCTCGAACGGTAAAACCTTTATTGTGCACTATGTCATTGAAAAAGTTCTAAGAGAAAGTGATACAGGTGTGGTTGCATTTGTGGTACCAAACAAAGCATTGGTGAATCAAATTTATTGTGACGTTCTGAGTCGATACGAGAAGAAAGTTTTAGGAAAAGTGGTGGTTGGAATGGCCACTGCAAATGTTAGAATTGATATTTTCAATTGTCAAGTTCTAATTCTCACTCCTGCCATGTTAGAAATTTATTTAATGAGTGCCTCAGAGAAACTTGTAGCTTGGAGAAAGAATATCAAATATTTAGTTTTAGACGAAATACATTGTATCACTCAGGATGATCAAGGAGATTATTATGAACATTGTATTCAATTACTCGATTGCCCAATTATTGGCCTTTCAGCAACTATTGGCAATGCAGAAAAGTTTAAAGAATGGATCAAACATAGAAATCGAGAAGACATTCAACTCATCTATGAACCTGACTATAAGAGATATGCTCCATTGGAATATTATTCTTTCAACAATCACCGAATTTCACATTCACATCCCTGTGGCTTATTCAATCCCAACAATTTATCAAAAAAGGAAGTAAGTCAATGCAGAATGATGACGATCGATGAATGTTTCCAACTTTCAGACTTTATTTTGATCCATCATCCAGAAATGAAAGAGTTTGTAGAGAGTCATGTTGGACATTCTCTGTTGAAGGACAACAAACTTGAAATTATATCTTGGTCAGATCACATTGAATACAAGAGATTATACAACAGAATGCTTGAGGAACTTACTGCAAATCATCATCGACACGTTCTTCAATCCATCGTTCAACATTTTAGCAATGAGTATATTTTCAGTAGCAGTGAGAACAAAAATTCCTCAGAAATTATTGAAGACATGATTACTCTCATCATGCATATGAAAGCAAAGAAAATGTTTCCAGCTCTCCTATTTATCTTTGCAAGGCAACAAATCAATACACTCATTTGGAGTTTGTGTGAACGAGAAATATCTCTGTGGGATGATGAAGACTCAAAGCCATCAGGAGACATTCTTCGAGTGGTCAAGAACTTTTCAAACACTTTAGAATCGCAGCAGAAATTGCAAGATCATTATTTAAAAGCCCTTCACCTTGGAATTGGAGCTCACTTTTCAGGCATTGATGAGTTTTATCAGATGGAAGTCGAACGTTTGTTCCGTGAGAGAAAGCTTCCTCTCATCATTTGTACTTCAACATTGGCTCTTGGTGTTCATTTACCGTGCAGTACTGTGGTGATGGGAGGTGCATCCATTTACCTTAACAAGACTTTGTTCAAGCAGTGTTGTGGTCGTGTGGGTAGAAGAGGTGTGGATCAAAAAGGAAGAGTGATTCTTTATGGGCTAGATTACAATAGAGTGCGAAGATATTTATTGTCAGAACCGGTCACATTGAATGGAACTAATGGCCTAAAGCCAAGTTTCTTACTGAAGATACTCATTAGTTTGAATAGCCATCAAGATTGCCGCAAAGAGGCTCTTGAATATTTTGAGGATGCTTTGACTAGACTCTTGGAAAGACCTCTCTTTTCCATCAACTCATCCATCATGAGCCAGGTTACAAAGCAAATGAGCCACTATGTGAGATTTAATACCGAATTTTTACGACAAACGTTTTATTTAAATAAGAAGTGTCAACCTTTGAAACTGAGCGGATTGGCAGCACATATCCATTACAGAGAGCCATTTAATTTCTTATTTACACACTTTATACAGACAGATTTGTTTTCAAGAAAACTCGATGATAATATCATTACTGAACGAGAGTATGACAAGATTGTACTAGTGGTATTTTCACTACTTTTTGCAAGATTGAGAGCTTCTCAGTTTATGAGTCGAAAATACATTGTTAATGTCAACTTTAGCGAATCCATGACTAAGGTCTACGAAGAAATGAGAACTCAAAACAAACACTTTAACAGAGAAGTTTTGAAAATATTCAGTAATTATGCTGTGACTTATTTTCTTGCATCCAGACACGATGTCGAGGTTCAAAATGATTTGTATTTTCCATGCTCTAAATTGGTGCCCAAATTTTGCAATGAAAGTAGTTCATCCTCGCCACTCTCTGAGCTTTTGAAAAAAGATCTTATTACAAGTAATGCTTCAATTTCTTCCTTTGCAGCTCTTAGTGGAAACAAAGACAATTACTACATTAACGAGGATCACTTTATTTCAAGTCTTAAACATACCATCTATCTCAACAAGGGTCATTTACCCTTCAGTAATGTGATTTCTGGAGAAGAGTTGAATTCCTTTTTATTGGACTATTATCATCATGGAGATTTAGAACTGTTATGCATCAACAATCATATTCCAACTATTGGAATGGCAGCAAAATTAATCGAAGATGCAACCAGAGATTTGAAAAAACTCAGATCTAGTTTAATTAATGAAGAGGTATTCGATTACTCCATCTCTGAGTATTTAAAGAAATCATCCAGTGAAGAAACAGCACTATGGCTCTACAATACTCTTTGTCGATTTTTGCCTAAACATGTCGCACAGAACATGAGGAAACGATTTCAAGAGAAAAACGTGACCTTTTTACGTTTGTATGAATGGATTACCGATGACACTTTTGACATTGAAATTTGTAATATTGTCAATTTGAAAGGAAAAGGTTTGAAATCATTAAGATATGATGTGTCTTCTCTCTTCTTGCATCCTCTTGTTCAAAGTATGAGCCGAATTATTCGACAATTTACAGCCAAAGAAACACAAGAGCGTCAAGTCTTGAGATCTCTTAAAACTTTGAAAAAGCTCAACAAGAAAGATACGATTGGAAGCACCAAAGAAGATACATATTTGAAAAAGAAGAAGAAATCTTCATCGAGTGGCTCCTCCAAATGGACCACCACCAAACCTCCAGACAAGTATGAATGATGAGTGTGTTACACAATTTAAGAGGAGAATAGAATGCAATTGAAAAGGCCGTTAGGATATATATGATCATAAAGTTCTCCTTTGGTATCACATACGAATCATTGAAAGTACGAGTGTCATCAATGGATCGATAGTGAATCAGTCATGACAATAATGAATTCTTTCGAAGCGTGAAATGCATGAATTTCCAATTTCTTTGATTATTGTTGACGCAAGTGGTTCTGACGAATGTATAAAATTTATATTCCTCATCATCATCATGGGTTAAATACCATTGGATAATGATCATCATCACATGAACTATCATACCAAATTTTCATTTGGTGAAATTGATTTCAAACCACTGTTCCTTCTTTTTCCAGTTGAACATGATCCATGTTCCGAGTCACATATTGGCTTCAATCACACAATCGATCACAACAACCTCAACAAAATCTCTTTTTTGTATTTTTTATTCTTGTCAAGTGCCATCCAAAGAGATACATGAACTTTAATATCATGAACGTCAACATTCACAAACGGAAGATCCTTCAAAAGATAATTTGCGTTCTCTTTTCAACCTCGAATGTCTGTTGAGGATATCCACAACTCTAAAGGATCTTCCATGCATGACGTTCGAATATATAATTATCGTGAATGATCACCTGACCAATGCATGCATGGATTACGATATAAACAGTGTGTGATCACAACAAAACAACTCTCGTCCAATAATGATTTGATGATCACTTTCTAAGAAGGTCTCCTCTTACCAACATGGGATGGTGCTTGCAATTTTTCAAACCGATTCGTTCTTCCTATTATAATTTCATGCCTTCCGATTTGAGAGGAGCAACATTTCACGACAACTTCAAGGTTGCTTGTGCCTCTTCTTCACGAGCATCAAAGACGTCAAATGTCGAAAATTACCTACAAAAAAAAGACGACGCATCTTCTCTCTCTCGTATCTAACGTTAGAGTGTTTGAACTCCATTATCACTGAACAACAACACCGAAACGTCGTCATCACTTGCCATCATTGATAACCGAGAGTATTGTTCTGTGTGTACATAATTTGTGTTATCATCCTTTTCCAAATTGTCATTAACAACATCATCGCAGAGTGTTTTTTTCTCCTCCTCCTACTAGTAGTAGTCATAAAACGTTTTCAATTTTGTCCATCGATCCTTTTTTCTAATCACAACAACAACAACTCTTTTAACTCACAACCATTCGTATAACTCACACAAAATGGGTATCTGTGCCACTCGACAAACAGGCTCTGCTCAAGCTCTGAGCGAGATTGAAAAAGGAAGACAACAACAAGAGAGAGAAATTAAAGTGCTTCTTCTTGGTGCTGGTGAATCTGGTAAAAGTAAGTATACATTTCAATCCTCATCATCATCATGATTGAATTCATTGATGAATCTAATGTCGACGACGAATAATGTTGTTGTTATTGTTGTTGCTGTACTGATTGTACATATATCATCTTCTCAATTCGGTTGTAAATGGTTCATCCGTCAAACAACAACAACACAACACCAACATCAAATGGATGATATTTGGATGATATTTGGGTGATATTTGGGTGATATTTGAAATGACCTCGTGTGTCTCATATACTCTCTTCTCTCATAATATGACGTCTTTCTGCTCTACTTGCCATATCTGACTACGGTTGTTATCCATTTGTTCATTCATCCCTCGATGTACATGTTTGATTTTCCAAACAACCACAACAACATTATTCTCATCGGTGCCGGTTGCATATCATGATCATCCATATATCTATTTATATGTATATCATCATTTCAATCTATGTTCATCAACACCTCCAACACCATTGCCAACAACACCATTACCATGCACTCACTCTCTCACAGGTACCATCTTCAAGCAAATGAAAATCATTCACCAAAATGGTTATTCTGAAGAAGAACGTGAGTCCTACAAGGAAATCATTTATGGTAACATTCTGAAGGCCATGAAGAACCTTGTACAGGCTACTTTCTCATTCAACATCCCTATTGAGCAAGAAGAAAACAGAGAACGTGCTGGTAAAATTAACGAACTCGAACAAGAGGCTCTTCTCCATGTCCACAAGTATTGGACTGCTGAAATTGCCGATGATATTCAATGTTTGTGGTCCGATCCTGGTATTCAAAAGGTCTTTGAGAAGAGAAATGAATTCCAACTCGATGACTCTGCTCAATACTACTTTACTCATTTGGATCGTATCAAACAACCTGATTATAAACCAACTTTGGAAGATGTGGTTCGTTCCAGAGTCAAGACCACTGGTATTGTAGAGATGAGTTTCAAACTCGATGATCGATCGGTTACCTTAATTGATGTTGGTGGACAACGTAACGAAAGAAAGAAGTGGATTCACTGCTTTGAAGGAGTAACGGCCATTATTTTCGTAACCTCACTCAGTGAATACGATCAACGTTGCTATGAAGATGATTCCACGAACCGTATGCATGAGTCCTTGTTGTTGTTTGATGAAATTTGTAACTCGAGATGGTTCATGGAGACTTCCATCATTTTGTTCTTGAACAAGATGGATCTCTTCAAGGAAAAGATCAAGAGAGCCGATCTCTCTCAATTCTTCCCAGAGTATGAAGGAGGTAGAAACTTTGAAGCAGCTGCTAACTTTATTCGTTCTAAATTTGAAGAGAAGAACCGTAATCCAAGACACAAGACGATCTATGCTCACTTTACCTGTGCTACTGATACACAACAGTTGCAACAAGTATTTGATGCCATCAAGGATATTATTTTGAACAAGACCCTCAAAGAACAAGGTCTGTTCTAAGTGTGTACAGGACTACCATCATCGATTATGACTATTATTCGTGCTCATCCATTCTAGGGGTGAACAATCATCATCAATGAATACGCAGCACTTTCCTTTCCTTCTCTCCCCCATCAACAACATGATCAACTATATTACAACTCAGCTGAGTGAAAACAATGTATGTCTGTCATCACCAATAAAGCTACTTTATGTATAATTTCCTCATTCCGTCCCAACAAGACTGCTGATGTGGCAGGATTTAATGTAAAAAATTGGAAATGAAAGGATGAAAGAAATTGGAAAAGCAATCACTTGAAACGAGTATTAAATTTCTAGTGTCGACTGTTTTCTGTTCTTTGGAATTGCTAACTCCCTTTTTGGTTGTTGTTGTTGTTATTTGACCTTTGATGATCATTTCTTTCGTATTTTGAGAAATTTCTTTGTTTGCGAAAATTATGACAAAGGTGTCAGAATTTTTGAAAGGTGTTCTAATGGCTTTTTCATAATAGGATACAAGATCATCTGGTTCTAGAATCCTTTTCTATGAACCCTCATATTGAAACTTATTTTGTGTGATGAATATCATTCTTTTGTTGATGTCCTCATTAACTAATGGACAAAATAGGCCATCAATATCATCTTGATTCTTGTTTAACTTTTGCAAGCAAGTGGAATGAATAATTTTTTCGTTTTTTCTTCGTCATTTGATAGATGATCATTTAGGCAATCGTATTTAAACCATGAAGAATTGGATGTTCTTAATGGAATAAATCCCAAGTCACACCTGCAATGTGCCCATTTAAATAACTCTATAAATCGCACTTCCTGAGAATGGTTGAGAGTAAAAAGAACGTTAAATCTTGCAGTCATGGTTTTGAGACATAACTCCTCAAATCTTTCCCCTAATGGCTTATTGGATTCAGTTATAAAATCACTAACAACAAGTTTCGGAATGAAATTCATTCTCGTTGCTAATACATCAATCACAACAAGAGGAACGCCAATTAAGCAAAAGCAATGTGCAAGTCCATCGGTATAATAAACCTTGCCCTCTCTCACATATACATTAGGTTTTTCATCCTTTTCAATTTTCAACCGTGAAATTGTTCTTAAAGCCAATTCTCCAAAGTATTGATCATCAAAATTCTTGAAATATTGGGATTTGATTGTCTTGACAACATTAGCATATATAGTCGTTTGTACGGTTTCATCATTCACTGTCATTGATTTCAATTCTTGGGCAGCATTTCCCAAAGCCCATTCTAAATGTCTCGGTATCATTCCAATGGCATTCCAAAACTCCCTGTACTTTCCCTTATACAGTTCCAATAAACCAACATCGGTCATAATCTCCTCAATATCAATCGGTCTCAATGGAGGAAGCAATAATTGGGCAGATAAATATTGCATAGATTCTACGTCAGATTCAGGAAAAGTTCCCCCAAATGCTGGAAATAATAAAATTTGATGACTATTCTAAATGAATCTCATATACCACCCTAATTTATGTTGAATACAAGTGTGTAAATATGGACTGAATCTTGTTGCCAATACTAATGGAATAACAGTTTCTCCATATTTTTCGTGTAGATTTTTTGATATTATTCGCATAACTTCATAGAAAAAGAGATCATTTTCACTTGGTGGAGTATTTTGAACTAATTCTGTTGAAGGGTTTTCAAAAGCAGCATAAACGATTCTTGATACAATCATTGAAACAGAATTCTTATCTCTATCAGTCAAAGGAAAGCCATTTGCAAAGGATAAATAAATCATATTAACATTTTTAAAAATATTATCCAATCCTCCATTGCGAAGAATGTTTGGAATCTCTGTGAGGATACATGTTTTCCCACTTCCACTTCCACCTTTTGCAAATAAAAAACTAAATTGATATTTGCTCTTCCTTTCCAAAGGAAAGGCTTGATAATGTCGTTCACCAACGAATAGTATTTGTTTGATAGATTCTTCTCGGTTTTTCAGTTTGAAATGAAATGGATCTGATGTTTTTGAGAATGGACTTGTTAAGTCTTTTAAATTGCACTGACTCAAATCATGCAGAAATTGTAATTCTTCATGCTTGAAAAGTTTATACTTCCAATCTTGATCGTTCATAACAGGTCCTTCGAAATCATATTTGTCGGGTGTGCATTGTATTTCTGGTAAAAGCTTGTTCTTTAATGTTTTACGAATCGGATGAAGCAATGTTCCCATGAGAGCTGGATGAGGATGGTGTTACTTTTCACTTCTTGCATTCCACATTTCGGGATGGATTATGCTCTTCATCGTGCTCCAAAACCTCTTTTTTCTTTGATTGGACCATTTCTTGAGGGCAGAATAATGAAACCAGGGTTCCCCACATTCTTTTGGGATGGTTATAACATTGGCTAGGTAGTGATCTTTCTATTTGTGTGTTCTGTATAAAGTAACTGTTTATTAATTAATAGGAAGCATTAAACCTACACCACAACTTGGCAGATATGCCAAAATTTCAAAACCAGGAAATTTAACAATTTAAGGCGCCCACAACAATAAACAACAACAAATATCAAGGGAAGAATCTGTGGAATAATTTCTACAGCTCCCAATGAAACACTTGTGAATCACGTGGTTGATGCATAAATCCCTGTGAATAAAATAAAGGCCAACCATCATCGTCATGACCACCATTACATTGAAATTGTGAATTATATGATATGGTTGAATATTGTTGTGAATTACTGTTGATTGTTTGTTGTTGTGAATTGTTATCAATAGTTTGTAGTTGTGAATTATGACTTGTTGGTGATTCTGAAATATTACTAGCTTGGCTTTGATGATATGTGTTGGCATGTTGTTGTAAAGAATTTCTAATTGTTGTACGTTGCTGTTGTGAATGATTTTGTTGTGTCTCAGTTGACCTCACAGTGTATGGTATGAATCGACAGGAACGAGCAAATGATATTTCACTTAACACTCTTCCTGATGTTGTTACTCGAGCCGTTCTTGGTTGAGAAAGTATTATCAATCGATCGTCAAACATATCCATACTATGATCTTGGTGTGTACTTAAGTTGGTATGAGTGGACATGTTATCTTCCTCTGGCAATAAATTTCCTACAGCTACTCCTGCTTGGATGGATTGAAGACGAATATGTTGCTGAGACGTTGGGGCAAATTCTGTGAAATTTGAAAGTACTTGTTGCTCTACAAATAATCCAATCGCTTGCCTTACTTTTGGGTTAGTGAACACATAGATGACAACAGCTAAGCCTGGGCTATTGGGTGCTATATCATTATATTCTAAATAATTCTTTGAGACGAGAAATTCCAAAATATTTTGCAAATTTTGAGTGGTCAACCAACGGTTGGAACTTGTACCAATGTTGACCGTTTCAAATGCATCACCGATATGGAGTGCATTGTACGCTCTAAATAAATAGAGAATGGCATTGATGCATTCTTCATTGTCAAATCTTCGTTCATCTTGCTGTCTTCTTTTAATTTCTGATCTAATATTCGTCAATGCTTGGGCGTAAGTTGCAACCTTTGGCCGGGAAGTACGATCTTCTGTATTAATGTCTTTCACTGTATCCTTGTAAATGGAAAAATATCTGGAATTGTTGTTGTTAAGTTCATGATACCACAAATCAATGTCATTCAATATAATTTTCAAATAAGCTTCTCGATCCTTTCGATTGGCAATGGTATCCAAGTTGAAATATGAAAATCCACTTTCAACCTTTTCATTGTCCAATTCAATTGAACCAAAATTTTCAACCCATCGTTTCAGTGCATCTGGTGAGTCGATCAGGGTATGTGTTCCATTTTGTATCGATGTTAATAATCGATCTGAAAATCCCCACTTACTTCTCTCATCTTGGCTAAATTCGAATAATTTTCTGGCAGCCATCCTACTTAATTGTGGATGCAATAAAGCGCTAGCATAGGTAAAGGAATAATCTTCATAATCACCCATAATCTTTTCCAATTCTTTCACACCCTCCCCTCGAGCTCTATTGAATAGAGTATGATCGACGTTGTCTGGTGCTTGTAATTGTTCAAGACGTATGGAGTTCCAAGAGTTGATATATTCCAAAAAAAACTCCATAGTATTATTAGTTCTCAATTCTTTAAAAGATGGCTCTAAAAATTGTTCATAAAATATTTTGTTGACTTGTAGGTCTTCTAAAAAATCCTCATTCTCAACTATATCCAACACATCGGACCAAGTTGCTTGAATGTTCTCATCTTGTTTGTCAATACCCCATTCAATCGCTGCTCTATAAATTGGTTCTAAATGATCTAAAATAAATACAGCAGCACGTGACACGCTTTGCCATCGAGTGGACACTGGTAAGGGAGGCTTCATTACATCATTAAAATTATTAAGGTCATCATCAATAATAATAGTACCATCTTGTGAATTAAAATACTTTTCAACAAATTGAAAATCGAATTTCAAAATAGTCACCAACCAGCGTAACGATTTCCAATCCGATCGTAGCTTTCGAATCACCTTTCCAACATGTCTTTCAAAGTCCTTATAGCATGTAATAAAGTGTTTGTATACCAAATTCAAATTATGGCCACAACAAGTAATCAGTGTTACGTTGAGCATGGTTGGCTTGGCAACTGCAATCACATTCGCCCCATTATCGGACATCATAAAGTCAACACGACGGCCATTCCATCCACTCTCAGCTTGTTTCACAGTTTCAAATAAGGTCTGTGCTGTTTGATTTAACATGGGTTGAATTTTTGAGCAAATGGTTGTCCTTTTGTACTTGAGTTTCAATTGACGCTCAAGTTGATACATTTTACGAGTGTCTTCTTGACTACGTAGCTGTTTTCTGAGCAACATGGTGTATTGTTCTGAAATTATTTCCAATTCCTCTTCATTCAAATGTTCAATCATGTTATAAAATATAGACACAAAACCATCACTTTCATCAATCATACGAGTAATTTTCCCTGGAGCATGTCGTAATTTATCATTAATAATTTCATCTATGGCTCGGGAAATGGCTTTCATGTGTCTTGAAAGACAGCTATCCGATGGCACATCTAATATCTTTTTTCCAAAGAATACGTGTTGGAAAGCATTATTACAAATTTCGAGTTTTCGGATTGGTATGCCTTGAATGTCCATTCGTCGAGATTGCTCTTCGATTGGTAATAACACATCTTGAGTAGAAACTGTCCTTGAATTAATTTCTCGAGAGGAGTGTTGAAGAAGGTTATGACGGACCCATTTAGAATTCTTGTTTTGGTTAACTCACTCATGTGTGAGATAAGATGAGTCACAATACGATCCCTGCGATCTGACTTGTATCCACATAAACAAGTCAAAGAAAGATCTGTGCGAGCTTTAAGTGCGTTTATGAGTGATCGATTTCTCAAATTTCCTACATACTGCGCAGCTGGCATAATAGTGTTCAAGATTTTTGTTTGCTGAAGCAACAACATTTAACGTACTTCATTCGATACCAACCTCACTCTGGATATAGTAGTCTTCTATTCCTGACGTCAATACTGTTGTTCCTTTCAGAGTTTTGGACTTAAACATCGTATTTGGTTGTCAGATCTGCCAGTTTGTGGGGAACCTTGAATGAAACACTTGGTGAATATTTTTTTTTAAAACTTTAAAATACCCGCCATTGGCGAAATGAGCATGGCGGTCTGGGCACTACTTTGTTTTTGAGAAGCGCGACAGGGTGAATCAACTTTTTGAAATGAGGACCTTCAATGGAAACAAACGCCTTGGCACTTTACCCCTTCTGGTTCTTTTCATAAATGATTATGTCTCTTCTAGAAGGTTCTCACAACGACTGATTTCAGCCCAAACGGGGTTGAAATGAAGACACCCAATTAACAAATATAAGGGAATTATTAGACCGCAATTTAAATATTTATACAAACTAAAGGTTGAATGTTCAGCCCGTTTGCTGAAATTAGTCGTTGTGAGAACCTTCTAGAAGAGACATAATGTAAATACAAACTTTAGAAATTATCAAGCTTGAGAGAGGTTGATTTCGATGGAAAGAAGTGCATTGCAGGGATTTAGTGCATACAGTCATCGTACTCCAAGTACCAAACTCTCCCTCATGACATGGTTGCATCATTTTGAAAAATCAGTTTTCGTTTCATTTATTATTGTCATAATGAAAGCAATAAATGTAAATCCAGAACATGCCACCATTCTCTACTACGATGAAATTTATTGAGAATCTTGCATTGTGACTCTTTTTTGGTTACAGATATGAATTTAACATTTATTTTAAGAAAGCAAAAATTCAAATCTCTAACGATCCCCATTTTCGACATTTTCCTTTTACAGTAATTACGTTTGTGGTATTTATATTTTTTTGTTAAATGTATCCTCATGATGATTTAGAAAATATAATCATTAAGAAGATCAATGCTTCTTCTGATCGTGGCGGTTGTTTTTTCACACATACACGAAAAAAACATCCTAGACCTTTTCATCTTTTGCTCTCACAGTAGCTTGCGATCACAAAATGGTCGAATCTCCAATTCTAGGACAACAACAAACAACACCAACTCAACAACAACAGACAATACCAACCCCTCCTCAAGAGATCAAGACGGTTGGTGGTTTGGCCAATCAGCCCAGTCGAAATGATTATGTTCCAGAAAGTGGTGATATGGGTGGTTCGAGTGGTGGTGGTGGAATGAGTGGTGGTGGTGGTTACAATCCTCAATTACAAACCATGGAGAGTGTGGATCGTCAACTCACTCAAGCATTTGGTACACCTTTGAATCCCTCTGAACAACAACCTTATATTCAGCAACAACAACAACAACCTTTGGGAAGTGAAATGACGACAAGATCTCAGAACGATTATGCTCCTCAAATGGGAACTAGTTCTTCCCTGAGTGGATTCACTCCACAACAACAAGAACAACCCACAATGACGATGAGCGGAGAATCCTCCACAACAACTCCACCACCAATGATGATACCTCCTCCTCCTCCGTCCATGATAAGCAGTAGTGGTGGTGCTGAAGAGAGGATGAGTAGTGGTGCTGAAGAGAGGATGAGTAGTGGTGGTGGTGAGATGGGACGATCATCTCAAAAGGATGATGCGCCTCCTCCTTCCATGATGATGACGAGTACTGGTGGAATAAGCAACAACGAACCTTCAAGTAATCTTCCAATGGCTTCCTCAACCATGATGATGACGACCACTCCACCTACTTCTACAAGTATTCCTCCACCTCCCACCACCACTGTTGCAACATCACCTCAACCTCAACCACCACCACCACCACCTCCTAGTTCGACCTTCATTACTGGATCAATACCTCCACTTTCACCTCGAGGAGGAGGAGGAGGTATTGGTGGTGGTGGTGGTGGTGAACGTAAACTCATTGTCTGTTCGAGTCAGCCCTCTGAGGAATTGTTGGAAACTCACTTACGAGGAGGAAGGGTCACGGTTCCACCTGGTAATTATGAAGGAAATATCCAACATGGAGCAGAAGAAGAAGAAGTATCATCATCCTCTTTGGATCAGCAACAACAACAAGCTTCATCTTCCTCCTCCTCATTCATGATGGGAACCACAAGAGCCTACGCCTCTCCTTCCCTACTCTCGACCCTTCCGTCCTCAGACTTGTCCCACAAGCAACCACACACTCAATTCCGAGTTGCAACTACAGAGGAATCCTCACCACGAAGTCGAACAGGAGCATCAACAACTACATCAACAATTACATCATCAACAAAACCTTATTCCTCCATCTTTGAACCACCTGCCATGAGAGCCATCATTACCTGTGATTTCAATCCAGAGGAACCAGAGAGAGCCTTCATGTATCTTGAAAAGTATCCTCAACCTTCTCCTCATCGTTTAAACCCAGGAGAGGTCATTGTCAAGATGAAGTACGCAAGTATGAATGCCTTTGATTGTAAGATCAATCAGGGTAAGATTCCCATGGAGATTGCTTCCTCCTCGAGAACGTATTGGCGTCAGTATCCCATGGTGGGTGGACATGATGGTGCTGGAATGATTTACAAGTTTGCAGAGCCCTTCACCATCCAAACTTCTTCTTCATCAACAACAACAACAACAGCTCATCATCATCATCCAACTCCTCATACAGTAACTCCAAGTTTGTTTGGTTTTCGTGTGGGAGATCCAGTCTTGGGTTTCACCTCCAATGCTCAATTTGGAACGTTTGGAGAGTATGCCATCTTCAATGAGAGAGATTTAGTCATGAAACCTGAGAATTTGAGTTGGGAAGAGGCTGCCTCACTTCCTTACAGTGCATTAACTGCGATGGAATGCTTTTTGAAGGCAGATAAGAAGAGACAAAAGAAGAAGGCTCAAGGACCTTCAATGATGATGGGTTTGAGAACAGGTGGAACTGCAACCACCACAACCACAACGGTGTCTGGATCCATGGATCAACAACAACCATCCATGAGTGGTGGTGCTGGTGCTGTCGGTGGTGGAATGGGAGGTGGTGGTGATGTTTTCTATCAGAAAGAACCCATTGATTCTCAAACTGTGCAATCTTTGGTGAATGGTGACAAATTTGGAAGTGTCTTTATTCATGGAGGAAACACGAGTGTTGGTATTTGGTGCATTCTCTTAGCAAAACATTACTTTGGAGCTCAAAGAATCTACACGACCATTTGTGGAGGTAATGTGGAGGATGAAGAATTGTTAAAGAGACTTGGAGCCGATGTGGTTGTGAATTGCTCGACTGCAACAACTGGTGGAACGGAAGGATCTGTTCTTTCCACTCATTTAAATAACTATGATGAATTGATTAATAAGGATCTTCAACAGTATTGGGTAGAGTTTTTGGGAGAATTGGAGAGACAGGCAGGAGGTGGTGGTGGTGTCACTACAACTGCCAGTAAGCAAATCATGACACAACCACCCTCGAGTGTGGCACCATCAACTCAGGAGACCACCACGACATCCGCTCAAGTCACACAACCTCCAACATCGACAGCTGGTACTGGAGAGGGAATTACAACCGAGTCGACCACTGCAGTGTCACAACCAAGTCAACCCATGCAAGAACAAACAACTACCATTCCACCTCAACAACAACCACAACAACAGTTAATTCCACCCACAACTTCAACTGCAAGTGGAGAGTTGAGTCCACGTTCATCCACATCATGGCCACATAAAGGATTTAAATCAAGAAAGGATATGGATAAATGTAAGAATTTGGTTGGATCCCTCAATTTGGCAATTGACACCGTTGGTGGTCATGATGTCATGACCAAGTGCTTTGGGTTGTTGAGTGGAAGTCATAGTCATTTTGTCACGTTGTGTCCACCTGTGGAACTTGAACAACGAAAATTGAGTGGTAAGGATGTTTGGAAGATGGTGAGCTTGACTGCCACGAACAGAATTAAGAGCTTCTTTGCTAATTATCCTCATTTCCATACTATTATTCATGTGGAGAGTGACAGGGAGTTGTTGCAAGAAGTGGTCGATTGGTATTCGCAAGTCAAGAATGAACCATTCATGAGGAATGCCATTCGACACAAGATTTATGATTTGAGAGACGGTGCTGCTTGCATGTTAGACTTGAGAGAGAAGAAATTTAGTTCTCACAAGTTGCTTCTTGACATGTCTTATTGAGTTTCACTGTAAATAAGTCTTATTCGATCTGAGGCATCCTTATTAAAAAAAGTATTGAGTTTTTAAATGTCCATCATACAACTATGGTGTAGAGTTTTTTAAAATCTCTTTGTGGTCAGGTTTCGGTTTAATAATCATCATTTTCAGAACGAACCACTCAATTTTCTTTTATGTTTGTGTCGACGGTAATGCTTACTTTTTCAGCCTTCGTTTATTCAAATGTTTGGTGAACATTTCCGTGTCGACCTTAATGGAATTACAATTAAAAACCAACATTTCTTTGGATTGTTGCATATGAATCAAATCAACGAGATAATCGATAATTTTGGCGTCACATGCCTTCAGACCTAACTGTCTTTGTATGGTCTTGCTACAATCTTTCATAGATTCAAGAGTTCCGGAGCCAATCAGAGAAGCATTCGAATTGCCAATCATAGTTCCTTGTGATGACATGCTTGTTCCCTTTTTCGATTTGGACTTCTTTGCTGGAGAGGACATGCTTGAAGTTCCTTTGTGAATCAACTGAGGAGTCAGAGATGGGAACATGGGACCAAAGAGTGAAGCTCTTCCTGTATCTTTCTCTTTGTTTGAATGGACATCGCTTGTGGAAATTTTGTGGAGTGATTTCTTGTAAAAGTGACTTCTTGTTTTTGTGATGGAGAATAATTGATTGAAAAGACTGGCTTTCATTCCCATCTCCAAGAATATTGCATGAGTGAAGGCGAGGAAAGCATCCTCACTTCCCCATTCTTTTGATTCGTCGAAAATGATGTCCAAATATCTTCCACAGTAAACAGGTCCACTGTAATAATCATTTTCAAAATCGAATATACTGATCCATGTTTCGAACATGCTTGGAATTGGACATTTTTTGCTGAGTCCAATTATTTTACAAGTAGAGAAATCCAAAATCTTATAAAAATTTGTAGAAAATTGGCTAATTGTTAACAAGAATTATATTCAACTTACATTCAAAGGTGTCGTTTTCCAATGGCAAATTTGAAAATAGTCAGTTTTAGGTGTATCAAACGAGGTCGATGAAATAAACCCTGGTACAAATAATGCAAAGGCATTTACCAATGCTCTTATCGTTCTTTTAAAGCAAAATGTCAAATAATTACATGTGAATATATTTTAAAACCATGACCATGTACTTACTGTTCTTGACTTGGCTCACCATAAATAACTAACGGCCTACCAATCATAAGAGCATAGGCAATATCTTTAGTGAATGAAAATTCTTTGAAAATCCTCAATATACCCTTTCCAAAATTGTTATCTCCATAATTATATTCAAAGAGAAGAGAGGACAAAAGTGAACCAGATTGGCCTGAGTTTAACATGCCATTGTAGCCTCCTAGACTCGCTGTAGGTGAGTGATTTCTCTTTCGTTTCCTCAACTCATGAAATAGATCATCATATTTTTCGTTTTCTGGAAAAAGTGAGTTCACATAACACCCAGTTCCCTTAAAGCCGTTCTTATAGAGATGATAGCGATTGTTGGCAGAAGGAGAGATACTGTTATTGATGGAGAAGTTAGCCGGTTCAGGTTGAAAGGCAACAGGTGATGGAGGCAAGCTTGAAAATACTAAATTATGTGTTTCGTGATCGTCGTCACGACTTGTTGTTGAAAGAGCCTCTTCTATATCGTTATAGGTATTTTCATTTTCCATCCATGTTGTTTCATCATTGGAGGAGTGGGTACTAAGATTGGAATTTATCGAGTAATTAGCTGTAGGTCCAAAACTCCTTGAATATGATGTTGCATTTAGAGTTGGAGGAAAATGATAACCATTTTCAATATTGAAGTCCAACAGGAAATTTCGTCCAATGAAAAGCATTGAGTTAATATCATTCGAGTTGACGATATCTAAATCTTGATTTTCAATGTCTATAACATCACAGTCTCTGTAGAAATGTTCCAAAATATTTAACATGAGATCAACTGCAGTTTCGTAGAATTTTGAGCCGGCTATTTGTGAAATATCTCTGAGAACTGACTCAAAATCGGTGTTTCTATGAATACATCTCAAAACCGCTGGCATGTATTGTTTCAAAATTTTGGAGGATACAGAAAGGCCCGAGTCATAGAGCTCAATAAAATCAGGATTGCTTTGTTTGAGAGAGGATAATGAAAATAGAGAACTACTCGCATTAATATTGAAATAATTGTTGTCCACGTCGTTGAGGGCATTTACAAGGTGAGAATGATGATGTGAACTCTTAGCATAGGATACATCTGAGGAAGTAAGGCTGGCATCTGGAAATGGCTCAAAAGTGGTTCCGCCTACACTGGCTCCACTAAATACTTGTTGTTTGGGCGCAAAATGCTGATGGTCTCCAGATCGAAGAGGAACAGCACTGACATTGATTTTAGGATTCACGCATATGCTTGGATGCAAGTGAATGGAAGAAACTGAGGCTCCTCCAGCACTGCATGACAAATAAATATGGTCAATAAGACCTGAATCTAAAGTTTCTTCGTCTACTATTTTGCTTAACATGATTTCTGTTTGCTCCTCATCTAAATCATCCGCGCTGTCACTCTCTTCAAGTCTTGGTGGGCTACCGTTTGGAACAATTCTGTATTCATTTGGATTTTCGACAGCTGTTGGAGAGCCGTCAACTACACTTCCATCATGATTTATATTTGGGTCACTCAATTCCTCATTGGAACCCAAAGAACTACTTCTGGCCATACCATTAGAGTATCCAGAGCTGTTGCTAGCAGAACGGGATCGAACATCACTGAATAAATATGAATGATTCTGAAGAGCACTTGCTTTCATTGTTGCCATTCTCTTCTTTGAATTTTTGTGCTTTTTGGTTTTTAAAATAGTGGCAGATTTGTTAATGTGCATCATGAATCGTCGTCTCAAATCCTTCAATTCTGTCAAAACCTGTTCAAATGTATCTCTTGAAAGCCCATTTCCTTTAGAGGGAGAAAATAGACCTTCGTGTATTTCCTTCAATCGTTTTTGTAACTTGCCGTCACTACTATGGTTGTTGGGATTAGAAGCAACAGCATCTCCTCCGCTAGATGGGGAGGACAATATATTTTGAGTGGTTGGATTTGAATTTGAGGAAGATAAGAGAGGTGAATCTGAATTGTTGTTTTGCAAATTTTCAGAGCTAGAAAATCTTTTTTCAATTTTTTGAATTCCATGTAACTGCTGTTGAATGTCGCTAAGAAATTTGCAATTATTTCCATACTTGAGCGTGTGTGAGACTTGAGTAAAGGCATTTACAAGATATTCGAAATGGTGCATGATTTTGTCCTTATCGTTTGTGACATAGCAAATGACAAGAGGTCTTACATATCCTCTTGCATTAATATCGTGCAACGTCAAGTGGTGGACCTATAAATGGTATATGGTCATACGTGTAGTTTTTGACAAATGTCAAATTGATTGTCATTTTGTGCAGCAGCAGTAGTGTTCAAAATTCGAACCGTGGCGATATCACAAACATAATTCGTTTCAGAATTATTGAAATTTTCATGATCCACCAATTATTATTTCAACAAATTCATGATTAGACCACAAGTTGGCAAATACTGATCACAATACCATGTTACTATTCCCAAGTACTTACATAAGCAAATGCACCCTGAACAGGATCCGTCAAATAAACCTGAGTATCTTCGGGACAAATCCATGTAAGATTATCTCCTAATTTATCGTGTTTTCTTGTATGATCTCCAGCCAATACTCGAGTTACAAACTTCTGCACATTAAACCTCTCAAGGCTCCTCTCACTTGGCAGAATCAATAGCGGTGTGGGTCCTTTCTGTTCGCAAAATTCAGCCATCACAATAAAATCTTTCCGAAACAAAGGCTGATGTTTGGGGTTGGGAGGTTGAAATCGACAATGGGCATGTTGATGAGGTCTATGATGATGATGCTGGTGGTAATGATGATGGGAGTGTGTGGTGGTGGTGGCCGATGATGATGATGTTGATGAGAACGATGCGGATGTTGATGAGGGAGTCATCAAATTTTGCGGAACGGGGAGTTTCATGATGAATGTGTGGATATATAGATGATACGATATTAGTTTTAAATTGATAGAATATAATGGAGTATATATTCTGATAGGCAATGTGTGTGTGAATTGAGAAAATGAAGAATTTATATCTTTGTACACAGAAATTAATTCCAACAATGAATGGAGATCAAATGAAAGTGATGAAACAGATTTACACTTCAGTGTTTCATCATTTTTTGTTTTTGGAAGATTTTGTGGGGCTACTTGGCCAATTCCAATTCAAATCCTTTTCATCGAGGGGATGAAACGGTTTCAACTCGACCAAAAGATTATTCTTCTGCAAAGGGAAGTTTCCGTTACAGAATCAACTTAAAAAATAATCATCAACTCTCTTCCTTAATATTTCCTTTACATTCGGAAGGATAGCTTGATTAAGAAAACCCCTTATTACATTCACAGATCATTCAAAAATGTGCTTTGGTTGTTGTGAGAGTGAACCCGAAATAAAACGCCATATCAAACTGATTCTATTGGGAACGGCTCAAAGCGGAAAGAGTACCTTTTTCAAGCAATTGAGGGTGATCAATAACAAACCCTTCTCGGAGAAGGAACGTCTTTCAATGACGAGTGTCGTTCGGGAAAATCTTATGGAAGCTTGTTACTCTATTTTGAAGGCTATGCATGTGTTGAATATTCCTCTAGCGAGTCAAGAAAATGAGGAAATTGCAAGTCAAATCATGACCCTTCACAAGGAATCTCCAGCAAACCTTTCAGAAATTCTCACAACTGAAACCACTCAGTATGGAAACATGGGAGACAAGATTTGCAAGATTTGGAAGGATCCTGGCATGAAGCAAGCTCTTATGAAACGATATGAATTTTCAATTAATGACTCAGCAGATTAGTAAGTATGAATGATTCGTTTGGTTGAAGAGTACCTTAATCATAACTTTCGCACAATGGTTGGCAATAATCGTTTGCCTTGCACATGACAGTTTTCTGGACAATTGTGAGAGGATTTGTAAAACAGATTATATTGCCACTCAAGAAGACATCATTAAAGCTCGAACAAAAACTGTTGGAATTACTGAGGTTGAATTTGAGGCAGAAGGATGTGTATGGAAATTCACAGACGTTGGAGGACAGAGAGAAGAACGAAGAAAATGGGTCCATGCATTTGTTGACACCACTGCTGTCATATTTATTACGTCCTTGAACGATTTTGATATGATGTTGGAAGAGGATAAGACCACGAACCGTATGCATGAGAGTATGTTGCTGTTCCGAGAGGTGTGTGACTTGGACTGCTTTAAGGAAATTCCAATCATCATATTATTCAATAAGGACGACCTATTCAGAGAAAAGATTCAAAAGAGCGATTTGAGAATTGCATTCAGTGATTATTCAGGAGGACATCAATATGAAACGGCAAGGGATTTTATCATTAACAAGTTCAAATCGCTCAATACAAGAAATAATCTCATGTACTGTCATGTCACTACAGCAACCAATACGAACAATATCAGTATGGTTTTCAATGATGTAAAGAACATTCTCCTTCAACGTGACTTGCAAGATTTGAACATTATTTAGGTGTTGTTTTTTTCATTCCCGCAATAAAATTGTCATTGTTCTCTGATTGCTGTTTCGCTGCTACTGCTAGGGGTGTATCGATTACTTTTATAATTGAGGCTTTAAGATATCGGGAAAATGAAAGATCTCACGCTTTAGCTTGTTAGTTCTTTGGGACAAATTTGTTTGATGTAGATTTATATGAATGAATATTCTTTAAAGGATGCCATCATATACATGAACTCTAGAGTTCATTATTGGAACATGTTTTCCAGACCCCATACAAATGCAACATAACCCAAATTGGTGAGCACAAGTTTTAAATTATGCTCCAGGAATGGAAATGGCCATCTGAAATTCTCTAAAATTAAGGTTACACACCCAAATAGTAGAGAAATATTTCCCAAATATATTTGTGAGTGTTCAGAGCTGAAGAATATGAAATAGACACTTATCAACAGTGGAATGAGAAATGAAAGTAAAAAGCTCCAATTTACAACTCTCTCGTCTCCACTACTATTCTCTATAATTCCAACTACTTGTTCTGTTGAAACAAGTGGATGTTTTTTCTGAACTCGCACATAAATATATTGTGACACTAAATCCAATTCGTATTGCAAGCTGAAAAATGTTTGTCGGAATTCATTCACTCCAAGAAATGCAATGGTCAGAGAGATGATAAAACAAGTCATTCGATAGAGAACCCCATTATTTCTTGTCACCATCATTGGATCCGTGGTATTATTCATCGAGTCTTCATTCCAAATTTTCATCGTCCATGCCACACTACATAAAAATATCGAAAATGGAAATAAATACAATTTGATCAAATATCTCGGATAGTGAGCATTTAAAAATTGATTCGTATTCACAGAATTTGTTCTCGAATTTCGAAAGGAATGTCCTGCCAGTGTAAATCGAATCAAAGTCGGAGTCACAGCATTCAAAAAATTTTCATACACCAAATACACCATCATGGCCATCACCAATAATTGTGAAATAAATTCCAAATTGCATTGTGTCTCATTTCGACAGGAGGCATCTCGATCGTCGTGTTTCGAAAATTGAACACCATCCTGTTTGTCATTCGAATAAGCTCCCGAAATCCAAACTCGTTCAACAACTTTTGGCAACATGTAAAATAAAATCACTGCACCGAATGCTGCAAAGGATAATTGCATGGCAATCGTCGGAATTGAAGTGATCTCTCGAAACATGGGAGGAATGAGTGGATGATGAGTTTTTGGTGACGAGGTGGAGAACGGGCTGTTTGAAAATGTGGAAGACCTACGATCCGATGAGAAACGAAGAGTCATGGAAGAGGAGGGAGAAGGAATGGCTGACGAAGAAGAAGGTGATGAGGAGGGTGATAGTGTTGTTGAATCGGTCGAGGTGGAAGGAGAGTGCAAAGGATTCGATGGTTTATGGAACATTTTTTTTGATGTTTATTTGACTAGTTCGGAAATGACAAATGACACTTAAATCATCTTTGTCAATGGAAGAGGACTTGGATTTACTGGGATGCTCAAGCTTCCAATTAAATGAGTGATGCGCTATGGATGGACATGCCATGGCTCTTTTCCTCATGATTTTGGTCATGATGCCATGAATGTTTCGATTAAGGTAATATTCTCAACACCTTCTAAATCGAGATAACACTATTCAACATGCTGCTCCGACAATAGCAGTCACCATCGAACCGTAGTTAGCATCTATTGCAATTCTCTGATAACATTGACGTACATTTGCATTAGTTCGTTGATTCTCTCCTTTAAGGGAGAGAAAGATGTTGAAAGAAAGCCTTCCTCGCGAAAAGTTTTTTACAAAAAAAAATATTTCCATCTCTGAAACTCAAGAGTACTGGAATTGGCGCTTGAGGTGGTTTCATGTGGTTATTGAACTTGGTGATTCGGATCATGTAAATACGAGAGTTTCAAACACACAATTAAATTATTATCGAATAATCGATTAGTATAAAAAGATGACGAGCACAAGAAATGGTAATAACAACCATGAAAATAGCTTGCCTCATTTCAATTTATCGCTTCCGTTAGAACCTTTTCAATTGAAAATGAATAAGCCATCTCCACAGCCAGCCAAAGAATTTTTCTATCAACGAAGTTCCATTCATGAATTATTCGTCGACAACAATCTAACTCCGAGCAAACCAAAAGAGGTTCCCAACACCAACAACAACAATACTTCCAACACGAACAACAACAATACATCAACAACTCCATCATCCATTCCTATCATTACTCTTTCCATTTCAAATCCCGAACCATTGCCTCCAACAGCATCAACAACGGGTGGTGCCTCTCGAAGACATTCCCTTGTTTCTTGCCGATCGCCGAGTTGTGCATCATTGGGAGATCCGGAAGATAGTGATCTCGCCCTTCCCACTGAGCCCATAAAGATTGTTCCTTACTCTCCTCGTTTGCCCTCGCCTATCATTAATAAGGGACTCTTTGGTGGGGATGGTGTCAACTTCTCACCAAGACCAAAGCAGAAACGGCCAAAATCTTCACCTCGAAAGAAAGCAAACAATGGTAGTAGTCCCTCCAAAACACAGAATTTCTCTCAAACCTTAATTTCACCGAAAAACAGCTTTTATCAAACAAAACCATCGTGCTATGTCTACACATTGAATAATGAACAGGAGGATGATCGTGAAGAATTGCAAGTGATGACTCCTCGAAAAGTCGTGGATATTTATAGCAATTTGACCAGAAAGTGGAATTCCCTCAAACATGACCCGAGTTTTGACCTTTCCCTCTCTCAACACAAAAACCGAATCACGGCAGATAAAAATGCAACTCTTCAGATGCGTAGAGAATTGTGTGACATGAACTCGACTCTTGATTATTGCTACTTTGAAATGTCCTCATTCACCTTACCCGAAAATATTGACCCTAAAAAGATGAATATTGATAAGGCTGCGTTTGAGCGATCTCCTATGAGTGAACATGAGCAGGAGCTTCACATGAAACGACAGCGAGAAAAGTTTTTGAGGGACACTAGATCTAAAACTCTAGCAAATGAATATGCACATGATATGGACTTTAAAACACTGTCCTTAATATGTGACCTCAAAAAGAAGAGTGTAGAAGAAAATGCACATCACCATGTTGAAGATTCCTTGTTGTCTTCCCTGAGAAAGGGTCAAAATTTGGTGCAATCTCCACGCATTGCTCCACTGAGTCCAATTATGACTCCAAAGCGAACAGCAACACCACCAACCTCGAATACAAGCCACCAAGAACCAACGTGTGACAAAACCAGTACTACTGGATGCCAAACCTCAACTCCTAAAAGACCTCACACCACAAACACTCCTCGAAATCCTCGTAAATACATCGTTTCAGCAGAAAAATCCTCTGAGATGAGCTCCTCTCATTTAAACAGTCCTCAATCGAGTCCTCACCGTCCATTGGCAACAACCAAATCTGGAAAATTGCCACAACAACCCTTACCTCCTCTCCACACTCTTCAATCACCACGTGTGTCAAAACCAATGTTTTCCTCACGGTCTTACTTTTCCTGTTCCTCTTCTTCTAAAAAAGCATGAATGAGCTCTTTTAGAATGCAAGGGTAAATAAGGTGAGGATCGCTCCTCAAGCACTACGATGTCACCCTTGATGAACATTTTTGAATACTTTTCGAAAAGGGTCATCTCTCTCATCAAAAAATATTATCGTTACGAATCTGAACACGAAGAACCATCATCGTCATCATGAATCCCTATCAACAACCAGGTTATCCAGGATACCCACCACAACAAGGATATGTATGTATAATTGATCAATTATTGTTGTTGTTGTTTTGAATGCGAATATTTTTAATCATCAATTTTCATCATCGTCAAAATGGAAACGATGATGATCATCATGATATTGATCCATTTGAATGATCGTGTGTTCATCATTATCAATTTTCATATGATGATGTTATTATTTGGAATTTTTACTTCTTTTCCTTCTTCTTGATCTCGATGATTTCCATAATGGATCACCTTGCTGTGGCACCGATCAAACTCTCTTCACATGAACAACCATTCCATCCGTTGAATTCACACATAGCCACCCATGCAACCAGGAATGCCTATGCAACCAGGTATGATTCCACCACAAGGTTATCCTCCAATGCAACCCGGAATGCCTATGCAACCAATGGTTCCAATGGGACAACCTCCAATGATGCCCATGGGTCAACCAGGAATGGTTCCAATGGGTCAACCCGGTTATTATGCCACTCCTCCACCTACTGGTTATGTTCAACCACCAGTGAATTACACCACTACAACCACCTATGCCTATCCTCCTGGCCACAGTGGTTATCATCACTATCATCACGGAAAGAAGATGAAGTTTGGAAAACGTATGAAGTTTGGTAAAGGATTCCACAAAGGAAAGTTTGGAAAGAAGTGGTTCTAAATTTAGAGTGTCAATACTCATCACGTGTTGTTGTTATATATATGGTACAGTAATAGCAGAACTTATTGTACATACAGAGTTTTGATATTTAACAGTAATAGTATAAATGTATTTCATTTTGTATGTGTATTTGCGGTTTTCATATTTGAAAGACATGATCCACTTTCAATCATGAAAGTCACACTATTGCGACATCAAAATCGAATGTCGAAGAATCACATTCTCATACACACATGAATCGCTTAACAAATTTTGGAATTTATTGACCTAGAGTGATTTTGTTGGTATTTTTCTTGACAAGAGACTCAGCTCCATCACTTCTACTACTCAGGAGCCCCTTAAATGATGAGGTGAATGCTTAATCTTATCTATCTCATACCCATTTGCTTTTGAGCTTCAACTTCCTTCTTCTTATTTTCAATTTCAGTCTTGGATTTCTTATATTCTTGTGTTCTCTTGTATCTCACAAAAATATCAAGCATGTCTCTTTCGACGTGGGCCTCCAACTTGAGGAAAACAGTATTTGGAATACTCTTTCCTTCTAAAAGATGCAAAATTTCATTTTCCCAAGCCGATCGATTCGGTAAATTGAGTTCCAATTTGGCTCCATATTTCACATACTTCTCCAAAATGGTTTGTGCAAAACGTTTTCTCTTCTCACGACCCTTAACTCTCTTAAATGCATGTGCATCTTCCCAAAACAAAATTCCTTCAGGTACAAATGACTCAATGGCAAAGTTTTTAAACAATTGTCTTGCCTTCTTGTCAAACAAAATTTCACGAATTTCAGTGTGTGAGAGTGAATCGTCAGAGCCTGCCTGTGTAGGATCGGCCCATGCAAATCTCGATGTGTAAAATGACAAAATGACAGGAATCAAACACGAACAAGTATTATCGAAAACAATGGCAATTAAAACCACCCATCCAGCCGGGAAGGAATGTTCTGCATATCTCCCATAGGTTGAAACAACTCCAAAAATTAAGAAAATTAGCACATCAATCAACCAAAAGGTCATGACAAGGAAAACTTCAATACGAATAAACCAATTCTCTTTCACCAAGAATGTGACTGTGAATAACATGATGTAAGCAATAATGACATAAAAGGCAGTCAATGCAAAAACAGCATATGCTCTTGTACCTGTTGGACAACCCCAAAGAAATGGATGAGTGTTGTAATATTTCAAATCGGTCAAAATTAAAACTAAAAAAATAATCAAGTGGATGGCATAGACACCAATAATAATTCCAGAAAGGACTAACTTTCCTCCTAAAATGGAATAAATGTCCAACACACGTTTGACTTTGTTCTTGTCGAAAGGAGCGACTTCTTTTTCATCTTCAAAATCGATAATGTCTTCATCTTCGATTCCATCCATTTCACTTGCAATGGTTGTGTTTTTATCTTCTTCTTCATCCTCAATGACATTTGACGTTGGAGTTTCATTACCACCGTTGATTCCGAGAGGAGTGGCAGGTGTTGTGACACTACTGCCGGTAGTGAGAGTTGTTCCAGAATCGACTTGAACCAAAGAAGGTGACTGAGCAATGACTGGATTGGAGTTGTTGCTGTTTGAACTTTGTTTGTTTTGTTCACCACCACTATTGGAAACATTTCCGAGTGGAATTAATTTCTTAAATACAGAGTCTCTTCGTTCGACGATACTTGTGAATTTTTGTTTGTGTTTGCTGAGAAGATAAACGAAGAGTAATCTCCAACATCTTTTGTGAGGTTTTTGCAATAACATGGAAGTAGATTAATATTTGGAAAAGTAGTAGATGGATCATTTTTGGAACATTGTCAATGTAGTAGTAGACCACATGGGAATCATTAGGTACATTGCCATTTCCAAACATTCAAAAATTTCCAAATTAGTACAATTACCATATAATCGCAAATTTCAAACTTACCTCAAAATAGAAGGTAAAAACAATCCCGGATATGCCAAAATCAACAAGAACGTAAAGAAGAAACAAGGAAAATCATACCGACCAAATGAAAATCTAAATGTCACCATCACACTCACAAAAAACGTCGCAAACAAACTCACAATCATCAAAAACACATCTCTCGCCTTCACCGGTTGATAATTTCTTCTCCAAAGCACCAAAGCCAACAAGATGAAAAACCAAACTGTAAACACTGCAAACAATGTCCACGAGACTGGAGAAATGTAGGAATTGTCCAATAATTCGACACGAGAGGTGAGAATTCCTCCCAAATAGACTGTTGCATAGGGTGATGAAGAGAAAGTGTTGTTGAAAGAATTAATATTCGAAGAGTTGTTGTTGCTCGTGTTGTTGGAGAGGAGATTTGAAAGAGTTTGAAAGACAGCTGAAGGATACAATAATGAATCTTCATAGAAGGGAGAGGGAGGAAATTGGTCGAGAATGGAAGAAGGTGTTATTGACGAGTTGTTGGAGGTCATGATGAATCTTCTTCACTCCGAACCGTCAGTGGCCACACGGAATGTTTGGTATTGTGGTTGTTGATGAGGGAGGAGATAAAAGTTCGTGCGTACGCGAGAGGAAAACAAGTGAATTTCGGAGGGCCTTTGATGGTTTTTTTTGAAAGTTTTTTGTGTGTTGATGTCTGACAGGTCGTAATTGGACCTCAATTATTTGTTCATCTTCTTTCAGAAGACATCATAATGGCCATGTGGAAACACACATCTCTCTCTTGAAGTGCACACTTAATCTTTCCAATCAATACTTCATGTATCATCAACCACAATTTCAAAAGATCATGGAAATAGAACAATTGCCAGAACTGATCTCTTTAAAGAAGGTAAAGAAGACCTCTTCAAAAGACATTGATTTTCCATTATGAATCCAACATGTCACTTTAGATGCACATTCCCAAAATGAATCATCATTTACAAAAAAATTCATTAACGACCTTTTCCATCATTAGGACATTGTGATGATGACGAGAAATAACAACAACAACAACAACAACACTCCAATCATTCTGAATGACTTGAGGATTGAAGCCAATAGAACTTTGGCTGAAAATAAGAATGCTCTATTACCGTCCGTTCAGACAAGGAATATTGATCCGTTCCTCCGAACAAAAACAGAACCATTCATAAAGTCCTCTTCGGAATTGAATATTAGTGGTAGAAGTGGAAATGTGTTTGAACAATTGATTGCCATGCCTGTCTTACATTTGATTTATCAATTTGTTGGAAGGATTAAATCATTTGATCAGTTGAGAAATATTAAATTGGGATTGGGAGCTTTGCTGATTTATTATGCGGGATTTCTGGCGTTCTTGTTGCATGTAGGTTTGGAGAGAGATTTAATGATGAATTGAATTGTTAAATCAAACCAATCATTTTGAATTGGAAATGATGTTCATTGTATTATTATTTAATTATTATATATTATTTTATATATTATATATACATTTACATTATGAATTATTTTAAAATATTGTGTGATGGAATTAATTTGGTATTGGTGTGGTTACATTTAATAATTTATAAATTATTTTGGAATTTATTGTTCATGAACAAAAAGAGAAATAACGATAGAAAACTCTTATCAATTTATGAAAGATATTGGAACCGAAACAAAGCAATAATTTATAGTAATAATTTGGAAAGTAGTGAGAAGATGGCCGTTCCAGCTAAATTGTCAACACAGACAGCGAGCAGTAGCACCAACTTTCTTTCACAATTTCAAAACATGTTACAGCCCATCATGTCAAAACTTGGTTTACAATGAAGAGACAGGTGTGGCATCCCATCAAGAATGTTTTTTGGAGCTGTACATCCAGGAAACTATTTTGTTTTTGCTGAAGATTGAGGTCTGCTATTGCTCTTTTGAGGTGTAGGAAGTGACATGGCCGTTTCTTCTGTAGCTTTCACTCGTGTTTCAACCACTGAAACTTTATCCTCCAATTCGGTCATGACTTCATGTTTGAGATATTCTGCAATTTCTTTCAAATTTTCATCCGTCAACTTGGGAGCACTTCTCTCTGCCTTTTCCTTTTCATAGCGTTCTCTAGCTTCGTTTTCAAGTCGCAGACGTTCTTCCTCTTCCGCTTGACGTCTTCGAGCTTCTGCTTCCTCGAGAGCCCTTCGTTCATCCTCTTTCTTTTGAATATAGGCAACATCTTGCAACATGGCAGAAAGAGGATACACACAATCAATCATGATGGAATTAACACTGACCTTGTAATCATATTCTTTCACGGGCTGATTTTCTTCATAGACATACTTGTACAGGTGATAATGCTGCACCACAGTTTTCAGAATGAAATCAGAAACAATGGCAACATCATCAATATTGAATAGTGGAAGTTTGCTTCTGTATTCTTCCTTTCTTTTCTTTTCAATCATGGCTTTCTCTTCTGCGAGACGTTGCTCTTCTTCTTGCTTTCTCATAAATTCTTCCTCTTCCTCCTTTGTCATTTTCTTGGAAGAGCTGGATGAACTGGGTGGTTTTTTCTTCTTGTCCTTTTCCTGTTTGAGACGCTCTTCCTCTAGTTTTCGTTCTTCTTCTTGGATTTGTTTTTCAAGATCAGAAACTTGCTCTAGTGACAATGGCTTGCTCATTTCAAAGAGTTTTGTTTTTATATATTCCTGTAATTCGAGCTCAGATGCAAATTTGGGCGTCGTTGTTAATGAGGACTGATTGATTGGAATGTTAGCACTTTCATTAGAGAGACATCCTTTCCTTAATGTTTCCATGAGATTGATAAATTCGATCGTTTGTCTTGTTGAAAAGGAATGCTCCTTGCAAAAAGCAATGTAATGACATAATGAATCCAGATAGATGGAAGATCTCAAATCAACTAAATAATCCACAACTCCCAATTGCTTGCTCAAATATTCCAATAACTCACTCTCCTTTTTATTCATGCATCCATGAATGAAGGTATAATCGGAAAGAGGTGATAAATTAGGAGTGATTTTTTCCTTAGAGAAATAGGCGATCATTTCTTCTCGATTGGCAAATCCGCCAATGGGTCCCGAATCGGATCCTCCCACATTGTTTGCTCCCCTCGGAGAAGTCAATTCATTTCCTCCTCTTCGATTACTATTTGCTGTTCCTGGTTTTGAAGAAGAGCCAGTGGAGGCTGCTCTTGAAGACATTTTTTATTGTTTCTTGAAAATTTGTAATTCTAGACTTGGCGCCAAAAATTTCGTGATGACAGGAGGTTATATCCAACACGGAAGCAAACTACTTTTCATTCTGAAAAACTTTTCTTAAGGTCTACATTACAAATGATGACACGACCGGCATTAAAGTGTCACCTTCTGGAACTTTGGATGTTTGTTGTCCTGTTGTGTTGAATGATTGATCCAGCTTTAGGGGATCGAGACTGAAGCCTCTCTCTAACTTCCTTTTTGAACCATTGGAATGTTTGCCAAGTAATTGAGGACATGGATGAAGTGAGTTTAGTGTTAAGAAAGTCAAGATGCATATTCTCAGGATATTACAGTTTCTGGCGATCAATTTTTAGTTTTGATTTCAACTGAATGACAAATCCTTGCTCAATGATTTAAACTTCCTTAAGACATGAATGACACATATCTCAGAGTATGGTAATAATTCCTCTCTTCAAAAGCTCAAAGGAAGATTAGAGTGAGGTCAATCTTTCACAAAACTCATAGCTTTACTTGAAAGACAAGTCTTGATCATGTTTCATCACTTCGCCCAAAATTTGGAGTGAGAACGGAACCACTGACTTCAATAAAAATTGAATCGTTGGGGTCAATTCTTATCACGGACTTATTGGAAATGAATAGAGTATTATAAGAAAGAAAGTAATCATCATTGTTGGAATACATCAGCCACAGCAGACAAGTTCTTGTTGTTGAGATAATTTTGCCATACTGAATTATTTTTCGAAATTTCATAAATACAATGTCCCTTCTTGGTCAGGACTGCATGATCAGAGAAAATTATTTGCGGTGCATCATCATGATCGTATTGTTGAATCCTATCACTGAGAGGAGTGTTGCTGAAGGTTTCATTTGGATGAAATAATATTCTCAACATTTTTCCTGCTTTCACAATGTCAGTAATAGCTGTGTTCAAGGAATTTCTTTCCTTCAGTGTAAGGTCATTCGTTGGTGGAGACTTATTCGTTTCCAAATTTTCATAATACAAATTGGAAAGATCAGTTGTAGCATAGTTTTTCTTGAATTTTAAATTGTCTCCTGTTTTCCTTGTTACTGCTGCAACAATTGGAATGCATAAAGGAATTGTATCATCGTTAACTTTTGAAGAACGTTTTAACATTCCCAATACATCAGGTCCTGCATTGTGGCATGGACGGACTAAAAATCGAGGTAAAAGATCGTCATCATTTCCAGTTAAAGGATATTTCTCTGTTTGAAATCCTTTCATATTGCAGTGTATGGTGTTAATGAGAAGAGATGAAATTTTGAAGTCATTATTCAATGAATCTTTGGAGACTTCTGAATCTTCAACATAATACTTGGCAGCTAAATAATAGTTTTGCAAATATGTCCCTGGGAATTGTTGTTTAAAGAATTCAAAATGGTTCAAAATAAAATATACAGAAGCAACTTCAGAGAGAGGTGAAATATCACCAATATTACTTAATTGCTTGTGAGAATTTAAAAACCAATCACCCTTAGACTCATCTTTTTGAAGAGTCTTCAATAATCTCATCCTTTCTATTGGACTGACAACCTTATATATTTTGTTAGTATAATCAAAAGTGTAACTTAACCCATGTGTTAACAAGAACTTGGAAGCATCTTCGATCTCTTTCGATATACTTGTTTGTGTTGAGACAATATGCAAAGCTTCTGTTAAATTTGCCTCTCCAAGCAAGGCTAATCGGTAAAACAAACTCTTGTATAAGGGATTGTCAATTTTTTCTGTTCCGTAACCCTTTCTGTCAAAAACGAGAGTGCAAAGATTTGTATATATAAACTCTGTAAAAGATTTAAATTGAGGTGTTGAGTCCTTGCACAACTCTAGATATAATTGTTGAAGTAATTCTTCACATCGTCTGGTTGGACCTTGTAAAAATGTTGCAACAAGCTTCCAAATATCTGGATTATTGTGACCTTTTCTACTGGTGTCTATAAACATGTCCAAAAAATTTGTTACTTGTTTCGCGTGCAATATTGGAAGTGGGTTTGTAAAGTGGTAGGAAAACTTTTCAAAGACTTGTTTAGAGTTACCTTCTTTAGATATTTTCTTTTCAATTTTGCCTTCTACAGCACTTGCAAAGGTTGTTGTTAATACTACACCCCCGTAATCTCTCATATTTGAAGTGAGGAGAGTTAATAGGTTTCCGTTGTCAGTGTTTTTTGTTGTTCGAGGAATTTGGCCATCAAAATCGTTAAAATCATGAGCTTCGTCAATGAAAAACATAACTTTTTCTAGTTGTGGAGAAAAACCATGCTGTTCATAATTATTGTTATAAGCTTCTTGTACCATTTTAAAACCTCCATTCAAGATGTATTTACATAAATATAGATTGGTCTTTTTAGTATCTTTAGGATCCAATCTAGCATTAATAATAATATCTGCCACAATCAAGTATGACTTAATGAACCGTTTTGTTTCGCTATCTAATAACCCTCTCAAATTAGAACTGTTTCGTGAAATGTTAAATATCATTTCCAATGAATTCGATATGATATTTTTGTGCTTTGATTGTATAATTAACACAGTATATCCTTTAGAAACTAAATGATATGCAAAGTAAGTTTTTCCAGTTCCAGGTGCTTCTATTAATGCCAACACTGGATGAACTATACCATCCGAGGTGATAAATTTAAAATGTTCATCATATTTGTTTGCAGGAAATGTAGGACCTAAATCGCAAGATATGGCCCAAGAGGATAGAGTTATTTCATTATTGTTATTTGTGTCCTCTTTCTTCTGGTACAAATAGATTGGAGAATCAGATTTGTCGAGTTGAACTTGTTTCATTTTCTCATTGAACTTGAATACAGACTCTTTTTCGTTTCTTGAATAGGTTTGTACATGTTTATCAAAATCATCCAAAACTGATTGGATAAAAGTAGAGGGAACAGTAGTGAATTTCCGCAGAGATTTGTGCACCCAAAATACAACAGATTGACAAGTTTCAGAGATTTGAGGAATGTCATTCTTGTTGTAAATACTTTTCAGTTGATCAATGGCATACTTTATGCCCTCCATATTGATATTCTCAATAATGTTGTGGAGAGATTCGCCATCAAAGCCAAACTCTTGCAAAGGCTTCACCTTTTCTGCAGATAACCCAGCACCACCAATAGATTTAGGAGAAGTCAACATGAATGCCACTTGTTGGGCGTTCCAACTGTCGTAATCATTGAACTTGAGAGTTTCCTGTTGTTCGGCGGAGGTTGTTGTTGAAGATAATGTTGTACTATTGTTGGAGGTATCATTACCACTACCTTTGGCTTTTGTTGATACTTCTTTTCTCTTCAAACAATTCGCAGTAGTAGTGTACGAACGTATTTGGTCAAATGTTCTTGTATTGAACAATTGTTGGTTGTTGTTTGGCATCACTTTTTTCATCCTATACATTAAATCATCATCATCACTGAAAATTAATTTGTTTGATGATGGAGAAAAATTAATGGCACCATGGTGATGATTTCTTGTTTCTCCTCCTACATATTGTGTTGTTGTTTTAATGATGCACGTAATGCTCGTCGAACGGTCGGATGTGCGGTTATTGTTGTGGCAACGAAAAAGCATGCGCTTCATGATTTTTTTATTTAAATGTTGTTCGAAAAGTTGGTCAACAACAATTAATCATTCACCAACTGAAGTGGGACTCGGATTTTTGATGTGTTTAGTGGTAGTGGTGAGAGGTGAATCTTTTAATAGACTTTTACCAACACGTAACAGTGAAAGTTTTATAGCTCACCATAAAGATGAACTTCAGTGCACAAAATGCTGTGTCCTCTGACCTTGCTATAAGGTGATTTATAGATTCCTTGATGATGATTGCATGAAAGAATGGAACAATATTGGTGCTGGTTTTTTGGAACCTCTCAGGAATGCATTAAACTGTCCTTTTCCCTATTTGTGGTTCTATCAATCGCTCATCATCATGTGGACCATCCACATGCACATGACACTCATCATGAGCCATACAAATAATGGATGACTAGCACCGGTCATCCTTGCACTGATTCCTGCGTCACTGGATCGAGTAGTTGCTTGCGTAAAGACCCCAAACGATGATCCCAATCCAAACGCCTTAATATAACAACTCACACAATCTTTCCGATTCTGTTCCAACCACCCCTTCTGATCCAATACGTCCCCAATGACGGCATGAACCTTTCGTTGTAATGCTAATATATATTGTCCATCATAGGAGGCTGGAACTTTGGTTGCAGCTTGTAATTGCTGCTGAGCGATCGTATCAAAAATTGTTCCTTCATAGTATGTGACATTAATTCCAGATCGATTCAATTGTTGTAACTCATTAATATTAGTGAGAGTGGTATTATCTAAATCGGTCCTTAGAAAGGCATTCACAGAGACTCCGTATGGACAGACACTAAATTTCACTTTGGCTGCTCGTTCTTCCGTGATGGTGGTATCAGCCACAGCAATGTCACAATCACCATTTTCGACGGCAGTTCTCAATGAATCAAAATAACCCAATGTTTCATTCATAACCAATGGAACATTCTTTGATTTCAAAGTTAAACCATATTGAGTATTGAAAGCATCAACAATTCGTTTTCCAACTTCCTTATAAATGGATGGCCAAGGCTCTGCAATGTATGAAGAACCATCGTAACACATTTTCAATTCGGAAATAGAGGGCGGAATGGGCCATCGAGAGGGATATTTTGTTTTTACGGAACACAAAGGAACTGGAAAGCCAACGACAGTGGTAATGTATTGTTGAAAGGAGGAGGATGAAACGACATCGTACATGGCTGCATCGACGGCCTGATTGAATTCAATAGAAGCTAATGGATTTGCATGGATCCACTGATGAGGAGTAATGAAAATGGCCATGAAAAAGAATAGTATTGTCCATGTGAGAAGGGGCCAACAAGAGGAATGGTGGTTGACCACCATCAATGATGACGACATTGTTCTTTGTGGTGGTTGTGGTCGTGGTCGTGGTTCAAATTTGTTTTTTTTTGATGGTTGCTGGAGGAATGGCCATCACTTGAACCGTCCAACAGAAACATGAGCGATATCTCTCAAAATCCTTGTGATACTGCATCTGCCAATGTTCATGGTGTGCGACTTCATCGAGTTGTTTCTATCATTATTGGACTTTTTTGGCAATGGATGACGTTCATGACTTGGCAACGATGTTTAACAACATGATCATAAGGCTTCACATGTGTCCTTTAAACTTTTAAATTCCACACGAGCCAGCGTGGGTTTGACAAGGCCCTCTTCCACACCAAGTTAAACACATATGGCACCGACATTCTTGTTTTCCATTCTCACTAAATGTGTTTTTGATCGTCTTCGCTTTGATTTTCCATTGAGAGCGAAGTTCCGAATCAACTTTGGTTCTTCTACTTACAAATACATTCTCTACACATACCTATATTAATGGTGCAATTTCAGGTGCAAAATGTTGTGGTGCACATTCTGTTGAGTATAGTGATGCAAATGTTCATGACAGACTAACCAAGAATGAGATATCAAGAATGTTAAAACATATGGAAGAAATGCTTCATATGAAAATCAAGTTCAATCTTCTTTTGAGTCAACCTTTGCAAAGGTTGTAAAGAAGACGCCTTCTTCTATTAACATTTATCACCACTTATTCGCAAACAACATGCACTCCGAGAAGAATCTTTTAATGAGAATATAAAATTGTTGTTGTTGATCAAAAAAACACAATTTCATTTCCTCTCTCTCGCAGTAAGTAAAAATGCATTCCACCAATTTCAAATCATCCTCATGCAATTATTTTCTGATCAATGTGCGATGAATCATCATTTCGAATATGACCATTCATTGATATTCATGATGAAAACTTCTCTCGTATGAATTCATGCATTTTCTTTTTTTATTCTTTCATCATCCTGATATTCATCATCGTCATCATTTTGAATTTTTACATTTACATTTGCACATTCTTGTTGTGGTACCATGTCTTTATGTATAAATAGAGAGTGATATACATTGATATAATTATTATTATTACTATAAAATTCAAACTCACAACAAGATGGTTTTTGTAAACGAAGAAATTGAACAAGCCAAACAAAAGGTTCTCTCCGAATTAGGCTATGCTCCAATGGCCATTGTGTTGGGAAGTGGATTGGGTGATTTTCCAAAGGCTCTCTCCAATACTCGTAAAATCCCATACTCTCAAATTCCTCACATGCCTCTCACCTCTGTTCAGGGACATTCTGGTGAATTGATTATTGGAGAATTACCTTCTTCTATTCATGCAAAGGAACACGGACATACTTCTCCCAACAAGAAAAAGCTCATTTACTGCTTTGCTGGTAGAATTCACTCCTATGAAGGTGGTCCATGGGATGAAGTTACCTTTCAAGTGAAATTGATGGCTGCTATTGGATGTAAATTATTCATCTTGACCAATGCGAGTGGTGGCCTTTTTGATGACATGACTGGAGGATGTTTGTGTTTGTTGACTGGACATTTCAGATTGCTGGCAAGAATGGATCCAAATAGTTTGGCGAGTGCTGTTCGTGTTTTTGAAAAGAATGGCATTGCTACTCAACAGCAACCACCACAACAAACGACAGAACTCGTTCGAGTTGAAAAGAATGAATTTGAATCAGAAATTGAGGCAAAATATTCACATTTTACACCTAATTTTTGGACTGCAAAATATGTCAATTTGTGCAGAAGTATTGCAAAGGAGAATTCTATTAAATTATTTGAAGGATCCTATGCATGGGCCAGTGGTCCAAGTTTTGAGACACCTCTCGAAGTTTTGATGGCAAAGAAATTGGGTGGCGCATGTGTGGGTATGTCAACAGTTCCAGAAATGCTCACTTGCAACTATTATGGAATGGATTGTATGGGAATTAGTTTGGTTTGTAATTTGGGTGCAGGATTACAAAAAGAACCTCTCACACATAAGGAAGTTTTGGAGAACTCCAAGATTGGTACTGAACATATTCAATTATTGGTTCGAGAGACTCTCGCAAATATTGAATTTGATGAGACAAGCAATTCACCACTTGTCAGCGGCGCAACCAGTGACACCACCTGTTCTACTTCCTCTTCTACCACTCAATATGTTTCTCTCAAGTTTAACACTGAACCAATGAAAATCACAGAAGAACAAATCAAACAATCTGTCCAATTAATTCAACAAGAATTGGGACAATTTGATGAAAATCAACTTAATATTTATTGCACCCAAGCCAATGTTCCAAACTTGGTACAAGATGCTAAAAAGGTGGACTTGATGACCTTACCAAACTTCCCATATACATCTGCTTCTGGAAATTTTGGATACATTACAAAGAATGCCAATAATCAACTTACACTCATTTCCAATGTGCATCCAAGTTTGGATAATACTTTTACCACAGAAGAGTCTTTCTATTTGACACTTGTGTTCAACCTCCTTAATATTCAGAATGTTGCATACTATGTCAAGTGCAGTGATCCTAGGGTCAATTCTGAAAACACTACACAAGAAATCTCAAGTGTGACCAACTTTGGTTATGCTCAACCTTTGGAATATGTGGAGAGTGTTTACATTTCTCATGACAGAGTTTTGGATGCTCATCAGAATTCTGAAAAGAAGCCCAACTCGTACATGGGATTTATGGGTCCAGATCAACCAAGTTATATGGAATGTCACGTTGCTCAAGAATTGGGACATTCAACATTTGGTGTGACCTCTTTGAATCTTTTCTGTGCATTGAGATATTTCGGTTTTAACGTGAAGGCATTCGTCGAATATTCTGAAAATGCTTCTCTCAATCAAGTACAAATGGGTACTTCATCAGTCAAGAGAAGTGTTAAACCTGTCAACTATGAACAACAACGCAAATTGAAATATAACATGCTCAAGTATGAAGAGGTTGTTGAAGCAACCCAGTTCATTAAGGAACAATTAGATCTCACGTACAAGGTTATTGATTCTGCCATTTTCGATTTGAATTTGAACTTGCCATTCTTTGAGAATCCAAATGTTAATATTGTCAAGACATTGGCATTGAGTGATATTCCTCATTACAAGCCAAAGAATGATGTTTCCCAAGCACTCTCCTTAGTTCGTGTGAGTAGTGATAGCTCAGAAAAATTAGCACTTGTCATTCATCATGTTGGAATTGAGCAAGATCAAAGTGAAAACGCCTATTTACTCAGTAATAGTTTGATCGATTTGACATTCTTTGTTCGAGTTTGTCAATATCTTCAAACCGTTAAATCACTCTATTTGAATAGTGCTGTGACAAGCGCCCTTTCAGAGCTCAGCTCTGAACCAATCTATGCTCCAAACACATTGGTGCAATATAAGGATCATATTAACTTTACTGGATATAATCCATTGATTGGTAAGAACGAGAATAGATGGGGTGACAGATTCTTTGACGTTTCTGGATTGTATCACCCATTAAGAACCACAGCAAAGGTTGAAACATCCAATGTGTTCTACTTTAATCATGCTATTCAGTTGGAAAATAGAACTATTCGTACTCATACCTCCAAGTTCAATGCAAATATTTTGAGTTCTGTAGGATGTTATGAAGCATTGGTTGCCCATCATGACACTAAAGAAAAGGAAAATAGAACTAGAGTGGTATCGTTGGGATTAGTTGTTGACAATGCTCAAACTGAAGGAAAATTGATTTGTCCAGGAAAGAAGAAGGAGCTTGTTAATGTTCTATGTAATGATATTTTAGGATTGTAATGTGGAGTACAGATTCCTTGTCATTAGATGAAACAAATGAAATAATACATTCATTATTGAACATTTCATCTATCGTTAATAATACTCACATATTGTTGTTGTTTATTGGTAATTTTGTTGTTCTCACGAAAGATTGAATACAAATGGACATGAATGACTGGCCAAAGCAAAGGAGGATGACTTGAACGATTGATCATCATCTTACAATGCTTGTTTTTGAGTGAGTTTGAGCAATCGAGTGGTGTAATCCATACAAATCTTCTCTCCTTCAGTCATGTATTTACCTTCCTTTCTCTCTCTCAGCTTCAATTCAATCATTTGTGCCCACATTGGATCACACTTCTGGAAATGTTGCATCATTCTGTCAATGACACGTTGCTCAGTAACCTTAAAGAAGCTCGACGCAATATTATCACACAAGTTATTCTTCTCCTTATCACTAAGAATTCTCCAAAAGTCTGCCACTTGTTGATAATAATCTTCATAAGAGCCCTCCTGATACATTTCATAGAGACCTGCATTACCAGTGCAACGGAATGGTGGATCAATGTACTTGGCATTTGGAACCAATCCTCCAAACACACTCTTATCATAGCCAGGGAATTTATCTTGAATTCTCAAATTCATTTGTCCTCCAACATTGTAATTCTGTGGTTCAACACCAAGTGGACGATTCACATATAATTGTCTATAATTAGGTCCAATACGATGAATCTGTGTGGAGTCATAAATCAAGAGACGTCCCTGAAGGAGTTTGTCTGGTGAAAGACCAATGCCTGGAACAGTGTTTGAAGGTGAGAATGCGACTTGTTCCACTTCACAAAAGTAATCAGTGACATTTCTATTCACTTCTAACTCTCCAACTTCAATGAGAGGATATTGAGAATGTTTCCAAATTTTGGTTGGGTCGAATGTCCATGGATGTCTGTAACCTTCCTCTTCTGGCATAATTTGAATATACATTTTCCATTTTGGGTAATTTCCTTTTTCGATCGCTTGATACAAGTCACGTGAGAGGAAGTTTGGATCTTCACCTGCCACTAATTTAGCTTCATGTTGTGTGAATCCATAGGCTCCTTGCATGCATTTGAGATGGAACTTGACCCAGAATCTTTCCTTCTTGTCATTAACAAATGAAAAGGTATGACAACCGTAAGCATTCATGGTACGATAACTCATGGGAGTACCTTTTTGACATTACAGTTAATAAATAGTTACAAAAAAGGAATATATTCTCGAGTGAGAGGTGGTCAAATTGGACATTATTTGAGACTTACCTGTTCGGTCCGTGAAGAGCATGACCATTTGATGAAGACCTTCAGGATGGGAAGCAACAAAGTCCCAAGTCTGAGTCACGTTCCAGCATCCTGTTCTTGGATCTCGTTTGAAGGCATGAACAGCATCTGGATAAGGTTGAAGAAATGTCATTCATGGAAATTGATCAAAAATGGTAATTTTTAAAATATATAAATGGTAATTAGTAATACTTGCCTGGACCTGGTTTGGCGTCTCTCACAGCAAACACTGGTGTATTAATTCCCAAGAGATCCCAATTTCCTTCACAAGTGTAGAATTTAATAGCAAATCCACGAGGCTAATCAATATTCAAATTCCATCCATTTACAACACCGATCATCCAATTCATCACATGATCCATCACAATGATTACAATATCCAATTAAAAAACCACACAATTTGCATCGTCATCATACTACTACTACTACTTACATCTCGAGTGGTGTCTGCATCTCCAACTTCTGTGAAAATTCCAGAAAATCTCGTAATAAATTCAGTCTTCTTTCCAACCTCAGAAAACAAATCAGCACTTGTGTATTGTCTAATGTCATTGGTGACTGTAAAAGTACCATAGGCACCACATCCCAAGGCATGAACATTTCTTGGTGGAATCTTTTCACAATTGAAATGCAACAACTTTTCGAGAAGATCCAAATCTCCAACACATAATGGACCTTGACTGCCAGCTGTCATGGAATCTTTCACATGTCCCACTGGACATCCATTGTCTCTGGTCAATACATTTTGTGGAACAATCGATTGACCACTCAATGGAACTCTTCCAAATTGAAGAGCAGCTTCCTTAGAGACACTGTGGAATTTTGTACCAGAACCAAATCCAAGTGGACATTGAGCGGTTTGTTGTGTTTGAGAGGTTGTTCCACGTTCGTGTTCATGTCCACCAACCATTCCATATTGTTGTTGTTGTTGTTGTTGATGATGATGAAGAGGTTGTTGTTGCTGAGAACCAAAACCACCACCACCACCGCTGGAGGTTCCGTAATGAACTTCATGCTGCTGCTGTTGATGAGCACCGTGATGACCAATGGGAATGGAAGTATCATCACTGCTTCTCATTCCAGAAGAGGTAGTTCCACGTTCTTCGGGCATGTTTGTGGAGTGTAAATGATGACTTGGCATTTATGATTTTCTGGTGTGTGAGATGAGTATTCAATTCAGTACTGTAATAAAACCAATACTATATAATCTACCAGACGTGTTTTGGTGTTTTTTAAGACAGTGAGGTTGAATGGAAAGAATGCATTCGGTGCTGTGTGATGAAAATGGAGGTGGATATAAAAGGAAATTTGAAGTATTGAGAAGGCAAGGTCCATAAAATTGGTTATTTGGAGTTTTTAGATTGACTAAAGGAGAATATTTGAAGTGTATAACGTTCTTTCGAATATGTAGATTTCCTGTTTTTGGTCATGTCAAAGAATTAAAGTCGATTACGTTTTGCATCGCCTCAGCCTTAAACAAGTGTGGTTTTGAGTTAACCTTATTTGTAGTCCTCGTAAGGAACTGTAGAATCAAGTCTTGTAGGTAAAAGAATAAACAATACAACTATTGAAATCATTGTGAAGAATTCTTGTGTGAAAATGGATGTATGTTTAAACACAATTAAGTTGTCCACAAAATCCCACAATGTTCACAAGAATGAAATCATCATGAATGAATCATTATACCTACATAGATCTTTATTCTTCGTCTTCCTCGCTCTCTTCGTCCTCTCCTTCTTCAATATCCTGCTCAAAATCGTGTTTGGTCTTCTTGTTGGATTTCACAATACCAGCCTCTTCATCTTCGTCAGCATCATTCATTGTCTTTCTCTTTTTCTTTCCACTAAGAGCTTCCTTTACTCCTACTTCGTCATCGTCCTCTTCATCGTTTTCGTCTACTTCATCCATAAGATCGTCCTCATTACCCAAGGTATCAAGTAAGGCGCCAATTGCATCTTGACCTTCCTCATCCTCGTCGAGCGTATTCTCAACAAGTTCCTCCTCGTTATCAGATACCTCAGGTCGTTCTCGTTCTGCTTCCTCTTCGTCCACAAGTTCAGCCATTTCTGCATCTTCATCCTCTTGGTCAGCTCGATCCTCAGTCTCATCCTCTTCGAAATCTTCATCTTCTTGAGCTTGGAATGCCGTTAGCAATCCCTCGAGGTCATTTTCAATATCTTCGTCATCTTCGTCAGACATGTCGTCAATGTTTTCATCTTCCTCTTTTTGTTTGCTGGACTTGGTTGGTTTGGTGGGTTCCACCACAGAAGCGCTCTGTTTCTTGGTTGTGGATGATGTAGATTCCTTCGAAGGTTTAGTGGTCTTGGAAGTACTTGTCTTTTCGGCTGCTTTGTTTGAAGATGTGGATTTTTTGGTAGGTTCTTTTGTTTTCATCACTTCATCGTCGTCATCATCAAGGTTGACCTTCTTCTTGGATGGTCTTTCCTCGTCAACCAATAAATCATCCTCACTTTCCTTCTTCTTTGTGGGTTCTCTCTTCTTTGTGGAGGTTGTTGATGCTGATCCTGAGGCTGCTTCAGCTGCAACTTTACCGCCATATAATTGCTTGATTTTTGGTAAGCTTAGATAAAAATTCACATGTGCAGGATGAGCTCCGTGACCCTCTGTTGAAATGAGACTTAGTTTTGTTTTGGGACCACTTGCAAAATCGGCTCCACTTGCAGCACGAACCAAATTTCTGATCGTTCTGTGAACAAATGCTTGATTAGAGTCTGGAATAACTCCCATAGCATTGAAACAAACGAGTAATTTCTCAACAGTCAGTCTGGTGTCTTTTTGCAAGGCAACAATAAATTCCTTTTTCACATAGAAATTACACATGAGAAGAACGGCCACCAGTAAATGATTTGCTGTGCGAATGAGGAGAGTTTTTCCAACCGATTGATTGAACACCAAATGTTGGAAATGTCTTGGAGAGGACTTTGTAAATTCTGGAACACACAATCGCAGCAGTAAGTCCTGAAGAGTTTGTGATGATTTTGGAAGGTAGAGATAGGGATGAGTTTTCATGCTCTCAATTGGAGGATTTGGAAAAATGTCTGCCATGCTTGTGAACTTGACAGAGGAGCGAGAAGATTGTTCTTTCTTTCCAATTTTTTGTACAGCTTTCTTGTCCAAAGTACCTTGAACGTAGCAGGTTGACAAGATGGCTGCAACATGGTCTTTCACATTACGAGCTTGAGCAATTTGGAAAATGCCCAACATGATCATGTAGTATTGAGCCAGTGAGGGAATGTCAGATGCAATCGCTTGCAGGAATGATGAAAATTGCTCTTCTGTCAATTCATCTGCTGGAAGGAAAGGATCGTCTTTTTCCGCAGCAGCAGTGCTAGATTTTTCTCCTTCTTCTTCGTCTTCGTCATCAGACTTCTTTTTCCTTCTTCTCTTCTTTTTGGCAATGGCATTCCAATTTCCTTGTTGAATAATGATTCCAAAATATTCTTGCAAAAATGATGGAAGATTCTTGAACTCGGTCATTGAGGTAATACTTGTGTTGGCCTCTTCAGTTAATGCACCATTATCCATGGTGGCACCTTCGAGGACTTTCCACACTCTTTGAAGTGACTTGTTTCTGCAATGTTTACCTTTGAAATGATCAATCAAGTGTTTGTCATCGAACAATAAATCCGTTTTAAGGTCAAATAAGTCATTCACTGTTTCTGCCTCAATATTCAATGTTGGAATGTATTGTCTCATGGTTGCCATTGAAGAAGAGCGATTATTTCTTCCCACAAGAATCTTTAAATTTTCCATTTGGTCTGCTTTCAAAGACGTGGTAGTAGAAGTGGCTCTCTTTTGCATCAATCGAGCATAACGTTTTGAATTGAATAATGAGTCGGCAACTTCACTTCCTCCTATAACTCTCTTCTCAAAGAAATGTTGATAGGTCATATCGGGTTGAAGGGCGTCTGCTCCTCCTTGTTCCAATTCTCTCTTCAGAATATCTTTTCTTTGAAGGTTTTGTTTTGACTCTTCCTTGACAATGAAGCATTCTGGAATTTCAATAATTGATGATGGTTTTTGATTTGACGATTTCACAACAGCCAATAAATATTTGTTTGATGATGAATTGGTCGATGATGATGATGATGTATATTGCATGGATTTTGATTCTCCGAAAAGAAAAGGTGTTGGATCGTCATCTTTTTTGACCAAAGAAAAATGAATATTTTGCAAATTAGGAGGTGCAGAAAGAGAATTTGTAAATTGAACAAGGCACGGAGTAGGAATGGTATCCTTCTTCTTTTTTACGCTTTCCGAAGAGGATGACTTCTTTTTAGAAGTGGAAGGAGGGACGATAGCCTTTGTTTTGGACATTTTTTTTCATCGTTCCAAACAAATTTTCTTTCATCTTCAAAAATTAATTTGATTTTTATCAAAGCAGAAGCAACAATAGGCTATTCATCATTCATCAGAATTGGATACTCATAAACGGAGAGTCCATTGGGATTGATGAAATTAAACCTTTTTATTGTGGTTAATGTCATGGGAGAGGAGCAATTAAATAGTGTATGAAGATTTGGAAATGTTCAGAAGATGACACAAAGTTTTTTTAAACAAAAACACGGAAGATCATGCTATTAAATCAACAAAGACTCGTAAAATTGGTTTGCAAGAATGTCAATGGATATATCATCAAAATGATGAAATTTCATACTAAGAGTACTACTGATTGTTGGAATGATTGAAAGTGGCAATTGGATTGCCTCCCAAAGGAACCGAGCCGATGGAGCTTGTTGTGGAGGTGGCAGACACCACATAAGAACTATTCTGACTTGGTGCACATGAAACCGACTGATGATTACTACTCGAGGATAGGCTACTACTACCACTCATCATGAAAGGATTTGTAGATCCATATGAATTGAGTCCAGTACCATGGAATTGAGGAGAGGATGTTAGCCCACCGTTCACTTGACTCATTTGCTTACTCATGATCACATTGGAGACCAAGTTAGTCTTTGAAAGTGAGAATGGAGTGAATTCAGAAAAGTTAGAGTTACCATCAACACAACAGTGATATGAACTTACCTCTACTGTTTTCTGTGGTGGAATGGAGGGAGGACCTGAAACCAAAAGGCCAGAAGACGTCGATGATGATCTCCCCATGGTTGGTGAATGCAAATTCTTGTGATGGTTGGACTTTTCTTCTCTATTCGTGTGTAATTGTTGCTGCTGCTGTACAGCAGTGGTTGAGCTAATGCTGCCATTATTACTATTATTTGATGGAATAGTTGTTGTTGTGGTTGTGGTAGTGGAAGTTACAAATAAGGCTCCAGTCTCAACCTTAGACAAGGTAATGGTTGGCCACTTTTCAATACCAATCTGTTCCCTCACACTATAGAATCTTCTCTTGAGAGTGCTCACACTCACTCCCAATGCTTTGGCTGCTTCTTTTTGTGGTAAATGTAAATTCTGAATGATGGAATCAATTGGAATTTCCTTAAAGCTGGATCGACGAGTGGGTGGAAAGTCAAGAAAGACAGTCGAGTTGTGATGATTGTTAGTGCCATTAGTGCCATTGCTTCCTCCGTTCGAATCCAACATGGAAGAGGACAAGCTTGTGGATGAAACGGACAATTGAATGGCATTGGAAGATCCTGCCAAGTTGTTGTTGTTATTTCCTCCACCATTAACGAACGAAGGTCTCGATGTTTTCGATGGAGAATTCAAGGAGAGGGGAGTGTAGCTTGAGAAGGAATACCTTTTGGTGGATTTTCCTGAAGTCGATGATGTGGTGGCGCTGCTGCATGGAGAATTTTCTGGTACATAGGGTGTGAATGCTGAGTTGGATGGACTCAAAGTGAAATTTTGTGAATTTCTCTTTCCTAATAATTTGGGACTTGACTTGCAGTTTCCATCGACCGTATTCGCCATTGGCATGCAAGTGGTGCCACTCGTGGTAGTTGTAGTAGTGGCAGTAGTGGTTGGCAGCGGTGGTGGTGGTGGCTGTGCTCCAGTGTAGGTTGGACTTGTCATGAACATGTTCATAGTTTTGTTTGGAGTAATGTTAAAGCTAAAGGAAGTTCTCGTGGGTGTGCATTCACCTGTGGAAGTGCTTCTCGAGTGGCCATTCATGCTTCTAGGAATATTACCACTACTACCACATGAAGAAGGCATTGAATGACTACTAGGACCATTTGGATTACCGACTCCCCCAAAAGAGGATGACTGAGTTGCAGTAGAAGTGCTGAAAGGATTGTTCAGAGCAGATCCTCCAAGGATACCACTACCACCACCGACGCCCGAATATGTTGGAGTGGTTGACACTGAATGGAAATAACCATTCATGCCACTACTACCATTACTACTGGTGCTAACTTTCGGTGGTTCTAAAGTCATCTCTGAAGACAATGAGCCATTATTGTTTGGAATGGGAGTGTACGACGATGAAGAAGATGAGGTACCTGGTCCAACCACAAACGAATTACCTGAGATACTAAACAAGGGAACTGAAGCAGCACTGTTTGGCGAGGGATCATTGAGCAATGAGCAGTGAATAGGTTGGAAGTAGCTGCGAATGGAGGGCAATATGGGTGTTTCCGTAGAAGTGTGATGATTCAGGCCACTACTACCTCCTCCACTACCACCACTCGAAGAAGTAATCGTGGTACTATGGTCCGAGGTGCTGCTGCTTTGTGTTGCCCCAATAATAGAACCACTAGTACCACCACCAGTGCCACCACCAGTACCACCACCACTACTACTCTCCAGACTAAGATTACTGAATGGAAGAATGCCATACGTTGGAGTTTTGGATGGTGTGATCGTGCTTGAGAGAGCATTAAGGGAAGGAGTGGTAGCGGTAACTTCTCCACCTGTGTTGTACTGTATTGCTTGCATATCCTTTTGGGTGATTGCTCCTTCATGGTGGTGAGTAGTGGGTGTAAGTCTCATGGTCGTGTTTCCCTCTTCGTCTACTTGGCTCGTACGGTTAGTACAAGTATTAGAGCAGTGATTGTGAGGAACACTCTCATCATCTTCATCCTCTTGATGGATATCCTCACTGTTAGTAGTATCCATGATCATCATGGAATGGCCACTATGAATAGTGGATGGATGACAAGTATTTACAGGAGAGTGGTCGTTCATGTGGTTGGAGCTTAAATCAAGACCTCCTCGTGTCAACGCTGGATAAGATGAATTCTCAGAGTTTCCTCTCTCATCAGAATCATGATCTAACGTTTCATCTCGTATGGGAGCCAGAACGAACATGGATGAATGGTTTGAATGAGAATGCTGAGGTGAAGATCGTTGCTGATCTCCTACGACCACCGTTGGGGAACAGGTAACAGCAGATTCTGCTGCTGCAACTGTTGTTGTTGGAATGGTTGGTGTGGTGCTTGGATTCAATAAGGTTGATGAAACAACAGCATGAAGAGGTGAAAAGTCAGACATGTTAAAATTTGAACCACATGAGAGCGTGTGCGTGGTGTGATCGCGTTATGGATAACAATCGAGAGAGTTTCTCTTAAAAGGAACAACAACAGTGCGAAAATGTTCTGCGTAGCAGCTTGAGAGAGAGAGGTGTGCTGTTTTTTTCAGACACTCTGTGTGCTATCTTAATAAATTCAAGAGTTGCTAGCAGAAACTTCTAAAAAAGGAAGACTTGCAACCATGGAATGTTTCATGAATTTGGATGATTACGATCGTTACAACTCTTTACGAATGAATCCACTCTCCAAACACAGAGGGCTCCAATAATATCCAATGCCCTTTGATTCCTTATCACCTTGCTTGTTTTGCTTTTGTGCTTCAACTTTGGTTGCTGTGCTTTGTTTTGATTGGTGTTACTTGATTTGAGAAATTCACACATTGTTGTGAAATTGAAATACCGTATCAGTGTACATGTTGAACATGAACTGTGGCCTTATTAGTTCAAGGAGGAGAACTACGAATGGGATCTCGAACAAGATGTACGTTGAGGAATGTGTTCAAGTGAAAATTAATGAATTTCCTCAATACGAAAGATGAGCAACATACGAAAGGCTTTCGGATGACTGTTTGTCGAGCAACATGGGCTCATCATTGCTGCTTCTCTCCCAAGCATTCATGCATTCCGAGAGCGATTATCGGCAACAATCATGATCTTTTGTCGACACTCGTTTGCTCATGATCATCCATTCAGCCATCCAAATTAGTAAAGAAAAGCGAATTTGTTGAATTAAAAAATACACGGAAAATTGACGCAGCAAATTCGAGGGGTTTTTCTGATTTTCTTTTTAATCTTTTAAATTGCGACTACGACAAGGAACACAACCCATCTTGAAGGTGCTGCTGTTGTCATTTTGTCCAATTAAAACCAATAACTGTGAGAGTAGTAATCTCTAGATAAAATAATATTTATTAATACGGAAAGAACGTACCATGGAGGAAGAAGCACGACAGTCTTCAATGATGCTTTATCACCCCACCAATGAATCTATACCACTCTTTCATGTAGATTCCGATCATGACATTGAGAGAAGAATATTGTTTCAAGAAGAAAATCAATATTTTCAACAGCCACCGCAACATCGGAATATTCATCACCTGCTTCACCCGAATACCACAACAACCACAACAACCACAACAGCTTCAATAGAAGGAACCCCATTCGCCTCACCATCTTCTGTTTCTCATGAAATTTCCAATATCAACAGTAATCACCAAGTAAGCCTTTCTGCAGCCAGTAAGAGATTGGATCATCATGATGATTCTGAAGAGGCTCCATTGATTCATTTCGAAAGCAAAGATTCGGTGAAATTAACACCATCGTCCTCAACTGGAAGACCATTATTGAACATTCACAGAAATGAATATTCTCCGAGTGAATCAACCAATGATTCTAGAACAAACATATTGCCCTCATCATCATCCTTGCTCTCCTCTTCATCATCTCCATCATCATCACTCCCAACAAGTAGTGAAAATATGGAGCAAGCTCAATTATTCTCTGTTCACACAGCAACCACACAACCCGAACAACAACCACAGCCACAACAACAATTCGAACTTCCCTTGCAAGGACTGATATCACAAAATGATCTTTTTAGCGTCAAAGAATTCTATCATGCAAAGACTTTGTTTTGCACGGGATGTACTGGATTTATCGGAAAGACTGTCGTTGAAAAGATATTACGATGCTTACCTCATGTGAAAAAGGTTTATCTTCTCATCAGAACAAAGAAAGTCATTGACAAAAGAAATCCAAATAATCCTCCCAAAATATTTTCAGGTCATGAAAGAATGGTTAATGACATTATAAAATCGCCAATTATGAATCGATTAATTGATGAAAAATTCCAAGGAGATCGTTCCAAATTTGAAGAGTATGCTCTCGAGAAATTGACATGTGTAGAAGGGGACGTTTCCGATGTGGATTTATTTAATGAAAAAGATGAACCTACCGAAGAAAGTCTTAGCAGTGGTCCTTCTTCAAAAACAGTGAAACTTGGCCACATTAGAAATCAAGTCAATGTTATTCTTCACATCGCAGCAACTGTTGGCTTTACAGAACCGTTACCAGATGCGTTACGTTTAAATGTTTTTGGAGCACTCAATATGCTTCGATTTGCCATTTATTGCCCAAATATTCAATCCTTCATCCACGTTTCAACATGTTATGTGAATTCAAACCAACCAAGTGGTTCTAAAATTTTTGAGAGATTTTACCCACTTAACCTTAATAATGCAACAGTGGGAGAAAAACAAAGGAAACATAGAATACGACGTTTAGTCCGAGGTTATAGCAACACTTTAGAACAAAATCAAGGAGCAGAAGATGAATTAGAAGAAATGGAACAATTTTGTGAGGGAATTTTTGCAGACTTTTCCTTCCAACGATTCTTCAATCAGCCACCAAGTTCCTATAAACCCGACGTTACTAATAAGGAAGATTCTAACTTGATGGCCCAGTTCACTGATAGAGTTTTGAAAAATACCAAATTTCCCAACACGTATACACTCACAAAACATTTGGCTGAAAAACTAGTGGCCAAATACCATGCCCATGTTCCTGTGGCAATCGTTCGTCCCTCCATTGTGGGTCCTGCTATGAAGGAACCTCAACCTGGTTGGATAGATGCTGTGTCGGCCGGAGCTGCTGTCATGCTATTTATTGGACTTTGTGTGATTCGAATTTTACCAGGAAGAGCCGAAGGAATTGCAGATCAAATACCTGTTGACTATGTTGTGAATTCTATTTTAACATCTGCAGTTGACATTGCAACGAGACAAAAGAAATCAGGCACTTTCAACAACTCTCTGCTTCTTAATATGAATAATGGAAGCTATAGCGATAGCAATTTCAATCAAAATTATTGCACTCAAAATAACAAGAAACCAGGACTTTTAAGAATTTATCATGCAGGAACGTCAACAGCAAATCCTGGACCTTGGAGAAAAAGTGCAAATGCAGTCACTCTTTATTTCACAAAATGCCCATCCAAACATCAAGTTTTGCCAAATATGACTCCCTTAGTGCATTTACTTGAGAATCCTCTCAATTATCAAACTCAATTCTTTTTTAGATATACTGTGTGGACTCAATTTTTCAAGATTCTCGATCATTTGACAAATTATTATCAGAATACTCTTTCATTCTTGAGCAATTCAAAGGGTGTAAATTCAAGTAGTAATGGTATGGAAGGTGTTGGAAGTAACACAAATGGTAACATAAATGGTAGCAGCTTGGCACCACCTACAAAATTCGGCAAGCTGGCCTCACAATTAGCAAAAATTGAACAACGAGCACATCAGTTAGGTTCACATTTCAGCCATTTCATTTTGAACGAATACTTTTTTGATAACTCTCACGTTCTTGAAGCTAATAATTCGATCGTTCCCAATGAAAGAGACTACTCATTTGGGGAGAGTGGAGCTTTTGGGTTGGATTTTGATTTTGACTGGGATGAATATTTAGAATTGTTATGTTACGGCATTCATCGATACTTTTTGAAAGAGGAGCCTCCATACATTCCTCCACAGCAGCAACAGCACATGGCTCAACAGCTGCGATTGGCCAAGAAGGAAGAAGAGAGAAGTAAGAATTTCAACATGAAACATTTCAGAACTTCTAAACTTTGATAAAGTTTTGGCTTGATTCTTTTATTTTACAGCCTCAAACAATGCCCTAATGCATTGATATTAAATTTTCTGCTTGCTTCTCTTCACCCATTCGTTGGTTGGGGATGGATAATCCTTTAGATCAGACAGGGATAGATCTTTTTCAGTGCTGTGAGGAGAAGCCAAGTAATTGAGTTGTGACAAGAGAGGATTAGCAGAAGAGTTGAGCGAGGATGACGATGAAGCTGAGCCAGCAGTGCCTTCCAAAATACTCAACGTGTTCTTTGTTGAAAACAGACCTTGAGGTGGGAAGACATCCAAATTATCAGAGTCACGATTCATCTCATCGTCAATGTGGTACACCTCTCTGTATTGAACCTCAAAACTCTTGTCCTTGTCCTCAGGCTCCATTATTCTTGACGTTTGTGGAGTTAATGGCTTGCGAAGTGATTTAATCACAGCTGTCTTTTGGCCAAATGTGAATTCTTTTGGAATGGTTATCTCATTCTTCCAATTTTCTCCATAATTGATTACCTTAGATGCATTCTTCTTCTTTTCCCTAGCTTCGATTTGTCTCTGAACAAACTCTTCATAACCTAGCGGTTCAGAATCGTTCTCTAATTTTGAGAGATCCTCCTGCTTAATTCTATCAATGGCAGGCTTAAAGGTACATTGTTTTAACTCTTGGAGCGTCTTCTCCTTTCGCTCTTGCTCCAGCTTAGCCTTTCTTTTCTTATCCCAAAATATTAACCGATCAGCAAAGGTTTTTTGAAGTGATTGTGTTTTGGGGTTTGCCAATACATTTGGTTTAAAAGTACATTCCTCCATTTCCTTTTCATCCTTTTCTTTTCGTTTCTCTTCGAGTATTTGTCTCTTCTTCTTGTCATAGTTCAGTAATTGTGTAATTCGCTCCTCCACTGATTGAGATTTGTCTCCTTCAATTAATTTTGATTTTTCATTGATACGAGGTTTGAAAGTTAGCTCCAGTTTGACTGGAGATCCTTTTGGAGTTTTGTTTCCACTTGAGAGGAGTCTCTCTTTGGATGAGTGAGGAAGGCGAGAAGCAATCTCTTCTGAGACGGGATTAATTCTTGGATGATGGAGGAGGTTTTCCTTTTCCAACAACTTTTCCATTCTTTCCACTCTCTTGATTCTAGAATTTTCCTCCTGGTGATACAAGTCGTCATATACAGGTTCATCTCTTTCAAATTCGCTCCAGTTGATTTTTGGATTAAAGTCGAACATTTTCTTTTCTTCTTCGAGGTGCTGAAGTGAAATCTCTTGTTTCTTTTCGCTCATCTTGAAGCTTAATTGATAAAGTCTATCAGACACGCTTCCGTCTCGTATCATTTTGGCAGCTTGAGCTGTAATTTTTGGTGTTCCTGGTACCATTGACTCAAATTGTTCTTCTGCCATCTCTTGAACCCGTTGTTGTCGAAGGAATTCTTTCCTTTCAAAGGCTTCTTCGAGGGATAAATTTTCTTTCAAGCTGGCTTTCTTTCTCTCAATGATTTTGAGTGTTCTTGGGTTGAGTTTTGGCTTGAAAATTTCTTCTTCCATTTCCCTCTCTTCCTTCATTTCTCTAAGCTTGTTCAATTTTTCATCTCTCTCAGAGAGCCATGTTCTATTTACTTGGCTCACGTCTTCACGACCCTTCATTTCTTGCCCCAATTTTGAAATGGATGGTCTGAAGGAAGGTTCCTCATTGAGTTCGGTCCGAATGGTATCCAATGTGTCTCTTCTGAGTCGTTCTTGCTCCTCAAATCTTTCGACAAAGCTGGAGTTGCTTCTTTTTTAGTGGTTGATCCATTGATCCATACCAAGGAATGGCAAAATTCCACATTTATATGTATTAAAAACAACAATTGATATTATTGTAATACATGAATATTGGGCATATGCAAGAATGATTTTTGAAATTGAAATTGGATGAAAATTGTTCTGAGAATTCTCAATCTCTACTTACTGGTCTACCTTGCTGGCAAGCCTTCTTGATTCTTCACTAATATTAGGACGGAATGTAATCTAAATTGCCGAAAGAGCAACGATGATGGAATCACATGTGCATCATGAAAGAAAAAAGTTAAACTCTGTTTAGTAAAGAGAGCGTTCCAAAATAAAACACTCACCTCACTGTAGTGCTTATTCCTCAATTGTTCTTTTCGTTCCTCCATCATTTTACCCTCCTCCAACAATTTCTGCACAATGGGTGGTTGTCTTTGAGTACTTGATGACAAATTAGAATTGTTAGATCTACTTGTGTTGGATACGCCATTATTATTACTACTACTATTATTGCTTCCTTTTAAATCGTGGAAGTCATCATCTTCATCGGACGAATCATATATGGATGACGCATTGAGTTTGAGCTTGTTGATGATGGCCTCAACGCTTTCTCCATCTATCGTGATGGTGATGATATCATCGTATATAAGGTTGTTGGATTTTGGTGTGGATGATATCATTCCACAACGTAGTGGCATGGTCGTAATAATCACATGGTCGTCTTCCTCGGTAATTCATTATTATGATTATACTTACCATCAATATTCTTAACTCTCCTCTGGGAATTTAAATCCACCTTTTCCCATGAAGCTGCCGATGAGGAAGAATCAGAGGCTGTACCAGCTCCTCCGTCCTTGGGTGGAGAGCTCTTTGGTGAGAGTTGTTGAGTCTGTGATTTGAGCCATTCTCTGCTCTTGGCCAACCGTTTTCTGTGAGCTTCAAGTTTGGCATCACTTTTTTAAAGTGAATGTGAGCATTTTGAACAGACATGATCAGGAAAGAAACAATGATAATCCATACAAATCAATAAGGTAGGATAGAATAACGTGTAGTTGTGTAAACAACCAAAATTACAAGTGTACATATGTATACGGAGCAAGGACAAAAAGTGGTAAGGTTGTAGATGATAAGGTTCATAGAATTATTTCATGATGATAATGATGGCGATTATGAATATGTATCGTGAATGGTTAATAAACCTACATTGCACGTCCGAGAAGTGAATCTAGGGGTGAACTCATTTTTTTAAGGTTTGTGTAACGGCCATTTGGAGAGAATAAAACAAGACGATTTACAGAGTCATCCTGTTAAGCGAATATATCGGTGTCTGATTCTGGCTTGTATTACATGAAAAGAACAACTTACTTTCGAAGAGGACACTACACACTAAGCCATACAAAACAACTCACTCATCATGAAGTGGCTGCCTTAAAATCCGTTACAATTATCAAAAAAAAATAGCTTGCCAAACTAAATGTCCACCAAACTCCATACTCGTGAAAATACAACCTCTGTGAGCGGTGTGTCCGGAGTACACAGCTTTGATCGTGATGAAGTCGAAAGCTTTGCAGAATACATTAGTAATCAGCTTAAGGATGATGCAGATGTTCAGTCCAAAATGCCAATAGTTGGAGATGAGCTGTTCAATGCTGTTAAGGATGGTATTATCTTGTGGTAAGTGGTCAAAGTGTGCGGTATTAGGCAGTAATAATCATCATAACAACATGGATCTGATTGTAATGGTTTCATGATCATCATTGAATGTCGGTAATAATTGTGTTACTTGTTGTTCCTTCTTACCCTTAATTGTCGTCCCTGTATAAATTGCCGTGCACGGTGCAAAACAAATATTTGAAAATCATTCATTACTCCTTGGGCTCACATGTGTTGGCCCCTCGCCTCGTCCAATCCACAATAACCAATCCTCATCCATCTATATATCCTGATGCTATCAATATAGTAAATTGATCAATATTGCAGCTCCCCATACCATCGATGAACGTGTAATCAATGTGAAGGGACAATTGAATCCATGGCAGATCAATGAAAATTGCGAGCTCGCTATCAACTCTGCTGCAGGTATTGGTTGTAAAACTGTAAACATTACTCGATCGAGTATTCAAGAAGGAAAGCCTCATATTGTTCTGGGACTGTTGTGGCAAGTCATTAAGAAGAGTGTCACCAAAGACATTACCATCAAGCATCATCCTGAATTGGTTCTCCTCTTGAAAGAGGGTGAAGATATGGAAAGCTTTGTTAACTTGCCCATTGAGGAAATTCTCATGAGATGGGTCAATTATCACCTTGCAAAGTCTCCCTTGAGTGGCACTAGAAAGATCACCAACTTTTCGACTGACATTGCTGACTCTGAAATTTATACACATCTCCTCAACCAAATAGCACCAGATGTTTGTGATTTGAGCCCACTCCAGGAAGATGACTTGCTCAAGAGGGCCAATTTCATGCTTGATCAGGCTGAAAAGATTGACGGTCGTCAATTCATCAAGGCAGGTGATGTCGTGAAGGGTAACACAAAATTGAATTTGGCCTTCATTGCCAACTTGTTTAATACAAGACCAGCCCTCGAGGTTCCACAAGATATGAATGTGGATTATGCATCCTTGTTAGACTTCAGTTCGGAGGGCACTAGAGAAGAGAGATCATTCGAATTCTGGATGCAAAGTTTGGGCTTGAATGTGAATCATTTGTTTGATGACATGCGTGATGGTGTTGTTTTTGCAGAGTTGTGTGAAAAGATTAAACCAGGTGCTACCGATCCAAAGAGATACACTGCGAACCCAAAGAATCCATTCCAATCCATCGCAAATTGTAATTATGCTCTTGATGTTTCAAAATCATTGGGTGTTCATGCCGTCGGAATTAGTGGAAAAGACTTTTTCGATAAGAACAAGAAATTCGTTTTGGCTGTAGTTTGGCAATTGATGAAAGTTTCACTTTTAAACACTTTGAAGAATGTTGGTGGTGGTAAACAAGTCAGCGAAGAGGATGTGTTGAATTGGGCCAACAAGAAGGTCGCAGCTCAAAAGATTACGTCCTTCGAGGATCCTTCTCTGAGCGATGGCAAATTTTTGGTTCATTTGTGCCATGCTGTCTCTCCACAATCATGTAACCTTGAAATGCTTTCCGAAGAGAGTGAACAGAACGCCAAATACGCCATCAGTGTCGCAAGAAAGATCGGAGCAGTCGTGTTCTTGTTGTGGGAAGATATTGTTGAGGTCAACAAGAAGATGATTTTGAGTTTTGTTGCTTCTCTTATGCTTGCAGAGATGCATTTGAAGAAGTAATGAGAGAGTTGAGACTGGCTTGATTATCATATGTTTTAAATTGTAAAAGGGATTGGGTTTACCTTCTTCCTCACAGGACATAAACTATGGTTTCAACAAGCGTGTTGTATTGATCTTGTCTAAAACATTGCCCGGCATAGAGTTTCCTGACCTGTCACATTTAAAGCCATCTTACAACAAACGTCAATCAAGTCGTCCATTAAATTCTTCCGCAACATCACAAACCAAACTTTAAAAGAATAATTAATTCCGTTCTTGGCGTTGCAGTTCTGTTTGTAACCTGCATTGTCATGGTGAGCGACCACCAAAAAACCTTCTTCTTCGCCAAGGATCATCATTGTTCTCTTCCTTGTGAGCAAAGGCTGTGATAGAGCCCTTCATTAACAAACATCTTTGGCTCATCAAGTTTGAACGATTTCTATCAGCAGGAACAAAACCCAATTGCTTGCAACCTTCTTGCATTTTCCTTCTTCTCTCGATTTGTTCATCACGAAAAATCTTCACCACTTTTTCCACACAATCCTCATCGCTCAACCTGGAGTGGAGTGGTCATCATCAACGTGCTTCAGTGACTGTCCATGGTCACAGCATTTTCTCATAAAAGAATCACTGAGTCATATTTTGTGTGAGAACACTCGAATCATCTTCACAAACAAATAGCTGCATCCATCAACAACACAGTGGAGTAGATAAATCATCATTCTGGCCTTCTTTTTGCTCGCAAATTCATCATCGTCTCCTCTAAAGTCGTGACATTTGTAGTAGTCCCGAAAGACTTTTGACGAACCCCAACTCTTGACTCTATTTCAGTAATTTCAAATCCCTTTTCATAGTCGCAAAAAACACATTCATAAAAGGCTCTCTTCTTTAAAATTGACAATAGATCTCCAAACAAAACAGAACAACAACAACAACACACTCAGAGACCAATAACCAATTATTATCAGCGAGCGCTACTAATAAACGCATCATCATCAGACACCCTTCTCTCGCTGACACGATCCTCTTCCTCGCCTCCACCACCATTACCACCACCATCATCATTGTAACTATAGTATACTTTGATCATTCAATGATGAAAAGACTTCTCTCCTCTCTCTCTCAACAACATGAAATGGTTCTCGCGACGTCGAATGGTTCCAATGGCCAATTCATGATGGTACATACTGACTCCTCTCTCTATCATGGCACAAGTCCAACAACAACCATTCCTCGTTGTTCAGAACAATTACTTGGAACAACATCACTCACAACAGCAACGCATAGAGCCTCTCATACCTTTCATTCCAACAACACCTTGTCTGTTGCCTCTTCGGGAAGAAATAGAAGCCTTTCCAATAGTAGTAGCACTGCTCCATTGCAACACATGACACCATCATCGAGTCATGGCCATCGATGTCATTCACCACCAACAAGTTCAGGCAGCAGTAGTGGTAGTGGTGCAGGTTCTCCCCACAACAACCACAACAACAACCACAACACTCTCCATGCTCAACTCTATTCGCTGCAACAACAACAAAAGAATGAAGCCTTGCATTTGAAACATATCCAAGTGGCGAAACTGTACAAGTATAATTTTGAGGATTTGTACGATTGTTTGGAAGTGAGAGTCTTGTTCAAACAATTTCTCATCAAGAATCAAAATGAAGAGAATTATTATTTTGACCAGATTTTGGATACGGAATATAAAAAGTTAAAGTCGAATAGAAATCGATATCAAATGGCAAAGAGAATGATTGAAACATTTGTGAAAGCAGGAGCTCCTTATGAATTGAATTTATCGGAAAAGATTAAACAATCCGTGTTGAGAGAATTTCAAAAAGCCACTCCTGAAAATTGTCCACTCGATATGTTTGACAGTATACAGTATCAAGTGTTGACATCAATGAGATTGGTAGGTGTTAAAGTGTAGCGACTGTTGGTTCAGTAACTCGTTGCATTATTGTGCAATCTTAATGTTTTCGCACTGACATTACACATATGTGTGAAATATGTGACATTAATGATTCACACGCGGTTTAAAACATTTCCAACATCATGTTTCATAACTTGAACTCGTTATGAAAATTGTTCAAATGACAACAAATTTGTCCACACATTGAATCAATAATAGGATGCTTATCCAAGATTCATTCAAAGTGACGAGTTTTTGAGCTTTATTGGAGGGAAAATTTCATCATTTAAGAACGTACAACAAAAATTGAGATTTATTAAATCGATTGGTGCTATCAAAAAGGTGACACCTCTCGAAAAATCATCCTCAAAAGGAGATTTAAGGGAAAGCATTAATGCTAAAAAGAAAAGCGAAGATGAATCAGTCAAAGAGTCACTCATGATGGATCAAATCGACATGGAGGACAATTCTCCTGAAAATTTAATTTTACCAGTTGAAGAAATTTTAGGAGGATTTGAGGCCCTGCATTTCATGTCTCCAACTCCAACCTCGACGACGACTTGTTGTCAAAGTTCTAATCTTACAACATCACCACCAGTATCAACAGTGGCAACCAACACAACGAGCTCGAACGAAATTAGTGAACCATCCTCCATTAAACGTTCCATGTCGAGCATTATTGGTCACTTGTTCAACAAACAATCACCCAACACTAATAGCAATTCCACGACCTCAACCATACAACCCTACATTCACACAACGAGAACGAGAAATACCAGTGGATCAGCGTGTGATTTGAATTTTCATGATTCCCCAGCTGGCTCATCGAATAATAAGAGCGCCATTGCCATCCGACTGCATGACAGTCTTCCAAGAGCAATTGCCCCAATTAACAATTTTATCGTCACACCTTGTAGTGACGATGAGAAGGATGACGATGAAGACGATGAAAATGAAGTAAGTGAAGATGATGAGAACGAATTAACGCCAACCGAACATGAGCGTGTCAAGAACTTTGACATAATCATACACAAGAGCTCACTCTTTGAAAAGTCTCTATCGTCAGAAAGACCATTTTGCGAGTCCTCTTTAGAACAAAACGATCAACACTTGTGGGATGAGGTTGACACGTGTCTTTCGGATGAATCCTCAGAAGAAGAAGATGAAGATGACAACGAGAAAGACGACGAATTAGAGGATGAAATTATTGGTGGCAATTTGGCAGCTGCGGCCAAACAAATTACAGTCTCCACAGCTGCAGTTGCTAATAATACTGTCATTCCTTTACTTGAAACCTTGAATGCCTATATGGATAAACTTCAATTAACAGTGAATGAAATCGACATTGTCAAAACAGAATATCAAAATTATATGAATAATTACTCGTGCTTGGAATTGAACACGATTTTAAAGCAAGTGGATTCAACACCAGACTCAAAGAAAGACAATGACTGGACCATGATTAAATTAGAGCCCAAAACTCGAAGAAGATCCATCCTGAATCGAAATCAACCAAACAAGTCAATGGACTTTGTGAGTCAATACAATTTGAAAGCTCACTTTGCGAGATTTGATTCACCTGTGTCAGACGATGTGACTTACATGCTTCGACGATCATGCAAATTGCCCTACAATGCATTCTCAGTATTGCAATTGTTGTGTGATGAGAGCAGTTATGAAACCATGGTGAATCCTCTCTTGTTGGCACCTGCAGAATATATTGAATTTGTTGTGAAGGATACCGAACATTCGTATGCCTCTCTAATTTCTTTAGAAGGTGCCAAATGGCCTTGGCCACTCAAGCAACGACACTATGTCACAACGGGCACAGTCATTTCCGACATTTTGAATGATGAAAAGGAAAATCCGAATCGCAAGCGATATATTATTTTGAAAAGAAGTGTCATTAATAATGCAAAAGTTGAAATTACACTCAACAAGAAGGAAAATCCCAATCGAGTCATTGGTGTGAAACTTGAGGCCTATTTTGTCGAGTCCTCCATTGCCAATGAATGCACATTAACCATGTTCAATGAGTGGCGTTTCACGAATGTCAACAAGTGGACATTCCCATCGAAACTCTTCAAAAAATCACTCAAACTCTTCACCAATGATTTCCATCATGCCCTGATTGATAAGCTCTCGAGTGCAACCGTTTTACATGCCACCAGTTACAGCGATTTCATCAACAACAGTCAAGATCAAGAACATCATTCGCCCAACACCAAGAAAGACAATACTCTCTTACACACTCTCTTCAGAAATGATGCCTTACCCAAGAAGGATGAAATGAAGAGCAAAGTGAAGAATATTTTCCACACCTTGTCATTGATGAAACTCTTTGAATATGATTTGAATGAGACGTGTCGAGTGATTGAGGAACGACAACATGCCAATTTTCCAATCGAACATCAGATATCGGCTGATCAGCCACTCAGTCAAGAGCCCATTAAATAAATGTAAATTTCTCTCGACAAATGAGACGAGAGCATTTCGAGCGTAGTGATTTTTGGAGAAAACAAAAGGAGTTCCTTGTTCCGTACAGTGTTGGCGCCAAAACACTTTAAAAATTGGCCTCTCGAAATGATTGCAACAACAACCACCACTACCAGCAATAACAACAACAATGACGATACCAACAATGACGAAGACATGGATACCAACCTCAATGTTCTTCAGCAAGCATCAAGTATTTTAGATGAAGAGTTGGAGGAATTAGGGGACGGACCGTTCGGAAAGTTATCGTTGGAACAATTAGCAAAAACCGATCATTCTGTCTTCATGATGATGGATGGTCTCAATTCTGGGTTTTCATCATTCGTTCAGACACCACGAGAAAAATCACCTTCTTCCGAATCGGAAGAGGAGGTCATCAAGATGGAGAGTGGTCAATTATTTGATAAGGCCATTCTAATGAAAGCAGAGAATGAAACGAATTTTCAGCCATTACAATTACAAGATATTCAATTGTTTAGGAGATACGTGACTCAGAGCGGAAACATTATTGAAAGAGTCGGATCAGAATCTGTACAGATCAATAATAATAAGGTTATTCATCTGCCAGTAGCTCCAACCTCACACCACAATAACGGAAGTAATCGTCATGATGAGCTCAATAATAATAACCCTAGCAACAATAATTATGAAACAAGGAATACTTCTCAGGAAATGACGAAAAATTCTCGAGACAATAGCTCAATGATTGTTGATGAAGCAAGTTTAATTCCATCATTTACAGAGAGAAAATCTGTTGCTCATAATATTCGGCTGCTTGCTGCTTCGAAATTGTTGAATGAACTTCCCGATGAAGATGAAGAATGCAGTGACGAATGGCTTGTATCTCCGCGATCAAAACCAATCGGTAATTCTTTAGTTGAAAGTGTTACATTACAGCAACAACAACAGCAGCAACAATCAGTCACAACAATCAAGCCAACAAGAAGTGCATCTCAACCCTTAACCTCGTCAATTGTAACCTCATCAATTATCTCATCATCCAACACTACCACGCAACATCCATCTCACCAAAACAACAAGACTTCATTGATGAATGGTCAAATCTCGAGTAAGGAGGTTACGATCAACAGCAACCACAAATCTCATCATTTACATCAAGAACACCATGAAAATGTCTCCACGAGTTTCTCGTCATCTTCAGAAGCTTCTTCATCTATTAGCGAAGACGAAAACGATGAAGAATTTCACGTAGATGATACTCTGTCTGATAAGGGAGTTTCCACACGGAAATCCAACGACGCCAAAGCCAAGTACAAAACCATCTCATCACTTCCTTCAACTAGCTCAGGAAGTTTGGCTTCTAAAATTCAAAACTCCAGCACAACAACGCCAAAAAATACTTTCTCAACAATTCGAAAGACACAACAAAAGGCCAGTGATTCGGCATCATCGTCGAAAAGTTTTCGAGACGCCACTGGATATAAACCACAATTTTTTAATCCTCCTGAAGATGTGAAGTGCAAGGAGCCTTCTGAGCAAAAGAAACAGCAATGGGAAAATAAGAAGAAGCCAGGGCATTCATCTAACAATTCCAATAATCAGAAATCTTCAAAAAAGTCCACTGCGAGAGATATTCCAAACTCAACAATCTATCCACCACCTCAGCCTCACGTTTCCCCAAAAAGGCCAATCATGAATCATTCACTCATTGAACTACCTGCAAAGACTGCCACGTCTGAGAAGGCTGCAACTTCTCATCCAACTTCATCAAACGGATTGCAAGTGAAAAAGCCCGTGCCCAACCTTTTTCTTAATAACAGCCATATCGGTAATTCACATGATACAATGAACTCAACAACATCAACCCTCTCAAAAAAGAAAGAAGCAAACACCCAAAAACCACCTTCAAGAGCAACTACACCTACTTTTTCTCACGTATCGCATTCCTTAGAATTGAATAATAACTTGTATGACGATCATTTTGATGCTTTAGAGTCGTCTCTTTGTGGAGGTGACACTTTTAGTGAAGTTTCAAACGAAGAAACTCCCGAACTTGACGAATTTGAGTTCGATGAATTAACGGTGAACAGTGCTGCAGATTTTGTGACATCTAAAAGCTGGAAACTTATGAGATGGCGAAGAGATAACTTGAGAGAAAAGAATTTCTCTTCTTCATTGAAAAAATTGACAGCAAACAGAAACAGTAAGTCACAAGTGGAACTTCCTAAAATTCCTGGTGGACAAGATGAACTTCAAAAAGATCAAAGTTATGAATCGTGCATCATTGCCAGAGATATCGCCAATGAACTTGTCGACCGTTCAATACAGGCAATGGAGCAGAAACCTCAAATAATGGAGTTCCAGGAAGTTACAGTGTCTCTCTTTGGAAGCATTGTGCTTTCAAAAACTGTTGAGGACATGCTTTCGCATGCATTACTTTCTTCAACAAACTCACACCAGCACTTAGCCAAAGTTTCCATATCGTTTTTTTCAAGCTCTTCAGGAAAAATTCCAGACTATGTCGAGAACAATATTCCCTGTTTTATTGAGCTATTCAAGGTTGCAAAGAATAACAGTAATTCGTCACCGAATAGTATCAAAGCCTACTATAGTACTTTTGTCAACATTCCTAACAATATTCCAAGCTTGGTGAATAACAAAACAAATCAACTCGTTGGCACATTTTACTATGACATTGATGTATTGGCCCAAGAGGTGAAAATTAATTTAACCAATAAGGCATGCTATCAATGGAAGGGAGTCAGTACCATCTATTTTCCATTCGAGAAGAGTGAAAAAATCGAGGGAGACTCTTCCTCGTTGAATTCATCATTAACAACCTTCTTCAAGCTTAAACGTGCGGGTGACACAAGGATCGATTCAGAAATACCTCATTTTTTGAACTCTAAAACGAACAAAGACTCGACAAATAATAAGGGCCAACCAAAGGGCCGACCAGGAGAAAGCAACATTTTTGCTGTCAACTTGAACACTTCTGAATCCATGATGATAGAGTCTCCACTTCCCGTAAACAAATCCTTATACAATACAACCCTTCATAGTGAGGATATTCAACTCTCGCCGGTTTTTGTGCCAACGTCACCAGTCCAGCCACATCACCAAATCGAAAGAGGGAAAGCAGTGCGTGACACTAACGAGAGACAGCCCAAATGTTGCTTCATGTAGTGTGCTCCAAGTTGAATGTCACATTGTAACAATTAAACAACGAACTGTTAGAAATATCATTTTAAAATTTATACATTTACAAAGATGAATTTTAATAGTGTAATAAATTAAATAATAATTTAAATGAGTTTCTTTGTTTTGAAGAAGCCTCGCAGATTATATAACTGCCAAACAGCTGCAGTGAAATTGACATGTCAATAAATTAGAAATGTCATGAGTCGTAGAGATGATGACATTTTTACATCCAAATGAAATTATCATTCACCATTATAATGGTGATATCAAAGTTATTCATGCAAAATTTTTGAAATTAAACACGTACTCACGGTAACTAAAAGAATAAACTTCAAAAATCCGAGCCAAAAGGTCCTTTCATACGTGCTGTCAGTGGTGTCACGGAAACGAGTTTCCCTCACACGGAAATAAGTCTGCTCATCAGACACAAGTTGAATTTGTTGCTTGATATCTTGCAACAAGTTGCTGAGTCTTTCAATTTTCTCCACACTTTCATGTTCTCCCAAAGTATGATGGTGAACGTCAACTTCAACTTTCACATCAGCGAAAGTAAACTCAACAAATCGTGAGTTATAAGTGAAACATAATTCTAAAGCGAATTGTGTTCGTAAAGAGTGGAATTTTTACAATCATTCAATGGGTTAGTATTATCATTATTGGCACATTATGTTGTGTGATTTTCATGTGTTTTCATACAGGTTTGTTTTTGAGCAAAATATTTTGAACCATGCATTGTGATAACATTGATCATCACGATTTTAAGAATTCATTGTTCATAAAATTAACAAACATCACCTACCGTAATCTCCAGTAACATCGGATCTAGCCTTCAAGTGATACGTGTTTTGTCGCAACGAGTCCAAACGTTCATCCTTCAGAGTCTGGCCGAATGGATCCGTAACCGTGAAATGAATAGAATCAGTAATGGTAAAACCAGGAGTTACTGAAACTTTGAAAGGAGTATTCTCACTATTTGAAGTATATATTGTTTTAGAATATATTTACAAAAATTATCATAGTCGTCATCACCAACAATATCATTAAAAGGTGCAATGATTTGAGAATATTGCTGTGTTCGGGATGAAACAAACCTCAAGTGTTCATGTAAACAAAAACGAGTATCTCTCGGTAAATGAATGATGGTCGCATTAGAAGATCCAATGAGGCTCATCATCACAAGGAATACTACGGCCATCATCAGCACATCACGAACGATGTTGTTGTTAGTGGATGATGTCATTTTTTCAGGTGCCTGGGAAAGGGTTCAGTTGGGGATGATGAACAAAGGGAACATGAGAAGAGATGAGGGTGATGATGAACGTTTATTTTCAAACCATTTCTCATTTTATGCGAATAAAAAACTTTGGGAATTAAAAAATTCTTCAAATGTCTCTTCCGATCATGGTGGTAGGCTTCACACTGGAACAACACATCGTCCATAGGAATCATCATCATGAGATATAAACACCACCTCTGGATTGAATTGTAATATTTATTGGCACAACACTCATAATCACTTGAACAAATTATTTGCACCCACACTCTCTCTCATAAGAAAGCTCATGAGAGGAGGATTATAGGATGACATGGCTCATCCTTTCTTGAATAAGAATAGCAATGAATGATTTTTTCTCTTTCTGGCATCAATGAACGATAAGAATTAGGGAAAGCCTCCCGTACAAATTTGGATCAAAATTTCTTATTCCTAAATCTTCATGATGATACAATGAATTCTGTTTTTGCAAACTCGGAAAGCAAATGCCAATCCATGTGAGGTGATGAAATTTTCTCGTCTTTCAATTTTGAGTAATGCATGACAAGTTGCATGCCCCTCGTCAGATGCTTTGCTTCGTACACGAACGGCTCCTGCTCTTAATATCTGAGTCTGAAATGATGACAGATTGAAAGATACCAACTTTTCATGGAGTTTGTTATTTAAAGGAATCCATGAGATGATGAATCGAAACCACTTCGCTCCACCTCATGTCGTGTGTCCTTTGCATCCATCCTGCCACATTCGTCACATGTAATGACCTGTGATAAATGCCGACTGTCAAAAAATCATCCAACACATGCCATTACCAAAAAGGGCATGTCAAACGTCGTGAGAGTGCGGCAAAATAACACGTTGGATAACTCAAGAGCGAGGTCATTTCGCACCATTACCCTTGCTTGGACACTTAAAAGAATTGCCATACTTTCCATAAGATTTCTTCATAGAAAAAAACACCTCCACGACACTTATTGAACCTCCATAGTGTTAATAATTGCATTTCATATCACATAAGAAACTCACACCTCTTCATCAAGTTTGCAACACAAATGCTTTTCGTAGCCATGAATCATCGTAACCCTCAAGAATCCACTCACACGACATCATTTCATCTGCACGACTGTTCATCCTCTTCTGCCAGTACGGACGACTCAAGTCAAGCATTATCATCGTGCAATGACTTGCATGTGTCTATGAGAAATGGTGATTCTCCACCAAAATCACAACAGCAGAAACAACCACAGAAAAGAACTTTAAGATCTTCAAACACTTCACCTCCGTCAACAGCCTCTTCGGGTATTCGAAAGAGTTACAAAATGTCAAACGTTTTGTCAGCATCATCACAACCACTTACTAAAAGCATGTCTTCACATGCGTCTTGTGATTTGACAACTTCACAAAACACACCTGGTGCAACTGTTGACAAATTCAGCAGACCACTTTTGAAGAATGAAACAATTCTCTGTGAAAAGAACCCAAATTTCAAAGAAAATTATTTTGTCTTTGAAAAGAAGAAGGAGAAAACACCACTGGCTTTTTATAACATTTCTGTAAACGACATTTTGAGTGGTGATGTGAAATCCATTGGAAGCAGCGGTACTTTGCCATCTATGAATGCACAAAAGAACAAGTCATTGAAAAGCAAGTTGAAGCAAACCGATCAGCAACATGTATTCGTGTTGAGCTCTCCAACTGCATCTTCCTCCTCGAAGGCAACCAGAAGAACATTTTCTTCCCAGCATTCATCGTCTTCATCCTCTTCTCATTCACACGAATCAATTTCTCCGGCTGTAATCTCATCCAACCAATCTCACCCTTTAGTGACACCTCAATTTGTAAATTCACTTTCCATTCAGGCAACACCAAATTCTCAACAAACATTTTCCAATATTTACCACAATGGTTTTGGCGGAACTGTTTTGAATTTCCAACCTTTGAATACTACTACAGTAGCGTCTAACTTTTTCACTCCAACATTAACTCCTTCAACAACTTCAGCATGTTTAAATCCTTCGGTACAGACTTCAAATTTACAAAGCTCACTCTTACAAAATTCAGTCATGATGCAGTACAATCCATCCATCTCAAACACTGCAATGAATTCCATGGAGAATTTAATTGCACAGTTAGATCCAAATTGTAGACTGCAATTAGCACAGAATTCCTTTCATATCGATCAAGAAGCACTTTCTAACTTGCAAGGACAGCAGCAACCAAGTCCACACAGTGTTTTGTATCCATCATCATCATCCAACACTTCATCAACAACTGCCTCGGAGCCACATTGTCAACCATCTTTGATTCTCAATTCTACCACAACGACGTCTCAACCTTTCGTTATGATGAACTCATTCCAATCACCAGTGAATAACAATATTTTCATGAGTCCTTCGTTTCCAACATCTACTCATCTTCAACAAAATACTAATCCTTCATCTACCAATACTCAAATTACCATCAATGTAAACAACTTTCCAAACGCTTCATCCTCAATAATGGCACATCCTTTAACACCCAATGTGCAAGAAACTGCATTAGAAAAAAACACAGAAAACTCAGCAATATCAAGTGTGATGACTCAATTGTTTGAAGTAGCCATCAAGCAACAGCAACAGAAATTAATTGCTCAACAGGCAGCAGAAACGACAATGTACCAACCATCACAAATGACGAGGGATAACTCGTTGAGTGAACAACACTACATCACGCCAAGCACTGAAAACTTGTCTCAACAACAACAACAGGATGTTTCATTATTTTCAGAGTGTATTCATGAGCTCAACCCACTCCAAATGGAGAATCTAACGGATGATCAAATGATTGAATTCTTTAACTTGATCATGGAGAACCAACAAGGAGCGAATAAATTATAAATTTATAGTATATCTCAGACGATTCTCCATTGATTATAATTACCCCAAATATATAACAACATCTACAATTTAATCTTCTTTTTCGTATTGAGAGGAGAGTGATGTCCAAGAGTTTTCAGGATGTCCCATTACACTCCGCCATGAATCATCGTTTAACTAATAATATTAAGGTTGAAAATATAATGACCAACTACGTTATTGAGTCCATTCCAAGTGTTTCTACTTCAGAGGAACAACTAAGAGATTTACATGCTGAAGGAGAACATTACAATTGGGAAAATGCTCAACCTTAAAAAATTGGATGGTCTAAACTTGGAATATTAAGGAGCAAGATCCTCATACTTTGGTAAAGATGAGAAGAAATGGAGAATCTAAGAGCAGAAATCTTTCCACTTTGAAATCCGGAAGGGGAACCTTGAAAATGTCAATTTGTTGACAAAAAAAATCAAAGATTACTTTCTCAACACAGGTATAATGCATGTGTTTTCTTAATCGTCATTATCTCCACTCTCTCTTTCTCCGACCTTTTTGTTTTTACTTTTCGCCGAAATCAAAGTTATTGAGATATTTAAAAAAAATCTCTTGTCTCTCTTCACCCCGTCATCAAACAAAATGTCACCTCAAGATTCTCTCGCACCAAACTCTTCTAAATTGCATTGGGAAAAAGTCTACACTGAAAAACCAAACGATCATCAAGTGAGTTGGTTTCAAGAAAGTCCTGAAACTTCTCTCACTCTCATCGATGAATGTTTGACTCGTTTGACGAACGATCATCAAAATGAATCATCGACACCCATCATCACTCTGATGGATATTGGTAGCGGAAATTCAAATCTTGTGATTGAATTATTGAAGCAAACGATTGCAAAGAAGGAACAAGGCAACGTCAACAACAAATACATTCAATCCTTTTATTTGGTGGATATTTCTGGAGCAGCGTTGGAGAGGACTCGCCAAAAGCTCTTCAAACAAGTATCGAATGAACAAATTCAAAAAGAAAATTTGAGAGTGGAATTTGTGGAGAGTAATGTCTTGTTGTTGGAACAACATTCAGCATTTCATTCAAATTCTCGCCCCAGTATTGACATTTGGCATGATCGAGCAACGTTTCATTTTCTTACTGATGAGAAGGATCAACTCTCATATCTCAAGATTGTGTCAGACCTCTTGAAAGTTGGTGGATATTTCGTGTTGGCCACTTTTTCCTCCAATAATGGACCTAAACAATGCAGTGGATTGCCCATTGTTCAATATGACGTGGAAAAACTTGGAAAATTGTTGGAACAAGTGAAGGATGTGTTGCAATTCGAGTTGGCGAAGAGTTTTGAGCAAATTCATGTGACTCCTTTCAATACCCAACAAAACTTTTTATTCTGTGTGTTTCAACGAGTGAAATAAATCACATGTTGTTTATTCGCTGATTAGACCTCCTTGAGATTATGGTTTTAATCTTTGATACATTTTCCTTACGATGATTTGATGAGATCGATGTATCTCCTCAATCGAGGAAGATGTATCTCTTGGATCTGATAGAGAAAGACATGGCGTAAATGTCAGAGCATAAGAACTCGATTTGAATCATATTTACATTCTGAAAGAGATGTTCCACCCACAACAAATAATATCATGAATCCTTTACTTGTCACCAAGAATGACAGTTGGCAGGTTCTTTCTGCTGCACTACCACCTCTTCCCTCTCATCAAATGAATAATGTCATTATTAATTCAACAACAAACAACTCCGTAACGACCTTTCCCTCAACTTTTCAAATTATTTCCTTCTCTTGGAACATTCCCTTCCTTCTAATCTTTCCAATTCTTTTATTGAAATGTCTCATTCTTCTCCTATTGGAACGACACTCACTCCCTCGAAACCAAAAGACGCTCTTCTCTCTGCTTTGTTTGTTGTGCGGGTTGGCTTCTTTTAGTGTTTTGACTCGATTTGGGATTCCATTGTTGAAGATTATTATGAACAACATTGTTGATCAATATATATACAAATTTGTGATTGTATAACAAAAAGTGTTCGTTCCTCTCGAGGAGTTGGAGCTTTATCTGACTTTCGTTATAAACTCTCTAGGGGAATCATTGTGGTGTTTCAAATCCTGTTGGGAATCCTCACATTAGGAGTTACAGTTCTTACCAATGGTTCAGGAGCTTTAATTGCTGCTCTCGGAGAAAACACTCCTGTCATTCATAATTTGGAGGTGGCTGTGTTTGTAGTTTCTGCCATCGTATTTGCCTTCCTTATTCACTTTGTGTTTGGAATTTTGTATGTAAGTACAGGGATTTGGATGTGGATAGTTCCCTTTACTTCAATTCATAAATAATCTTTGCTCAATGAATGACAAATCTGGAATATTCATTTAGGTCAATGGATGGATGATGATGAAAGTATTAAAAGCTGGCGAATTGAGAGCTCGTAACATGATAACCACCCATCTCTATACTTTCCATCATGATGATCTTCATGATAAGGATGATTTAGAAAACAGCCAGCATATGGATCTTTCCATTCACGATCGTTCTGATACTTCCTCCCTTCCTACTTCTCAAAGAGATCATTCGGCTGAACTTCAACAACACTACAGTGGAGAACAATTGAAAATCGTCCAAATGAAACAACAAGCTCTCAAAAGAGTCATTCAAATCATTTTGGGCGTTACAGCATGCATGGGTCTTCAATTCATTGGTGTTTGTTTCATTCCCCTCTATTTTCTGAACGTCTTCTTGGCCTTTGGCTTTTATGTTCCGTTCAATCTCTCTATAGTTGGCTTGGTGATAATGTTTTTAAGGATTGAGAAACGAGTGAGGGAGATGCAAAAATTATTTGAGAAAAAGAATATGAAGGAACAAGAAAAGAAACAAACGGTTAACTCTCCTTTGAGTGATGGAAGAAAGAATGAATGAATGAAGGAAACGATGCCTTCGAGAGGCGAGCTAAATGCTGAACAACAAGAGAGAAACACCTTGGTCCTGTAATTGGAATAAGAAAAATTTGGATGGAAATGATTGAGAGGAATGCGTGAAACGATTTAATATTTCTGTTGAGTTTTAAGGTCAACCTCAGAGACAACGAAAAGACGCGACAAAAAACAACGTTCTTGGAGGGTTGACAAATAATTATTGATCAAAGAACAAGAGGATCGATTTTCGTCATGCCCAGGAAGCAGCCACAAGAACCTCACAGGTAGTACCTACAGAATCGAGAAAAGCAAGAGATAGGGAACAGCATGAAAGAAAAACCGAACAAGGTGTTGTCAGTGGTGTGACACTTGGAAAAAAGCATACCTCGACCTGAAATCAAGAACTCAAAGCAATGATCAATTTTGTCTTTTGTGAACAACTCTCATGTAATAATGTCATCATTGAAAGGTATTGTTTCATTTCATGTGTTGTTTTGTAGTTCCTTCACATGTGGATTGAACAAAGTTTCCTGTCAAATCAAAATCTACAATAAAACATCTGCTTTTCCATAATATCTATTCACGTAGGCAACTTTGAATGGTGAGAGATCTGGTGATTTGTTCTGAGGATAGAATTTGTAAACCTTCATTTCATTGAGTGATTTTCTTTCTTGCTCACTCAATTTATCAATTTCAGCTTGCTTTTCTTCGACCTTTTTCTGCACGGACTCTTTAAACTTTTTCATTTCTGCCTTGATAAATTCTTTCAATTTGGAAGTATATTGTTCAGGGTCGAGATCGTTATCTTCACAAACTTCCTCAACAATGGTATTAATGTCATCCTCTTCAGGATCAAAACTGAATTGGACGCTTCCTGACTTGTCCAACACGTACAACATTTCAATGGATCCACTATTGTCCTTCTTAATTTCATCAATGACTCGACTTGGTCTGAAGCAATACGGCAGACAGTATTCATAGACTTTGACGTCTTCTTCCTTCATTCTTGACAACTGATTTCTTCTCAAATTACAATGCAAAGCAAACACATGCGGTAGATTTGCATAATTAATTCTCTTGCTTTGATTTGCTTTAGGAATGAAAGGAGTCCAAGACATTTTCAATTTTTTCATGTCAATAATTTCTTCATTGACCATTTGAACGGATTTGATACCAAGCTTGGTTGGTGGAGCGAGATCACTCACCACAGCAATCATGACTGGAATGTAAACCATTTCTCCATTCACAAGTTGTGGTTCAGTACTTCCGAATACGAAACAATTCTTTCCCTTCTCGAGGACATGAGCAGGTGGTTTTAATTCTTCATCATCATCAGTACTCGTCGATTCATTTTCCTTTGATGCTTGCTTGGCAACGTCCTCATCATAGAAGAGAAAATCATGGAGATGTTCAAAATCCCATTCAAACTTGTAAGCCATATCATAGCCACTCCATTCCGTTCCGACCAAGAAAACTTCCTTCCATCCTTGCCATAAATTCTCTACCTCTTCAACTCGAGGTTTTGGAACCACAGTTCCTTCATCTGAGCCAGTTTTTCTCTTTTTTCTTCTTGCTTCAGCAATGGCTTGTTTTGTTTCTTGATATCTCTTATAGTCTTGTTCCTTCTTCTCTTCCTTGGTGAGAGGAGCAATGGTTTTACGAACTCCTCGGACTGATCCACCACTTGCTTTCTTTTTGTAGATTGGTACAGAGGAGGTGTTATCATCATGATCGTTTTGTTGGCCATCAGTCTTCTTGATGTCCTCTTCCTCTACTTTCTTTCTCTTGTTGTTGGATGAGGGTTTTCTTCCTCTAGGCATTTTTTCGAAATTCAAAAATTGTTTGCACAAAGCTGAACTGGCCAGCTTCAAATACACTACTACCTGAGCAATTCCCTTCGAGAGAATTCAACCTTGAAAAAACAATTGAGTATGGACAAGCTTATTACAAGAATAGTTGGAAATAAGATCATGTCATGATTCGTTCAGTACATTTTGTTTCGAGTTTACCACTCCGGAGATTTCTTCAAAAGCGGAATTTGCCCGCAATTTTCCCCAAGATTCTCCACTCATCCAATAAATTGACTTGCTCCTTCCGTTCCCAACAAACCCCAAAAAATAACTCCTCCTCCCATCATGCAACGCCGTCATTCCTTTTCCCTCGAGGTGGCAGTTGTCATCTCCACGCTCGTCATAATGATGCTCTCTATCATGATACAACCCATTCATTCCCATCTATGCGTTTTCAACCCAAAGCAAAGAGGAGCATTGAACATTTCAGACTATGGAGACCCTACATGTTTCAAATTTGCAGGTCCGTGTGGTAACTTACCTCCTGGACCAGTGCAAGCCTCCTATATTAGAGGTCGAAGTTATGCGATTGATTTGCAACAAAATTTGAATCACTACTCGATTGGTCATCCCGGTTTTATTGATGTGAGTATTGGAGTTGGAGAGAACCCAACCCCTGAGCAATTTCAAGTGTTGAGTCTCATCACTGATTATTATCCAGTTCGGCAATGGACTAGCACCAATTTTTCCATTCCATTCACTTTGGATGCACAGGGAAGTGTCGGAAGACATGTCATTCGAGTGAGATATCATCCAAACAAGCCAACCGAACCAGTGTTCCATCAATGTATCGATGTAATGGTGAGTGGTGGTAGTGAGAGCAATGATAATAGTAGCATCAAAAAGATCAATATTGTTCCCGCAGCAACAACAGCAACAACACATGAAGAGAAAGTCAAGGTCGAATTCAGTGAAATTGCTCAAAGATTCTTTTTCGGAACTGGGAACAAGGCAACAACAAAACCAGCAGTTTCCAGTGAAATGCTTTTTGCATTGGTTGCTTCAAGCTCCAAAACGAATCCTATTGGTCTGAATTTGGTGGGTATTGATATTGTGAGCGGTCAGGTCGTTCCTGTCTTGTCTTTGCCAAATCTAGTTGCCACCGACCAACAAGTGTTCCAAGCGTCTTTATCTGGACCAAAGATGGCTGGCAGAATTGTGAATTCTGTCTCTGCTGTTGATAATCAAAAGAGAAGAATTTTCTACTTGATGAATACTGACACATCATTGAGCGACATTGAGAATTTGAACTCACCTGCAGATGCAGTATTTGTGTACGAACATACCACCAATTCGTACTCTATTCTCAAGATTAACGTGAGAAATATTCCATTCAATGCGACAAGTACTATTGATACCTTGTATATTTCTGGCTTGAATTATGTGAACAAGACTAATAGCTTACTCGCTACTGCCTTCATTGTTCCAGACTCCACTCGACCAAGAGACATGTACTTGGCTCTTTTCAATATTCCTCTTGATTCGAGTTCGTCGTCATTGTTGCAACCAAAACTTGTTGCAAAGAGTGCTCAACCACAAGGTGCCTATGTAGATTTCTTATGGGCTATCTATGATGACTCCTCCCAAACAGCCTCCATTTTGATTCGTCACGAAGATGAACCACTCACACTATTGCAAAGAATTTACTCTGTGACATTGAATCAAATTTCAAATACTGTTGCAGCTCTTCCTTTCATTCAAGTGGATCCTTCTCAATATGCCTATTCCTCCATTCATAGTTACAAGAGTCAATTATTCGCATTCTCCCCTGGTAGTGCTCAAAACAGTTTGCCAGTTTCAGCCTCAAACACTTGGAATTTAATTGGAATTGATTCAAAGAGTGGGCAACAAAGCTTGATCAATGAAATGTATGACTACAGAAATTATTTGGGCGGTGGTGTTGTGAGTGCCGTCTCCAATACTGGACGAGGAATTTACAATGTCATGCAGTCTACTGATGGCAAGAGTCAAATCATTGTCCGAGTAGCGCTTCATGCCATTCCTATCAATCCAATTACTGAGGTGGCTAATGTGCCAATGACCACTCGAATTTATAACTGGGTGAGAATGGACACTAATTAATTGGAGTTCAAATCAAAGAGAATATTTTTTGATTTTCACACAAAGTTTTCTCTTTTTGAATATTTTTTATTTTCACACAGAGTTAATGTAATTAGAGAATTTACAAAATTAAGAGGAAACTTTCTCAAATGGAGTTTATTAAGCACTTTTGAATTAAATTATTTCACTTTTGAAAAAGAAATCTTTGCGAAATTGGAATGTACACAAGAACAAAGAAATGTGAAATATTTTAAAAAAATGTCCAAAAACACTCCTTCTTCTCCTCTTCCCATTATTTTGCGAGGACACATTTCCGAAGTAACTGCTGTTCAATTTTATAAACATGCACCATCGGAAACATCACGATTATTATTATTTAGTGGTGATTTGAAAGGACATTTAAATATTTTTAGTATGGAGACTCGGAGAGTGAAACATTCTTTTCAAAAGTATCACCAACATTCAATTCTGGGGTTCTATCAACCAAAAGAAGATCAACATGTTCTATTTTCACAAGGCAGAGAAGGATGTATCAAACGTTTGGATCTAAATCATCTCTCCACTACGGGTGGAGGCAGTTGTTCAAACAATGATGACACCCAAAATAATAATCACGGACAAAGCTGGAATTTCAATTCTATATTTTCGTTTTGTAAATTTACACCATTTCTCTATCATAATAATGCAATGTCGTTTTTTGTGCCAAGTGAAAAGGACCATACCTTACTTATTGATTGTCGAATGAGTGCTGACGATTGTAGCAAATTCTCAATTGCGCCTCCCACACAAGTTTACGACAAACCATTTGGAATGCTCACAAGCATGATGTGTATTGAGAATTCTTCATACCTGTTATGTGCATACGAAGCAGGGATTATTGTGGAATTTGATGTTAGAAAATTGAGTAGTAATTTTTCTTCATCAACAATGACAAGCGACAACAATGAATACATTCAGGTGAGAAGTATATATGATGTCAATACTCCTCATGAACCAACCATCTGTATGAATTATCAATCGGTACTCGACGAAATTTTAATCGGTACGGCAGGAAACTCCATGAGCGTTCTTGCTCGGCGACCTCGGCATGGCATTGACATTAAAGAGGAAGCAAATCTTGATGGCACCTGCAAAATTAAGCATTCCTTCTCAATGACCTCTGCTGGAATTAATGATATTTGTTGCATGAACGAGCAGCAGTCTTATGGATTGGATGGCATTGCTAACGGAAACAATAAGGATGAGAAGAAGTGTTCTTCGCTCATGTCTCGTTTGGCATTTGCAGGATGTTGGGATGGTAACATTCGAGTGTTTGATTTGAGAAAGAAAAAGAAACTTGCAGTATACAAATATCACGAAGAAAGCATTCGATCTCTTGACTGTATTGAACATTCAAGTGGGTCATCCTTCGACTTCAATCAAGGCAGCAACGAGGTCAATTCGCACTCTTGTAACAGAAACAATATTCTTCTTGCTGCTGGATCGAAAGATTCGAAAATTTCTATTTGGAATGTTGATTTTGAGGTGAAAAAGTGAAAGGAATGATTGACAGATACGAGGGAAGCTATGGTTCCTAAACCCAGTCCGTTAATTTGTACTATATGTATTTATGTGCGCTTCAGAAAAAGATGTCTACTAACACCCGTGACGAAACATGTGTGCCAAACTCCATCCTCGCATCATGTCAAACCTCACAATATTGATCTTAAGGAAATCATTAGAGAGAAAAAACGCGATTGACAAGTTTCCCAAGGAACTTATCGCCACAGAGCGATTCCACTTGGGCAGCGACTTTTGGACTTTATGACTAAACTGAATCTAGATTCAGTGGGCGTAAAAGTCTAAAATTTAGCAGTAGTACTAATTAAATGTACAATTATGTATTATGCTGTTTTGTATTTTTTTTTTGCGACTTGAGAACCTTCTTCTTTGCTCGACCTTGTGACAACACTTTTTGCAACTCAAAACAAATCACTCAAGTGCTCACAAAAAGTTCAAATTGAAACAACCATGCCTTCCAACTCCAAAAAATTTGCTCTTGATCCATCGCTTCCTCGCAATATTTTCAACCATTCGAGCGAAGAATCAGCGAATCCTTCAGTTGTGAATCCTCCCTTCTATGAAGATGAACATGCATGCTGTGTTTCCTCCTCCTCCTCCTCATCGATTACTAGGATCAAAGGAGAAAGAAATCGCTTGCATGCAGCAAATCGTGCTGTTGATTCTCACATGCAGGCACCCACCACAAGAGAATATCATTCTCTCCCTCCATTGACTCACAAGCATGCACGAGTTTCATCAAATAATCCCTTTGATGGCTCTTATAGTTTCTCATCGTTTCTAAATATTCCAATTTCGAAAGAGCATCCTCCAAGGTCAAATTTGTCCTCTACCACCACTTCAACACAAAACGAACAATCACCACAACAGTTCTTCAACACAAAACGAGGAAGAAAGAACAAATCTCCTCCACAATTTGAACCCAACATGTTGCATGGAAGGATTGCCAATGAAAGAAACAATAAATTGGAGACACACGCATGCATGTACTCTTCGAACGTGTCATCATCATCTTCGTCAGCGGTAGCTTCAGAGCATCATCATCAAGCATGCATAACAAAACCCAACAAGATGAAATTATTAGTGAAACAGCAAACATATGTGAGGTTGCCATATAGTTCGATTTCAACAAGAAGTGAACGCATGCATGAAATTTCGAAACGGTCATCATTGCAGCATGCACCTCATGATGATGAAATAATTCATTCAACGACAAACAATGTAAAATCAGAAGAACCAGTTGCAACCACGCCTACAACAACATCTCGAACAACAATGACAGAGGAAGAATTTCAGGTGAAATCCAAGTTGGTTTTGTTTTTTGGATTTGTTTGTGGAATGACACAAATGCATGCACAGTCGAATTTGTTATTGAAACAAGCGTCTTCAATGCATGTAGAGGAAACAAATATGAGTGGAAGTAAAACAAGGGAAAGTGATGAAATGTCACGGATGATGGAAAGGAATTTTCAAAACGAAGAATCTTCGGTAAAAGGACAAGAGAACACCCAAATGGTTATCAATCGAGAACCAATTCGACAACAAGTATCAAATTTACCATCCCCCAACCAAAATCAAACCGAAACAACTTCTCAAAGTAACCACCCAAAACATCAAAGACCTGCTCGAACGTCCATCTCGATCCAAGAGTTGTTGAATGATTCGATTGAATGACTTGGCGCCAAAAACTCTTCCACCTTCCGTTAGAAATTTTTTAAATCAAAAAATCGGTTAAAAATTTTTTATAAAAAAGAAAAAAAGCCTCTTTTTGATTTGTTGGTTCTCTCCACTCATTCAAGTTAAAGGTGGTCAAATCGTTTTCGAGTTGAACTGCTGCTAGTATCCGATCATCATCAACCCTAGAATTTATTTAATTTCAACCCTCTCCAAACTCAACCTTTCCTTCCAACAACAACATGACAAAACTAGACCGATGCATTGCCTCTCTCATGCAAGGCAATAAATCCATGGATAGACTCTCACCCTGTGTTCAAATCATTGACATTCGGCAACAACAACAATCACAAAAAGGTGGTGAGAAAAAGTTAATTGTAACGATCAGCGATGGTGTTCATAGTTGTCCAGCCATCCTCATCAAGCCTACCCAAAAACCCGACAAGTTCAGCGTCATCAAAATTCTTGAAAGTTTGAAACACACCAAAGATATTCTTCTTATTGTTAAATATTCAATTGAAGAGAATTTGGATGCCATGATTGGATCTCCTAAAAGCTACACTGCTGATTCAAACTCATCTGAAGCTGGCGGTGCCACGAGTTCTTCGAATAACAGCAGTAGTGGTACCTCAGCCTCTACTCGCTCATCATCATCATCCACAACCAATGTTTCCGAACACAGAAAACAAGTTAAAAAGAGTGCTGGCGTTGAAGCTGCTGATAGTTTCTATGATGATGGTGGTATGAGCAGTGTTTTACAAGAGGGAGACCGAATGACCGACGATCAAGTTTCTCCCATCACGAGTGTCAATCCATATGACCAAAATTGGGTGATTAAGGCTCGTATCACTCAAAAATCTGAATTGAGACATTGGGATAAGGGAACCACCAAGGGTTGTCTCTTCTCGATTGAACTTTTGGATGAATGGGGTGGTCAAATTCGTGCCACATTTTTCAACGATGCTGCTAAAAAGTATGTCAATGTATTGAAAGAAGGAGGTGTTTATTTCTTCTCTGGAGGAAAGGTTAAAGACGCCAACAAAAAATATACCACCATTCAACATAATTATGAAATTACTTTTGACCGTGGAACTGTTATTCAAGCTGCCAAAGAAACAGCCATTCCAGAAGGAAACTTTAACTTTACTCGTTTTTGTGATGTTGGAAGTGTAGAAGAGAATACCATCTTGGACATTATTGGTGTAGTCAAACAAGTTTCCGATGTGAAAGATTTTACAACCAAGAACAACAGAAAGACTAAGCGTTGTAATGTCACACTCATTGATAACTCATCAAATGATCCCAACTCATTCTTCCAAGTTGACTTGACCATATGGGGTGATTTGTGTGATTCGATTCAATTTAAGGAAGGTGATGTTGTGATCTTCAAGAATGTTAGAAAGTCAAACTACAATGGTATTTCTCTCAACACTGTGAACAATACTAGAGTTATTACTCAATCGAGTATTCCTGAATATCAAGCTCTGGCTGAATGGTGTGGTGATCATTCAAGTGGTTTTGGAGACGAAGTTGCCATCAAATTAACTCAACGTCAAACTGCTGCAAATTCAACCAAAACATTCAAAAGAAAGAATGTTATTCAAGACATCAAAAACACCAATGTCGAAGATGTAATGAGTGATGCACTAACATTTTATTTGAGAGGATATGTGTCCTATATCAAACCTGACTTGTGGTATGAGGCTTGCCCAAATGAAAAGTGTCACAGAAAAGTCCAACCTGACGGAGACCACTATAACTGCAATACTTGTGGACCAGTTCCATCATGTATTCGTCAATATAAGGCAACATTTGCGATTACTGACTGGACAGGAAAACAATGGTGCCTAGGTTTTAATAATGCCATTTTGGAAATCTTTGACAAAGTTTCTGCTGATGAGATGTGTGAAAAAGCCAACTCGGATCCACAACATATGCCTATGGTTCTATCGAGGGCAAACTGGACAAGATATGTATTCTACATTCGTGTCACAGCTGACAGGGCTCAAAATAATGATCTGAAATTGAAATATACTGCCTCACGAATTTACAATATCGATTATGCCAGTGAGGCCAAGAGCGTTCTTAGCACGATTAAGGATTATGGATTTTAAATTGATGCGTTCAGGTTCCTTGATCTAAACCAAAAATGTCATGATTTCTGTTAGTTGTTTTTTGACCATTGCTGGAGTGATTCCTTCAATGCAAGAAAAGGGACAATAAATTTATTATCTTCTGATACAAAGAGTAGATACTCCAGCGATGCAAAAGAGTTGAAACTGAGTGTAAAAACCAAGGTACGACCTGGCCAAGATAATTCTCACTGATTCCAGTTCATGTTCGTTTCGAAACCCAGAAAGTCGTCACATGTTCAGACTATTTCAGGTTCTACTGCCTTTCAAGTTCATGAAAGGACCTCACATAAAAATTGCATCGAACTGGTTCACTATACTGACACCGTCATCATAACAAGCGCATCCGCTTTAAAATTCCACTTTGGCAGTTGTGAACCATCACACCAATCATAAGGCATGCGGTTCAATTCCAAGTTGATTACTACTCACTCACTCCATCCTTTTGATCTGCCTTCTCCGAAGTATAGCTCATCTTCTCGATTGCCCAAATCAGGGTATATTTATTATTATTTTTTACTGCTCTCATGTTTGTTGTTGCTATTGTGGAACAATTGGACCTGTTATCGTGATGACCACCACGTTGTGGAAGTGGTGTTTCCATTATGGTCTTTCTTGACATTTTCATCACCATTGGTGGGATTGTTTGTTCATGGATCCATCACTGGATCTCACACAGCGTCCATCACAAATATTCTCGCAAATAATCCTCAATTCACATCCTGTGGTTCTCAGAATATGTATTCCACTCCTTTGGTAGCCACTTTTGATGCACCAAATATGCAACAAGGTAAAATGTTGCTCTCTTCGAGTCCTTATTCATTTGCAATTGGTGAAGATTACTTTGCATCATGTCCCATTGGGATGACTAGTTTAAACAATACAGTGAAAGTGAATGGACAATTGGTGATGAATTTGCAAACTTCATGTCAATGCTCTCTGTCCTATTATCAATCTCTGAAAAAACAAGAAGTGCCTATTGTGAGTTATGTACTCTTGAATGGAACTGGAAATACCTTAACCATTGATTTGAATCCTTTCAATGCTGGTGTGGATCAGAGAATGCAAAATATCTACATGTCTTTCTATGAGATGGCCATCGATGATGTCATTATTGATTTGAAAATTGGAAATGTACCAACTCGGTTAGATTTATTATCACCTTCGTCATTTGCTCAAGTACAGACAGAACCTTTCACGAGTACTGCATTGACCAACATGTCCAATTCTTTTAGTTCTTATGTGACAGTCAATAATAATGCCATTGACGTTGCAGGAAATGTCACATTTAAGATTTCATCACCATCCTCGCTCGATAACCGATTAATTTTTGATTTGACTTCCATCAAAAAGATCAATTTAATGACAGGTCTATCAAACACTGTGTTCCCACAAGTGTTGAATTCCAACACTTCCACTCAAGTCATCTATCAACTAATTGGCGTGAATTTATCCTACAATGAACAGTTACAAATATTCTACACAGTACAAACTGCCTATGAACCCTCTTCGAACACAAAATTTTCTTTATATTTTTCTGTGGATGGAGTTCAAAGTTCATCACAAGTTTATGAGGCCTATGCCTCTGATAATACCATTTCTACAACTCTTAATGTATACAAGACGTCAAAGATGGAAAGCTTTTTCAATCAATATAACAGTGGATATTCTTTATTGGCCACTGTATCCGACTTGGCTTATTTCAAATATGTTCCACAAATTGGAGCCATGGATTCAAAATGTTGGATTCAACTCAATATTTTGTCACAATCATTTAATGGTCTCATTCACATCTTTTCCACAAAAACCTCAAAACAATATTCCATTCCAGTGTCAAGCTCAGGTAGGTTGTTGGATGAACATGGATTGACATGACAGTTTTAATGATTTTGCAAAAAAAACCCCTCAATCATAGATTTTATTACTGACGTCTCGAACACAGCTTTCATTGTGTTACAATCGGATATGATTGATTGCATAAACTCACCAACTGATATTTACATACGAGTTGAGTCAGATTTCGTGACACAACAATCCTTTAGTATTAATATTTTCAAAAAGAGTAAGTCATAACTACCAAAAAACACACTTGTTAAACTTCTTATTGTTTTATTTCTCCAAACCTGTGTTAATAATATTTTATGACAACAGACTTTCTCTATATCAACGATGAAACCTCTTCATTTCCTCAATTTATAAATGCTACTTCTCCAAATTTACAAAATGAGGCATATGGTACCTTTGTTAATTCCATTGGTACAAGAGACAATGTACCACAAGCTGTATATCTTAACTTTACACAATTTCCAGGCAAAGTTGATGCATTTATTCAGCCATACAATAGTGTGACACCAACTGGTCCTTTATTACAATCGAGCCTTAAGAAGACGTCTCTTCCTGTTAAAACCTTTTTAATGCCAGGCACGATCATTTACTTTTATTCGAGCTGTAAGACATGTATTGCCAATTTAACCATTTCTCTTCCAGCAGAATACGCTGTTCCTTTTATACTCTATTCGGATGCTGGTTCTTCATCAATAACATCATTACCCTACCAATACAAAAACGACTATGGTATCTATTGGACCTACATTAATGTGACAATGCTTCCTTTGACAGGTAATGCAACATTGATCGTCGACGTATTTGTATATAATCTCATCAAAACGCCTTCAAAATTGACTTTATTGGCAACTCAAGGACCAATACCATTGCTGACAACCACTGGTTCAAGCATTAATGTTCCAAATAATGCTCGATTTTCAGTGACAACGATTGGAAATACTCAGATCTACAATTCTACTTTCGATTGTTCACAAAGTCGATCAGCCACCTATGCAACCATTTCCATCTCCGTACCTGCAGCTACTGGAGTTTGGAAGTTTGGATTGTTTATTGATCCAAGTGTCACAAAGTCCAATACCCTCTTTGCTTGGAATGCAAAATCTTCAGACTTCAACACGGTTATCTCTGGAACTAGCTCTCTAAGTTTTCAACGGTTATATGTCAATCCTGTTGAAGTCGTGAGCTCGTTTTCATTTTCATGTGGCAGTTATTCGTGCGACCGCAACAGGCCAGCTCAACTCTTACTCAAATTTGATGCCTCGACTCTAGCTCTCAATTCTAGAGCAGTTGAAATTTATGTGAAAATGGGATCTGTACCAACTAGTTCAAGTTATGACTTTAAATCACGACCAATGAGCACATATAATAATTTAACAAGTAACTTTGTTGTAAGATATTTATTTACAAATGTTGGAACTTTTGGTGTGAATGATGCCCTTGGAAGTTTTTCATTGATTTCTTCAGACCGATTGGATTTTAAGAAATCAACACTGGCCTTTGTTTGGATTCGACCCACTGACGAAATTTCACCATTTGTTAATAATACATTATGCTCTCAGTCGAGCAGTTCTACAAGAGCCACCTACTGGTATTGGTATCGTGCAACCACCACTACTGCACAGGCTGATTATGCTTCAGGATTTGATTTTGCAAATCCTTTGAACTTGAACGTGACTGGAAATTTAACAACTGACAATAATGGAAAAAACATGCTTGTTGATTTAACAATTCCAAACAGCTATTCCATTTTTGCAGATAGTTATCGTCTAATGGTTATGGTGATTGATTCGAATGGAAACACAGCTATATATGAAATGAAAAGGACCATCATTTCATACGTCATCGCCAATACACTGTACACTGCCATTCGATATTCCACTTCATTCCCAATCGCTTCGAGTCTCATAGACAATCCTCTCAACACGTCGGTCATGATTGTACCACTCTACAACACATCCACAATTTTATCTTCCTATAAGTACGATAGTAACATGCTTGCATATGTGGAAGAACCAGCATTTAACGTGCTCTATTATTCACCCATTTATATTTCCATTGGTGTGATGGTTGGAATTTCGCTCATTGTTTTGATTTACTTTTTAATGTGCTATTTATTAATTTGGATCTTTAATTTAGATTATTCTCTTGATGAGATAACATCTTCGAATGATAATTCTCGATGGTTCAACAAACCTCTATGGTACCCCTTCACATGGACTATTGCATTGCACACTATATTTTGGACCTGTATTCCATTCGTTCAGAATGCAACGCTTAAAAGAAAATTGTCAACATTCTTGTTTGGCATTGGTTATTTCTTATGTGCCATTGTTTTGTCCGTTGTGTTATTAGCTTTTATGGGTCAGTCCATGAATGATATTGATAGGGCTCTACATTCAGACCCACTACTGAACAAGCATGATCAAGACTTATCTTTGGCAAGCTATCGATCCTACTATGCATGTTGTCGATTTAAACCATCGAGCAGCCAAAACCAGTTCAAGAACGATCCCTTTTATTGCGTCACGTCTTCAACCTCCTATAGCTATGATTATTCATCCTATTCAAATATAACCATTAACGGTGTGAGATACGATCCGCCAATGCCTTCTCGTGCGATCACAACTGAAAATTTTGGTATCCTTATGAGCTTTTTAGGTTGTCCTAACATGTCGGTCGTGTATTATCCAGCCGGCATTGATGCAGTGAATGCTTATGGAATTTCTGCTTTTGTATTGGGAGGTGTTTTTTCATGTTTGTGTGTGATTGCCTTTAGTGCACTTGTCATGGAATACATGATTCAGCACTGTAAAGTGAGAAGAAGTGTTTTTGCTTCATGGATGAGAACCAATCAAGCTGCAACCTCTGTGGCAACCAATTCTACAAATTTATCGGCAGTATCCTCCTCGCATCACACCACCGATGATCCACTACAGAGAGAACAAGCCATGATGAGAGAGGTGGATCAGAGAAATGTCATCAAGACCACAAACACTGGCACATCCACTGGAGCTCCTGTTCCCAAATCAACAACAAAATCTCATTCTACACCAGCAAGTGTCTCCTCCTCCGAAGATGAAGATTCTTCTGATGAGGATATTTATGATCATGTTCATGTGGAATTGCCCAATGTAGTAAGAAGTGTTGGCAATAGTGATACTACACGTCATCCTGTAGATTCTTCGACTATTCCTCCAGATATTAAGAAACCGACAGTTCCAACACAATCCTTAGAATCTCCTCGGCCACCAAATAATATTCGAACCACAACCACAACAACTTCACTTCCACATGCAACGGTGGAAAATTATGGCCATGTTCCTTTGGGCTCGGTGACAGTGATCCAAAATAATGAAGTTTATTATGGAATGCAGAACATGAATGATCCAAACAATCTTGTTCAAGTCATTCCACCACCATCAACTTACCAGACCTATTTGCCTGAGTCCGTAGTGAACTATAACAGCAATACGATGGATCGAACGAATCAACAACAAGACGATTCACAACAACCTGCCATACAGTACAATTATTCCAATTACAACAACTAACTTTTGTCTAAGAAATTGATCCTCCATGAGAAGGGTCGAGGTAGATCATTCCTTCAGTTCATGAATCAACAACAAACAAACACCAACGTTCAATTCCACCTTTGTACAACCTTTTCTTCGCTATCAGTACTGACATGTCGTCTTCAATCCGAAAGAAGTTTACTCTTTACAGTAGGTGTATCAGTGATCCAGGATTGTCGTTGGAAAGAAACGATTTCTTTGGGATGATTTTCAAAGGGATCCGACAGAACTAGAATACATGAACACAAATTAATGCAGAGAGGTGATCAAAATTCCTGCAATGTTGCAATTAGAGGATCATCGACATGACAGCTGGTTTCATTCAAATTAACTAGTTGGCTAACTTTATTAATTATGGACATGGTAACCAACAGAATTAGTCTAGTAGTAGTTTTTGTATCGTTTCTTTTTTTGAGCTATCAAGAAAGAAAGATTGTGAATGGAAATCTTTGAATAGACACCACACGAATTTGGGTATTATAAGAATGGAGGTGACCACTAAGCAAATCAAACAGTGGACGAAGAGGATCAAGAAGAACAAAAAAACGTTGATTGGTTGGAAACTAAAACTGAATACCTTCAGATTCAAGGAAAACCGTTTAAATGAATCAGATTAAACCCTAAGGTCACTCAGTATTACAAGATTTACTTTATAACCAAGAACAGTCAAGATTGAAAACGGCTTTAAATGAACGAAGTAAATTAATTCCTCTTTTCAAATCAATCCTTTCTCAGCCACTCGAATCCGATTTTTATTGTCGAACTTTGTGCTGTGTTTTTAGTTGAGGAGTCAATTTTTCATAATAGGTGTCAAGATGGCTCTCTATCTTCTTTTTTGCACCCAACACAAAAACATCTATGGACCATTTAATTGCATCTGTCATGTTTGTCAAGATGTTCTCTGAAGAATATTGTTCTAAAAAGTAGTTCTTTAAAGAGAGTTTTTCTAATGCAAATGTGATTAGCCTTCTTCTGAAGTACTTGTAACCTTTTTCATGTAAATAAATCAAAATCTCTTTCTTCTCTTTCTTTGATATTTCGATATGTTTGTCTAAAAATGAAAAGATATCATCTCACGAAATCAAAGTCATATTTTAACTAGATCAATCTTTGCTTCAGTTTTACCAAGAGCTGATTGTATAATACCTCCTACATCGACAGAAAAATTAGTTCCAGAAAATATAGATACATGAAATTTCCTTATGGTACCAATTAACTGTGCAAACTTGGTTAAAAGTCCTCTCTTCTCACCACTCGAACTTATTAACTCGGAAAGCTTTTCACAACCACCTATGTTAGAGTTACCAGCATCAGAGTCAGTATTTTTTCTAATGAAATAATATTATGAATCATGTTTGTAAAATTAATCAATACAAACCTTGCATAAACATTTGCTTCATCAATAACCACAACAAAATGTTCAATTTTCTTAACTATTCCAAATAGAGCAGAATTGTCATTAAGTGAATCAATTATCTTGGTCACTAGGCTGTCAATAAATCCCCTCAAGACATCCGGAGAAGAATAAACATATTCCAATGTGTACTCTAGAGCTTTTTGACTGGCGTCGGTTTTGCCATTTGATTGCATATACGCAAGATATGGAAGTATTCCACCATTAATAATATTTCCATCCTTATCTCTCTGAACAAAGTCTTCAAATACAGTTGGCATTTGTTTGGCTTCATCAATTAGCTTTGAAATATAAATCAATCTACAGATGAATACAAATAGTACTATTTGTTCAACCGAGCCAAAAAGTTCATAAGCCTTCATCCCATTTAAGTAGCAAAATGCTTGACACATCAATGCATCAGTTGTCAATCCACTAGGGTTTGGGTTTGTGGGTTTGGGTTTGTGGGTTTGGGTTTGGGTTTGGGTTTGGGTTTGGGTTTGGGTTTGGGTTTGGGTTTGGGTTTGGGTTTGGGTTTGGGTTTGGGTTTGGGTTTGGGTTTGGGTTTGGGTTTGGGTTTGGGTTTGGGTTTGGGTTTGGGTTTGGGTTTGGGTTTGGGTTTGGGTTTGGGTTTGGGTTTGGGTTTGGGTTTGGGTTTGGGTTTGGGTTTGGGTTTGGGTTTGGGTTTGGGTTTGGGTTTGGGTTTGGGTTTGGGTTTGGGTTTGGGTTTGGGTTTGGGTTTGGGTTTGGGTTTGGGTTTGGGTTTGGGTTTGGGTTTGGGTTTGGGTTTGGGTTTGGGTTTGGGTTTGGGTTTGGGTTTGGGTTTGGGTTTGGGTTTGGGTTTGGGTTTGGGTTTGGGTTTGGGTTTGGGTTTGGGTTTGGGTTTGGGTTTGGGTTTGGGTTTGGGTTTGGGTTTGGGTTTGGGTTTGGGTTTGGGTTTGGGTTTGGGTTTGGGTTTGGGTTTGGGTTTGGGTTTGGGTTTGGGTTTGGGTTTGGGTTTGGGTTTGGGTTTGGGTTTGGGTTTGGGTTTGGGTTTGGGTTTGGGTTTGGGTTTGGGTTTGGGTTTGGGTTTGGGTTTGGGTTTGGGTTTGGGTTTGGGTTTGGGTTTGGGTTTGGGTTTGGGTTTGGGTTTGGGTTTGGGTTTGGGTTTGGGTTTGGGTTTGGGTTTGGGTTTGGGTTTGGGTTTGGGTTTGGGTTTGGGTTTGGGTTTGGGTTTGGGTTTGGGTTTGGGTTTGGGTTTGGGTTTGGGTTTGGGTTTGGGTTTGGGTTTGGGTTTGGGTTTGGGTTTGGGTTTGGGTTTGGGTTTGGGTTTGGGTTTTGGGTTTGGGTTTGGGTTTGGGTTTGGGTTTGGGTTTGGGTTTGGGTTTGGGTTTGGGTTTGGGTTTGGGTTTGGGTTTGGGTTTGGGTTTGGGTTTGGGTTTGGGTTTGGGTTTGGGTTTGGGTTTGGGTTTGGGTTTGGGTTTGGGTTTGGGTTTGGGTTTGGGTTTGGGTTTGGGTTTGGGTTTGGGTTTGGGTTTGGGTTTGGGTTTGGGTTTGGGTTTGGGTTTGGGTTTGGGTTTGGGTTTGGGTTTGGGTTTGGGTTTGGGTTTGGGTTTGGGTTTGGGTTTGGGTTTGGGTTTGGGTTTGGGTTTGGGTTTGGGTTTGGGTTTGGGTTTGGGTTTGGGTTTGGGTTTGGGTTTGGGTTTTGGGTTTGGGTTTGGGTTTGGGTTTGGGTTTGGA